CGTTGTTCGTGGATTTTGGCTTGTTGTCGAGGGTGGGCGCCATGAAGCCGTCGGTTCAGGGTAGACTGTGGGATGCTGTACTTTTCCGCTGCATCTTTCTGTGAACAAAGGCCTTCTTGAACCTCGGCTATAGCCAATTGAATAAGCTCTTCCCGGATAGCGGTCATGTTGATTTTGGCCCAGAAGTGGATGAGTTGTGTTGAGTTGAAGTTAGTCATGTCTGGAATGGTGGTGCGGTGCCAGGATTCCATTGTGGGGCCGATTCCGTTGCGGGGTCCAGACGTCTAGAGGACTACGTAACTCATGTCCGTGGAAGCTCGATTTGCCCGGCATCAAAACAGGTCTTCAGCGGAGAATTGTCGATATCCCTACGGAAGATCACCAAATATATGCCCCAGCTCCCACCGAACACTAAGACAGATTACCAGAGCCCCAGCATCAAAAACAAATGAGACAGTTTCAGAATCGCCCAAATAACACGCCTCTTGCAAACCTGAATAAATTTCTGTAACTCTATGACTCTCTGAATAGCCTCTCACCTTCCCTCTAGAGAACAGCTTTCACGCCTCCGTACTTGCCGTACTGCTAGCACCGCCTGACAGAACTCATCGGGGCCCATCCGAACAACCGCCAACGTGGTCCAAGTACAACTCCACCCCTGGTTTGTTTGTTAGCGCGGAACTTAGGTAGTCCAGGTGTTACCCTTAGTTACACCTCATCTTCTTTCGCTTTGGCCTACTTCTATGTTTTCTTTGTTTCTTTCCTCTTTCTCTTCCTCTTTTTCTTTGTCTTTCTCTTTCTCTTTCCTTACTTTCTGTCTTCACATTTCATTATATTTTCTACGCTGTTTTCTTACATCTCCTGGTTTTATTCATGTCTTGAGGAAGTGCCCCGCCATGTGTCACGCCAACGAACAAATGAGGGCTGGATTGTATCTAACCCGGTAGCCAATGTTCCGAGTATGGCGACATCTGAATGCAGGAGATTCGTCACGGCGAGATCGGTTTAGTGACAGTCTGGTGCACGGTCTCAAGCAAGGCAAAAAATCGAAGATTACCAATGATGGACCTCGGTCAACGACCCAAGACCGAGCCCCTCGGACTCGCCAGTGTCATCAGTGCACCGTGAGAAGATCCAACTATCGCGAGAAGCTCCAAAATACCTCGTCAGCCAACGCACACACCCAATTCCTGCCTGAACATAGCGTGCCGTCCCGGAGTTAGCTTAAGACCGTTCTCTGCCTTCTTTGTGTTTACACCGGCGTGAGGATTTCACAGGCTTCAGGACCCGGACTTAGCAGAACGCACATGTCTGGCAATCATGCTGAGGACGGGACATACCGTACGGGTTCAACACGAATGATATAAAGGCCATCGCCGAGTTCAGGGACACGGCCCTGGATGGGTCACAGTACAGTTCATGGCATCCGTAACGCTTCAGTGGTAACAGTCCAGAAAAAGCAACTGCACCTTGGGCATAGAGTTCTCGTCTCCTATCATGTCCAACAACCTGGCTGCGGTCCTGCCATCCGCCGGCAACGACCTGGTCATTCAGCAGCGCTCTATCCCCTCTCCCGGGCCAGACGAGGTCCTAATCCGCAATCACGCCATTGCCGTCAATCCCATCGACTGGAAGCGGCAGGCCCTCGGCTTGTACGTCGCTTCGTACCCAACGGTCCTCGGCACGGGTACGTCACCCGCTCTCTAGACGCGTGTTAGTAGTTGTAGGCCCCCTCTAACTCCTCTTTCTCAAGACGTCTCGGGCGTTGTGGCAGCGGTAGGCTCTGCTGTCAGCTCGTTCAAAAGAGGCGACCGCGTGCTCGCCTGCGCCCCGGTCACTGCCACCGGGAACCCCGACCACGCGGCGTTTCAGACCTATACCGTAGTGCAAGCCTCTACGGTAGCCAAGCTACCAAACGCCCTCGACTTCCAGCACGCCGCCACGCTGCCTACATCCGTCGTCGCCGCGACCATCACCCTCTTTGACGTCTTCGGCCTGCCCCTGCCATCGCTCCCAACCAACACCTCCACTTCTACTACCACCACCACCACCACCACCACCAACCCGCCCGTCGGCATCCTGGTATGGAGCGGCGCCTCCTCAGCGGGCCAAACCACGATCCAGCTCGCCCGGCTGGCAGGACTCAAGGTGTTCGCCAGCGCCAGCCCGCGGCACCACGCCCTGGTGCGCTCGCTTGGCGCGACAGAAGTGGCCGACTACCGCTCCCCGTCCGCTGTCAGCGACCTCGTGGCTGCCGCCGAGCGCGCCGGCGCCGAGATCCGGTACGCGGTGGACCCGATCTCCACCGACGAGACCGTCCCGCTCGTGCTCGATGTCCTGGCCAGGTCGAAGGGGGTTGGGACCAAGAAGCTGGCGCATCTGTGGACTTGGCCTGAGCAGGTCGCGCTGCGTGAGGGTATCGAGGCTGTCTTTGTGAGGGGGAGAGCCATCTGGACTGAGAGGCGGGATTTGGCGGCCAAAGTGTTTGGCGAGTCGCTGAGCGCGTGGTTGGAGACTGGTGAGGTTGTGCCCCAGACGACTCGAGTTGTTGAGGGAGGGCTTGGCGGGCTGCAGACGGCGTTGGATACTTTGAGGAAGGGGGTGAGCGGGGAGAAGTTGGTCGTTAAGCTGTAAGGCGAAGGGGTGCTCCTTGAGTGGTGGGACCTAGAATAATCAACGTATCTGGTAGGCGGAGGAATGGGTAAGACGGGATGGGCGATCCATGCGGTGTGCCCGCCTGACGAGCGTCAAGCCGGAACGCAGCCCTTCTCGTGACTGAACAGGCAACTCTACAGTTATAATGTCTTCTCTTTGGACCCTAGCCCCGGAGCTCCCTCTCCAATTCCCATATCCTGCAAACCACCAAAACGCTCCCATGTACCCCGGAGATTCCCTAGGCATTAACCTAACTCCCATCTTGCAGGAGCCGTCACCGCCACCCCAGGCAGTGAGTCATCCTCGTCCGGGCATGTGGGTTGTGGTTGGGAAGCTGGCGGATGGGCGTGGAATTGAGTCAAAGATGTTGATTGTAGAAGCAAGGTGAGTAAAGGTTGGAATAACGGTCGGACTTGAGATTTGTATCAGCGCCCGGGCCGGCCTATAAGGCTCCTTCAACCAACACTGTCCGGTGTTCGTCAGGGTAGCGCCGCGGAGTTTGGATATGGTGATGGGACGGTTGTTGTGATAACTATTTTGACAACTTCAAAAGGTATGAGAGCTAGTGATAGCTCTGGCTCTCATGATCAAATCCCGATTATTGCCCGTCTTGGTCGCCGGCATGCCGCGTCGCAAACCTGCGGGTTCGTCTTCGCGGCTCAGGTACGGCCCTCGAAAGAATTGAGCTTCCTGTGAATCGGAGACGGGAAAACCCATCCGCCGGCCATCGTTACTCGCCAACGCTGGCCCGTCCTGTTTGTTACTCTTTCCAGTCGCACTGGGGGAAGTAGGTGGTTCCGTCCGCCGATTCTCCGGATCCCCCGAGCTCAGTCAGAAAAGATGCCGAACCAAAACCGGGAATGCGGATATTCTCTGGACCTGAGCGCCGCTACCGGCGGGGACCGCCCGAAATGTACTGAGTGTACCCCGTAAAAATCTCAATAATACTCGGTTCTCCATTTGGAGTGAGCACCGCCGATTCTCAGATTCCTGCAGCATCGTTCAAAATTTCATTCTCTTCGTTGAAATTCGGGAAGAGATCGGGAACTGCAGCTTACACGTAGTGGGAAACTCCCGCCCTTCCATGGTGCTACCACCCGAGGTATCCAAGTTGGCGCGTGGTACTCCGCGCTCGGTGTTCAGACGACTCCTAGAACCGGCTTCGATGCCCCGCCAAAACCCGCCGGACAATCACCCCGCCCGGCTATCACTCATCTCCAGACACCTCGCCCCGGTCTACCCGATCAACACGCCTTACGCCGTCGAGCGCCTACCGGACACCATTGACACCTCCCTGCTGCCCAAAACACAGTCGCGCAGTCTCTCTACCTCGCCCAAGATGTCGTTCCAACCCGCACACCCGACGCTTCTGATCCCGGGGCCCATCGAGTTCGACGATGCGGTGCTGCAGTCCATGAGTCACTTCAGGTATGCTGCATGGCTGGCGCTCGAAGGCTTGTGCGAAACTATGAGGTTGACAGATGAGCTATAGTGAGAGCCATGTTTCCGCTGGCTTCGTCGCAACCTTTGGCGAGACTCTGTCGATGCTGCGAAAGCTCTTCCAGACCTCGGACCCGGCGTCGCAACCGTTCGTTCTGTCCGGCTCAGGTACGCTCGGCTGGGATCTTGTGGCCGCCAATTTGATAGAGCCCGGTGAGGACGTCCTCGTGCTGGGCACCGGTTACTTCAGCGATGGCTTCGCCGACTGCCTGCGTGTGTACGGTGCCAATGTCACGGAGCTCAAAGCGCCCGTGGGCACCAAGCCCCAGCTGCCCGAGATCGAGAAGGCGCTGTCGGAAAAGAAGTACAAGGCCATCACCGTCACACATGTCGATACCTCGACCGGAGTCCTGAGCGAGCTGCAGCAGCTGTCCGTGCTCGTCCACCGCATCTCGCCCGACACACTCATTATTGTCGACGGCGTGTGCAGTGTTGCGTGCGAGGAGATTGACTTTGATGCCTGGGGCCTGGACGGCGTTGTCACAGCTAGCCAGAAGGCCATTGGCTGCCCTGCCGGCCTCTCCATATCCATGTTCAGCGGCCGGGCCATGAAGACTGCTCAAAACCGGAAGACGCCGCCAGCGTCGTACTTTGCCTCCATGAAGAACTGGACACCAAGTAAGGATTTATAGTCCTCTCAGCACCCGCGGCGCTGACCACCAAACAGTCATGCAAAACTACGAGGCCAAGAAGCCCTCTTACTTTGCGACCCCCTCTCCCCAACTCATCCATGCCCTACACACCGCGCTCAGCCAAATCCTGGTCAAGCCCGTGTCGGAGCGGTTCGCCGCGCACAAGGCCGCCTCGGACCGGATCAAGAAGGCCATCACCGACCTCGGGCTGAAGCAGGTCGCCGCCAACCGCGACGAGCAGGCCCACGGCATGACGGCCATCTACCTCCCTGAGGGCGTCAAGGGGGCCAACCTCCTGCCCATCCTCGCTAAGAAGGGCGTCGTGTTTGCCGGCGGCATTCACAAGGAAATTGCCGCGAAGTACATCCGGTTTGGACACATGGGCGTCAGCGTGGTGAGTGCTCGTCTACGTGAGCCAGGTCTCGCAAGAGAAGGCGTGCTAACATCTCCCAGCTCGATCCAAAGCGGAATGACATCGACCACGCTATCAAGTCGTTGAAGGAGGCCTTGGCTGAATGTGGATATAAAGGGGCATAGAGTGTATGTATTCAAAAGGGTAGTAGTGGTGTCTATGTGCCTACTTGTTGCAAAACCCTGTCCATTAGAACCCTGAGATAGACAACGCCAAGTCTTGAGTGGGCCGTCAGTCAGTTTCGGTAATGAGTCTGCAAGACATAAACACCATGAACAGAGATAGATACAAAAGAAGAGTAAATCGGATATGGAAGAGTTCCCTTTCACGACCTAGTAGGGTTAGGGTTGCTCTCCCCGTCGTCATGCGTCTTGGCGGAAACGGCATATTGGAGCCATCCGGAGCTTCCAGCGCCAGCAAGGCTGCATTGAAGGCGGGGTTGCAGCACAATCGAGAGGCTGGTGGGGTTCGGCCTTTTGGAGCTTTCGACCCGATCCTCAATCTCTTCCCATGCTTCCGTCATATTCCACTTTCAGTCGTCTTCATAGACTTTGACCGCCCTCTTGAATCTTTGGCACTCTTTTCCGGACTTCCCAACCCCCGCAGTAGAACGCGACCGACCTGCGTTCTGCATCGCCCTGCAACCACCAACTGTCCTTGTCTGCATTCGTTCGGCACTCCGTTTGCCAGCTTCCCCCGCGAGATTCTACAACCGACGTTACAAGGCCTGCGACCATGCCCGTCTCCATCGAGGAGTTGGACGCCACCGTCCGGGCCTTCTACGAGGGCCGCGGCGACCAGGTAAACCCGTGTTATGTACCCGTCTGTGCGTCGAACGAGCATGCTGATGACCGACTTTCTTTGCAAACAGCAAAAAGCTGCCCAAGCAGCCTTGAACCAGGCACGTATCCCAGCGGACCGCCGAGGCCAAGTCACCGCTCGATATCAGCGAGCTAACAATGCGCTGCAGTTCAAGGAAGACCCGGATGCCTGGTTGATGGTCGACGATATCCTCTCGAGGGCAACATATGAGCAAACCAAATGTCCGTCCTCTTTCGTTTTGGCCGAGGTGGTTCGAACACTCACATACAGTTCTAGTCCTGGGTTTGCAGGTTCTTGATAATGTGATCATGACAAGGTGGAAGGTCCTGCCACGGGAGCAGTGTCAAGGCAAGCTATCGAGCCCGTGGGAATGGTAAGAGACGGATGGCTGACAAATACTAGGGATCCGCAACTTCGTCGTGCAGTACATCCTGCAATGCTCTAGCTCCGAGGAGGCCCTCAAGACTCACCGCACCCTTCTCAACAAGCTAAACCTCGTTCTCGTCTCGGTCCTGAAGCAAGAATGGCCTCACAATTGGCCCACCTTCATCAACGAGATCATCTCGGCCTGCCACTCCAGCCTGTCCGTGTGCGAGAACAACATGATTATCCTGCGCCTCCTGTCCGAGGAGGTGTTTGACTACTCCGCTGAGCAAATGACGTCGACAAAGACCCGCAACCTGAAGACGACCATGTGCGCCGAGTTCTCCCAGATCTTCCAGCTATGCCAGGAGATCCTCAACAGCGCGACGCAGCCGAGCCTTATTAAAGCCACCCTCGAGACGCTGCTGCGCTTCTGCAACTGGATTCCCTTGGGTTACATTTTCGAGACACCCCTTATCGAAACTCTCCGCACACGGTTCCTCGAGGTGCCAGAGTTCCGGAATGTCACGCTCCAGTGCCTGACGGAGATCGGAGGTCTGCAAACGGGAGGGCCCGGCCAGATTAACACATACGACGAGCAGCTGGTCAAGATGTTCACCGAGGTTCTGACGACCATTTCCAACATTATTCCCCTGGACATGGATCTCAAGACGACATATCCCCAGAGCAACTCCCGCGATCAGGAGTTCATCCAGAATTTGGCGCTCTTCCTCTGCAACTTCTTCGGCATGCATTTGCCGGTAAGTTCCAGACAGCGTATGGGCCGTGGCAGGGCTAACCCACCGCACAGCTGATCGAGAACCTTCCGAACCGAGATTTCCTCACCCACGGCCATTTCTACCTCATCCGAATCTCACAGATTGACGACCGCGAAATCTTCAAGATCTGCCTGGATTACTGGCTGAAGCTTGTCCAAGAGCTTTACGAGGAGATGCAATCCCTCCCGATATCCGATCTGACGTCCATGTCTCTGGGAATGATGGGCGGCGGCGGCGCACCGAATCCGGCCCTGCTCACTAACTACCCGCTCCGGAAGCACAAGTACAACGAGGTCTTGTCGAACTTGCGGGTGGTGATGATTGAGAAGATGGTCCGACCGGAGGAAGTGTTGATTGTGGAGAACGACGAGGGCGAGATCGTCCGCGAGTTCGTCAAGGAGACCGATACGGTGCAGCTGTACAAGACAATCCGGGAATGCCTGGTCTACCTCACCCATCTTGACGTTGTCGACACCGAGCAGATCATGACGGAGAAGCTCGCGCGGCAGGTGGACGGATCTGAATGGTCGTGGCACAATTGCAACGTGCTCTGCTGGGCCATCGGCTCTATTTCCCTAGCCATGAACGAAGAGACGGAGAAGCGGTTCCTTGTCACGGTAATCAAGGACTTACTGGGACTGACCGAGATGAAACGCGGAAAGGACAACAAGGCCGTCGTCGCCAGCAACATCATGTACATCGTGGGGCAGTACCCGCGCTTCCTCAAGGCGCATTGGAAATTCCTTAAGACGGTTGTCAATAAGCTCTTTGAGTTTATGCACGAGTCCCACGAAGGTGAGTCAATTCTCCGTTGCGGAAGAAGGTTCGCTCTGCTAACCCACCCCAGGTGTCCAGGACATGGCGTGTGATACCTTCATCAAGATCGCGAAACAGTGCAGGCGCCACTTTGTTGCGCTCCAGCCGAGCGAGAACGAGCCGTTTATCGAGGAGATCATCAGAAACCTCGCCAAGATCACCTGCGATCTTACCCCCCAGCAGGTTCACACCTTCTACGAAGCCTGTGGGTATATGGTAGCCGCGCAAGGCAACAGGAATCAACAAGAGCGGCTCTTGTCCGACTTGATGGCCATTCCCAATGCGGCCTGGGATGAAATCATCAAGCAAGCCACGATGAACCCTGCGATCCTGCAGGACGCCGACACCATCAAGATCATTGGCAATATTATGAAGACCAATGTGTCGGCCTGCTCGTCCATCGGCCCCTACTTCTATCCACAGATTGGGCGGCTGTACAACGACATGCTGCAGATGTATGCTGCTACGAGCCAGCTCATCTCGGAGGCGGTTGCCCGTGAAGGTTAGTAACATTTCGGATTTCTGTCGGCAATGTGTGCTTACCATGTGTTAGGCGAGGTTGCGACCAAGATGCCCAAGGTCCGCGGTCTCCGGACCATCAAGAAGGAGATCCTGAAGCTCGTCGAGACATTTGTCGACAAGGCGGAGGACCTCCAGGCTGTCAGGAGCCAAATGGTTCCGCAACTGCTGGACTCTGTGCTGGTCGACTATAACCGGAACGTTCCGGGCGCACGGGATGCCGAGGTTCTGAGGGCCATGACAGCCATGATCACCAAGCTTTCGGTATGTCCAGACATTGCAGTACGGCTGTCTGGTTGAGACGCGCTGACCCCGGCATTAGGGCCTTATGGAGGACCAAGTGCCTGTGATCATGGAGAATGTGTTTGAGTGCACTCTTGACATGATCAACAAGGACTTTTCGGAGTTCCCTGAGCATCGTGTCGAATTCTTCAACCTATTGCGGGCCATCAACCTCCATTGCTTCCCAGGTATGTCCCCCCAGCTTGCGTTTTCTTGGTGCACCGTTCTAACCTTCAGCAGCCCTCTTGAAGCTCGACAACCGGCAGTTCAAGTTTGTCATCGACTCTTGCATGTGGGCGAGCAAGCACGACAACCGCGATGTTGAGACGGCCGGGCTGAACATGTGCTTGGAGTTGATCAACAACATCGCCGAGAAGACGGACGTGCAGACGTCCAACGCCTTCTTCAACCAGTTCTTCATCACGATCCTGCAGGACGTCTTTTTCGTGCTGACGGACCAGGACCACAAGGCTGGTTTCAAGACGCAGTCGATGCTGCTAATGCGCCTGTTTTATTTTGTGCACCCTGCCGACGGCACGCAGCCCAAGATTCAGGGGCCGATCTACCAGCCCGACCAGGCGCAACCGGGCACAAGCAACCGCGAGTTCTTGGCCAACTTTGTCAGCACACTGTTGCAGAACGCTTTCTCCAACCTCACGCCGTGAGTCATCCTTTCTCTTTGGTTTTCCTGTCCAACCCAGCCAGACCAAGAAATCATGAAACTCTTATGTTCTGACATCTATTTTCCAGGGTCCAAATCACGGCCTTTGTTGAGGGCCTGTTCACGCTCAACACGCAGTATGACAAGTTCCGGCTGGCACTGCGCGACTTTTTGATTTCGCTCCGCGAGTTTGCGGGCGACAATGCCGAGCTGTACCAGGTCGAGAAGGAGCAGCAGGAGCGGGATCGCCTCGCGGCGGACCACGAGCGCCGGTCCAAGGTCGGGGGTCTGCTTAAGCCCTCGGAGCTGGAGGATGATGAGCTGTGACTTGGGGAGGAGCTCAGAACGGAGTTCTTGCCCAAGGGGTATGAGCTGGGGAAGAATAGGGGGGTGGGGGACGGTGGTGGTGATGGTGGGGGCGATGGGTGGGAGTTTTACGGGTTGTGATGGTGAATTTGGGGGGAGGGAGGGAGGAGGATTAAGAGGCAAGAGCTTCTCTTCTATGTCTCTGCTCTGCTCTACTCTCCTCTGCTATGCACTGCGGCCGCCTGGTGAGTGGGGACGCTTGAGGCTTGAGGATTTCGAAACCCCTCTAGCACGGATGGATTGTGTGTGGGAGGAACGATGTGTTTCTGACCTCTATTTTTTTTACCTTCTAGGGTGTTTATCTTGCGAACCCTTGTAGTGATACCAATAGAAGAGGGTATGATCTCTTGTAGGTTTCTTGTCTCCCATTGGCTTGCGTGGCACTGTGTTTCTTTCGGCTGCAGTGACGCTGAGGTCTGTCTTGCAGTGCCCCATCTTTGTTCCTGGGATCCAATGTCACGGTGCCTGTTATGCCCCCACATATTGCCTGGTGAGTTTGGTTATGTATGAACTCGTATTCACAAGGTCTTCGCTTGGGTTGGGTGGTTTGGGGAAGGATGAGCATGCTGCAGTGATGGGTTCGGGTGCTTTTCCAAGGCGGTTCCTGCAGATCCCTTGGTTATTATTAGCAGGTTCGACCCTTTTGAGTAGCTGAGCATGCTGCGGTCTAGGTTTCAGGTCTGACGAGCTTTGACGTCTGATTTTCCGTTGTTCGACTGATTCTGGATTTGTTTGAGAGTTATGCATGAGCTGGCTGATGGGGACGGGACAATGAAATGCATGACCTTTTTCAGCCGCTGCGCTGCGCCGCGGTTGCGTAAAACCGCAGCGATTCGACACCTCTCACTGGACTGAGTGGGCTGCCTGAACCTGCACTTCTTCGGCCCTCGACATCGAGATCCAAATGGCAGCTCTGGCCTTTGCGTTGCATGTGTTTCAGCCTTTTGGCGAGAACCTTAACTCCCCGTCACTGATTGTGTTCTTTGACGTTGCTGTGAGCTTGGGCCAAGCATGTTCGTCAACTTGATGTGGCAGGCCATGCTTAGTAACGGATCTGGCTTGGATTCACTTCGCCGTCGGGACCCTGTCACGCAGCGGTGTCACCACAGCCGTCGTCGATCTGAATATCTGAGCTCAAACATATTTGACTGATCCACCTACCGACTGCCTTGGGGCGGGCTCCTGGCGTCGGTGAGTCGCGGCTTTGATCTTGCAGCTTGAGTCAGCTTGAAAACCTCTTCCTCGGTCTTTCTTTTGGTCGAGTTATTGGCGACCCTCGGCTGTCTCGAAGAAGCAAGGCTCCCAATGTTGGATAGGCCATCAGCGGGGAAACCGAGACCATGAGGCGCGCAAATGCAATCAACGACAACACAATGGCTGCCTGGCCCGACAGAAGCGGCGATCTTCGCCGGCCAGCAGGGCCCGGCCCAGTTCAGGGTCAACAACACCTGACGCCCCAACATGCGCATGGCGGACCGCACGGCACAACCCCCGGCGGACGGTACCGGAGCGCCTCTCGAGTGTCGGAGATCGATGTCTGGGACAACATGCAGAACCACCTCCTCCAGGGCGACGACTCCAGTTCGTCTGACGAGGATCTCCACCCCCGGAGCGGGAGCCACTCACAGTCCCGGCCTCGCCACATTCGCCACTCTTCGTTCCCATCACTCTTCTCGAGCAAGAAGAAGAGCAAATCGAGCCCCGTGGCTGGGGCGGACGATTTATGGTCTGATTCCGGCGAGGAGGGGCTCAGCAGTTCCAAGAGGAAACCGACGCCGACGATGCGCGGGCACCGGAACGGCTCTTCGATTGGCAGCAGGGACTTTGCGGCGGGCCGCTGCATGACGTGCGGGTCGCTTGTGCGCTGGCCGAAGGAGCTGCATATATTCCGGTGCACCATCTGCATGACCATCAACGACTTGCAACCTTCGAGCCTGGATGCAGGAAGAGAAGATGCTAATAGGGAGCCGGTCGTGACGTTGGAGGAGCCGCCTGGGGCGGCGAGTGGTATGAATCCTGACCAAGTCTCTTCCGACGCTCAAGCTGTTCAGTTGGCTGACACAAGATGCAGACAAGACCATCTCGCTCGCCTACACCAAGTCCCTGATTGAGCAATGCCTGCGCTCTTACCTAGCGTTCGCATTGAAGAGACAGAACCCGGGTGGTTCGCCGAGTGGTCAGGAACCACATGTCCCCCCGTCGTCGCTCTCCCCAGGCGATATCAGTTCGCTTGCGCTGTCAACAGGGACTCCTTTACCGCTGCGGCCCAAGGCTTCGCTGAACTTCGAGCAACGGCTGGTTCCGGGCTCTCCTCAGCGTCCGGTTCAGCACAGTCGCGCTCCAAGTTGGGGGGCCACCCCGTCTCGGTCCTGTTCCGCATCCTTCACAGACAGACCTCTACCACTCCACGAGTCAACGCCGCCAGGCTCTGGCTGCCGTCAGGGTCGACCGCCGCCGAGCCCGGGAGAGGAAGGTAGGAGAATTTTTGGACCACTGGAAGACTATATCACCAGGTGTTTCACCTCGTTTCATTGTTTGAATTCTTCTTTTTTGATACGTCGAAGCCATAATCAAGGGCTCAGTCGTGCAGGGGACAGCAGGCCTCGTCGTCCCTCGGACCACGTAGAAACTCGAAGAGAAGTCCGCAGCCCCAGCTACCCTGTCCTCGAGATGGACCCCAAAGTTCTGCTGTTGGGCGACTTCGCCGAGAACGGTACCTGGTGGACCGGAAATGACGGTGTGGTTCCAGGCAGAACGCCGTCCGGCCGGAGCCATAATAGCCAGTCCATGGTCAGCTCGAGGAGCCCTCACTTAGACTGGGCAGAGATGGAGGAGTGGTACATGGTCGCCATCGAACCAGCTCGGCCTTGGTCGCATATCTATGAGCGCTTGGTGGCCGACGACCCAGCTCTCGCCCTTTCCCCGGCCGCACTGCAGAATATCGAAGCCCAGATTCTCGCTGGACAGGAACATGCTCAAACGGCGCTCCTGAAGGCTAGCGAGACAATCCTCAAGCGCCCGGGGCGACGCATTACCGAACCACAGGATCTTCGGTTCCTGCTTATCATAACCGCCAACCCCCTTCTACACGCATCATACAGGCCGTATGCCGGCAGATTGCAGCCAGCGAATGGTCTACCAATACCGAGTGGTGCATCTCCCCGCGGTTCTGGACCTGTATCAGGTCGACACTCGGCCATCATCAAACGCATCGTGGGACTCATGTCAAACACACCCGTCGATTGTCACAACTATCTGGTGGCCTGGTTCGCCCGGTACTCGGAACCGTCCTTCGTGCAGACCAAAGATCTGATTGCCGGCTTCCTCACCTACCGTCTGATCCGCCAGAACGAGAAGAAATATGAGGCTCAAATCGACTATACAGGCGGCCTGATTCCGAACATGGGCCCGAGCCCGTCAGCTGCCTCGCTACACGCAGCTTTAGGGCAGGCACGGCGTTCGAACAAGAGGAAGCAGCCGGAGAAGAAGAAGGTAGTATATCAGGAAGACTGGCAGATCAGAGCAGCCGCCCAGATCCTCGGCTTTCTGTTCGCGGCTAACAACATGGGCCACGTCCGCCGCGACCAGACCAGCCATTCGGAAGGCCTGGGAACTAGGCATCGAGAGCTTGTTCAGGCGCCGGGCCAGATCCTTGCTACGAGCGACTTTTACGTGACACTGCTCGACGACTCGGATCTCGTTGCTGATTTTGAGGCCTGGGAGCGGAAACAGGGCCGGTTTTCGTTCTGTGAGCATCCATTTCTCCTGAGCATCGGCGCCAAGATTCAGATTCTGGAGCACGACGCCAGGCGGCAGATGGAGAATAAGGCTCGGGATGCCTTCTTTGACAGTATCATGTCCAACAGGGCGGTGCAGCAGTTTCTGGTCTTGAATATCCGCCGGGAGTGTCTGGTGGATGACAGTTTGAAGGCTGTGAGTGAGGTGATTGGGGCCGGGGGAGAGGAGATCAAGAAGGGGCTCAAGATCAATTTCAAGGGAGAAGAGGGTGTCGATGCCGGCGGCTTGAGGAAGGAGTGGTTTCTGCTTCTTGTCCGGGAGTTGTTCAACCCAGACCACGGTAGGTTCTGTGTTCTCAACCGCATGTCAGAAGCATCACTAACCGTGGCCCAAGGCATGTTTCTTTACGACGAGGACTCCCAGTACTGCTACTTCAACCCCAACTCGCTCGAGCCTTCAGAGCAGTTCTTCCTCGTCGGCGTCGTGCTCGGCCTGGCCATCTATAACTCCACCATCCTTGACGTCGCCCTCCCGCCCTTCGCCTTCCGCAAACTCCTCCACGCTGCCCCTACCGCCGCATCTTCCCCCGGCACCCAACCCCGCCGAGAACCCATGACCTTCACCCTAGACGACCTGGCCGAGTACCGCCCACGCCTCGCCCAGGGGCTTCGCCAACTCCTCACCTTCCAAGGCGACGTGGAATCCACCTTCTGCCTTGATTTCACCGTCGACACGTCACGCTACGGCGCCCTCGAAAACATCCCGCTCTGCCCAAACGGCGCCCACCGCCCCGTCACCAACGCCAACCGCAAGGAATACGTCGACGCCTACGTCCGCTACCTCCTCGACACGTCGGTATCCCGCCAATTCGAGCCCTTCAAGCGCGGCTTCTACACCGTCTGCTCCCACCACCACCAACCCTCCTCCTCCTCTTCTTCCTCTTCTACTACTGCTACAACAACAATAAACCAAAACTACCAAACCCCACCCGCCGCCGCCGCCGCCGTAAACGCCCTATCCTTGTTCCGGCCCGAGGAAATTGAGCTCCTCATCCGCGGCTCGTCCGTCACGGACCAGCCGCTCGACGTCGCCGCCCTCAGGGCCGTCGCGTCCTACGACGGCTGGGACCACCACCACCATCTCAATAATAGGGATTCCTCCCAGAAAAAACCAAAAGGGGACCTGGACCCGGCCGAGGACGAGCCGACGGTGCGTTGGTTCTGGGAGGCGTTTGAGCGCGCCCCGCCGCGCGATCAGAGGCGGTTGTTGGCCTTCATTACGGGCAGCGATCGCGTCCCGGCCGTCGGGGCTGCCTCGTTGGGAATTCGGATCGTTTGTCTTGGGGAAGAGTGTGGCCGGTTTCCGACGGCGAGGACGTGTTTTAATTCGGTTGGGCTTTGGCGGGTTAGAAGTGGGGGGAGGGGGATGGATGGAGAGGAAGGGGACGGGGAGGAAGAAAGGGAAAGAGAACGGTTTGAGGGGGTCTTGTGGAGGGCGGTGAGGGAGAGTGAGGGGTTTGGGTTGAAGTAGATACCGATACCCTTAGTGTAGGGAGCGCGGGTGTTGGGAGGTAACGTGAGGGGGCGGTGGATGGATGGTACAGTACTGGAGCGCGTTTCTGGGTTATGAAAGGTTTTTAAACGGGGGACGGAAGGGCAGAGTCTGTGAATGGGTTCCCAGGTGATACCTGCCGGACGGGCTTTATTGCGAAGGACCTAGGCACATATAATTGATAGATTTGACTTTACAAAACGCCTTTGGTATGAGAGTAGACCACTCAATTTACAAGTCGAGGATGCAACTGGAGGATAGAGTAACAATAGGAGGACTGTTGATTTCTTTTCTGACAAGAAGATAAAAAGAATTTATATAACTAGTTATGTTTCCTTTCTTATAAAGATCAAAAATCTTTCTTAATTAGTTAACGTTATGGGATTTAATGCCTTCTTTCCTGCAGTGAACCGATGGCCCTTACCTTACCTATATATTTGACATTACTTAGACATAGGTAGCAAAATGAGGAAGCCGCCAGTGGAAACTCCCTTAAGCAACGGGGAGAAGCAGTCTATTACCGGCTCCATGTCTGACCTTAGTACCTAAGTTACTACCGTACTCAGTAATGGTTTTGAATTGAAGCAGCTTGCCTTTCATAGACTTGTGAGCCCTGAATAGACAGCCATCCGTTGGCTTACCCTCAGCCCTAGCTGAGCATACCTAAGTACCTGTACCCTGAAGAAAAATAAGGCCGCCGCTTTCTCTAAGCTTTGAGCTGCCAGCCGCAATGTTATGTCAGGGTCGACGGCACATAGTCAACCCGTGTGGTTCGTTCACTGCATCGAGCCCGACCTGTGGCAAACCGGCAGTGGGTTACTTCTGCATCAGGCAGACCATAGGCCATAACGTGGCTGACCTACCTTATGTGCGAAGAGTCCTCGCTGCGGGCAAGGTAATTGTGAGAAAAGGCCAATCGGTGAAAAGGCTGCACTGCCTGGGGAAGATGCGGCGCAGCAGCCATCCGAAGTATTATGAATCGCCGCTTGAACTGGTGGCATCAAATGTGTTCAACACGATGTGTTTGGAACTGATGGAGGGGCAAGAGAACAAAAAACCTGAAAAGGAAAATCTTCAAAGATTCGGTGATGACAAGATTCCGAACTTGCCTGCCATGTCCTGCTGCCCGTTATGATCCGGACAAGACTTCGGTTGATGAAGCAATTGTCATCGATACTCAAGGCGATCGAACCAGCGGTCTTATTCGTAGGGATGAATGCATGTAATTAAGTCATGTTTGCATGCATGTTACTCAGCAGCGTCAGCATCGATGGAGGAGAGAATCTTTGTTCACAGACAGCCGTAACAGCGAGCCACTCATCACGGCCGAGAGCCTTTCAAAATTTCAATCCAGACCTTGGGATCCTCATCAGATGGAATTGGTGGTGGCTGATCGACATCGGCTGCTCCCACTGTTCGGACGTCATGGTCTTGGATGATGTCGGAGCATTCCGCACCCTCCTCGGTACTCGCTTTGTCGCTGACTCGCTGCAGCTTTGAAGCTGCCAAAGTAAGCTCTGGGCTTGCCATCGCAGTCCGGAGCCGAGATTCGGCCCCGCCAAAAAGACCCCATTGACCCAGGAACCAGGTCGTCGTGCGACTCATGCCATCTGAACCCTTATTATTTTTGTCTTCATCCAGGGCGTCGATGGACGCTTCGCTTGTCCTTGCACGGGGCAACAGCCTCAAAACCACCCAGACATCTGAACACGAGGACGAGCATGTTGGGAAAGGGAGCAGTGCTTCCGTGGAACAGTTGCTACGGCGTATCCGTAAGGGTGGTTATCCACTGAGGTGCGGGTTAGCGCACCGCTTCAGTCCAAATTAGGCTCTGACCCCGGCACAGCCTGCGCCGGGGACCCGCCCAAACAATGGATGCCAGTCCAGCAAGTGCACCCTGCAGCGAGCGGAAATAGAAAGCAGGGCCTCAATTTCCTGCAATTCCAAGCGTCAGCCCGACGCATCCTTCCTTTCCCTCTTTGCATCCTCGACGCGTTCATACGATTACGACGAACGAGGACCGTCCGTTTGAGCGGCTCCTGAAGTGTCTGTTTTATTCCTCACTTCCGGCGCGTCTGCTTTTTTTTCTTCGCTTCCAGCGTTTAGAATCGCCAGTTCGCGCCGACGGTCGCAGAGACCGTCCCTCGGACGCCAAGCGGCCCATTCGTCGTCTGGACGTCGCGCCGCAGCCAATCCATCTGGTCTCGCAGCCCAGCTCTGCGTCTCAGACGCCCCCTTCCTGCGCTGTCTCCAGACATCGTCGTCGCTCGTACCCGGCCGCCTTGTGCTGCCGGTTTCGCAGACGACGTTGACCTTGTCGCTCTCTGAAGGTCCGTAGTCTGACACAGCTTGTTTCTCCCTGAGGCAGCTCACAACTGCACCCCTTCTCCTGCGCAGAGCTGCGGCTCCGAATCACTTCGTATTTGAGGTGCATGGGGTCACCTTCCCCCCTACCTCAGATGCACTGCAACCTGTCTGGTCATGCCCATGTCGCAAATCTGCCAACTAACATGTCAGTTCCGTACAGGAATTTCCCACGGCTCAGGCGCCAGACCCTTCCCATGTCGAACAGCACAGAAACGCCCGGCGGCGAGGTACCCACCTCGTCGTCGTCGGTGCCTCCCCCACCCGAGACGACCACTAGCCCTCCTCCGCCCGATACCTCGACGTCGACATCGACATCGGATGCACCAACCACGACTTCTACATCAAGCTCACCACCGGCCCCCCCAACCACGACGACAACGACCAGCTCGCCTCCCCCACCCGAGTCCACGTCAAGCGCACCCCCAGCCGCTCCTAGCACTACAACAACACCACCTCCGGCGGAGAGTACTTCACGACCCCCTCCGCCAACTTCAACGGAAACCTCGTATCGGACCGTTACCTCTGCCCCAACCAACCTGCCCAGCAACTCCACATCATCGCCATCTCCTTCCTCGACATCAGGCCCTGCCATCAGCCCCATTGACAACCCGAGCGGAGGGCTGAGCAACAGCGGACGGATCGCCGTGGCGGTGGTGGTGCCCATTGCAGCTGTTGCCATCCTTGTCCTGGTGGGTATTTTCTTGTGGCGCAAGCGGAAGCAGCGGAAGGACGCCGAGGAGCAACGGCGAAAGGAGGTCGAGGACTATGGCTACAACCCGAACGCCGACCCCACGATACCCGCAGTGGCCAGCACTGCGTATGAGATGAGGGATGACGGCGCGTCGGGCTATCGAGGCTGGGGCAGCACCGCGGCTGCTGGCTCTACGGGGAGGAAGGCGTCGACCACCATGTCGGGCGGCGCCGGGGCTTCGTACTCTGACGCTGCTTCGCCCACGCGTGCTGCCGTTTCAGACACGCGCTCCGGAGAGCCCCTGATGGGCGAGGTGCCTCCTTCTCCCGAGGGTGAAATTCTAGGGGCGATGGGGCCATCGGCGGCCAATAACCGCGTCGGCGTGCACCGCGGCCCTTCGAACGCCTCGTCGTCGTATAGCGCTGCCGGCCGGTCAGACGGCTCTGGCGACGGCCCAATTGGTGTTGCGTACGGCGGAGGACCCCATTACTACGACCAGTACGACCAGTACGGCGGCGGCAATCCGTATACGGACAACCCTTACGGCGGCCAGCAGCCGGTTGAGGCAGGCGGCTCGCCCGTCATCCGCGACGTGACGGCTCGGAGGAACACACGCATCGAGAACCCGGCGCACTACCCGCAGCAGACGGCTGGCATTTCGCAGAATTTTTAATTGTTCACCCGTCGTTACCGAGCACACCCTCTCTGAAACAGCGCGTTCAGTACGCTTCTGCAAGTACAGTATACCATTGGACATCGATGAGCGTTTTTCTCCGTTTCTCTTTACGTACAAAGACTCTTATCGCAAAAACCGTTGTTTGTGCCTTCACCTTTTCCGGCGTTGATGGAGACATCATACAGCAGCACACCTACTAAGACCTAATTTTCCTTTGCTCGAAAACCAGCTGGTTGCCCAGACTAAACTCTCTCTTGACTTCGGCTTTGCCGTTCTTGGGTTCGCGTTCACTTTTTGCATATACTGTTGGAAACGCAAGTCCACAATGGTTAGAGATGAGGGAGTGTTTGGGCTTCGTGAGAGGCTTGGTTTAGGAGCGGGTGTGGGTTAAATCTCACGTCAGCTTGGTTGATTGTCTTGTATACAAAGCGGGATCTGAATGGGAGGAGGGTCCGACATCTGTGGCAATGGAAGATGCATTGTGGAAGGCCTCTAGGTGTAGGTCGTGGTGTATGTATGTAGTGTCTTGTTCCGGTTACTAGTACATAGTCTAGCGACGCTTTCTGCTGAGTTGAATACTAAGGTACTAAAGCGGACTCTAGAGTCAACCTAATGTTTGTTTGCATCGAGCAACACGGCGTCTGGGAACCAAAGTTACTGCAGTAATAGCATTCCCAGTTCCGACCCCCTGACGAGACCTCCTGGGTATGGAAGTGTGGTTGATTCGGCTGCCCCACAAATCCTTTCCCGGTCCCCATGGCCAGCAAGCTCGGGTGGGTCCGATTTTCTGAACTTTTCGGGCCATCCCACTTTGAAGCAAGCTGCCTGGCCGAGGACAGGAAACAGCAACAACCTAACCAGCCCATAATATCGGTGCTTTTCGCAACCCTCGCCGACCCTCTCAGTCACAGTACTCTTCTACGCCAAAGGTGTTACACAAGAAAACACATCACAACAAATTAGGACGAGGAGAAAGCCAACGACAGGCAAGATGCAGGCCCCTGTCTTGGTCATGAGTATGTCAACGTCCAGAGTTTCTCCCGCCTGGCTTGTGTCTCTCCATCGGGACCCCCTCATTGACATGCACCTGAACAGACACCCAGAGCGGTGAGAGGCAGACTGGGCGGAAAGCCCAGCTGTCCAACATCGCCGCCGCTAAAACGTATGGCCCCCTTCCTCGCCTTCTTGCCGGCGCCCGATGATAGAGCCCCGCGTCTCACTTATTCTCTAACATAGTGTCGCCGACATCATCCGGTCATGCCTCGGCCCGAAGGCCATGCTCAAGATGCTGCTAGACCCTATGGGCGGCATCGTGCTGACCAACGACGGCCACGCCATCCTCCGCGAGATCGAGGTGTCGCACCCCGCTGCCAAGAGCATGATCGAGTTGAGCCGGACGCAGGACGAGGAGGTAGGCGATGGGACGACGACGGTCATCATTTTGGGTGAGTGGGGCTGGATACACCGGGTGTTGGAGTGTTGTGCAGGAGCTCTGACAGACGCGGACAGCCGGCGAGATCCTGGCGCAGGCGCTCCCCCAGCTGGAGCGCAACATCCACCCCGTGGTCATCATCGCGGCATTCAAGCGGGCGCTCAAGGACGCGCTCCAGATCATCGACGAAATCTCGCTCCCGATCGACGTCAACGACGACAAGGCCATGTACCAGCTCATCTCGTCGTCGATCGGCACAAAGTTCGTTTCGAGATGGTCGGAGCTCATGTGCAGCCTGGCGCTCAGGGCAGTGCGCACCGTGACGTGGGAGGTGGGCAACGGTAAGCGTGAGGTCGACATCAAGCGATACGCGCGCGTCGAGAAGGTGCCTGGCGGCGAGATCGAAGACAGCCGGGTGTTGGACGGCGTCATGCTCAACAAGGACATCACGCACCCCAAGATGCGCCGCCGGATTGAGAACCCACGCATCGTCCTGCTCGACTGCCCGCTCGAGTACAAGAAGGGCGAGTCGCAGACCAACATCGAGATCACCAAGGAGGAGGACTGGAATCGCATCCTTCAGATCGAGGAGGAGCAGGTCAAGGCCATGTGCGAGCAAATCCTTGCGGTGAACCCGGATCTGGTCATTACAGAAAAGGGCGTTTCAGGTAGAGTCTGCCAACTTGCTTCCCCAGCACTCGATGCAACACTGACACTCCAACAGACCTTGCGCAACACTACCTGATGAAGGCTAACGTGACCGCGCTCCGGCGGGTGCGCAAGACGGACAACAACCGGATAGCCCGGGCAACAGGCGCCACCATTGTCAACCGGGTAGAGGACCTGCAGGAGTCGGACGTGGGCACGCAGTGCGGACTGTTTGAAATTGAAAAGATTGGCGACGAGTACTTCACCTTTCTCACAAAGTGCAAATCGCCCAAGGCGTGCACGGTGTTGCTCCGGGGGCCGTCTAAGGACGTGCTCAACGAGATTGAGCGCAACCTGCAGGACGCCATGGGGGTGGCGCGCAACGTCATGTTCCACCCTCGGCTGTCGCCGGGCGGCGGCGCCACCGAGATGGCCGTGTCTGTGCGCCTGGCGCAGATGGCCAAGAGCATCGAGGGCGTGCAGCAGTGGCCGTACAAGGCCGTTGCCGAGGCCCTCGAGGTCATACCGCGCACGCTGATTCAGAACGCCGGCAAGAGCCCCGTCCGGGTGCTGACGGATCTGAGGGCCAAGCACGCCGAGGGCAAGAGCTCGTGGGGCGTCAACGGCGACACGGGCGCCCTGGTGGACATGAAGGACTACGGCGTGTGGGAGCCCGAGGCGATCAAGGTGCAGAGCATGAAGACGGCGATTGAGGTATGTTTTATACTATGTTTTTTTTTTTTTTTGGGTCTTCGCTTAGCTATTCTTGGGGGCTGCGATGTGCTGACCATGATAGGCCGCTTGTCTCTTGTTGAGAGTAGATGATATCTGCAGCGCCAGAAAGGCGCAACCGGGCGTCGGCACGGGCGCCGGTGGGATGGACGAATAAAGTCGGGGGCCAGAGCCGGCTTGTGCCAGCGGAGTGGCCGATGCTGGCCGGGAGATACCCCGTTTAAAGTAATAAATGGGCCTTGTTGTGATAGACAAAAGGTTTGGTCGGCTCCTTGCGGTGCTCAGGTTGTTTGTGCCCAGTGTTGATGTGCACCATTCTCCTCGTTCTCCTCAATCATCGTCGTGGATAACCAACCCCGGCCTGTCCGCCGCAGCCAGCGCTGGCGCTGGCGCTGTCCGATCCTGCTTCCCACCACCCACCTCGTTGCACTTCTCCTTCTCCCCATCCCCGTCCACATCCACTTCCATTTTCCCATCCCCCGCTGTACGCGCCCACTCTTGCTTCCCCCCATCATCATCATTATTCCCACCACCCCGGCTCCCGTTGCCCTTACCGGCCCTCTTCTTCTTTTTCTTCTCCCTCCGCCCCCGATTTCGCCTTGTCCTCTCCTCGTCCTCCCGCTCCCGCTCCCGCTTGCGCGCCTCGAATTCCGCGGCCGCCTTCTCCCGCTGCAGGTCCTCCTCCATCTGCCGCAGCCGCTCGTACTCGCGCCGCCGCGCCGCCTTGTACACGTGGAACTCGCCCGATCCGGCGCCGGCCGAGGACCCCTGCACGTTGGTCACGATCTCGGGCGGCGGCGGGAGTGGTTTGCGACCCGTGCTTGCGCTGCTCCCTGGCGGTGGCGGGAGGCGGATTTCTTGGGAAGGGTTTGAGAAGAGCGCTGTTAGCTGCGCGGCTTGGGCTGAGGTTGGTGAAAGCGCGCGGCGGCGCTTTGCGGGGGGTGGGCGGGTTGTTTGGGCGGATGAGGAAGACATTTGTTGTGTGGAACTTTTTGGTGTGTCAAAGGATTGTTTGTTTTTCTTGATTCTGAGGGTTGTGGTCGGTAAGGTTTGTTTGAACTGTTTCGGGAGGTGTTGATGTGATGGGTTGATTTTCCTGGGTGGTTGCGATGCGCGACAGCTTTGAGCGAACGGAGGTTAGAGTGGGGCGCAGTGCAGCCAGCCTTAGCTTGGCGAAGGTCTTCAATTCGATTCTTCCGCATCACAAGATGGCTTGGCTGGAGCACGTGATGACAGTGCAAGCCACACGCCGTTCATGTCCAAGCTTCGCAGCTCGCAAACGGGCATCCAGATGGTTAATAGAGAGACTGGAATGCCACGGATGTTTAGCGGAGGTCAGTAGAGAGACTGCAGAGTGACCGGCGCTAGTGTACAGTGATTAGCCGCCGTCGTCGGCAGCCCGAAATCAAACCGCAGCCAATTTGAGGTGCACTTGGCGCTTGAGGGCGGCAACTGCAGTCCACACAGCCTTGTGCGGCTGCTGGGACTCAGCTGACCATCTGATTCGATGGCGGCCAGATGAGCGGCATTCGCCTGATGCAGGGTTCCAGTGCGGTGCCAGAGGCGGCACGAAGGCATACTGTAAACTAGGCATGGGCGACAAGAAGTTCGGCTGCTCAAAGACCTTTCCATTGAGAATACCGGCGGTACATTGACTGCAGTTTCTGGCCGTCCTGTAGCACGATGCACCGGGCAACAATTGTCATCAGCTTCAAGTGTTGACACTGACTTCGCATGGCAGGCACCAAGCGCACTGCCAAGACCAAAGGACGCAGTGGGTGGGTCCACGCGGCTGGCTCAAACGCCCAACTAACTCTCAGCCCCTCAAAGCTATGCGTTGGTAATATCTTAACCATACATCGGATGGCGAGGGCAGGGCAGCTGATCTGGCATTTGGATGAGTCGACGGCTGGTTTGAGCGAGGATGAATGGATCTGCATGCACACCTTTGGCCCTTATATATATAACGAGTATTAGAGGCTCAGTTGAAAACGGGTTTTCTGCCATAGCTGCTGCTCGCTCTTGTCTGCGCCGTGCCCCGCTAGTTTGGTTACCGGCATTCCTTTCGAAACTCGAGATTGTCCCATGTTAGATCGACCTTTCCCGGTTGGAGACAACGACCAACACACAACACAACACCCTACTACACTGGGACTAGACTGGATAAATTTCTAGTTTAGTTGTCCGCCATGGGCAGACCAAGGCTTATCATCCTGATCAGACACGCCCAGTCTGAGGGCAATAGTACGTCATGTGCCTGGCGGTAGTAAGAAGCTCGACTCCTCAGCTAACCACTGATCCCCACCAGAGAACCGCGATATCCACCAGACCATTCCCGATCACCGTGTCAAACTCACCCAAGAAGGATGGCAGCAGGCGTACGAAGCGGGCCGCCGCCTGCGCGCCATGCTGCGCGCCGACGACACGCTGCACTTCTTCACGAGCCCGTACCGCCGCACGCGGGAGACCACCGAGGGCATCCTAGCGACCCTGACCAGCGACGATCCGGAGCCGAGCCCCTTCAAGCGCAACAATATCAAGGTCTATGAGGAACCTCGGTTGAGGGAGCAGGACTTTGGCAACTTCCAGCCTTGCAGCGCCGAGATGGAGCGCATGTGGCAGGAGCGTGCAGACTACGGCCACTTCTTCTACCGGATCCCCAACGGCGAGAGCGCCGCCGACGCCTATGACCGCATCAGTGGCTTCAACGAGAGCTTGTGGCGGCAGTTTGGCGAGGACGACTTTGCGAGCGTCTGCGTCCTGGGTGCGTCCGTCTGGATACGTCATCTGCATGGAGCATGATATTGATGCAATTACAGTCACGCACGGCCTCATGTCCCGCGTCTTTCTGATGAAGTGGTACCACTTCAGCGTCGAGTACTTTGAAGACCTGCGCAACGTCAATCACTGCGAGTTCCTCGTTATGCGCCGCAACGACGACAACGGCAAGTACATCCTCGAGAACAAGCTGCGGACATGGTCAGAGCTGAAGCGGGAGCGCGCCGAGGCGCTGGCCAGGGAGAAGGGCGAGGGCGGCAAGGCGAACGGAACCAGTAAGGATGCCACCACGCTCGCCCGCGCCGCCACGGTCGAGGTTCGCCGTCGCTGGGGCGGCTGCCCAAACGGGTGCACTCACGACAAGAGCTTCAAGATCCGCCCGACGCTGGCTGACCTGGTCAAGAGCGACAACATCATCTCTAATCATGCCGTCGGCCTGGCGGCAAACGAGGGCAGCAGCACCAGCGTTTTAGGGGGTAGCACCAGTACCGCCCTACACAACGGCTCGGCTCCTGGCACGGCCCACGGCATCACCAACCTCTCGTTCGAAGGCACAGCCAACAGCCACACCATCGTCAGCCGTCGGCCAGCCGCCAAACGCTTCCAGTCCCAAACCGCTGACGAAGCTAGCGACGGGGGCGAACCCGCGATAAGCGGCCCGCAAATTGATGTGACCAGGGCGCACGAAGATGTCGTCTCCAGCCCCGACGGCACGCCCTCCTTCATCTCCGTCGACGACCGCATCCGCTCGCGCCTCAAAAGCCCCAACGCGCTTCCACGACCGCTAGAACCGACGCAACTCCACGTCGGTCGCGACTTTGGCGGCACCTACAGCGGACACAATAGCGGTGCCAGCGACGACGCGGACTCGTCGTCCGAGGAAGACGACGACGGTTCCCACCGCCGAGGCGCCGCCATTACCCCTTCTCCATGTTCCACCACCCCCATCCCCAGCATCCCCTCGTGCCCAACCACTACCATCACCACAAAAACCTCCATCACCGCTGCCTTCGCCACCACCACCACCTCCACGAACCCCAACGGCAGCGGCGCGGCAACCCACCAACATCAACACCAACCCCAACAAAAGCCCACCCTCGGCGTCCCGCCGGCGGCGCTCCCGCACCGCCACCGCCGCGAACGGTCGCGCATGGGCAGGGGCATGCGCGCCAACCGGCTGGGCGACCATCACAGCAGCGACGGGGAGCACGAGGCCGACGGCGAGTGTGAGCCGTGCAATGACGACGACGAGGCTGACGAGGAGAGCGGGCGCGAGATGGTTGCTGTTATGCCCGTGGGCGAGGGCGTGCCTGTGCCCGTGCCCGACAACACCGCCGTGACCTGGGAGAGGGCGGACGAGGCGGATGAGGTGCTCGCGAGGGAGGAGAGGGAGGATCGGAGTACACAGGGGAGTGTTTATTGATAATTTGTTTTTTTCTTGTCCTGTTTTCTTCTGGGGTGCCCCGATGTGGAAGGGTCGTGGATTGGTGATGACAAATGAGTTGAGCATGGGTCATGATGGTTATACTTGGGCTCTTATCACGTAAGTTCTGTTTAGCTTTGGGCGAGCAATGTCCGAAAGCGTTTGTTTTGCGCGAAGGGATAAAAGGAATTTGGGGAGTGGTGTGTCTGAGGATACTTTGGTTCATGAGCCCCTTCCATTGCCATGACGAGGAGATGCTGGGCGCTGAAAGGTCTGCTTTTTGTTGTTTGTAGTGATAGATAGAACTGCATGAGGCGAGGGCGAGGAGGATATACCATACACAGATTGTTCTCGGTTTGAATTGATGGATACAGCAAGCGTACACCAGGATGACTGGATCTGGCTGCGAGCGGATTTGGTAAACTGTGATCAGGAAAAGGCACCCATCAGGGGATTGGGCCAGCAAATGCAACAATACAACGTTGCTAGGGGACGTTATATGGCAAATGAGATGTTTATAATGAGCTTTGTATGACTCGTGTGCTTTGAAGGCCCCGAGACGTTTGGGTTTAAGGTTGGCTGAGGCGAGGTAGAGAATCTTGAGGATGGGTGACGTGGCTTGCTTCTTTGCCATGTTGGATCACCTTCCCTTCATTTCATTCCCTCTGTTTATTCTTCCTCCTCAGACTCAGATCAGTCTGAACTACACCACATCTTAGTGACGGATACGAGCCAGGCACATGGGGGCAACAGAATACCGAGTGCAAAGACGACGGTAAGGATGGCAACTCCATAGGTAGCCAATATTTGCAACATTATTTGGACAGTGTAGGAAGAGAATCTATAGCTACAGTGACTACAAATGATGTTCTTCGTTCATCGGACAAGGGGGTGGGTAAGAGTATTGGCCAGCCGGCGGCTTCTCCTCTCAGTGAGTGTCTTGGTTGAGCCCATGGACCAAAATTGAAGAACCGAGATCTACCGCTTTGGCCAAATGGACATATAGTACAGCATGCGTCTGTCCCTTCTTTGTTGCCAGCCTGTAGTGTCCAACCACTTCATCATCCTGCCCAACAGTCTTGGACGGTCAATTCAGAAAGACTTCCGGAAAACATAATCCTTAGCACACCAACGCTGTCTGACACAGCATAGGCAGAGCAGATAGGGACGGAGAGCACCGACGAGCTGTATCACGTTTTCCAAAGCGGACTTTTTGTTCTGTGAGAGAGCCAGTCACAGAATTCTCGGCTTGTCTTCATTGAGGCTGTGTTCCGTTGCGTCGACCCGCCAATTTTCTTGCTCAAGGGACACAGACATGGAAATTGGTCCAGATCCCGGGCGTCCAGGCGCTCTGAGATGTCAATCAGCTCTGATTGACCTTAGGGTATCTCGGCAAGCCGGAGCGGAGTGTGCAGCGAGAGACCGATAGGTTTCTGGTTGAAGCTGGTTGAAGAGAAACAAACCTGAGAGGAGCCGAGTGGGCACATTACGAGCGCTGCTCGGTTTCCTCCCATTACTCGCAGACGAGCAGGGTTGCCATGACTCTTGCATGCCAACGCAGTGAGTACCTCGGCTTCTTTTGACTGCTTCTTTTGCCCATCCACACTCAACTCCGTACATGCCTCAGACGTATAGCTTCTGACGGGCTGCCGTGTCAACTGCCCAGTTTATCACTGTCCCCCTTGCGCATGGGAAAAAAGGGTGAACAATAGAGCGTAAAACGAGGACAACCATCGCTTCAGAATAAGGCAATGGAGATAACTTTGAACAGATCAGAAACACTATCAAAGAATCCGGCTGAAGTAAGACTGGTGACCGCAGATGTCCTACCTGGATACCAAACTAAAGCCCGGTAACACAAGCACGAATCGGGGCAGTCGCAGTAGATATACGCACGATCCAGCGGGCTCCCGAGTCAGGAAACGGACAGTTGCGTAGCACAAACGACGCCACCAAAAGCTCAGCCGAACCGGCCGGATTCCTGCATGGGTTGTTATGCTCCTGTCAGCTGCCGCGGCGTCACCAGTGAGCTATCCCTTTACCGGGCAGACACACGGCTTCTAAGCCTCTCACTTGACGATTTTGAGCCCCGATTCCAGACTTAGCCTCCATCAGCCTTTGAGAGGGAACAGAAACACACATGCTTCGGCGGGCAGAGGCAAGACATCCAGTTGAGTCCTATCGTCCTGCACAACGCAGCACTAGACTGGACAGAAAAAAGCAGGGAGCACAAGATCAAGAGCCAGACGCAAGGTGACGCCACTGCTCCCATTCCCTCTCGTGAAGGTGGTCCATGATCCGAACTTGGACAAAAGCCAATTACCAGAACGGGAAACGAAGGTTCAACTCTGAGTCTCGATCGGTGAAGATTGGTGTTTGCACATCAGCAGGTCAGTTGATACTTAGAAGGGAGCATAATCTCGTAATATTACCTTACGGAAATCCCATCCGCAAATCGGACAATCCTAAATGCCAAAGCAACGGGCAAAACTGGTATCATTAAGCAAACACACCTGACTGAAGCCAGACGACGAGACGCAGCCATCTGACCAAGGCGGAGAGCCGAACCACTATCAGCGCCAGGCCAAACCATCAAAGTCGGCCGGCCATGATATAAGTGTACGCCAGGGATAGAAGGTCATTCATCATTTTGACAAGTCAGCGGGCCAGGTAGGATCTTTTGCTGCAGTATCATCAGCAAAACACATGGCCCAATCCTGCCTGCTACTAGCACAGGCAGAATAAGCACACAGAGCCGTTCCCTTCCCACCATGAACTGGTTAGTATATTTGCGTGTAGAGAGCCAAGATGAAAGAGGAATAAGGGCGGCCCTATCCCCACTCCCTTATATCACCTCCCATCCCCCAATCCCTAGCCAGCCAAGTGGTACTTACTAACTCCTGGCGCTTAACACAATTCCGCACCGTTTTGGCTTGCTTAGGTTTCGGGGGGATCTGGATGCTGGACTCCTGAATCTCTGGGCGCTGGAGTGACTAGACCTGTCGATCAGCAACCAACCGACAAGGTCAGTCTGTCAGGAGTCGGTCACCTGGGCCCCACTGTCAGTTAATATTCACCACACATTTCCCCTTTTCTGAGCATAGTTACTACCTCATGCCTCATGGTTGCCCAGGGCCCCACCATAAAAGGGCCAGAAATTAGAGCACCAATGGAGACCATGAAGCCTGCGGGCAGGTCGTGTTTATTTCGTCCCCTTGTCTTTCCATGCCTGCCAAGCGTAGCCTCACATCATATTCTTCTCCCAGGAAGCGGAAACAGAGTGAATGGATGAATGAATGGGTGGGACGTGGTTGGTTTGTCAACCTCAGTGGTAAGTGCCCCGGCCGGTGGGCGGGTATGCACGCCATATCTCTCTGTGCATGAGTCTTCCTCTTGGAAATCCCCGGGGCCAAAACACAGGGCCCATGGTATGGTCTCGACTGTTGTCGTGGTGCAGAATAGAGAGAGGGAATGTCAGGCAGGTCAGGACAGGCAAAGGATGGTGGTTGTTGTTGGATTCTCTTGATTGTTCGGCGCCTGTGGTGAGCTTGACCATGCATGGCATGGTCCTCTGGGTCGACGAGGTTGATAGCGTGCGGAAAAGGGGAGGAGGAGTGGCAAATGTCTTGTCAATCACTTGGCTAGGCCCTTCCAAAACACTGCCCTTCCTCCTTGCGGACTATCAGCTTGCCTCTTTTTGCAGCACGGTGTCTTCCAAAAGCTTGCATGTTGGAAGCCAGGAACGCCGAAAGCTTCGCTCTCGGCTGCCGTTGTGGTTGGCGCTGCAATTGCACTGCAGCGGAGAATTTCAGACGACATGGTTTCTCAACTTTTCTCGTCGAGTCGTATCGTCCTCGATGCCGCTGAATGGCGCGCCGTGTTCAGAGATGAGGACAGCCGGCGGGCGGTGGCGATTGGCATTCCAACCCAGCCGACTCAGTTCATGACCCTCTCGACAGAGGCTTCTGTCAGTGTAGGTACGGCACAAACGCTGCGCCGAGAAGAGGTAGACACAATACATGACCCTGCTGCGTCGTAATGCAGTCCCCTTTCGGGCAACCCGCCCTTGGGTGGCGGGGGTTGTTGCTGCAGTCACGACACCACTATTCCGCAGTGTGTATGGGTGTATGAGAGCGCAGAATGAGGAAGCCGAGCGCATCAGTTGGTTGTGTGCCCACACCCACCACACCAGACCACCTTCTCTGGCGGACGGAAGCATGCAGGAGGGCGCGCGCTAGGACTTGTTGGCAGGTGTTTGTCCGCCAGCATGAAGGGGATTGCCGGCGGCTGCCCACGATGCAGGGAAGGGTCCCTTCCTTCGCCCTCTTGTAGGAGGATGAGAGATGATGACGACCTCCTACGACTCCCTGCAGATCTCAGCAGGATGATGAGGGCAAGAATTAAGGGTCTCGCAGAAGCGCGTACGTGTAATTGTTTCCAGAACGCATCACTCGAAGACAGACCGTTGTTGACCCTAAGCCATCAGACCGTCAACAAGCCCAATTTTCCAGTTCTTGTCGATACACCGTTTCAACTCCCCGCACATCCTCAAGGCGCTTGCTGCAAGGTGTCGGGCGTGGCTTGTGAGTCCGCCGTGCTGGGAATGGTGGAACGGCTGGGGAGGAAACGTGAGGTGTCCTGGGAAAACCAAGGTTAATTGCCTGCCGACGGCGCTTCACACTCGGCACTGTGGAGAAGTGTGTCGCAGCGCATGAATTGGGGACCATCGCAATACTAGCGTAGCCGTGGTGCCACAAGACTCGTGTCATGGGGGAGAATCGGGGCTTTCTTATTACCCGTTACAGACGATATGACACCTGGGCCGCGGGGGTCGTCCTCTTGGATTGCCAGAGACGCTAACGTCACCTATGCAAATTGTGTCTAACTGTCTCAACCATCCAGCAATGGTCGACGGCTGGTTCCAACGACTGCATTCCATACTGGTGCCGAACTTCCGGGCAAGAATGGAGCTGGGAACTGCGTTGAGGTAAATCTGCAGTACCGTGCCCGTCAAAAGTTTTCGCTTACCGTGGGCCTCCGGACCCAAGGGCTGCCATCATGAAAGTTGCAATACCAGCAAACGGGCAAGGGCAATAGGACGACATAGCCAGACTGACGTCTCGTTTCCAGACACATAGCTGCAGTACTAGGCGAGTACGAGAACTGCAGGAACTCGTTCGATTGTCCCCGTGCTTGTGCAGGTCCATGAAAGTTGTCGAGCAAAGGAGGGGCTGTTGTGCCATGCCCCGGATTGCCAAGGCCCCTTTTGCGGAGTCGTGGCGCAATTGACCACGACAAGCCAGGATGGCTCGTCTCCATCTTCAATTTCCCCAGATTATGGAGACTCCATAGACTCGATATTTCGAGCCTCAGAAAGGGTTAAAAAAGATCATCTGGCTCTGTGGAATTTTGGCAACATAGAGAGTGCTATGTAGTGCCATTGTGTGGGTATGTTGACTACAGCACCACGTGGGTTTCGTGCCTCAGTTCCCGTATCATGTCCCCATGGCAGATGTCGGACGTTGACAGCCTTTCAGCGGGGCCCTGATGCAAGAAAAAAACATGGGCACCCGTCTCTGGAATTCGAGAACTTGAATCTCTACTCTGTACACAGTAGAAACTGCGTGTCTGGTCCGTTACGCTAGCGTATGGCAGCCCCAGGTTGTCTCTGGTGTCCGGGCCCGGTACCATGGCTGCTCAACCTGGGAAGTCTTGGTCTCGAAGCCACATCACCGAGCCAGCCCCAATCATCAACGAGAGAGCAAAGATAAACCACAGCGCAGCCTTGGGTCCCAGGGCGTCTTGGTCTTTGCCAACGCTTTCTTCGCCGTCGTCCAGCAGCCCTTATGCTCGGCCAACCTGCCGGGAACGACCTTCTATTGGAACCACCCATGCAGATGCGGACTCACCTTTCCTTTTTCTGTTGAACTTGCAGATGCAATTGTGGGGAGAGGTCCACGAGGCCTGTAAGGGACTTGGCCGCCTAATCCTCTTCCTTTTTAGCCTGCCTCCACACCAATGACAGAAACAACAAAAAAGCTCCACAAAATGCGGAGGGAAGGTTATGGAGAAAAAGATGGGGGGAAAACGCAGAAGAACCAAGAGCAGGGGCCGGCTTTCCAGGTTCCTTGCGTTGACCCCTTGTGCCTTCTTCGCCTGCCATTGAGCCTCATCACACCTCCCTGTCGGACGTTGTGGGTTGCCATCCTTTGTGCTCTCTGAGCTCTGTGTCTTCGCTCAATTATCTGGGATCTGAGGAAATTTTGGGCGTTACGCCAGGGGCAACACAAAACATCTCGTCAGAGACACCCAGAGCCCTTCCCTTGTCAAGAATTTCATCAAATATTTTCCACATCTCGCTTCTGTTTGCCCTGCCCTGGCGTGTTATTAACTTGTAGGGTGGCGACAATGAAGAACCCGCCGTCCAATCTTTGTTCTCGTCGTTTTACTCAACAACCGAAGGTTTGTTTCCGCACCAAAACATGGACGATCTGTCCTGAGCATGCCCACATCGTCGAGTGAACCCAAACCAGAAGCGCTCCCATCGATCTGGCTGGCTCAGGCTGAAGTTGCCGAAGACCGGACGTTCTTCATTGGCTGGCGTCGTTAGCGGCAGAGCACGCGTTCATCTCGTCGGCTCACCTGTGAGATGGATGCAACGGTGTGTTGGGAAGCCAAGCATCGAATCTTGTCAAGGGGCTGAGAGGGAATCGAGGCGAGACGACAATTCCCGTTCCTGTCAGAACAATACAGTAGACAAAACAAGATTCTGCCTTGTGAGTTGCAACTCTCGCGTTTCGAGTGGCGTGGCCGGTGGCAGCCATGAATCTGGCGCTAAAACACCGTCTCCCAGCGTTGTGGTCTGTACGGAGCGACACGCACGCTTGCAAACCTCCGATTTACCTTTCCTTTCGTCAATGGCGAGGCCAAATTGTCCAGGGACGTTTCAATGAGGTTGCAGAGCGCGGGCCACGCCCGGTCTGGCCTGTACACTACTGTGGTATGCAACTCGCTCGAACCTTGACGCCCGTCTCTGCCGCCGTCCCATTCAGCCTGCTCGCCTGCTGCAGGTCCAACAGTTCATGCTTTAAGATGGAGACGCTCATTAGAACTCAGCCAAGCGAATTCGTACGCAGCCAACCGACACGATTTCATCAGGCAGAGGCAGGAAAAATCTCCTCTCGTCAGCCGAGCTCAGTCAGCAACAGCCCAATGCCGCGATAGGAAAGGTCCAGATCGATGAAAACTCGAGTCGCTATTTTCATCTTGCTACGCACACCCCACGAGCCAAATCTTCCCATTGCAAAGGGGGGAGTGAGACAGCTCGCCAGGCGGCCAATCAACGGTCTGATGCCCCTGGTCAGCTGCAGGCAGGCCACCAAGGCACGACCAGGTGCGTGTGAGTGATCGTCGATTTCGACAGCGAGCTCATTTTGACGCCAGGCGCCAACGAACCACTGCACCAAACCCAGTTCTTCCGAGAATCTCAGAGCTGAGACAAAGAATGGGCAAGATTCTGGATGTCGATATCGCCATTGCCTTTTTCGCCAGCATGGCCTGATGACGACGAGGTGGCTGAGGTATACTCCGTCCTGCTGCCCTTGGGATGTGTAATCAACCAAAAACATGGGTGTCAGGTGTCTGTTCGTAACCTTTTATCTTGCTCGGCACCATCAGAGGCTCAGATGACCGAAAAGAACCTTCAGATCAAAACGAAAAAGCCTCCTCACCATGGCCTCGCGACATGATTGGACCCTCACCGAGGGTTTTAGCTGACTTGTGATCACACATTCAACCATTCAGCAGAACCGCGACTAATTTAACTTCTTGACGACGCCAGAAACACAGTCTCGCCTGCACGCGCAAAACTCCACGAGAAAAGAAAACCAAGGGGAAAAGCATGGGAAAGATCGCCATCACAAAGGTGAGTCTTCCATGTTGAATCGCGGCGTTTGTTCCACGTTGTCTCAATCTTGAAATGCACGGATTGTGCTGCCCCTGGCGCACGCCGACAATTCTTCAAAGCAAGACCGGAACAACATGGCCCCCTCAGCGACGGTGTTACCTACGAGTGACAGGTGAACACCTCTGCATTATCGCGTTCATCTAGGTACCCGAAGTAGCTTACTATATCTTTCCCTTTGCCAACCTCCCGACGCCGTGCAAACCGCCATGTGGTGTAAACTAGGAGATTTCAATTCTCAATCGAGACTAGCGATCCCTCTTGAGTGACCGTCCCACTGATTGCTGGTGGTGGCTAGCTCGTTCCGCGAGCTGAACAAACTGGGAACACTAAGCTTTGCCGAGGACGCAATGTCTCAGATGGGAGCCATGATGACATTTGCATTCTCAGGCGCTCTTATGTTGCTCCGAGCTGGCGCCCCGTTTGCCGTCGGAGTACCGAGAGCAACAAGAAAAGGAGATTTGATCGGAAATTTAGTTTGACAGCGCTTTCCCGGTCCCTTGTATTCTCAATATCGGTGGCCTCTGTTTTGTGGGGAACGACGCCGAGGCTGAGAGCCAGTGTTCCCGAATTCTCGACAACTGCAGAAAGCCTCCCGGACACTAGAGCTTGATTCATCAGCGCGAGTCGACTCTCAATGACGACGAGGCGTCTCAAGATCATTTCCAAATTCGCACGAACAAACTCAGATGGCAGTCGATCCCCAATCCAGGTTTTGCCCCATCCCGCCCTCGATCGCGACAAGACCCGTCCGGATGCCGACAGCTCTCGGCAGTCGGCCGATCCGGGGTGCGGGCAAGGCCCAACAGCGATCGCGACATGGGGACGGACCGAACGGAGACTGCAGGGACAAGGCTGCCTGGAAGCCCAGCGAATCGTCAGGCTTGCCGTCGCAAGGTATGGATGATGGCCTGTTCTTTTTCTCTCTTTGCCTTCCAAGTTTTCTTTCTTCGAATCGAAGATGAAAGTGCCGAAAGTCACATACAAAGTGGATTTGGCATGACCAATTATTTTTTTCGGTTCCCGACATGATAAACTCAAGCTGATGATCATCTCTCTCCCTTTGCATGGACGAGCCGCTTTGGGAACCGTGCTGCCAGCACGAGATCACGCTCGCCCGTGGCATTCGCCAGACGAAGCTTGGAAAGGCGTCGGCAAGTCCCACTTTGATAACATGGGCGAGGTGCCGAGTGCCGCTGGTTGTGTGTAGCATCACAAGGGACTTGGGCCCATGATTGAGGGATACGGAGTACCGTGATAATTGTCCACGATATGCACATGATTGAGACATTGAGGGGCGGGGGAGGGTTCGTCAAGCATTGAGCAACCTAAGAAGCCGCATTCTTGACTCGCAACGACCGAACCGGCTTCAAGCTTTTCTCTGGCCCGGTCAGTTTCACTGCTTTCACGACAGGCCGAATTCGTCATGTTTGAAACGGGTTGCCTCTTCGCACACATGCAATTGACGAAACGTGGCCCGGCGATGATTTGCTGGAGCCTGCAGCAGCAGACGCTGCAGGTGAAATCAAAAGCAGTTAGCCTAGGCAGTGCCACGGTCGATGAGACGTGGGTGCACATGGTGTACGGGACAGGGCTTCTCGGAGGGTTGCTTGAAGAACCATTTGGCATGCATTGCCCGTGCCAGATCTCCATGGGCCGGCTCTCTCAACAGGGCTGCGGTTTTCAATGCCTGACTGGCGTCGTCTGTTGTTTTTGACCCTGGCCCACTCGAACACCAGCCATGGCATCAGCTTAGGGCTGTCCACAAGACCAGTTTCAAGTTTACGGTGACCGAACTCCCTCGTCCCACTGAAATATGAAGGCGCTTAACCAATATGTCGTGATATCTTGCGAGGGAAGCAGTCTTCCAGTCACGGGAACCACGGCTTGAGCACATACAAAGTTGCTCACGAATCCACTACTCAAAATGGCATCCCGAGTCGCAATGTGCTGCGACATTGGACAATGGCGCCGAAAGAACTCCACTTTCTGGCAGTGTGGCATGTCGGTCTTCTTCTCTGCTTCCGTAGGCGCTGATTGGCCTTGTAGGAAATCGAGGGTCTTCATGCGGCGAGCGGGCACCAACCTCCTCCTGCAGCAGAACTGCATGCCCAGAGGCAGTTCGTCCCCGAGCAGAAGAAGATTGCCATAGGCCACCGAAGGGCGAGGGCAGCCAATGCCAACGACTGCCCAAAGTCTGCCTTCGACGCAGGTTGGATTGAATCGGGAAGCTTTGGGGTGGGGACGGCGGCGAAAGAAACTTAGAGTCGCACTGCAGGCTGCAGCTTCAACAGTCGCTCGATAACAGTGTCGTTCTTCCGGCCCAAAGAGTGCGGGTCCTACTGAGCCTTCGCTATCTGTACTGTGGATGATGAGCGTTTGTCCCGAGAATGCTGCGCTGCAGGGCAATCTGCGGATCGAGCGAGAAGGGGAGACCCCCACGCCCGTGTCTGCTGTTTCTCTCGAGGTTCGAACGGCAATGAGAAGGGGACGATGCTATCGACAGCGACTGGCTGGCTGTCGCTGGCATGAAGGTCAGAAGGTCGATTGCCTGTTGAGCGACACAATCGAAATTCCATCCATTCTGACAACACCTTGCCACAGCCGCTCGGTTTCAGCATGCAGGCTTGGGAGCTGGGAGCCCAGTCATGCCAGCTGGAAAACGCCTCCATTGGATCACCGTGCAGGGAGAAAAACGGTAAAAAACTGGTGCTCTTATGGACGTTCAAAACGCCTGATCGTTGAGCCCGGCAAGCCTGAGGCCACCATGCCGCACTGCACCCCGGTGGCTCCATGAGAAGCAGCGAGGGTGCACAGCAGCAGGCCTGGGCTGTTCGCTGTGAGCACATTTCTCGCCATTCTCGACAGACGAAAACCAGATGGGACGAGGAGAACATATCTGGAGCCTTGGCAGTCATAGCATGAATAGCAACTCTATGGTTTGCGAAGGCGAGTAACCTAATAGCGAAATCGTGGATCCAGCTGGTGGTGTGGTGGATGGCAATTGCGCACCCAGCACACCTTCTCGCGCACTTTTGGCCTGATGGGGGGAGTGACTGGGCGCACGCCCCTTCACAGCATCGTGAGGGCTGCCAAGTGCTGCCCAGCATAAAGACTCCACTCATTTGCTCACGACTGACCAGGGTGGTGCCACGACAGGTCCGATCTTGAAGCTCACGCCAGCAGGCAAGAATTTTCTTGCACGCCACTGCCCAGGCAGACCCTTGCTCTTGATCTATGACTAAAAGGGCTAGCACAGATTGCAGCCTTTTGTGCCCTTTGCCCCACCACTTCACTTGCCCTGGCAGTGAGAGGGTACATCTTCTGCGTACCTCCTGCAGCAGACTGTGGCGCCAAACTACATTGTACACCCCTCAACATATGTACCTCGATGGTGCCAATGTCTGAGTCGTCGTGGGTCCTTTGTGGTCATGCCTGCTCCCTCCACGCAACAGCCAAGGCAAAGTGCCAGGATACATAATGCGTGCCTGCCCCAGCTCCCACTCAACCCCATTCCCACTTTGACACCAGGATAGCTTCGTCGTTGTTTTCCAACCTTCTCTCCTTCAAGTATCCACTGGCCCGCTGCCTTGGATTGACATCCACTGCTATGAGTCAACAAACCTTCGTCTTGTTATAGTCAACGTCTTCCTTGGAAGCAGCCCCAGCCCCTCGGACTCTCCTTCCAACAGCTGCACCAACACGCAAACCACACACGCCGAGATATCTCGTCACCAACATACTCGAACAGTCGTACATAGCTAGCCTGCGGTAACTCAGGTCGCTACGCTTGTCAACAACTTCGACACCGCACCAATTCGACGTTGCTCTCGTCCTCAGCCACCATGTCTTTTGACCACTGGACACATCAGTTCTGCCTCGGCTGCGACAAGCAGACCGATGGCGCCACCTACTGCTCCGAGTCTTGCCGGCTGGCCGACTACGAGAAGACATCACCGTCAACACCCAGCTCCGCCGCGAGCTCTCCGGCATTGAGCGGTCCCCCACCCGACTGGCCCCTCTCCAGGCCATCGACCACGACGAGCACCAAGTTCTACGTGTCCCCAGCCTACGACTTTGGCCTTGTCCAGCCGAGTACTCGCAGGGACTCGACCCAGAGCCAAACCCTTTCACCGTCGGCGTCGCACACCAGCCTCTGCTCGATGCGAAGCAACTCGTCTGCGGGACTCGACGCGACCCAGCTATCTGAAAAGGCGGCGAGGGAACTCCGCGCATACGCCCGCTCATTCGAATCGGTCCGCCTCCAACGCAGGCGCTCGTACTAAGCGGCCTCGAATGTCATTGGCCTACTACAAAGCCTTCACTTTCTTTTCTCGACATGCTTCTCTCGGCGACTATACCCCCACACTCAATCGAATTACTCATCCCTTCTCTGAGAGCAACACCTCGCGACTCAGCCTTCTATTTTCATCTCCTTTGTCTTTGGGTTTGCGGTTTTGTTGTAACAAAAAGAACTTGCATACATCGGAGCTCAGCATCATAAAAAAGTCTTGGGGCCGCGAAGAGTCTGGTTCCACCCTTGTTTTGTTATTTTCTTGCGGTTTATTGGGACAAGGCGTCTTTTGGCCGGGTTCAGAGTTTTGGTTCAGGACACGAGATACCGTGTATTACGCATCGATACACTCCGGGGCGGGTTCTGCTATCCTTTCCTGCTGGTTCTATGCATATGTACGGGTTTTGGTTGGGAGCCACATGGACATTTGGTGTTTGGCAAGGCAAGGAGCTCAGATTGTTGGACCCAGGTTTTGGCTATGGTATTCAGAGACCACTGGATTGGCGTTGGCAACACAGCACAATGGAGCTGCGGGTCCCATGCGCCCTTTTGGATTGGGATAGGGACTTTGATGATCATGTCATGGGCGGATTTTTTGTATGATGGGAGTTGCCTTTGTGGCGGAGAATCGGTTCACCAGCCAGGACGGACGTCCCGGTATTGCTAGGTTTCGCCTCACGAACAATTTGGGAGCAACTCGACAGAGATTGGCAATCATCAAATTGAGAATCTTCCAGTTCACCAACCGCGTCTCTCCTTTGACAGCGTGCCATGTTTCCTATTCTGATCTCCACTGCCTGTCTGAGCTGCATTGCAACGCCTTTTCCGGTTATCCACTTCCCCGGCCAGTCAGCGAGCAGTCTCCTTGCACATGCCGCACCAGCCATCGCCGTCGTGACAAGACTTGTTGCAAGGCGGAGTTGTAGTCTCGTCTGCTAACCGACGCGATTGGACCACTTTGCCAGAGATCATTCGACTGCACCGCAAGCTTGGGCAAAAGTTTTTCACTGCCAAACAATTCCGTAACAGTCATCTCACAAACACGGCACCGGCTCAGTTGACTGGTCCACTTCTCTCATAGTCGTTTACGGATAACTTTGAAGGGTTCATCAATCTTGCTTGTCATCTCGCTTTTTCCTGGCGAGTCAGACAGCTCACCGCCGCCTGCGCTACACAGCTCCATCCCTCGCCGCCGCAACAATTCTGTTCATGCGTTTTCTCCAGGAAAATGATCCCCACTCCGCGGTGATTATCCGAGGAAAGTGGAACCCGAAGTACGTTTCATGACTAACATCAAAAGCAACTGCTGTGTCATGCGACACGTCAGGCCTGTTGTTTAGCTCTTACACTCACAGCTAAAAGATTTCAGCTTCAAAGCCTAGATGGGTTTGTAATCGAGCAGACTTCGGCGAACACACTGGACCGGACCTTACAGACCGACAGGTCCCATGGCAATTAGACCCTTCCCCCTCTCGGAATCTGTCCTTGGAGATAAATGGCATTGACTCATTTGCACCTCATCCACAGTGCAATTTGCGCCATGACGCGTGGACGAGACCAGTCATCGAACGAGCAATGACCTTTACTTACCCCTTGCTCCATCGGACGCACGGGTCCGGTCCGGTCTACTCCGTAGAAAGCAGCAGTTCGAACGGGAAAGATATAGGCAGACTGTGTCGCCGCTTTGCGTCTAGAGCAGTCTACGCAAAAGCCTCCCGAGAACAACGCCATTTCTCTACATCACACGGCTCCTTTTGTGCCTTCCACCCGACCCGGAGCCTCGGAGAGTTGTTGCTAGAGCAAGATACCAACTTCTTAATAGTCAGAACGAGATGAATGATCGACTTTCGTCTTGCCAGCAGCACACTCCTCCCCGCACCGCTTCCCCGCCTTTACATCTGGATGTCGCACACAGTATTCCCCCGCTTGGTAATGGTTTGGCCCCAATCAGTATGGATAGCACCACTGCAAGGGCAACTTGTCTTTGCCTTAGCTCCCGAGGAAGACGGGCCCTAGGGGCGAAAGCACCGCTGGTCTAGGGAAGCCGAAGACCTTCACACCTCGCCGCTTGTTGTTAGAGTTAGAAGCGAGGATACGGAGGGAATCTATTCCTTTGCTTCTGGCTTGTGCGCCTCTTAGAGCATCAGTTCCTCCTCCCACCGTATCAAAGGATAACAGTTTCGAGCCGTCCCGTTCCGGGGCGTCTTCCTCCCTCCATGACTGGATGACGGATCAGGATCCGGCCGCCGGACCCAATTGACCGGTTCAAGACGTTTTCCGCCCCCGCCCAAGACGGGAGGAGAACAAAGAATGAACCCCATTCTCACCGTTATGCACCTTACGCTACTCTGATGTCTTCTCCGCCTGCTCATACATCATCACTAGTTACCACAGTAAGCACAAAGAGACATGCGCCGGAGCTACGGAACGGGCCAAAGCTGGCTGAGGGCGGCGATCGAGGATCGAAGGCCGAGATCGCGAAGTTTCGTTACTGTCCGGTATGTATTGTACCTTACATGATGACGCCTTGGTAGGTACCTAAGGTGCTTACTCTGCAGATTGCAACACAGAGGTCTAAGTCCACAGTAGTGTTGTCCCATCATGCTGGCACAAAGAGGGCGTGGAACGGAAGAGCCAGATGCCAACCTGCCCAACAAGCCGACTTCCCTTACAAATCGGATCGGGTTGGGAGCCACCAGCCTACAATATACGTACTATAAACATTGGTATAATACAAGTACATGCTTGCTGTCTCTTTGCTTTTCCGCTGTAGCTGCCGTCTCGCTTATACCGGTATCATTTTTACTGCATAATCTGTTGTCCCTCGAAAAAACAGGCTCACCGGTGCGGTGCGGTTAAACGTCAACACGCCACTGCTGCTTGTTCCCGTCCGGGACCTTGGCAGTTGCGGCAAATATGCAGGCGCGGGACGCGGCTCTGATGCCGGTCGCCGCGGTTTGGTTCCGGTGTGTGATCGCTTGCAACGGTCTACTAGTGAGCCTGGGTCTCGGGTAATGCCGAGCATTGGCAGAGTCAAACATGGAAGGTGAGGTAAGTTTTGTAAAAGGGTGGAATATCTCATTGCTTCTTTGTTGTTGTTGCCATCAGACTTGCTCGTCTTGAATGGGGCACACACTTTCAGCGTGGCGCTCCTCCGATGTCGGCTGTTTGGGCGGATACACGTAGAAAGCGAGACGGGACTAGCTGGTGGCTCTAAACGGTTCTGTTACCCTCTTGAACAATCCGCTCTTATATTATTCCCGACCTATACGCTATCCGTACCGTATAGCCACTGATTCCTAGGTGACTGCTGCTAGGTAACCGGTCATCTACCGTTTTGCGCAAGGATATCTGATGCTGTTCGGTTCTGAAGCCCCCGCCACTGTAACGTCCCGACAGGCTAGTAATCGAGGCTCTGTCTGTGCCCTTTCATTTCGCGGTGCGGGAGACGTGATGACGAGACGGCAAACAAGGTAGGTACCGCGTATATATTAAACAGGCCGTCTCTTGGATATTGCCGCCGATGTCAGAATTCAATTTGCGTAAGCACCGTAATGGGTAGGTCCGGCAGGTTCAGGATTAGCGACCACATAACAAACTACCGCTGAAGCGCTATCTCAGTTCCTCGCGATGTTGGTAGCTTCTGAATGGCAAATATCAATGCAGTTTGGGGCAGAAGTAGTCCGAGGTGCTGTAAGAACGGGACCAGATGTTCTGGGGGTCGTTGTCCATTACATTCCCTTACCAGCCGAAGTCGGCCAATCCAGAATGATTGCGATTCGGTTGCCCAGATGGATGCTCGAAATAATCATGGACAAATCGTTGTGCGGAACCGGTCAAGCCGGCTGGAGTGGAGATGTCAAGGTTTCCCCAAATTTGCAGGACGATGACAGTATAATAAAGAGTCATTCTACTGTACAAAAAGTTTTTGCTGGTCTTGTGGTCTTTCGGAGACCTGGCTATACATAGTAATTCCATAAAGGGAGGCCTTTGATCCAGACGTTGGGCTCATGCGGAAATTTCCGTGGTGGCTCAGGTGAATTTACTTTTGCCGGATGTTATTGCCTTCATGCATAAAGGCCCGAATTGGAATGGTCACCATTCCAGCTCAATCTGGATGAAGTCCATCTTTACACGTATAAGTTGCTAGAGCTTAAGCCAGGCATACTCACATAGATAGTGTACATGTATCCGTAGGAGTGATTTTGGCTCATCCATTCCATATCCATCAGGTACTTCCAAATCTTCATGTCCTGTTCCAAATGATGTTCCGGGAAAGTTAACACGCTCCACAGTAGGCGAACTCCCGCCCTGCATGGATTGCGGCGATCCGCTACGGAGCCTGTCCAAAGAGCCCCACAGATTGCATCATCAATGAATGAAACAATGAACATCGAACAACACTGTTACAGGAACATACCATATGCTGGTGCCACGGCATAAGTGCAATACTATAAGGTACTATGAACTGTTTATAATCCTGATTCTTGCCACCATTCAGTCGGCAATTGACTACCAATAGGTGTGCTTCTTTCTTAAACTCAAATCAGCTTCCTGCCCCATTGACTGTCTTGGCAGCGGGTCGTTTCAAAACCCTTGCCCGACGCCGGGTTACGTATTGTGAAAACGGCCGCTCATTGGGCCACGGCATGCAAGAGGGTCCCTTTCCGTGCCGTTTCTTTGATCTGACACAACCAAATCAGATTCAGCCCTGGGAGCTAGGCCACCGGCTAGCATTTGCGTGCTCCGTTTGACTCAGCCAACAACCATCCGCTCCCCGAAAACAACAGGGGTGTGTTTCCACCGTAGGTTCCAGCCCTTTCTGTCGTCTGCCCGCCATGCGCCATGCTGGGCTGCTGAGTGTTGACCACGGCCGACCCAAACGGCAAAAAAGCCAGGAACATTTATGGGATGCCACTTCCTTGTCGCCAAAAGTGAGAACGAAGAGAAGATTTTCTCGCTGTTTTGCTAGGCATCTCACTCGTCCCAATGGAAGCCTCTCGGCACATTCAATGGCACGAGCTTTTTGTAGTTTCGCATATTGGCTGTGCCGCTTCCGTCTTAACAATCCAACACTTTCAGGCCGCCCACCATCGTGAGCCATGCCAATCGCTGGGCCGCGCACCTGCCCGCGGATGTCGTTTGAGCGTTCCTGATCGACATGGGATCCCGAATCCCCGTCGGTCATGCCCGCTTTCTGGAAGGGAAAAAAGCGACGGGACGTGAAACCAGAGGATCCACCAAAGCTGCATTGTGGTGTTAATACAGTTATGGCTGATGGAATGCATGACCCAATCTAGCAAGCGTGCAGTTGGGAAGCTCTTTTCGAAGCCTTGCTGACGGCATGGCGACTGGCCGCGCGAGACCAATTGTGGTTCATGCCGGCCAGCATGTCAGCCGCTTTTGTTGCCCCGCTGGGGCCGCTCATTGGACTCCAAGCGCCCGTTTGTTCCTTGCTCGCGGCCGCGCAGTACGCAAGCTCGAGTGAGACTGGGGCAAGCTGCATAGAAGCCCGAAGAAATTCGCGGGCGGGCCTGATGGGCAGCGGGCCGCGCCTCATCATTCGGGTGGGTCTTCTTTGGCCGGCGCTCGCTCGCCGGAGTGAGTGGCTGGCTGGTCGACGCAAGTCCTGCAGGTTCTCAATGGTCCGTTTCCTGTTCCCCATCGGCGCCTATTCCGCCCGTCCGACGCCGGTTTCGTGGGCGTACGACGCGCGCCGGAGCGACTTGGTCTCTTCTTCCTGCGAGCTCAGACAACTCGCGGCGGGCAAAGCGGGCTTATCTCTCACCCATACCCGTCGCCGATTTGTCCGTAAAAGGATGCCGATCATGCCCCGAACGAAAAGACTTGTCGTCTGAGGCGCCGGCTCCCCCACCGGATCCGGCCCAACCGAATTCCGCCCGGTTCCGGCAGACAACGGAGGAGGGCCTTCGTCTCACCAGGCTCGTGTCTCCAAGCCCAGACGGCCAATGGCCGGCCTCGGTACAAGTCCACCTAGTGTGCCCAAATCGCCGCCAATGTTCTGGATATACTCGGGCCGTATCAAGCCAGGAATGGACAACGGACAGTCCGAATCGGAACCTTCCGAGCTGGGCAAGCTGCAGTTACGGGGCGTGCGCAAGAACAACAGCTCCCAGTCAGGCAGTCAGGATGAAACAGCCACTTCACCACTCAGTCATCCCTTGCGTCCATTCTCCTTCGCTACCTACCTATCGGCATCAACGTAGTCAGAGTTGAAGTGGGCCTTGGTGCATGTACGATGTGCACTATGGCCAACGTGTCGGCGCATTCCTTCGAGTACCCTCCTCGGCTTTCAACCCCGGTGTTGTACGTGAGTCTAATCCAGGGACTGCCTGGTCAAGGCAAGCAGGAATGTTTGGCCCCTCTAATCTCGGCTCAAACAAGCGATTAAATCAACCCTGCTGCGACATCCTACCGGTAGTTCAGACATCTGGCCGTCTGTCCTGTGTATCCGGAGGCTGACTGGTTAGATGCCTTTGCTGTTTGTGCTCTCTCTCTCTCTCTTTCTCTCTCGCTCTCCTCTCCTCTCTCTCTCTCGCTCTCTCTCGCTCTCGCTCTCTCTCTCTCTCTCTCTCGCTCGCTCTCTCTCTCTCTCTCTCTCTCTCTCCCTCGCTCTCTCGCTCTCTCTCTCTCTCTCTCTCTCTCTCTCTCTCTCTCTCTCTCTCTCTTTCTCTCGCTCTCGGCACGGCGGAAACGTCGCGTCTCACATTTCCGCAAGGAAATCGGTTCTGGCTGTAATGATTCCTCTACTGCCGCGGGAACCACCGGATTTTTCCATCCAATTTGATGTCGTGGAATGTGTAACGGGCACAGGTACTGTCTCGGACATGGGGGGGTGTGGGGGGTGAGTGTCGCAAGTCGTGTGTAACGCAATATCAAGTGTAATGGTTGGGGGAGAGCGGGGGCTGGGCCGTGGATTTCCGCTCTCCGGTTACATGGCTGGGGTCATGGATTGGAAATCCTCACCATCTGTTATGCTGAAGGGCGTGTTTAGCCGGCCCAGGGAACGCTGAGTGGTGGTGAGGTGTGCTGTGGATGAGAGTCACCTCAGGCTCAGGTTGTTGTATTGGTGACAACCTGAAGGTCTCGAGCAGACGCGTGCCCATGTTGGGCACACTCGATATCTGCATGGCTGTGGCGCTGGGAACCGATTACTGTCCATCAGCATGAGAGGATACGTCTGTCCGTCTTCTTGCCCGCCCGTCAGGTCAGGATCTGGAACTTGCAAGAGAAAGGCTAGTGCCCGTCCCGTATAAGAATTGACTGGATTTACGCCTTCCGGGGTCTGGTGAAAGGCCAGTGGCAAGCACCGCCTCCGTAGGCAGCATGTCAAGTTCCAGGAGAGCCACGTAGCTCCTTCGCCGCTCCTGTGGACCTAACGCGAGGAGGTGTCGGCGGCCCGGGATGGTCTGAGGTGCTCTTGTTTACTTCATCACATCAATTAGAGTTCGGCGACAGGAGTCTTACGTTTCGGTTTGACCTCCAGTGGCTGTCAGTTCAAGCTTCCACGTGGGGTTGTGCAGGTTGCGCTTGTGCTGGTCAGAGGTCTAACTGCATCTTACTGTTGATAGGTTCAGGTTGTAAGAGGATGAAGGACGCCTCCCTGCCCTCACCCGCTCACCCTAGAGTTCAACGCTGTTGGCCTGTAGCCCAATGGATACATGTTTGAGTTTGGACTCGGATCTAGTCTGTGGTGCATGATGCGATCGTCTGGTAGGGGCGGAAAGGAAGCCGGTTCGCCGGTTGCGTGGCCAATGGTTTCAAGGGAGAGGGGGTGGAGTGCTGAGCTGGCGAGCTCTCAGCTAATGATCCGGTCCTTGGTCGGGGTTGTGGCGTGCTGAATGGGTGGCTACCTACCTTGCCTTAGTTCAGCTTCCAGGCTGATGGCTTCTTACCTGTTGCGCCTGGTCAGGCCGTATTGATGGGGGCGTGTTAGGCATACTTGGGCGTATAGCGTAGATTCTTCATGTTGGGGGAGTCGAGCAGTGGCCAAGGGACAGATAAGACAGTGGTCTCCAGCCCAAGTAATGATAGGGCTAAATGGAGCAACGGCACGAGTCACGATTAGTGATGGAGCAATTCGACGGTCATACTGCGGGTGTCGCAATTGCATCATGGATGTATACGGCGGCTTACAAACAGTTGGATACAATCTTTCCGATATCTAGGGGCGGATAAGTCTCGGTGTACTGAGGTCACAACTTTTGGAGGAGAGCGACAGAAAGGGGGGGCTTCAATGAGAGAGCTAATATTTCGAGTCATCAACTGTTTCTCCTAAGCTACTCTGTGACTCTACTGTCACTATGGTTGAAGGTACTACCTTATTGAGAGATTGGCTGGAATCAAGCAAAAGGCCGAGGCCTCAAAGGAAGGTCTTAGGTTGAGAGGTATTTGGATGGAAACAAACAGTGCACAGGGCCACTAAGAAGTTTGAAATTGCTTCCGGACAAAGAAAACCAGAGGCACAGACGCGCTTTCAATATTCATAAGAGTCGATCTGCCTTGTCTGAAATCAACTGACCACCACCAGTGGCCAAACGCTTCCTGGCGGCGGTCCCCCGACATCTTGCCCAAGAACCATGAGATGTTGGTTCAAGCATTGCTGGGGCCGTCCAGGAAGCCCTCCGAGTCTTGCCCTTCTAACCTAGACTCCCTCCCGAGTGAGTAAGGCGGGTGGGCGTGTCCGGTGGGTCCCCGGAAGGGGTCGTACAACCTCTCCACGGCGCCCTGGGAAGTGGTTTCCGTAGCCGGTCCAAGTCCAGTTCGTCCGCGTGAGGATGAAGGGGTCTAGTCCGGCGAGCTTTTGTCAAGCAGTTTGGTGGCCCTGTGTTGAAATCAAACACCGTGGTGCGAAAGTGGTGGAACTATGAGATAAAGCCGACCGAGTCTTTTTTTTTCCTCATTTGCAGATCAGAGAAGTGGCAAAGGCCTTTTTGAAGGGCAGCCAAGAGAGTCTAATGACTTGGGAACTGGCAATAGCAGTACTGTAAGTAGTTGGTCACTGCCGGCTGGGAAGGAGCTTGCTCAAGATCTTGGCTGCCCCTTAATATTTGCTCGACGGACGGTTACGGTTTCACAACTTGTCGTTGCTCACGGTGGCAAAGGTGGCCACAGAACAACAAAATACGGCAAGTTCACTTGTCGTGAAGTGTGTTTGGCAACCTAAGGTACGGGCGGGACCGTTTGGCAATTTGGATTTTTCCGCATTCAAACTCGAGGAGGAAACGAAACAAAGGAGGGAGAAGCAAAGCGACTGCCGTGCCGAGTCGAAACGAATATGTACACTCTGGGAAAACTTCTACGTAAAATCGTCCATGTTTCGTGCCGAGAGCCTCTGCATTGATGTTCACGGCCACAGCCAGGAGTTACCGAGTCTGGCCATCAAGACGACGTAACGACGTCAAGGATGACGATAGTAAGCTGTCAGAGACAATTGGAGTCATAACTAGGTGATTCTCAGATGGGAACTATTAATGATATACCTGAAGCTGCGTGGCTTTGAAGAATCTACATCAACAGTTTGAACTACGCACAAATGACAAGGCGGCTAATGGGATCCATATCTATACAGCTGCTCCATATTCTTGTCAGACTTTTGCCAAACAACCTGACCTGGAACTCATAACGGCTGCCTAGCCTAAGGTAGGTACTCAGGTAAGTACATACCAAGCCCCTCCTTCCTCACGGAACATTCAAATTAACATAACAAAACGAGCCTTTCATTGTAAGATTCATCATTACCTTGGCGGATTCACCAGGAGCTGTCAAATGTCTGGACTTATCCGCCGCCTCGTCCCCGGCAAGACCGTACAATTTGGAGACCACCCCGCCCGAGTTATCACCCAGGCAAGCGACTTGTTCCGCGCCATCCACACCTGGAAGCGCGGCGAGCCGTACCGCAGGAATACTTCACCTTCCGAGACGGCCAATGGCGGCCCGTCGAAGCGCACGGCACCACCATCCTCGTGCCGCGCTCCGACGGACTGCTGCCCATCACGTCCGTCGCCCGCCAGCACTACGCCCGCACCGTGATGAGCGCGACGCCCTCTTCGTCGACGTCGCCCTCCCCGGTGCGTCGCACACACTGCGCTGTGACCACCCACCTCGAGTCGCCGCGCGCTGTCCCGCCCAAACGGCCTGTCCAGCTGGCTGCCGCGGCGGCACACCTGCGCCAGGAGTATGCCGGGGTATTGGCCGGGGATCTGAACGCCACTGAGAAGTTTGGCAGGAACGCTGCCTGCCGAGTGCGGCTTGCGGGACGCGTACCTCGAGAACGGAGGGGGGGAAGGGGATAAGGCGGGGATGACGTGGGGGCAGATGGCCGGGAGCGGGGAGGTTTGGGCTGAGGAGGGTGGATAAGGTTTCGGTTTGTGGTAGGGTGTGACATTGGTGGGGGTTTAAGAGGTTTGGGATGGATGTGGTGGTGGAGGAGGAGGAGGAGGAGGAGGCGGATAGGGAGTCGATGGAGGAGTGGGATCTGGAGAAGCCGTGGGTGACGGATCATTTGGGGTTCAAGGCGGAATTTGTGGTTGAGGTGGGTGAGGCGGTCGGTGAGAGTCGGGGCGGTGTGAGGGGGGGTTTCTAGGAGGGGATGCTCAGGAGGAGCAGCAAGGCGATCCGCGAACTGGCCCAGTGCAGCATGTTATAACGATAATTACCTACTCATTCCGACGATTCTATGAGCTAAGATTATGTCTAAACTCTACCCCTAGGTATCTAAACGCTCGCTCTAATGAGGTTCACTCTAAAATGGACGGCTTGTACGTGTTCGGGTCAATGTATGGCGTGCCACCACGGCGTGTGAAGCCCCAGCGAATCTGGGAGGCCATCGCAATCTCAGTGTCAAGGTGCTGAGCAAACGTCCAGGCCAGACCAGGATCCTTCTGGAAGCCACGTCCCACTAGGGCAACATCCAGCCCTTCCTCCTCCAAGTAACGGTTTGCCTGCTTACCGTTGGTGATGGACCCCACCGTCGCAACTAGCAGCTTGTCCCCCACAGCCTCCTTGACCGCGACGGCAAACGGCACCTGGAAGCCCGGAGCAGACTTAACCTTCTGCGCCGAGTGGACACCGCCCGAAGAGACGTCGATCAGGTCGACAGCACCCTGGGCAGCCAACGCCTCGGCGAACCGCACCGTGTCCTTCAGGGTCCAGCTCTCCTCGGGCACGTCCTCCTCCACCCAGTCCGTGGCCGAGACGCGCAGGAACACGGGAACCTTGTCTCCAACGACGTCACGTGTAATCTGCGCAATCTCCAGGGGCAGCCGGATTCGGTTCTCAAACGAGCCGCCGTACTCGTCCGTCCGGGTGTTGGCCTGGGGCGACAGGAAGGACGAAAGGAGATAGCCATGTGCGCTGTGGATCTCGATGAAGTCGGCGCCAGCAGTTAGAGCCCTCCTGGCCGCCGCGGCCCAGTCCTGCTTGAAGCGCTCAATGTCCTCCTTGGTCATGGCCTTGGGCTGGCAGTGATGCTCGTCAAAGGGCACGGTGCTCGGCCCGAAGACGCGGTCGGGCCACCCGCCGACCTTGGCCGTCGCGACGACGGCCTCGTTGTATTTCCACGGCGGCACGGTGCTGGCTTTCCGGCCGGCGTGGGCCAGCTGCACGCCAATGACCTGGCCCTGGCTGTGCACAAAGTCGATGGCGCGCTTCATGGGCGTGATCTGCGAGTCCTTCCACAGGCCAACATCCTGGGGCGTGATGCGGCCCTCGGGCTGGACCGCTGTCGCCTCGATCATGATCATGCCTGGGCCGCGCTGCGCAATGCTGCCCAGGTGCATGAGGTGGTAGTCGGTCATGTGCCCATCCTCGGCTGAGTACTGGCACATGGGTGCAACCTGCATCGGGTTCAGTCAGGAACAGGTATTCTGGGAACTGTAAAATGGGTTCAGGGGACATACACCAAGGCGGTTTTGGAACCTTACACCGCGAACGGTGAGAGGCTTGAAGAGCTTGGGCACGGGCTTGCCGCTGCTCTGGGGATCAGCAGCCGTTCCCGCTGGGGGGCTCTGGGCCGGGGTGAAGTAGGAGAGCCCCGGAGCAGCCTCGACGTCGACGTCTGGAAGGGATGGCATTTTGTCGTCTTTGATCGTAATGCGTGTCGGCTTTGGTGTCTGTATGATAGGTTTGTGGTTTACCCCTGACAGGAACGGACAGCATTTATATGCCCCTCGAAGGGATTGGCGTCACAACATCCAAGAGCCTCATACTTGCTTATAAATTCCGAATCACGCCGGATCATCTTTTTGTTGCTTTGGATCTGGAAAACTGTCAATAGAGCGGGTCCCGAAGGTTTCAGGTTTTCGCCATGGTCTCAGCTCCACCAGAAGATGTAAAACCGTGGTGGAGTAGGTAGTTTGGCGGCGGATTGCTAGAATTTTCTGTTTCTCTAGAATAGCTATGGATAGGTACTGCGTACGGTGAAATGTTCCTCCGCGTTCATACCTTCATTAGTACACACCAATCGCAATGATCCTTTCGTCTTGGCCTCTTAGCTGCGCGCTGCGAACGTGAAAGGTTCTGATGCACCTATGCAGACATGCTCGGGTACGGTACCTTGTACGAAGACCTCGGTACACTACTGTACGAAGGAGGACTTAGCACAATGACGATCTGCTGTGGTATGGAGTACCAGAGTTGAGAAACACGAGTACCAGCGGTACCGGGTAACTACAATGGTCAAGGTACGGCACTTCAGCACCGGCAGTGCACCAAGGGCACTTGGAGGACAACCTTCTGTCAGCCTTGCCGTCCTCGCTCGCTATACCGAATCCCAGGTCGTCCAGGGCATCGGCTGGCGGTTACCTTACGTAAGCTGCTATGGTAAGGTAAGGTAATCTGTACCTGACAATCCGCCTCAATTCTTGGCGCTGTGTCTGTCCTAACTTTCATCAGCAGCACAGGACGTTGAGTGTCAAACCAGATTTGGCTCTTTGCATGACCAACTTACTTTTCGACTTGATCAAGTAGGTCTACCGGTATTTGTACAGTAGTTATCAACTCACTCCTGGATCTCCGGGTGTCCGCTCACTGCTGGCTGGTGGAGTCCACAACGGCCAATAACAGGGCAGCCTCGAAACCCGGAGGCGCACCCCTGTCGCTCAGCCTAAGCCATCCAAGCTGCTTAACTTGAACTGCCCCTTCTCCGTTCCATGCCCTCTATCTCGCCAGGCGACGGACATCAGCCTTGAGCCCTCCATCAAACGCAGCCGATGCTTTGCGATGGCTCAGCTCGTCTCTGACTTCATAATCACGCCCGTTCTCCGACAAGCCCGCCGCTTCTCGTCCGGGTTTACTGCCAATGAGACGCCCGCCATTCAAGGCCCCGCGCTGCATCGTCAGAGAACGAGATCAAGCGGCGACTCGAGCGCGGCCGGAAACCCGATTTTAGAAGGGGCCGAGTCTGTAAGCTCGCCGACCGGAGACTCAGTATTGGCTTTGTCGGACACCCCCGAGACGTCAAATCGCACCTATCCTTCGCGAGGCTTGGCTGCTGCAGGTACCGATTCTTCGATACCAAGTCCGGCTGGACCGTCAATCTCAGCCGAGCCCAACACTGGGTTGAACGCGCAACCGGGCGCCCTCACCACAGATACAGCCACGGATGCGGGCGCTCCACCGACATGGTCTCTCCCAGAGGGCAGTCGGAGCAGTCCGCTCCCGGAGGACGACGGCATGGGCGATCTTCGGCGGAGGATACAAGCCATCCAGTTGCTGGATCTCACCCAGGAGACCAAGGCGCAGATGATGCATGGCCTGTTGACGGAAAAGTACACCGGTTCGCGACGGTCGCCCAATATCATCACGCAGGCCACTTTGAGACCGGTCTCGCCGGTAAGCACAACCGCCCTCAACACTGCAGAGCCCCCAGAGCCTATCGGACCCTTGCAAGTCCTGAAAAAATGGAACCCGCTCGGTGACGGACTTGGCCGGCTGAATTTGCCTCTGACTGAGGAGGATCTCCGGCCTACCTACGTGCCGAGGAGACGGTCAGATGACAGGGAATGGTGGTCGGTCGAGGAGGAGCCCGAGGAAGAGGAGCAGCGGCTCGGGTGCGAGCACTACCGCCGAAATGTCAAGTTGCAGTGCGCCTCGTGCGAGCGGTGGTACACCTGCCGCCACTGTCACGACGCCGTCGAGGATCATGTCCTTCCCCGCCGGCGAACCAAGCACATGCTCTGCATGCTGTGCGGGTGTGCACAGAAGGCTTCGGATACTTGCACCAAGTGCGGCCAGTCGGCGGCTTACTACTTCTGTGGTATCTGCAAGCTCTGGAACGACGACCCGAACAAGCCCATCTACCACTGTTTCGACTGCGGCCTGTGCAGAATCGGACAGGGCTTGGGAAAGGACTTCTTCCACTGCAAGGTGAGCTACATTCTCGCGCTTAGACCATTGCCCGTCGACTGACGCTTCGCAGAAATGCATGGCCTGCATCTCCATGTCCGACATGAACAATCACAAGTGCATCGAGCGCGCCGTCGACTCGGACTGCCCCATCTGCAACGAGTACCTGTTCAACTCGCCCAAGTCGGTCATGTTCATGCAGTGCGGCCACAGCATCCACCTAGCATGCTTCGAAGAGCTCAAGAAGACGTCGTACCGCTGTCCGCTGTGCAACAAGTCGTGCGTCAACATGGAGTACCACTTCCGCCAGCTCGACATGCACATTTTGCAGCAGCCCATGCCGCCCGACTACGCCGACGCGCGCGCCGTCATCTCATGCAACGACTGCTGCGCAAAGAGCCAAACGGCCTTCCACTGGCTCGGGCTCAAGTGCGCCGTGTGCCGGTCTTACAATACCGTGCAGCTGCAGCTGCTCAACATGCCGGGCGAGCAGCAACAGCAGAACTCACAACAGATACCCCAACAAGGAGAACAGCAACCGGTAGCCCTCGACCCGGCCCTGCTGACGGAAGAGATCCGCCGCCGGAACAGGGCCGCACGCCGCGAGGAGGCGCGGCAGCGCCGGGATAGCAACAACAATAACAACCACACCAACAACAATTTTCAAGGCTTCGCCCTTCTGTCTACCTCCCCGTCGTCGTACTCGCCTGCCTTCCTGCTCCGGTTACTCAATTGCTCTACGCCCTCGGAGTCGGACCAGGCTGGACCGTCATCAACCCCGTCTTCCTCCGACGTCAAGAAACCACGTACTGCATCCTCTCTGGGACGGCAACCGTTTACTGTTACATCAACAATACAAGCCGAAACAGCCTGTGACTCAGCTGCCGATGACGGCGGTGACGATGACGAAGATGATGACGAAGAAGAGAATGACGATATGCTCGACCTCTTTGGCGCGCGAGACAGGGATTTTGATATCATGACTGGCCTTACCTCGGCCGAGAGTGCGGTGGAGTTTGATGATGATCAGGATGATGAAGATGAAGAGGAGAGTTCGGAGGATGATAGGGATGTCGAAGGAGGGGAGGAGGAGGAGGAGGAAGAAGAAGAAGAAGAAGAGGATGAGAATGATATCCTGCTGTTTGGCCATAGATAGGGTCGCTGGTTCCGTTAAGCGTTGGGTTTATCATGGCTATGTATATTGGCGCTGGACGTTCCTGTAGTTGATGGTATTGGGTTGAGCGCCTAGGGAGAGGCTTGATCGGTTTGGTTGGGTTTCTTGGGGCCTGGCTGCGGAAATGGGAGCCATTTCGCTGCCTTGGGTTACATATTCTATGCGTCGCTGGCGGGACAGATGGGACGAGAATGGTTGGCTGGGTTGTCATTGTATAGGTGGATGGCGGGATGGATGAGGGATGGACCGGGGGAAACAATTTGGGTTCGGGTATATTGGAGTTCTTGGGCAAGGCGGGCGACCGGAGTTCGGGCATGGGAAGGATCGACTCAGCTTGGAATGGAATGGGTGGATTGAGTTTCAGCGTCATCGTCATGTTATCAACACCATACCATATCTTGCAACATGGGGGGCTAGGATAGAGGATCTTGTTGAGCGTATGCATGTGGCTAAGGAATTGAGCAACTCGCCCTTGATCCGCCAGGCCTGATGCTGACGACCGTTCCGTCTTGATCCACGGAGATAAAGCTACGACCTGGTGTGCTGTGCCGTGAGACACTGGTTGATAGCTTACACGGGTTCGGCATGGCTGCCTCGAAACACCACAGCGGCGACAACCTGGTCAAGCCGGTGGTTGGTTTCGGGTGGACCAATCGTCGAGACGAAGATCGAAGAATGGCCGGCCCTCAGCTAATGCTGAATGCCAGGCATGGGTTATGCTATGCTGGTTTCTGTCATGGCTATGGCCGGTAAAGCGTTCTCTAGTCCGTTGTTCTTGATATCGTCGCTGGGGTTGTGGGAAGAGAGGCGGCATGGTGACTCTAAATACAGCAGCGAGTTTGCTTCATCTCCGTCGCGTGGAGGCTGCGGCAGCTGGGGTCTCGAGCTGGGCTTCTTGCCCCTGTTTGCGGAGTTCCTTGATGACATTCTGCAAAGGGGGTTCGTTCTGGGTTAGTTGAGATGGACTTGGTGTATGAGGGGGCGCAGCGGAGTGTTTCGTGGCCGTTGAACATGGATTAAGATCCGCAATGAACAGTGCAATGGGCACTCACCGCCAGAGCCTCGGGGTTGACTCCATTCTCAATCATGGAGATGCAGATGGACAGAGTCCGACGGTCGAGATGGCAGTTCTTTGAAAGTGTTAGCTCATTTCATCCTTCGCCAACCCTGAAGCGTGTTGAGGCGAGAGAGCTGCCGACTCACGAGAATGGTGGCAATCTCGTGCAGAATGTCAACTGCCTGCTGTGCAGCCGCCTGCTTCTCTGCCCGCTCGTTGGGTGGCATCTTGGGCGGACCGATGGTGCAGACGATGAGGTGTGTGGTTGAACTGTTGAAGAAGCCTCACGATACGCGTTTCTGCGTTTAATTGGCGGGGTTCACGCGTCTGGGCATGGACGGAAGATCGGACGAGCAGTTACGACCACAAGTCATGATAGTCGCTTGCTTCCAAACCAAATTTTGGTACTTCAGGCTCATTTCTTGAGCACCTCGGTGTTTAGATCATGAAAAGCTAACAAACTGCCTTGGTATCTCAACATTGCATCCCTCGACCCTCATCATCACACCGTACCACCAACTGTGTCATGGTCGCATCGCCTCGACAAACAACTCCCTCATCCCCTTCAGCAACGTCACAAGCTCCCTCGTCTCATTAACCCGCTCCAACACCCTCTCCACCTTGTCTCTCTCCAGCTTGGGCCGGCAATGCCGCACATCATAGTCCCTACCTCCCGTACACAGCTCGAACCAGGCCTCGCGCTCCCAGTTCTTCTCGTCCACGTGCGTGTACACAAATTTGAGCCGGTCCTCGACCCCGGCGCCCTCGATGCGCATGCACAGGTTGGTGACCCAAAAATCGAGCTCCGGCACGTTGAAGCGGGCCTGCGCCTCGAGCTGCGCCTGGTGCGCGCGCTGCGCGGCCAGCCGCGCGTCAATCTCGCGCTGCGTCGCGGCGATTTGCTCCTTGAGCGCGTCCCGCGCCGCCGCCTGCCGGTCACGCTGCGCTGTCAGCTCGGCGATGGCGCTCTGCATCTCGCGCGTCTCGGCGGCTTCTTTGGCCATGGTTTGTTGGTAGGTGTTGGTCTTGAGCTGGAGGATCTCGATGTCCTTCTTCTTCATGCGCTGGTCCTCTGTGCAAAGGGAGTTAGTAATGTTTCGGCAGGGCGGGGAAGGGGAGATGCCCTTCGAACCTTGCAGCTCGGCCACGTTCATGCGGAACTGGTTTCGCTCCTCCAGCACGCGCTTGCGCCCTTGCTCAATAAATGCGTCAAACCTGGCGGTGAACTTGGCCATGCGGTCGCGGAGCTCGTCGAAGCCGAAGTTGATGTTGGGCAGCGTGTCGGCGATCGAGGGCCCGCCTAATGGTGGGCGGCTGGTTGACAGCGACGGCTCGAATGCGGACGACATTGTGGACTCGATTCTAGTTCCTTGCGGGCTCGTAGTTTTTGTGCGATGTCAAGATTAATATGGCGATGGTGATGCTGAAGAGGTGGTTTGCGATGCGACGCATTGCGAAATGGAGATCTGATGGGTTGTTTATCTTCCTGCCATCTCAGCGGGTTTCCAGGACAGCTTTCGCCAAGGACACGGCCGGCTTGGCACCGCATCCGCAGCGCCATTCGTCAGCTTGCCTTAACCCCACTAAAAAGTTGCCTGTTTGGACCCATCATGAAAGCCTTCTTTGACTTGCACTCATCTCCCACATTTCACAACTGACAAACGGACACTAATACTTGCGATTCTAGCCAGACGCACGACATTTGCAGTGTCTGCCTCCATCGTCACGCTCAAATTGCTGTCAATGCTGCGAGCTTTGTTCTTATTACAGCCGACAGTCGCATCTGATTCCTCTCAACATCGACGCTGCTGTTCCCAGAAGTAGAAGAATGATCCCGAGAGCTTCATTTCTCTGGCCACCCATTCCCATTAATCCAAATGGATGACGGACGACATGCAGTCAAACCCTCCACTAGGGCTAATCTTCGACGCGTGGCGGCGGACGGCATCATCGGACGCTTGACATACACCCCAGCCCAGGGTGATGAGGCCATCGGCCAGATCCAGAGGAACAGGGCCAGGGATGAGGGTGAGTACCGAAATTTGGATGACTTGATTCCCGTATCTCTTGTACTGACGGCACAAGCCCCTCGGTTCAAGCAAGTGGCACCCTTCACGCAATGGTGTGCGCCTGCCAGGAACCCAGCATACCAGCCCAGTGACAAGCGCCCTTTCCAGCTGTCGAGATCCCAGAAGCACTGGCTGCTGGAGCGCCTCCCGGAGGCTGCCATCATCGATGATGATATTGAATCTCTAATAATTGACGAGATTGCAGCTTCTAACCCAAAGAAACAACCAGCACCTTTGGACACAACCCCGCTCTTTTCCGTGGGAGAGGTGGCCGACTTGAGAGAAGGCGGGTCAAGCAAGGGCCAGCCTGTGCTCGCCGTCGCTTGTGGTGTCTCTGGAAATGTCTTACGGCTGATAAGCCTTGCTCGTGAGGAGTGGGTTTGGATCGAGGCCGACATTCGGGTTCGTGTCCATGCTGCAAACCCCAAGCTCGAAGGCGAGTGGTGCCAGGATGGAGTGCCCATCACCTTAGTCAAGTTTGCCCTTGACCCGCGGAAGCATGACCCGATCCGATGGCTCCTCGTCTCCAATGGTACGTCGACCACAATCTACGAGCCCGAGCTGCGGGTAATTCCCATGCCAGCATCCAGGGTCTCCACAAACGCCTCCGGACGATCAGCTATCAATCAGATCGTCGGCAACCCGCTCTTAGCCATTCCCTGTGAGCGCACTGGAGTGAGTCTGCAAGCCGACGTCTGCTTCATCCGGCATCTCGAGGCAGACACTCCGCAATTAGCCATCATTGACCAGGCTGGGTATTGGAGTCTTTGGGAAATTACCGGACGTCGAAACGCGCGACCGAAGAACTTGACACCGGTTTTGAAAATATGCGGCAACACTGTCTCAGGTCATATTCCTAGGCTGCCTTCCCGCCTACCATCCGAATCACAGCCACATGGGGTTTTGTGGCTGTCCCTGGGACAAAAGAGCTTCGAGCCATCCAGGCGTCCGCCGAGCCATACGAGAAGCCCATCGCAACAATCTCGTGTATCCGTTGATTGCGAGCGGCAGGCCCCACGACGACTACTGCTCTTCTCCAGTCCTCGGAGCCTGCATCTGTTCGATCTCTCAGGGATGAAGCTGCATTCTGTCTCCCATCTTGCCTTGCAAAAAGATACCCACCAGATTCTCGGTGTAGCCCCCTCCCGGCTGGATCCCGCCCAAGCCTTCATCCTGACCAGCACAAACCTGCTGTGGGTAGTCGTCAGGGTGCCTGAAAACAATGCGCCAACCCTCGACGTCCTCTCCTCCTGTCCTCACCAAAAGGACGTCAACGACCGGACCCTTAGGCTAGACGTCTCGCCAGGAGCATACATCAACGACCAAATGGCATGCTTCGTCTGCGTCCGATCCGTCAAGGAAACCACCATGACGGTCTTCTGGTTCATCAACCCGCAGCCGGGCGCGCCAATCCGGTACCACCGCGATCTTATCTCCCTTAACCACCCGTCCAGATTCATCGGCTTGAGCATCCTCCCCGCCGGCCGTCGAATGGGCAATGAGCCGACGTCGGAGGCCGGTCGCGCAATGAGAAAGGCGCAGCTGAGGTTCTTCCAGCTGCTGACGCTCGGTCAAGACCTCGACGTTCACAGCGCGTTGTGCGCCTGGTCTGACGAGGCCGGGGTGGCTGTGCCGCCTCCCGATATGAGAGAGGTCATCGGGGAGAACAGCAACCGCCGGCTCAAGTTGCTGCAGAGCCTGACCGATGCGTTCGCGGTGCCGGATGAGTTTGACGAGCGCGCTGTTTTTGGGAAGAAAGGGCTTGACGCTTCGCCGTTAGAGAGGTTGAAGGGGGGGATTCAGCAGCGGGTCGATTTTGGCATCGTTGCGCAGCGCTTGACAGCGGAAGATTTGGAAGGTGAAGATGGTGCGGTGTCGCTCTCGGGCGGAGTCGACTTCGGTTTCATTGCTGAGGCGGTTGAGCGGGAGAAGAGGGAGGATTATATGCCGCGGCGTTCTCTGTATGTGCCCTCTGTCCCGCCTGTACGCCTCGATTTACTGACTATTCCCCAGGCTAGAGTTGGCAGTTCCTGAACTGGGAGGCAAAGAGCTTCTCCAGGTGGCTCGCGAATGGGATTTTCAGCAAGAAGCGCTACATCGGCGTGCTGGCGAGTGGCACTTTGTGCCGGAGGCCCGTCGCCCCTTGATCGACTTCGGCCCTGACGACCTGGTTGACAGACTGCGCGAAATCTTTATCGAGCCTGAGCATAGCCACGATGCTCCTTCACACGAGAACAGGGAACAAGTGCTGCAGAACATGGCGGCCGAGATGTATCTCAGTAATATCGGAGTGTCGTCCGTGCCTCGAACATGGATTTCATCGGAAAGCCAGCTCTCGAGTTCGCTCCCGTTCCCCAGCTCGCCGAGTCTCATTCCATCACAGCCCTCGCTACCAAGCTTCCGCAACGTGAAAGGAGAAGCCAAGCAGGGAGAGGCAGAAGAGCAAGGCGACGCAGTCGCGCTTCGCCTGCGCAAGTACGCCACACTCAACGTTTCCCCAACAATCCACGGGGAGCCGACGCTAGCCCTCTCCCGCTGGGATCTGGGCGCAGACCCAGACGACATCACGTGGAAACCGGGGCAAGACGTCGAAGTAGAAGACGCCATCAACAGGCGCCGGCGCAAGATCGAAGCCCGCCGGAGAAAAGCCGAGCGATTGTCGCAGCGCATCTTTGGCGAGAGCTCGTTCCTGACGGACCAATTGTCCCAGTCACTGGGCGGGCCGTCTACCCAGCCACTGCCGATGATCCTCTCGACGGACGAGAGCAGCCAGCGCCAAAGGCTGAACCAAACTCAGAGTCAGAGCCAGAGCCAGCAGGCGGGTCTGCCCCCATGGGATCTGTCGCAGCAGCGTCATGCGATGGGAGGGCTTGGAACGCCGAGGGTGCGCCCGGGTTCGCCTTTGAGAAGGGAGCATCGGAGAGATTCGGGGACGGGGATGATGCCGGCTTCGCAGCAGCAGCAGCTGCTGCTGTCGCAGGGCACGCCATCGCAACCCAAGTCGCAGGTGCTACCTGGTTTGTTTGGCGGGCGGCCTTCGTTTTCGCCGTTTAAAAGGAGTCCGTTGAAGAAGGGGAAGCGGAGGAGTGAGGTGCGGTTGAGCGGGTTTCGGTAGGGGGTGGTTGACTGCGTGGGTTTATGGGGGTACCTGTTGGAGGATGGAGTTGTTATTAGTCCTTTGGAGATAAGAGGCCCGTGCTTGGTGTACACTCTTCTCAGTTAGAAGTAGGGATATTCCGGGAGCAGATTGATTCCAGATTGATGCGTTGGGGTTGCGCATGGGTACGCGGCAGCTTCTTCTCCATAAATTGTTAGTGCACGTTTGCCACAGCAAACTGATCTCACAAGTCACAAACTCACTCTTCAACTCTGACTCAAGCTCCGAGCCAACGAACGCCGCAACCCTCTAAGTCACCAACCATACATCCTTCTGTTTATCACATTCCACGACAACAGAACCAATTCAAAAACAACGAACAACCCCAACTCATGAGAAGAAAGAATGTCCCATCACTGCCACGACGAACACTCCCACACCGGCGGAGAAGCGGAGCACGACCACGACCATGACCATTCAGACGACATCACGCCGGCCCTGCAGTTTTCCTTGTACCAGCACATCAACTTTAACGAGGTCACGGCGCTCAACGAGGCCGTGTATGGGTCGGCGAGGGAGGTTGTGAAGAAGACGTGGGCGGAGCGGTTGGCGGCTGACCCCGAGGTGGAGAGTGATGTGGATGAGCAGGTTCTTGTGAACGTGCCGTAGGTCATTTTTCATTTTTTCTGTGTCTCCTCGTTTTTTTGTATTGCAGTTTTATCTGTCGTTGCTTCTTGGGTTGTGGCTGTTTTGGGTTGGGAAGGATGGGGCCGGGCAGGATGAGGGGAGGGGTTGGATTGGGAACGTTAGTCACGGGTTGATGGTGGCGGGAATGCGTGTTTGGACAGCGTTGGTAGTGTGGATCGGTGATGTGTACGGCGGGAAAGATGGGAAGGTGAATTGTTGGGAGTGGGCGGTATGAGGAGAAAGGATATGGATTTGGGAAGGGGATGCTGATTCAGATGGGTGACAGGTTTACGGGCCAGGTCAAGCTGCACTCGATTCTGCTGCGCACGTCGGATTCGGACTCGGCGCCAAAGACCTTGAAGGTCATCATCAACCGCGACGACGTCGACTTTGGCGTCGCTGAGGAGACGAGCGGGACGCAGGAGTTTGAGCTGAGCCGCACGGCCGAGGTGCAGGAGCTGCCTGTGGTATGTCTTGTCCAGCTCTCTCCGCCCCTCACCTTGACCGTATGCCTGGGTCTGGCTGACTGAGACAGCGCCGGGCGCGGTTCAACGCGGTCCGCCGGCTGACGCTCTTCTTCCCGGACAACTTTGGCGACGGCGAAGAGGACGTCACGCGCATCTCGTATATTGGGTTCAAGGGCGAGTGGATGCAGCTCGGCCGGGCGCCGGCGAGTATCATCTACGAGGCGGCGGCGAACCCGGGGGATCACATGATCAAAGGGACGAACGTGAACCAGATGGGGAGCGGGATTGGAGGGCCGGGGCCGGGTAAGTAAGAGACACAGTGAGAGTGGGGGTGAGGTTCACGCTGGCTTAATTGCCTTGATCTCGCACGGCGAGCGTAGCGGGCTACATGAAGTCATCCTCCCAGTTCTCGTCGCGGTTCTGGTTGCTGGTGGCCTCCATGTTCTCCTCGGTGAAGAGGTCGTCGTAGGCGTGGTCCTTCTGCCACTTCTTCTCCTGGCGCTCCTTGGCGATGCGGGCCTCCTCTTTTTTCTGTCCATTTTTCTTTTCAGTGATTGCTGGTTCCGGGCTAGGAGATGGATGAGAACTCACCCTCGCCAGCTGGGCGGCCTGGTCCTTCTTGCGCAACTCCCGCAGATGATCCTCCTTCTCCTGCTTCAGGTCGGGGTACTTTTCGACCTTGGTCTTGTTGAGGCGGTTGACGATGGGGTTCTCGCGCTGGGCGACGAGTATCCTCTTGACCTTCTTGTGGTCCTTGAAGCTGACCTGGCCGACGGCCATGCTGCCATCCTTCTTGAGGTTGGACCAGGGGGTGTAGATGATGGTGATGTTGTCTTTCTTGTTGCCTGGGCGCTGTTAGCCTCAGGATATTGCATCTGCGTAAGGGTATCGACTTGCCCTCAATCGAGTTGGCCTTGGTCAGCTGGGCCAGGTCGGTCAGCAGCTCCTGGGGGATGTTGTCCCAAGTGTCGCCTTCCCGTAGGCGCAGGTAGATGTGCGCGCTAGAGAGCTTGTCGACGTGAAACTAGCGGCGATGAGCAACACAGTGCCTCGAAGCCGAGGGTCCTTCATACCCTGCGAGGAGTGAGCCTCTGTCAGCGTCCAGGTTTGGGGAGGGCTTACCAGACATCCTCTTCCCAGCCAAACTTGATCAGATCCTCATCTGTGATACACCGCGATATGTCAGAAGGATTCACAGGGATCAACAAGAGCAGATGCCAGTGTCACTCACTCTCGAACTTGTCCTTGCCCACGTAGATAAAGGCAGGGGGATCGACAACGTTGGATGTGAAGTAAAAGACCATATTTTCAGAGGAGTCTGTCTTATGTAATCTAGTGAGGCAAAAGAGTATTATGTTTATCGAGACTGGGTCGGTATCGCTCAACAAGTGTTGTATACGTTTCCTATGGTGGTGAGTGAGGGAGCTTTCCATCAAATGTGATGAGCTTGTTCTGGGTGTCTTGAGTGAGTAGGGTTAGGGTTTCATCGCTTCTTCCGCTCGCTTGTGAGATCGCCCCCTCCGCTCTCATCCAGCGGCTACTTTTCTGCGATCGCTCCACACCAATTCGCAAGGCATAAAACAACCCGTCTTGGACAGCGGCTGGAGACAAATATTTTCTAGACTGCGCTGAAACCACGCCGAAACCACCTAACCCGGTCATATATGTTTTACATCCACCGCAAGAATGGGGCATTATTAGCAAGCAATGACTCCGTCACCCATGCGCAGCCGTAAACTCCGCGCTCAGCTCTCAGCCCTGATCATACAACCTTAGTCTACATACAATAACACAGCTTGTCAGGTTTCACCTCGCAGCTGGCAGTTCAATCGGCTGATAGTCATGCTTGTCCATGACCTTCACCGGCTCGGGCGGTTGTTCTGGGTACCCATAGCTGGGTGGTCCAACAATTGTCGTCGCCTGAGAATAATCGTGGTGATACCCGTATGCCAGTTGAGACGTTCCCGGCGGTGGCGGTGGCGGAAGGTGAGGATAACCGGCTTGCTGCCTCAACTTCAGTGATCTCCGCAATATCAAATATCCCAACACCAACAACACCACGAATCCAAGCGTCCCTTCCACCGCAGCACCCGCAACCACCACCCCCCCCCCCCCCCCCCGCCGACAGTTCGGACGCCCCTTGGCCCGGCCAGTTTGTGGCTAACGGAAGCGGGATCCCGGGATTGCTGGTGGCCGTGGTCCCAGTCACCAGGGCGGTCGAGCTGGCTACGGTTGTTGACGTATCCGTACTGCTCGGACTGGTACTGGTACCCGCAATGCTGGAGCTTGTCGAACTCGTCGTGGCTGACGACGGAGGACGATGACGCGACGATTCAAACCCGGCCGCCCGTTGGAGATCAGAGTATTGGATATTACAGCACACCAAGTCCTTTCTCGCCTTGAAGCATGACCTGCAACTTGTTAGGCGCGGGCAGCATGCCTCAGTGGTGCCTTCGGCGAGGTTGGTGCAGGGGACCGAGTTCTGCTCGTCACAGACAGAGCGCTGGTCGACGTAGCAGTTGTCGATTGGGTTGCTGTTCACGGTTAACGGTGAGTTGATGTCAATGGGATAACCGAATACAGCGGGTATGAGGTGAGTCCATGTATGGTTTATGGTCTTTGGGGAACTGATGAGAATGGGAGAGGGGTCTGGGGTGACGCATTTCCCAGTACAGCACCAGCCCTTGCCCAAGGAATTCTGGCAAGCTGGAAATTGTTGACCTTGTCGTACGCCTGGGGTGTTCGTCAGTTCCGGAATTGTGAGAGCGGCATAGGGCTCTTACAGCAGAGGGTCAAACTTGGCTTGCAGGTCTGGTCACTGGCTTCCGAGCCAATAGCATTGGAGCACAAAGTCTCTTCCATACAGAAGTGAGAAACTGCTCTCACATTGCAAACTGGTATTTGGAGCCATCTCTCCCACGGTTGAAGCCAACCGTGCCGTGACAGAGCAAATGGAAGGAAAAGAGCAGCCTTATACAGCAAGGTTCCGCTATCAGATGCCAGGTGGTGATTATTGAAGCGAGCGACGGAATAGTACTGGATATCGCAATTGGGCAAGAAATAACTGTCTTATGGACTCAACCCTGCAAACAGCACCAGAATCCAGACAACACAGCCGCCCGCAAATACTATCGAAGTCTATCTTCAACGAACGAACACTGTGTAAAGTGTACTTTGGTGATCGGGGGGGTGCTCGAGTCTGGCTGGCGGTTAATGATTGCCAAGCTCAGCGAGCCGCCAGCTCATCGAATCACATGTATACTTTTTATGCGAAACGCGAGGACCGTTGGCGAATGTTGGTAGCAAGTCGCCGCATTCAGCTAGCATAATATGCTTCTCAAGCCCTTCGGAAGTTCGAGGTCGCGAGGGCGTTGTGTGGCTTTGTTTGCCCTGTTATGAACCTGTCCCGACCTCAACACCACTATCTCTTTGTCTTGGCAGCCGACGACCAAAAGCTTATTGCCGCTGTCTTCTCCCCCAAGCTGATCTCTGTCTGTCATCCTACAGTTTCCGCTCCCCAGTTGGGGTATCAACTCCAGTAGAAAACCCCGGGGAACAACATCTGCAGAGAAGATGTCGACTTCGACCTCCTTTTCTCATCCTTCACGCATCTGTCTCAAGAGTAATATCGCCCATGTCGATGCTCTCCGGGAGAAAGGGACCGGTTAACCCTGGTCTCGGTTGTTGTCCCGCAAGTAATAAGTCTGCCGCTGGGCCTTCAGTTCCACCTGCACCGGGGCTGGATTTCCCCTGTCAGGGGACCGACTCCGAGGCTACCAGCAGCTGAAATCGGTGTGGCAAGTCTTCGGAGCGAGGACACTTCGTAGGGGCATCGGCATCTGCCGGACTGGCCGCGCAAGGTCTATGTAGTCGATGATCCCTCTGCCGAACTCACAGTTTCCATGAACAAAGGCCGTGAGGCCATGGTATATCCAAGGTGAGTGAAACACATCAGCTTTGAACGAAGTAACCCCAGGAAGTCGGCGTCAGCTGCTGCTCACAGTTTGCCGTGTCGTGCGGGGCGGTCCGCGGCCGGTCGAGGGAGGACTATGTCCGCTGGAGGAACTGGTTGTTGCAGACGCCGCTTCCCGATGACTTGTCCGGGAGGGTGCTTAGGTAACTGTGGCATAGTGAGTTTCTTATCGAATTCCTCCCTGATGCTGAATGGCGTGCTGATAATGACCTGTAATGGTGATTTTGTCATCTACGGCAAAGAGGCTGTCTTTTGTCCGTCAGCGGCCGGGTGCTACTGCAACCTGTACGGGCTGTGCAACTTGACATGCAGTGAGATTGGCTGCCGAGGCCAATATGACTTGCCCAAGTATTCGACTCTGCCGAGGAGTGGCCAAAAGTCGGTTGGTCTAGGGAGGAGGGGAATTCCACTCGTCCAGACTGAGCCGTCACGACGCTCTGGTTTGCTTGTTTCCAAGGTACTTTCTCGGTGGCCAGGGCCAGCCTGGGCCTCATCGGCAGCTCGTCCTGCCGCTTATTCCCCGTACGAATGATCTGCCCTCGGAGAGAAGCCGGAGAACGGTAGAAGCCCCGAACGATTATACATTCCCAATAAAGTGGCATCCAAGCTGACCAAGACTCCTTTTTGCAGGTATTCGGTCCAGCCCATGTAGACTCCCAGGCCTATCCAGTGCCCGAGATTGGGCGACTGCCATGGATATTTGACGAGCGCTCAAGGAAGGCTCGTCAAGTAAGAACCCTGCGTTGAGACTCTGATTGAGTCTTGTGGTGTCCCGCTCGATGCTCGGGGTAGGCTGTGATTTGCGTGGCTTCTCAAAGCCATGATGGGAGAGGACAAACGCAAATGGTCCGCAAAGAAGGTCGTTGCTGGAAGAGCACGTTATCTGGTAATGCCGCGGTAGAACCGGGTATTTCATGAGCTGGCGACAATTGCAAGATTTCGGCATTCAATGTACAACCCCTTTTCGACAGAATTGAAACCCATCACCAAGAGGACATTTGTACGGGGGTATCTGGCCAGCTTCAATGCCTAAGAAACCAGCCCAGCCCGTGCATGTTTGCCGTCTGTGAGCAGTGAGAATCCAAGAACCCATCTCCACGAGCCCCGGAAACTTGAAAATTTCAGTGTGGATTAACTATGCCAAAGTGCTAGTTGATACCTAGCCAACGGTAAGTTTCCGTAGGAACTCATTCAATTCGTACAACTCCACAGGCCGGCCCACATACCCGATGGCTGGCAAAACGCTCAGTACGGAGTAGAGCGGATCTGCGCATGTTGCTGACATAAACCCCAGGAGTCTGTGATTGGCCGATTAGAGCAAAGTGCAGCTATGCGAATTGACCGAGTTCCTAAGGGAGCGATTCTTGAGACCCGATTTTTCGCTCAGAATGGCTCTCAAATTCTGCCGCGTGCACCCAGCCGAACAAACCCCAAGCGCGACCTCGCCGTCGTCGAGGTTGTCTTGTCCACCACTATCGCACAGCTACCCAATGCCGCCATAGCCTTAGACAATTCTCCGTCCGTTCAATTCCAATTCACAAACTCACACCCACACGATGGCACCTCGGCTGCCAGCCCGCTGCTGGCGCCAGCTCGCCCTTCGACCCTCCCCTATAACACCAACCACCACCCTCCCGCGGGCCTCTCTCCCCCTACCCACCCGATCACAAACCCGCCTCCTCTCCTACACGCAATTCCGCACCCGCAAATCCGGCTGGTCGACCCTCCCGCCCCGCGCAAAGCCGCACCGCTTCAACCAAGTCACCTCGGGGCTCCCGGCGCCCACCACCGGCCCGGCCGCCGCCCTTAAGCGCAAGGAGCGCACCACGCCCGTACGCGCGGGCGTGCTGGCCGTCAAGAAGGGCATGACTGTTTTCATGGGCCGGACGGGCGCGCGCATCCCCTGCACCGTCCTCCAACTCGACCGGGTGCAGACCGTCTTCAACAAGACGCGGCAGAAGCACGGGTACTGGGCCGTGCAGGTGGGCATGGGCGAGCGGCAGCCGGGCAACGTCACGGCGCCGCTGCTGGGGTACTACGAGGCGAAAGGGATCGCGCCCAAGGAGGTGCTGGCCGAGTTTCGGGTGCGTGACGAGAAGGGGTTGTTGCCCGTGGGGGTGCAGCTGTTGCCGGATTGGTTTCATGTGGGGCAGAGGGTGGATGTGCGCAGTTATTCGAGGGGGATGGGGTTTGCGGGTGGCATGAAGAGGCATGGGTTTTCGGGGCAGGAGGCGAGTCACGGTAACTCGAAGAATCATCGCACGATTGGGTCGGTTGGGCCGAGTCAGGGAAGCGGATCGAGGGTGTTGCCGGGCAAGAAGATGCCCGGGCGGATGGGCAATCAGCGCGTCACGATTCAGAACCTGCCGGTGCTGATGGTGGATAATGACCTTGGGATTGTGGTGGTCAAGGGGTGCGTGGCAGGCCATAAGGGCGCGGTGGTGAGGATTCAGGATGCGTGCAAGAAGGACCCGCCGCCGGAGGATTTTATCGAGAAGACGAGGAAATTGCTCGAGGAGCGGTTTCCCGACGCCGAGGCGCATCTGCAAGCGGCAAGGGAACGGCATCTGGAGCTCAAGGAGGCGCGGCGCGAGAAGAGGATAGCAGAGCTCATGGCTCAGGGCATGAATCCGACTGAGGAGCAAGCGAATGCGATTGAGCAGATCATTGCGGCCAGCGCGCGGGAGGACATGGCAGAACGCGCGCCGGCTGAGTTCTAGGTGGTGTTGTTGTATGCTTGTTTTTTCTCGCGTCGTCTCTCTTGTATCATATCATACAGACATACAATCAAATGTACAGTAAGGCGTAGAGTCTCTCTCTCGGTTCTACTTCTTCATCTGCCTGAACCCCCTCGTCGTCGCGGCCGCGGGCACCTCGTCCTCGTCCAAATCATCTACCGCACCGCCCACAATACTCCTAAACGGATCCCCGTCCTCGAGCAGATCGATCACGACCCCGTCGTCCGTCTCCAAACTCCACTCGGTCGTCTCAAACATGCCCCGCGGGCTGGGCCGGTAACTGGCGAAGCGCATCACCCCGCCAGCCCGCGTCCCCTTGACGCGGAAGCTGATGTTGATGCGGCCGTGCAGCTGGTTCATCTCGCCCGAAATCCAAGGGATCTGCTGCGCAAAGTAGATGTCGTCACCCAGGTAGGCGCGCGCCTTGTCGGACGTGCGCAGGGCGTAGAGGGTCGCGCCGACGACGGGGCTGGAAGATTTCTGGTAGTTGAAGATGGCCACCGAGGCGAGCGCGATGACGGCCGCGAAGAGAGGCAGGGTTCGTGACCAGCGGAAAGTGGTTTGTTCGAGGCCTGGAGCGGGAGGAATCCCTCATTAGCACAGAGGAGTTGGGGGGGGTTTGAGAGAGGAGTGGCTAACTAGGCAGTTCCCGGTCGGGTCGACGCTCCAACAACGGCCCATCGCCGGGTTTGGGTGCTGAGATGAGAGTGCGTTTTTGAAGGTGTCGGGCTGCGGGAGTGTCGGCTGTTTGTCTAGCAGCCGAGAGTATCCTCCGCCGCAACAGGGCTTGGGCAGTCGCCCTTTGCTGGGCTAACCTCGACAGCATGACTCTGGGTGTGTGGTGGAGTTGGTGCTGGTGTCTGGTATTCAGCCCACCTCGGGAGCTTGGGTTTCTGATTGGGAAATTCGCCTGATAACGTTATGCATTTACAGGTAGAGATTCGTTTTATCCATAAACTGGGCGTTCATTGGGGTAAGTCTAGGGGTCTAACTAACTACCGGCTTATGTGTGTAAGTGAATATCGGAAGGTAACTACGGATCCGTACACAGCAACACAGCGACTTCCCAGGGGAATTTCCACATCGTGATGCTCAGGTCCCGGCAACTCTTAGAGACTTGAAGTGAAAACGACCTTGACCTACGAGGCCTCCCGATCTCCCAGAATGCACCACAGCCGCAGGATCCGAGAAAGTGGTAGAAGGCGGGAAGGTACGTCAGCTATCGGGGGCTTGGCAGGATCGCCCATTGACCTCCATCTCAGCCGCGCCTTCCAGAACATTTTCTTGCCGTTCATCCTTTGTCCTGCTCGGCTGCCTGATGCTCACGCGCGGCCTCATTGGTTGCGTTACATTCTTCGATTTGCCGTCTCCTGGCAAATGAGTCTCTACGTTCTTACCGTCTTTTACCCGACTGATCCGGCGGGGCGGTTCATTACCTGAGAAGATGATGGGAATTACATCAGATTACCACATTCAAGCAGCATCGGCCAGGCCAGAAGATGGAAGATGCCGCACGCCATAAAGCACCCACGAGGCAGAGTCTTGGAGATGAAGCCCTCTTGACTTCCACCGCGCCTCTCTAATGGCAGCCAGGTATTCCAACACCATGATATCATGTCTTTGTCCCCACATCTTGGACGGGCAGATGATATGCAGCCTGCCACATGGCCCCATTCATGCCCGTCCCTTTGTCCGGCACGGTGCTATATAGCTGGCCGCGATGGAGCACCGACGTCAAGCGGCCAAGTGAGTGCACTCAGTCAACTGGCGAGACCGAGTGGTCTCTCATCTAGCAGCCTACCAAGTTCTTGGCTGTACACCGGTCAAGATGGGAACATCTCGCTCCCTGCTGTTGCCCATCGGTTTGGCAACTTTCCTCCTCCCGGTCGACGTCGCCGTGTCCCTTGCGCTCGTCTCGACCATGGCTGGCTTCCTCCACGGCCACGGCCAGGGCGCCTTTGCGGTCACACCTCCGGGCGCATCGCCCTGTCTCCTCTTTTGTGAGCCGGCAAACCTAGTGGCCGACCAGGGCCACATAACAAATGCCGCCGGAGGCACGGCGTTAGTTCTGGTTGGATTCGGTGGTAGCATTGCCCTCTGGCGGGAGTGGTGGACCCGGAAGAAGGTGGTCAACCTTCCCATTTACCCCGCTGAAAAGGAGTGCTAACGAACATCCGAAACAAAGTGGACCCGATCTTCCCACGTCTTGTACCTCTGATCGGTTATCATCCTCTTGACCTGGCTCCTTACCATGGCAACCCTCATATACATCTTTGCCGGGACGGCCAAGACATTTGGCCAGGCCATTGACATCGGCGTGGCGAGGGCGAACCCGCCGCCGGCGCGGTATCCCGACGGCAGGTGGACGCCCGAGAACTGGTACGCCGCCGTCTTGGATCTATCGCTGGCTAGCGCCGACCAGCGGAAGGCCATCGGCGGGAACCTGCGGCGATGCGGGCGTGGCGGTGAATGTGGTGGCGTTGTTCCTTTTGGGGTTTGTTGTGCTGGTGCTGGTTGCGATCGAGGTGTCGCAGGCGAGGCGGAGGGACAAGCAGGCTGTGTCGATGGCCGAGGTGCTTGCTGAGCCGTCCTCTGACGGAAGCAGACACGCAGCGAAGACGACGACACCGTGGAACCTGGATGATTCAAGGGGGGTTTGAGAGACTATGAGCGTGGAAGGGGAGACAGTCTCAAGGAGAACGGTATGTGGCTTTGTGGCACCGGTCCTGGCCAGTTTAGTGGACGTTTCTCGCCAAGGTTGTTACCCCAGGTCTTCAAAGGGCGCTGTTAATCATCAATAAGATGTATATTCCAAGGTTCTCGTCGGAAGGTTCGTTGTCTTGTACAAGTCGTGGCCGTCTGCGATCTCCTACCTAGCTATATGCATTAACTGAGTTGAGTTTGACAAAGCCCCTTTTTACGGGTACATTATCAGTTTATGGGAGTTATCCGCACATCCAGTGAACCATGCACCCCTGCAGAACTCAACGTCATTGTGCTTGCTTGGCCCAAACCGCCATCCTCAGCCTCATCGCGCTCAGCCTAGCTCAGCAACTCCGACCTCAGCCCACAACTCCAGAAACCATGGCTGCCCGCCTCCGTCATACATTCCATTATCCTTCTGACGATGACGAGGACGAGGCATTGGCTTCCACCGAAGTCCTCGACGAGCAAGGTACAATACGCCACTTAGTCACCTAACATGCCTAGACCCACTCAGAAGTCCATCAAGCACTAACATAACACCAACCAAAACAGAACAAGAAAACCTCATAACCAAACTCGCAACCGAGAACCGCCAACGCAACACTTCCTTTTTACGCCTCCTCTACGTCCTCCCCGCGCTATCGTCCATCCCCTTCCTATTAGGCCTCCTCCTCCCGCCAACCTCCTCCTCACCCACCACCACCAATGCCTCACATCACCCCATCCTCTGCTTGCTCAGCCTCTCCTCGCTGCTCGCGACAGGCTGGCTCCTCTTCCGGCAGGAAGTCACCGAGACAGGCTTTTCATTCCTCGACCAAACCCGCACCACCGCCGCCCTTTTCCCCCATTCCAAACCCACCGCTTCCGAATCAAGTTCCGACGCCTCCCCCGGCGGCGGCTACAGCTACGGCTACGGACTCTCACCAAAACCATTTATACAAAAACCTAGAAGCCCAGCCGGCATACTCGGAACAAATCCCCCCCTCCTGGTGATAAACCACCACCAAGGAGGAGGAGGAGGAGGCACAAATAAATCCCCTCTCGAGCTCCACCTCCCCCGACTCAACCTCGCCCTCGCCTCGCTCTCCCTTCTCACCGGGATTTTAGAACGTGGCGATCAGGTCAGCAGCAGCATCACCACCGGCGGAGTGAACCCTCTGCTGCTTGGGGCTCTGCCGGGGGTAGTCTACGGGTCCGTTGTCGGGGCCAAGGTGGTCATGGCCGGGGTTGATCCCGAGAGGGAGCTGAGCGGGCTGAAATATGCGTACAAAGGTGCATGAGGAAACGTGCTACGAAATATGTGTTTTTTGGGTGTTGCGTTTGATTATTGGGGTGGTAAGGCATTGCACGGCGTTTTGGTGGTTTAGGCAACAGGGTGGTCTGATATCCTCCCGAGTATGACGCAGCGCGCATTAAGGGAGTAACTAGTATGGGGTGGACACGAAGCGGTGTTGGAGTTGCTTACGGTTTGCTCCTGTCAAATGCCCTCCGCTGAATTCGCAGCTGGTACAGTAACCCACAGCCCTGCTTTTATGTGCCGTGTTGTTCCATTCAGCCAACCCGTGTCCGGTGCATGCATGCACCGCCGCCATCTACACATCTATCGTCTCGTTGAACCGTAACACGCCGTTGCCCTTGAGTACCCCGTCCACCCCTTTCGGCAACCGCGGGAACGGATCCAGCGGGTTGCTCACCTCGGGCGCCTTGGACCCCCCAGACTTGTCCACCACGAGCGCCAGCCCGTGCGACTTGATGGCGTCCACCAAGGCGGGCACCATGTCCTGTTGTTGTTGGTTAGCCCCTGGACAATTCCCCATAATTAGATACAGGAAGGACAAGCAACTCACCAGCAACCGCTCGCAGCAGATCAACCCCATGAAATTATTGCTCTGCGCCGTCCTCACGGAATCCTTGATGGAGCTGGCTCGGGGTTGCTGCGCCACGGCTTCACCCTGGCCCTCTTGCTGCCTTCCCAGATCGTTACACAAGAACACCGGGAAGTTGGGCTGTTTCCAGTTGAGCGCCGTGCACACGCTCTCGTTGTATGAGCTGAAGACAACCGACCGCACCACCTCCGGGCCCTTGCCCTGTGCGCGCTGGGCGCGCGCGTGATCGAACACGACGGCGAGGATCGCGTCCACGTAGGCGTTGAGGTCGGCGCTCAGGCCGAGCTCCTTCAGGGCCATTCGCTCCCGCTCCTCGGCTGTCGGGTACAGCACCTGGATGTTGACGTGCATGCCCCTCGGGAGAAGGGAGAGGGCGTCGTGGAGGGTAGTGCCGCCTGATGTGGCGAGGATATCGTGGACGGCCGCGATGTCGTCGACGGGGAGGGCAGAGTGCGGCCCGTTGCCGGTGACCGTGCGGAACTGAGCCAGGTTCAGCCGTGACACGGGCACATCAACGCCGCCGCAGCTGACAGTCCATTGCGGCCAGAGGATGGGGACGCCGTCACTCGTGTGTTGAACGTAGATGCGAACAAAGTCGCCCGACAGGCTCGACCCTGTCACAAAGGTGCTGCTGCCCATTGCTGGCGTCATGGTCGCGGCATCCACCTGACTTGTCGCCTTCCAGTACGTCTCGAAATCAGTTATCTCCAGCGGCTTGCCCTGGAACGGCTTGATAATCTGGGCGTTGAAGGTGACCTGCCCAATGGCACGCAACCGCAAATCAAACAGCGGCAGACAGCAGTTGCCTGTGTTGCTGTCCAATAGAGCCTGGAACATGGTGGGCAGCGCCACCGTTTTGGCAATCACCTTGGCACCGTAGGCTGGGAACACGTCGAAATCGAGCGTGAAAGAGTCGAAGCTGTCTATTTGGAACGAGACAAGCCGGGTATCTTCGTGGAAAGGAAGCATAATGTTCTTCGGGATGACGTCCGAGACTTTGGACGAGATGGTGAGCCGGGAGGCGGGGTATTTGCTGTCGTGGAAAAAGACGAGCGGTTGCTCCCCATCAAACCCGAAAGTGAGCTGGACAACCGTCTTCGTGTCCAGGAAGTTGTGCCCGTACCGCCGCAGCGGGATGATGGGCGGTGGAAGCTCGAGCACTGGAATTGCGTCCGTGTCCAGCGACATAGGCACGGGTGCGCTGCTGCCCATCATGGGAGGTAGGGGGCCGGCCATCTGCGCCTCTAGCGGGTTCTGCTTCCTGCTCTGGTTGAACGGCGTGAGCAACTTCATGCACTCCAGGTGGCCTTCCCACGCCGCGTAGTACATGGCTGGAAGCTCGTTCTCGTCAAGGATGCCGGGATCTGCGCCAATATCGAGCAGGGCCTGGAGACAGGGAACGTTTCCTTCGCTTGCTGCATGGACAAGCGGTGTCCATCCGTACATCTTGTCTACTTGATCCAGGTCCGCTCCATAGTTCTTGAGAAGAAGAAGAAGCTTTGGTGTTTGCCCCGACCGCGCCACCAAATGTTGTGGGTAAAGCCCTTCGGCATCGGGCAGCAGCTGAGCGCCGTGCTTGAGAAGGAGCTCGGCGATCTCTAGAGAGCCGTGCTCACATGCGAGGTTGAGGGGTACGTGGTCAGTATCGGACACGGGGTCGAGCCTAGCGCCCCTTTCGAGTAGCCTGCCCACGCACGAAAGGTGCCTGTGAACGATGCAATGAATAAGGGGTGTGTAGTTGTCGTGATCAATGAGGTCGATCGTCTGGGGCGCAACTGTCGTTGGGTAAGCAGATCTGCTTCGAAATGAGGAGACCGAGAAACCATACCTGATAGTAGGGTATCGATCATGTCGAGCCGGCCATGCATGCTCGCATAGTGCAGGGGTACTCTCCCGTACACATCAGTCCTATCCACGGCAACCCCTTTGGAAAGCCCAAATTCGAGCACGAAGCTATTGCCGTATATGGCGGCCTGATGAAGGCAATTCCGCTCGTTGATATCGTCTTCAGACTGAATATCCACCAATCCGGTGTCGAGCAGCAGCTGCAGAACTTCGGAAGACGCTTCATTGATGGCAGAGAGGAAGGTCCTGGTAAATCGTTCCGTGTTACTTGGATCCGTCGGCAGCTGCATGCGTCCTAGCAGATCCTTGAGGGACTCCAAATTGCCAATAAGGACGGTGTCGAGGAGCAGCGTGTCGGCATCCCCTTCGTCGGTACCCAGAAACGCTTGACTGCTGACGACGTGTTCTGAGCGGGCCTCGAAGGTGACATTGTCACCGTCAGCCCAAGCGCCAATCTCCTGTAGACTTGTAGTCGCCTGGTCAGACAGCTCGCTGATGACGGTGGCGTTGAAGAAGGGCTGAACCTCGACAGCTCTCGAGAGGTACAGCTCCTTTGTCTTGGACTTTGATGTCTTGTCCCACTTTTTGAGGATCTTGGAGAACGCAGTGCCATTGATCTCGACAAACTGTTGCAGTTTGTTCAAGTCGCTCGCAAACTGTTGGAAGCCTTCTTGGAGGGTGGTGAACTTGGCTGACCGCCTAGAGATGCCATGGCGGGACTGCAAAACCCTTTTCTTGTCGAGAAGAGTCTTTAGGCGGATTTTAAGCTGTCTGGGGTTAACACAGCTGCTGTGGATGAGGTAGACTGTGAGTCAGAGATACGCACCTCGGCTTCCTTTTGCAAGTAAAATGCATTGACCTTTTCAAGCTCTCTCTCCTGGGCCCAGTTAGCAGCAGCCCGGGACAGGATCTGGCGGGGATGCTTACTAGCTGGAAGAAGAAAGTCGCTTTGTTGGCCTGTAGAGCCGACTGTGTGTCGACGAGTTGCGCGGCGCGTTGAGCCGCATCGTTCTGCGAAGGAAGGACAGGGGTTGCCGAGAGCTTCTTGATGAGCTGCGGGTGCACTGTCAGTATTGCACGAACTCGGAGTGTTTGAATATTCCTGCTCGGTCTCTCAACCAGCCTCTAGGCAGACCGACGCCGGGCATGAAGGAGGGAGTAAAAGAGATGGCCATGGCACACCTTTTTGAGCGCCTTGTAGTTGACGAAGCTCGCAGCATACTCGGGCACCTCGAGCTGGCGTTTTTGGATATGCTTGCCGAACTTCCTGATCCCAGGATCAGCAGGAGCTCCTTGGGGAAAGCGGGTTATCTGGGACGGTGAGACTCACATGGTAGTCCGGAGCCGGTGAGGCTCTTCAGCCGAGTCTAAGTCACAACCTCGACAGCAGTGGCCGCATGTAGGTCGGAAATCGGTGATTGGCGAACGAAGAGGCAGACGCGAAGTCTAGCCAATGGGTGTGATGGAGGGTATCGAAGGGTACCTGTAAATCGGAAAGGTACCTTATGAAGTCAGAGAAGAAACCAAGATGTTGACCCTGTCGTTGGAGAATTAATGAGACGGTACCTGAGAGAAATTCCACGTGAGTGTTGGCGTAAAGCGGGATGCAAAGCGTGGAGGGGGTTAGGTTCATGTGAGTGAGAGTGAAGCTGCGCAGGCGGCGTGAGGGACATTCAATGGCCAAAGGTTAGGATCTGAACGAGAAAGAACAGATGGCCCAAATGTTCACTTTCCCAAAACCTCAAGGCCTTCCTCTTTTCCCTGATCTGACTGCCAAGTCAGGCTTAACGTCCTGGGACGGTGGTGCTGGGAGCGCTGGACGACAGGCTGCCATCACGTCGGGTCCATCTCGCCCGTGATGGTTGAAGCGTAAATTCGGGCGCCAAGCCCAAACCAGCGTGGATATCCCGGTGGCACTTGCCCTTACATACAAACTAACGCTCACTACTTTAGGTACTGTATAATGGGAAAGAGCCACAAAGCCGCCCTGACCTACAAACTGGGAAATTGAAAATGAAAACAAACGGAAGGCAAATGGCCGTTGGCCAAGGTAGCCAGACTTGAGACAAGACCAGTCAAGCAGAAACGGACAATAGCCACTTTGGCACCGTAAAGTCTCTCGAGCCTCCCCAGCGTGTCGTACTCCAAGTAAGTAATTGTAATAACATTGAAAAGCGGCCGTAAAATAGGGCATTCCTGCGAGAAAGGGTACACGGTTTACCCAACTGAGCTTTCCACATCCGCCAGTTTTCATGAGCTCCGTTATACACTACTTCAGCATCAGCCGCCCTCTCTGAACAAGGAAACAAGATCCGCCCTGTAGGGAGCGAACCAACAAACATGCAGCAGCGTTCTTCTTTTGCCTCGATGCAACGGCATCGGGCTCGTCCAAGCGCAACCAATCGGGAGCCGGGATCGAGCCATGTGGTCTTGCTGATTCGACGGCGCGAACTTTGACGGCATGGCATCGGGGGAAGTCAAGTTTGCTGAAAGCTCGACTCCATTGCGGGGCAGTTATGCTAGAGGGGCAGAAAAAGAGGGGTACACTTCAGGGGGGCCGTAACGTACCAATAGGTGGGGAAGAATTACGCATCTTGTTAACAATATTGACGGGAGGCTTGGCGAAAGCTTGTTAGCTGGATATGTCACTTCATGCTTCTCGATTGTGGGATATTCAAGAACATTGCCCCGTGTCCGCTAAAGCCACCAGGCAACAAAGAGGAATCCCAAAAACGTCGTTGGCTGGCAGCATACCGCCGAGGGGTTACTCTTCGGTTAATACCGGACTCAGCTTGCCATACCAGTACGCTGGGCGGGTTTAGTTCCACCGAGCGATGTCAAGGGAGCAGAATGTCACGCCACGATTTTCATTGGAGGGAGACCGTGACGCTATGTAGGTACGGGTGTAGGACGTGACAAGTTAAGAACGAAAAGATTCATCATCGAGTCACTGGAGACATCATGGAATGCGGTTGTTCTATACCGTAGGAACAAGCCGCAATTCGATATTTGTGTTCCCCCAGTCCTCTAGGTCCCAGCAAAACAAACGACAAGTGCAGTCGCATACCTGAACTCAGACGTGTTGTTCCTAGGCGGTTGGAGAAAGACACCAAGGTATTCGGTTTCCAAAAATGAGCACGTGCCGCCATCCTTATTTAGCCTCACCGCTTCCACTCCCCCTCCCGCCCTTGCTCTTATCCTCCACCAAACTATCGGCCATGGCGACTGCCGTAGCCTGTCTCAGCCGCTCCGTGTCCTCCATCTTGATCTCCCTGCTCCCCGTCTTTACCTCGCGCTCGTCGTCGCTGTCCCCGAGGCTGAAGGGGTCATTCTCGACAATCGGGTTGGGGTCGACCGAGGACAGCGGCTGCCACTTGCTCGCCTTGGCATTGCCGCTGCCGGGACCGGAGGCAGCGGAGTCCTTGGGCGGCATCTTGGGCGAGGCGTTGTAGGCGTCAATGTCCTCGACCGTGTCGCGGAACGATACCTTCCTGCCGTCACTAGGTTTGGGGGACTTGGAGGGCGGGGGCGGCTTGAAGAGGTTGGGATTGCTGCCGCCGAAGGGTCGTTGGGTTTGGATGGGGGCTGGGCGAGGGGTAAGCGAGGGCTCTGGATGGGCGATCAGTGACATGACTTACTGCCGTCGCTGTGGAACTTCATGCCCGCGAAATCATCGCTCAGCAGCTCGGGATCCGCGTCATAGCGGTCATAGTCGGCGCTCCTGCGCGCCTGATCTCGCGTCGGCCTGCCCAAGAACGAGCTGCTTCCCTGGGCCTGGCGCTCGTCCTCCTCGTCAAATGTCTCATCAATCTTCTTTTTGAGTTGCGTAAACCACGTGTTGACCTTTGTCTGCGTCTCAATGAACCCCTTGCGCAGACTCTCCTTTATGACGGGCAGGTCGTCGTCGAGGAAGCTGTGCTCACGATCGTGCGGGTCGTCCTGCAGCCCCGGCCTAGTCTGCTCCCTACCACGGGGCCTCTGCCCGCCGCCGTGGTACCCGCGGTTTGAGGTCCGCGCCTCGTAGGCCCCAACGTTCTCGTAGTGCTCGGCCAGCTGACGGGCATAGCGCTCGTCGGCCTCGAGTTGCGACAAGTCGGTCGACGTGGGTCCCACAGGCTCCGCAACGGGTCTCGGGGGCGGTGGAGGCGGACGATCCCTCTCGGCGGCCTCGGGGTCTGTCAACTCAAGGAGGCCAGTGAACGCAGCCTCAATACATCCACCACTAGCTCTCAGCACTGCCTTGATTACGCGGTCTTCGATGGACGGGAAAGCCTCTTTTAGCGTCTGCAGGTTTCGTTGCTCTTCGGTCAACGGCCGAGGCGGCTTCGGCGGAGGAGCATCGTCGGGTCCGGCGGCGGGAGCATTTGCTCCGGCAGGCGTTGTTGGGTTGGATTTGGCGGCAGTCTCCTCAGCGCCCAGCGTTCCCTGGTCTTGAACATCGTCGTCGTCCATCTCAAGCGGCCTTGCAGTGGTAGGAGATTCGGGCGCAGGTGGCGTCTTGGTCTACGGGGAGAATGCATATGTGAGCTGAGACGTTCCGCAGATCAGGAGGTGCATTAGGTTGGCGATGGATGTGTGTGGGGAATGCGCTGCTTACCGCTTCGGCCGACATCTTCACAGATTCGGGTTGATGTAGGGAAAAGTGATGTCGGATGACAATCAAAAAAGATTAACAGCTGTGCAGAGGGATTTCATAGATGAGCATCAGGAGCTGGCAGGTATGGTTTGGAATGATGCCTTCGGCGCCATCGCACGGTCGCATGTGCGAGATTACGTCGCCCCGCCCTCAAGCCACAAACGACCAAGTCTATCGATAAGGCTGTCCGGAAGTAGCTAAGTTGCAGTACAAGGCGCGACCAGCAAGGGGCTCTAGAGCGGAAGCCTGGAGAGACAGTATTCCATTACCAGCCTGACATTTGTGAACAGTACTTGAATGCTTATTTTGAGAAATTTATTTTCTAGCTCTCCCGGGCTATAAGAGACTTGTCAAAGAGGGCCTCATCTAGAAATCATGGGTGGCTAGTACGAAATATTCTGTAGTCCAAGGACCCCTTGTCCCAGCTGTGCAGTGACGTCTCACCTCTAAACCACAACCACCATCCTCTCCTCCTCGCTATCGATAGTCGAAGTCCCTGTACGCGCGAGGGCTGTTCCTCAGCCCTCCACAACCACACGCCCCATTTCAACCTCCTTCCAAATGTCACAATGGGCAACTCCTCCAGCCGTATAACGGCACAAGACAAGTTGCGTCCTCTCCCTCCCCCCCCATCCCGTCCCCTTTCCCTGACGCGCCACTAACCATGCCCTCCTTCACCCCTCTTCCCCCCGAAAACAGAGCAATCTACGACCTCAAAATTCAACGCGACAAGCTGCACCAATACCAGCGCCGCATCACCCACCTAACCGACAAGGAGACGCAGATCGCGCGGCAGATGCTAGCCAAGGGCGACAAGCCGCGCGCCTTACTCGCCCTGCGCCGCAAAAAGTACCAGGAATCGCTCCTGGCCAAGACGGACGCGCAGCTGGAGCAGCTCGAGAAGCTCACGTCGTCGGTCGAGTTCGCGCTGATTCAAAAGGACGTCTTCTTTGGCCTGCAGCAGGGGACCAAGGTCCTGAAGGAGATACAGGCCGAGATGGGCGGCATCGAGAACGTCGAGAAGCTGATGGGGGAGACGGCCGAGGCGATTGCGTATCAGAGGGTATGGCTTTTTTTCTCCCTGTATCCCTTCGTTTTCACACAAGAAAACATCTCTTTGTCGTTCCGTGGCTGACAAGGGGTCCCAGGAAGTCAGCGAGATCATTGCGGGCAGGATATCGGTGCAGGACGAGGAGGAAGTCGAGGACGAACTTGCTGCACTCGAGGCCGAGGTTACAACTACGGAAGAGGTGCAGAGGTTGCCGAGTGTTCCTGATACCCCGTTGCCGGTGCAGAGGGTTGGGGAGGAGGCGGGTGCTGAACCGGCACAGCCGAGGGCGCAGACGGAAAGACAGGCCATGTTGGCTTGAGTAAGATGCGGGAAGGCGTTGGGAGTTCTTGATTGTGTGCATGTATGGCGCTATGGAGCTTTATAGTACATACGTGGATCGATGAATCAATGAGCTTTTGGATACATACCATGACTGCTAAAGACCACAGACTGTTCATGATGGTAGAGGAAAGCCGTACCGATGCAGCCATAATGACATTGGATCATGACCGTTGCCAAGGCGAATATGAATTGCCTAGGTAGTCCATACCCTACATGAAAGCACGCCCTTCTAAATATACATACTCCTGGACGACCGCCCAATGCCCAGTGACGCCTTTCCAATGCCTACAACCGCTCAGCCAATCCGCCACCACAAACAGCCGTCCTGGCATGAATGCGATCATGCCGTCCATCAACCGCGACGCCTGCGCTGTCTCGATGTCCTGCCGGGAGAAGCGGTATATGTACTGAAGGTGTACAACAATGTCCAACGCTGAAGATATAAGCTGAAAAGTGCTTGAGTAGACCAGGCTGCTCGAAAACGAAGAATGGTGGTGTCGAAGATTCAGTCAAGTGTAATCACCTCGCTTCTCTTTGGGTGACCGGTTTCTGGCTGGTACTGGAAACCCTGGTAGGGCACGGGCAAAAGCGACTTTGAACGGGACCGGAAGACTAGGTCCCGAGTGTCGTAGAAAGGACGGTGGTCTGAATAGGTAAGAGTTTCGAGGCTGTTCACGCCGTAAGTATCCATGCTTGCGGGAATGCTGGAGCTCATTCATTACCTTGGACGCGGCTGGACAAATTCAATCCCCACCACACGTTCTTGCCTTGGGTACCCGTCTGCCGGCCGTCCAACATCCGGCCCATTCTCATCCGGAAACACAGGCACCTCAGCCCTTCCTACAACTCGCTCTACCGGCTGGCTTGGCGCGAGAGGATTGCCGGTGTTGTATCGCACAAGGCCATCATATGGCTGTTGTGTTACCTGCTGCTGTGGAGCCGTCGATCGCAAATTGTAACTCCCTGCGCGAGTGGCCGTTGGCCGCGGCTCATGCTGCCTGGGGAACTTGTTGGAAACGCGCACGATTTCCACAAAATCGTCCTGCAACGTTTCAATGCGTTGGTCAATCCTCGAACCAGGCTGTGGCCTGTGCCGCTCTTGCACCCAGCCAGGGCCCACCTGACGGGCATCGAGCCATCTTGGCGAAGGTCGGCGGTGCTCCGACGGCACATACGGAGAATCCGTCCGCGGCTGTCTGGGGGGTGATGGATAGTCCTGGATGATGATAGGACGTACTTCCGACCTAAGGAGAGCGCCGTCGTGTCCGACCCAAACCGGCCGACTCGCGGACCTGAGGCTCGCATTATCGTGGGATGCAACGCCATCCTGCCATGCCGATGAACGCCGCAGCCCTAACCCGCCAGGAGCAGCTGTGACAGCATTAACTCCCGGTACTGTGACGGGCTCGGGGTTGAGCAGGATAAAAGGCTCCGAGCGTTGGCCAGGCGTCCAAGGAATCCGGCTTGGTTCCGGACGAGAGGGAAGTCTAATAAACCCTTCGTCTGCATAGGCCGGGCGCGATTCATGCGCAAATGGCATGCTGCCAGCCGCTCCCGTTGCACCTCGATTGTGCGCCGTCACCTGGATCAGACTCTCTACACCGTGGGAAAGCCCAAACTCGGGTTGACGATATGAAACGGGGAGCCGCGGCTGAAAATTGGACAAATCAGGGGATGCAGGCTCAATGGACTGAAGGAGATAGTCCTTGAGATCCTCTTGACCCTGGTGCCTTACCCGCTCAACTTCTGGAGCAAACTGGCCGGGCCGTGGCCTAACTACGGGTCTGACTCCATTGTTGGGCGTATTCTCCAGGACGCGGCCAGATTGCGGCATGTGATAGGTGGCCCCTGGGACAGGCAGTTTGAGATTTTCTGCTCGGCTTCCCCGCTCATGAGACGTACCTACAGAAGACAAGGAACTGTCATAGGAGCACGCGGCATAGTACGACGGTTGGGCTGGGCTGCGAGCCTCCTTAAGTCCAGGGCCCGGACGACTGGGCTCGCCGTTTTGCAAGCGCTGTGGTCCATGAGGTTGAGACCCGCCCTTGGTCGCAGGGCCACTGGATTGCACCGACCCGCCGTCCCCAAGCCGTTGCCGTTCCACAGCCTGATGCCAGGCTTGGTCTCGGGCGGCCTGGTAGCGCTGGAAGCCTCGCTGTGCCCACTTGGCTGCCTTCTTGTCCTTGTTTGAAACCTTCTTGACCTTTTGGGGTGCATGATTCGCTTTGGGAACCCTCTCGCCCCGCGGCTTGTTAGTAACTGATGCGGTCGTGGATGAATTGTTGGGTGGCACCGTTGCTAGGGTTGGCCCGTCGTCCCGCATGAGGCGGTCCACGGGACTCTCCTCTGTAGATGAGGCGACGGAGGAGTCGTCTTCACCGTCATCCTCATTGTCGTCGTCGGACTCGTCGCTCTCAGAGTCTGAGATGACAATAACCTCACAGAGAATCTCATCGAGCTGATCACGTCCAGTCTCCTCATCTCCTCGCCACTTGACTAGGAAATCGAGGCAGAGCGATTCAACAGCCTTTCTCGCATTGACGTAAGTCGTTTCCCGGAGCAGCTGATCGTATCGTGTGTGGGTATGTCGGATGTGGGCAAGGACCGCCAATTGCACACGGCGCGAAAGGGGCACATCGGGTGCGAGGCCCACGGGTGGACCATCCTTGCCGTTTGCCCTCGACTGTAGCTTCGGGGTGAGATTATGTACTCGTCTGGACCACTGGGATCACCCAGCCTGCGGGATTCACTCGTGCTCTTACCTTGTTGAAAGCGTGTTCAATGATCATCTGGCGATCGGTGTTGGGGATCCGGGGAAACAGGTCCCTAATTGCCGCGTCTGCCTGCTTGTTGATTTCTTCTTGTTTCTCCGGGATGGGCTCGGGCAGGCCTGGTGCTCCACGGATAGGCTCGAGCTGGTCATCCCCAAGCATTGCGCGTGCTTGCTCCACGATTGTCTGACGGATGTGATGGCCAACGCGATTCAGCTGAGAACTGAGTCTCTTGGAGAGCCCGTGAGCCGACTAACGGAAGAGGTGTCAGAAGCCAGGACAGCAACAGCGTGTATTGTCGACAAACCGTGACGATGAATATCATCGCATCTTGCTCGCGGGAGAGCTCTTTGCATGCCGTTGTTAGGGCCGGGTTTCCGATGGGAACAAACTCAAAACCCGGCGGCGGCTCTTTCTTTTCGGTGAACTGTGAAGGGTCAGTGGACCAGGCACTTGACGGAAAGACGCAAACCCATTACCTCGAACTCGAGTTTCTTCTTCTTGTCCTTATTCTCAATGAACTCGAACCACGACTTATGCTTGCTGCTGATGCGTGGTTTCTCGGGCCTTGCAACCAAGCCCGGAGGTACGGGCGCTGTCCAATCTATCACATTTCCTCTGTGATCGATGAGATTGCCCCTGCGGTCTCTCTTGTGCCGTTTCTTGGCATGGTCTCCAGCGCCCACTCCCGGGACGTTTCTCTTTTCTCTTCCCATGTTGGCTGATGATCATAAGTGTACCATAATGGGACAAATGCGCATGAAGAGGCTATGCCAAAGTCCGGGTCAGACACGAGGGCAGCCGTAGCCGGACGAACTGTCCGGCTACTCGGCGATGCCTGGTGTGGTCAAGCACAAATTTCTCACCCTCTGAAATGGCAATTAGGCCGAGTTCTTGCTCTGGCTGATGGAGCCGAGATAAGCTGTTTTGGGGGGTGGGGGGAGGGGGGAGGGAAGGAAAACAGAAAAAGGAAGGGAAACGTCCAAATAATCGGCCCCGCAAGGCTGTAGCTGACTGAAGTCTCGCCAGGTAATAGGTCACAAGCGGTGCCCCGAGTTCTGTTTCCCGATCGCAGTACGGAAGTGATGCGCGGGTAAGAGCTTGAAGCGGCGCGAGATTAAAGGACCTAAACGGCAGTGTGTTGTTTTCAGGATGCAAACTTCCAGCGCACTGGAGTCGGTCACAATAACTCGGACCCAAAGGTTGTGATTCTTGGTCCCGTCCAGGAAAGTGCAGGTGACCGGCGTGTCCTGAGGTGTCTTTTCGATGGTCAGAGTTGAAGCGTTCCAGGCTGTGGCTGAAGCCTAAGGCATCAACAGCTCCGCCACAAATCAATCGACGATTCCCGATGGCGTCACTTTCAAACTCGCACAGACTGCTACTTTAGCACACGAGTGGCAGCTTTCTGGCAACTGGCTGCCAACTGCCCAGAACGCCATTCACATTCATCAGTTGATTGTAATTTGCAGACTACACAGCAATCGGGGCACAAGGATCCCTAAACAGATGCGCGGTTCAGAAAGCGGCAAATCGGGCTTCTTAGGTATCATTTCGAGCTTATGCCTTTCTGTGGTAGTTGTATACTAACGGCAGCTGGGGGCATATAACGTGGCTGATGGTGCTACCGTGATCGCAATCCTCCACGACATAAATCTGAAGGCTGCTCAGCATGTCTGGTTCAGACTTCGACCTTGGCGCAGCATTCATCCCCGCTCTCCACAAACCAGCTCCTCTCCTGCCGATTGCCAAGCATCGCGAGTCGCTGCTGTACCTCGTCGAGACGTATCCAGTCACGATTGTTGTGGGCCAGACAGGCTCTGGCAAGAGCACCCAGATTCCCCAATATCTCGAGCATGTTGGATGGTGCGCTGACGGCAAGGTCATTGGCGTTACCCAGGTGCGTGGGCATGATAGTGGCGGCAGAATATCGAGCGTAGTGCTAATGTGAGTTCCTTGTTCGTTAGCCTCGTCGTGTCGCTGCCACCACAGTAGCCATCAGGGTCGCCGAGGAATTTGGCGGCGAGATTGGCAAAGAGGTCGGATACTCGATCCGGTTTGAAGATGTCACTTCTGAGAGCACCCGCATCAAGTTCCTTACCGATGGTCTGCTCATACGAGAGGCGCTCGTGGACCCCCTGCTCTCTCGTTACTCGGTGATCATTGTCGATGAAGCTCACGAGAGGTCCATCAGTTCTGACATCCTGCTGGGCCTGCTTAAAAAGATCCGCAGGAAGAGGCCAGATCTGAGAATCATTATCAGTAGTGCAACACTCCAAGCTGAAGATTTCCGCAACTTCTTCTCAGATGCCAGGGAAGACGCAACCTCAGATGCCAAGCAAGACAGCAAAGGGGACGTCGCAACCATTATTAGCTTGGAGGGGAGGACCTACCCGATAGACATCCTCTACCTCGAGTCCCCGGCTGAGGATTATCTTGAAAAAGCGGTCTCGACAGTTCTCGACATCCATACAAATGAACCCAAGGGTGACATTCTTGTCTTCCTCGCCGGGAGAGAGGAAATCGACCAAGCGGTCCAAGCCGTCTCAGAACGCTCAGTTCAGCTCCCGCCAGGGTCACAATCCATCCTTCCGCTGCCGCTGTATGCGGGCTTACCGGCGGAGCAGCAGATGTACGTGTTTGAGGAGGCACCAGAGAACTACCGGAAGGTCATCTTCTCGACCAACATCTCGGAGGCATCAGTGACAATAGACGGCATCGTCTATGTAATTGACTCTGGTTTCGTCAAGCTCCGGGCGTACAACCCAAAGACCGGGATTGAGAGTTTGACAGTGACGCCTGTCTCCAAAGCATCCGCAGCCCAGCGCGCAGGGCGAGCAGGCAGGACAAAACCCGGCAAATGTTTTCGGCTTTACACCGAAGAAGCCTACCAATCTCTCCCCGACGCCAACGTGCCCGAGATACAACGCTCCAATCTCGCGCCGTTCATCCTCCAACTCAAGGCGCTGGGAATAGATAATGTTCTAAGGTTCGACTTTCTTACGCCGCCTCCGGCAGAGCTGATGATCAGGGCGCTTGAGCTGCTCTACTCGCTCGGGGCGCTGGATGAGTATGCCAAGCTCACAAGGCCGTTAGGACTGAGAATGGCTGAGCTGGCAGTCGAGCCGATGATGGCCAAAACGCTGCTGTCGGCGCCGTCCTTTGGTTGCCTGAGCGAGATTCTGACAATAGCCGCCATGACGAGTCTTGGAGGCAATATCTGGGTCCAACATGAAGGCGAGAAGAAAAAAACGGAAAGCGCAAAGAGGAAATTCGCCGCCGAAGAAGGTGACCATCTCACCCTTCTGAACGTCTACCAAGCGTTTATTACCAAGGGCCGCAAGGAATCCCGTTTCTGTCACGATAACCTGCTCAACTTCAAGGCAATGACACGCGCAGTCAGCATCCGAAACCAGCTGAAGCGATACCTCGAACGATTCGGGCTCAACGTAGACGAGTCGCTAGCAGCACACTCGACTGCGGCAGCCGGCGGTAACAACAACAACAAAGCCGAACAAATTCGGCGATGCCTGACGGCAGGTTACTTTGCTCACGCCGCGAGGATGCAGCCGGACGGCACGTTTCGCAACGTCTCCGGCACGACTGTCCTCCACGCGCATCCAAGCTCTATCATGTTCAACCGCAAGGCGGACTGGGTCATTTTCCACGAGGTCATGGAGACGGGCACCAAGACGTTCATACGGGATATCACCCGGATTGAGAAGTCGTGGTTGGTGGAGTATGCGCCGGAGTTCTACAAGACCGGGTGATGAAGGTCGCCCGGGCGCCACGGAACAGCGGTTGGAACTAGTCGATGAGGGCAAATCCACACTGGACGGACGGCGGGACGCTGCTGTTGGTCTGGATGATTGCGGCTGATTTCCCATCTCTCGGGCGATAAACTCGCGGCAGAAGTAGGCAGTGAGACCTCATGGCGAAGAGCCTAGCAATTAGGGTTTGGTGTCGGCCAAGAGACCCCAACACCAACATTTCCGCCTAGACAACAAGTCCAAGGCTGACCCAGGTTTAGCAGGTGTCACGACCGGCGCATGATGCAGGCTATCCGTACATGGTTTGAAAATAGAGTTTTGCCTGCAACTGAGCGATTGTTTTGTACCCTATGCTGTGTGACACACGGTTCTCTTCCAAGATTTTGTGCATCGAGAGCATTTTTCTTGCCCGCGCAGATCAACCACTCGGGACTTTCTGTCATCTTGAACATTGAACGGGAGATCAGACGGAACCCCAAACAATTGACCGGGACGGGCCGCTGAAACATCACAGCAACCTGACTTCCTGTCTCATCTCGGCAGAAGTACTTTTGGGTACCGATATATGGGCACTGGATAGAAGGAAGACTTTGCAACTTACAAGTTCCCGGTGGTGAAGCTGCCACAAATCATCAAGTTGGTCAGAAGCTTCCTTCTCTGGCAGGCGAAATTAGCGCCATCTGGAATCTCGGCCGTTCCTGCATCTGACCCTGGATCTGCGTCGTCGGGGCCGCAGCTTCTGACTGGTCACACCGCTGCACCGGTGGACAGCGCCCGCGGAGGTGGATCCAACGAAAACCGGGCCGCTCAACCATGATTGGAGGGCCTGAGCTTCCACAGAGACCCGGCGCCGTTAGAGATCCACATCTGGGCCCGCACCACTCCCCCTTTTTGATTGAGACGAGATTAGCAATTTCTATTCGTCCACTTGCCCGGGCCCAAGAGACGACGATAGAGCGGTGGCGCAGAGCCCTCCCTGGTTTTGCTGGCCTCCGGTGTCTGGCAAACCCCGGCCGTGCTCCCCTTTCAACGGAGATTGAGGAGCAGCCGGAAAAGACTAGGAGGCTAGGCAGGTAACCGTCGCTTGGAACATCGGGGCCTCGCCTGCCGGCTCCCTTGGGTTTCTTCCTCCGTAACCGTAAAACCTAATCCTTAATCACCACCACCACACTCTTTTCGCTCCCTTCCGCTCTTTTGCATCCGAGTCCCGCCACTCCGGACCACCGATCACGACCCCCAGGCGAGACGGCTGCCCAACATCACATCGTCTCAAGACGTGTGATACCCTTCGCTCCTTTACCCCGTCTTGCCTGCCAGCAGGCGTGCCATTCCTTTTTCCATCAAACGACGACTTTCATCGTCACGACATTCCTTTTACCCGCATCTTTGGGGTCCTGGTGGTCAGATCCCAACGTATCCGTCCGCTCCCTATGACAAACGCGCTGCGTGGCTTTCGGGTCGATTGATTAATTACGCAATTCCTGGGGTTTGACAAGGCTCCTGGTTTCCCGGCACTCCAACTCCTCTCCCGAGCACCGTTTCCCTCAGCTCGTTTCGAATTACTGGTCCTTTCACGCTGTTTCTTGGGCTACGACTGTTACGACGACGCTCTTTCGCATACATTGAGGACGACAAGTCTCTCGGTTTTCCTCTGACCGCTACTCGAAGCACACCGTTCTCGACCCGCTGTCGTGATACCACAGAGCCTGCGTTGCGGACCAGAACTCGGGTCGTGGGGGGAAACAAGGGCACCGATAATGGAGGATAGGTTTGCTGTGGGCGCCTACGCAATGGGCCCTCGAATCCCGCTCGTCAGGGCGAGGGACACAGCGGACACAATGACACCAACAGTTGGGCTCAAGATTCCGTCTCGGATCGTGGCTGCACGTGCTGCGACCACAACTGCGTGTATCGATAAAAACTTCTGCGAGAAGCCCGTCGGTGGATCTTCAACGACCCTTGCCATCATTCTGGGAGTATGGTAAGTGTACCGAGTCGCTGTAGCTGACTCGCGCCTTGAGAGCTTACATGTGTGCCTAGCGTCCCAATCGTCGTGGCCTTGAGCATTCTCTTCTACCTTCACCGGAGGAATGTCAAGAAACAGCGTCTGGAAGACCTCAATGACCCCCACAAGTCGCTGGATTTTGGTCTGGAAGACGGCGGCACTGCCAAAGGTTCACGCAAGAGCTTGATCAGCAGGGAGAAGGACGGCCAGTCGCGGTATAACCGCCAACAGATGTCGATGGATATGAATCTATCCAGCCCCTACCTTCTTCCCCCCGAGATTCAGCAGTCCCGAGAGTCTCTCAACTCCCTGGCCAAAACGCTGCACCAGAACGAGGACCCATACAGACCAGTCACACAGTACGCTGGAAGTGAGGTTGGCTCGATCCGCTCGTTCCCGAGGGGACATGAAGCCGCCTCCATATACAGTCGTCGGTCAAGCAGCCGCGCAGATGTTCCCCCACCTCTGCGATCTCCTGGTCCGTACAGTTCTCCTTCACGGCAGAACTCGGGTTCGAAGTCCCCAATTCAGCTTCCTGAGCCAAGTCACAGGAGACCGGAGCCGCCCATGCCAGAGCTCGATTCTACACCAGCAAGCGCCACTCCTGCCGGTCACCTGCCTCCCATCGGAACTGCCATTTCCGACCCGCCCCGGGACCAGGACGAGAGCCTAGCCCTCAAAACGATCCAACAGCCGCCCGCTGTAGCGCAAAAGTCGCTGCCGTCTCCTTCGCAGCCAAGCCCGGCCGATTCTGGAGTTGCCGTGGACTACGAAGATATTGATAACCCGTTCGAGAAGCCTGCAGTGCAAGTGGTTGAGGCTCCCAGCGAGCCAGCCACCGTGGGTCTCGGGTTCAGCGCTCATGCAGAGCTGCAGCGGGCTTCCATTCAGTCAACATCCTCGTATGGGGACAGCCGACCTACGAGCCTTGCACAGAACACGGCCCAGCCCAGCTTAGCCACGGCGCCAATCATCGAGGAGCCAGAGCCCCTGAACTACTATGACTTTGACTTCGCTGATATGCCGGAAATGCCTCGCGATCAGCGCTCGCCCTCTCCCGCAAACGGCGCTGGACACCTCGACGTGGACGAGCCAAGGGGCCGGAGTATGCAGAGGACCTCGCAGCTGTTTGAGCAGCAAAACACATCCCGCCAGAGCGGCTTGGGTGTCCCTCAGCAGGACAACCGCCGTCTCTCGGTTGGCTTCCGGCCCCTGCCACCCGACGAGATTATGGAGTCGGAGGACCCTGAGTACCGAGCGAATCGCATCCGTTCGTTCTACAAGGAGTACTTTGACGAGACGAGGCCTGAAGATAGGCCGCCTATGCCGTCGATTCCGCAGCATCATCAATACCAGCAGCGTCAGCATCCGCAGCACCAGCACCACCAAAGCAACACAAGCTACTATGAGGACTACGATGCGAATTACGCTGCGGATGCCCCTTATTTCGATCCTGCAAGCAACTCGTTTGTCATGCCTTACGCGGAGCCCGTGTCTCGCCGGGCCATGACGCCCCCCCCGTCAGGACAAAGGTTCCCAGGTCCGAGAGGGCCACCGCGTGCATACCACGGATCTCAGGCGGGCATGAGGTTCCCGCCGAACATGCGTGGTCCTCCTCGGCCGGGCTCGTCGGTGTCTAACCAGCACGGCCATCACTCCCGCCCTGGATCATCGGCCTCAGGTCCTTATGGGCGGCCGCGTGCCGGCTCAGCCATGTCCGGCAGCCGCTCTGGAAGCCGATTCGGCGGCCCCCGGAAGCCCATACCCCCTCCTGCCGATCTCCCTACGCTGCCCACCCCATCCAAGCTCAAGGACGATTCCTTCGCCCTCCTTAACGCCGCCGACTTTGCTCCGCCCGAGACGTTCGCAGAGCGTGCCCGCGGCCGATCTCAGAGCCCTGTTGGCGAGCGTCGTCCTTACCAGATGAAGGTGCCTGCCCACTCGCCGTTGGTCAACGCCTATGATGAGCTTGCCGCTCTTCCCAGCCCGTAAGATGCTCCTCAGCCCGTGTCCCATCAGTTTTGCAGAGTATTCCTGACGCTCGAAATAGGCATCTCCTCCGCAAGTCGGGCACTTTCACCGGCCTCGACTTTGCTCCGCCACGCAAGTTCGCCGATGCCGACTCCCGCAGCGATGCAGGCTCGATCCGCAGCAACCGCAGCGGCCTCTCGGCGGTGCACGCTCAGGCCATCCGCTCTGGCGCCGGACGTGTCAGCAGGCTCCCCGGCGACCAGGTCTTCACCCAAGCAGCCATGTCCAAGACGCTGAAGCCGCAGTGGGGAATGCGTGATTAACGATTGCCGTTTTGCCATCTTCCTGTATTTTGATCACGATCGTTCGAAACCGGTTGGCTGGCCGGCCGCCTTCACGTGTCTTTTTTATCCACGGCCACCCTTCAGGGTCTCTCAGTTGCCATTCAATCGGTGTCTCGTCACGTCACGTCAAGAATCCTTACAGCATAGCATGTATCGGGCGTCGTCGTCAACAATCGCTTTGGTTTGATTCGTCTTTTTCCTTATTGGATGCTTTCTGTCGGACCAACAAAACGAGCAGGCGACTGGGCAAGGGCATATCGTTTTGGTTTCAAAGCCTACTGGTTACATACGCGCGCCTGCCGACGTACCTAGGCATGATGACCTCCCCCTCAACATTCGGCATCCATCCCCCTATAGCCCCGCCCACAATCCTCTCGTGTGGCGTCTGTCTGTACAAACAGGGGCTTTTTCCACAAAGCACGACATGGTTTCTTGTCGACGGTTGGGTTGTCAAATCGCATTCAAATCGCATTTACACACATTGCTAGCTATTATATAGACTGGAGAGGAGAAATATGGCGGGTTGGGTTTGGGTAATGCTTATTGAATTGAGCTAAACAGGTTCGTTGCTTGCTTTGTCGTGGGGAGATACTATGTGAGCGATGGTGATCCGACGCGCGTGCTCAAGTGGACCAACATACCCTCCCCCTTTCAAACGATGGGAGACAGTCACCAAACACAATTCCGCCTCAATTAAGACTGTCTCGTTCTGGATGCTCTTGAGCGCGTCGCAAAATTGTTCAAGCCTGTTGAAGATTTTCTACGTCTTAATCTTGCCTGACTCGGGGTAGTCGACGTTTAAGCTATCCCCGTCTTATCAGTCAATGATTCTCAGGACAAGCGCAATAGAAAGGGAAAGGGATAGAACGTAGGAAACACGTGCAGTTCGGATAACAATCCAATAATCCGTAGCCCGTCTCCCAGAATCTTGGCCGGCGCCCAGCTCACTCACGGCTGCGTTGCGGAACACCCTGCGATCTGTCAGCCATATCTGGCCTTCTACCCCATTATCCCTCCAAAGTGTGACTGTTGATGAAGGGGGAAAAAGCAAAAGCTCACCGGCTAACCCTCTCCACTCTCTCCGCCGGTCGAAGAGAGGCAGCCGGCTACGAAACCCTCCGGGAGGGCTTGCTTCGCGAGAACGGAGGCGCGGGCTTGGGTCGAACTGGTGTGCCTCTCGGTACGAGACCGAGAGACTCACCACCAAATCCCTGGAAGGGTGACCACCGCCGTTGACCCTTGGGCTACTGAGCGGTGGTCGTTGAGGGTGAGGAACCGGTCCTTCTACATGTACCACACCCGCTGACGAGAGTCGCAAATTCAAGGGACAGAAGAAACACCATAACCTTGGAAAGGAGAAGGAAAGAAGAAGGAATCGCGAGAGGACGAGCTCTCAAACTACCAACGGCCCGCCCTTCCGACCAAGTGAATTCCTCAGAACCAGCACCGAGCCTGACCCGTCGACGTCGATTCGCGAGCCGCAAGGACAGTCGGCCCGGCGCCAAAGTTCAGCACGCTTGACCTCAAGCGCGGAGGATTTTGCCTGGTCGATGGGAGGAGTGAGTTTACCGACTTGGAGAGTGCAAAAGCTTCGTTCAGCGGCATGGAAGCACATACCACCTGCCTCCACGTTGACGAGGACATTCTCATCTGGCAACTAGGAAAAGACATGTTGACTAAGGTACTTCGAATCACCTAGGGTTGTTGTGTCTGGAGTGACAGATCAGTTGGTGAGAGCAGCGACGTGACACAGCCAGAATCAGCTTAAGTCTCTAAACAGACAGAGAAGAGGCAATGAGACAAAGGCTAAACATGACCAGGTCAAGGAGAAGAAACGCACCACAATGCCTCCATATCTCTGGGAAGCCATGCGGACCCGTGCTCATGTTGTTCAGGGTTAGCAAGATGAGGGATCTGGAGTGCGGTCAAGGGGAGTCACTCTGGCTTGAACAATATGACAGCAATAGAGTTAACGCAGTCCAAGAGCACATGAGTGACGCCTTGGATTGGAATGTTGTACGGAACAACGACCAGAACAACAAGAACTCAGGGCTTGGAGGAATCGGGCCGCAAGCGACAAGATTCGAGCTCAAGCCTCTCAGGTAGCCATATTTGGAGCGCAACCCGCCGTCCCAGATAGGAAGTCGTCCAGTTGGGCCAGTATTTGTTCGGAGCTCCATTCATTCGCGCCACCTGCCTTCTTCATGACAATCGGTTCAAATGTCACAAGTCGCCCTCTGTTTCCCCGAGTTGAAGAACTGTTTTGCCTTGGAATGTTTTGCGCCTCCCAAGGACGCCCAGTCGCTGACTGGATTGGAGGAGTTGAGAGAATGCACGGTAGAAACTCGCGGCGGGGCTCACCGGTGTCGCCACCTCTCGATTTCACTGCTTCCTGCCACCGGCCGAATGCCTTCAGCTGAACGATAACAAGCTCTCCTCAGAATCTCCGTAAACTCATCAATTCCAGCGACAGGCCCGTCGCCTGCAGCACCACGAGCAACCGAGTGAGAGCAAAATCGTATTGACCGCAAATGATGACCCTGAATGCAGAAGTTTTCCGAATGATCTCTAACCACCAACTCCACGCGCAAGCCACCTTCACGGTCCTGGCGAGTAGGTGCATTGCTGGTCGACCCATTTACTCTGTGACGTAGAGTACATGCCGTGCCATGCCGATATGCCATTGCTGGCAACCCAAGAGATAGTGAGATTATCCGCCGTCCGCTTTACGAGGGAGGGGCATCACCACGGCCGCCACGGCCACGACCGAAGCCGCCACGGCTGTCGAAGTCCCAGCGTTAGCAAGAATCGGCCCAAAGGGCACCGAGATTACAAGCCAACTTACAACTGAGGAGCAAAGTCGCTCGGCGCACCGCCCTCCTTGCCCTCACCAGCATCCCGGCGCCGGTAGCCGCCCTCCCTGTCACCACGGTCACCACGGTCACCACGGCCACGGCCACCAAACCTCCGCTCACCGCGCTCCTCGCCCAGCATGCCACGGGGAGGGGCGTGCGACCGCTGCTGCTTGATGTGGGTAGCCGGAACAATCTCGGCGGGGAGGTGCAGCCACTCGCGGAGGTAGTCGAGACCCTCAGGGGTGAGGGTATAGTAGTAGTATTGCCAGGAGAACTGGGTCTTGACGTAGCCGCGAGAGGTCAGGGACTGGCAGGCCTTGATGACATAGAGGTTGCGGATGCCGGTCTCGTGGGTCGTCTCATAACTGCAACAGTAACGAATTAGCATTCGCGGCTTCTTTTTTTCGAGGACCAATGTTCGGCCGCCGGGGTTGGTTCTCGCGTATCGTGACTGAAATGCAGCACATCATTCGAAGGGACAATCGAAGGCATCGCTTGTTTGATGGGTTTCGGGAGGTGGACCTACTTCTTCGCGGCGACCATGACACCCTCACGGAAGAGGTACTGTCTCAAGAAGTTAGCTACAGCTGCCAAAGGAGTATACATCCCCCAAGTCCTCCAAAGGTTCCCCAATCTTTGCGTCTTCGCACAAGAATACTCTCAGAGATCGTCATACCTCGTGGATCGCCTTGCGATCAGCCTTGGGGATAAGCATCTTGGCGGCTTGACCGGTGTCGACACAATTGGTGATCTTCCAGGTTGCTCTGGGGAGGTGTCGGCGTGGTGAGGCGGGCTCTTCAAAATTCAAGGTGGCAGCGATTTGTGGGCTCGCGCGCCAAAATTCCGATATGCTAGTAGGGCTCGGGATTTGCGGGGCGCACCGCCACAGGTTTGTCTTGGTAGATGAAAACTCTTGGCGCGGCTGAAAGTGTTATGGCTGGGGGACCCGCTTTCAGCCATGCACTCCTCCACCTCTTGAACCTGCAGCAAGCGTTCATCAGTTGCGACAACCAAACCGCTTCACAACAACGGAGTAACACGCGAAATCTAGCACAGTTCCAGCCGACTTCTCACAACGCCTTGGCAATTACACATTACTGATTGGTGCTCCGTTGACCAATATATCCGCCGGCGTTTGAATCGCCATCAGCACCCATCGCCAGTTGACTCAATCTTCCACCTGGTCGCTTGGCTGCGCAATGATCAACATGGCACCAAGCAAGATCAACGTCCTCATCACGACCTTTGCCGGCACTGGCCTGCCTTCGACACTTTCTCTCGCTCTACCGCCAACAACTCCGATCTCGGCTCTTTTCGACGAGCTCGACAGTCGCCTCCCAAAATCCGCTACCAGCTCCTCCGCCCGCCTCCTCCTCTCAACTCTCTCCAGCCGTCCCATCACCCTCAACTCGGCCCTCCCCATCTTCTCCCTCCTTTCCACCGTCAACACAGACCTCTCTGATGGTGAAAATGGTCTTGAAGAATCCGCCGACTTCCTCCCCTTGCGCCTCTCCGTCCCACTGCCAGGCGGCAAAGGCGGCTTCGGCTCGCAGCTCCGCGCGGCGGGCGGGCGCATGTCGAAGCGCAACAAAAAAAACTCGACAGCCGAGGAAAACGGCTCGTCGCGCAACCTCGACGGCCGCCGGCTGCGCACCGTCACCGAGGCCAAGGCGCTCGCCGAGTACCTGGCCATCAAGCCCGAGATGGAGCGCAAGGAAAAAGAGAGGCGGCGGCAGCGGTGGCAGCAGATTGTTGAGATGACGGAGCGGCGGCAGGAGGAGATTAAGTATGGCTCCAAGAAGGTCGGGCTGGACGGGAAGTGGGTCGAGGATAAGGAGGTGGTTGGTGAGAGGACCAGGGAGGCGGTGCTGGAGGCCATGCGGAAGGGGTCCTATCGGGATAATTTGGCTGGGGAGCTGGCCGGGGGGAGCGGGTCGTCGGCTGAAGAGGAAGATGGGGAGGACGAAGTGATGCAGGACGGGGAGGAGAAAAGCGGTGGTGGGTCGAAGGCTACTACTCCGCCTTCAGAGCCGGAGCCCGAACCCAAGTGGAAGGGGAAGGAGAAGGAGGTGGGGAATGGAAATGGGAACGGGAATGGGAATGGGACAGCGCGGAAGTTTTTGGGGTTCGATGAGGACGACGAGTTCATGAGCTCAGATGATGACGAGAGCGAAGGTGAAGGATCAGAGCCGTGAAGGATGGTTATCTCAACAAGCCGTTCTATTCAAGAGGGCCAATGCTTGGAGCGAATTTTTGTCTTTTGGCTGCAGCGTTGGGATGGCGTTTCGGGGTGCTCGGACAAATTACAGCAATTAATGATACCAACCACTTCACACATGCAACACGAAACGCATTGTATTGGCCTTCTCTCCTGCGCTACTGCTGTCATTGCATAAGCGTACACCGCCGAGCACCCTAATCTATGTGCATTCCCCTTACTGCCGCCAGTCTAGTGTTAACAGGGTCCGGGGCGCATTCCCGACGCCAACTATTCCGTCTCAAACATTCCATTACTGATCCAGCTTGACCGGGAAGTTGCCAGCCTCTGTTGGCCTGTCAGTACACTTTGCTCCCTCCAGTGCTTGAAAGGAATCGAGAGATCATCGTACCTCGCTGTGCATCCCACCGCTCATACCAACCGCTGGGGCACAGGGACCGGTAGGCGAGCCAAAACTGCCAAAAGTAACCCGGTGTTTAGCATCCGCATTTCAAGAAAGACACCTGTCTCTTCGCAGGGGCTTCAACAGCCTTTACCAGGTCAACAGCTGGCTAGGACGGGGGCGGGCTAACCTGGCGGCAGGGGGCAAAGTCCTCGCCCTTGGCGAGAATGCACTTGTGGTAGTCGACGTAGTTCTGCCAGCAGTGCTTGGTCTGGTTGGTGTTCGGGAAGCGGGCGTCGACACCTAAGAATGGAAAATGTCGTCAGATCGTGTCCCATGCGTCATCTCGGCCCATGGTCTCTCCTCTTGCCCTCCCCTCAAATCCGGCCCTCTGCCCTTCCTCCTCTTCTTCCCCAATTCGTCTCGCAGAAAACCAATTCAACTTCAAAGGCGGGCATGTGCAAGGTAAAATTCGTGGTGCGTGCATACCAGCTGCCGAAGGCGTTAGTGATACGTTTCTTCGTCATCAAGTCCGCATCAGGCCATGTTTTCTGCCGAGGGAATTTGCGGGCTGGGGGAGCTTCGCAATCGTACCTGTGACGAACTTGAAGGGCTTGGTAACGCGCTCGTCGTCGGACATGTTGGGCGGATCTTGAGGCTCGCGAAGAGAGGAGGCAGCTTCGGTGGGTTGGCCCGGAGTGAATGCAATTGCGTCGTCGTCGGGAATGGTCAGAGCTCGGGAGAGTTGAGGTCGGGTCGACGGGTAGGCAGTTTCGGCTCGCAGCACACAGCATTGAATGCGCAAAGTGGGCCATCTGAAGACGGCGGATGATTGGTTGGTGGCCTGAGCTTGGCTGGTGGACTGATCTCACTGGCCAAATCTCGCTGCTTGTGGGGGGCAACAGCTCCAAGGAACTTGAACCGAGCTCCTCTCGCCGTCGCTCGCCAGATCATCATCTCGAACTTCCCGAGGCTTTCCCAGAACACCCGAACAGGCTGTTGCGCAACCACAACCGTTTCCTTCAGAGGAACCTCTCCGCTCAGATCTTACACGAGATGTTTGCCACGCGGTCTCTGCGAATGTTCCGCCCCACGGCTCGCATGATGCGGCCGATTCCGGTAAGCCAGTGCTCGATGCGCCAGTTTTAAGTACTGCATCAGGACTGACCCAGCGCAGAAGGAGGAGCAGAGTGGTACGTGAAGCCAACGAGCGACGGCGACACCGATCAAACTCTTGATGACTTCAAATCTGGCGGAAGTTGTGGGGTATGGAGGCTGATACGAAACCCCGTCGATTCACAGCGCACACTGTCTCGCAGCGTCTCCGCCGTCTCAAGCAGATTCCGCCCGAGCTGATTCCCCTCGGTGAGCCGCCAAAATGCGCCCTCTGCTATTCTTTGTGGCCTGACAATCATGGAAAAATGCAGGTGTTGTCGTTGCTTTCGCCGTCACCGCTGCCGCTTACTCGTGCACCCGCCACCTGATCGTCGACAAGAACATCCGTCTTAAGAGGCAAAACCGTGCCGCGGATGCCGCTGCCCATGGCCACGCAGAGGAGCACCACTAAGGAAGGGTAGCCATGTGTTGGGTGTGGTGGAATTGGGCTCTTTAGACTTGGATGGTCGAGGGACTGTACAAGAATGGCGGGTCGGAATGATCGGAAGGAGTAAGGGCGTGTTTACCCCAGTTTGTGTCTCAGTACCTGTCCAAAGGCGTGTGAACAGACGCCCATCTCCTTGATTAACAGAACGATGCCTGAAGCTGCCCTAACGCCGTAGCTATGCAATTTCTTTGGTATCATCAACTTCCTTTCCCACCCTTGCACTCGACTCGGGAAGAGCCCTGCCCGCGAGACGTCTTTCTTCGTTGAACAAACCGAAGACAATCCCTTCATTCCGGCTTCGGCCCAGCAACATCCAGCCCTTCTAGCCCCTGCATTGGGTCTTCAGGCCTCGCGTTCTGCGCCTGGACCGCAGCCAACCTATCTTCCTCGTTAACCGCATGCTCAGCTAACCAACCTTCCTACAGTTCACCCACAGTTAGCATGACTTTACTCAAGAAACAAGAAAATGAGAATAACCGTACCTGCTCCCAAACAGCTGTCTTCCCGCCGAGCCCCTGCCCGGCGCTCTTGGGCGCCTTGGCCGCCGCCACCTTGATGACGCGCCCAAAGAGCTCGGCCTGGTCCATGTTGTCGATGGCCTCCTTGGCGTCCTCGGCGTCCTCATACTCGACGTAGGCGAACCCGCGGTGCGGCTCGTCGGCCGCCGTGTTGGGGTTCTCGTTGCGGGGCAGCGACACGTCAGCGATCTCGCCGAAAGGGAGGAAGGCCTCTTGCAGCGTTGTGATGGTGACGGCGGGAGCCAGGCCGCCGACGTAGATTGTGGATTTCCAGCGGGTTGTGTCTGTCATTCTTTTCTCTGGTCCTCTTCTTTTTCAGTGTTCCTTGGCTTGATTTGGGGGTTGTCCACCGGGTGAGAAAGGTGTGGGGCGACGTGAGAAGAGAGTCTTGTTGCTCTGTGTTCCTGTTGCTGGGCGGTTATCTCTCCGTCTTCCTATTACTTTGTAACCACTCGTTCCAACCTACGAATATCGGCCACTGTGAAGGCGGGGGTGTACACTTCTGAAGGCCTGTCGGGGGAATGTTGAAGATGGATATCACGTGAACGTGCAGCAGCGCAGAGAGCTTTTGACCTTCAGCTGTGGAATGGGAATTGGGGATGATACCCCACCATTACTTCAACAACCACAACCCCCTAATACGTCATTTTAGAAGTCGAATCGTACGCAAAGAAGGGTAGACTATCAGGACCTACAATTTGTAAGTTATGAAGGACTAATCCAACAGCTTCTATACCACCAAAAGCGAGAGCAACCGATTCTTGTTTTTCTTCCCATCCAGAGTCGAGGTGGGGGATGCTGCAGGGTTAGGGTTCTACGTGGTGCCTGGACACCTGCCAAACTTCTCAACGATCCCCTGCTGGCGCATGCCAGGACTCAGGAGTCGAGCTGGGAGGCAATCTGGCAACAGGCCCGCACCAACGTGATTGATCGACCAAAACCATTCGCACCTTCAACCCTCTCTCCCTCGCATCTCAGCGTCTTCTCTGCCGTAGGGCCTCTGGTGGCTGAGCATTAGAATTTGGACTTCTTTGCGGTTGAAATTATTTTCCTTTTCCCAGTACAACAATATAGCAATCACAGCGACCACTGAATATCGGCACCTTCTCGGCCTCAATCCCGTCCACAGCACTCGCCGCCATGGTCCGGCTAAGAGAGATTCCGCGGACGGCGGCCTTCGCTTGGTCCTCCGGCCCAAGCCCGATTCTGGTTACTGGCACCCGGTCAGGCGCCGTTGATGCTGACTTCTCGGACGAGACCAAGCTCGAGCTTTGGGACCTCAACCTCGACGCCTCAGAGGAAGGGCTGGAGTTGCAGCCAGTAGCTAGCATTAGCACCGAGTCCAGGTTTGCTCGTTCCATTGCACTGCTGAGATTTGTGTAGTATCTGACAGGTCAAAGATTCTACGACATAGCATGGGGAGGCCCCAGCGACGAGCACCCGCGGGGCGTCGTTGCTGGCGCGATGGAGGACGGCTCGCTGCAGCTGTGGGATGCCGCGAAGCTGCTTGCCGGAGAGGACGCTCTCATGTCGCGCGATACCAAGCATACGGGGCCGATCAAGGCTCTGCAGTTCAACCCACTGCGGCCCCAAGTACTGGCCACCGCAGGTGCAAAGGGCGAGCTCTTCGTCTGGGACATCAACGACACCTCGACCGCCTTCCGCCTCGGCACCGCCGCCGCTCACGACATCGATTGTGTGGCATGGAACCGGAAAGTCTCGAATATTCTGGCGACAGGCAGCGCGGGTGGCTTCGTTACGGTGTGGGATCTAAAGACTAAGAAAGCCTCGTTGACGCTGAACAATAACCGCAAGCCCGTCAGCGCGGTTGCCTGGGACCCCACCAATTCCACCAACCTTCTGACGGCCACGTCGGATGATAACACGCCAGTCATCCTTCTCTGGAACCTCAGAAATTCGCAGGCACCCGAGAGGACTCTGCAGGGCCACGACCAGGGCGTCCTGTCGTTGTCGTGGTGCCAGCAGGATCCCGGACTGCTGATATCTTGCGGCAAGGACAATCGAACGCTGGTATGGAACCCACAGACTGGGGAGCGATACGGCGAGTTTCCCGAGGCCACCAATTGGACCTTCCTGACGCGCTTCAACCCTGGCAACCCGAACCTCACGGCTACCGCCTCCTTTGACGGGAAGATCGCCATCCAGACCTTGCAGAACACGAACCCCTCTGCGAACCCCGCCGCGCAAGCCAGCACGGATGACGATGATTTCTTCTCCAAAGCACCCACCCAGCTTCAGGGGGCATCATTCTCGCTGGCGAGGGCACCCGTCTGGTTCGAGCGCCCGGTTGGTGTTTCTTTCGGGTACGGCGGAAAACTCATCACATTCAAGAAAAACGACTCTTCGCCCGGCCAACCCAGGTCGTCAAAGATTCAAATATCCAGCTTCTCGGTCGATTCCGACATTGGTTCAGCCACGGAGAAGTTCGAGGAGGAACTTAAGAGCGGGGACATTGCCGCCATTTGTGACTTTCATGTTGCAGACGCCAAGACGGAGGAGGAGAAGGCCGACTGGGAGGTTCTGAAGGCGTTGAGTGAGTCGGATGGTCGTGTCAAAATCGTCGACTATCTGGGCTTCGCCAAAGATGAGGACGGGTCTGGCGTAACCGAGGAGGCAGAGGCGTCTGAACAGAAAGAGGAGCAGAGGGAGACTGGGCTGGTCCCACCACAACTCAACGGCGACGATGCGGCTAAGAAGCATAAGCGTGTGACGAGCATGTGGGGCGATGTCGATGAGGGCGACGACTTTTTGTCCGACCTCGCCGCTACCAAGGGCGCCAAGACCGACAACCCTTTCCAGCTGCTCGGCGAAGGCAACACGGCCGATAACCAGGTCACCAAAGCCCTTATCGTCGGCAATTTTGAAAAGGCAGTCAATATCTGTCTGGAGGAGGACAGAATCGCCGACGCCTTCGTCCTTGCCAACTGTGGCGGCAAGGACCTAGTCGACAAGGTTCAGAAGGCCTATCTTACCCAGAAAAAGGGCACCCCGAGCTACCTGCGCCTCGTCCACTCAGTTGCCAGCAAGAACTTGTGGGATGTCGTGTACAACGCCGACCTCGGTAACTGGAAGGAGACCATGGTCACTCTCTGCACATTTGCTGAGCCCTCTGAGTTCCCTGATCTTTGCGAGGCCCTCGGCGACCGCATCTACGAGTCGGGCTCGAGGAAGGATGCTTCGTTCTGCTACCTTGTCGGGTCCAAGCTTGAGAAGGTGGTGGATATTTGGATTGCCGAGCTCCAAGAAGCGGAGCAGGTTGCGCTCAAGGAGGCGACTAACGATTCCAATTTCTCGGTTCATGCCCGGTCGCTGCAGCACTTCATTGAGAAGGTCACCGTCTTCCGTCATGTCACTAAGTTTGTGGACAACGAGAAGGACCTTACTGAGGGGTGGAAGCTCGCGTCGCTGTACGACAAGTACACCGAGTACGCAGATATCGTTGCCGCCCACGGCCAATTGGCTGTCGCACAGAGATATCTGGACCTGCTCCCGAATAGCTTTCCCGCTGCCGAAGTGGCCAGGAACCGCGTCCGGCTGGCTACGCAGAAGGCTGCGCCGCAAGCCGCCCCTCGTCAGGCTGCTCCCACTTCCCGTTCGGCTTCCCGCACCGCGGCGCCTGTTGGCTACCAGCCCCCGGCAGCTATTTCCCAGGTCGGACCCAATCCCCTGAACCCATATGCACCACCCGTTCCGGCCCAGCCTGTTGGTGCCGCGGCGAATCCATACTCGCCTCCGGTCACGTCCCAATATGCGCCGTCCGGAACGTCGCCGTACTCACCAGCGGGCGGATACGCGCCTTCCCCAGCAGTTGGAGGATACGGGCCGCCGCAGACCTTCAATCAGCCCGGGCCACAGGTGCCACCTCCTCCGAAGAGCAGTGGCCCTCCGCCCAACATCAAGAAGGACGCGGGTAGCTGGAATGATGTGCCCATGGTCACGAAGCCGCCAGTCCGCAGGAACACGCCGAGTGTGGCACCTATCACTTCCCCGTTCCCGGGCCAGGCAGGCTTCCAAATTCCTCCGCCAGTCGGGCCTTACCAGCGGAGCGCGCCCACTCCCCCTCCGCCGCCCCCGAAAGGATCTGCGCCTCCGCGCAACGTGACGTCCCCACCTGTTGGGCCGCCGCCAGCAGGCCAGCACCCAGTCCGGCCGGCTTCGACCGTGTCGAACGTCTCAACCAGCCAGTATGCGCCTCCGCCGACGGCCTCAGCTGGAGTGCCGTCTCCGATGGTGCCCCCGCCCATGCGGACGGCCTCCCCTTACAACCCTCCTCCTGCCGGTGCCCCGCCGTCCAACAGATACACGCCGGCGCCGCCGGCGCAAGGTTACGGCCAGGGCCCTACCTCAACGCCCCTCGCACGGCCTCCGTCGAACCCGTATGCTCCGGCTGCTCAACCCGGGGCTCCTCTCTCTGCTCAGTACGCGGCCCCGCTGCCGCAGGCGTCCCGCCCGCCGGTTGGGGCGCCGCCAATGGCAGGTCCTCCGCCGGCAGCAGGCGGCCCGCCTCCCGCGGCCCGAGCACCGCCAACGGCGGCGGCACAGGCAGCCGCACCACACCCGCCCCGAGCTGCTGCGGCGCCATCACCACAGCCGCAGCAAGCGGGCAGGCGGCCGCCCGGCGACCGGTCCAACATCCCACCAAACGCGCAGCGCATGGTGGAGCTGCTGAGCCAGGACATGCAGCGGGTGGCGGCCAAGGCGCCGGCGACGTTTGCACCGCAGGTCAAGGACACGCAGAAGAGGCTGAGTCTGCTATTTGACCACCTCAACAATGGCGAGCTTGTCCGGCCAGACACGGTGGAGATGCTGGGCAAGATTGCCGAGGCGATTGCGGGGAGGGATTATGAGAGTGCGTCGAGGATGCAGATGGAAGTTTTGAGGGAGAAGAATGACGAGTGTGGGCAGTGGATGGTAAGTTCCTCCATTCCGCGCGTTTTTTCCTGGGGTGATTCTGAGTTGTGCTGACGTGACTTCTACAGGTTGGGCTCAAGAGGTTGATTAGTATGAGTAAGGCTACGCCTTGAATCTGGATTGAGGGGAGGCTGGGGAGGTTGAGGTAGAGGGTGGTGTGACCTGTGTTATGGCTGGGGGTAGACTGTAGGCATGCGGAAGACAAAATGCGATATGGTAGAGTTAGGTTCGTGAGCTTGTGTTTGTTAAGCCCGAAGCATCATAAGACGGCCGTGTATTCGATCTTTGTCTAGCCTTGAGGTGGAAGCAGAGGAACCCTAACCCTAGTTAATTTTTGATAGCCTCGATAAGAGGCGAGTTCTCCATGCGACAACACAGCAAGGGTCCACATCATTGGCGCAACAGCTTGGTCAATGAGAGTTCGACGTCACCCACACAGACGGTTCTGCCTTTCAGAACCACAATTTCCTCCGAACTGAACCGCGGGTGCTTCGTCATTCAGCGTGTCATACAGACCAAAATATGACGGAAGTGCTGACGCCAGAGGAGCAAGCGGCTGCTGCTCGCGCCGCCGAGCAGGTTCGCTTGCGCAAGGCCCGCCGCGAAGCAAAGATAAAGGCCGGCGCCGAGAACAGGTTGAACAGAATCACCGGTCTCGGTGGAGGAGTTCAGCGAGGTGAGCCGTCTAAGACGGCTATTCAGAATCCAAGCGTCACCAGCAGACAAGCTAACCGTTCCAGTCGTAACAGACGCACCTCCCCCAACATCGGCACCCTCCGCGACAACAACAAGCGATGCAGCTGCCCAACCCCAGCACGCCGATCCCGAAGAGGTCGACATCTCGCAGCACTTTTACCAGCCCCAAACCACCCCACGCGTGGCCCCCCCGTCCAATGTCAACATCGACGACGCCCAGCTTCGCCAAATGATGCTCGGCACCGCTACACCCCCCCCAGGCATGCCCGGCATGCCGCCCGTCCCGCCAGGCATGGAAGACGACCCGATGCTGCGCATGATGATGCAGATGCTCGGCGGCGGCAACGGCAACGGCCAAAACCCCTTTGCAGCAGGAGCAGGAGCGGGCGGCATACCCTCCTTCCCCGCTTCCTCCTCCTTCGGCGCGAACAACAACAACAACAACAACACAGCAACAACAGCACCCCTCCCAAACCGCTACGCATCCCTCTGGCGCCTGCTACACACCCTCGTGGCCCTCGCGTTGGGCCTGTACATTACCGCGTGCACGCCCTTTACGGGAACCAAGCTGTCGCGGGACCGGGCGGCGGCCGCGGCAGCAGGGAGTGTCGTGGAGAGGGAGAATCTTGTTTTACTTAATAGTGGTGGTGGTGACGGAAGCGAGGTGACGCGGAACTTCTTTTGGGCGTTTGCCACGGCCGAGGCGCTGCTGCTCGGGAGTCGGTTCTTTGTCGAGCGAGGGCGGAGCAGGCTGGAGGCTGCCTTTGGCGGCGGGGGTAGTGGGTTGTTGGGGTTGGTGGCTGGGTTCTTGCCGGCCAGTGTCAGGGGGAAGGTGGAGTTGGCGATGCGGTATGGCGAGGTGCTGGGGACGGTAAGGCGGGATGTGCTGGTTTGTGTGTTTGTGCTTGGGGTGACGAGTTGGTGGAGGGGGTAGTCATCTAGGGTCTTGTTTAGGTTACTTGGGCTGGAGAATGGTGATGGATGCTGGTAAAGGAGCGAGCGGTTGCATTAGTGTTACCAGGTTGTGACTATGCGTTTGATCTACCTACATTCAACGTATCCGAATCCTCTCTGTGTTGGAACGGGATGTAATACTGTTGTAAGCAAGTGCCCGACTGCAGCCAGATAACAGTGAACGGTCATTTTCGTGTTGCCCTGGTGCAGGAGGGAGCACTTTAAGAATCCTTCCGTGAGGAGACGAGTCCCGAATCATTGATGGACTGATCCTCCCGGGAGGTATAATCCCTCCTCTTCGAGCGTCGGTTCTATCCCCACAACCTTTGCGCTTTCCAGGTCAAGCCACTAAGCTTGAGTCTTGATAAGTCTTCGCCAGACTTCTTGATTATCAAATCGTGAGCCTGCAACATACACTCTGATATCCCCAGTCCGCAGCTGGATGCCATGTATAAGCCCAAGTAGTCGTTTCAAGCGCTCTTGGTACCAATACAGCGACAAGCACTGATCACACAGCGGCACACACGTTGCAAGACAACAGGTTAGAGATATCGATCAACGAGGAGTGCGCATCATCTTGAGCCAGACGGCACGCTACCTGGTCAAAATGTCTCGTGGTTTGCGCCAGATGCTCTCGAGACTAGCAAACAAACCAACCGTCTGTGGGCAGCCCTAGGATAATAATACCTGACACTCCCTATTATCCCTAGTGCATTTTCAACGTGCTTAGGCTGGCCTTACCTTCTTCCCGTGGCTAGTCCCCTACGAGAGACTCATGCATGCAAATGCCCAACGACTCTGCAACCCGCAATAGCAAGCATTTGCCCTCTCAACAACCGTGTGCTGAATTATCTGCGTCATCAAACATCCCTGCGGCGAGAAACCGGCAGTAGAAAGATGTTTCTGCAATGTCGACCAGACAGACAAACTACCTAAGGTAGCTGGGCAACTCCAACCAGGACAGTCAACCTTGAGAACATTTCGCCAGGACTATCCATCCATAGATGTACCGGGAACGAGGAGCCAGAAAAGCACCATGCCGACCATCAGATCAGATAACCCAGAGGGGAGCTTGAACTCGCTTTCTCCTCATGTACCATCCTGACGATCAATCCCACTCCTGCAGATCTAAGCGGCAACTACAATTTTCGACAACGTCCAAAAGTGCCCAGGGCAAAGAACAGGCAAACCAGCCACACCGGCTAGGTCGGGCGAATGCTATGTTTCCTTTATATTTTCCTCCCCCCAATGTCCCAACCATGCCCACCACCCATGCACCCCCCATTCCATGCCACAATACCCACACGGTATAAGATGATAGTAGCTACTCACATTCACTACTCAGCACAACCCAGAGAAGACCCAGAAGAGCAACAGGCAAAGTGAACAGAGAAAACCCGTGGTATAGCCCGCCTCCCGGCCCCTCCCAAAGCTAGCCCATGCATAAAGAGGTATCTACGCAGAACCGTATAGGTGGTATATATGTGAGAGAGTCTGAAAAGCTCCCAGGGGAGGAGAAAACAACAAGCCCGCAGAGAAAACATGTAACGGCGCCTTTCCCAGCCCCCTTTCTTTCTTTCTCTCTGTCTCATGCCCCAAAGATGGTCCATCCGGTTAATGCATTTAAAAAGATCCAACCCGCCGCCGCCCGCCCAAGCCCAAAAGGTATGTTATGTTAAAAAAGCTCAACTACCCATTTCACCTCCAAACCGGACGTGGTACAAGAGAACCAGCCAAATGCAATTCCAAGCCCCTGTCCATTTCAAATTCATGCCATCCCATGGCAACCTGCAATAGAAGTTCATGACTCTGTCTGCGTCTGTGTTGGAACCGGAGTCTGCTGCGTCTGAGCACGCACCTCCTGACCCTGGCCCTCAGCCGAAGCCTCAGCCAGAGCAGGTGCCTCAGCGAGAGCTTCTTGAGCCTGGCCCTGCTCCCCCTGAGCCGAGAAACCATTCACTCCACTGTCACCACCACTCCCACTTCCTATGACAGCCGATTGGGCACCGGCCGCGCCAGACAAATACGCATCCAACTTCTTCTTCAACACCTCGCTCCGCACGGGCTTGGCCAGGTAATCATCCATGCCCGCCGCTAGACACTTTTCCCTGTCCCCCTGGATTGCCGACGCCGTCATGGCAATCACCAGCACCTTCCTGACCGACTCGAGCTCGTCGTGCCGCAACAGCTTGGTCGCCTCGTACCCGTCCAGCACCGGCATCTGCACGTCCATGAGGATGATGTGGTACGGCGTGCCCCGCCTCGCCTTCTCGCGCAGGCCCTCAACCGCCTTCAGCCCGTTGTCATACGTGTCCACGTTCGGATACCCCAGCCGGTGCATGTATTGCACCGCGATCCGCGCGTTGATCGTGTTGTCCTCGGCGATGCAGATCCGGAGTTGGTCTTTGGGGATCTTGGAGAGGTCCGGGGTCGTCGAAGCGGGCGCATGAGGGGCCGCGGTCGGGGCGTGAGAGGGGGAGGGGAGCTCCTCAACGGTTGGGAGGGGTTGCCTGCCGGGGTAGGAGCGGCCAGGTTCTGGGAGGACTCCGCGCGGCACGATCTGCTCGTCACCGGCGACTACTTCAGGCCTGGCCTTCTCGAACGTGACGGTGAACCAGGCGGTTGTGCCGACGCCCTCTTTGCTTTCGAGGCGGATCTTGCCCTTCATCATGGTCTCGATCAGGGACTTGCAGATGCTCAACCCCAGCCCACTGCCGCCGTATTTCCGCGCTGTGCTCGCGTCCGCTTGGCTGAACGGCTGAAAGAGGTTCTCGAGCTGCTGCGGCGAGATGCCGATTCCCGTATCCTTGACCCAGAACGTCAGCGTCGCATTGTCTTCGGTCTCGGAGTCGATCTGGGCGCCAATGGTAATTGACCCGTCCTCAGTGAACTTAAGGCTGTTCCCGATAAGATTGCCAAGGACCTGGTGCAGACGAATGGGATCGCCGTAGATGAGCATGGGAGGCAACTTGATGTCCTGGATGATCTTGACGTTCTTCTTGGACGCCTTCTCCCTGTTGCTATATGAGACAGCCCTGACAACCTCGCGCACCATCTCCTGGGGGTTGAAGGCAATGATGTAGAGCTTCATCTTGTCAGCCTCCATCCGGGAAAAGTCCAGAATGTCGTTGATGACGGCCAGAAGCAAGTCCGCGGAAACTCGGATCGAGTCGGCCATCTCGAGCTGCTCCTTGTTGAGGTTGCTGTCTCGCAGCAGCTCGGAATTGCCAATCACGCCATTCAGCGGTGTCCGCAGCTCGTGCGACACATTAGCGAGGAATATCGACTTGGCCTTGGTCGCGTCCTCGGCAAGCTTGACGTTGCGAATCGCCTCCGCCTCGGCGTTCTTTGCCTTGGTCTCGGCCTCTATCGCCTTGGCCAGCGCTCGTTTCTGGAGCTCCACCATTGAAATGTTCTCAGCCGACACCTTCTCAACCGCCTTCATGGCGAGCGCGTTGGAGAAGCTGATGCCAATCTGGTTGACCAAAAGCTGCAGGACGCTGACGTTGCGATCCGTGAAGGACCCGGGCGCGCCTTCGAGGTAGAGGACGCCCAACAGCGGCTTCATTCCGTGGCAGATAGGGATGGCAATAATGGCCTTGCTGCCTGGGTTTCTCCGCAGCCAAATCTCGCTGACATTGCCGAACCGTTCATCGCTGAGTAGGTCCTGGAGGAAGATGACCTCGCGGAAGCGGGTGCAGTAGAGCACAACGTTCTCCGCCACAAGATCCGTCACGCTCAGCGGGATGCCCGGCATATGTGCTTCAGCACCCTTCTCGGGATCACCGCTAGCAGCAACGCACCAGTCTGAACTACCTTCGTCCTGAACGACGATGGCAGCTAGCGTGGCCGAACCGCTACAGGTCTGGAGGATCACGTCGCACATTGTCTTCAAGAGCTCGTCAATTCTCAGCACCGAAGAAATGACCTGTGACGACACCAGGATTGCATGCAAGTCGATCATATCGAGCGCAGGCAACCCGACCCCGGCTTCTGGTTGCATCGAGCCCCGCCAAGCCGTCATGCGCTCTCCCCTCAGGGCAGCCACGGCGGCCTGGGAAGCTTGCTGGGATTCGTCAGGGCCGTCGCTCTCACCAGTTCGATACTGAGCGGCCGCGGCATCGCCGGCGAAGTCGGTCTGGACTCCCTGGTCAAGAGTGCGAGGATTCCGCATGGCCCGCTGGAGCAAGATGCTGTGGTCGCTCTCAATCCGGTCCGCAACGCCCGTCGCGCCGAACTGGCGATACAGGGCGATGGCATCGCGCAGGGCGGAACGCGCAGACCGTCTCGCCGCGTTCCTGATGAAGATATTGGCCATCAGGTAGTTTCCGAGCGCCTCCTCAAAGGTAAAGCTGTGTTCCGAGGCATGGTCCAGAGCCTCCTCGTACTGCTGGATGGCCGTGCCATGATTGCCGAGCATCTCCGAGATTGAAGCATCGAGCAGCTTCGACCACGCAAAGTAATTGACGCTACCGACAACCTGCCAGTCCTTAATCTTCCTGTTGACCGCCTCAACCTCCCGAACCGCTTCCTCCACATGGCTCTTGAGCATATCCGGTGAGCGAGGGTCCCCTTGGCGGCGCAGGACAGCACCAGTTAAAGCCAAGCCGTAGAAGAACATGGCTAGCCTCGTGTTGCGCGCTGACCACAGGAGATCGGCGCGTTCCCAACAAACCTTGCCGATCTCAATTGCCCGCTCGTAGTGCCCGTACAGGAACAAGGGCACGATCTCCATCGTCTCGTAGATCAGCAGCGACCGGCCGCCGTTGTTGGTGTTGGTCGTGAGCCAATTCTTGTAGGTGACAGTGTCATGGTGTTCGTCGCTCATGACCCCCATGGCATCCGATACGCGCGTCTTGCCTTGGAGTGCGCGGCAAACTTGTCTGAGAGCAATGAGGATCGTGCCACCTCGCGTGTCGAGATGCCAGCTCGGTATCTCTTCACAGCCATACTGGCAAAAGGCCTCCAGATCGGCGCAATTGTCGCTGGCAAAGAACTTGAGCTGCGCCGCGAGCCCAAAGCTGAGGATGGTCGATATCCTGTCTCCTGCGGCGGCAGCGTAATCCACCATTCCCTCGAGCTGGCCCACCGAAACGCTTATGGGATCTTGAACGTGACCGATGAAGTTGGCATAGATCATGTAAGCTCGAGCGACGTAGAAGGTATCGCGGCACTTATCCAACAGCTCGAGGCAGACGCTCGCCAACTGGGTCGCGAGCTTGCCGTTATTGAACCGCGACAGGGCGATGATGGACATGTACAGGAAGGCCATGCCCGACTGCGGGTACGCGCCTCGGGTGAAGTGTGTCTCCACCATGAGGAGGGTCAGCTGATAGAAGATTGCGCAGTCGGCCCACCATCCGGCGCTTGCTGTCTCGGCCAGCACCGCCCCGACCGATGACAGCATCGGATCCGTCGCCGAGGGGGGTTCCAGCACATGCTCGCGCGCCATTGTCTCAATCCTCTTGGTCAAGTGAGCAAAGTGCTCATCGCACTTCTCCATTGTCGGGCTGTCGTCTAGAACCACGTCGAGGGCTCTCAAACACTGTTCTAGCGAGTCCAGGGCCTGCTGTGAGTCGCCGCTGTGCGCGAAGATCCTCGACTGTAGCACCCACGCGGGCGCCTTGTCGAGAGTTGTCTTCGCGTGGTCAAAGATCGTCTGCAGGACCAGATTTGCGGCGTTGTGATGACCCATAAACAAGTAGCACTCGGCTGCTTGAAGATACAGCTGGAGGGTCTCATCATACGACACATCTTCAGCATTCTCGTCCCAGGGATTCGGCTGTAGTAGTGCCACAGCGTTACTGTAGTACTTGGACGCGGTGGGACGTGCGCCGCTTTCGGTGGCCTCTTGGGCGCGCTCAAAGAGCACCTTGCGGAAGGACCGTCGAACGCGGACTCGCTTTCTGATTATGTCGACAGATTCGCAGATGTGGGAAGCAGCATTGTCTTTCAGCGCCGGATTATCCGAGTAGTGCTTGAGGAGAACCTGGGCTATGACAAAATGCATCTGCCGGGCATTGCACTCTCTCAGTGCCGAGGCGGCTTGGATGTAGCGGTCGTGGGCGAAGCGGAAGTGGTCGTCCCGGTCGCTAGGGACGATGATGAAGGCTTGGATGGCGGCCTCGAGACCGGACACGACATCCTCCTGCGAGGATGAGGTGATCAACGGCTCGCCCGGAAATTCCGGGCAATCGTCGGCAAACCGTTGCGCGTCCATCAGCTTGCAGATCAACTCGAACGAAAATGTGTGCCCCAGGAGGGCCGCCCACGCAAGGATGGACCTGGAAGCCGCCGGCAGCTCGCTCAGGCGGCGTGTGATGAAGCCTGTGTCAAGCACATCGTAATCCTCCTCTCCCTTGAACTGATCAAAAAGCTTGTCCAGATCGTACGTCCAATGGCCGGCGATGTAGTCGTACCATATGCACTTCTTTCGGTGACCTGCGCTGAGCATTTCTCGCATATAAAAAGGATTCCCAGCCGTCTTGGACTGGATGACCAGGGCCAGCGGCAGCACCTTCTCCTTGGGCAGTGATAGGGTAGCCGAGACATAGCGGACAATGTCTTCCTCCCCAAGCGGCATCAGCGTAATCCTGGTCATGATGGGACCACCGGTTCTAGAAGAGTCGTCAGATTTGGCCGGGCTCAAGATGTCGCGCACAGTCTCGAAGGACATCTCTTCTGGGCGGTATGTGATGATGAGCATCAGCTTTAGCCTGGTGCCGACGATCTGGGCGATGAGCTCCAGGGATTCATCGTCGGCATATTGCAGATCATCCAGGCAAAAGCATATGAACTTGTGCTGAGTGAAGACCCTCAGTACGTCGAGGAAGGTGTTCATCAGCCGGTTAGTCTTTGTGGAAGCACCGGCACGGAGGAAGTCCCGCGAATTCCGCGACGACGACTTGCCGGATGACGCCGCCCGCAGGGCGGAGCGGCTAGGCGACAACTCCGGGGAGGAGCCATGTCTCTTGAGTTCAGGGCTAGGCGCCTGGGAACCGGAAGAGGAGCGTACGGGCTGTGCTTCTGCCGGCGGCGGGAGGAGAAAGTCTGGGAGGCCTAGAGCCTTGTGCAGCATCGGCCACATCGGTCGGACGTAATGTCTGAGGGATTGGTGAAACGGCGTTTCCGTGTTCCTCTCACCCTGCGCTTGGCGGAAGAGGGAGGAGAGAAGCTTTAATAGCGGCCCGAATGGTGTTCTCCTTGCCCGGTCAAACTTGGCAGTCGCACAATAGCCCCTTCGGCGGGCATCTCCGAGAACGGACTGGACCAGGCAGCTCTTGCCGAGGCCGCCGGCTCCCTCGACCAAGACGATATCGCAATAACCCTGTCTCCTAAACTTGGCTGTGCCGAGCTGCCGAGACAAGCTGGCAGACGTTGAATCTGTTGTCACAGTGGGGCCATGTCGTGAAGGCTCAGACGTTTGATCGGGGGTGTGGCCGCCATCAAAAATCGCGTTCATGTCCCATGGACGGAGGGGGCGAGGGCCGCCCGACAAAGCCGAGACACCGGAAGAACTGGTTGAGACAGAAGTTCTCGCCGAGTCAGCTCCGGTGGCTGGGGGTGAGGGTTGCAGTTCCGTCTTCTCTCGGGAATCTGCTTTTGGGACTGAGCCGTTCTGACGGTTCACACCGCCCGCCGAATACCCGCCGTCGCTAGAGGTGTCTCCGACATCGTTGGCGTCAGTACCGAAGCTGGATCCATCGGAATGCCGGTGCATGGCGCTGGTTTGAGTCACACAATGACTTCTTGCGGCCTTTTCGATGAGCTTGATGAGCTCATTCCGCTCTGCGTCTCGGCCTACCAACTCCGTTGTCAACCTGAATGAGGACGAGACGTCTCTGGTACCTATCGGCCAGTCTCGCAGGGCTGCCGAATCGCCGGCGCCAAGCATTTTTTGGACGGCAACCAAATCGTAGCGCAAACCACCGGCCGAATAATACCTATCGTTGACATTTTTTGCTGTGCATTTTTGAATGATCCTTCCAATGACCTCGGGAACATCCATGCGTATCGCGGTAACGTTGGATATCCTCCGGCCAAGCACAGCCTGAACGACGTCCAGCGGCGTTTCTCCCGGGAACACGGGTTGTTGCGTCAAAAGGATCCAGAACAGGATGCCAAGCGAGTAGATATCGGTGCGGGTGTCTGGCTCGGCAGGCATTCGTCCCGTCTGCTCGGGGCTGATGAACTGCAGCTTGTGTTTGGCACCCAGTGCTTTGGAGAGAGCTGACCAGCCGGTACTCGTCAGCCCGTGTTCAAAAGATCGGAGTCCCGATCCGAACGAAACCAGCTTGACTTGGTTCGTCTCAATGTTGTAATGGAAGGCGTCGCCTCGGATTTCACCGTGCACAATGCCCTGTCCGTGATGGACGATCTCCAAGCACTGGGCTGCGCCAATGGCGAAGTCGAGGAAATTTTGCAGGCTGATCGGCGGTTCCAAGGTTGGGTGGTCATTGTGGCAGGCCTCCCACCGGTCGTGTTCCTTTTTTGCAAAGTAAAATGCGGGCCCAAAGTCGAGGAGCCTAAACAGACTATTCGGGCCCGGGTCCTTGTAGATGGCCACAATCAGGGGGCCTCGGTCGCCGGGCGCTGGCGGCAACCGCACGACATCCAGCGGCTTGACGATACGCTCTCCTTTGGGGTCGACACTAGAGACCAAGCTTTTTGATATGTAGAAGGCCCTCTCCTCGCGCAAAACGTGATACGATACCTTGGCGACCACGCGCTGTTCGATGAACGTAGTACCCGTCATGGCGGTGGAGGTGGTCGGCGGAAGGGAACCGGCCGAGCGGTCGGAGAGCGGCTCTGATCCTGATGATACATTCGAGCAGTGATCTGCAGAGGATGCGCAGCTGGCCGGAGGGGGGCTCCCACGGTGATGGGGAGTGGGCGAAGCGATGCCCGCACTTGCGGCGGGTGGACGGGTCGAATGGGGCGAGACAAACCTCGTTCCGAAGACGTGCCAGTTGTCGTAGGTCGAGTGGTAGGGGCGCCGTGAGTCGTCCCAGGTGTAGCCGGCGATCTGGTGCAGTCGTTCGAGGATGCGGGCGGGCGACTCGAGCAGCTGGTCGTCGTGAGGCCGGCTAGCAGGCCCGGCGGTGGCGGCGGCGGCAGCCGAGTCCATGATCGCGAGCAATACCTCGGGCGGTATCCGCAGGACTCAAGTGTGGTAGGCTGGCCGGACAGAAATCAAGTGAGGTGAAACGGTCATGTTATGCTGCTGTAGTTGATGCTACTGCTGCTCCTGACCACTGCCCGCAATGGGTGGGAGCAAAACGGAGAATCGGCAAGCGGGGGCCGTGGGCAGAGGGCAAATAGCTGCACTCCAGAGCGGGACCCGCCAGAGGGTTCTCTGATTTCGCAAGCGGCCGTGATCACGGATATTCTCGAAGGCGGTCAAAATGTGTCTCGTGAGTTTTTACAGAAAAGAAAAGGGGGCTTGTCGGCGCGGTACTAGCGTTGCTTTGCGGTGGTGATGGTTGTGATGGTTGTGATGCGAAGGACCATAATCTCAGGACCCTGCGAGTTGTAATGCGTGCCGTGGCGAGGCCGACCTTGTTTCGGGGAGGCGGTACGGAGTACCTAAACAGTAACCGACGACCGAGCTCTCAGCTCAGGGCCCCATCCAAACAGAAACTCAGAAGTGGTGTGGTCACTGTGCTGGTTAGGGTCGTGCAGACCGTGGGGCCGAATTGGATGCGATGGGGCCTGTGGCGGCAGATGAGAGGTTGAGGGAGGGTTGCCGAAACCGCCGAGCAGCAGTGAGTGATGGACTCGGAGGCGGCAATGACAAAAGCAATCATGTAGAGGGGGACAGTCACCAGGTGCGGGTCCCCGGAACCCCGGGAAATGCAAGATCCCATGCGGATCCGTTCATACAGAGCATGAAGACACACTGCAACTCGGACAAGCGATTTGCACAGGCAGGAAAGAAGCGTCATCCTCTAAACATATTCACGGCCATTCTCTACACGTTTCGTCTTGGTTGGGAATGGTAACCTGCTGGGATCAATGCAAAGCAGCGACGACTTGGCGGCCAGCAGTATCCGCAAAATGGCGTGGTGTGCGAAAAGGGAAGCGCAATTACACTACGGAAAGGGATGGAAAGCGGGCTTTGACGGTTGTCAGTCGTTTCCAAGTTTTCCCATCATTCCACCTTGACCGGTTTGATCCTGCCGCAGCCCTCCTTTTTTAGGAGCAACAGCTCCCTTTAGTAACCTCGACAGGTCGGCGCCAAGATATACGTTGTCGGCGCTGAAGAAGACTGACAAGACCAACTCGCGCACCTAGTGTATTTGTGTCGGCACTGTCGGGTCATCGTATATAAAACCTCAATCGAATATGTCCAGCTGCGAAGAGTTCGGGGCCATTTGAGCCTCGTCACTTTTTCCCCGGTGACGCTAAAGCACCGTTGACGTCACTGAACAGCTGCAGCCAGTCAAGTGGAAGTGCTTCTGTTACAGCCCTGTCCGCCGACTTGATTTGAAGAACTGAAGTGAAACGACCGGACAAGCCATTCTCGCCAGCCACATCCCATACGAAATGCCAAGCATTTTAGTGAGAGTAAACCGACGGGAGGTAATAACAGATATAGAAGAAAGAATCCCCATCAAATTTTGTATTACCGGTATTCTATGCCCCTTTATCGGCTTCTATGCCGAACCGCTGGCAGAAAGTCTATCTAGTATCTAGTCTCCCAAACCAATACCACGGCCAAACAGCCGGACGTCAGGTTTTGAAGAGAAAGTACCGTGCGCCTCACGAACAATACCCGCGGCCAGTTCCAACCTGCCATGCACGCGAAAAATACTGCTTCCATCATCTCGGTCGCACACGACGTCAGAGCCCTTTCGTGCCTGGCCGGCTTCCGCGATTCGCTTCCCTCGTCCCTTATGCTCCTGACGCGGGTCTGGCAGGGAAGACGTCTGTAGGAACGCCGTTAGCTGACCCTGACCCCGACCCCGTATTGTAGAAGCTCTGCGCAAGCCGGCGCTCCGTGTTCTGGCGCGTGTTGACAAAATCGGGATAGTTGAGTGTCAGCTCGACGGCGCCGCAAACAATGTTGTCGACCGCCTCCACGCCGAGCATGAACGAGTGGTCCTGGTTTCCGACCTCGTACCGCCAGCTGCCGAACCGACCGCGCGACCAGATGTCCATGTCCTGGAGCTTGGGGAGGAGCTCCTTGAGCACGCCCTCTCTCTCGAGCGACGGCGTCGGGTAGCCATGGTCGAATTTGCGGTGATAAGTCGAGACGATCTCGTCCTCGGGCTTGATCATCTCGGTGTTGATGAGACCCTGGATGCAGTCCTTTAGGATATTCGCCTCGTCGACTAGTTTCATGCTGGACTGTGACACCTCGAGCATGATCGACCAGTAAGGACCCTCCTTTGCCTCGCTGCTCTTGGGCTTGCTTCCATCCGCATGGTACAGCGTCGGCAGCTTGACATCAGCTTGTGGCTGGTTGTACGGGGAGTAGTTGGAAAAGATGGTGGCGCGGTAGAACGGGCAGTTGCCCTCGGGGAAGTAGAGCTGTTCCAAGGGTTAGCGTTGCGTTCGGCAGCAGGAGCCGTGCGACCTGATCCTTACCCAGCATTTGTCACCAATTCGCTCCGGGCGCTCGCCACGGATACCAACGCCAATAACGTGGGTCGATGAGTAGAAGAGGCCCTTGGAAAGTTTGATCAGCTCCTGGTTGCCCATCTTCTCCACAAGATGGTCCACAGCCATTGTGTTGATGAGCTTGCCGTAGCCAATCGTGGTGCCGTCCTTCAACGTGACAATCTTCTTCTGAGCGTCAACCTTGGTAACCTCACCCTTTTGCCCGTACCGCTTCTTTTCCTTCGGGAGCGTATCTGACACAGCAACCCAGATGCCGCCAGTTCCGTCCCTCGCGGGGAACCTGAAGGTGGCATTGGGGCCCCAGTTGCCGGCAACTTTATTGAGGATAACGTTCTTGGTAACCAGCTTGACGTCGGGAGCGGCAACACGCTCACCAAGCCACTGGCATTGCATCTGGACATGTGGTAAGCATTGGGCCGGCAGAGCCAAGCACAGCAAGCGCATACCTTGGTAGTAGGCACCGCCCACACCTTGTAGTTGTAGGGCCGCATGAAGATATCCGCGACACCCTCGCCGCACGTCCGCAGAATCCACTCGTCAAAGTCCTTGGGCTTCGTTGTGGCAACACGAGAGGCCATGGCAGCGTCGATGAGCCCATCGATGCACTTCACCTGGTCTTCCTTGGGCAGCATCGAGATGTTGTTTTGGAATGGGTAGGGAACCCAGAGGCCCTTGTACCGGACGTAAGAAATGCGCTGGTGAGTATACCAGTCATCCTCCTTAGGAAGAGCCTCATCGAGGCAATCGTCAAAGTACTTGTAGTGCGAGAAAATAACGTGGCCGCCGACATCGTAGAGCTGGAACGGGTGCCCGTTAGCGGGGGGCTTCGTAGCGTGATGTCAATCGCCTGCCACTTACGAAGCCCTCAGGAGTAACGTCGGTGGAAGCAAGACCACCAGCCTTCTCGTTTGCGTCGACAATCAGCCACGAAGGACCATTCTAGCACTTTGGTCAGCAAAACAAGGGGTGGCGGCGGGAGAAAAGGTCATGAGCCTACGATATGGTTGAGACGCTTGGCAGCACCCAAGCCTGTCGGGCCGGCTCCAATGACAAGGACATCGACGTTGCTTTGGGGCTGAAGTCAGCGGACCTGATCTAAATTGATGATGTGGCATCTTTTGTCCCAAAACCTACATATCCGCCATTGTGAGAGCAGGTGGAGGTTGTAAAACGCTTGCGGGTGTCACGGAGGAGGATTTGGCCTTGGGTAAGGAGCAACGAGAGTGCTGGCTGTGCAGAGATGTTAGATCTGTATGAGTTTAAGCAAACGACCGATGATCACCTATAGCAAATAAAAACTAAAGGATTGTGGTGTTGATGTCAAGAAAAGGAAAGCCCGCTATCACACCGCGTCGTTCCTTCCAAGGGTGATGAGGCGGTAGTTACATTTTGAAGGTGTCGACCACATTTTTGAACCCCCGCCCGCAGCGATGCAGGTGTTGTCTGGGGTTCTTGCTGTTGCCAGGATTGGGCCAGGCCGCTGCCAAGCTCCAGGAAAGAGGCAACAAAAGGGGCGCTAAAATTGTACGCGTCTCGAAACGGCTGGTCAGTGGGATCTGCGATTGCATGCAACCCTGTGAGGCGTCGTTTCGAATCTCTTGGGGAACGATTTCTCCCATTTCCATGGATCATCCCGCGATGCCTCACTTCGCTTCGCGGTGGGGCATAACCTTGTTTGTCGGCATGCACGGCACCGGCAATGGCCCATGTATTGTACTTGTTCGAGCCAGGGGTACACAGTGTGGAGACAACATTGGTGTGTGGCGGCCACGGTTGCAACACAAAAGCCCAACAACGCTCATCATCTCGGTTCTCCGAAATTGGCGTCGACAATCACGGAGGAACAGGAGAAGTCGGTGGGACGACCATGTCAATGGCGAAGCGGTGTCCCGTTCTTTACTGTTCTGTGATATGGCGATGGCTGTGCCTTGACCCGCTCTCCATCTTGAATCCGAGACCTGGAGAACGGGCGGCGAGTTCCCAAGTTTTTGTGTACACCGCATATCGACCCACCATGCCGGCTGCGCTTGTTTCATGATCGCGATCGTCAGGGCAGCACGCCAAGTCTGAGTAGAATACCAGAACACAGCCGCCAGCGAATCGAAGGGATCAACATGAGCAACAAGGAACGGTTGCAGGTAGAAAAGGAGACTTGATTGAGCGAGACGAGGATCATCCGCAATGGGTCGTTCGAACCGGGTGCCGGTCTCAATTGGAGGCAAAGGGTGACGTCGCTCATGTGTGCGGGCCGGCTAATCGAGGCACGTTGTACGGAGTACGGCTTCGACAACAGATTTGAGGTCACAGCGGCGGCCTGGCAGGCTGCGTGAGCAGAAGGTTGAAACAAGCCAGGAAAGGGACGCTTCCGAAAGAACGCTGGCAGGCTGTATGCTTTGTGCACCTCGAAAGTCCCACCCTGTACCATGCCTGCATATAATAGTTGCCTGCAGTTTCATCACGGCGCTGCTCGTAGGCCAACGTGCCCGGCCCACAGGACGCGTGTACGACTCCTGTACCTGCCTCGCCCGCCAGAGGCCCGTGTGGGATGTGTCCAGCGCTGGTTCGCTTTTTCATTCAGTCAGTCTGCCGTCTGATACAGTAAGGCTGTGCTGGAACAATACCTTATGGGGCTACTCCGTTGGGGCGGTCAGCGATCTCGGCATGATACACACGGCACGGCAGGCTGATGGGAAGCGTCCCACGCAGCCTCAGCGCGAGGATCTGGCCGCTCCGAGATCCCTTGGCATGAATCTCGTTACCGTTTTGCAACAACGTCATAACGGGCTTCTCTAACGCCAATTCTCACACATCGTGGATCGGCGGGTTCAGGTCTTGAATCAACACCGCTAGCGTCATCGCCGCCAGCCTGACAACGACCTCCAACCATCACCAAACGGCACACCTCATGCATCCTGAGATGGCAGTGGAGCGAACGACACTAGAGAAATTCGATACTGTATTGCGCCGTCCCAAGCAGAAGACATTGACCGCACGACTCGCCAATGAGCTTCCAACCCGATGCACCTAAAGTCAGCACAATCGGCAGCGTTTGCGTCTGATGCCCCAATCTGACTGACACTCAGGTATCTTACCTACCGGCCTTACTTATAGTACTTTCTACTTCTTATTTTCTAGGTACAGGTAGTTTGCTAGAGACAGGTATTCATTCTGTCTTGCGTACGTTGTCGCAACCAGGGAAGCCCGAGTTGCGTTCCACAGCCCCACCCAGTACGTGGCGATCGGGAGGCTGCTGAGATGCAGGACAGCCCGCACCAGAATGCAATTCAACCCAATTTGTTTGCGCGAGATCCTGCTGGCAGAAGTTTCGGTCCACTCCTTCTCCCCTCTCATGGTGCCGATCCTGTAGTCAAAGAAAACGTTAGGAGCAGAGCCCACTCTGGGGCCGGTTTACCGACCGGAAGCCTGACAAGCCATGTTCCATAATAAGTCCACAACATGGTTCTGTGTCATTAAGTAATGTACCATTGTTTGACTCGTGGAATCTAACCAGTGCCCCATCTTCGAAGAACATATTCTGCATAGTTGCTGAACCTAGAAGTTGTTCTTTGCGGCTCTCCTGTATCAGTTGCCTTGCAGGTAAGGATCAACAGAAGCATCCATTCCTTTGACTGATCGCTCCACGCCACGTCCCCACTATGAGCCGCCTCCACGGACAGGGTTCCGACTCGGCAAGATCTGGAACCGTTTCCTCCTAAAACCAATTATCCTTGGCACAGTGCAAACGCAACTTTCCCCTGAGAGGTGCCAAGTCTAGGCTTGCTCTTTCCACAAGGCGACCGACCCCAATTAATTGCAAGACGTCCGCAACCTAAGTCCATGCTGCAGATTCTCACGTCGTCACTCTTCGCCGACCCTCTCGACATACACGATTCCCAACCGTCAGTCGCAGCTGGCTTTGACCATCCATTCGTTTTCTCCGTCTGGCGCTGCCGCTCGAACCGCCAACGGTTCCCCGCTTCCTGTCGACACGTCCGGGACCCCATCAATTTTTGACTCGAGATTGCGGCCGGTTCCAGCACCACAAAATCCAGGGATAGAAATGGGCGTCGAAGAAAAGACACGGGCGTCGGGCGATCAACCTAGAGAGGGAGATGGCCCGATTCTTCCGACCGTGGACCCCGAGGCCGAAAAACTTCAACCACCCAAGCCGTCACTGCATCCCGCTTTATACGTGAGGTGAGTCGATCAATGCCAGTGACGGACGGTACGCCTTCGACCGAGCGTACGGTTAACCCGTAACCCCGACAGCGTCTGGATCGCACTCAGTTCTTCGGTCATTCTGTTCAACAAATGGATACTCTCAACGCTCGGATTCGGTAAGGGCACCGAGATTGGGAGGACTGGAAGGCTCAAGACGAGATGCTGAGATTTGGCAGCGTACCCGGTCATTCTGACCACCTTTCACTTGACCTTTGCGACCATCATGACACAACTCCTGGCACGCTACACGACGCTCCTCGATGGACGCAAGACAGTCAAGATGACGGGCCGCGTCTACCTCCGCGCAATCGTCCCAATCGGCTTCTTCTTCAGCTTGAGCTTGATTTTCGGCAATCTCACATATCTCTACCTCAGCGTTGCGTTCATTCAGATGCTCAAGGTTGGTGCCGACGGTTACACTTTCGACTTTCCGCCAGACAGTTGTACTGATCCAGGCCCAGGCCACTACTCCTGTTGCGGTCCTTCTCTCTAGTTGGGCCCTCGGCGTCTCGCAGCCGAACCTCAAGGTCTTCCTCAATGTCTCGGCCATCGTCGTGGGTGTTGTCATTGCCTCGATCGGCGAAATCAAGTTCGTCTGGATCGGCTTCATCTACCAGATTGCCGGCATCATCTTTGAGGCGCTTCGTCTCACCATGGTCCAGCGACTCCTCAGCTCAGCCGAGTTCAAGATGGATCCTTTGGTGTCGCTGTACTACTTTGCCCCTGTCTGCGCCGTCATGAACTTTGTGGTGGCCCTCTTCTGGGAGATCCCCAAGGTTACCATGAGCGAAGTTTACAACGTCGGCCTGTTCATGTTCTTCCTGAACGGAATGTGCGCCTTCCTCTTGAATGTCTCGGTTGTCTTCCTGGTAAGTCCACTCTTATTCACGGAACCCACCGCGGAACTGCTTGCTAACCACGCCCCTCAATAGATCGGCAAGACCTCATCCCTCGTCCTCACCCTCTGTGGTGTTCTCAAGGACGTCCTCCTCGTCGTCGCGTCGATGATTATTTTTGGAACCCAGGTCACTGCCCTGCAGTTCTTCGGCTACAGCATCGCGCTCGGCGGCATGATCTACTACAAGCTCGGTTACGAGGCCATTAAGGGCTATGCTGGCGAGGCCGGTAGGCAATGGGCTGATTTCGGCAACCGCCGCCCAATACTCCGGCGCGTGGCCGTCATCTTGCTGGCGCTGATGACTGTCTTTGTCGTCCTTGGCGGCTTCGCGCCGTCGTATGATGCGACGCACGTACTCGACACGGCAAAGAATAAGATGGGCCTGTCCAAGTTCTGAGCGGCGACGACAAGTAGAATGTAATTTCAAGGCATGACAATGGTGTGGGCGGACGGGGGTGCATTCCCCACGGCTTCTTTCTTTATAATGCCCACGTTCTTTTTCAAGACCGGGAGTGCAAACAAAACGGGCTAGAGGTGGTACGGTGCTTGCATTTTCTGGAACCTCCGGCTGGGAGCCGCTGAGTAGCGTACGGACGGATGGCTGGGAGTTTATCTTACAATCAATTTGTCGACATGAACATCGATCGCGGTCAGCGGCGATAGCGTGTTTGGTCGGGATTACATACCCAACTCACCGCTGTCATCCCACCATTCTTGTATAAGTCCGTTCTCCCTTCGTTTCATGTACTTACATCCAGAAATTCAGGTCCCGTTCCACGGTGTCATGGCCAGCAGAACACGGGAGGGTGGGCTGAAAGCGTCACAGACCATACGGACTTATGTAAGGGGATAGACTTGTCCGGACAGCATTCGAATCATATCATGTTGTGTATCGTCTTCCAGATCTGGCGAGGTGCCAAATCTAGTGGTCATCGCGGAGGGAATTGCATAGGAGAGAGAAAGAGCTCCACAACATAATCAAGCAGGGAGAATGCCTTGAGCCCAGGATTCGTTACACTCGGCAAGCGCATGGAGAACAAGTACGATGTGGCGGCAGGGGACAGGATATCAGCCAAATGTTGCCCGAGAAGAAATCACATACAAACTTTCTCTCGTTTCGGTGACTGGGCATGTCATGTGTCACAGACAAACGGGAAGCGTTGGACATGTCTCCAAGGACTACCTTGCTCGTCCTACTCTGCGGCATCCCACCGCTAGGCCAGAACATGATCGGTCACTGAGTGCCACGCTGCCGCCAGGTCCGACTTTGCTGCATCCTGCTATGCTCAGGGTCGGCCTTCCGTGCAGCATCGGGAGGCAACGCACTCATCGAGGAGCCACGTTAATGCGGGCCGAATGGTGTCGTCGAATTGCCGTGAAATTCAGCTAGTGAGCCTCAGATTTTTATTCCGCGAATAATGCTGTGTACAGCCCCGAAAAAAACCCGTTCGCCCTGCCCAGCCAGTTGTGAGAATAAATCGATCAGAAACCTGCATTACAGTCAGTTATAGACATCCTTTCTGACTCCAGTCAAGAGTACGGCTCGGTGTGGGAGCGACATACGCAGAGGAGTGAAAAACCACCGGTTCTTGCCGCTCGTGTAGCGCTCCTCCAGGACCTTCTTGACGGTCTTCTTCGCCTCCTCGCGCTGGCTGACCTCCTTGAAGGTATCGGCATTCAGGACCGACTTGAGGCCCTCGAGCTCGAGCGTGTAGCGGGTGGGCATCAGGTGGTTGTAGTTGATGACCTTGATGAAAGGCTTGACCTTGGAGCGCTTCTCCTGCCTCGACTTGGACATGCGGCGCGTGATCTTGCTCGGGTACCGCTCGATGCCCGCAACCAGGGCGTGGCCGTAGGGGTGTGTCTTGCTGCCGGAGTCGACGGGTTGGATGATGACAACCTGAAGAGCCCCGAGTCAGTATTCAAATCTCAACTCTTTTTGCCAAACCCGCAATTTTCCCCTTCTCATGCTGCGATATCCGTGCCTCTCTCACTCATCGTCGCGCATTGCCGTCTGCTAAACCCCGGTAGCACATGTCCGTCCCCTCGCAGCCCAACTCTAAAACTATCGGTTCCGTCGAGGAAAAAGCAGATCCGTTCGGATGGCGTACCTTTTTGCCGGCATAGCGACCCCGGGTAACGAGGCAGACCCTCGACGTCTTAAGGAACTTCATTTTGTCGGTTCTGTTGGGTATAGGACAACAAGGTTAGCGACCCAAAGAACATTGACCGGAGTCACTCCAAATATTGGGGACGCAGCATGTGTTCGGGACATACCTGTTGTTTCCTCTGGCCTTTCCTAAAGTCGATTGCGGGCACAGAGAGTGAGAGCTGAACTGGGCTTGGACGTCCCCCGAAATAATTTCCAGTTTGTGGGCTCCCAAAATTGAGGTGGGCAAACACCGCGGATTGGTCAAATGGCTGACTAAAAGCTGGCCCGTGCGGATTAACCGCCAAGCTCAGCATTGAGCATGTAACATTCGGTAGAAACCCCACTCTCAGCTTCCTCCATTGGGCTCCGAAGAGAATAACCCTCCAAAATTGCACAGCGAGAGCGCCGTCCTGCTTGTTGATGCTTTAGACTCCGCCACTTCCCGACTATCCAGACGCACCCTCCGATAGCGTATATAGCTCCATGACAATGGCCACACCAGTCTACATCATTTCCCGCGTTGCGGACCCCGTCTTCGCCGTCTTTATCGGCATTTCGGCAGCCGCGCTGAGAATCAACCGTGAGGAGAAGGAGAAGGGCAGGACCACTCGGGAGACACTTGAGGCAGGTCGTCGGTAGGTTCAACATCCAGCTGTACGAACTCACTATATTTGCTGAGACGAGTCGGCACAGTCGTCTTGGTTTCCCAAAGAGCTCTTAAGTCGTCGGCGTTACTCGCTATCTAGATGCATCAAGATTTCGAACCTGGTAAACGAAAGACCGGAACGCCACCCTCACAGCCCTAAACGTCAAACGCCGAATCCATATACAAGCGCACTGTTGTGTTTGTCCGGCCGTCATGATGCGAAGCCCGGTCCATACTCCTTCTTCATGGCCTCCCGCACCATTTGGCCGCAGAGCTTGGCAGTCGGGTTTGTGCTTACCGCCAGGCCCTTTGCGATTTCATTCCCGTACCTGCCACCCATGGCAAAATCCCTTGATGCCCGCTCCTCGAATTCCAGCTTCAACCAGCTCGCCTCAGGCCTCGCCGCATCCACCGAGGCTGGCTTCGAACCCATCAGCTTGGAAGTCATCAGATAGATGGCCGCTCGCTGGGTGTGGGCGTTAGACAGTGTCCTCGCGACCTGCGGGTGCAGTCTCGAATACGCCACCTTGGGCGTGAGCAAGGAGATGGCATGGTCGAGGTCGCCCAGCGCAGTTTTTGCTGCCTCTAGCCGCTCGGCATCGTCGGCTTCATGGAGCAGTGCTAGCAGGCTCTCTGGCGCGTCGGCAACAAGCATCGCGTCTCCGTATAGTCGCCTCAAAGCTTGCGCCCTGTTATTGCGGGCGCTGGCATATTGTGGGTGTTCCTGGATGAGCTGGCCGAGCCTTGAGACACAGTTGCGGTACTCTGCAACAATGTCGATATTCGCCGCTCCGCTGGATTGTTGCCTGGTCTGTCGCATCTCGAGCTCCTGGATCGACACGATGATGTCGCGTTCTTGCTGGGAGATTTTTTGGTACTCCTCCGGATCTGAAATATGGGGGTCCTTGGGAAGGGTGGCATCAACCTGGACCAGGAGAGAGGGGTCGGACTCTGGGTCCTTGATCTTTTCGAGGACATTGATGTCGCGCCGGCTCAGCTCAAAGTACGCCATGGTGTCTGTTGATTGAGGCGTTCTGCGTCGTGGTGGTCCTGCTTCTTGACCGTTTTTGGTGGTATCTTGTGGTTGAGCAATACGAGAGAGTACAAATGTCCGAAGCAGTGGAATGGAAACCAAAGCAAATTGGTTGGCAGTTTTCAACCTTGGTGTCTTATGGGATATTCGTGGTGGTTTGCACTCGGATGGCCATCACAGTGGCAGGGTATGGTACGTTATCGATGTTGGCTATTTCACGCCAGAGTGCAGCGGTCGCGTGCATATGATGCTTAGGTCGCTGTTGCTGACCGTTGCCTCCGTCTCGGGTCGTGGTGCGGCTCTCTCGGCAAAAGGCGGCTTTGTGCGGCTTTGGTGGGACATCCATTTCAACTTCGGTGCCATTCCGCTTTCCCATCAACCAACGGGCGGCTCATAGCACCAAACACTCCCAACTCGGCTTTACCGCACCGTTCGTCATTATGCGCGGAGACGTGACAGGCGAGCCAGGACCGTCTGAACCTAGGGAAATGCAGCTCAGTTGCAGAAGGCAATGCTTCAATGGGCAAGAATGTGTTAAAAGTCAGGTATTAGGAAAGCCGTCTCTCCGCATATCTCCGCATAAGGATTTCTTCTACAGTGGGATTTCCATCCGCGCCAACATCATCAGACAAGCCGGGCTCCTCTGGTGTATCGGCTCTGCTTCAGGCAAGCAAAGGACTGGCCCGACCGCGGGTCTCGGGACCTCTGACGTGGGCAACTATGCCGGTCTTTGCCTACCTTAAGCCCCCCCTGGAAACCTTAGGGGGATTGTTAAGCCGAGTTGCTGTCTTCATACCGTCATGGCCCCATTCATATAAGCCGTGAGTCCCTCCTACTACCAATGATCTGAAATTTGATAACCAACGAACACCAAGCCATATCGAGCCATCCATTTGAACGAACTTCTGAACTTTCCGGCAATCAGGTAATTATCAACTCTGCCACAGTGCTCTATCGAATACCTCCCTCCTCAGTCAATCACCCACTCCAAAACCATCCCTGTGAGCATGTCACCGTCTGCAACCTCGGACATCTACGCTTCCTCCGGGGCTTCGGACTTCGCAGTCCAGAGCCCATCGCCCAACTTCAGCGGCTACGACCACATCACATGGTGGGTGGGCAACGCCAAGCAGGCCGCCGGCTTCTATACCACCTTCTTCGGCTTCAAGACCATCGCCTACCGCGGCCTGGAGACTGGCAGCCGCTACTTTGCCTCATATGTCGTGGCCAACAACGATGTGCGCTTCGTCTTCACATCGCCCATCCGTTCGGCCAAGCATCTGCCCGAAGATGAGCCCATCTCGCCCGAGGACAAGCACCTCCTCCAGGAGATGCACGAGCATCTGGAGAAGCACGGCGACGCAGTCAAGGACGTAGCCTTTGAGGTTGACAGCGTCGACGGCGTCTACGACAAGGCCGTGGTCGAGGGCGCCGACGCCGTCCAGCCGCCCATGACGACGGGCGACAAGGAGCAGGGCCACGTGCGCACCGCCGTCATCCGCACCTACGGCGACACTACGCACACACTCATCGCCCGTCAGAACTTCCGCGGCGCCTTCCTGCCGGGTTTCCGCGCCGTCCCGTCAACCTCCGGCACAGCCACCGCCGCCCTGCCCCCGGTCCCGCTCGCCCGCATCGACCACTGCGTCGGCAACCAGGACTGGAACGAGATGGTGTCGGCCTGCGCCTTCTACGAGCAGTGCCTCTCATTCCACCGCTTTTGGTCCGTCGACGACAGCCAGATCTGCACCGAGTTCAGCGCGCTCAGTTCCATCGTCATGGCGAGCCCCAATAACGTTGTCAAGATGCCCATCAACGAGCCCGCGCCGGGCAAGAAGAAGTCGCAGATCGAGGAGTACGTGCAGTTCAACTCGGGCCCGGGCGTCCAGCACATTGCGCTGCTCACGCCCGACATCATCGCCAGCGTGTCGGCTCTGCGCGCCCGCGGCGTGCAGTTCATCGACGTGCCCAAGACGTACTACGAGACGATACGGATGCGGCTCAAGACCGAGAGGCGGGACTGGGAGCTCAAGGAGGACCTGGACGTCATTGAGCGGCTGAATATCCTGATCGATTATGACGAGCGGGGTTATCTGCTGCAGCTGTTCACCAAGCCGCTGATGGACAGGCCAACGGTGTTTATTGAGATCATCCAGCGGAATGAGTTTGACGGATTCGGAGCGGGTAACTTTAAGAGCCTGTTTGAGGCTATAGAGCGGGAGCAGGCAGAGCGGGGGAATTTGTAACTGGGCTTGGTCGTTTGCGATGACGACGACAATGATGTAGATCTATGATAGCATCTGATTCGGTATTTTAGCATCTTAAGTTTTGCGATGCGTTCTCGCTTAAAGCCAAGCAGCCTGCTCTTATCCAACATTTGTCCATGAGGGATGCTCCCGCACCGTGCCATGCTCGCCATCCAACGCCGCAGCCAACCACAAAAGCACTCATATAAACTGAAAATTCACCGGGCCAAGCCTATGAGTCTATAACCATCGCCTCGTTTGCAGTTCCCTTTTCTTGATGTCCCTGGCCATTCATCCCTTCTCCATCCGCCTCCGGCTGCCCCTTAATGACCCTAGGGTCGCTCTGACACCCAGGGCAGTTATGGATGATCTCGTGGGCATACACATCGCAGTCGATGCAAAAGTGGTGACCGCACACCGTGCAAGCGTACCGCCCGCTCTCGCTCACCCCAGCCGTCTTGATCTCGGGCATCACCACGGCGGGGTCAACGCCCACACCCACACCACCACCTTTTCCATCCCCCTTTTCTCCCGCAGCGGACGCCGCCACCGCCTTACCCTTACCGGCCATCATCTTCCCCCGCGGAACAGCCGGAAAGGGCACCAGGCAGGCAAAACACGCCGCCGACTTGCCGGCCTCGGACCACGGCACCTCGACCCACCCCTTCAGGGGGAAGAGGTGGTGGTAGGAGCGCGCCAGGTGCGTGCTTAGCACCAGCGTCAGGCCGCACACGGGGCACTCGGCCGGCAGGCGGCAGACCTTGGTACGGCAGCGCGTGCAGGCGTACCCCTCACGGGTGGGCCGGTTGTGGCAGGCGCAGAGGCTGACGTGGTCCTTGGAGGCGAGCGTGCGGGAGGGGAAGCCCATCATCAGGAGCGAGGCCTGGGTACTACTACTGCCGCCGTTGTTGCTGTTGCTGTTGGCTTCTTTGGCATCGGAGGAGGAGGAGGGGAATGCGTGGGTTACGGGTGGAATGGTGGCGGCGAGGAGGAGCTCGCGGAAGTGCTGCTCGTGGAGGGCGATGGCGTACGAGGAGGGGTCGCCGCCGTTGGTGCGGCTGCAGAGCTCGGCGCAGATGGCTACTTGGGCGGCGAGACCCACGATCGAGACGCGGATGCGGTCGGTGAGGAGGTTGGCTATTGTGTCGTGGATGTCGCCCGGATCGCTGGAGAGGAGGGCGCCGTATATGATGAGGACTTCGCGCGTGCCGTGGGACGGAGTGTGGCTTGTCCAGCGTTAGCCTGGGATCAATTGTGCCTTTCAGAGAGGTTATAGTGAACGAACAACAATGCGCCGCGGCACATCTCCAGGGCATTCTGGAGACTTGGATTTCCCTGCGGCTCCTGCTGCTCCGCCCACGCCCTCAGTTTCTCAATGTGCTCTGTGGGATTCCCGCCCATGTCGCTGATCCTGACGGCAATGCCGTCGCGCATACCGACAATTCCCATTTGGCTGATGGGGTTCTGTTCGAAATATTCGCGCACAAAGTCGACGGCGTAGTTGAGCGTCAAAAGATAGCGGTTTGGTAAAAGGTCTTTCTCGGCCATGGCGAAGCTCATGTCGAGAACCAGCATCAAATGTCGGATGATGCCGCGCTGGAGCGGCGTTGTGTCGCGCATAAGCCGTCGACGCTTCTCGGCCTCAATGAGAGCCTCAATAGTGATACTGCCATCTTCTGTCTCAACCACATTCTCCCAGGATCGCTTGATGTCTTCCCAAGCAGCCTTCGAGCGACCGGCCTTCGCTTTGCGGCTGTCGCCTGCCTTTCCAGCCCGGCGGCCGGCCTTGGACCGTGTGCCATAGGAGCTGGCATCACCACCCGTATCAGCGCGATTGCCTCCGAGGTCGTCGTCCGAGAAGTCCTCGACATATTCGCCGTCAGAGTCGGCCATCGCGGTGGCGTGCAGGGACGAATGGGTGGGTTGGACGGATGGGTTCAGGTTTTTTTACAGATTGAGAGTTCAAGAGTTATCTGACGCTCCTGAATCATATCTTCAAAGCGTTCTGTTGATTACGCCGAATTGTAGAGGTATTTTGTCGCAACTAAGAACACGGTGATTGTTGGCTCGGAAGCATGATAGCGAGGCTGCTGCCGAGCCAAGGGAAGCTTCAGGGTTTGGGCAGCCTTGTGATATGGTGCCTTTTTTTGGCATTGTGGGCCAATAAGGTGTCGGAGCACTTACCCTTGTTCAATGTGGCAGTTTTGTCTTCTCGCTCAGCTTAGATTACGACGTTGAGCCGCGAGAGCCAATGTTAACTTATGACGTTTCCTGCGTTCATGATCATGCACTTCTGTCAGATTAAGCGGCGTCTGGGGACTGAAAGACACGAATGATACTCTGCCAGTAGGGAACGTCGTGCGACAAGGTAAAGGAAGCTCTGCAAGGTTTTCCTGATGTAATAACTCCCATCCGTACAGAGTACGTAAATTCATTGACAAATTTCATTGACTCTAAGTATGGCGCTAGGAGTATTCTGTCCGGGTGAGATGAATCTTCGCAAAGACGGGACTCTGCAATAAAAACCAACGTGGTGTGATATAAGAAATATGCACCGCATTAAATTAGCATCTCTTTTCAGGGCAACATCATTATCTGAGACTGCCGAAGTCTTGTAGCTAACATACGGAGGATGTACACGTGTACCCGCAGTCGGGGCGGCGGTTCTCACACCGATGAGGAAGTCGGTGGCCTGGAGGGGCATGAGCTCCCAGTAAGACACCCAACGAATCAAAGAGCAGCCCAGGTTCCGGCTCCTCAGGGTCTTGCCCCACATCAGCTGCCTCTCATCGGTTACGCTGCATGTTATGACGTCACTCTGCCAGTGATCGAACTGGCTTAATATGCAACGGGCTAAGTTCACTTGTTCTTGCAGAAGTGCAACCTCCTTCTCCGTTGACGGCAGCTTGCCGGTCTCGCCGGTCTCTCGCCGATTTCATCAAGGTTCCGAGCATACGTATCGGAAGGTACAATACGTGCACCTAGATGCTTTACATGATAAATCAGCCGAACGGTGTCGGGCCCTGACAGCGGACCCTGGGCCGTCCGACCTGGCATGGTCTTCCACCAGGACAGATCGGTTTGCTTCCAGCTGCCGCCCGATCAGCATTCCAAGAAGTTCCGAGCACCCGGCAACCGAGACACAAGACGTTTAACGAATCGCTTCCACGAGGCAGACATTGAAGCTAGGCTTCGCGCTAGCGATGCCGCTTGCGGAAGTTCAGGGTGTTCGATAAGTGTACTCCCACCGGCATTTCCGTGCTCTGCCTACACCTCAAGCCAAGGCATCTCAGAACTCTCTACATAACATCAGATTTGAACGGCTGTAATGTAGCCCAGAATGGCAAGCAAAGCGGTTTATCGTGGAGGGGGGAGAGTACCATTGGTACGGATACGGAGTCCCCTGGTAGTGCCAGACAAGAAACAGCCCCTTGGTTTGTTACTCGCTGGTGGAGGCTCAGAATGCTACGCTACGGAACGGACGTGCCTAGGCGTCCAATGAGCTGCTCTTTGGCGCCAGTGAGCTGCTTGCCTGGGCAAGTTAACCCCCCCAGCCAAGTGTGAAAATGCGGTGCTGCCAGGTAAAAGGAGCCCGAGGGAGCCATATGGGAATTTAGGGAGCTGGAAATTCCCCATTTACACGACTCGACACTGTTACGTATCCAATCTTTCTCTCTCTTTGTGCTTATTCCCAGCTACACAGCGTAAGAAAAAGAGAGGAAGAAAAGCTGCATTGTATTTGTGGATATGGATGTTCAGGGTCCAGTAGCCCGATCGTTGATGAATTGGTTGATGGGGTCAGAAAGCGTGCGCATCTGAGAAATTTGTGGGTTTACTGTCTCAGCTCCGAAGGCATAACGTCATTGTTCCCCTTTAGTTGGCCAGTCTGCCAGGGAGCGTTAGCCAAGTCTGCCGCCCTCGAACCTCCCACGGTCAAGTATCCGAGTCGCTCACATCAGCTTTGCCCTTTCCAAAATACGCATCTCCACGGGTTCCCATTCAGGTTTGCCCACTCCCGCTAGTTGCCTTACTCGCACCGCTGCCACTTGCCAACTGCCACACCCACAAGGCATGCCTAGCAAAGCACACCGCTGTGCAACGACACGGGATCCCTGTTCTGACTCTTTACTAGGCCCGGTCAAACCGTAACCCATCTCCTGCTCCCTCCAAGTGCCAGTTTGTGCGTCAAATTGCCGCTTTCCAAGTTTGACGGCAATCAGGCCGTCTCTCTCCCGCGTTTTCTTACAGCGAGTCGCGGTGGTAACCAGTCTTTAATTTCTATTTTCTTCTTCTCATACAACACAACAGAGACTTCAATAAGCACTTTTTTTGTCATCCCTGTAGCATCAGCGGCCGTTGCGGTGGATGTGCGCCCAGGCCCGGTCTCGAGCCTTTGTGGCCGCCTTCAACAGCCGACGTCACCGGGACTCTTGCTCTCGGGGGGATGAGGGCACGACCTTGCGAACCACCGACCTCTGGAGAATCGCCTGAACAGCGCAGACCACCGAAACCAGGCCCTGTGTGGGTTGAGCCACGCCCTGCGCATTGTCCTCCGCTACCATATTGGCCCGCTCCCGATAATGCTGTGACCCGTTCGCATCCGGCATTGAAGACCGCAGCAGAACAAATGTCAGGTGGCCCCGTGGCTAGGGAGGAAGGGCCACAGCCGCTCAGCGCTCCAGGCCCGGCCTCTCATCAAGCAACATCTGCCAAGAAAACCATCACTTTTAAGGACGACTCCGAATTTGATAGCAGCCGAGAGCCCAACGTATCGGCCGAAGAACAGGACGGGGAACATGACGACGACGAGACCCCTCGAAGGGAGGCCGGACCTGCTTCGCCTCCCGTCAAAGATGTTGGCCAGCCCCGGACGGGAAGGTTCACAAACTCGGAGCCTGGAGATGCGCAGCGGCAGCTGGACGAGTACCGTGAGCAGTTGGCCCGCGACTTGGAGACGAGAGAATATTCTCCAAGAGGGGCGCAGTTGCCCGTGCCTGGCCCAACCAGGGTTTCTCCCATCCAGGAAGAAACTTCGCCGTCGCCGCAGCCCGTCTTGTCCGGTCTGGGATTGCCGACCACCTCAACGTCGACTGGGTCTGGCTCTGGCCATACCATTCGAGGGACTCCCACACCTGGGGCGATCTCAGGGACGCCTTCATATCCGTTTCCGCGAATGGCTTCATCCGGCATCCTTTCTCCAGCTTCTCACCGCCCTTTCACGATGCTCTCGCCAACTGTCCCGCCAGACGGCCAGCCAACCCCGTCCGAGGGCGTCAGGAGCCGAGACACCGTCATGTCAAACCCTTCTACACCATCCTCCAACCTGACTTTTTTGCCACCGGGGTGCTCGCAGCCGCTGGCGGGCCAACCTGATTTCCCGAACCCAAATCTCTACGAGTTGTCCCTCATGCTCTCGGCCGAGCCAGGTCTGGATGCCTGGTGGCACACCGTTGTGCAGATAATGGTCGACGTGTACAGAGCCGAAAGGGTGACACTTGCCGTTCCAGCCGACTCGACCGACATCGAGAACGTGCCTTGGGGTCAAAAGGCCACGTACAATGCCCACCGCGAGGACGATTTGAGCCTGGGTTATCTGGCGAGGGGCTCGAGCCTCGTTCCAAGCAGCAACGCCGAGACGCCTGAGAGCTATTCCCGACCTGGTGAGCTCCAGGGCCAGCAGGATGCCATACGGCCCGCGCTGCAAAGTAGGCATTCCTTCACCTCGTACGAGAAAGACGCGCGAAGGGCAGCAAATGAGCAGCCATTGCTTGCTCAGGGTCGGCCTCAGCTTCTGTCAAGGAGTAAATCTCATCATTATCCGCCCACTACCTCCAGCCGCGACCCTGACCCTGACGGTTTCAACAGCCCGCCCAGCCTAAACCAACAAGCGCTGGAGCAGCACGATTCGCTGGAGGAGCACCAGGAAATTCCAAGCTGGGAGGCGCCTTTTAGCGCGCCGCGGGAGGGACATGGGAAGATGTTAAATGTGTTGCAGGCACTCGACTACGAGGCTGACCCGCTGATTGACCATAACGGTGTCCTCCGCGTATTAGAGCGTGGCCGCGTGGTAGCGCTTACCAGGAGTTACCCGTACCTCAGTCAGGACTCGGCACAGAAGAAGCCGTTCGAAGCTGCGGCCAAGTCGACTGAGGCACATCGCAAGAAGCTCAGGAAGCCGCGGGCAGATTCTCTGTCGAAGCTATCCTCATTCCTCGGCAGTGCTGCCACCCTCTCGTCCGCAACGGGCCGCGGTCCCAAGCCTCAGTCATTGGAGAGAAAGTCCACGATTGCGTCTCGGATGGACGAAGAATCGCCTAAGACGCCCAGTCCTAGGTACGAGGAATACGAGCAGGCACCACCGTCTCCATGGTCCCAGTCTCCCGCCCCTTCTCCTGCCGTGAGGCCCGACCCGACTGAGAACCCCTTCTTCACCGACGCCATGGTCGACGAGGAGTCTTTCAACCCGACCTGCGCCCCTGACGATTACTCGTCCATGATGCCGCCAGAGGCCATTGGCGTCGACAACGCGTGGACGGTGCTGCACATCCCCTTGACGCACGTCCTTCTGTCAAAGCCCAACCCCTCGTTCAAACTCGATCCCTCGATGATGGAGCAGAAGATGTCAGTAAGGAAATCCCGAGAGCCCTCGGGCACTGCGAATATATCTCCAGAGCGCCCGGTCAAGGAAAAACACGCCCCGATTGCCATACTTTCTATTCTGAGTCCCATCATCCCGTACCCATCCAACCTTCGGAACTCACTGGAGCACCTCGCCCCCCATCTCGCCACCTCCTTCTCTCTCTGTCGCCACTATACTAATCTGGAGACCGAGCTCAACGGGCTGCAGAAGCGCAGACCACAGACGGTGGGTTTTGGCGCCCTTGGGCCTGACGGACGACCGCTTGCCGACCCGACTGCTTTGGCTTCGTTGGCATACTTGCCCGCCGAGGATACTCCTTCCCGGGGCTCTCTCGCGGGCAGTATGACTAGCCCAAGCGACTATTCAGGGCCTTCTCGCAGCACTGCCGGCTCTCCCGGTGGGACACCGGGATGGGATCCGTCGTCCCTCGGATTCGTTATGACTGACAAGCGGGGCCCTACGTCGAGTCCAGCGCCCGTTAGCGCTGAGAGCTACTTCAGCGCAGTTCCCAGGAGCCAGGCCAACGCGGGGCCTCGGCCGAGGAGAAACTCCCGGGAAGTCTCCACCGCCGAGAAGCGATCATCGCTACGCCTATCGGGGGGCAAAGCACAGCAGCATGACACGACCACACTGAGCCCTTCCGCGGCCGAGTCTCGAAAGAGTAACGAGTCCGTCCGTCAGGACACAGAAGAAACCGGATCAGCGAATGCTCAGCACAAGCGACCTCCCTCAAGAGAGAAGAAAGATCAAGCGTTAGCTGAAAGAGGTGGTAGTGCGGCGGCCCAAGCGGAGATGATGCAGAACAAGGCTGCTGGCACTACAGGCCCGGCACCGCATCGCCATACCCAGCTACACTCATACGGCGCCGATTTCGCATCAACTTTCCAATCTCTCCCTCCGAGCTCAACAATCGGCAGAGCGGTCCCTCACTCGGCAGCTGTGCCCTCGAGAGCCGGGTCGATATCGCAAACCGATATGACACCGCCATCTGACAAGCTGAAGGGACTCATCCTGGACTCGCTACCCGTTCACGTGTTCGTTGCTCTGCCCCAAACAGGCGAAATAGTGTGGGTTAACAGTCGCTTCCTCACATACCGCGGGCAGACCTCGGGTGAATTGGCAGCCGACCCATGGGGCAGCATACATCCGGAGGACAGAGATGAGTATTTGCGCATGTGGAGCCATTCCGTCAGGACCGGCGAGCAGTTCTCGAAGACGGTGCGTATTCGACGGTTCGACGGTGCGTACAGATGGTTCTACGCGCGAGCCGTTGCATCCAAGGACAAGAGGGGCGTCATCCTGCAATTTCTGGGCTCGTACATGGACATTCATGACCAACACATTGCCGAAGTCAGAGCAGCTAGACAAGAGGAGGTTGAGGCGTCCGAGGCCAAGCATCGCCTGCTCGCCAACTTGATACCGCAGATTATTTTTACAGCTACCGAGGACGAAGGTATCACGTTCGCAAACGAGCAGTGGCTGTCGTACACGGGCCAGAGCTTCAATGATGCCTTGGGGCTCGGTTTCATGGACTATGTGCATCCAGACGATCTGGCTAAGTGCCGGATCCCCCTTGGCAGACAGTCAACCCCTAGTTCCAAGGCGGGTTCGGTGGCACATGGCCGTTCGTTTTCGGCTGATTATACGGCTGTTCGCCAGGTCGGGAGACACTTCGACACCCCTGATGGAAGCACCACAATTCCCGATGGCTCGCTCCCACGGCACAACAGCTCCAGCAGCACCGGCAGCGGTAGCAAGGACGGGTCCGCCTATGACCTTCCGACTGCCCATCTCACCGAACTTGCTAAGAAAGGAGTGATCAAAGTGTCGACAGATAGCAGTGGGAGACTTTCGTATACTACCGAGATCAGGCTCCGATCCAAGAGCGACGAATACCGGTGGCATTTGATCCGCTGCGTTGAGATCGACAACGCCGTCTTTGGCAACGGCACAAGTTCGTATTTTGGGTCAGCCACGGATATCAACGACCTGAAACTCCTCGAGACCAAGCTGAAAGAGGCCATGGACTCTAAGGGCCGCTTTCTCAGCAACATGTCGCACGAGATCCGTACTCCGCTTATCGGCATCTCGGGCATGGTCAGTTTCTTGCAGGACACGACCCTCAACGAGGAGCAGCGAGATTACACGAACACCATCCAGACGAGCGCCAACAGCCTGCTCATGATCATCAACGACATCCTCGACCTCTCCAAGGTGGACGCCGGCATGATGAAGCTGAGCTACGAGTGGTTCCACACCCGCTCCCTGATCGAGGACGTGAATGAGCTCGTGTCTACCATGGCCATTGCGAAGCGCCTCGAGCTCAACTATGTGGTCGAAGAAGATGTTCCCGCGTGGGTCAAGGGAGACCGAGTGCGCATCCGCCAAGTGTTGCTCAACGTCATTGGCAACGCCATCAAGTTCACCAGCCAGGGCGAAGTGTTCAGCAAGTGCAGGGTGATCACACCCGATTGGGCGCATCTGCAGCCAGACGAGATCATGCTCGAGTTCTCCATCATCGACACGGGCAGGGGCTTTACCAAGGAAGAAGCCGAGCTAATCTTCAAACCTTTTAGCCAAATTGACGGCAGCAGCACCCGGCAACACGGCGGTAGCGGGCTGGGCCTGGTCATCTCGCGCCAGCTGGTGGAGCTCCATGGAGGAAAAATGGAGGGCACTGCTGTCCCGGGTAAGGGGTCGACTTTCACCTTCAGCGCGAGGTTTGGTTTACCTACCGAGAAGGACCACCCCGACACCACCCCGCCTCCTCAGTCAACACCGGGTCTGGTGCGAGACTCGCCCGTTTCATCTGCCCAGACCCCGTTGGTGAGTTCACTCCAAGGCACGGTCTTGAGTAATAGCCCATCGACAACGGTTGGCGGCCTCACTTCTTCACCGGCAGTTCTTTCTAGTGAGAGCTCGGATCTATCCGTGTCTTCGGGCCGGACTGGTACGACAACCCGGTCGTCCATGTCATCAGTGAATGCTGGCTTGGTCCGCTTCAGCCAAGCGGCCCGGGCCAGCGGACAAGACCTCTCTCAGATGAAACTGGAGATGCCGCATCGCAAAGACACTCCCAGCAGCAGGCCCACTGGCAGCGGAGAGAGTCCCGCCAAACACCATGCGCCGCCGCTCATCTATTCCATCCTAATTATTTGCCCGCAAACCCACAGCCGCGAGGCGACTACCTCGCACATCGAGATGACGCTGCCCAAGCACATTCCCCACCAGATCACTGGCGTCGCTACGGTCGAAGAAGCAGACAATCTTATCAAGGGCGAGGACTCAGTCCGCTTCACGCACATCGTCGTCAACCTTTTCTCCGCCGAGGAAATCATCTCCCTCATGGATAGGATCATGATGAGTTCATCTGCGTCCAAGCTTCTCGACCACACGACCATCCTAATCCTCTCGGACTCGGTCCAGCGGCAGGCTGTCTCCAGGCTGGTGGCGGGCACAAAGTACGAGAGCATCCTCTCGGACGGCAACGTCACGTACATTTACAAGCCGGTCAAGCCGTCGCGGTTCGCCGTGATTTTCGACCCGGCCAAGGAGCGCGACATGAGCATCGATCACAACCGGTCTACGGCCCAGAGGCTGGTGGAGGATCAGCGCCAGAGCTACGTCGACATGGAGCGCCGGATGGGCGGCAAGGGGTACAAGGTCCTGCTGGTCGAGGATAACCCGGTCAACCAAAAGGTGCTGCAGAAGTACCTGAGGAGAGTCGGGGTCGAGGTGGAGCTGGCGGCGGATGGTGTCGAGTGTACCGAGATGGTATTTGACAAGGGATGGGGGTATTATTCGTTGATTTTGGTGCGTTATGCTCTCTCTCTCTTCTATATATCTATCTCGGCTTTTTTATTTTCCTTTCCCCCTCCATCCTGGCCTTTCTGTCCCCATTTTTCTTTCATGGCGCCCCTCAGCATATAACACTGTGTTGGCTTCTTATCGTGGTTTTACTGACTTGTCTTTCTTTTCTCTTCTCTTTCCAACAGTGCGACCTCCACATGCCCCGCATGGACGGCTACCAGGCCTGCCGCGAAATCAGGGCCTGGGAGGCACAGGGCGGGTTCGGCTCGCTGCCCATCATTGCCCTCTCGGCCAACGTCATGTCGGACGTCCAGGAGAAATGTGTCGAGGCCGGGTTCAACGACTACATCACCAAGCCGGTCGACTTCATTGACCTCAGCAGGGCGCTGTCGAAGTTCTTTTGAGGCGCCCGCGTGCCACTGGCTTGGAGATGGGTTGGGTGGTGGAGGAGGGAAGAGTGGCTGAAAAGGAGAGGAGGTTCCAACTGATTGAGTTGGGAATAGGAGGAATCATGTGAGTTGGGGAAAAGGAGTCGTGTTATTGGATGAGGAGGGAGGGTGGAGGGGACGTGGTTGGAGTGGGCTGGTTGTACATAATGGCACGCGAGGCGGGGGGAGGGGAACGAGTGCAGGGGTTGCTTGATGGATGAACTGATGGCTCTTTCGGTCTTTTGGCGGGAAAGGGGACTAACTTTTGGTTGCGGCTCCGTTGTTGCTTGGGACGAGGATGGTTTTCTACTGGAGCATTTCTTCTTGTTTGCATTGTCGGGCGTCATTGCGTATCCTGCCCTTTTTGATTGATGGGTGGTGGCGGGGCAGGCAGAATACCAATATTGCGGTTTTCCAGTTTCATTGTACATTACAGGTTAGCCAAGGATGGATAAGGTGCAGAGATAATGAAGTAGGGATGGCCAGCAAAATACATATGGATCAAAAAAATCTTAAAAGGTTAGTAGTATAGTTAAGATGGTGGCGAGTGAAGATTGTGGTGTAACTGGGGCGGACACTCAAATCCTCCTCCTCAGCAACCTCAGCTTCTGTATCTCCGGAGGTGACGAGCATCGATTCGCCAGGCCGCCGCGGGGATGGCTCGTGGGCGAGGAGGTGGTGTTATGCTAGAAGCCAGCCATCACCGCTAGAGTGGCGCTTCTCGTAACCAGCTGGAAGTTGGAACTCAAGCTTTCAACCTTCGTAACTTGGGAGCGCCGGATTCATGCTCTAACAGGCCCAACACAGTACCACTATACGTTTCTTTTTGCTGTCTCCTTCATTTGTATTGCACCGTCGACGTCCCTCAACTCCCGAGCTTACATATGTACCTACCCAGAGCAAGATCTCTCGCACCTCGCGCCACTGCGCGCCTATAGACCGCTGCAGTCACTTCCCTGTCCGGTAATCCGTCTATATTCTACCCACCGAGCAGGAGCTTAGATTCCCTTCATTACGCACAGTCTCGAGAAGCATGACATTACAGAAGCGGTGAGTGGACGGGCGCGCGTGGATGAGGATCGTAGAAACACAACTTAACGCATGCCCCCCAACGCGCCAGTCAGTCAAACCGTATCTCTTTCCCTTTCGGCATGCATGCCATGGTGTACCGTCCCGAGAGGGATACTAGTACACAAAATGAAACGAACAGCAAGACTTTCTTGGTCGTGACGACGAAGCAAATAGCCACATATGCATCTTCAAACGACCTTGGGAAGCCCCAACTTACCACCCAGAGAAGCACACCTCACGAGACACAATGACAATCGACGGGGCCAGAAGACGGCAGAGAAAGAAAGAGAGGGAACCTTACAAAAATTCGGTTAAGAATACCCCCGAAATGCTGCGTGCGGGAAGTGTAAATAATCCGCGACCAGAGCCAGCCCCTCAGACGGGCGGCGGACTGTTGTCCAGGTACGGATCCGTACCTGCTGACGTGACTTGGCGCCTTGCCATTTCCAACCCACGGTATGTTGACCGTGACCCGGAAACCTGACGTCAAGTTGGGAGCGAGAGCAGCATGGAGTGCGTTCGGCTGACAAACTCAGAGCCCCTCCGCCCCCCCCACACCCCCCCCCCCCCCCCCCCCCCCCCCCCCCCCCGAGACACCAGCAAACATGGCCAAGCTGCAGCCTTGCTTGCAACTCGGCTCATTGACTCAACATAAGAGAATGAAACCAAGCCAGAACGGACAATCCAGGGCCCGAAACATACTGCCGGCCCAACATAACCGTTCCCCTGCTCTCGTCCCGTTGAGAACCTAAGCCGCCGCCGTCCAACGTTGGGCGTCATCCAACCGTCTCCACACCCCCCCTCTCAACCGCGCGGATTGATGGCCCAAGGAGAGGGAGATGGGGAAATTGGATGACACGTACGGGAGTACTGATTGACGTCTTCTAGAGCACCGGCCAGTTCCGGTGGCTGTCAGTCATGGTAATCTCCCAACTTTCCCTGACGATCCTCGAGGACGGTAGATCTTGGAAAAACAGAAAGAAATCGACTGCGGATCGAGACGCTGTAAGACACAAAACCCCTTGGCGGAGCGTGCTGCCGTCCGATACGGCCAACAAAATATCCCAATCAACCCGAAACCATTGCCGATCTCGTACCACCTTCGAGAAAATGAGCAGCTCGGATTCCAGGGCACCACCCATCAGCCATTGGGCGATTCATCACCCGTTCGGGTTTCTTGGGATAGAGTAGCTCGGGAGCGTGCATGTCTTGCATGATGAATTCTAAGGTTACACGTTCCGTGCCGTCTGTTCTTATTTCCATCCCAGAAGCGGCCGTGCTCTGGGTCATCATTCATCATCGTCGGGCAAAGCTTGCTTTATTAGACTGGTTACGCAGATGACACCAATTCAACAGGTCAGACCAGCCGGCCCGTGATCTCCAATTTTCCTGTGCCTTGCCGAGACCAAGAGCCCAGCCGCCAACGCCGTCAAACCGAACGCAGGCAAGAGTTCGGAACCGAGAAAGAGTCGGCGGCTGGACGGAGTGTTGTTCTTCCTCTCTCTCCTTCCCCGCCCCCCCCCCCTCCCACCTAGCGCCTCATCACCTCGTCGAAGGGAGACTGCCGATCCGACAGGCGGGGTATTCGCCTTCCTTTTCGTTCTGGCTGGCGCTGGGAAGCGGCAGCGAGTGAGACGAGACGGCAGTATTGGGGGAAATGCCGTCGAACGTCACGCCGTTGTCACGTGGCGACGGCGGATGAACGGCGGTCCCGAGAAACAGCAACGGCAAGGTCAACAGTTTTCGGCGGAAGAGAGGCCCCAAAATGCCGTGCCGTACTTTCATCGCCTTGCCGTCACCCCGAGCATGGGCTATGTTGCCCTGACAAAGCGAGTGATCGTGCATTGGAGCGTCAAGCCACGTGGTCTCCGCCACAGGGCCGCATCTTCTCGGCCGGGCCCCTGGAAACGATCTTGGGCGATTGTGGCAGCTCTTGCCGTCCTCTCTCGCTCCTCCTCCCTCCCATCCAAAGCCAAGCGCGCGGGCAGGATAAAGTCTATTTAATGAGTCAAAATCCGCCACCAAAGATTTCCGGACAATGCAAGTATCAGACATATTGTTCGGGGTACGGTACGGAGTACAAGGGCAGCGAATCGCACTGACCCTCTGCCGCTGCGAGGTTTGGGAATCGCAGTTTAGCCGCAAATGCAGCTCGGATATCGAGCCAATCCAGCTATGACGACGGGACAAGCCAGACATGAAAGTCCCGTGGGTGCGCTTATCAGCGTACCAGAGGAGCACGATTCTTCCAACCTGACATCTCCCGTGCAGTGTAGCACTGGACGATTTTACCGCGAGCGGCTGGCGGAAGCGCGGCTCCAGCGTCGCGTCCGTTGTTGTCGTTTTGGCGTCCCGGAGAGTGCCGTCTCACTGTCCCGGGGAATTTTCCAGGGGTCGGGAGAACCAAACCAGATCTTGGGCGGACGGCATGTTCCGGCCGGTGGAAAATGGGAGCCAGATGACTCGAGGCACGTGGCGTCATCTGGAACCAAGCGCCATCTTCGGTTCATCTACTGTGGTAGCTAGCGATGTTTTCTTGGTATACCGAGATTGGCTTCGCTAAGTGCTTTGAGCTTTTAGGAAGGCCGAGCCCGGCACGGGTGCGGGCGATGGGTCCCAAGCGAGCAGTGAAAGGGCTGCGAGAGGCGAAATGCCTGTTCGGCACAGGACTGAGACAAAGCCGCAGAGTGTGGCGTGTTTCGGGCTGCCGGCTGCTGGGCACTGAATGAGCTCGAGAACACGGAGCACGGGTAAACTCGCATCACTTGGAGTTATACAGTATTGTGGTAGGTTGGCTGCGGATCTGGACTGTGATTGGCAACCTCGTCGGGCGAGCATTGCCGATCAGGCAGACCTTGCGTCTGCAGGGGCATTTGCCTCGCTTCGAGCGCTTGTTCGCGCAAAAATGTGGCACAGGGGAGGAGCAGGCGCAAGCGCGCAAAGTGTGTGGTGTTTTACCACAGTAACATAAAGGGGCGCTTCTGTCCAGAGGAGAGGCGCGCCAAGGTGGTGGGGCGATTGCGCGGTCTTTTACCCTGCCCTAGAGCTCATTCCGATGGAGCCAAACCTTTCTTGGGCTTTACAGGCACCCCAGTGTGTGTGCCCCAATCCTCGTTACCCAAGGTACCTTACCGAACCTGAATGGGGGCTGCGCAGCCCTATACTATGTACAGTAAGTAACAGCATCGTTCATGGCTGTACGAGGACCTCGCACGCTGGCCGATGGACAGTCTGCTATTTCCTTGACTTATTTGAACTCTCCCCGCAATTCCCCCCTACGTGCATTTGGCGAGACGCCTCGAAAAGCGGTGCGCTCCAAATTCGGTTCTTTTGTGTCGTGCGAGTTTGGAGAGCGCAGCGAATGAGAAATTGTCCGATATCCAGTTTGAGAAAGCATCTGCTTTGTGGGGCGTCCCAAAGTGGTGTTGAATTACCCGTTCGGGACTCTCCGTGTTCTGGGGTGCAAAAGGCTTCCAATGTCAGAGAGTCGTCTGCGATGTGGCTTCGGCTGCCTTGCTTGCTTGCTCCTGAAGATTGCATCAGTCAGGTTTTGTGTTTGGATTCCAGGACAAAGCGTTACAAACCGTTCCTGGTGCCGATTGATGATCAAGAAGCGCCGTCTGCAAAAGACTCTGACCATCCAAGGCCCGGCTGGCACCGGCTTACAAAGGCCGGACCGCGGAGTGCCCTCCGGGCTCCCGGCATCCGCCGTTGCGTCTTGGGGTTGTCCATCAATTGCCATTCTCGGCCATTGCAGATCAGGCTAGGCGCCTCGGCGGTTGAGAAGCGCTCAGGAATGACCATCATGAGCCACCTTAAGACAATACTTGATTGCCTTCAAGGGAATGGCCCGTGCAAAGTGGCATTTGTGCGGACAGGACTGTGAGCACGGGTTCTCTCGGCATGTTGGGCAATGGTTGCTTTTCTTTTCTTTCATTTGATGGGAACAACAAGGGAGGAGGTCATCACATCATGGCGTCGAAGTGACGGGAGAGGGGTTTGGAATTGCAGGATCCCGTTGTGGGGTGTTTGGTGGGGAGAATCGATGCCGAGCCTCAGTCTGGAACGGCGCCTCCACAACGGCCACGCCATTTCCCCACTCCCTAAGAACCTAAGAACGGCATCTTCCTTCGCACAAGCCGAGCTCAAGACTGGCAGGAGCCGGCCGCTTGTCCCAGATGTTGACAACCTGACGCTGGTGTGACGACGGCGCTGAAAACATGACTTTGGAACACATACGCCTTTGAAGTCCTCCCTAAGGTACACACGGAGCACTAATAACTGCGGAGTGCCCGACAGTAGTCTGTCATTGGCGAACTTTGTCGTTGTTCTTCTCCTTTGGGATGCTTCCCATACACAATAGTTACAGGGTGATGGGTCAGCTCCAACTGAGCTGGGATAAAGCTCATGTCCGTGCTTTTACCGAACCAGTCCTGGGAATTCGGGAAGCTGAGCCTCAGTCACACCCAACCGACAACCGCCCTTGGTTCCAGCCTCCGACGCCCCCTACCTTACCCCATTCGGTAAGTACATAACCTTACTGTGTGGGCGATGGCGCCAGTCCATCGCATTGTTCACCAACAGGCCAGCAAAAAGAGGGAAGCAAAAAAAAAAAAAAGAGAAAAAAAAAAGAAACAATGCTCACCCCCAAGACAACGCCAGCTGTTTTGCTCTCTTAGAACCCATCTTCTGATTTTGTTTTCCCCTGATGAATGTTGTTTGTCTCATCCACCCTATATAGGCTGCCCGCCCCACCTCTCTGCCGTCCCGCCAACAGGCAAAAAAATATAACATCAGAAAACACCACGATAGTAATACAGGACTAACAGACTATTGTAATACATGCCAAAATATACAGCGACAAATATGCGGAAATATTGAAAGATAACGAGTCAAGACGGCATAACGAACGGGAAAGAAAGACACCGCTAGCGTGTCCAAAACGGCCTTCTGCTCGTCGACAGCGGGGGACAGTTAACGAATTGGGAAATAGCCAGGTCCCAACGTCTCAAAGAACCGAGCGAATTCTTGCGCGGTGTGATCTGCTGAAAGGATGTCGTCCTTCCCAGTCAGGTTGGGTAGCATCCAAAGTAGCTGATCGAGTCCGCGTTGCCGGAAGACATGGCCCATTTACTTCCTGTTCCAGGAATCCTTCTCCCTAGCCCCCTGACCCCCTACCCTTGCCTTTGCAACGGTGTGTTAAGCAAAGTCCCCGGCTGGAAGTTACCGGAAAGGGAAAGGACGGGAAAATCGTGCCCAAGCCGCAATGAGTTTGGCTCGATTGACGAGGCTGAAACATGGTTGAAATTAATAAGGTTCAGTGGTTATCTCCCGGTCGCGTGGCTGACGATCCCTGAACTCCAATCCCACCGTGGAGCTGCTCCTCTGGCGACCGAGGCGAGTGTCTTCGCTCGCTCTCGCCAAACTGCGGCGCGGGTTGCTGCTGCTGCTGATGGTGATGGTGCTGCCGTGGTTCTGGCGCCATCCCCGACGTGTAGTTCATCGCCGTCGATTGCGGAGACGGCGGATTGTCTGACAGGAGCGATGAGACCGAGTGCGGCCCGGTCCGCCCGGATGCGGCCTGCGGAGGCGGAGGCGCAAACTGGGGGGCATGTCCTTGATGCAGAGTCGAGGATGGCGCATCGCCGCCGTCCCGCACAGAGCTTGCCCCTGAGGCGTGCATCGGCGACATCTCCCGCCCGGGTCCTAGGCTTTCTCCTCGCACACGACCACCGCCGGGCCGGTATGACCCCAAATCACTCCGCTGCCGCGAGTGTCCTCGCCTCCGACCCGGCGGTGGGTTGGACAGCCCCGAGCTGTGTAGAAAAGGCGGCGAGCGATGCCGGTGTGTCGCGGTTGGCGGTGGCGCTGGCTGCTGGGGTCCTGGCGCCTTTCGCTTCCGCGGCGATTCCCCTACTGCGTGAACACGACCCAGTTAGCCCGGGCCCCAGAGCCTCATGAGCGCGATTTGCGTTTGGACGAACCTGAGGGCGTGCTGGCGGGCTGCTCGGCACCGCCCCGCCCTCCTGCCTGCGTCGTCGGAGGCTGCCAGTGGTGGAAGTATATGGAGGGTGACGCCTGTGCCTCATGTTGTTGTTGCGACTGCGCCAGCCCGGATTGGTGGGCAGCCCCTGAAGCGGTCCCCGGGCCCCCCGGGACGTTGGTGTTCAGGTTTGGCAGATTTGATCCACTTCCGACAACTGATCGTCCCGCCATCGTTCCCGGCATGGTCTGCCCTCTCGGCCTTGTCGGCGAGCCTGGATAGCCCGACATGTACGCGCTTGGCGGCCCTTGCGCGGAGCCTGGGGTGGATGGGACACCGCCGCCGGTTATCGAGTACTGTCCATACGCCTGAGCCTGCGAATCCCGCCTCTGGTGCTCTGAAGAGACCATTCCAGGCGGCATCAATGCAGGCGGATGGTGTGGAGAGGATTGCGACACCATGAATTGCTGGGCCCAGTCCAAGGCTGCCGGCGACAGCGCTCCGCCGCCCATGCCTGCGAAGACAACCGGCACCAGCGGTGGCGGTATCCCCCCTTGCAGGGAAGTCCTCAAAATCTCGCACTCCATCCTCCTCTGTTCGAGACGGTAACTTTCCTGCCGCGTCCTCTCTTCCTCTTGCCTCCTTTTGTCTTCCTCTGCCTTGGCAGCAAGCCAGGCTCTCATGGATTCCTCGTGCCAAGATGGAGCCGCCGGCAGTTGACCCAATGGCTGACTGGTTTGCGAGGGCGGTGGCGGCGGAACAGGTTGGCCTGCTGACAGGCTCGGTGGTGGCTGCTGCGAGGGTCCAGATCCCGGGGCAGGTTGAACGGGAGGCAGAGCCGCCGGCGGAGGCAGACCTCGGTGAGATGCCGACATGGGCTGATCGGACAGGTTGCTGCCCCCGGAAGTGGCGAACGGCGGCTTCTGACCAGGATCCAGATATACTAAGGGAGGAGAAGGACGGGACGTGCTCGGCGGGGTTGGTAGGTCATGGACGGGCCGGTAGCCGTACTGCACTGGCTTGTTAATGGTAAGCATCTTCCATTTATACAATGAACGGGAAAGATGGGGGAACAAAAGTGCAGGGAAAGGGGAGGTAAAGTAGGGGGATGCCCCAGAGTTGATGAAGGGGTTTGGGATACGAATATAGGAAAGGAGAAATGGGGGGATGCGGCAGGGTTTGGAAGAAGTGGAAATAACCTATACCTTTGAATGGGCAAGCTGGATGTGGCGGCCAGCCTAGGTAGTGATGTAGCAAAGACGGGTAGCAGGCGGGGCGTGTGGTGATGAAACGTCGAAGTACTATGACAGAGCCCACCCAGATTTGGCCATTGGCGTTGCTGCAGTGAAATATAAGTACCTGCTTAGGTAGGAAAAAGGCGGGGGCGGCTGGTGGGTTGAGCAGACTGTCCAAGAACACCAAGGACCAAGAACTGCTTTGGGTGCAGTACACTAAGCTACGCTCAGGTCGAGGCGGAGTTAGTGTCAAGCGGGAGAGACGAGGGGGACCCTGGCTTGTGGCCTCCCTGCCCCGTCCTGATCTCGCCGGCTTTCGTCCTGTGTATACAGGATCGTGGGAAACCAAGCCTGTTGCGGACGGGAATGTAATCCGTGGCTTCTCCCAGCGCACGAACATGCAGTCAGGAGCCGAAGTCAGAGCAAATTGGTTGACGACCAGGGGCCTAAGAGGAAGGGCCAGCAATTTGTAAATCAGTTTGATGGTTTACTCCGTACCGTTTAGGCAAGCAAGCGAGAGCGGAAACAATGTGGAGCAAAAGGCCGTCCCGGAAGTACCTGTGAGCGATTTCATTTGGAAGCAGCGCGTATCAGAACAGATTAGCACAAGGGTCTGGGGGGTTTGAGCAGCAAAAGTGTCCCGAAAGACTTGAGACGGAAACTGAGCGAGTAGGGTAGACAGGGTACCAGGAGGCTTCGTAGGACCTCAAAGACCAAGCTTGGCCGGAGGAGCGTGGCCAGGAAGGCCTCGAGATGCAGAGTCACCAAGATGATACCGGGAACCTGGCGAGGAATACCAGCGAGGGAACGCAGGATGTAGACTTGTTTGGTCCCTGTCCTGTCTTGTCCATCCTACCTTAGACTGAAGGAATTGTGTTGTTCACACCAATGGAAATCAGTATGACAAGGAAAGCTGGCTGGCTGGCTGGGCTGGCGCTGTTACTCAGATGGGAGAGGTGCAGAAGTCGAGTTTTGTCTGTTTTTAGTACCCAGGTTCCGGGCCTTGGACGGTCCGCTTGGCCGTTTTGTTCCAACACTGAAGTGGATCCGGGTTGGCGCCAAGGGTGTGCTCCGAGAGAAGTAGAGCAGATCGCACACCGGCCACACAGAGCGATGAGGCGATGGGCAAATCAGGGCTTCGAACAGAGGAGTGAAATTAGCGAGTCAGTTGGCGTCTGCTCGAAGCTGGGCGGTGCTTATTCCGCGCCTCCCTCGTCACTGGGAAGCAGGACAATGGTGTGCTTGTGGACATGAGCGTGTGTGTCAAATACCTGGGCCAAGTTGGTCTGATTGGGATAGGCTGCGGCGAATTGTCCAGAGGAAGAGCCGGATTCAGATGCAAGATGGTGGCCGATGTGGTATACATGTCGGACGGCCAAGACCGGAAGCCCCAACGCCACAGGACATTTGATATTCGGCCGGAGAGATGCACACCAGACAATCAAGCAAAGCCGTTTGGGTTCAGGTGCAGCTGCCGCGGGGCGGGGGGGGGGAGGGGAGGGGTGTACGTTCGGGAGGGTGTCAACCGCGCTCTGCGGGCGGGCAGTTGGGTGCAACCCATTGAAAAGCAGCAAGGAATGAGGCGCTACATCCTTGATGAATCGAGCCCTCCTGATGCGAGCACTGCTCTGCTCACATGTGACCGGATGGCTAAGACGGGGAAATGCCCAGGCTTCTGGGCGTCGAGCACCTTGTGCTTGCTCCAACAGCGCGCTCTATTTATGGCTTCGAACGTCGCCGTGATCATCCCATCAAGCGCTGGGCTAGGGCCTCTTGGGGCGCTCGGACAGCATGTGTTATGCGTTGGACAGGTCGACAGCCTGGGCTCGCATCGTGATGCGAGCAATCCTCAACTCCTCGAGCAGCCGAGGCGGGTGGGGAAACAGTCGATCCCGCGCTTGTAGCCGCATTGCAACAGGCTCGTGCAACAGCTGTACCGTGTACAACATCGGCGGATAACTGCGAGAGATGTCTTCTGGCCAATTCACGGTTCTTGCCGCGGGTTGCGGATGACAGTTGCAGATCGGTGACCGGAGGAGGCCGAGATGAAAACTGAAAAGCAAGCACCAGATCTCACCATGCAACCACGGTAGCGGCGACTGGCAGGACCCGGAGGAGGAGATCAAGAACGATGATACGTACTGTGCATTGTAGTATGTGCCTGGCAGGAGACGCCGGCACTTGGCTATAACAACGCAACTTAAGACACGAAAATCTGGGACGAACTCGAGCTCGTTGAGGTGCGGTGAACCAAAGTTGGAATTCTGCGGATGGAGGAAACACACCTGCCCCGAGTTTATTTTCAGGCAAGACCGTGCACTCGGTGACAGGGGCAGAGCAGGTGCATTCCTGACAGCAAGAAAAGCATTTGGTGGATGGAAAATGACAGAAAAAATAAAAGAGACAAACAAATCCAAAGTAAAGTAAATCAGGATACAAGGAGCAAGCCCTACATACAAAAAGTATATCTGCTGAAGAACCAATACCTGAGCTCGCTTAGGTAACATGAAATCATCAACCAGAAGAGTTGTGTCTGCCATGTACGGATTACTCCGTACTGTAACTTATCAGCCTACTAGGCCTGTCCTCCAGTAGGGCTGAGCCGATTTCGGTTAGAACGCCCAGCCACCTTGGCCTCGTGGCATGGTGGGCAGTGTGGCACTGGTACGCGGGCATGCCATTGAAAACCGTCCAAGCTTCGAGGCCTCATGAACACGACCTGCTTCACGATTCGCGCCAAGTCTATTTCTTCCACTGCAAGCGCAAGGTATTGCACATCAATAACCGCCAAAGAACCCCATTGTCTTACTACGTTGCATCGCCGCTCTCTAATCATCTGAGGGAGTCTCAAGAGTCGGAAGAGCGAACAGGAATGACAAATGATCCATGGTAAAGTAGTATCTCCAAGGCCGGCGCGAGACTCCTTCACCTCAGCGCTGTATGATCGCTCATTTAGAGGTCGGGTTTAACTTTGCCGCATCGTTACCAGCTGGCCCAGCTACCAAAGAAGTTCCGTTTTATCCATCCAAAAAAATACCAAACACCATTAGCTCTTCGAAACTAAACCTACGTCGTCGGGACCTGCCGCAGTGTCACCAGAACACACGATCTGCGCTGAACCTTAGTTCATCTCCCATGGAGCATTCCTGGGCCGTGGTTCCAAAGGATATTATGCGCCATCGCCCACGCGCGAGAGCGTTTACGACTGCAGCCCTACACAGTGAAGGACTTCCAACAATCGCTTGCCGGCCGCTGAACATGGAAGCGAACACGGTAGTTAACGGCTATCTAAACATCGAGCTGTGTGGAACACTGTACTGGGCTGCTTTATTCGCATCCTTCGTGCGGCACCGTACTGACTTGAGGCGCTAACGCGACAGCAAGTTTCAAGTTTGCCGAAAGGAGAAACCACCTTCCGGGGGACCATCGCGGCAGCCGATGCACGAGAAGTTCCAGCCGAGCTGCAGGTGCGCAGACTCATAGGCGCATGAATGTTGCAGCAATTCAGCGAACGATCAACCAGAGTCACTCCGTTTCGTTCTTGACAACTCGAAGTATCCGCTTCATTTCTGAACGATGTTTCCAACAATTCGCGATCCGGAACCTGAGTGTGTAGGATGGTCCATGACCAGGTATGCTGGCACACCAACGGATGATTGATGTGCGTTCTACAGGTTTCATCCAGTGCTTTTCGCCGGCTTCAAAAAGCGCTGAGGGGATTGAGAGAGTCTCAGCTGCCTGCATGCACGGCCGCTTGTCAGGAGTCCGCCCCTCAAGAGCTGCAGAATGCAGGCCCTCGCCCGTCCGGCCTGGAGTAAGCCCCTAAGGACCCAGGACGCTTGCAGACGGTTATGCTTAACCGCCCTCTCAGAAACAACATATTCAACGGCGCATGCTGGATCATTCAGGAGAGTGCTCCATCCAAGACGCCCGACTGTGGCACTGCGAGCAGCGTGCACTCCCAACCCTGCAGTCCAACTAGCTAGGCCATGTCTGATATGCGAATCTTCAAGCACACGTCGCTGGAATAGAGAAAACAGTTTGCTTGGCCCAGTAGCACCCTGGGCACTTTATTTTAAAACAAAACCAAAATCCAGTTCCTGTTCCTGTTGCGAGTTTGGCACATCGACTCAGGCAAACTCTCAGCTCCATGCCTGTTCAACGGCCACTCATCAAGAGCTACGGCTTGATCAGATGTTTGATGCAACACCCACCCCTTTGTAGCTTCTGATCAGTTTCTTGTGCCCGAGGAGTTTCTGCTGACAGAGATCAACCTTGTAGGAGCCTGTCACCCCATAGACTCCTCACTTTCTCGATGTCGGGCATCATCTTGGCCTCACATCACTCACACCCATCGGTTAGTGAGACTGAGAGAACCTGGATCGTTCTACAAGCCACCACAAGGAGCAATATTGCTGTCATCCCGCACATGCGGCAGCTCCAGAGGCCTCACTGATGATTATCACGTCAACGGAAGCGCCACTCGTTCATGGGGCTGCCTCCCGAGGCGTCCCTTTTGTCTATGTCGCCTTCACCCTATGCAATGTGATTCAAGCTTACTGACTCGAACTCCCCGCCTTGGTTTATCCATCGCATTCATGTCTGTGGCTAATTGAGCCCCTGGAAGCAACGGAACGAGGTACTAAACCTTTTAAGTTGACAGCAACGGATTAGGCACTAGCAAACCTGCCGTGGTTGCTGCCCTTGCGATGCCCATCTTGGATCGAACCCGAACAAATAGGTTCGTTCAAGGACGGCAGCATATGGCTGTTATATGGAAATGTGGCTTTACCGGCGTGTCGTGTCCCGATCCATCGAGAGTCTCTTACAGGAATCTGTTCCATTTGGATCGTTCCGGCGCAGAAGTGCGTAGTGTACGCGTGGCAGTCAAGGACCCCTGTTTATTACGCTGGACCTGGGTCCCTTGGTCGACCGACAACCTGAAACAAGACCACTCCTCTACTCAGTAATTTTTGCGACTGATGAGAAGGTACTTTTTAAGGCTGGTCCGAGCGGATGTCACGTTGATTGCAACTCTTTCAGGGCTGAACTTGGCAATAAGGCGGCTGATGCTGAAAACTGCTTCCGCGTCTTCGCATAGGTAGTATCCTCCGTCCCGGAATCAGCAAGTCCGGAGACACAACGGGGTCCCTGTTATTCTTCTCCCATCCGCCGACAAAGGGCAACTTCATTTCACCGTTGGTAGAGAGTGACGCCTACAGATGCCGGACTATATGGGGGTTTTAAGCCATGGAAGCGCGCCGGCCGATGAATGCCACCACCCCCCTGGTATTGTACGAGGTCTCCCCAACTGGTTCATCCGGGTATCAAAGCGCGTGACGTGTCTCCGAACAGCACTCGGTGGAAACCATATCACCCGTCGCGCGGCCGCTCGTGACGTGTCATTGGGCACAGTTCGATCAACGGCACGTCCGAGTGATGAATGCAGGACCTCAACAGGGACCAGAAGGCAGTCCAGGATGATTCCTGGATTCAAGCTGGCCTCCAGTCTTGGTATGGAACGAGAACCTCTGCATATCCGGTCCGATGCACAAACTACGCCATTCTATACTTCTATCATCGCAGCCAGTTTTCGGAACCGGCAAAGCCCACATCTGAACCGGGACCAGGAACGGAGCACCCGTACATGCGGTACGTAAGCACCAACGAGGCTCATGAGACGGGTCCGGCGACGAGAGCGCAACATCTCACCGACAAAAGTGCACCTTGGCATCGGCTTCCTTGCACATTGGACTAGGTATATGGCGTCTGCCGAGGGACGGTTACCGGCATTGGAACATTCCTGAAATCCCCCCTTTCGGCCGGGTCCCAGCATGACAAGAAGAAGCAACTGGCTTCCGCGACTGGGTTTGAGCAGCTGCGGTTCCCGCGTTCGCGTCTACATACCGAGCTTCGAGAAGGTTTGAGAAACGGGAGGCCACATTGCTCATCGGACTTCCGCCCGCGTCACACAACCCGTGAGAGAATGCTATGAGACAAGTGGCTCAGGGGCGACTGCTTGCTCCCTGGCTGCCGGAGGCTGACACTCCTGAACGTCTAGGATATGTCCCAGGGGGTGAACAACATGGTGAGCAGTTGTGAGCCATCATTCATGTGCCGGGATGTCTTTTCCCGATGCCATACTCTGAAGGGGGCCAAGTTTGGAACCGGCCGCGACTTGAAGATGGAAAAGGCATCCATAGGATACTGCAACGCCGGATAATCGATCGTCGACCACTTTCAGTCTCCACCAGGTCCACGACCAAGGAGATAGATAGATACCTCGCTTGTCTCGGAGCTCTCGCATGGTGTGGTGTCTCGGGGACTCAACAACGCCGTCGTCATCTCACACACAGCCAGCCACGCGGTCACGTACTGATATCTGTCTGAGACCTGCCTACACGAACAAGAGCAATACGGCGGCTTGCAGGACGCATACCGTACAAGCCCACAGGCCAGCGCTCAAGGGAAGGTCAGTTGCCCTATTTTTGCGATCAACAACTTAACAGCTCCTTTTCGATTCATCAGTGCCGGGTGGGGGCTCAGAAACCACGCCACTGACTGCATATCACGTTGTAATCCTGTTGTCTGTTTTGAGGCATTGAAGAGAAAATGAAGAGGAAAGGTAACCGATGACGACCCCCTCCTCACACAGATACTTGTCGAACAGCACCAGTACTGTCCGGAAGTGGTACAGTAACGCAAGGTCTGGCGGCCTACAAGATAACCATTAACTGCTTAAAATTGTGGTGCTGTGGCAGAACTGAGCCAACTTGATCAGCCCCGTGCCCATGGGCTGCAAACCGGCCTGCATAGCCAGCGCCGACTTTTTCCATTTTCCCCTTTCATGTTGGTAGCGGTTCGATTCTTCCAATGAGGAAAGTTACTGGATATGGAGTAGGAGCACCATTCATGTGACAGCTTAGGCTCTTCCTTTTGGAAAGATGCCATGCGAAGATGCAATAGCTCATCTCACAGGCAAAGAGAGAAGGGAGTGGGCTGTGAACAAGGGCTGCATGTCAGGGAAGAGTCGAGACGGTCAACTCAATGCTGGACGTAAGAATGAAGCAACCCGATGGGTCTTGTTTCCAACAGGAGCATCTCATAGCCAGCTAAGCAGATGTCTAAACACGACAAACGTCAGCCGCCGGTTGCAGGGCGTCTACCAAGACAAAAAACACATCGATAGTATCGCACACATTATCAATTTTGTTCCGAGAGTGTGCTGATGGCAGGTCTTGCCCAGGCACGGAAACTGTGCATCTATCAAAATTAAATTGAGAAAAAGGGTATCAAGTTCTGTGCTGGAGAAAACAAAACAAAAACAGACTTGCAAAGAAAACCCAACCACACCTCGAGACAAAGCAAAGAGATGGTAGAGAACGTCGCCGGTCGGAGCCATCACCACCGCCCCCGTTGATCCACCCAACCGTTTCTCTCACCCTTTAACCAGTCGACCGTCAATCGAAACCCAACCATCCACAACTCCCCAAGATCTACGCCCTGCCCGTCTCTTTCACTTTTTCCTTATCCTTCTCCCTACCAACCCTCCCTCTCTCCCACAACCTCCCCACCCCACCTCCACTCCTCTCATTCACCTTGCCCTTTTCCTTCCCCTTCCCCTGCGCTCCTTTATCTTTCCCCTTCTCCTTCTCCTTCACTATGTCCCCATCGTTCTCCTTCCCCTTAACAACCCCATCCTTCCCTTTCCCCCCTCTCTCCCAGTCCCAGTCCCAATCCCACAACTTTCCTCCTCCCGCGCTGCCGCTGCCGCTGATGCCCCACCTCCCCGATCGATGCCGCCTCCACTCGGCCCGCGCAACCTTCATCAGCAAATCCTCGTCCTTGACAGGAATCCACGCCGTCAGCGCCTTCATGGCGTTCTCAAAGTCCGAGTCCAGCAGCACGTCCCGCAGCGCGTGGATCAGCGCCGCCGACGTGGCGTGCAGGATATCGAGGCCCTTGGGCGGCTTTTCTTGCTCTTGAGTTACTTCTCCTTGTTTTTGAGCGTGGGTGTTTGTTGTTGTTGTTGTTGAGGCTGGTGTGCTGGGGATTGTTAGAAGAGTAGTAATGGGGGCGATGGTTGAGTTTGTTGGCGTTGTTGAGTGCGGCGGCGACGAGGAAGAGGACAGTTCGGGCGGACAGTCGCCCAACAGCATGAACACGTCCCACACGCGCAGCTGCGCGGGGAAGGGGATCGACAGGTTGAAGAGGGTGAGATACCAGCGCGTGCCGTACGCGGTGGCGTCGATCGAGAGCTCGTTCTAATTGTCATACCACGTCAGCACGCCTGAGTAAACGGCTGTCAATCCTTCCTTTAGCGGCGACATACGAGTTTACCAGCAACATCCCTCCCCGCGCCAACCAACCATCTCCTCTCGAAATCCCCCAGAGCGGCCATCAGCCCCGCAAACCCGGGCTGGTACAGCCTCTCGAGCCCTCGATACCTCCACAGCCGCACCATCATCACAAACGCCCTCTCCTCGTCAAAGTAGCAGAGCAGCGTCGCCGCCAGGCTCGCCATGCCCTGGACGTACCCCGTGCCGGGGAAGTACAGGGAGATGGCGTGCAGAACGCGAAACAGCAGCCGCTGCCCTCCGCGGTAGCGGCGGCGGAACATGATGTGGCCGTTGACGGTGCGCGGCACGTCCAGGTCGATCTGGACGTCGTCTGGCGAAGAGACGGCCTGCAGGCGGTGGAACTCGGCGATGAGGTAGTCTTCGGTCTCGGGGGAGTTGTGCGACTTGGCCGAGGTGGCGAGGAACGAGTACCACGCCGCGGAGCGCCAGCAGTCGGGGATGCCTTTCCAGGTGCGGTCAATGAGCTTGGGAGAGGTGGTGTCGAACTCGTACGACATGCCTTCGCCTTGTGGGGTCTGCGTCATGGGATGGGAGGCGCTGCCTTGGCCAGTGTTGTCGCTACTCTTGATCGCGACGGCCATTTTGCGCCACTTCTCAGAGCGCTCTGCTTCCTTGCGCTTTTGTGCCTCTGCCGTTTTGCCCATCTTATCTTCATCTGTGATGCCGGTGAGGCCGGCTTGGAGGGACAGCATCTCGCCGGCCTCGTCCATCCATCTTCGGTCCCGGTTCTGCGGCAGGCGGTTTGTGGCAGAGCGAATGGATGACCGGGTTGATCGCCTTGACACGGTCGACAGCTCCGAGGTGTATGTGTTGAGTGACCGTGCAGAGACCTTTCGACTGGGAGGGCGGATAAAGCCACCTGGGAGGGATGCCGAGTAGGACGTGGACGGGCGCTTGGTCAAGACATTCCTCCTCCTGGACGGGAGTTGGGACGATTTACGGTCCGTGGTCTCTGCTCTTGACACCGGGCGTTTCGGCACGATGAAGCCATATCGGTCGACCTCGGCGCCCTCAAGGTCGGCCCAGTCCTCAATACCACCAGCCAGCTCGAAATCCCTTCTGACCTGGCTATCTCGTCGCGGAGACAAGGAATTGGCCGAACGTGGCGTAATGGTAGCGGGAGTCGGATTGGGGTGATCGCTTTGTGGCGCCGGACTTGATGCTGAAGGACGATCGGAGGGACGAGACGAACTATCATCAAAAGGAACAATCGCAGTTAGCATCAACGCCCGAGTACATGACCGCCCAGAGCGCAAGGAAAACCGTACACGACGTTCTCTTCCTCTTCGGATGGGACCTCGGCTGTGGGCTCGAGACGTTCGACGAACGAGACGCGCCCCCCATCTTCCCAATTCAGGTCGTCGCCGGATTCATAGAGCGATCTCACCTTTTGTGATTCCCTCTCTACATCCATCGACGAGACGCGAATGCTGGGGACAGGCTGTGCGTCGGCCAGCGGCGCCACACGGGGCTTCCCAGCTGTCGCGTCCGCCTCGTCCGCCTCGAAAGCGTCTGGCACGGTGGCTGCGGCATTGTCGGTGGGGGTTGTCATCAATGGGTGTTCGGGTGGTGATGCAGAAGAGGATGCGGTCGCGTGGGCATCGTCTGGGACGGACATAATCAGCGATTTGAACGTGTTGTTCTTCCCGCCAAACATTATGCTACCCCTCGTGGAGAAGGATACGGCGCCCAAGTCGTCCCATAGACTGTCCTCGGGGATGTGGGTCGTGATGGGCGCAAAGGATCTGGCTGTTGTTGCAGAGGAAAGGGGCTCTGGGCTCTGGGCCTGTCCCTTGTCGGCGCTAGAGCACCCAGGCCCTGTCAGCTGTGGGGGGCCCTTGGGCATTTTAGGCGACCTAGGCGAGCCCCGCACCGGCTCCATGTCGGGAGGCGCCTCGTGTGATGCAGCCCTGTCAGCGCCAAGCATCTTCTTCCGCAACCGTTTCGATCCGTCAGCTCCGATGCCGAAGCTAATGCTAAGTTTCCTGGTGAGCGAAACGCGTCGTGCGGGTGATGATGATGCCGGCGATTGCAGGGTCGAAGAACTGGTAGCGGTCTCTGTATTGTAAGTGCGCGGCGGGATTGACACAGTCAGCAGAGGCGGTGCGACCTGATGGCTCGTGGTCTGTGGTGCATCGATTCTCTCAGGAATGTCGTCGTCATTGGAGTACACCGATGGTGTGTCGGCAACGTCGTTCATGAGCTTCTGATGGATGGCCTCTTCACCGTGCTCTTCCCGGAGTGTTACGGATGACGAGGTAGGGGCGCCGGAATCCCTCTTCCGCTCCTCGGCCTGCGAAGGCCTGGGCGGTCTCTGGGTGCGGAACAACGGATGCTCTTCGTGCGGCGGAGGGATCGGCGGAGGGCTGATGGTGACGGGAGAGGTTGGGGATGTTGAGGATGCGAGGGTCGACGGAGAGCGGTTTATGCGACGTGGGTTGCGTGGCGGAGGTAGAGGGATTGGGGGCTCAGCCTGCTTGGTCTGTTCGTACCGCAGTGCAACCAGGCCGGTGTCGTCTCGGAAAGGGGCAAGACGTGTTGCTGTTGGCCTCGCCTTGTGGCGCACACTGCCGAATTTCTGAGGTGCCATTGCCGTGTCGTTGCAATTTCTTCTCGACTCGGCGCGGCCAGCGCAGCACAGCTCCTTTGCAGTGTCTTTGAGACCTCTATGAGCCCAGGAAAGGATTGATACAATTTTGATTTCAAAAGCGCAGAAAAACGACAATTGGCTGCAAGAAGGTAAAGAGAAACTCGTTCTGACGCTCAAGCAAGGCCTGTGTGTCAGTGCCCGGCTATGCACAGCAAATCCAGGCCCAACTAAACACCTCAGTGCGGGGGGTCACGGATTGTTTGCTTGCAACTGCGGAGCCGAGAACTCCAGAACTGCAGAGGAGGGGATCGGTTGGTCGTGCAGAGATTGCACAAACTTGGGCGTACAACAGAGATTTGCCAGATTTAGAGATGTGAGCGGCAGGATGGAGGAGGTCTTTAATTGTCTCCCTCGGCTGCTTCCAATTTTACCAGTTGCGGGCAATTGGCCACTTCATGATGCGGTGAGCTCAGTGAACGTGTGCACACGCTGACCACACAAAGACTGCCACACTGCCGTCAGCGTTTGCTGGGCAGAAACACCAAGGAACCACTCAGGCTGCACCGGCTGTGAATTCACGGGGGTCAAGTGTCCGAACACTTTCATGTGCCCAATTTGTCGGTAGAAGTCTCTGCTGGACACTCATCACAGCTGACTTGACTGGCGGGATACCGATGTCCTGCAGCGGTGTCCATCAACCCTGCATCAGAGACTCAAGGACTGTAGATCACGCTGAAAAGGAGCATGTCGGAGAAGCTTGAAGCGGACTGTCGATTCTTGAGCGGGATCGGCAGAATTTTGTGGGTCTGTCAAGAGCCTGAGCGATGACCAAACACTTGCAAAGTACACTGTGGCACCTCTCTACATTAATTGTTCTCGTCTCTTGAAGAACCTATGACCTGGAGAACAGAGCCGGTCTCTGACCCTTCTGTTGTGTTTCTTTGTTTTACAGTGGTACATCTTATCAACAATGGAAGGCCTGCCTCACTCTCCCTTGTAATTTCTTTTCTGACCTTTTATCATCCGAGCCTCCCGTTGTACTCCGGACGAAGTACGAATAGAGTTCTGGAAGCGGATTCGAATCTGACCCCGCCAGGTGCCCCCGCTTTGACTTCCCACGCTGCCGAGTGGGGCTTTCCCTCTTCCACTTCTTTTCCTCTGTTTACACCACACTCACAGAGCACAGACCCGACGCAAAAGAAAAAGTAGAGTTGCGACGACAGGCAGAGATAGAGACGATAGCCCAGTCGATAAGCGAGCTAACCTGTACATGACTCCCTCCAACGGAAGCACGGGTCCGACTTGGGCAATTCGACTGCTTGATTGGACCGTTTGGACGTGGCAGCAATTTAGCCAACTCATCCGCTCCCCATGCCCACGGAACAGAGAGTCAACCAGTACCGCTATTGGAAGCATGTGCTTTGCTTCCGTCTCCGTCCTACCACATCCGGCTTGGTCGGGCGTATGATTCCATTGTGTGGCAGAATGACACATATATGGCCAGGGAAATTGAACGTGAGATATGCCCTGTGAGGAAATAATAACTCATCAGACCCTCAGCTCTCGTGCTCCCGGGGAGAAGAAAGCCTTGTTCCAAAACGCTCTGCCCGATCCTGTTGTCGACTTAACTTGAATTGGGTTTCTGCGACCAACGAGGCACGACAGCCCGCTGCACGTCAACACGCGCCTCACAAGCCTCCCAGGGGCAAGTCAACTCTCACGCAGCACTTTAGCACAAACAAATTCGCATGCCATGATAGCATGGCGCAATGACGTATTGCTGGTCTGGTCACCCTATCAGACTCAAACGAGCCAGGCACCTCACGAAGCTGCTGATTCCAACCAACCCGTTCCAGCCAGCTGTCAAGTCCAATTTCAAGATCCCGTACTCAACTCACCACTCACAGAAACACCTCATAGCTCATCCAATCCCAAATCCAGGCTGTTCGAAACAAAATTCCCCATCAAGGCTTGGAATCCACCAGTCTGAAATCCATATGCCGTCAACCACGTGTGTTCCACATACCCGACCATCTCCCCTGTTGGCATCCGACAGCTCGGCGTACCTGGCCGTCACTCCAGCCAACCACACCGCCGCCAGCAGCCCATCAAGGCCCAACCCGGTTGTTGTCCCTTGCAGCTTGCATGTAATTAGCCACGAGCCAGCGAAGCCATACATAGAAAAAAGCAAACCAAACCATCGGCCACGACATCGGCAGAGGTGGGGGAGCGGCAGCGGCCCGAAAGCCAACAAACGCAGGGGTTTCACAGGGCGCAATCATCACATGGCCTGGTTCGAAGTACGTCCGTACCTAATTCTAGCCCGGTAGCCATCGTCACAAATAAAGACCCGACAGACAGCACCCTTCATTTCGCTTATGCCGGCAACGTCGTCGAGGTATCCATGATGTGGCACTGTATCACAGGACAGCAGTCACAAAGCGAAAGGTAACCGACAGTGGGAAAGCGAAGCGGGAGCACCTGAAAAGCAACGTTTCTATTCAAACGACCATAGCCCTTCTTGGTACCCAACTTTCCCGGCGTTCCATCGATACCCAGTGACTTAGGTCGACAACCAGCCCTCCAGGCCATCCCACATCTTTGTCTCACCCACATGCTTTATTCTCTCCATCGTTTCACCTCTCCCCGCTCCGACGGTACGCAAAGTTCCGTTCTGTGCCAGTCGCCTTCCATGTGCATCACCAACCCAGAAAGCAGAAAGGCCAGCCATATCGTCGTCACGGCGTGCCACATCTCGTCTTCCAATTGTCCCCCCAACTATCCTTCAACCAATCTCCAACACTTCTCAAGCCAAAGTCAGCAAGTAAAATTAGGCAGGTAGGCAAATGTAGGACACACAAGCTTCATCCACCACTCGCGGGCACACACACGCACGCACACACGCACACACGCACGCACACACGCACGCACACGCACACACACGCACACACACTCACATACACACACAGAGACACAGAGACACACATACATACACATACAGACAGGGAGACACACCCACCCAGAACCAATCACAGCAAAGTCAAACCACAAGAATAGCAGCGGTTACTCGGAGTAAAATTTAACCAAAAGAGAGAAACAACTAAACCGCCTCTTCATCCTCCCAGTTTCCCTCCGCAAACAACCTCCTCCCCACCCCACCTCGGGCCCCGGTACCCCCAACCCCACTACCACCACCACCCCCTGCCGCCTCAATCCTCTCCAAGAACTCGGCCGGTATGGTCGGAATATACTTCCTCTCGCGCTCCCTATTGACCCCTCCAAACCCAGCGCCGTAGCTGACCAGCATGTCCGTGACGCTCGGCAGCGTAAACGGCAGCATCAGCGCCGGGTCCATCAACAGATTCGCCGGCGCCTCGTCGTCGTCGTCGTCGTCGTCTTGTTGTTGTTGTTCCTCCCCGGCCATGGCGGCGGGCGGTTGTTGTTGTTTCGCCGCCGTCGGCGTGTCACCACCACCACCGCCGTGGCCGTTGGACCTGCCGCCGCCGCCGCCACCGCTTGTGGTCGTCTGTTTCCCCGGCGTAGCAGGCGGCGACGAAGAAGAAGTAGCGGCCGCGGCAGCTGCAGCAGCACGGTTCCTTTCCCTCCGCAGCGCGGCCTCCTTCTGAATCGCAACCAGGTATTTCATGGCGCTCTTGGGCAGCCCCTTCTCCCCAACCTCCGGGCGATAATGTGTCGCGGCGTGGATCAGCTGCTGCGGGCTGAGGGCTCTGAGCTGCTGGAGGGTGCCGACGAGGGCCTCGAGGTCGTCTGCACCGAGCGATGAGGAGCACTGCAGCCATTGCAGCAGCTGGATGACGGGAGCCAGGTGGCGCCGGGCGGCCTCGACGGTGGTCTCGCCCGACGACTTCATCTCGCCCTTTTCGTAATGCTCCGGCTGGCGGTTGTTTTGGCGCGCCCAGTCTTCGAGCGTCGAAATGTTCATGCGGATCTGCATGGCCTTGGTGCGGGCGAGGTATTTGCGGTTCGACATGATGCGGTTGAAGAGCTCGGCGCCGAGCCAGTAAATGAGTTGAGAGATGATCTGCGCCGTGATGACGGAGTGGACGTCGTAGAGGTCGAGGACGAAGAGCGTGGAGGAGAGGAGGGATGTGACGTTGCGTGGTGAGGGCTTCGCCCGTTGCTTGGGTGATGGCGGCCGTAGCCGTTTCTCCAGTGGCTCTTCCTTGACCTCCTTCTTCCGCTTGAAGATCTTCCACTCGTTTTGGAATGTGATGTCTTCGAAGCCTGGTATTGTCTCGTGGTCAAGCATGGCCACGTCCAGGACCTTGTCCAAACGCCGTTCGGCGTCCCTGACTATGAGTATAAAGATCTCGTTTATCAACTCAGCGAGCTGCGCTTGGAACTCGGTAGTAGCCTCGACGAGGCCAGCGTCTTTCTTGAGATAGTGTAATAGAAGGGTTGCATTGGACATCCAAAACGCGAGGATGGTCATGTCCCACTGGTGCTTTTCGACCACGGTGTTGATCTTGTCCATGGCAGTGATGAGCAGTTTCGCCAGCAGCTCGGGGCTGGAATGGTAGTGGGCGTATCTGGCGCCGAGAAAAACCATGTTGGCAGGGACGGGTTTCTGAGACGGTGACCGCTGCGGCGTCATGTTTGTGATGACCATGTCCAGTATCCTCTCCAGTTCGTTCTCCTGGAATACGAACATCTGGTCGTGAAGGCATCTCGACCAATCGAACTCTTGCTGTTCTTCCTCAAGCTCTTCCGGGGACTAGCGAGGTCAGCTTGGGATGCATCGCAAAACTGGTGCATTTGATGGCTCAATGGCATACCTCGGGCTGATCGTCCATACCCACGTTGCCAAGGTCGACTTCGAGGTCGCGCGCACTCTCCATCATCATGCGCCGCCGCATCTCGTTCTCAGCGAGTTCCTCTTCGAACTTGTCCTGGCTGAACCCAGGGTTGTAGAAGTCGTCGGCCGTCCCAGCATTTCCGATACCGTAGCCGCTAAGGTAGAACGACATGTCACTGTCAGGGGCTACAAAATCGAAGGCTGTCCTCCCTGTTGACGTCTTAGTTTCGGTAGAAGCGCCGTTATCTAGTAATAGTTTCGCGATGCCCTTGTGCCGGTTCGTCATGGCCCACATCAGAGCACTCCACTGATTGCGGTCCTGTTTGTTGACGTCGGCACCGGCGTCGATGAGCGCTTGAACGACCGAGTCATGGCCCTGAGCTCGACATTAGCGGAGGATGGGGGACCCAGCGACCACTCCAACCGACTCACAAAACAGCTTGCATAGATGAGCGCCGGGGTGCCCTCGTCGTCGGGCGCATTGACGTCGACGTACTCCCTGGCTCTGCCCTTGAGGATCTTGGCAACCGACTCGAGGTTGCCATTGCTCGCGGCCATGATGAACGTCCTCTGCAGTATGTCCTTCTTCTCGTCCTCGGATCTCTGCTCGTCGGCGGCGATTGTGTCCTCGTCGTCAAAGGCAGCGCTGGCCGCGTGGGCGGCCTGGGCGGCAAGCATTTCCATCAGGCGCGTTTCGCTGTCGGGGCCACCCTTGGTCAGGTCATCGCCGTAGTTGTCGTCGAGAGCCAGGTCGCTAAACGCCAGTGGCTTTGCGAGCATGGGCGAAGTCAAGAACTGAGATTGTCCTGGGCGAGCCATTCTTAGCCAGGAGCACATGGACGTGTGGGATGACGTGAGGACTAACCCTGCCATCCGTCGTACATCTCCGTCTCGGGCACCAGCTCGGTCGGGACATGTCGCCTGTCGTCGAGAGAACGGGGGAGATCGTCGGGCAGCACCCTTTTCTTCTGCGGCATTCCTTCAAAGCCGGCATCGAAGCCGCCCTGAGAATCCCCGAGATCCATGGCTCAGGGCGACGTAGAGTGGCATGCGACAGCCGGTCCTCAGCGGTTCATCAACTCATGGGATTCATTGGCGGTCAGACTGGCAGATCCTGGTGCGCATTCATAAACTCAGGTATAAGATGTTCGCAAGCCGTTGAATCTCGCTTCTTCAAATTTTCTTGGGTAGTAGGGGAGACAGAGAACAAGGCTCAAGTGCCCCAAAATTTAAAGGGATGATGAGCGATGCGGTCTGCTCGATATCCCCCACCAAGCCATGTTAGGCATGACCGAAGCTGGCTTGATCGTCCTGTTCCAGGGCCGAGACACCCCACAATACTGGCCCGTGCGCGGAGAGTCTAAGTTATCGATAGTGAGCGAAGGCAGTCATGGTTACAATCGGTCTACCATACACGTGTAGTCGGCCTAGGTTGTTCAAGTTGTCCCAAAACTGTCAAAATCCATACCCTGACAGATCACGCAGATTAGGCCGAGTGAATGTAATCAAAACAGGCCCAGCCCTACCTAGCCTTAGCTTTCAGCGCTTCAAGTATTTTGATTCTATAATCCTGCTGATCTGCTCTTCCCATCCTCTTTTTGGTGCTTTTCTGTCCCGTACCCTTGCAACCACCCCGCTGCGCTCACTCCAGCTTCATTTTGGCCTACGTTAAAGAGCCCGCTTCGAAAACACACGCAACCTCTTGACACCTCCGTCCGGTACCATGATGAGCTTCACATGGGTGAAGACCCGGTCCTTGACCAAGCTCTCGACCAGGTGTTCCATATCAGGGCCGCATTTGATGGGTCCTGCCACCTCGACCCATCCTTCGGCATCTGGTCCCGGTTCTGAGTCCCCCTTCCACTCGATGGCCTCCAGTTTCACCAGCTGCGGATAATTGCCCCGGAAATGTGCTGTGTCCACGACAAGGTTCTGAATATATCCTGGCGCCCCCAACCTGATGATGGCCCAGTCAAAGTGCCCCTTCGTGCGAGACCGAGCCGTCTCCCACCCGTCGCCCATGTCCTTGCCCCGGCCGGGAAGGATCAGGTTGTCCTTAGTCCCAAAATGCTGGTCGCTGCAGGACACAGCCACTCCGCCGTTTTGCGCGGCAGCGAGGTCGAATACGGCATCCTTGTTCACCGGAAAGACAGGCACGGCATGCCCAAAGAGCCGGAACCGGGCGATGCCTCCGTCAGGATACATGTTCAGCCGAACATGGGTGTACTGCTTCTTGGTGGGATTATCGAGCTTCCACCCGAATCGCTGGCTCGGGCCGCACTCCTGGATGCCGAGAATGGTCTCCCAGCCGCCGCGACTTCCCTTCCAGGAGAGGACCTCGTCGTCGTTCTGGCTGAAGCAGCCCTCGACTGAGATGGCCGGCGCGTGGTTGCCCGAGAAGAAGGCCGTGTCTACCTCGACTCCCTCGACCGTCCCAGAGGCTACACCTAGCCGGATCACCACCCAGTCAAACGGTTCCGGGTTGTGCCTCCTGGTCTCCCAGCCATCGTACCAAGCGCCCGTGTAGACCATCTTGCCCGGCTGCCGGATAGGGGCGGCCGGGTTGAGGAGGTTGGAGGCTTCGGCAAACCACTGGTCCGAGAAGCCGAGCACCTCGCTGCCGAGGGCGGCCGAGACGAGGTCTATGCATACCGTACGGCATCAGATAAACCGGCTCTGAGACGGGTCTGGTGGCTCAGACGAGGGACAAGAGATGAACAAACAAACCAATGCAGCCGGAGCGGAACGTCTTATCGATGTCCTCGGCCGAAATCCTGGTGGCCTTGACGGCATCGAGTTGATACTCAATATCCTCCATCATGATGATGATGCAATTGGCCGGACGGGAGCAAAGATCTAGAAAGGATCGCTGATGCCAATGATGAAGCTATACAGAATATGATGTTACTTTGAGACAGTCTCGCCAAAAGCGAAGAGAATTGTCTTATCTCTGGTCTGAGCATTGCGCTGGAACGTTCCACTCATCCATCCTCCGATCCGCGCCGGTCGACGTCGGCCGGCTCCGGTTCCACCCAGAAGCGGAGACAACACGATGGATCCATCTCGACTTCTGTTAGCACCGCTTATCAGACTTGCCAATACGTAAGGCGACGAGGTTTCCACTTGGCTTCCCGCTTTGGTCATCACTGAAAATGCAGGGAGGCGAGGGAGGGCAAAAGCTCTACGTGCCGACTGTGGATGGAGGGAAGTGCGCCCTTGCAGTTGGCCAGATCGGGCTCAAATTTGTGGTGATCTGATTGGCTTGAGTTTGGGAAGCTAACCACAATGCCGTCATCGCCGAGCCAAGGCCGCCAAGCCAGCCGTCACAGTCAACCCGCTGCAGCCGTCAACGACGAGCACACCACAGACAAGATGCTGCTTTCTTCAGCCGTCGACCATCGTGATGATCTCTGACCCTTCCGGAGCGTGGCTTGGCTTGTGACACCATATAGTTCCTCATTTTTCGTGCAGGCTCCCGGCGAGCTGGCCGTGTAGCATCACCCCCGCCTCAAAGATCTCGCACCATAAGACGCAAGCTTCCCCGCAACCCATGACAAGGGCATCCTACATCTGATGTTGAACTTCAAAACATCAGGCGTACAAGTCTCTGCCGCTGTAATCTCATATTTCAATAACCGTGCGATCAACCACTGCGCACAAATTAGCGTTCATCGGAATCCAGAAACCTAACTACTACTCATCTGGCCATCAAAAATGTCGCCCTCAGATGCTCCTCCCTTGGCCCAGGACGAAGGTCCTGCTCCCACCGAAAGCGCTCCTCTCCTGGGAAGACCCGGCGATGCGTTACAAAAACCCGACGCCCCAATATTTATGAATCTCCTTCTCGGTACGTCTCCATCAATTCCTACTCCTTCCCGACTCCCAGACGCTGACAGTTTCCTGCCCCAAGGAACCGCCTGGCTGGCGCAGATCGGCGCGGTGCTCCTCCTAACCATCGTCTGGACGGCCGTCTTTGCCCACACAACACTGCCGCTGGTTTCGCCGCACCCGCTGCTTAATTCGCTCGGCGTGTTCACCGTCCTGCAGGCTATCCTCGTCCTGCAGCCGACCAAGACGCCCGAGGCCAAGGTCATGGGCCAGCGCGTGCACGCCATGCTGCACGCACTGTCCTTCTCGCTGTTCGCCGCGGGGGTGGCCATCATTGAGACCAACAAATACCAGAACAGCTTCCCCCACTTCCACAGCGCGCACGCCTACCTGGGCGTTATCACCGCCGCGCTGCTGGGCGTGCAGTACCTTTTTGGCTTCACCATCTTGCTGACGCCGCGCATTTGGGGCGGCGTCGACAACGCTAAGGCCATGTGGAAGTACCGTATGTCATGTCACCCACCACCCGTCTCCCCCCCCCCCCCCACCCCCTTTAAAAAAAAGCCACACATGGAGAAGTGAAAGGCAAATTTTAGCTGACATCTCCCGTGTCTCGTCGGTGCTCCCGCAGACCGATTGGTAGGCTATACGGGTCTTCTGACGCTCCTGGCGACCGTCGCCCTGGCGGCTGAGACGGACTACAGCAAAGGCGTGCTAAAGATTAACCTGTTCGCGGTGCTGGCGGCCGAGGCGCTCATCGTCGCCGGCGTCTTCCCGCGAATTCACTTGCGCAAGCTGGGCATCAACACCGGTTCTGTGCACTTGCCCATCGCGGGGGAGCCCGGGGCCAGGTGAGAAGTGCGGTAGAAAGGGGGTGTGTGGGAGAAGACGGGGCATGTGCGCGGCATGGGAGATAAACTTACGAGTTCTGATCCTTGCGCATGTCTTTGGATGTGATGCTATGATTGGCTTTTTGTCCTAATACCCAAATGACATCTGGCATTGGGTTATCCGGATGTTGCTTGGGCATCCAAGCAGCCTGTTATTCGTCATCTGAGGTCGGCCTGAAGGTGTTCGAGAGTTGGGTTCACTCCTAAATAGCCACAAGTGGCCGACAATGGCTGTATACCAATCCTGGGGCGACATCGACAAGACCGACAACATCCTCATCACGACGACGGAGACGCAGTCGTGCTCGAGTTTGGCGGTGGCAACACCATTGGCTTGGGCCGACAGCAACAGGGACGGGCACAATGGAGGGCGAGGGACAGGGCTTCCGAAAGAGTACGGTACGGAGGCGCTTGGGAGCTGAATGCTCGGACGGGGAAGTGAGCGCCGTAACTGCGAGATAAACATGAGGACATAATACGCTTGCCTGCCTGGGCACACTGACCAGGAGCAATCTCCAAAGAGGCCCCAGGGCAACTATAAGCTTTGACTCTCCATTAAAACTCTCAGGGTATACAGACGCCAAATATATTCTAGCCTCCATGATACATGCTGTCACAGGCCAAAACACACACAATGATTGCACACGTCCCTCTCATTTCGTCTTCCTCAGCTCATTACTTCGTCCTTGCACCCAGCCACCTCGAGTTTATGTTACTCCTCGGCCCCCCACAACGCAATCAGCCACCGCCCAAAACCCTCCATTCCGATCGTCGAATGCAGGTGTGCCCGCTCGCACATTGTATTAGTCGTAATATTTCGGAATCCATCTCCCTCTCCCTTCTTATCTTTTCGCTCCGCTGTTCTTTTGATTGTTGGTGGTATTTCGCATTCGACTCGCTTGGACCCCGACATTCCACCGAGCAAAAGGAGAAGCAACTTCTGACCGCCGCCAAAAGGTATCATAAAAAAGGAGTGTCGTGAAAACATCCAACCGCTGAACTCCGATGCTCCTTGCTTGCCCGTGTAGTGCGTCAAACCCGACGCGGGTATCATCTCCATGATGGCTGTTTCTAAGGGTAGGGGGTCGACGTATCCATCGGCCAGTCGTCCTCGGTGATGCTGGACCAGAAGATCCAGACGAGCACCACCGACACTAGGGTGAAAAGCGTCTCGAAGAGGGCGCCGTCGATGGCGCCCGAGGTGCCGTTGCAGATGTAGGGGCTGACGACAAAGTCAAAGACCTGTCCCGCGGCGAAGGCAACCGCAGCTCCCACAAGGTACATCATGGGTCTTGTCTCGCCGAGCACCCGCAGGACGAGCACCGTCTCAAGCACGAAGAAGAGCACGATCCACAAGAGCGGAATCAGCAGGTACAGCACGTAGAGCGCGATGCTCCTGTTAGGAAGGTCGTAGCTCGAGTTCCAGTACCCGGTGAAGGAGAAGCCGGTGTCGAGGGCGATGTAGCCGACGCCGATGAGGAAGAGCAGCGCAGAGCCGAAGAGGAGGCCGAGGGATAAAGGCGTGCCGTCGTCCATTAGCTGGTAGCCGACAATGCCATTCAGGAAAAGAATCCAGGTGGTAGCCGCAATGGCCCCAATGTGGATGGCGCTGAATGCCTGTGTGAGGTTATTAGACCTGGCCACTGCCTCGATAATTGATTGCCTACTTACCAATCGCACTTTGGAATCCAACGGGAAGTCTCCTACTGAGAAGATTTCGCATATTGAGACGAGGAGGTACCCGAGGAGAAATGCTTGCATTTCTCTGCAAGATGGTCAGTCGGCCGGCGGAGTCACGGTACACAACCCGAGCTCACTTACCTCCGCCCGACAGCAGCCCGTTTCCTCTCTGAGCGAAGCAACAGAAGGATGGTGACGACGACTGCAATGCCGCATAGTATTATAGATCCTGAGAGGAGGTTAGCCGGCGCATCAGATGAGGTCATTGGAGCATGACGCACCTAAATTGCCCAGGTGCCTGTCACCGGAGAGGGGAACCCCCCTCAATTCGCAGCCCTGCCATGGCCCTCGCTGGTTATCTGTGGGTGATAGAAGCTGTAGAGACATGTGTGAGCAGCCCGAAACGTGTGCAGCCTCCGGAGTGAGTGGCGGGGATTTCCATTTCGGTGATACTCACATTGCAGACCGGAAGCGTTGTGTCTCGACAAAATTCCTAGCCGGCGACATTGGTTAGCAATCAGCCACGTGCAAAACCTGCGCATCACAGATTGTGTCGCTCACATCGAAGTTGCCAAACTTTGTTGAACCCATTGTGTAATGTGGAGCTCGGCCGTGGCAGGTCAATGATGAGTTCGAGCGACGAGATGCGACCGAATGCGACGCGCGGGTGTGTGTCCGTCAAGTATCAATTGAATGCAACGTCGACCTTCGTGAAGAGTCGGTAAAGTATTATCGTCTCGCTGTTTTCCGTCCCTCCCAATACATCGGCAACCGTCCGATGCAAGCAGAACGTCGACAGGGAGATGGCGATGGTTGGCGGTGGATAATTGCAGACTCGTTCCAACCTCGACGACGTCACCCCCAGGTCGCCTAACCTCTTTCGCAAGTGAGAATCCCACCTCTTCTGTTTCATACAATTCTCTCCAAGCGTCCGAGTAACTGTGCGCACCAGTGCGATGCGGCTTCGTAAGGAGCGATTGATGGGGCTGGGTCGTGATTCGGGCGTTCGGCCGCGCTGTTGCGGGATGAATTGCTGTGGTGACAGCTGCGAGAATGGAGCGCAGGCCGGGCCTGGGGTTTGGTCTGAGCTCACTCGAATATAATAAAACTCGCTGCCCTGTCGCAGACTGGGCAACTGCCACGCCTCGAGCCACTTTGAGGCAGGAACTGGGCCCGGCTATTCAGAGACCTCCCTGTCGCGTATACATCCCCTATACCACAGTAAATTGCAAGGGCAGACATGTTCTTCAGAGCGAGGATTGACGCAGAGAGTCACTCACAGAGTGCCCATGCAATGCGCTCTCAAGCCAGGCGCCGCGGATAACCTCGCAAAGGCTAATAGCAATAGGAGGAAGGCGCTATAGTCCAGGGCAACGGTAGGCGTGTAGCTATTGTCCTTGAAGCGCCCTACGTACCTATTTAATTTGAAGGTACACTAGAAGGCCTTTCTCAAAAGCAGACACCCTAACGGCAATACTCCAAGAGATAAGATCTCTTAAAGGGCCAAGTTCAAAGGACTGCTGCGGTTTGCAGTAACTACTGCGCAATGCTGTAAGAAGTTCAGTCGGGAAGTCGATGATTCATGACCAATGCATAGTTACGCAGTGTACTATCAAGAATGTTAAAGGAGGTCTGCTAATAACCGGCCCCATGGCAAGCCCCGCTTGGGTGGCACAGGAATGGACCCACATTACGATCTGAGGACAACGATTGGCCAGTGATCATGAGGTACTTGCTCATCCAGGGGCCAAGCCCAGCCTCTCGCGAAATGACACCGAGACTCGAACCAACCAGTTTCGATTCACTTGGCCAGGAACGGCAACTGGAACGTTTTGTTCCAAGGAACATTTGATCTCGGAATGTCAAAGTTTGAGAAAGATGAGGGCAGCTCGGCGGCTGTAACAGCTTACTATTAATTAATTCGACGATATCCGTATAGAGACATGTACGTGCGCTTCGAATGCTTGTTAGAGGAACGGCGCAGGCACTCGTATGCGGCGAAAGGGAGACCTTGGTGCCCCCGACCTCGCCCTCTAGCCGTTGAAAGACTCTCTCGACCTTGTTGCTCAAAACCGTATCCCCGACCAGTCAGCTGAGAACGTAGCTTCGAGCCTTTGACGGTCTTGCCAATGGTCAATGAAAGTACTGATTTAAGATCCCTACTGAACAAGGTGCATTTTGAATGGCGTCGACCTTTGTCCAAGCCACATTCGTACGTTGAAGGCATTTGTTGGCCTGTTGGCTGGCCTGGTTTGCGTTTACTAGAGGAGGATAAACGGATGCAAAAGTCAGTTATCCCTCGCATTGCCCTTCTCGTAGTCTAAGTCCACCATTGATCATCCAAGGTCTAACCCGCATGTGATCAACGCATGCACGTGAATTGCTTCATGGAGAGACTGGCCAACTGCGTGCTCAGTCCTGTTCCAGCTGATGTACATCGGCTGAAAGATCTCGAAAGCTCTTGCCGAGAGAGCAAGGTTTTCACCCGAATTACTCTGGGCTGCATAAGAGACTAGTTAAAGCGCTACCTTACTTGCGAGCACGGTGCATGTATCAAACATAAGGGGTGCGTTGCTCCCTGCAGGCTTAAAGTTTGAAATCTTCAGCTGTGTCCGGACAGGCATGTGGACAGAGGCATATATCCAGCACGAAGTCAGTCAATACGGGCCGACAAACCTCCCGTAGTAACCCACCATTGATCATTGACGGGGCCGACTCCGTGATGCCCAGGTCCGAGAAGGGACCGGCGAGTCATGCTTGAAACGGCATACCCCGGGTCGGGACACCGCTGCGCAAAACATGTCGGGAGGAAGAAATTGAGGGGAAAAGAGAAGGCCGTCAAGGCGCTCTGATCATGAAGCAGCACCAGAAGATTACGGGCCCCTTAGAGGGATCCAAGAGTCCGCCTACCCAGACTTGGGACGCCACTGTTTGCCGCTCGAGTTCGCAGTGATGCCGCCTCGGAGGCGGGGCGGTTTGGTGTTGTGTTGCACGCAACCGTTTGTTTCAAGTTTCTGCGTCGGTCAATGTTAGCCAAATCCAACATTTTTTGCCCTTTTGGGCAAGCTGTCTGCCTGCCTGTATGACCAGCGACGTGCCGACTTGCCGATTTTCCTGAGTGATTTGCAGTGATGAGCGTCCCAGCTGCCGGTATGACTTGGCAGGCAGTGCAAGGCGCAGAGCGAGAAGTTGGATGCGACAAGGGGAGGACCCATGTACTGTGGGTTAGTGGCTCGGCAGCCATGCGGATCCCATGCCGCTAAGACGGACGGCGCGGGTCTCACGTCAACGCCAACCCGGACCATCCTTACTGCGCCGCCGCTGCGACCCGGAGACTCGTGCACCCTGATAACCCAACTTTCCACCTGCACGTTCGTTTCATGATAACAGCCGACCCATGAGACCCTCCTCTGCGGAGCCCGTCAAGCTCGGATATCTCGCCCCAAGTCCCGCCACAACATCGACCATTGTGCAGCTGCACTCCCCGCGGACGAGGGCTGCTGCCAAACAGCCCCATATTCTTCAAGATTCCTGTCGCCAACCCAGCCCGTATCCCTTCCAACATACCCCTCCGAACCCTTCCCGCACGCAGCGAGCGACAGCATCCTCGGCCCGGCCGGGAGCAGTCATCCTGGCTACTCACGCCCCAAGGTCACGGCCACCCCGTCGACGAAGCGGGCTCTTCGGGGTCTGAGGACAACGACTCCTGGACCGACACGGGCGACCTTGCCGAGCAGCTGGCCGACGAAGATCCCCTGCGCCAGCGGCTGGACAGCGCAGCCCTTGACGACGACATCCTCGCGGGCGTCTTCAACAAGCGCCGTGCCAAACATCACAACCGCCAGTCCAAGCGCGTCCGGTATCGAGAGCCGCTGTCGTCGGGTAGCAGCCGGTCTACTTCACAACACCGCGGCGTCGTCCTCAGCAAAGAGGCTATCCGCATCCCCAGCGTGGTCCATCGCAGAACGTCCAGGGCGGAGCGCCTACTAGCCGCCATCATGGCGGGCGGCGCACGATCTGTTCACGGCCTGACCGGCAAGCCGTTACTGTTGGTCTAGCAACCCGTGTTTAGTGACGCGCCATATGTACTGACGAAGCTGCAGTTACTTTACCTCAATCTTTGTATCATTAGGCGTTTTCCTTTTTGGATATGATCAGGGCGTCATGTCGGGCGTTATCATGTACGTCTGTGATCCTCCTCTCCCATTCTCGGCTGTTCTAGCTAACCTACCGCCGCAGTGGGGATTATTTCAAAGAGTATTTCCGTGACCCGTCACCAGTTGAGATCGCGACCATGGTCGCCATTCTTGAGGTTGGCGCTTTCATATCCTCCCTCATGGTCGGCAGGATCGGCGACATCATTGGGCGGCGGAAAACCATCTTTTACGGATCCTGCGTCTTCTTTGTCGGTGGTGCCTTGCAGAGCTTTGCCACCAGCATGACCATGATGATGACCGGCAGAGTCCTCGCGGGTTTGGGCGTCGGCATGTTGTCGACCATAGTGCCGGTTTACCAGTCCGAGATTTCCCCTCCCCATAATCGGGGTAAGCTCGCCTGCATCGAGTTTACGGGAAATATCATTGGATATTGCACCTCTGTGTGGGTGGACTACTTTTGCGGGTTCATCAAAGGGAACCTGTCCTGGCGTCTGCCCCTGCTGATGCAGTGCGTCATGGGCGGTTTGCTCGGTCTGGGGAGCTTGATCATTGTCGAGTCCCCCAGATGGCTTTTGGACAACGACCACGACGAGGAGGGCATCGTGGTCATTGCCAACCTGTACGGCGGCGGCGACATCCACCACCCGCGCGCCAGGGACGAGTTCCGCGACATCAAAATGAACGTCCTCTTGCAGCGGCAGGAGGGCGAGCGTACCTACCGGGAGATGTTCAAGCGGTACGGCAGACGCGTCTTCATCGCCATGTCGGCGCAGGCGCTGGCCCAGCTGAACGGGATCAATGTTATTTCGTACTACGCACCGTTAGTGTTTGAGCGAGCCGGCTGGGTCGGCCACGATGCGGTGCTGATGGCCGGCATCAACGGCATCACCTACGTGCTGTCGACCATCCCGCCGTGGTACATTGTGGACCGGTGGGGCCGGCGGCCGATCCTACTGTCAGGGGCCCTCGCCATGGTGGTCTCGCTCTCGCTGATATCGTACGTCATGTACCTCAACATCGAGTCGACGCCAAAGCTGGTGGTCCTGCTGGTCGTCGTTTACAACGCCGCTTTCGGCTACTCGTGGGGCCCCATCCCCTGGCTCTACCCGCCTGAGATCCTGCCCCTCAAGATCCGCTCTAAGGGCGCCAGCCTGTCGACAGCGACCAACTGGGCCTTCAACTGGCTTGTCGGCGAGATGACGCCCATCCTGCAAGAGCTCATCGCCTGGCGCCTGTACCTCCTCCATGCCTTCTTCTGCGCAGTCAGCTTCGTCGTCGGTACGTTCCACCGAAACCTCGCTTTTCCATCCCCTCCCGGTCCAACCACCAGACTTTCATTTGTTAACATTTCTTTTTGTCTTTTGCTCCAGTATATTTCCTCTACCCAGAAACGTGTGGCGTCCGCCTCGAGGACATGGACGCCCTGTTCGGTGACTCGACGCGCGCCTTGGGCACACCCGCCGAGTCGCCCACCCCGGCTCTGCGCGCCGAGTCGGACGCCTTGCTCGGCCGCGCGTCGCCTGTCCCGCCGCTCGATGCCGCCTCGCCTGGAGGTGGTCGATTGAGGGTGGATAAACCCTATTTTGAACGGCACCCTGCTAATGCTGCGGCCATCCCCTGGTTGGATATCGACCCCGCTGAGGATCTCCGGGCGAATCGGGGCGGGAAGCCTTTGCGGGAAGCTGGGAGTCGTGTGGCTGAGGGGAAGGGTGCTGCTCGCGGTTGGGGTGGGTGGTTGGCGAGGATGATGGAGCGGGGAGGGCCTGGTGTGGAAAGGAGTGGTGGGGGGAGGTATGTGCCCGTTGAGCAGAGGGAGGACTAGCGATTGGATGCGTCGATGGGTCTCGAGGAAGATACCAGACGGTGTTGGGATGGGATTTGGCTGGCATACGTTACGGGTGCATATAGATGGCGCCGGAAGCTTTGGCCAGTACTTGCTGGCACTGCATGGCAATGATTCTTGCTTGCTGGTTACATTAGATCGTAATCCAGGTTGGTTACGTAGATGGAGGCTCTGCTGGGTTGCAGGCCTAGCACAGTCTTTCTGGTTTGATCTGGAATTGCTGAATGCTGGGTTGTGCTCCTCGCTTGCTTGCAGACATATTTCCTTCGCGATATGTACCGAACTACTGCCTACCCTGTTCTAGTTGTTGACTGCTCAGAGACAGACTCGAACTATCGTCATGAGAACTACTACCCTGACAGAGAACGGCTATTGCTTGTGCAAGTGGAGGTGACCGAAGGCGGTCCGTGCACCTGCCGTCAAATCTCAAGTTTTACGGATAATCCCACCTCAGTTCAGAACTTTACCTACGCAACAATCGTAACCGCGCCTCCCGCATCACCATCGATGGCCACCACCACAGAGCTCCTCCACGCATACCGTCGCCTCCTTCGTGCCGGCCTGCGGGCCGTTCAGTTCTCGCAGCCGTCCAGCTCAACGGTCAGGGAACGCCTGCAGGAAGGGTTTCGAGATCCCAAGGGCACGTTTGACGCCAAGCGGGTCCAGCGCACCATCTACTTCCTCAACGCGGCGGCCCAGGAGCGTGGGCTGGAACACAAGATACTCAAGAACCTGTGCCGCGTGCATTGGGAGAGGATGCGCGATCTACGGAGGACGCCGTGGAAGGTCAGGATCCGGACGGAGACGGAGAGTAAGAAGAAGAAGAAGTGAGTGTTGCCTCCTCCCTCTCGTTTCAACTTAGTCTATGGATGGTGCTTTCGGAGGGATGGGCTGTGTTGACTTTGTGTTGGAAAAGGGGCTTGGATGTCATCCAGGGCACGCAGTATGAGCATTATGAACGGACAATCGCGATGCTCAACGATGGCATGGGCTTGTGTCTGCGATGAGCTACGATGGCTTCAAAACTCATTCAACTGAGGCCAATGGACTCGTTAAGAAAAATGGAGGCAGCTTCCACATGTCCCCGGCGAGTTTCGCGGCTCGTACGAAGACTGGCCCCTCCCAGTCTCCCTCAGCCCTGTGGCTAATGCCGGTCGGAGCCGAGCCGTCGCGGTTGGCCGCGGCGGTTGGACGACGGCATTACCGTACCGAAGACTCTGACTCTGATGCGGCTTGAAGTCAACCCAAGACGCCGCTATCGCTCGTCAAGAGCTGGAAGGAATGTTGGGAACTTCAAGCGCACACAGCGCCCCACATACGCCGGGGCCGTCAAGCATATGCTAGCATCATTGCTTCTGATCTACAAACTTGCGTTTATAGGACCGAGGTTGTCAGGAGGCCGGATGGCGTGAGGGCGCGCTGAGGATGGTACTTGAAGTGGTGGGCCACCTCCTGTCACAGCTCGTGCCGTGGCCCGCAGGAAGGTATCAAATCGCGTCCGCTTCTTTGTCGGCATGGCGGGCAGGTCGGGTGGATCTTTAATTCAGGTTGCTTTTTGATATAAGTCCCTCGACCGGGTGTTGGGCCCATCCATCAACTCATCATGGCAGAAGAGAGCCAGTTCCCGAGCGAAGCAACGGCTTTTCGTCGATTAGAGACACAATGCTGCAGCTATGACGTTTACCCCACAGAGCTCTTATTAGAATGAAGCCATCGTCGAGCACCCTCCAAGTCCGGTCAATCAGTGCCGTGATGATCTGCAAGCAAATTGTATCTCGTCCTGTTTCGTTCATGAAGTGTTCAACTTGGCTGCGAGGGAAGGGATTTCCAGAAACCCCGCTAAGCTCGACCTTTGCGCTAAATAAAAGGAGCCGGGGGTACGGAGTATGGGTCATTGGACCTAGACGGTTCGTAGATTGGAAGCAGCTAAGGTTACTGTAGACGTGAACTTTGACCACCACACGACTCAGGTAAGCTAAGGCAGGGAGGGTAGCTTCTTTGTGCAGCAACCCCGCAATTGAGCTCGTCACCGATACCATCACCACCCCTCCTAACTGCAATCGCCGTTGCACAACCTGCCGGACTCGACGCCGATCAGCCAATTGACGCCCGACCCCAACGGGCAGGGCATCCGTATTGGGGCTGCCCATCTCCGCCCTCTCTCCTCGAACTCTTCGATTCTTTCACCAACCCAACTCTCCGTTCCTTTTCCCTGATCGACCACCCATCGACCGATCGAAGTGACCGCAAACGGGGAAGCTCCCGACCACACTGGCGGGGGTTCTTATGGACCCTCACCCGCCGGCCAAGGCCCTTCCGCGACCGTGCTGCTGATGATTCTGGTTCTGGGATCGACCGAAACCACCGTCTGCTGGCTGACGGCTGCCCGGTGCGAGGTGCTAGCCACGGCTTGACGAGAACGAGGCGAGAGAAGAGACGGGACGAAAGGGGAAAGCACCACATTAGCGCGAGACAAGACACGAACAGTAAAGGAAGGAGGGAGGGGCCCAGGGAGCTATTATGCCTGCTGAGCTCCAGTCCGCTGCCCACGACCACGATAACCACCGCCTCCGCCTACTGCAAAATGGTCCAGCCCACGGCGCCCGCCCTCAGTTTCCGATCATGCCTCCCTCTCCGACCTCTTCTCAGCAGCAGCAGCAGCAGCAGCAGAACGATGACCAGCAGAAGCACCAGGAGCCACAAGAACAGCGCAAAGGCCATTTGGGGAAGCGCCCCAACACCAACCTCGACGAAGATGTGTGCCCCGACCCGCGCCTCGCCTCAGCGGCGGCAGCAGCCGCAGCCTTGAGCCGCAGCACTGTCGCCAGCTCACCCGCAAGCAGCAGCAACAGCACGACCGCCGCCAGCGACACTGCCATCTCGAGCTACCAGCGCCTGGTCAAGCGGTACCGCGTCGAGGTGGCGGCTTCGGCGTCGAGCGTGCTGTCGACGCTGACGACGTTTCCGCTCGACAGCGTCAAGACGCGCATGCAGACGTACCGCTACGCCGGCTTCGTCGACTGTGTGCGGCACACGTACCGCACCGAGCACCTCCGGGGCTTCTTCCGCGGCGTCACAGCGCCCATGGCCAGCATCACGCTCGTGCGCACCGTCTCGTTTTCCATATATCAACGGTCTAAATACGTCTACTGCGACTGGGTCAAGCGCAAATTCAGCGTCGACGTCATGGCGCACGTGAGCTCGTCCGGGTCGTATCCGAACGGCTGGTCCGTGGCCACGTTTGGGGCGGCCGGCGCGACGGCGGGGAGCTGTATTACAGTCATTGCCTGTGAGTGGGTTTTGTCCCGTCCATGTTCGAGAGGGTGACCGGATTACGTGGGGGTTTGAGGGAAGACTGACGCGTGAGAGGCTAGGCCCGTTCGAGTTGACCAAGCTCAGTGCCCAGGTGTCGGTGCTGTTGGCGGACAAGAAGAACTGCCCAAAACCCGAAAGCCACGCGATCGCGGCGAGCTACCAAAACAAGGGCACCTTCAAGACGCTGGGGAACATCATCAAGCACCGCGGCGTCACCGGGCTGTACACCGGCTTCAGGTTACATCTGAGTACGTTACCTCTATCCCCTTTTTCATGTCGGAAAACAGAGGCTCTAATGACTTGGCCCGCAACAGTGCGCGACACCCTCGGCACAGCGACCTACTTCATGACGTACGAGAGCAGCAAGCAGCTCCTGACAACCTTTGGCGGTGACGGCACCCACTCCAACCCCCTCGCCGTGCTGGTGGCAGGCGGACTGTGCGGCATCGTCTCATGGGGCTTGATTTGTAAGACTTTCCATCCCCCCCCCTCCCCCCCAACACCAAAACAGCCCCTTTTTCGCCCCCATCTTTTCTTTTCTTTCCTTCTAACAAGTACAAACCAGATCCCATCGACTCGGCCAAGTCCAGATACCAGCGCAACTCGCTCATGTACTCGAAGGGCCAAAAGGTCGAGCCCGTTAAGATCCACTTCTTCCAGCGCAACATGTACACGGGCCTCGGCGTGTCTATGGGCCGGTCGTGCGCCGTCAACGCCGTGTTTTTCTCGTCGTTTGAGTTCCTCAAGAAGCGCATCAAGGCGTGGGATGAGCACTAGCGACTCTTTTTTTTCCCTTCTCTTTCTTATTTTCTGGCTTCCTTCTCCGTTTCTATGTCTCTCTGGGATTGGTTGGCAAATCATGGGTGTTTGGGCTGGCTGGTCTGGGTGCTTTTTTTTCTCTCTCTTTATCTACATTCTGTGGCTCTGTCTGGTACATTACTTTTATGGAGGGTCCCGTACCTGGGCTACTACATACCGTCATTTGCCTAACTTATTACACTGTAGTTTCTCGTGTTTACCGCCTGGTCTTTGGCCCCCCCGGGGCGGCGAAATTGTATCAAAATCGGGCTGGCGGAGGGTTTGGTTCACCCTGGTGGGTTGGTTCCGGCTTGGTGCGTGGTGGTGGTCGTGGTTCGGTGCATTACAAACGGAATTGGGATTGGGGGCTTGTATTTGTATCATGCGTATCTACATTTGCAAAGCGTCCTTTGAGGAGTTGCTGTTCTCAAATCCTTTTTATGGGGCTCCTTGGTGTCTTTCTCGCTGGGGCTGGGCAAATCCGGCGTTCATCATTTCTCCGTGCATGCATTGTTTGTTTGCGCTGTGAGGCGGCGGGCGTCAATCACTTTTTCATGATTCCTGCTGGGGAGAGGGCATGAAACTAGGCCCAGATTAGCCTGGACGGGAAGCAATTTTTGTGGTTTGTGTTGGAAGAAAGCAGCCGGATTGATGGCCATATTAGATACAGGCTTATTGTTTGTCTGTAGCGGGTTATCGGAACTCAAGAAGCATCCAGCAATGAGCTTCTCCGGGTTGGTGCTACTTGGATCATGAAGGTCGCGGATAGTATGAGCCATGAATGTGATTGTTGCTTGGGCGTCAAAGGGAACAAAGAAGAAATGGACCAACGGAAACTCCGCGAGGGGAGAGATGGAGCGGATGTGTTTCCGACTGGAGTTTGACGCCGGGCACCGCGGATGGCGAGCCGGAGAACGAGGCTGATACGGTCATTGTACGGAAGGTCACCGACAACAATGGGAGACATGCAGGTTCAATATGACAGGTGGCTGTGCCATGTCGAGGGGCTTTGTTGACGGGCCCTACTGTGGTCCGAGTCGAGGCTTGGGCTTCGTCTTCTGGTCAACATTGACCCGCCGGAGCACTGTAGTCAGACGTAGAAGGTCAGAAAAGGTGCGAGATGATTCTCAGGTTGGGATCATGAAGAAGCCCGTGGTGGTGACAGTTGGGGGTATACTTATATATGTGGCTGTCATCCGAAATGAAGCATGATGGTCCAGAGTGGTCGTCCGTGATAGACGGCCCTGAGCAATCTTGGCAGAGCACCTGGGTAGAGATCCTCCGATTCGCGGTATTTGCTCCTCAAAAATGCGGGAGCTGCAGCATCGAATCATCCACGAGCTGGGGAGCGGCGGTTTCGGCACCGTGTACAAATCCCGCCTCATGCCCTTCGGCCGTGTCATCGCCGTCAAGGTCCTACATAAAGGAGACCAGGAAGACGAGCAATGGGAAAAATCGACAGACCTGGCATACAAGGGAGAGGGGACCATCCTGCCCAGTCTCAACCACGTACGCATCTCCCCGTCCTCCGTAACCTCCTCTTCGTTTCTCATTGCTCACTAACAGCCATAGCCACATATCATCCGAGCCTTCCACTCCCAGGGCTGGGGCACCCCGCAGGTTGAGATCTTCATGGACCTGATGGACGGCACGCTCGCCGATCTCGCCTGGTCGCTTGTCCGGCCGTACCGCGCCCTGGCGGACACCGTCCTCTGCCAGATCCTCCAGGCTCTCGACTACCTCAACGGCCTGGGACTCGTCCACCGCGACGTCAAGCCGCAAAACATCTTTTACACGCGTCCGCCTCGTCCGTTCCCCGGTAGTACGACCCCGGACAGCACCATGCTCCTCCTCCGCCACCACCACTTCCGGCTCGGTGACTTTGGCCTCTGCGACAGCGAGTCGGCCGTTTCGGCAGCCCTCTCCCCGCGCGGCAGCTACCCGTACATGGCGCCGGAGCTGCTGGCGACGCCGCGGCCGCGGCACGCGCAGTCGCATAAGTCGGACGTGTGGGCGCTCTACGTGACCGTCTTGTGGACGCTGAATGTGAGGGGCTTGCGGCGGACCATGGAGAGGACGGGCGTAATTGGGGAGGTGCTGGCCGACGAGGTGTTTTACCTGGACAATGGGCTGCAGCATCTGGAGGGTATGGCGCAGGTCAATCCGCGGCACAGGGCGTCGGCGAGGCGGATGTTGAAGACGTTGGGTTGGAAGAGGCCTGTTGAGTGAACGTCTGGTGGTGTATCAAGGGGATATTTTGTTGGAGTCACTGGTTTGGTTAAGGGGCTGTTGGATAGAATTCTATGGCGAATAGACGGCGAAGCATGCTTGTGGTTGAGAACGGCTGGCAATACGGAGTAAGCTCGTGTGGGTTTGAAGAAGACCGTGGTAGGTGTTGGTGAACCACTGCCAAATTCGCAGATGTTAAAGCTTCCCTTGACTCCGTGCGTTGCTCAGCTCGGTGTTGCCCTCAAGATGAGACCAACCAGCCCAACCAGCAACAAAGAGACAACCATAGCCGTGATCGTGCTGGCACGAGTGTTTCAGTTCCACTCAAGGTAACATCAGTTCCGTTGACCATCACCGCCGAATGCGTAGAGTTGGCAGAATCGAAGGTACCTCGAAAGTCCACGGTGAAATTGAGAAAGGTTTTGTTGCGGACGCTGATCGGTAGGACGCCCTCAAGCGTGAGAGAAAGCGCGTCTCGCGATATCGATCCCCTGACGATGGTTCCGTTTGGGAATGTTGTGTCAACGACTGCTGTGTTGGAAGAGAGTGAGGATGTTGTGTCGAAAGTCGCAGCTTCGCAGAGGCTGCCACCTGGACGGAACTCATGCCAACGCACATCCCACATCGTTAAACCGGGATTGTAATCTTCTTTCGGGTGACCCATATAGGTGCCGTTGAAATACACGGTTGAGGAGATGTTTGACGCAGACAGACTCAGTTTTACCAGGTCGCGAGCGTCGGATATCTGCCCTTGAGGAGGGTTGTGATATTTCGATGTTGTTGCGAAGTGGATATTGTGAGGGAATGAGTAGCAACCGCTCCAGTCCAGAGGGTCAACATCATCGACGGGAGGGTCTGGCCGGTAGGCGTCGAAGCCGAGGATGAAGGTATTGGTCAGTCCGTCAATGTCGTACTGCGGCCCAAGTGCAGCCACTCCCAGCATCACCTCCGGAGATGCCGTGGCCTGCACGCCCTGGCTTCCACAAATGCCCCCGTCTCTAAGAACCTCGCCCTCCCCGTTTTCCAAGCTGTACTGGACTGTGGTTTTGCCAACGTAGTATGGCCCGGAGCAATCCTTGTCGCGGATTTTGCAACGACCCGTTGGAGAAGTAGTGAAACGGTGGCTGGGAAGATCGTAGTAGAGATACCGCGGGAGAACACCGTAAACGGCGCACCCAGCTCCTTCGCCTGAGCCGTTACCGTCAGAGCCGCCATCAGAACCCCTGTCCGACCCTGACCCTCCTCCTCCTCCTTTTCTGGCACCAACTGCACTCCCGAGGAGGCAGCATATCGCTCCGAGGAGCAACCATTGAAGACTAGCCGTTCGCATATCAGACGTGAATTGTAAATTGTAACTAAAAGTATCGAGTATGGGTAGAAAAAAGATGAGTGATACATGGATGAGGTTGATCGGGGCAACGTGCTTTCCTCAAGTATGTATACCCATCCGTACCTACCTTGCATTTCTGTCAGGGGTTCAATGCTACCTCCTTTCTCGGAGTGTTTACTTACTTCGTCTTCGTCTAACCTCCAACCAGTCATATGAGGTCTTAACGATGTTAACCGCTCGGCGCTCGCTAAAGCACAACACTGCCACCTCGCCGACCCTCTTTTCCAGCGTCTGACCGGGCCGAAAGGAAGTTAGAGTGTTGATTTCAGTCTTGGGTACGGATACACGCAAGGCGACTGCAAGGAGGATTGGCAAGGCAGCCTTGGGGATGTGGATGTGGCATGAAATTCAGTGAAGCTATTGCGTGACAGTTCTTAGCGACTTCTAAGACAAATGTGATGGTTTGCAGCACATCGCAGAGGTCCTATTGAGAAGACACCAATTGAGGGATGCCATCTCATTTCATATTTCAAGTTCCAGTCGTTGTAAGGCTCACAGCGCCTATCCAGGAAGACGAAGCTTGATGAAGTTGCCCGTTGAAATTGAGCCTTGAAGGTTGTACACCCGGCGTGTTCTCATTACCCGGCCAACCGGGGCTGCAGTCAGTGTTATAGTGTATTGTGATGCTCAAACGCCAGTTCAAACCCACGTCTATCTGGCTGCCACCCATCTCTCCAACAATGGGGTATTTAACCAGGAGAGCCAAAAACAAGATTCCACTATTGCAAGAATATAAGGCATGTGCGCACGTGCTTCCTATAGGAGGTAGTGAAATCCAGGCTCCCAACTCTGGTTTTACAACGCAATTGATTATGCGGGTGATACGCGTAGAGATATTGATGAATAGTTTTTCTTGCTCTCCCCTCAGGTCGAAGCTCAAACTTGATATTCGAGGAAACTCTATGCCTTGTCAGTTCTTGGCAAGCTCAATGAAATTCTTGTCTCAAGACCTCGATAAAAAGATTCATCAATAACTTCACGCGTATCACCCGTATCGTCAATCGCGTTATATGATTCAGAAAAAGGAGCCTGGATTCACTACTGTACTTCGTACCTCCTGTTCTTAGCGCGTGTCCGCATACCTTACATCGCTTATAATAGTGGGGATCTTGTTTTTTTGGCTCTGTTGGCTCACTGCCCGAATTGTTAAGGGGGGCGGCAGACCAGATTTGAAGTAGGGTTGACGGCTTTGAAGGAGAGTGGAAAAGCACCCTTGGACTACTGTCAGAAACAGCCGCTGAGCCCCACGTCAGCCTGGCGCCAATTCGCAGCCGCGACGCCCCACCCAAAATTTCAGCAACAGCAGCCCCAATTCCCAAGGCTGAGCTAAACCAAGCTTCCGTCTGCAACCTCCGTCTGCAACCAAGCCAGCACCAACAGCGAATCAGCCGATTGCGGAACTACCCGACCAGTTTTCAGGTCATACGGGAGCAAGGCCGAGGGTGGGAGATAGGAGAGAAAGAAAAAAAGAAAGGAGAAAGAACTGAATTCGGAAATGGCTTCAAGCCAACACGTCCTCCTCTCCCCAGCCGAGCTCGCCTACCTACACGCCTCGCTCTCGCTAGCCCCGCCCATCCGCCCAGACGGCCGCTCACCCACCCAGTTTCGCCCTCTTGTTGCCGAGACTGGCATTCTCCCCGGCACAAACGGCAGTGCGAGGATATGCTTTGCAGACGGCACCGAGGCGATTGTCGGCGTGAAGGCCGAGGTAGAGAGGACGGCGCAACGCTCCGGAGATGAGACCGTGTTCTTGGAGGAGGGTGGGGCAGGCGGTGATGACGATGACGAAGAGGAGGAAGCAGGACAGGGGCTGGAGAAGAGGAAGGGGGACGCCTCGTGGGTGGAGATGACGGTTGAGATTCCAGGACTTAGGGATGATGATTCCGGGACGGCATTCTTGGCCGCCATGCTGAGCGAGGCCTTGCTCGCCGACGGCGGGTTTACCAAGCGGCTGTGGATCAACAGGCGGTTCCATTGGAAGCTCTATCTCGACGTACGTTCCGATGCCTGTACAACACACCATCCTTTTGGACCAGCTGACGCTTGACAGATTATCCTCATCTCCCCACCACTCTCCTACCCCCTCCCTCTGCTCTCCCTGACAACACATCTAGCCCTCCTCTCCACCCGCCTCCCGCGTCTCAAATCCGAGGGCGATGAAGACCCCTTCTTCGACGACGACTGGGCGGCAGCGCCCTACCTCTTCCCGCGTACCTCCTCCACCAACATCGCCACCGCCAAGTCTACCACCCCCGCTGCCGCCATCCGCCCGCCGATAACCCTCCTCGTGATGGCCGTCGGCAACAACATCATCTTCGACCCATCCAAAGAAGAGCTCGCCGTGGCCGACGTGGCGCTCGCCGTCTCCGTCACCGGCTCGAGCCCATCACACTACGCCGCGACGGGGACGGGGGAAGAAGCGGGGAGGAACCTGAGGCTGCTGTCCATCAGGACGGTCGACCCTCCCTCGAGGCTGACGCCGCCTGGTCTCGCCAACGCGGCGAACACGGCGTATGGGCCGAGCAATGGGACGATGGGGACGCAGAAGATGGCCGAGGCGAGGGCGGCTGAGACGGAGGCTGCCGAGGGCGTGTGGAGGCCGCCGAGGGGCGGGGCGAAGAGGATGGTGCTTGGAGCGTTGGTGCAGAAGGTGCTTGAGAGAGGCGGCGTGGTGGATGAGGTGTTAGATGCGCTGGAGGGGGTTGATTCGGGGTAGTGAGTTAGGGAGTGAGAAGAGGGATGAGGGGCAAGGCAAGAGGAAGGAATTGCCGCCATGTTACTTCTTCCGCCCGTATCCGCGCCGATCCCAACCGGAATACACCCCCAACTAATGTACATACAACCCACCTGTGTGTGTCTAGTACAGAATTCACACCCACCATCATCAATCAAAAGATACCCAGCCACTTCCCCTTGGCCTTCTCCACCACCGCTCGCCTCTCCTCGTCAGTCAGCCTCCTCACCTCAGGCTCCTTACTCTGCACCTCCACCACAACAGCACCCTCCCCACCCTCCGCCTGCTGCTCCCGTACGCCCTCGCCCTCCCCAGCAGCCGCAGCCGCAGCCGAAGCCACTCTCCCCGCCTCCTCCCCTTGCTCTGCCCTGTCCCCATACTCAGTCCGAACTTTGGCCATGGGCTGGTTGAAGAGCCCCATCTCGTCCGGCAAGCCGTGCGCCTTGCGGTACGCGGCGCGCTTGGCCACGTCCTCGACGTTGCGCTTGCGCTTCTCGCTGATGCGCGCCGTCTTGTGCGCCTCGTGCAGCCGCAGCACCTCAATCAGCATGCGCGCCGAGCCGATGGGGTGGTACAGGTAGTCCGAGGCCGGCGGCAGCAGGTCGGCGAAGGGTGAGGTCGCCTGGAAGTTGATGGCGAAGGTGTAGATTGCTAGGGTTGAGAGGGTGCCCTGTGGTAAGGAAAATTATCTAGGTTAGTGGAGGCCGGAGGGGGGTAAGGGAAGAGAGGGGGGGAATAGAAGGTGGGTGGTGAGCGGTGGGGGGGTGCGTACGACGGTGATGACGACGTGGATCCAGCGGCTGTGGAGGAACCAGTGAGCGCGCGTTTGTGGGGGCGGCGGCAGGCCTGGGTAGTCGCGCGCTGCTTGGGCGGTGGCCTCATCGGCAGTCAGGTCGCCGCCGTACTGGCGCGGGGGTATCTTTTTGGGCAGGCGGGAGCCGTGCGAGGGTGGGTTGAAGCGTTCTGGTTTGGCCAGGACCCGGGGGCCGGAAGCAGGTGGTTTGACGCCGCTGCCGCTAATACTGCTGCTGCTGCTGCTGCTGGATAGGCGGAGGAAGAGGCGGCGCGGAGCGGACGACGAGCCCGCCCGGCGCCAGATCCGGCCGGATTGCGGGAGTAGGAACCGGGGGATGGAGGCTGTTGTGGACGCCATGATTAATCGGTCGGTTCAAATCCGGTCGCGGGAATAGTTAGTATGTAGCACCGGCCGTGCTACCCTGGTCGCTGAAAGAGCAATTGGCTTTGGCGACCCTCGAGCATCTACCCCGAAATTCAGGATGGACGTTGCGGTTGCGGCTCAATCTGGACGATTGACGAGTGGTCAGAAAATGGCATGCATCAGAGTCCTGCATGTTCCAGCAGCTATCCACTTGAGGTTAGCGCCATCACATGGTTATGTGCGGAGCTCGAGCCAAGTGATTCTGCCAGGCGGGCAGGGCCTGGTGATCCAGGAACCGAGAAACGCTCGGGCGCGCCATGCCGGTGGTTCCCGAGATCGCCCGGAGCGACTGACTAACAGTGCGAAGCTGATTGGCCCACATGATGAAAAGAGTGGGTATCTCATTCAGTCCTGCTGCGATGATGATGTGGGCTTGGCAAAGGCCAAAGGCAAGGCAACTGAAAAATTCCGGGACAGGTTCGGCGCAGCAGGCGGTGCAGCCAACTATAACACCTCATTCCCAAATTTTTCTTGAACTCTTTCCTGCATCCTACGCATCCATTTTCTTCAAGATACCCTCTTCTTTACCAACACCTACCTTTCCGTACCCTTTACTTCTAAGACCCAACCGCCAAGATGGGCTTCGCTCCTGGTACGTCCTTGTTAACTCCTGCTCACCTCCAATCTCTCGGTCTCGGACTCGGCTGGAAGCCTGGATTATCGTGACCTGTCATCGTGTTATGCACTGCATGGCCGCCACGAGCCATTGGCACCACATACGCGCCTGGATGGTGATGAGATCATATCCCTTTGTTGGACTTGACCTTATACCTGGAAGTGTTGGGTGCTTGTCCCGTGCCGCCTGCAGAAGTCGAGACTCGTCGCCGGCCGCGGCCCTGCGCCATTTTCCTTGTCGGAAAACCGAAGAACCGCTAGCCGGCGAGCGAGGCTCAACGATTGATTCTCTGCGCAGCAGATCACCACAACCGAGACCTTCCGCAAAACACGCGTCTTCCACACGGTCTAGCAGTCACCGTTGCTAACAGCCTACGGCATAGGTGACGCTAAGAAGGGTGCCAACCTCTTCAAGACGCGCTGCGCGCAGTGCCACACCCTCGAGGCCGGCGGCGGCAACAAGACGGGCCCCGGGCTGCACGGTCTGTTTGGCCGCAAGACCGGCTCCGTCGAGGGTTACGCCTACACCGACGCCAACAAGCAGAAGGGCATCACCTGGGACGAGAACACTCTGGTATGTGCCGTCTCTTAGATGATGAGAGAGCCGAGTCTTCGAGCTTGCACTAACTGTTTTTGTTCCAGTTCGAGTACCTCGAGAACCCCAAGAAGTACATTCCCGGCACCAAGATGGCTTTCGGCGGTCTGAAGAAGGACAAGGACAGGAACGACCTTATCACGTATGTCTCCCACTTTTTGTCACTCTCTTCATCCACACCGCAGCGCGAGACTGACCAATGCCTCACAGCTTCCTCAAGGAGTCGACGGCATAAATATCGGCATCCAAGGTTTAAGGCGTCGTTGTATTATTACCAAGCCAATCTCATCACCGGCAAAACAAAAACCAGTCCCGCATTTAGGGAGTTGGCTCGGCTGCGGCGAGAGGATTTGTCGTTTTTGCTACCGCTACACTGTTTTGGGCATTAGACGGGGCGGCTCTTGTAAACCACACCATATTACTACACTTGTACCATAGAAGAGACGACGACGACGAGATCACTAGACGATGTGCTTGGCGGCGCAGCCTGATGAATGATAATTCCCTGCTCTTGTTCCTGATATTCAATCGACTGCTTTTCAGGGTGAGGATTGCGTGCCGATATACCGAATGCCGAAACTTTAGGGCGCAAAGATGGGTACATGTACGTCGGATGGTGGTCAGTTAGATGTATTGCTGCTGTAAGGTTTACGGATCTATAGTTGCAGACGGAGAAGCTCAGGAGCTGTATACGTCCGGGTAGAGTCGTCATCAAGAACATATATATCCCTCGTAGATCTGTCAAAGCTGCTCGAAAGCCTTCAATACTCTCGCACCTCACGTCCCTGTCCCAAGTCACAACACAAACATTCCCTCGCTCACTTCTAATTCCATCTTTCACGATGGGTGTATCTGACTGGTTCAACTACTTTTTCTCATATCTTTGCTACTTCCTCTCAGATCTCGGGCTTTACTCTGACTACAGGGTCATCGTCGGGCTCGAGAACGCCGGGTAATCAAGGCTGCTCCAAACTAATCGCAAACAATGCGCCAGGCTCCGCTTTTGTCACATCCGAATCACTCCCCGACTCCGAGACGCTGACTGTGGGCAAGGTTTCCTTCACCACTCTGGACGTCGGCAATCAGCACGGAAACCGTGCGCTATGGATGAAGACCGTCTGCGGGACCTCGGCTATCATCTTCATGGTCGACGCCCGGGATACTGAGCGGTTCGACGAAGCCGCGGCGGAACTGCACGCCCTCGACGCTGCCAGGGGACTTGAGCGGGTGCCGTTCCCGGTGCTGGGCAATAAAATTGACTGTCCAGGTGCAGGTACGTGGTGAATCCCCCCAGTGGTCTGTTGAGATAACTCAGGCTGCCGCTTCGATTATGCTGTTGCTAACCTACGGTTTTTTATGGAATGGTCACTAAGGAACAAATCTGGTGGAATCGACTTCGGGTAATCCGTACACGAAATCAAAAATAGGCCAGTCAATGTTGTCCTGTGCTCCGTAGCCGAAAGGGTAGGATACCAGGGGGGTATTAAATTGCTTGCGCACAATTTACACAGTACATGTATAAAATTTACATACCTGTTCACGATCACGCGTGAATTTCAAAAGGTGCTGTGCTTGTGACATCTAATTACATACGGCGAAGGGCAATGTCGATCCCAAATGGGCGCCAATGTCAAGATTTTGATAGCTATGGACGGCTAGATTATTTAGAGCGCCAGCGGTGTGCTGAGATCCAGTTAGGTATGCGATTTGCTTCTCCCTGCAGATTGTGATAACAATCCTCCCCTCGAGAGGCTACATGACCCTGCAAAACGCCTCCCAGAATAGGTAATGTCACAACCATGTAAGGTGTGCTGCGTACCTCATCGTCTATACAGTGACGCCCACATTCCGTCAGTCTCAGGCTGTGTCCCAGTGCTATGCGAAGGACGTATGATTTATTGTCAACCGCTCGACGCGTTACTGAGCATATCAGAGACAGCATCCCAGGATAGGCGGCTTTGGGGGTCGCTGGAGTAGTTGGCGTTGATCAGGCACAGCGAATGTTATCGTCGAATAGCCTCTTCTTTTGGGTTCTATGCTCCTTAGAAGTGATGATATTCGGCGCGGGCAATACGAATGGTGATTGATGGTGACCCAGTGATGCTGCTGCAGAGACATGACCATTAGCTCACCTATCACTCATCCCTGCCAGTAGCGGAGGGATGGTTTACTTGAGGTTTGCCAGCACCCCTTGAAAGTCCAGCAACTGGGTAACTTGAGGCTCAGCCATCTACTTTCTCACACATCCTTCAAGGATGAAGCCAATGATCCGTCAGTTTCTAAACACGGAGCCATCTGGAAATCGCAAATTCATTGCTGGTGTCGGAAGCTTGCAAGTCGCGAACCCGGATATTCCCCGATGAATAAGAGAAAGACACGGCAAGACCTAATTAGACTCTTGATTGTTCCAACCACAGGGCCATGAAATCTGACAATTATCGCTGTACAGAATGAATTACAAACGCCAAAGCGTTTATCCAAGAAAAATAAAGAAAGAAAACATCGCTGGGGCAAGTGGAAGGCGGCCCCTGCCAACAAGGGTTCGATCGGGAGTACCGCAATCGAGGGATTACGGAGAGAAATGGGCGGGTCTGGTGGTGAAGAGGGTGGGGAGGAAGGGGGGATGGTGGAGGAGGCTCCCTGCAAGGCGGTGTATCTGGGGAAAGCAGACATTAGTCAAGGGTCTCTCGTAGGAACAGTGTGCATTGATGTTCTGCGCGTTGCATGCAAGCATATCCGTACCCGCGATGGACTCGCACATAGTGCGAGCAGGGCCGTCCGGGGGGATGAAGTAGAGCACAATGGGCGCCGGGGCTGGCCACTATGATGATACCGCAGAAGATCTTCGATTCTTGACGCTACTCATAATCAGCAGGCCCCCGCCGAATAAGAACATGAAGAAAAGGAAGATAAAAGATGGGAATAGAGAAGCAAAAAGGAAAATGAAAAGAAAGAGAGGAAGAAAAGAGACAAAATGGTTGAGTACTAACCCTCAACACTATACCAAAAAGAAAGATGAAAAGAAAGAGAGAAGGAAAACAGAAGAAGGTTGAGTACCTAGGTAACCCTCAACACTACCTTAGGCGGTTTGTCCTAATTATTTTCTTTCTGAATTATCAAAACAAGGATTTGGCTGGTGGTCCCCTGAACCACCAACTCTGAAACACTCAAAACCCACGTATTTGCACAGGGAAGCGACATCTGAATCAAAAAGTAACCAACAGAGCTGTTATTTCGACACAGAATAAGGTTATGCCACTCGGTATCCTACCCATCAAGAACGTCACGGTACTTGTCTGCATCCCTGACGCTCGGCTTGACCTCCTGCAGCGCCCTCTCCCAATCCTCCATGGTGATGACCGGATCCACCGCGGCAGCAGCAGCATCACCGCGGGCGTCGTCAACGGCCCCCTCCTTCTTCTGCGTCAGATACGCCCGCTCCAGACACGCCTGCGCCGCCGCCTGCAGGAGGTTGCCCAGGTCTGCGCCCGAGAAGCCCGTGCAGCGCATGTCGAGCGCCACTTTTTCCAGGTCGGCCTCGCGGGTGCCATGATGATCATCTATGCCTGCAGTATCCGGAGAGGTGGTGGTAGTTGTGGTGGCGAATTGCGCGTTAATATCCGGCATGTCCACGTCCGCATCCCTGCTGTTCTTTGCAGTAGCTGCTGCAGCTGCCGCCACGTCTCTGCGCGCCTTGGAGACCGTGTTGCGGTACAACGTTTTGAGGATCGCGACCCTGTCTTCGGCCGAGGGCAGGCCGACGTAGATGCTGGTTCCCAGCCGGCCCGGGCGACGGATGGCTTCGTCGATGATGTCGGGCCGGTTGGTCGCGCCAATGACGTAGATGCCGGACCGGTCGCCGACGCCGTCGAGCTCGGTGAGAAGCGTGTTGACGACGCGGGCGCTGGCGTCCGAGAGGGAGTCGTCGCGCTTTGGGACGAGAGCATCCATCTCGTCGAAGAACAGGATGCAGGGCGCGGAGGACTTGGCGCGTGCGAACAGCTGCCGGACGGCGCGCTCGGATTCGCCGACGTATTTGTTGAGTAGTTCGGGGCCCTTGATGGAGATAAAGTTGGCTTTGGACTCGTTGGCGACCGCTTTGGCAACCAAGGTTTTGCCGCACCCCGGTGGACCCCAGAGCAGGATACCTGCTGCGGGCTTGATGCCGACGCGGGAGAAGAGGTCTGGGTCCTTGATGGGGCCAATAATAGACATTTCGAGTTTCTTGCGGACATCTTCAAGCGCGCCGACGTGGGCCCAAGTCGTGTCCGGAATGGTGCTGAAGCCTTCACGTTTGGAAGCAGGTTGCACGCGCGACACGGCGGCTTTGAACTGAGCCATGGTGATGCGATTCTCGTCCCAGTGGGCGTGGCTGTCTTCAAGAAGGATCCAGTCGCGTTGTCTTTGGGAGGCCGAAAGGAGGTAGTCTGGGGGTTTTGAGGCACGGGCCTTGTGGATGAGCTCGTCGAGTTTGGTCCGACAGCTTACGGATACCGCGGCCTTGACGACGTACTGGAGATCGCTGCCAACGTAGCCCGGGGTCATCTTCGCCAGCTCTCGAAAGTTGACGTCGTCTGCCAGACTCAGATCGCGCGTGAGGGACCTGAGGATCGCTTCGCGGGCTGTCTCGTTCGGCATGCCTATGTCGATCTCGGAGCTGAAGCGGCGGCGGATAGCTGGGTCGAGGGATTCGGGTCTGGTGGTGGCGGCAAGCACGACGACGTTTTTCCCCAGGGGTGTGTTTTGTTTGATGCGGTCCATGCCATGCATAATCTCAGCCACAATGCGGCCCTCCATGCCCTTGTTGGCGCTCTCGCGCTTACCGGCGATGCTGTCAATCTCGTCGAAGAAGAGGAGACACGGGGCGAGGCGGATGGCTTCGTCAAAGACATCGCGGATGTTTTTCTCGGACTCGCCCGACGTTCCACCGATCACGGACGGCGCCGAGACTGGGATGAAGGCCGTACCAACGCTACGTGCGACAGCGTATGCGAGAGTCGTCTTTCCGCAGCCAGAGGGGCCGTGCAACAGGACGCCGTTATCATAGCGGTAGCCCATCTTTTCACAGGCTTCGCCTGCGCGAAGGGGAAACCAAAGCTCATCCAGAAGCCTTCCCAGCGTCTCATCGACGCCTGCAATGTCCAAGATGGAGACGCCGGCGGGAGGGCTCCGGTCGACCTCCTTCGGACCGCTCTTCCTCTTCTTGGGCCTCGGCTCGCCGTTAGCTTGCCTATCAGCGGCAAAGGCAGATGTGCCATCAATTCCATTGGGAGTTTCCATGCTAGGGGCGTCCTTAGCGACCTCGGACGATGGGCCACCAGGTGTTGTCGCAGGTGTTGTTGCGGCGGGTGTAGAAGTCGAGCTCGCGAAACCCCAGGACTTGGCAATCTGGCGGTTCAGCAGGTTGTGCTCTCGCTCGGCCTTTGCTGCCTTTGCTCTTTCCAGCTCCTGCGCCTCGAGCAGGTCGTCCGAGTCCTCCTGCTCGTCGACCTTGGCCTGCTCCTTTCGCACTGCAAGCACTCGTTCAATGGAGTCCTCCAGGGGCCGCTTCTTCTGCCGTGCCAAGCTCGAATTGGAGCGCTTGATGGTGTCGTAGACGAATCCTACCGTTAGCCGCGGTTTGCGGCCCTTCTCGTTTTCCTCTTGTTGTTCCTCGAGTTTGAGCACTATCTGGTAAACGTCCCGGTCTAAGCCCAGGTTGCCAAAACCTCGGCGAGACATGGTGGAAAATTGAAATTAACAAAAGACAAACAGGACAAATCACAAAGCGCCCGCTCAAAGCCAGCTGCCCAGGGCATCATCCAAAAGTGAACTTTGACCCAGCGCGGCAGCGGTGACGAATCTGGGTCATCGCGTGTGAGTGGATGATGGACTTTCGAAAGGAGTCGTGCATGAGGAAAAAATGTCGTCGAATGGATTGCAACGGTCAAACCGTGCAGTGGGTCTGATCTTGCTCCGTATTTAACGAGCGTACTTGTACTGTACAGTCCAGCCTGAATGTGGCACATGGCATGCGCTACACAAAGGGGAAAATGGAAGCAGTAAAAAAAGGAGAAAAGCTAATCAAATGAAAACAATAAGTAGAGTTAAGAAATTAGGTGAAAAGAAATAACATAAGATAAGAAGGAGAAGATAGGAAAATGAAATGAAAGGAAAACGAAAGAATAACAAACTCGAACCATAATAATTAGCCGCATGCTTGAAGAGGGTCCCGCGCTCGACGAAAGCGGATGAAGGGCTGGACTGTGATACCACCACATTACATTACACCACGAATAACGCTGGCTTCGAAGTTTGAAGTCCAATTCCAAGCCGCCTCAAGCAACGTAATCGTCGATGACAAGAAGAAAAAAAAGGAGATACTGGACGAAGACTGAGAACGGGAAAGAAGGTGGAGTGAAAACCAGGTAAGAAGGAGAAATGAACTCAAGAACTTCACGTTGATGCATATACTGTGGTACGGCATTTCTGGACAATGGTAGCAGCTCGACCCTAACCCCAACAGTTTTAGTTGGTTTTTTTCTTTTTGGTTTTTTGTATGTATACAACAAATATTGGCGCTTGTCTTCAACTTCGAATTCGTCTACTGTCGGTACATCATCAAGCTGGGAAGACGAGCGAAGTGACCATACCGATGCAAGGTGCAGGTATGTAAGTATCTTTGTCATGGTAAACCCAGGGTGAGGACGTGAGAGAAGAAGGAGAGAAGAAGATGTTGGCGAAGGCATACATCATCCCCCCAAATAAACATTTATGATTAAGCCACTGGGAGGCTTCCAAGGATTGAGACAAGCGTATCACCAGAGTCTGCATAAAGTAGTCAAGTCAAGAAAGGCAACTCTCTGAGATTAATGACTGTTATTCTCCGCCGTCTCCTAGGCTCATCAGGCTGTCTGACATTACTTTCACACTCAAATCATGAAATCAACCCCATATGCCAGCTCGTTCCTTCTTGAAATCGTCTGCAACTATGTCCATGTCCATGTCCATTTATGCTCTCCGCCTGTCTTCCCACCACCAAAAAGTACGCCATCCCACCCAGCCAAATGCAAAGCCTCGTAGAACGCCACATCCGCCAAACCCATCCAGAACCTCCCTCAATTTACACCAAATCAGTCCGTAGTCAGCAACGAGCAGCAGCGAGTCGAGAACTTCTAAAGACAACTCCACCCTCAGACGCCATTGGCAGTAACCCGCAAATCCTGGGGCACCGCCCAGCCATGCGATCGAACCGCCCTCTCAAACGCCTCAATCGCCTCGGCAACGCCATAGTCCTTTTTTCTCCCCGCCATGACCCTGCGATCCAGCCTTGCCGGCTTGGGTTCCAGACTGCACATAGCCATGCGCACCTGCAACAAGACGCTCTCCATGCTGCTAACGGGACTCCAGCCCGACGACGTCAGCAGCTCCATGCACATGGCGCCGCCCGCCGTGACATGCCCCCCGCCGCCCTCCATAAAGGGCAGGAACCGCGGGCGGACGACGCGCACAAACGGCGGCGCGAAGGGATACCCGCCCCCGAAGCGCACTTCGAGCACGACTGACGTGGTGCCCGCCTTCTTCATGTCCTGCGCCAGCGGCAGCGACGGGTTGAAGCTATGCAGCTGGACGATCCACTGGTAGAGGTTGCTGATGCTGTCAAAGTCCATGTACCAGCCCAGCTCGTGGAGCGACATCCTGGACTGGAGGGTCTGGAGGCGCACCAGCTCGCGGCTGAGGGACTTGGTGGCGGCCTCGGTTGCGAATGACGGCGGCGCGAGCCGCAAGAGCGACGACAGATCGAGCGAGCCCGGTTCAAAGTCGGTCATTGCTCGGTAGATGTTGATGTTAGCTGGGGTGGGGGGGCGCGCGCCGCCACTGTGGATGTCAGATAGGTTTGCTTTCGGGGGGTTGGTTTGCAGGCCTTAAACGTACACGTCCTGTGTCATCGCCATGTCCATGCTAGAGGCAGGCGACGCCGACTTCTTAGTTGGCGGGCCGTCGATAGCATCATGTTCGTCATCTGTGAGCAATATTGATACGTCTTCAGCGTCCTCTTCCCCGTCGCTATCCTCCAACTGGTGCACCGCTCGCTTGGTAGGGCTCAACGACGTTGTACCGGCTGCTGGGCCAATGGTTCGGAATGGGATGGCGGACAATGGAATTTGCAGCGGCTTGCCCGACTGCCCATAAATCTCGAGCCCTGGCGCCTGAGGGTAGAACGTTTCTTTCTTTAACGCCCGTCCTGCTTGGTGATCTGATCCCTTGTTCGTACTCTTGTTCCCTGTGCCATTATGAGTCACCCTCCCATGTGCCTGGACAAACAAATACCGGCATTGATGCCAGTCGAGTTGAGAGACCACAAAATGCGGCGTACGCGCCACGAATTCGTCCGACGCATTGATGATCTCGTTCAGGCTCAGACACGAGGTGATGTTGAGATCCGAGTTTGGCCATGCGTGTTGCCCCCCGGAGCTGTAGCTGATGCTCGTGCTGGAATGGGGACTAAAGTAAACACCATGACCGTAGGCGCGGCCACAGCGGATGTCCTGAAAGTCCAAGCCGGTACGCACGATGCTGTGCCAGTTGGCTATATTGCTTCCGTGCCAGGCAAAGATGGTCGGATTCTTGTGGATAGGTTTGCGTGCGGCAACCTCCTGGAGCGCCCGGTTGAAGCGCAGCTCCTTGTCCGGCGAGCCTTGAGCAAAGCGAAACTGGATCCAACCGTCCATTCCCAGGATGCGCTCATGTTCTCGGTTCCTGCCCTTACCAGCTACTCCTGAGAGCCCTTGACACCTCGTGTTCTGCCCTTTGGACCCGCCTGCTGGGGTTTCGGATCCTTTCTGCGCTGGTTGGGTGACAAGGCGCGACCGGTCGACTTGGAAGATACAAGAACGGTTCGAGGACACGATCCACCGGAGAAGGGATGCCGCGGCCGGAGAAATACGCTCCATGGAACGGAGGGTGCTGTGAGGATGGCTAGACAGCCAGTCCCCGATCTCGAGAATGGACGGCAGAGTATCAAGGACGTGGCGCATGGCAATTCCTTTGCTGGTGTCGTCCATTGAATCGAACTCGGCGTCGTAAGGGTAAACATCAGCGATGCCCATTTCCGCCGGGGTTGGATGAGGTTGGACCACGCCTGGATATGGACCATACATGGCGTCAAGCGCCGGCCCGGCTGTGCCCGGCAGCTGTTGTATCATAGCCCAGGTGGCGGCCGACTTACCCATCACGTCAATGGCAGCCGTTTTCATGGCAATATTGACTTCTCGTACACGTGCATGGAAGACTCCGCTCTCGCTAGGCGTGCGGAACGCGAGCCACCGAGCCGGGGCCAGATGGTCGACGAAGCCCTGGCCGCCCTCACCATCGAAAACCAGACGGGACTTGTCAGCCGTCACTTTTGCGTTCAGGGGAGTGGCCGTAACGCTGAGCAGGTCTGGGACCCTGAGGCGCAATCCAACTGGAAGGGAGCGAATTGGGAGCTTTGTTTCCGTTTGAGGCGCGACGCCGTAGCCATATCCCCGAAATGGCTGAATGGCGGTGTAGCACAGACTGACGAGAAGGTCGACGACGTAGGGTTCCGTGAGTATCTCGTGCTCCACGGCAGGACCAAATCCCATGGCCATGTACTGAAACAAGCACAGCGGGTCAGAGCAGACGTATGGCCTGAGAGCCTCGAAACCCTTTTCCAGCCGACGATGACACCGCAGGCAGTACTCGGTGCATTTGACAAAGTAGCGCATGGCGAACTGCATTGCTACGAGGGGCAGGCTGCGCTCATTTGCTGGACCCTCCTCCAGGAGATGGTCCCGACCGAGAATATCATGCCCGTCTGCTGCGAGGTCCGAAGTCTGGGATGCTTGGCCGGGAGCAGGGGGCTGCGGTGGCTGGTCGGCCTCAGTGCAGAAACCAGTCCGTGTCAGGAAGTATTCGTTTGCCCCCTCCCAATCCAGATGTGAGTTTTCGCGGATCTTCAGCAGAGAGATAAAACTCTCGTTCAGAAACGATTCCAGAGAATTGGAAATGAAGAGCTTCTCGAAGTGAGCTACGTCTGCATGCTTCGTCTCGCTGTTGTCAAGGGCTAGAGCGTGGGTGGATTCTGCAAAGGCGCCCAGCGCCTGGTGGAGGGATGGTTTGTATTTGTTGCATTTCCCGATGCGAAATGTCACCTCGGTGTGAGATGCGGCCTGGGCAATGACACGCTCCAAAGGGTCGTATTTCTTCGCGAAGCGAATAAGTAGGACGACATAATCGGGGAACTTCACGTCCCAGGCCTCCATGGCTTCGTCCGACAGGGCTAGTTTGTCCACGCGGACGGAGATGGAAACGATGCCGGTTGCGGCTGTCCTGCCAAAGCTGTCGAGGAAACCGACCTTGTATCCGGCTTGCTTAATTTGGCGCAGATCCCGTCTGATGCGCTGAAGTAGAGGCTTTGGTGTATCTACGGGCTTCGCGCGTTGATGGAACGATCGGAAAGTCGACGAGGGCAGGCCGAATTCGTCTCCATCGGAAGGGTAGTCTGCGTCATACGCGGCATCGTAGTCGTCGTTTTCATCCTCATCGTCGTACTCGTCCAGGCTGTCATCCTCGCCGCCGACGTCACGAACAATCTCCTTTTCGAGACGACCAGCAAATACGGCCACCATTTCGTAGACAGAGAGGCCAGAGAGACAATCCTGAGCGACCTTGACGGCAGCCTCGACAGGCGGGGGCGGATCGGGGTCGTCGGTCCAGAGCAGAAACGAGTTTCCGTCGGGATATTCGCTGACATCCTGGGCCAGGACTTGGATGTGTATGTCTCGTGTCAGGCTGTCGTGGTGGTATTTGATGACGACATTGCCGTCAGAATCGCCGTTTGTCACAGAGAGCACGCCGGAAATGGCACCGCTGGCGACTTTCTGGGCGGCCGTGGAAACATCTGCTCTGAACTTTTTGAAGCCCATGGCTGCTCCGGTGTGAGAATTCAAGAAGAGAGGCGCCGGTCCGGGCAGGGTGAGGGTAGAAGTCGGTCTGTTGGGTGCTGCCTTGCCAGATTCGTTGCGGACTGGGTTGGGCTGGGCAGCTTCTCAGGATGTCAGTCGCCCAGTCAAGGCAAGTTGCGTGGCTCACGACGAAATTTAGAGCCTTTCCTTTGGACTTTTTGATCAATTGGTCAACGAAAGAGCTTCCTTGTTCTGCCTTCTCTCTGCCTTCTGCCTTTTTTGCACCATGTCGTCCTGGTCTAGTCAAGAATGAAGCGACAACAACAAACACCAATGTGTTTCTTGTGGCAGCGTAACAGGTCGGAGGGAAGGCTGATGCAGGGACGGGAGGTGGATGACCAGTGAGGGTGAGGTGATAATGTCAGATGCCGCTACGCAACTTTGCGCAAGTTGAGATCTGATCAGGCCTCGGAAGTCGGCTCCGCCGAAGGTCCAGGAAGTTTGACCTGCGGACTTGTGCGAGATTCAGTTTGCTCTGTTGCCCTAGCATCATCAATGCCCGGTAAACTTGACGTATTTATCTCCCGCAACAAGTGCACCTTCCATCCCAAGAAACGCGCGGCAGGCAGCAACAGCGGGGTTTCAGCTTGAAAGGGAACAGTCGCAGGGCTGCCAGCTCCGCGAGTCGCTTTCTCTCCTGCCAACCACCGACAGGCGCGCATCGTGTCAATCGAGGACCGGGATTTCAGCTCAGGTAGGTAGCAAACGATTTGAACGTCAGGGGGAAGTTGCAATTTTCTCAACTCACAGAACACCCTACCGAATCAGCAACAGACACATCAATGCCAGGCACATCCAGCTCATCCCGATAAAGACGGCGGCAGCCATGCATCGCCCTAAGCAGTTGGGTGGGAACCAAAAATCGGTCATGATAGCTCGAACGATTCCCTGTATCTCGTAGTTCAGCTTGTTGCATGAAGCCTTTCGCGCAAGGAGACTGTTCCAAGTTGCACGTCGTTCAGACTCGGTGGAGTAAGGTAGCAATGTGGCAGCTGTGCCAGACAAGTACCAGCTGTGACAGCCTGACAGGGTATGCGCCAGCTGCCAGAGCCAAGCTTCAAGCTGGCCGCAAGCTTCAACCGCTATCCATGATCAGAGATTCAGAGAAGCCATCTTATTCTTGACCCAACAACGTTCTGAGTGAACCAGATAGGTATCTAACCACACCACTTCTACAGCTTTAAGGTAAACCGTCACAAGAATTCAACCGCACCTTGATATAGGACTCGAACCGGAAGTCGTACGATGGACTGAGCCAGAGCAGGAAAAAGCGACATTAACCCCACCGCCTCCAAAACACCAGCAGTGGGCGCTTCGGGTGTAAGCAATGGCTGGGGACTCGGAGCCTTCACGGCCAAGACAAAGTAGTGCCGCATCAGGCACACGGAGCATTGCCATCCACGCAAGGCAGCAGTCCAAACGACCTGTCCAGGCCCAGTCCCAACATGTCGCCGATCCCGTTCTGCACGACTTCTTGAGCCCTTCATATGATGCCGCCTCTTACCTCAACATTACTCTACCACCTTTGCAGACCTCGTCCCGAGTATTCGGAAGTCAGGGCTCCAACCAGGGCGCCGTGCCTCTTGCGGAGCTCTCCATCCAAACTCAGGCACTGCTGTCGCAGCTCAACGCCCACACCACTAGACTCACAGACACGCTGACTGAGCTTACAAACGACATTCTCAGGAGTGGCGGCCGGCTGGCCTACGAGGTAGAGCTATTGCGGGGCGAAACGCTCGGCTTGGCAGAGACTCTGACCGAGGGACTCGAGGACGACATTGCCAAGTTTGTGCCGGGCGGCATTCGGGACAGCATCACGGAGCCGAGGGGAGCGGCAGCCGACAGCCACGCGCCATCCTTTCATCAGCGGCGCATGTCACTACTTGCGCCGCCAGCAACCACTGCCACAACCGAGAAGAACAACACTCCATCAGGCGCAGCCCAAACTACCGGCCCACCCGACGAACCGCCCTACATCGCGCAGCTGCGCACTCTGACTCTCGTGCGGTCCCGCCTCGAGTCTGTCATCAAGATCTTTGGCGACGCCATGGAGTTTGTCTTCCCGCCCTCCGAACTGTCCGTGAGCTCGTCGTTCCTCTCCGTCTCGGCGCCCGACGCCGGCGGCGAGAGCCATAGCACCGAGGAGAAAGGGCGGCAGGTGCTGCAGTCGCTCCGGGACGAGATTGCCCGTCTCCTCGGCAACGCCGAGGACCCGATCAAGGGCATCGAGGATGCCGCGCGCCGCATCGAGGAGCTCAAGGAGCTGGCCACCGTTTGGAAGGGCACGGCCGAGGAGAAGGGGCGTTCCCGGTTCATTGAGAGCCTGGCCAAGATGGTGGAGGACAGGCATCGGGAGCTGCTGCGGGATGCGGACCAGTCGAGCCGGCGGGACAATGCCAGGCCTCAGATGGCGACGAGCAGCACAGGGGCGGCCGGTGCTGAGGTCGAGACCGGGCAGGCCGAGACCAAGGGGTATGGTGCTTACGGTCTCATCAGCCAGCTGCAAAAGCTGCGGAGTGGATTGTAGGGCGGCCGAGTGTGCTGGGGTGACATACTCGGCGAATTGGAATCGCTCGCATGTGCAAACACGAATATTCACCTGAGTTGGGAACTGTGCTTCTCAAATCGCACAGATCCATCAAGAAGTGCTCGTATTGCCGCCGCCATGGTTGGTGCCACGACTCAGAAGTAGTCGGCTGTTTCTCCCTATCACCCTCCGTTATTTGACCGCCATCTTGTTTCTCAGGCTTCATGTTGTCATGAGGGATATTGAGTGGATGATCCTGCGGGGTTCGCCATCTTCCTGCTAACATACCGTAAAATAACGTTGACTGGGCCATTCGATGCTCGGAGGCTTGCCCCACGTCACAAGTGTTTGGTTGACTGTGCTTACTGTTAGGGGTGAGGACAGAGAGTGTGACTGGTTGGGAGTCCTAGGACCTGTGCAGTCTCCCACCTTGGGACCATGCACTAAGACTTCCAATGATGGGGAGAGCCCAGGGAGAGTCCCCAAAATCCAAGGACAGTTCCCTATTACAGGGGACCCACCACAAAGACTTTCACACTCTGCCCCATAGACACCAGGCCTCTCACAGCCTCCCACCTCGCCGCATTGTCCTACCAACGCTACCCCAGGGATCGCACACGATCTCAGTCTGGTCGATGTCGCCCTGCACATACGGTATGTTGATCTCCTCGAGCGGCTGAAATTCTCCGTGTGCGTCCTTGCGCAGCGGAAGCGGTTTTATCCGAATCTCGCATGGTTTTCTCAGCCGAAAAGACCCAAACAATCATCAGAAACAAGCTCGATTGCTCACAGGTGACCACTCCTTGGTGCCTGATGTCTGAACCCCGACGAAGATGAATACTGGATCTGGGTGGTCGAAGTCGTTGGAGCCAACGTTCAACAAATCCGCACGCCCATATGAATTGTGCGGCAAAGCAACCCAATGACCATCCTTGTCCAAGCTGTAGGACGCACCCAGGCCCATTGCTGCCAGTCACCTTTCGGGATGACTTTTTGCCCATGTGGATCGTTCGGCATGCTGCCGGTTCAGTTGAGCCCGTATGTCGTCGGCCAGAGGATATCATGGTTCATGCGAGCATCCCAGCCGATGAGAGGAGCGATAAACCACATTGAAGGAGGCTTTGCCCGGAGCAGCCGCGACGGATTGGAAAACAGGAGCGAGAACTTGATTTCGTCCATTCCCAAGGTCTTCGTAGCTCGACCTGACTCTGGTTCACCTCGGCTTTGTACCGAGTGGGTGTAATGTTGGCAGCTGAGATGTTGGCAGGCGAGGGTGTGTCTTGGCCGATGGTCGACTTCAAGGGTCTGGGGAGAAGCAGAGTCAGGGAATGATTGGAAATTTTATAGACCTCTCGCTTTTCGGCTGCTGCTCACGGGCTCTTTATATAACCTTCGCTAGATCCTTTGCCTCGAGCGTCATCCTACCATCTCGTCCTTAGACGCGATACGTTTCCATAGCCGGGGCTTGTGGCTGGCTGAGCAGGCGGGCGCATAAATGCCCAACGTTATCACATTAGGATTACTTGGAAGTTTCGCATTGTGGGCTGGGAGGCGGAGAGGGAGAAGCGTGATCAGACTGTAGGTAACGTTAGCTGGCACTGCTGAATCAGCTCCAATGATACAAGCCACGCGCACGCAACTCCCTTGGGGAAATCTTGAAAGTTTCAATAATTTCTCCATCTCATCGCTAGATGAATGCGAGCACGATTCGCCCATATACCTGACTCCGACAGCAAGTGTTCGGCGATCGCGCACGCAGCGACGGAGGGTCAAAGTTTTTGCATTGCGACGAGATATCGCTGCAATCAGCGTTCATATTCCAAATTTCAAGCCACGTTTCATTGGAATGGAGATAGAACAAACGTCGAGCCGGGCTGTCGATGTTGAGAGACATCGTATGGTCACCGCTCCTTCCGATCGACGGGGACAGGACTGGCCCAAGTCCACCTGCACCCTTTCGGACAGGCCGTATCCTGTAATTGTACTAAGTATCCATGTCGAGGAGATGTTGATCTGGGCGCTTGGGACAATTGGTTGAGTTCTTTGCTGTGGTATCCGTGGGGATTTGGGAGTCCGCTCGATGTTTTGCCAGCTAGGAAATATCGAGCTACGACCGCAACGCAAGTTGTGCTTTGAATAACATATAAGAGAGGGCCAGAATAGACTTGGGATGACCTAAAAAGAGAGAAAGGGAAAGGAATAAAGTGCTCGCGTTCATCCAGGCGTGGCAATTTTCTCATTGAAACACGATTCTGGACCAGCTATTTAGGTACTGTAATTAACTATCAAATCGCTCTTGTAACTCGGGAGGCCTCCCTGCAACTCCCGAGAACCTACAATCACTTATATTCATTCGTTCGACATTCGCCAATCAGAGTATCAAATGTACAACGAGTATGTTGCTAATGTGCATGGGTCTCGCTACTGTGTCCTTTTTCAATCAAGTTTGCTGTATGCACGTGAGATGCCTCATGCCCTCCTTGGGGTACCAGGGTTACCAGGTAACTATTCGTCTCTGGTGTCTCGACTTGGCTGTGCTCTGGGTGGCAGACAAAGTAGTGTTCTTCGCATTCGATGGGAAGGACAACGATTTTGACTGGGACCGTCTGTGAGGTGAGAGAGTGGTACCAGACTATTTCCGTAGGAGGATACGGGTGCGTAGGAGGCATGCAGTCTCGGATTGGGTTGCTTATTAGACACCGGCGGCGTCATCGGAGAGCTGATATCGTCGTCGCGAGCGCCTTACATATTTGGTTGGGTAAGACGGCGGCTGCGGTGGGTATGCCACTCATGTCTAGCAAGGTAGCAGCACTGCGAAGAGCAAATCGTCCCGCACGTATCCGATGGATGAATTGGAACTTCGTAAAGGAGCATGTTAGGTTGCTGGCGGATAACGGGAGGCGCGTATGCGTGGCACCGCGCCGAAATCGCTCCTGCCTGCTCCCAAAATAGCCTGGAATGGCGATAAAATTCACGGGTTCGCTGGAGATATATGTGGCCAAGCAGGTAGGCCCATATCACGGGACGGGAGGGCCATGCGAGGCTGCATGAGGGGAGCATGGGGTAATCGGGTAACGTTGCTGTGGCTTGGTTTGGCTTCGCGGCTGTAAGTCTGTGTGAGACAGGCAGATGCTAGATGGCAGATGATGCTCAGATTCCAGTCTCCTGAGGTATGTTGTTAATTTCAAAATCTCATATCAACCTCGCCTTGCAGCCTGCATGTCAAAATTCCTTGCTCCGGTTTCAACCCAACGTCTTGATTTTCGTTAGCAGCAACAACAACAAATCACCCAAGTGTGGACCAGGTTTCGGCAGCGAGCAAGCATGCTTAAGTAGGCCTTCTCAGGGGACAGTTCTGGAGCAGCATCAATTGCCCTGCCTCGCGTTCCGGACCCGTTCCCTTGTCCACGCGGCCGTGTCCAACGAAGTGCACCTTGATGGTGGCCCGTCATGACAGGGCAAACATTCCTTCGGCAGGCATCAACAAGCTCGGTTAAGAAGACTTTACAAGAAGCATTGGAGCCTTTACTATTTCTTCATATTCACCTCAATTTCCATCACTTCGCACCCTCGTTCCAGCCCAGAACCTCTTCAGCGCTTCTCCCTCTCCAACAGTCATGCCACCGCAACCGATTATCAGCAGGCGACCATAATCATCTGCTGGTGTGCCAAATTGACGAGTTCCGAGATTCCCAAGCCAGCCCAGCCCAGCCCATGTCCTAGTCACACGACAACAAGCCCCTTTCGGTATAGCATCAATGTAAACAACCCCCACGTGGCGGACCGGCTGGCTCTTGACCGAGGCCGATTGAAAGAGGCAAGATGACAACATCATCACTTTCCCAATTCGTCTACCGAGCGTCCCTGTAAAAAAAACCTAAACACCTGGAAAAGCCCCCCTGCTTCATAGCGTCGAATTTCCCTGCCCGTCTCCTTTCCACGACATGTGCCTACCTTCCTTCCTCGACCACCTTTGTCTCAGCCTCTCACGTCATGTCCTTGTACAAGACAAGACCGCGTCCGTACATACAGTAAATAACGCAACCAGTAACGACATGGACCCCCGTACGCTACCTTACCTAGACAACAACCCCCCAACACCCATTGAAACCCCCAAACTCGCCCACCCCAGTCCCTCCCATATCCCTCATCAAACCAAGACCGAGCAAAGCGCAAAAAAGAAGCCCACAGCAAGGTAAGGTAAGGTAATCCGCGTTTTCAGCCGGAAACTCCCCTCTTCCGAAAATCAATACACACCTCGCCGACCAGGTCCGGCCCGACGGCCGCCACGAGCTCGGCGATGCGCGACTTGAGCGAGCCAAACTGCGCGATGTCCTCCGTCTCCCAGATGACCAGGTGCGAGGCCACAATCAGGTTGTCCGAGAAATCGGACCGCAGGACCAAGCGGTCCATGTCGACGTGGCGCATCTGCTCGAGCGACGGGATGCCCGGCATGCTGCTCGTCAGGAGGAACGCGTTGTCTTCCTCCTCCTCCTCCTCATCATCTTCTTCGTCGTCGGAGTCGGAGCCGGAGCCGTGTTCAGTGGGCTGGGGCGTGTTGGTATCGGCATCCTCTTCAGACGCGGTTTCTGCGGGTTTAATAGAGAGACCTTCTTGGGTGGCGGGGACGGCTGCTTCGGGTGGGTGAGAGGCCGAGGGACTGCTGTTGACGACGCCCTCCATGCTCTGCCCATTGCCATGGCCGCCTCCTGCCTCAGGCCTCTTTCTCGACGATGAAAAACATACATAGTGCCCCTTGTCAAAGAGCGCCAGCGCCTCCTTGTCCAGCAGGTACCACCTCAAGTCCTCCGGATCGAGGACGTACTGCGGCTTGTACTCGATCTTGTAGCGCATCTTGGCGCAGTTATGCACGTAATACCCAGGGTACCACCAGCGATAGCCCGCCTCGCGGGCCAGGGCAATCTCCCTGAGCGCGCCCAGTTTGCCGGGGTTGAGCCAGTGGATCGATTCGTGGTAGAGAAAGTAAACGGCGCTGACACAGTTTGGCAGCAAGTCGAGCACGCCCACGGCCACCAGTTCCCCGTCGATGCGGTAGCACTGGTGGAAGGAGCCCAGCGGGCGCTGCTTACCGTCCGGGCCGGCTATGCTCCCTCGTCGCAACGGTGAGTTGCACAGGAAGCGCCTGAATCCATTGCGTGAGATCTTGCTTGGCGGCTCGCGGTGGACGATGCGCTGATAGTTTTCAAAAACGGCGTATTTCTCCTCGGTGAACGTATCCGGTTCGAGCGTGACGGTGAAGACGTGGTCTGGGGACGGCGGGGACTTGAGGACCTCGGCCTCCGGCTCGTGGATCCTCTCGACTAGGTCAAAGACGTTGTGGCGCCTCCTCGCCTCGGCGCGGGACCGAGGGTGCAGCCGGGCCGCCTCCCTGGCATAGCTGTCTCCGAGGATGTGGCGGTTGAATCGGTTGACGGCCTGCCGCTGATCTTTTGTGGGCTTGAACTGGGCCGAGTCCAGCCGCAGAGTGTAGTGTGGGCAGCAAGAGTGTTTCTGATTCGGCCGGTACAGCAGAGTTCCGGAGCGCCTCCAACATCGATCCACGAGCTTTTGATAGAGGGCAGGCGTCAGGGATGTTGCGATGGCATAATAGGAATACCCTGCAGAGCCAGCTGTCAGACATCTCGCTGGACATGGGTAGGGAGCAGTTGGTAAGCGTTTGCTTGTGTGAGGATGGGGGTGGGGGACAAGGTTGGAAGGAGGTGTGAGTGAGCAGCTGATTCGCAAAATTAAGAGGGGCTTAAATTTTGAAATATCACAAGCACATGTTTTGGGACGTAGATGTCACAGTCAACCAATAAGGGAGGAGGATTCACGTTTTGTAGACTGACCACGGCGAGTCTGACGGCAGTACCCGCACTCGGACGAGTTGCTATAGCCTATGGAGTCCAGTCAGCATCTGCGTCCAGCGCCAACCGAGGGCGCCAAAGTATGTAGATATCACAATGTTTGTGAGAGCATGTGTGCGGATGAGGGTACGACAACGAGGTTAATGAAACAGAGAAGGCTTCCGTCCCGCTTAGGGCCACTGCGCACGTGATGGAAGAAGGTTGGGAAGAAGGAAATGGCCGTGTTTCCATGAGGGTAGGGCCAAAGTCTGGGGAAGTCTCGTGGTAGCGGCCGTTTCTCTGACAGGAGAAAACGAGTTGCAGCACTTGACTGAGCGTGGGATAACCAACGCAGGTAGGCCCCAGGAAACTTTCTGACGTGTAAGAGAAAAATGCGTAACACAAATCGGAAGCCACTAGGCGCAGAATGCGGGAGGAGATCGCGTGGCCGCCTGGGTGGGTTGGCCAACGATGGAGTGGCATTCATGCACATGGCCCGGATGGTTGGGTGAGATGGCTTGAAACGTCGGGACTCACCGATTGGGAACAGGAACGAGTACCGTTGTGCAGTATCATCAAGAGCCTGCATGCCTGTGCCCTCCATTTCCATCCTGCGAGCCCTAAGGCGGTGGAACCAAGCGGGTAAGACCCGGTTAGGCTTTCTCCGGCCCGGCAGCCTTCTGCGGGGGAGGGCTGGGCGGTTGGGCAATGTGTGAGGGCCACAGCCGCGGCGCGGCAGATGGTCAGACTCAACTTAGGTCCTGGGATCCAGTGAAGATATTATGTATAGGGGAACCGGCGACGTTTGTAATGGCCGGAAGCGGCGTGGCCAGATCGGAGACCTGGATGTGCCAGCTCGGGTGCGTTGAGCAATATAGAATCCGCAAGACTCGAGGCCGCTGACTGGATGGCGCGCGGCGTGGAATTCGGGACCTGCGGGCGTCGTCCGGAGGCTCCCAGTGGGCACTGGACGATAGGATTCCAGGATCCTGTGAATAGATCGGCGGGACTTGGCCGGGATGAGGGAGCTGGAGCAACAATCGGTGCTGAGTCGTGAGATGCTGTGAGATGCTGTGTTGCTGTTTTGAGATCACCCGACCGATGCCCCGCCCTTAAGCTCCGAGTGAACGTGGGGGAGCGAGACACACGAAATGCAAACGGGAGGTGACGGTGACGTCCAGCACAGCATGAGATGCCTTGCCTTGGCACTGCCAGAGAAAATCATATATTTCGGCAGCAAGAGCAAGAGGCTCCCGACGTTCGATGGTTGGTGACCCGAGTCAAGAGATGGGGATTGGATAACCGGACCAGTTCAGCATCTGAGAGCATCTACTGACCCCCACCGTCGGTGCCGTTTTCGCCTTGCCTGTCTGCCCCGCATTTCCCGCCACTCTGGGCTGGAGGGCACGCCTAACAAGCAACGACAGAAGTAGGAGTTCTGTCTGCATTTTCTTGACGTACCATTGACTGCTAGTAAAACAAATCTGAAAATTGACATATGTCTCTCGGCTTTGGCTTACTTTTTCGCAACAACATAGGCAGGAGGCTCAGTGTCTTCGTGCCTGCCGAAAGACTTTCAAGCTTGTTGATCATGAGCTGATGAGGTGCAGTGATGGATGGATGAGACTTTGTGTGGACCGCAAATTCAAGGGTCCAATCGGTTCCATAGCCCTGTTTTCATGGCCCGTGCACGCTCGGTCGGCTACGAGCAGTGCGGGGCACGAGATCTTGATCAGGGCGAGCAGGGGCGACGGAGTGAACGGAGTCGAAATTGGAGATCCTATCCGTACTTGGTATTGTTGTTCGCTTTAGTCTGGATTCTGGGCGTTTCGGACCAAAAATATTCTGGAAGACCCCTTGTGACGTGCTGGAACTTGCCCTTGTTGGCTGCGATTGCGAGCACGGAGACTGTGTGTAAATCAGCCACCCATGGGGATGCCAGCCGGTGCCTTACGTACATTCGAGGCTTTTACTCGCTCGAGCAAGCGTTGGTCAATTCCAGGCAAAGCAGAATATTCTCAGTTGACCGCTCGGAGTGATCGGGTTATTCTCTCGAGCAACGATACCTTACTCGGCGTCCTCTGGCCTGTTGTGTAAACTTGCAACCGTTGCTGCCAATCCGTGAGAGAACCCAAGTCGGGGAGCCGCTGCAGAACTTCCCGGTCACCGATTCAGGTCCGTCCCGTCAACTGCGGACAAGGAACGGGAGGAATGTGGAAGGTACGGTAAGTTTCGAGGTAAAGTTTAAGGGATTGCGCGCGCAGCTCACACCACGGCAGCTCCACCACACCAGCGTTTTTTGCGTTGGCAGCCCCGTTCAACAGGAATTGGCAAAAATTTCAGAGCCCTTGTTGCTCTTGTTGGAGTCTTTGTTCCCCCTCTCTCATCCTGCTTTTGCCCATCCGTTTTCCCCATCCTCTCTGCGCACGTCTGCCTTTGTCAAGGCCATTGCCTAGACGCCAATGTGGGGTATTCACCCACACCCTTGGGAAGACCAGTACTCCGGACAGTACATACAGCCAAAAGCTATGTACCTAACCCCTGCCGCCGCTTCAGATGCATGCGCAGTGGACAGGCCAGGCTTGTTAGCTTTCTTTTGCCTCAATGGAAGAGGCTTCTCTTTTTTCATGTACCTTACGACGTAATGTACTATTAGACTATAAAGACCAACCTGCTCCTCTTTTATCCCCAGAAACTGCCCCTCCATTCTGTGCTGGGGGCAAGCAACAGCCTGCCCGCGCACCAGCGGTCCCTTCCGTCACAATCCAGTCACTTCTGCGGGCGCAAACTTTGGGTACTCTCTGGACATCTCAGCACCCTCGCAGCGCATCAATCAAGCCTCGTTCATTTCCTCTGGCCTACCTCTGTAGCCCCGCTGCACTTTCTCTCTCCGCAGCCTGCTGCAAATCGTTGGGTGCTGTCCGTTGTTGGTGTGGCCGACTCTCGTTACCACCGCCACTTAGTTAGCTGCCAAGCGCGTGCGCGTTAAGAGCCAAAAAGTCTTTTTCGACGCCAGACCGCGCACCTACGAGCCCTTCTGCTGACTGCGAACCGACTGCGAATCGACTGCGAACCACAAAGTCTTGACCGCCTCTTTGGCTCGTCCGAGGAGTTCGTGGACGGAGCCGGGCTCACTTTCGCTTTGTGGAGACCTCCGTCGCCTCCTCGACTTCCTTCCCTCAAGCCGAACAGACCCTTGCACAAGACCTTTGCGCCGCAACAAGCCATCGGCCTGGTTCACTCGTTCAACATCTGCGAAAGACTCGGTGCTCCTGCCTCGTCTCTGAAGGATCCTTCGCCGCGGCTCTTCTGACTTCGTCCCGGAATTGAACCCTCAACAAACCGTACAACTCTTGGGGACCGCATCAAATCCACAGCGCTGAATCAAGCCAGAACAGAGCTAGTCGACCGAGATCTCCCCGCCTCATTCTGACTCGACACTTGAGCGACGACCATGCTGCGGACGACTTGTTAAGGACAGGCCGCATTTCTTTTCCTTCCACGACTGTCTCCTGCGGCCCGAGGATTGCCCGGAAGCTTCGGAGTCTGCTCAACCCCTACTCCGCGAGGACCTCTCAGTGCCACTTCGAACATCTTAAACACTCAGTAACCGGTCGACGGAATCAATCAGTGGGAATTATGGCGGCAAGTGGGAACAATCGTTCTATGGAGTCGCGGACGGGGAGGAGTAACCAGAGTGAGTTGCCCCTATGAGTTCGCGGGGGTGCGATCCGGGAACGGAAAGAACATGCATATGCAATTTTCCGTCGTGGTCCCCACTCTGCCGAATCCCTCCCGAAAACAGCGCGCAGCTCAGGAAACCTGACCTTGTATCACAGGATACAACTCGAAAGGCGAGCGCCTAGTCGCCGGCGTGGTGCCATTGACCGAGGACAAGACGTACGTGATGCTGATTCAGTCGACAAGGCGCAAGGGTTGGGTGCTGCCCAAGGGCGGCTGGGAGACGGACGAGGAGTGCCACGAAGCCGCGGCCCGCGAGGCGTGGGAGGAGGCGGGCATCTTTGTGCAGATCGACTACGACCTGGGCGACATCCAGGAGACGAGCCCGCGCAAAAAGGCATCGTCATCGTCGTCGTCTTCCTCGAGCTCGTCGTCCAAGAGCAAGGACTCATCGCACAAGGACGGCAAGGACACGTCAAAGGACAAGCAGCGCTCGCTGTACCGCTTTTACGAGGTCACCGTCACGAGCGAGGAGCAGGACTGGCCCGAGCGCGAGAAGCGCGAGCGCAAGTGGTTCACGTTTGCCGAGGCCAAGGAGCTGCTCAAAGACCGGCCCGAGCTGCAGACGGCGCTGGAGCGCTCGACCATGAAGAGGTAGCCGCGGGGCCATGCCATGTTGAAGGACGTGCCGGTCTTCCTCTTCAGTCCGTTGCCGCCCATATCCCCACGGTGGTCTATCACACCATGCAGCTTAAGGCAGACCGGCGTGTCAGGAAATGCTTGGTCAGCTTTTCTAGTTGCCTTTGGGATGACGATTGCCGCTCTTAATTGGACCTAGGGATTTGAAGAGCGGGACTCGCCGGCCTCCGTGAGCTTCCTTTTCTGGCTCTCCGGGTCGTTCTCGATATGGCAAAGGAATTCGTCCTGGTTTGCTTGTTCCTATCTGCTTTCTGTGCTTGGGGGTTCCGTCTCTCACGTCTCTGAATTTCTGCGCCATCGCCTGCTTTGGGGGAGATGGGACGACAGACGGGCCGTGCTTGGTCAGAAAGACCCGAGTGCGTCTCCCTGAGTTCCTAGGAACGGTGAGGCAGCATGGCCGGCATGCTCCATCTCTTCGGTTTCGGTTAACGGCAACAAAGGGGCACTTTCGGTCGTCTCCTCGAAGAATCGGTTGAACGGGTAAATCTGCATCTGTCTTCAGGAGTTTTGCGAGGGCGGGCCATGATAGATCTGTCATTGTATTTTTTCCTTTCCTTCCTGCCCTTTCCCTCTCTTCTTTCGGGAATCAAAGACACATACGGGGTGGGCATTCATGGGCAGGTCGTGTCTCTTGGGATGTCGGGTGCTCGAGAAAAGAAACAACGAAAATTCTAGGCGGGTTTGGGCGGCATTCTTGATTTTATCCAGCGAATTGCATTGTTGGGGGGCCGGGTTCGATGCAGAGCCATCTGTTAGAGGAGCAGCGCGTGGAAGAAAAGCCTCCTTAACGTCGCCAAGCTAAGTAAACAGTAATAAATGCATTCTGTCATTGGCCGGGTAACCAACCATTTCTTTACCTGGGATTGTATTATCAGACCCGGCCCCTGATTTCCAACACGTCGGGGCCGACTCCGAATCCATTGGGTTGATGCTAGAGGGCCGTGGAGAAGACGGACTTGGAAGATACGTTTTATCGGTTGGACTGGGAAACCCGGTGGCACCTTGCAGACACCTCCTGCTTTGAGGTCCTGGTTCGGGCTGCTCCTTCCACTAATGTGATATCGAGCTACCGCACCTGCCCGCCGAGTAGAATTTGTGCCGAACGGTAACCTCCAGGCCAGTCTTGGAAGTTTCCAAGGGTTCCAAACTTCAACCTCTCACCGTGCCCCTTCTCCCTCAACTTTCTGCGTTGATGTCTTGGATCTGTCCTGACCAGGCGCTCTTGACGGGCCGCCATCTACGGTCAGGCTTATTTGCTTGAAACTGCGATGCTCGCTGTGTCAGTAGACCTCGGAAGCTTCAAGGTCGCCGGAAAGACTCCGAACCTGACTCTAACGCTGTCGAGCTCGTTGAAGCTCGCCCTCCCTCCCTCGTGGGCCCACCCTCCAACCGCAGAAGAGCTGCGCCAGGCCTCCTCCGCAGGGACAATTTGGATATCAAAGGCTGGAGCCTGTCAAATCGAAGTCACGACTCTGATTAACGGCCAAGCGCCCGACGCGGCGACCCTCGACCCAAGCATAACGGCTGCCATTGCTAGCTTTCTGCCAGACTGTCCAGTAAGTAGCGCATTGTTCTTAGTCCGGGGTTTGTCTGACTTCACAGGTCTGGAAACACACGGGGCTCCAACTCCGGGCAAATCACGCCTCCCAAGCTCGGTCTGATCAAAGCGATGCTTTGGCTTCGTACTTTCTTCATCACCCAGACCTCTCATCCGAGATGATCGCGCCACCCGACGTGTCTGCTGGTCAGTTCCAGGGGCTGAGATGCGAGGTTGATTATGGCTTCACAACAGCGAGGAACAGAGCACACAGCCAGGCCCAGGCGTCACAACAAGCTTCGACAGAACCCTTCAGTTTGATACCGCAGGTACCTGAAGCGACACCAAGCCATTCATACGTGCTCAGGAGCAACCCTAAGAGGAGCAGAAAAGCGACCATGGCTCACGAGGAAGTCAACGACATCATTCCCGGCTCCCCGCCAATAACACAGCATCACATACATCCAGGCCATGACGGCGACGAGCAAGAAGACGTCGAGCTGCTGGTATCAGAAGCCATTGCGGACATGGCTTGCCTCTTGGACTTTGCATTTCGCAAGCTCATCGGGATCAAGGGAGCTGTCCTGGGGATGAGAACCATCAAGAGCATGGCGGCGCCCTCGTTGATCAATATTGCCCCGGCTGTTTGGGATCTCAATTATCTTCAGGTCAAATTACGCCCCCAGTCTTCGTTGACGTTGCTGACGAGAACCACAGACCATGTCCATCCACGCAGAGGTTATCCCATGGATTGCTTCCGGAATCGCTCGCTTGACGAATGCCCGGTCTGCGGCTCTCCGAGAAAAGTTGACGTTTCTTGTTCAAAGGAGGACGCCGGGTGATAACGCCCAGGGACCAGTCGACCAGGAAACAGAGACTAGAGACGAAGTGAGAAAGAGACTATGGTCGTTGTGCCAAACGCGCATCCGGCCGGAACCAATCAAGGCACCTTTCGTCAGGAAAGTGGTCCCAGAACAGGAGACATCACAGCTTGTCCTCGCAGAGCACGAACTAGAAGCGTCTCCACCTTATATCGAAGATTTCGACAGCGATGCTCTTGTCACCATGGCGCATTACGAACCGGTGCCCAACCAAGATCCCTATGCTGCTTTGCCTGAGAACCAGGCTGACCCAGACGAACCCGTGATGGACGATTCCTTGCTGGTACTCGAGCCGTACAATCCTGATGTTGGAGCGTCATCGTCGGACGGATGGATGCGTAGCTCTGAGGCCGAATACTTCTACACTGATGGGCAAGGAAACGTCTACCCGATAGAGAGGGAAATTGTTCGGGAGGACCACCAGATCGATTGGCCGTCAACCCCACAGCTTCTCGGCTCTGACGAGTTTGATCACGGAAACGAAGAAGACCCGGAAGAGGGTTTGGATGGCAGCATCAACCGCACATATATTATGTACGATGGAGGGCAACCTTGGCCCCCTTTATCGGGTGTCCACATCCACACCGAAGATGACCTGCCATACCCGCTGGCGCCGTATCTCGGCGACGCACCGTTCAACGATCGCGCGGGAGACTGAATTCACCCAAACTCATGCCGTTTACCATACACACAGCGTTGTCCAGGCTACCGGCGGGTAGAAACGGGAGACTGATGGTCTCCCAATCTTGGCGTGACTTTGATATGCAAGTCTGGAGGGTGGCTTGCTTGAACGCGCCTAAAGTCGTATGCTCGGATGGGAGACATGGGTATCGGCGATGATGGCAACCTTCTTCCATTTTCCTCCGACTTCCTCGCGAAGCAGGCCCTCGTGGCTTGAGCACGATCCCTTGCGACCCACCCTGGACCGAACCAAACCACTCTCTTTCCTGTCCGGTGCTGACAGGCCCTCATTTTTTTGCGGGCTTCTTCTTATCCTTCTTGACCTTCTGCTCGGGTTTCAGGGTGGCGTAGTGAATGTACCATATCAGCACGCATTGGAGGATGACGGCGAACAAGACGATGAGGAGGATGGTGAATAGGACGGGCTGGTCGTTGAGCACGGCGACGGCCTCTGGCGTGGCGCCGATGCTGCCGAACCAGTCAAACTGCCCCATGTTTTTGTTTGCTGGCTTTCTCGGTTCGAGATGTTGGCGGGCGGTTAGGGATGACGCTGGGGAATGAAGAAGGATATTGGATGTTTGAGAACGGATGAATGACAGCTGCCAGCGGGGTATCAAAGAACAAGCTTGAGCGGTCGCCTGCGCCGTAACAAGTAATTGTTGAGTTAAGGGAAAGGAAGTACGGATATTACAAGTTGATGGTGATCATGAAAGAGGTTGAAAGAAGGTGGAAAGGGAAAGGGAAAGGGGAAAGGGCTGGAGGTGGCCATATGAAACTGTCGACGTCACAATAGATCCGATTCAGCGGAGTTCAGTCTTCCCCTGCATGCGGTCTGCCAATGCATGAGCCGATCTCAAAAATGAGGGCTTGGTCTTGGGTCTCTTGGCCTTGCACAAGCGCAAGAAACCGCCCAAAATACGGGGGCTTGATTCTCGTCTGTGTTTCAGGCCCGCGCCAGACTCGAATGATTGGATCAGGTAAGCCAGAAACTGATTGATTGACTGCAGTTGACATGGAATCGTGGAAATTTGAGCCTCTAAGCCAGTCATGGCGACAAGACACCTTGGACTTTCAATGAGATCGAGCACGGTACCGGCTACAGAACTATCTTTGGGACTGCCGATATACTGCCCTGGGAGGCAGGAGGAGAATTGATGAAGGTCATAAGTCTAGTCAGGATGTCGGTGTACTCCGTACGAACTAGCTGGACCCACTCACCTGCAGAACGGATTGTGCCCGAGAAGTTAGGCATTCGCAACTTCTCCTTGGCGAGCTTAGACCCAGAAAAACTTGCTGGCTTCTGAACATATCGCATGCCGCCCCGGCCGAGATAGCAGCGAGACGTGACCCGGAGGAGTCGAGCGCCAAACCAGCAGCCACCCGGGTGCGACCGAGTCAATTGAATACGGGGAGCTATGAGTGTAGCACGTCCGGCTACCAGGAGACTCATCTCCGGGCGCCTGGCCGCATCGCCTGTTGCTCCATGCGCTGCTCCGACGCCGACGACGGCACCATGTCAACAGGTCTTTGCACACCAGTTCCACAGCTCGCGACAGTTGTCGGCGAGGCGGAGGCCACGGTTCGCCAATGTGCGCGCCGCCGACATGGGCTTGATGAGCGAGAAGCAGATCGACGACTTCACAAAAGAGAAGTTCCCCCAGTACACCAAGGAGGAGCTCGACCACCTGCGGACAAAGTATTCGCCCGCGCAGATTGCCGCCCTCGAAGCCGGTGAGGCCGCCATCAACCCGCGCGACCTGACGGTGCAGGGCCGCTTGCGCAACGACCCCTACACCATCCCCTACATCGACGACTTTGCCGAGACGCAGCCCGTCATCGACAAGCGGGCCAAGAACAAGGAGGCCCCCGACCCCTCGGCCCGCTTCATGAACATGGACGAGTTTACCCAGGATCTGATCATGTGGGCCGACAAGTTCCAGGTGGGCGACGTGACGGGGCAGCTCAAGACGCTGGTCGACTTCGTGCCGGAGGAGTTCAAGAAGGTGCCCGAGGGGAACTGGCCGGGCGACGTGCGGGAGGAGGCGCACAAGGCGTTTCAACAGTACCTCGAGGCCGAGGTCAAGCGGCAGAATGAGGCCAAGGACGTCGACGACGTGGGCGGGGGGCCGACCGACGCCGATATCCTGCAGTACATCCTGGAGCGGTCGGCCATGACGGACAACGGCCGGACGACCAACACGTCGCTGGCGCACGCGCTGCCAAGCAAGGTGCCCGGCGTGGCGGGCCTGTACAAGAAGGCCATCGACCCGGCCGACATGGGCCTTGACGACATCGGCGTCTACCAGGACCTCAAGCGGCGCACGGGCATGAGCGTCGTCGAGATCCTGCGGCTGCAGACCAAGCAGCTGGTGGACCGCAGCGTGGCCAATCAGACGCGTCTGGGCAAGGTGCGCAAGACGTCTGTCATGTACTGCGCCGGCAACGGTAACGGCTGGCTCGGCATTGGCGAGGCCAAGTCGACCGAGCCGTCGATCGCCATGCTCAAGGCCCGCCTGATGGCCATCCGCAACATGCAGCCCATCCGCCGGTACGAGAACAGGACTATCTACGGCACTGTCGAGGCCAAGGTGTCGGGCACGGTTGTCAGGATGTCTGCCCGTCCGCCAGGTGCGTCCCCCTCGTCTTTTCCGTACCCACAAACGTTTTTGGATGCTAACCGCTGTGACCCGCAGGATTCGGCCTACGCGTCTCTCACCGCATCTTTGAAATGTGCCGCGCTGCCGGCATCACGGACCTCGCCGCCACCATCCCGCGCTCGCGCAACCCCATGAACTCGGTCAAGGCGGCTTACAAGGCGCTCCTCACCCAGCCCGACCCGGAGGAGATTGCCATGGGCCGGGGCAAGAAGCTGGTCGATGTTCGCAAGGTGTACTATGGCGGGGCGGTGTACTAATCTGTCTGTGTTCTTGTCCTAACGCTAGAGGTAGATGGACCTTGTAGAAATCTTGTACCATATCATGTCGGCAGCATTGCGCTTCCTGGTAAATAGTTGGAGGGCTTTTGGGTCCCTGTCTGATTTTGATGCGTAGTGGTGAGATGGACTTCTCTGGACGCAGTTTGGTGTGTGTGACACGACGCCACAGTATCTTCTCCGGCAACCAGGCAAATCCGGATACGCCGGTTCCATTCTAGGCGCAGCTTGGATCCCCGTCGGCATGCCAGGCGGCATCTAGAAGCCCTTTCTCCTTGTCTCTCCATGGGCGCGCCGCGCCCCTCCATCCATTTAGCGTCGGGCATAGTTGAGGCAACTCATCCATGCCGCTTACCGCCCGCCACCACCCCATCGGCCATCGACTTTGAAAACCAAGCGGCCGGTATGGCATATATCATGGTTATCCTGCCCCTCAAGAGTAGAACTACCTGAGTATCAGTAGCACGATTCAGCCCTCCTCCTGATCATGCCCGGCCGCGTCTCCACCCTCGCCCCAGCCAATTTCCTGCTGCAGCACGATGCTGTAGACGCTCGCCTTGAGCAGCGTGAACACGAGGCTGGTCTTGCGCTCGAGCTCGCGCAGGCCGTCGAGAATGTCGGTGGCCGGGGCCGTTGCGAGGTGGTCCAGGAGGGTTGCCATCTAATAGAGTACATGAGTTTGTCTGCCTGTCAGTTTTTTCTCGTTCACTGACATGTGTCGATCTGTTTTCCCTCTCCAGGGCTGTACTGGGCGGGATACTAGAAGTCTGTAAAGAAAACAAAAACGCACCTTCCTCATGTTCTCTGCTAGCCGCTCATACTCATCTAGGACTTCTTGCTCGAGCGGCGTGAGCTCGGGCGGCGAGATGAGTAGTGAGCTATGTGGACGTGGTTGGGGGTCCATTGCTTGTGCTGGGCTGTTCTATTAAGGCAGTGATGATGTTGAACTGTTGATGTTCGATAGGGGAGATGCGATTGACGCGGCCAAGTGCGGGATGTGGGGTGCCGAGTGTGGGGTCGCTTGACGCCGCAGGCAGCTATGAAACGATGGAACCCCGAAATTGAATTCATGCGCTTGAACACACTTCACGAAAGTTTCAGTTATCATGCAAATAATGTCGTGGTGTGAAATATAACTGTGGATTCAGATCGTTATCAGTTCTAGCTCCTTCCGCTTTCAGGGGTTTGGAGACATTCGGGTCTATTGGATCTCATTCAAAGGTCAGTTAAACTTGCATATGTACTGTACTCCGATGAGCCGCTGGTTTGGAAACAAAGGAGGACAAAGACTCAGGCTGTCGGGAAGACTACCTTACGCCACAATCCTACAACCACTGAAGAACTATGATATCAGTGTGAATTACAGCTTGAACAGACATTCAGCTCAGTTCTCTGTTTTCTCGGTTCTAGAAAGCTCGCAGGTGGCATGAAGTGTGACTCTGGAAAATGACCCCACTTCACGCATTCAGCCTTAGATGGCCCGTGCAGTTGCATCTTTGAGCTTCTCATGAATTCCACCATCACCCTTGGCAGGCAAAGCGGTGGAAATCACAGCCGCCTCACCACATCCCGAATTCACCAGCCATCTCTTCCTCCAAACTTGAATCGCAACTACCTGCAGCTCTCTTCAGACGATTTCAGAACCTTGCTCTTCAACAAGAAGCGCCGTCTGACCGACTCTTAATTAGTTATTGTTGAACAGCAAAACGTTGGTCCCCAGCTCCCGACTCCAAGCTACCCCTCCTCGACAATCCCACTTGAACATTTGAGACACAACCACAGCCTACTTACACTTCCGCCACCTGACAGATCAAAATGGCCACCACCACAGTGACACCCGAGGGTGAGTTTTTTGCGCATTCCCTGCGACACTGCTCCCTTCACAGTGATTGCGATTTGCGCTACCGTGAAGCTCCTTGTTAGCTCAAGCTAATCGCATTCTCTCCACCCTCCACAGTCCTCTGGGCGCAGCGCTCATCCAACGTCGACGCCGAGAAGAACTTCATCTATCTCACCATCAGCGTGCCCGACGTGCCGCGGGAGAACCTCAAGCTTGACCTCAAGCCGACGGGGCTGACATTTGAAGGCCACTCGGACACGCTCAAGAAGACGTACCACGTCGAGCTCGAGTTCTACGCTGAGATCGACCCGGAGGCCAGCAAGGTTAACCACACGGCGCGCGACGTCGAGATGAAGCTGCGCAAGAAGGAGCTCAGCGAGTCGTACTGGCCGCGGCTGCTCAAGGACACCAAGAAGGCCCACTTCCTCAAGACCGATTTTGACAAGTGGGTGGACGAGGACGAGCAGAACGAGGCCGCCGAGGACGACTTTGCCAACTTTGGCGGAATGGGTGAGTAGTCGTGACTTCTTTTTTTTCTCTGCCACCTCCTCTCCCCTCCCCGAGAATAGGGCCGCGAAGGAGTGTGTACCTGGTCTGGGCTTGTATTGCTCCCATTGCTTACCCCTTTCGCGTGAACCCATCGCTTGGACTAAAACCTGGCACGACAGGAGGACTCCCGGGGATGGGTACGTAGCTGGAAGTGGTCGTTACGATACTGCATACTTGCACCCGCCACATGGCCTGCCCCTCTTCTGCTACCTGGTAGTAATGCAGCCGGCTAACCGTGATTTCCCAGGCGGCGGCGACTTTGGCGGCATCGACTTCTCGAAGCTCGGCAGCGGCGCTGGCATGCCTACTGGCGACGACGAGGACGACGAGTCAGACGACGACATGCCGCCACTCGAGGGCGAGGAGGAGGAGGGGGAGAAGAACAAGACCGAGAAGGTAGCCGAGGATGCCCCGGACGCCAAGGAGGTTGTCACCAGCTCCTAGATGCAACAGGTTGGGGGCAACAACCCTTTCGCCGGCGACATGAGACGCGTGGAGATCCCGTCGCGGATTGGGAGGTCGATGATGAAGCTATGAGATACGGATCGGCTAAACGGGCTATAGGTCGCTTCGCCAATGGGAGCTCAGGAGCGGGCGTCAATGACGAAGCAATCTGATGTATTGAGACAGGTCTATTCCCTCATGGTCTCGGCGAATGGAGCTCTTCGTCGCCTTCAAGTTTGGGCTTGCTTGCGCTGATAGTGATACGCTGATCTGTCCAGCAGTCATTGATTGACACGGAACGCCTGGGATTCCACGAGATACCTGACTATTGCCTTAGGAAGTGGGAGCGAGCTGGGAAACGTGTAACGATGGAATCACAGAGCCAGCTCCGAATAGGCCGTGCTCGGGCTACTGAGTTGCAATTTCTGGAAAACGAACATGAGCGTGGTCAGGCAGGTTGGCGTACCCTTTGTCAATTCAATCCTCCAATCAAGATGCCATTGTTCTTCTTCTCTCGCGCCAACGAGGTGGCTGCTCCCCATTTTGTGACGGCCGCAAGGGAGGGACCAATCTGCATGCCTGTACAGTGCCACATTTGTGTCCTCGTGGACATGTGTTTGCTACCCGATTCTGATCAGACTCATTTGGAGTGTGCCCAAAGGAACGCCATGCATATATATCTGCTACGACCTCCTTCCGGTTCGACGACTTGTGTTAGGATGACAGAGCATTGAAAACGACACATATCATCAGAAGCTGAACTTCCAAGCCACTCCCGCACTTTGGCCTCGAGGCACGTTTTTGATCCAGAAATAGGATTTGGGGAGGTCCGTTAGTCAAACAAAACGAGCATCACCATGCCCTCAAAGGCTTCCATAAACGGCGGCCCGTGTCTGGCGCCAGCCCTGAAAGCATCCGCGCCCTCGAAACGACGGCGCGTTGAAGCGTCGGCGCCATATACGGCAAAAGAGGCCGCCGAATTTGTGCGGATGGGCGCGTGCATGGTTGCCTTGCCGCCGGACGAGGGCTGGGTTGATCCTTTCGAGTGGGAGGTGGCGGGGAGAGGGGTGGAATATGTGTCGGGACGGTGAAGGGTATAGGTCCGGGAGGGAGTAAGGGGATGGTCGGCTGTAAATGCTCTTGTTGTGCTCAGGATTTCATAATATTTCGTGTTGGGAACCGTTTGGTTCTTAAGAACTCGTCTGAGGAGGAGAATGGGGAGGACGGGACGAGTTGAGCAGCAGATCAGGTTGCTCAATGAGAGCCATGTCACGGTAGAGAGTACTGTACTGTACATATAAGGTATGTCAGACGCTTCTGACTCTCCTCTTTTCGATACGCTTCGGCGATATGTTACTACCTCCCTCCTAGCAACGCCCCTCCGACCCGGCCCTGTGGCGATCGGCGATCCCGCTGTCATCCAGCTCGGAAATCTCGCTGGGGAACTCGCCGTGGATACACGGGTGAGGGTGTCGCGCACCGATGACTTTTAATGTACTAGAGCTCGACTGCTACAGTTGCTGCGGAGAGGGACAACCCGTTGTTCGGAACCAGGGCGAGACTAGAAGTGTCTGGCTGTGGTCCCATTCGAGTTTTGGGAATTAAGGAGTCAAGGCCGCGGATGGGGTAGTACATTGTTGACCCAATTGACGTGCAACGGTTCGGGCAGCAAGGGGAGCGGGTTGAAGGTGCCCCATGTGTTGCTGGCGGCGGTGGTGGCTTCTTCGGTTATGAGAACGGGGGAGGGTACATCTCACGGCCAGGCCCCAGGAGCGGCGGATATCCAGACGAAGGCGTTGGTGCCCGGGTGGTCATGCAGGATGTAGGAGGGCGCGTTGATCTTGTGTACGAACCGCAAGTGAATTATACAGTAACCGCAAAGCTCACAAGTGCCAATCTGTGCCTAAGAGATGCTCAGCCGCAAAGTCAAAGCTGTGCCCGACCCGTCCAACCCAAATGCCAAACCGCCCGAAACCCATTTCGTACATCAATAATGCCGCTAGTAACCCGCCTGGATACGGGGAATATACGCTCTCTGCGCGCCTATCATTTAAAGAACGTCTTCCTCCATCGGGGCATCACCGCCAGCAGCAGCCGGGGGGGCAGCGGCGTTGCCCGTGTTCTCAGTGTTCGCGCTGTCAAAGTAATCCGCCATCTCCGAGTCGAGCTCCTCCGCCGTCTTCTTAACCGGCCGGTTGCTGCGAGCACGCCGAGCCGGCTTCTTGCCCCCCTTGCCAGCCGCAGCACCGCCCTTCGCGCCGGCGCCGTTCTGCTTCACCGTGGCAGCAGACTTAGGCTGAGCCTTGGGCTGCGCGATGCGCTGAGAGAGCGGCTTGGGCTGAGGGATAAGTTCTGCAGAAGAAACCACAACTTCGACCTTTGACCAGAGTCAGCATTGGTGGGCAAAAGCTTCTGAGAACACGCTCGAGTCTTACCTTGACGGGCTTGTTATCGATGAGCAGTCCGTTGAGGGTCGAGAAAGCCTTGCTGGCGCCGTCCGCATGGTGGAAGGTGACATGGGCAATGCCGCGGCTAACTCCACCGGGTCCGTATGAGAGCTCGACCCTCTTGACCTGACCAACTGACTGCTGGAAATAGTCCTATCGAAGGGAATCCGTAGTTAGCGTCAAGCAAAATTTCGAAATCCCGCGCATTCGCATCCGTGGGCAGTCGACGTTGAATCCGACAAGGCATTCCGTCATGCAGGCGTCCGAAAGGAGGAAACCAAAAAGCAGCGAGCAGAGCAGTGAGCGAAGTCTCCAGGGTAGCGTCACCGGCGACTGGCAGGTGAGCCACGTCCGACGTCCACTGAAACCATTCGACCGACTCCAGGATCCAGACCACGGACCCCTGTTGAGAGGCGACAGTGTGTACGACGTGGCCCCGGCCATGCTAAGCCCTAACCCTAACCTGGATGTGTCCTCCAGAAAGTCCCAAGGAAGCCCCGAGAAGCCGGATTATCCCAGCAACGAAAAACAGCCAACTCCGCCACCATGTAGCCGACGAACTTGGAAAGGTTCGTGAAAGAGAAGAGCCGCATCCTTTGCTCACTGCTAAACTCGCTGATAAGCAGTATCATCAGGCTGGTTGCCAGCCAGCTGAGATATAACGTAAACACCCAGCTTGGCGGTTTCTGTCTGATATGTCGCCGGCGCCCTGTGGTCTGCGCACTGTTTCCGAGTCAGGGGAGCTTGCCAGGCAACCCAAACGGCGGGACGTGCAGCTAGACGGGGGCTTGCTCAACTTCCTGGCTTGACAGCCTCGATGACGCAGGAGAGCAGTGCCAGCTCTGCGCACCCGGAAGGAACTATGGCATCATGACAGGCGCACTCCAAAGCGCTGGGGTCCGAAGATGACCACCCTCATTGTCCACCGAGGACAAAACGTCGATAGGATATGCCGCGAAAGAGATGCGTCCACGGAAGTCCGAAGGCGATACGGCCTCATCGGTAATAACATACCTTGATCTGGCCTTCGGAAACATCCTTGGGCTATGACGAGGTTAGAAGCAGAACTCATAATGAGGTTGGTGTGATGATGCGACTTACCAGGTTGCTGACCATGATCTTGCTCTCGCCGGTCAGGCCAGCGGTCTTGGCGGGCGTGGGCTTGGCAGCGCCGCGCGCGGGCTTAGCGTTCTTCTGAATGCCGCCGGCCGGAGCAGCGGGTGCGGGCCTATCGGCGCCAGCAGCACGGCGCGTAGAGCGGCGACGGCCTTGCTGGTTGCGCCGTTGACTGGTAAGGATCTCATCGAGAGACTGGTCCAGCTTGCCGGACATGGTGGCGAGAGGAAATTGCGACGTGAATTAGGTGTGGTTCGAAGGTGGTGATGAATGGCTGAATAACGATCGCAGCTCTTTAACTGTCGAGCGCGATGCAGAAGCTTTGAAAGGCTTCGCTATCGATGGTTCAGAGGCAGGTTCGAGAAGGCGGTCGTGCGATCGCCGGGTCACCAGGTTTTGCTGCTGCACGTCGCGCCAAGTCGCGGTCGGTGCTTGAAAGCAGCAAAAGGGACGAGATATATCGCTTTATTTGTTAAAATGGGTTATTGTCGGCAGAGTCAAATAATCCAGGCAAGCGAGGATTGATGCAAGCCTGAAAGGAGCGAGCAGGAGGATGATGGATGTGATTGATGTGGTGGCTGATGGAGAAAAGACGGGGAAACAAGAGAGCGCACCAGAGTCGCGCGAGATTTTGAGGGAAGCAGTCGCTGCGGCGCAAGAGTTGGTTGGGCAAGAGGAGCCAGCTGCCAAGACAGGAGGCCTGTGAAAGTGGCGCAGACTCCCTCAGACATGACGCTAAGCTACAGATGAGCTAGCCGGCTTTAGCCACAGTGAGTGGCTGAAGACCCTATATTACAGGTACATACTGTATGTAGGCGTCTGGCGTAATGGACCGTAGGGCGCCACCGGCATCTACGAAAATGTAGTCCGGGAGGTTCTTAGTATTATAAAACACTCCCTGAAGCTATGTATTTGACCGTTAAAATCGTCAAGTAACCCGCTTACATCGACATTACTTATTAGGATTATACTCGTATAAGAGAAGGATAATCTCTCACTTCCAAAAGAGGATCTAACAAACGCTCATCCCTAAAGAAAAATCCTAATCTGAAAATAAAGGGTTAGACGAATATGATCTTCCCCCCTAAAGAGGGTTAGCTCGTTGAACAGCTCCCTTAATATTGAAGAGAATTGATCTCTAAGATGTTGAGGAGGCTCGTTCGTAATTGAAATACTCACCGAAGAATTTTACGTAGTGGAGGTATTTACAAAAACTGAGACACCTACTCAGCTTCTCAGAGGTGCGTTGCGCCATATGGGAAATCCGGTCAAGACGGACAATCAGAGATTCAGAAGTGGTGCCGCCCGGCTCGGTTGACAAGTTGATCGCCTTCACATGGCAGAAACTGCTGATGGAAGAGCCTCCCAAGCATAATCTGCCCGACGTTAGTTAGGTACTGTAACCCACGTCATGGAACTCAACTCGTTTTCGATAAAGCCCAGCTAACTGTCCTTCCGCCAACGCTCAAGACCGCTCGCTCGGAACAGCATTACCAAGTGGACTGTAGATTTAAGTTGTGGCGCCCTGTTTATTGAATCCTGGGCACCGTCCACCCTGTTTTCTTTGTTTTGAAAAGATCCATTTAACACCATATTCTGATAGCTTTACGGAGGTACTCATTCGTGGCCCTAGGTGACGGCATGCTTACATTGCGCGGGGACGAAGCTGAGGCTTGGGAGAACGCGGTTTGCCAGTGCATAAAAAGGAACCGACCACATACTGAATAATCATAGGTTTGGCTGCAAACTGTTGATAAGCGCTACTGCACCTCGGAAGACATATCCTTACCATGCACCGATTTTGCACATGTACAGTCGGAGTTGTGAAATTGGCTGCACTGTGTTTGAAATTCACGGTGGACAGCTTTGTGTTTCCATATAGGCAACCAAATGTCAAGCCGCATGCATCACAGTTGCCGATCCCCATGTAAAAATTGAGATCTTGGTGTGGAAGGACGGGGCATGGATATAATCGAATGGGTTGACTACCAACGTCTCATTACTTTACCTTCCTGCTATCCCTTCGAGCCCTTCCAATTCTCCCCATTGCACCGGCTGCCGAAATCTGCCACACAGGACCAACAAATGTGCCTAATAAACAACCGGCCCGCTGCACAGGAGCCCTCCACCTCGGCCTGGTGTGCCGTTGCGCCCCTGCGATCTTTCTTACGGCTTGGAACTGCCTCGCCGCAGCCGTAGGTCTCTTTCGCAAGCAGCTGCCGGGAGTCCTTAGAAAACTCCCTGCCGTAGTGAAAGAACGTCCTCAAGTATTGCATCGTACACCCCTTCTTGACATCATGCCAGCTATCTTGTCTTGGTGGTCGCCGGCGCGGATTGCGGCCCTGTTGTCAATGGTGCTTTCTCTTTGTCGGTTTCACGGTCGTCCGTCGTTGAGTTGACTTCGAAAAAGGTGTGCAGAATAATCAGCACCGCTGCCGCCGAGCCGAGAAAGATGGCAAGGCGGTAGAGCTCCCCGTCCGTGATCATGGTGTGATTGGGATCGACGGAGCCGGATGTTGGACCGGTGGTGCGGTTCTGCGTGAGCTTTGTTGACGGCGAGGCTGAATTCGCGAATATGTGATTAGTTTGAGAAGTACTGCGTCATAGGCCAAAGGGCGCCGTACCTTGCCTGTCTGATGTTGTTCTGTCGGCTGGTTGTTGAGAACAGCGCGCGATGTGGACAGCTTTCGAGAGCCGTCGCATCACTAACCGACGTTATCGTTATCAATATCGACGCTTGGCCATCACTGAAAGAATGTAACGGTAACCGTACGGAAAACAGACTGCGTATATGTCAGTAGCATACACTACCATGGAAGCACAGTGAAGATTACAGGTCACGTGCAGCAACCCTGTAGCCGGGCGGAAGTTAAGGGTTGAGTGCAGTGGAGCACAAAACGGAGCCATTGAGGGTTCTCAGCCTGGGCACTGTTTCTTGGACATCCCCGCCTGGAAACTTCGAGTTTGCCTTCGGGCAAATTCCGACAACCACCACACAACAGACCACCGCCTTCCGCGTCGCTCTCCATCGAGACTGTCCCCATCACCGCCTACCCTCGCGCTGTCAGACCCCACACAATTCGCCCACCATGCCTCCCAAGAAGGACCAAAAGGGCAGCGTCAAGAAGGATGCCAAAAAGATTGTCGAGGACAAGACCTTTGGCATGAAGAACAAGAAGGGCGCCGTAGCCAAGAAGACGATTGCCCAAATACAGTCGTCTGTGCAGGCAAGCGGGAGCGCTGAGCAGAAACGGAAGGAGGCCGAGAGGGCGGCACGCGAGCGCGAGAAGAAGGCTGCCGAGGAGGCCAAGCGGGAGGCCGAGGCGCTCCTCAACAAGCCAGCCCAGGTGCAGAAGGTGCCGTTCGGCGTCGACCCCAAGACGGTCGTTTGCATCTTCTACAAGAAGGGCAATTGCGAGAAGGGCAAGAAGTGCAAGTTTGCCCACAACCTCGATGTGGAGCGCAAGGTCGAGAAGAGGGACTTGTACCAGGACACGCGCAACGAGGACGAGGAGAAGAAGAAGCAGGAGACGTCGGCCGACTGGGACGAGGAGAAGCTGCGGTCCGTGGTGTTGTCCAAGAAGGGCAACCAGCGCACAACCACCGACAAGGTGTGCAAGTACTTTATCCAAGCCATCGAAGACGGCAAATACGGCTGGTTCTGGGTTTGCCCAAACGGTGGCGACAAGTGCATGTACAAGCATGCTCTTCCGCCTGGGTGCGTACTCCAAGTGATGTGCTTTGTCTTGGTTTCAGCTAACCCCTTGTCCAGCTTCGTGCTCAAGACAAAGGAGCAGAGGGCGGCAGAGAAGGCTCTGTTGGACAAATCGCCGCTCAAGACGCTCACGATCGAAGAATTCCTCGAGTCAGAACGGCACAAGCTTACGGGCACCCTTACACCGGTGACTCCCGAGACGTTCGCCAAGTGGAAGAAGGAGCGTCTGGATAAGAAGGCGGCAGAGGAACAGTTGCGCAAGGCCAAGGAGGCGACCGGCCGTGCCCTGTTCGAGAGCGGCAACTGGCGGACGGCTGACGACGACGACGAAGAGGAGGACGACGACGCATGGAACCTCGAGAAGCTACGGCGGGAGACGGAGGCGCTCAGGATCAAGAGAGAGGAGGAACGGCTGGCTGCCATGCATGGGCTTCCGCTGCCGAACGGTGGCACGAATGGTGTGGCAGATGAGGCAGCAGAGCCAGAAGGCGAGCCGGGAGCGGATCCAGAAGCAGTGCCCAACACCTGAAGTTCCGCTTGCGGAGGACGACCAAACCACGACGCCGCGCGGCCAGGTGAGGGCAGCGAGCCCAGAGAGCGCTCCTCCTCAACCGGCATGTGGGGTCGGCTATGCTGCCGGGACGTCTGACGAACGTTCGAGACTGGGTCACAAAGAAAAGTGTGTCCAGATTCAGCAAGGTTAGAACAGGGTAATCTGTGACAGAGCCAAAGGCGCAGGACCGGCTATATAGGGCTACGCCTAATATATCTCGATGTCGGAGCACTACTGGCCCCGAGCTGTCTCACGCCGTCTCCCGCGATGTGCTCACCCCGGGCAGTCTACTCCTGGCCATCTGCTCGATTGTCAACCGTGTACACACTAACGTTCACCGCATAGTCCCACCACGACCAAACTTTCCCGTCTAGTTCAACCGACGGCCTCTTCAGAACTTCTCAACATACGGCCTCAGATCAAGCTCATGCGTGAAGCTCGACCGATGCTGCGTATGCAAATGCCAGTAACTCTCGGCAATCTTCATGCCCGTCAGCAACACAGGCTCGCACACCACTGGCGTCTTGAGAATCGAAACTCACAGCATCAGCACTAATCTTTCCGTCCTCCTTTCCTTCGTTTACCGTATATCCCTTCGTCCGTGGGATATCAATCACACCGTCCAGTACCACATGCGCCACATGCACGCCCTGTGGGCCGAACTCCCTCGCCAGGCTCTGGCCCAGCGCCCGCACGGCGAATTTACCAGCCGCAAAGAGGCCGAAGCGGGCCGAACCGCGGACCGAGGCCGTGGCGCCCGAGATGATTAGGGACGGGGAATGCGGGCTGGTGGGGACGGATTCCAGGAGAGAGGGGAGGGTCGCCTGGGCGAAGTTGTAGAGGCCTCGGCTGGTTCAAGTCAGTGGGAGGGGGGTGCCATTGTCAGAAGATGATGGAGGTAGGTAAGGTTAGAGGGGAATTTGGAGGGGGAGGTGGGAGAGGGAATAATCAACGTACGCGTTGGCAGCCAAACTGGCATCGAGCTCCTCGACCGTCGTTTCAAGAAACGGCTTGACGCCGAACCCGGCGCCGACGTTGTCTATCATTATCATCCCCGCAAATCAGCACACACCCAATTCTTTCCAAATAAAAGCGACCACCCCACCAACAGCACGCAAGGTAACGGAAAGAAATGAAGATGGGAAATCTTACAAACAGCGACGGCCAACCCCAGGCCCTTCCCACCCTCTCCATTGTCGCTCTTGCCGGCAAACTCCCTCCTGACGACCTCCAGCGCAGATTGTACTGACGCCGCATCGGACGTGTCGGCGCTGACGCCAACCGCCTCGCCGCCCTGCCGCCGAATCTCGGCTACGATGCCCTCGTAGCTCTCGGGCTTGCGCGCCAGCAGCACGACCGGGTAGGCCCGCGCGAAGCGCAACGCCACGGCGCGGCCTGTGCCCGGGCCGACGCCGGCGATGAGGGCGTAGAAGGATTTGGAGATTGTTGAGGCTGTTGGGGTCGTCATTGTGGGTTGTATTTGATAAAGGGGGTTGGGTTGGATTGGATTGGATTGGATTGGACTGGACTGAATTGGATTGGATTGTTGAAGGTGGTGTGGTTTGAGGATTGTCGTGGGTACTGGTCAGTGGTGCAGGACGATGTTACTACGAGGGAGGCACGAGAAGTGGACGTGATAGAATTTTGATAGACACTTTAATATATGATGGATGTGTGTTCAAGAGGTGGGCGGCTTCAAAGAGGCGAGATGTTTGGTTGCTTATAGTTGAGTCTGGTATGACGAGATCACGTCGTTGAATTAGTAACCCCGGCGTGGGAGCAGTGGTGATTAATAATGTATGTTGTATCTTCCGCCGTGAAAGGATGGTGGAATTTGGATGATGGATGGCGACTGCGTTGCTGGCTTCGTTTCAGGTTATTACGCTGCTCTTTCCTGCGACTCGGGCAACTCCGTATCGTGAGGGAAGTGGACTCGTAGGTGTAAGGATCGGCAAACTGGTTCTTCTTGAAGGTGTGCTTGGTGAAGATACAGTGGGCCCAGAGCTTGCAGTTATCATGAGAGTTTACGAGCTAACCTTATCCGTAAACCGCCACTCGAATCGTTACCCTAGATAATGCCCTGGGTTACTCCGTACCACTCTTATTTCCAACGTTCAAAATTATTGTCCTCCCTATGACAGACTTGGTAAGAAATCCAAGGAGTGAGTAGGGTCTGGTGCTGGCCGAAGCACCACCGTGATGTCTCACCCTGAGCAACTGATACCCACTGCGGGAGTTAGGGCTCTAATTGGCGGACCCCCGTCTCGGTATCCGTACCCGACGGGCCCTGCCGCCCCCGCTTTGCGGCCCTCCTGGCTCCCGACACGGGTGTGTCTCCACAACATCCGGCCTTAACACCGCCAATCGTTGATCTCGTCGACTTCCCAAGCACTGAGCGCCATGTGATGTCGGTACAGGAACCGAAAGGGACATATATGTCTTGTCCTGTTCGCGATGGAACCAATACTGTTGACTGCTCCATAACAACGGCATAACCGTATCCGGGACATTCCCGTTTATCGTCGCACATTTCCGGTTTCTCGCCATGTTCCAAGCACTCATCTCGGCACTCCTTTCACTTGCAGGTATTGGGGTCGTCTTGGCCGTAGCTCTGGCGGTCACCATATGGCGAGCCTTCTTTACCCGTCTTGCCTCGGTGCCCGGGCCGGCCATTGCCCGCTTCACGGACCTGTGGTATGCCTACCGCATCTACCGGGGCAGTTTCGAGAAGGACAATGTCCGACTCCACCAAAAGTATGGTACGTTCGTCCTGATGGGCTAACCCAAGTATGCATTTGGTCTGAGTTATGGCTTGTATGAGACAGGACCGGTTGTGAGGTACGGCGTCAACCGCTTCAGCATCGCCGACCCCCAGGCAGCCAGCATCATCTACGGTCCTGCCAGTAAATTCACCAAGTCTTCCTGGTACCAGACCTGGGGCACCCCTTCCTCCCACGCCTGGTCGCTCTTCAGCGATCAGGACGCCAAGCGCCACGCCTCCAACCGCCGCCAGTACCAGAACACATACAGCATGTCCAGCCTCGTCCATTACGAATCCTACGTCGACGAGTGCGCCCATCTGTTCTGCCAGAGACTGTCCGAGATGGTCGCCGGCACCGACTGGAGCCGGCCTCTGGACATGGGCCACTGGCTGCAGTGTTACGCCTTCGACGTCATCGGCATGATCACGTACTCGAAACGCATCGGCTTCCTGGACTTTGGCGAGGACGTCGGCGACGTCATGCGGAATCTCGGCGACCACCTGGCCTACGCGAGCGTCGTCGGCGTGTACCCGCTGATGCACCCGATCCTCTTCCGGGTGCGGAACTGGCTGGCCGGCTCGCGCGGCAAGGGGAGGCAGTTCATTGTCAACTTCACCCAGGAGTGCATGGCGGCGCACCAGGCCACGCCCAAGGCACAGGTTATGGTTCCCGGAAAGAATTATGGCAAGGGCGAGGAGCAGGGACAGACGATGGACTTCCTCTCCAAGTTTGTCCAGAAACACTCGCAAGACCCGGCCGTCTTCACCACGTACCACGTTCTTTCGGGCTGCGTGTCCAACATGGTGGCCGGTTCCGACACGACGTCCATCAGCCTCAGCGCCATCCTGTACCATGTCCTGCACAACCCCGGCGTCCTGACGAAGCTGCGAGGCGAGGTGGACCAGCACTGCCCGCAGAACAAGGCTTCGCCCCATATCACGTTTGCCCAAAGTCAGGGCATGCCGTACCTTCAGGCCGTCATCAAGGAGGCGCTGCGAATGCATCCGGCCACGGGCCTGCCGCTCGAAAGAGTGGTTCCCGAAGGGGGCGCAACTATTAGCGGAGTCTTCTTTCCAGAAGGGGTAGGTTTAACATTTTTTTTTCCCCCCTCAAGTTGGCCTTTTCGTGCCATTCTCCCTCCGCAACAACTGGCTAATGGGGACACTCTTCTCCAGGCGATTGTAGGAATCAACAGCTGGGTGGAGCACAACAACAAAGCGATATTCGGCGATGACACAGACAGGTTCAACCCGGACAGATGGCTCCAGAAGGACAAGGAGAGGATCGGTGCCATGAATCGGCATTGGATGCCGGTAAGTTCTTCCCCTCTCCTCAGCTGCTATAGCGGAGTGACCGTGATGCTGATGAACAACCCAAGTTTGGCCTGGGCTCTCGCACCTGCATCGGGCGGCATATTTCGATGCTCGAAATGTGCAAGCTGGTGCCGAGGTTGGTTCGGGATTATGATATGGAACTCTGCAACATGGGACAGTGGCAGACGAAGGACCATTGGTTTGTCAAGCCCGAGAACTTCAAGGTTTTGGTTCGGCCCAGGCTGGTCGGCGATGGGCCGTGACTTGGATTGGTAGTTGCGGTAAAGTACCTGTGGAGTGTTATTCTCCGTGACCAGGTACTTCAAATCACTAAGGTACGTAAGGAAAAGTAGCTTCCCTCTGGGGACCGACTTTGTGGACCTCCAAGGTTGACAATCGAGCACCTCACGTTCCAAAGATTTCACGTCTCGTACGGAGGTTTATTGAATCAAACCGTGTACCTACAATCCAACGGAACTACCTACTTGCTGCACTCAATTCACTAGGGAACTTGCTCGACTTGCTAGCTTCTCAAAGCTAATCATCTTCCATTCACTATGATCAACCAAGCCTCGGTCCGAAGCATCGGGGGTCGTCCTTTCACCTTCTCCTCACGGAATGAAGGCAGAAGAAAATCAATCTTCTCGCTCATGTTTCCATCTAAGTTAAATATAGCCAAGTGTGAAGAATTCAAAACGTTCGAGAGGATGAGCCGTATATCCCCGCTTACACGTCTGAACTGCTACGTGACGGACGGGTTGGTTGCTTGTCGAACCATAGCCTCGAGCCGCCCGATATCCCAACGCTCCAGTGCTGCACTCCCAGCTACAGACCGTGTAATATGACTCTAGCCCGCTCATGCTCGTGAGCCAGAGAAGTCGGCCCCTCGCCATCAGGCCCCTTCAAGTTTCCCCGCCCACTTCCATCTCGTAGACTCACACCGCTCGGTACTGTTGGCCAACGTGCCCCGAGCATGATGTGTGCTCGGCATCACTCCCATGTCGGCCCGCCAAAGCAGAAGTTCTCGGTCATTTTAGGGGCGAGTTGGCGAGATATCTCCGTGTTTGTACAAGTAGTACATTGACCGATGTCTCCCAAGTCTTGGCCTTTCGGGTGGACGTCCTCCACTTCTCCCGATAGCACGACAAGGGTCACTCACCTGCAGGCATGCGAACTGGAATGCAGCCAGAGAGAAGTGTTGGGTAACCCAGCGTCATGCACCCCAGATTTGGATTTCTGGGGTACATTGCGGGGGATGGAGAATGCGACTCCATATTCCATCCTCGATTGAGATGGGCATCCGGATTCCGGGATCGATCGTGGAGTATTCGGTGTCGAGAGACCGAGGGGGCATCAAGATGCTCATCGCACTGTGTGAGAGAGCTCACTCGATGAGAAGCAGGACACACATGCAGACTTATGAATACTGGGCCGTCTATATAAATCAAACCAAGTCCCACCACCACAGTGGCGATGGCATCAAGTCCTAGCAACATAAACCCTTTGCTTTAAGCCTTGAGTCACCTCTTTCAGTACCTGCCTTATCCTCAAGCCAACAACATGTTTACCCGCCTCGCCACTTTTTCATGCTGCCTCGTGGGCCTGCAGCAGGTTCTCGCAGCGCCAGCCCCGTCCCCGTCCTACCTTGATTGGAGAACCTTCACGGCCAGAGGAGTCGACCTGGGCGGCTGGCTGCACCAAGAGGCCGTTATCGACCCCGGCTTCTGGTCCCAGCACGGCGGCAGCGCCCGCGACGAATGGGAGCTGTGCGTCAACCTGGGCAGCCGCTGCGGCTCCGTGCTGGAGCAGCGCTACGCCAGCTACATCCGGCCCTCGGACATCGACCGGCTGGCCGCCGCGGGCATCAACGTGCTCCGCATCCCCACAGGCTACAACGCGTGGGTCAAGGTGCCCGGCTCTCAGCTGTACACCGGCCGCCAGGTCGAACACCTCCGGTCCATCTCGCGCTACGCTATCGCACAGCACGGCATGCACGTCATCGTCGACATCCACTCCCTGCCCGGCGGCCTCAACGGCATGGGCCTCGGCGGCCGCGAGGGCGGCTACGACTGGTTTCAGAACCAAACCGCGCTCGACTACTCATACCGCGCCGTCGAGGCCGCCCTCGCCTTCATCCAGACCTCGGACCACCCGCACGGCTACACGCTCGCGCCCATCAACGAGCCCGTCGACAACCGCGATATGTCCAAGTTCGGCACGCCCGAGTCCCTGAGCGAGGACGGGCGGGCCTGGGTGCTGGCCTACTTCCGCGGCGTGCTCGACCGGGTGCGGCGCGTCAACCGGAACATCCCCGTCATGCTGCAGGGCGGGTTCCTGGGCGAGGAGTACTGGTCCCCCTTGTTCGAATCCGAGGCAAGAATCGTCTTTGACGTGCACAACTACTACTTTGCCGGCCGGCCGGCCACGTCGGCCAACCTGCCGCAGTTCCTCTGCGCCGACGCCCGCGCCTCGGCCGGCGACGGCAGGTTCCCCGTCTTTGTCGGCGAGTGTAAGCAACACCTTTTTTTTCTGTTGTTTGTAGACTGTTATTGCCTTTCCCATTTTATGGCTGCCTCGAAGGAAGCCATTCTGCTCCCGAGATAAGCGCGTTCTTTGATTCTGAGATCCCTCCAGTCCGGACATTTCACAGGATAGAAAATTCACGAGCTGACATCGTTCGTAGGGTCCATTCAGGCTACCAGCAATAATACACTGGCCAGCCGCAGGGTGAACCTGAACACGGGCCTGCAGGCCTGGGAGAAGTACACCAGCGGGAGCGCTTACTGGACGTATCGGTTCTATGGCAATGTTCCCGTTCAGGGGGAGGGTGTGCAGGGGGACTATTGGAGCTATGAGAAGTTCATGGACCTCGGCATCATTGACCCCTCGAAGGGAGTCAGCTGTGTGTAAAGGAAAGACGGGTGAATGCCGGGGATGATCTGCCAGGGAATTAGGTGAATCGGTGACCGGATGGCCAGTCACAAGCGGGAGTGTTAGTTAGCCTGGTATACGGAAGGGATCTTGGGCACTCTAAGTCAGCACCTCCACTCTTTCAGGCCGTCTGAGACCTCTGCCCATATGCCCAGAGCATCATCAAGTCCATGTTTGCTTTGAATTGATCTGTAGCTATGCCAAGAGAGATAGGGCAACCTCCCGACGGGCTTTTGTCGAATCTCCCTAAGGTACTGCACCTTACTTACAGTAACCTCCTACCGTAGACATCTCGCAATACATGCATAGCGACTACAAGCTGAATCAATTTTGAGCTGCCAACACCACCAAAGGCTTCCTACTCAATCTCTTCCTTCCCCCAAGCCAAGTTTTCTTATTCATTTCGGCGAGTTATGGGTGCCACGTGTGGCAACATCTAGGACTCTCCCAGCGGATTCAAGGCTCATGGTTCTCGCCCACGAGTTTAGACTCAACCCAAGGGAGCACTGCTCTTGGATAATGTCTTCTTGTCATTATACGGTACCAAACCACTCGCAACACCAAAGAAGTCACCCATGGATGGCTGACCTCGAAGCTCAGACAGACAGTGTACGCTTCTCACAGAGCAGGGTAGACCGCTGGCGTGCCCGGGAAGGTATACAATGACCGCTACACAAGGTAATTGCTGAAAGCAAACCCACCTATCAAAAGGTTCTAATCACCCACCCCGAGGTACCCAGGATACATGCTGGCAGACTTTCCAACATCCCGCCCACATGGAAGGTAGCCACTCCCGTTTCCACCCAGGCGCACTCTACGCGGCCTCCTGAGTAATGACAATCTCCTTTTCTCTCTCCGCAATCACCATATCCTTCACCGCAACAGGATGGTCTCCAAACAGCTCATCCATCTGCTCCAGCGTGCGGCCCATGGTCTCCGGGTAAAAGAAGATGTAGCACAGCATGGCGAACAGGTTGAAGACAAAAAACACATAAAAGTACTTGAACTCGATGGCCGTCAGCGCGTCGGGGGTAAACTGGGCAAAGATCAGGTTGACGGCCCAGTTGGTAAAGGTAGTAATGGCGTTGCCGAGCGCGCGGACTTCGACGGGGAAAATCTCGGCCGGGTACACCCACGAGATGATGCCGAGCGGGGTGTAAAACAGCGAGAAGATGAAGTTCATGGCCACCATGCTGCGCATCTGGTTGCCGTTGCCGGCGTCAAAGTACTGCCCCTGGACGGCGTTGACGAGCAGCGCCGCGGCGAGGCCGGCGGCCGACACGATCAGCGGCTTGACCCGGCCGACCTTCTCCAGCAGCCACAGGCCGATGGTGCAGTAGATGATGGAGAGGGCGCCGTTAATGCCGATGATCATGAGCGACGTCTGCGCCGAGATGCCGAGGATGCCGTATATCCGGGGCCCGTAGTAGTTAATGACGTTGATGCCCGAGAGCGGACCGAATGCTTGCACGCCGCAGCCGAGGAGCAGGCGCTTCCGCCAGGTCGGTCGCGTGACGATCGACTTCCAGCTGATGTCGCCCATTGCGCGGTCGGCCAGGATGGCCTCGCGGATTTCCTGGAGCTCTAGCTCAACGAGGTCCCTATCCTGGCCCGAACGGAGTCTGTCCAAGACAGCCCGGGCCTCCTCGTGCCGGTCCTTTTCCATCAGCCAGCGAGGCGACTCGTGCAGAAAGAAAATGCCGACGAGCAGGATGAGACTAGGTACGTTCTGAAAAGCAAGGGGGAAGCGCCCTGTGACACACACTCAAGTCAGTACTACTGCTCTCCGTTCCTAGGTATCTCATATGATTGACCGACATGAGAAAGAGCCCGCCACAAACGAGCAGCCGTAACCCAACCACTGGGCCACCAGAAAGCCCCAGCTCAACATCCACTGGAGCAGGCCCGAGAGGATACCCCTGAACTTGGCTTCGGACAGCTCGCCGGCGTACATGGGGATGGTCGAGGTCAGCATGCCGACCGCCACCCCGCCAATGAAGCGGCCGACGATGACCATGGGAATGCTGACAGCGCCCGCCTGGAGGGACGCTCCGAGACACGATACGGCGGAGCCGGCAAAGATGGTCCGTCGGCGGCCGAGCCGGTCGGCGGCGAACATGTTGATGATGGTGCCGAGAATGGCACCGCCCTGGAAGGCCGACACGATGCCCCCGATGGTTGTGTCGGACGGTTTGCCGAATGAGTCGACAAAGGTAGGGAGCGCAATGGTGGACGTGATGATGCCCGAGTCATAGCCAAAGAGGAAGCCTCCCAGGGCTAGGAACACAGCCGACAAGAAGGTGGTTGCGCGGCCCATTGTGTTGATTTGCGCACAAGGGCAGGTACTTTGCGTAAGTGGTAGTCGGCATCACGAGGAGCGGAGGCAAGGTCGTGTGCTCGATTTTTGTACTTGATGGCGGACGCTGTGGGCGATCAATCTTGCCCTAGCAATGGCCCCCCAGCACACACCCTTGCGAAGGAATCGCCACATGTCGTTGTCGAGGTCGTCCGAACGCTCCATCTCGGACATGACATGGCCCGAACAGCCCCTGAAGCACGGCGTCGCATTCGGACAAGGTGATGACCCAAGTGATGTCGCATCACCTTTCTTACATGTGTCCTCCACATCCCGATGCCTACCCCGGATCCCCATTCGTTGACATGCGAAGCTACCGGTCCCGGCGAGGGGAGAGTTGAGAGGCAGGGCCAGAACTTGCGGGCTTCGGTGTAAAGACGGTGTAAAACAGCCCGACGCTGATCATTGATTATGGAATCTCAGTGACTTGGGAGTCTCCTCGTGCCGAACAACACATGGTCTGTGGCAGCCCGACTTGACATCTGCGGAACCAAGTTACCAACAAGCAGCGCCGACAAAAATGGAAATCGTACGGTGTGGCATCCACGGCTTCCACGAGGTGCTCGGCATCGACGTGGACGAGATCCGCTTCTTTTGGATTCTGGACTCGCACGTCGAGAATGCCCGGCAGACGGCGTACCGCATCACGCTCGCCGCCAGTCCTCAGGGACAAGGTGGCGACGACTTGGTCCTTCTCTGGGACACCGGCAAGGTCCAGAGCAGTGAGCAACGGGACATTGTCTGTAGGCCAAAGGGCGGCTTCCTGTCAGCAACGTTTCACTACTGGCAGGTGACCGTGTGGGGTCAGAATGGCGTTCCGACGACGTCTCCGTCGAACGAGTTCTTCACGGCCTACCCGCGGTCCAACCGGCTGCTTCCCCCGTACAGCATGAACCAGACCTATGTAAGTCGAGCGTGGTTTAACTGAATCCGGTTCTGGTGTGCTGACCAACAGATGCCACACTCGAGCCTCATCTTCAAGACCTGGTTTGAGGACGAACCGAACCGCTGGAAGGCCGTATGGATTGGAAACGGCGGAGACAAGCCCTTGTACCTTCGCAAGTCCTTCGCGCTCGCCGAGAAGCCAGTTCGGGCCATCGCCTTTGCGTCGGGTCTCGGCCACTTCAACCTCTTCTGCAACGGGTTGCCGGCCTCCTCCCACGTGCTCGACCCGGGCTGGACCAACTACCACCGCACCGTCCAGTTTGTCGCCTACGACCTGTCCGGCAAACTCGCCGACGGAGAGAACGTCGTGGCTGCCCATGTCGGCAACGGCTTCTACGCCGGAGACCAAGGCGACCGATTCTTCTGGCCGACGTACGAGGACAACACATACGTGCGATATGGAAACGAGCTGTGCTTCTTCGCCGAACTACACCTCTTTTACGAGGACGGCCGGCGGGAGACAGTCATCTCGGGACCGGACTGGAAGGTTAGGGCCAGCGCGACGTCGCTCGCCAACGTCTACGCCTCGGAGACGCACGACAAGAGAGAGTACCCCGTCGGATGGGATGCTGCGTCGTTCGACGATTCGGCGTGGACTTGTGCAAAGCCTCTGACCGGCCCCAGGGGGAAGTTGGCATACCAGAGCCAGCCGCCAGTCATGCTCCACGAGACGGTGCTGCCGGTCTCGAAAAAAACCATCGCGCCGGCCATCGTCAGCTTCGACCTTGGACAAAACATGTCGACCATGGTGCATATCGAAGTGAGTGGGCCGGCGGGCGCCGAGGTCATTGTCCGCTACTCGGAGACGGTGGACGAGCACGGCGCCGTGTTGATGCCCGACCCGCTGTTCAAGGAGTTCGAGACGGGCGTCTACTCCAGAATAACTTTATCAGGCGAGGGCGTCGAGAGTTGGGCCCCCGACTTCTCCTTCACGAGCGCCCGGTACATCCAAGTCGAAGGCGTAGCGGTCGGGCCGGGCCTAGGTCTCCCCGTTATCCACTCGGTTTGGGGCCGCCACGTCTCATCGGCCGCCCGACGGCTGGGCTCCATGACGACCGACAACGAAGACGTCAATGCCCTCATCAACATGTGCCACTGGTCCATCTCCAGCAACCTCTTCAGCTACCACACCGACTGCCCGCAGATCGAGAAGTTCGCCTGGCTCGAGGTGACGCACCTCCTGGCGCCGGCAACCCAGTACATGCGCGACATGGAGAGCCTCTACTCCAAGATCCTTGCCGACATTGCCGACGCGCAGGAGCCCAATGGCCTGGTGCCCACCATGGCGCCCGAAATGCGCTACATGTGCGGGCCCCTCCACGACACCGTCACCTGGGGCGGCGCCATCGCGCTGCTGCCTGAGCTCCTCAAGCGCTACTACGGCTCGACCCACACCTTCTCCAGAATGTATGTCCCCTGCACGCGGTACCTCGACTACCTACGGACCAAGGAGCGCAGGGGCGGGCTCATCGAGCACGGGCTGGGCGACTGGGGCGTCGACATCGCCTATGGCAACCACCAGGCCAACATTGAGACGGCTATGTATTATCAATGCCTTCGCAACGTGGAGCTCATGGCCAACACGCTGGGCTACACGACCGACGCGGCCAAGTACCGCGCCTGGGCCGAGCGCATCCACCGGGTCTATAACGAGCACCTCCTCGTGCTCCCGTCCCACCCGCGCTCCAACCGGTCCTACGCCTTCTATACCTCCCTCGACCACGCCGACGGCAGGCACGACTGCACGGCCGTGGCGCAGGCCATGGCCCTACAGCTGGGCCTCGTCCCACCTCAGCACAAAGCTGACGTCCAGCACGCGTTCCTCACCGCCTGCTCCCCAGACGGTTCGTCACCCACCATTCGCGCGGGCTCCATCGGGCTCAAGCACGTGTGGAACACCTTAGCAGATCTCGACCGCGCTGATGTGGCGCTGGCGATGGCGCTGGGACCCTCCCGCCACGGCAGGGATGGGGAGGAGAATGGTCTGGCGCCGCCGCCGCACCCGTCGTACCTGCGCTTCCTCCGCCGCGGCGAGACGACGCTGTCCGAGTTCTGGCAGGACCACTGCCGCAGCAAGTGCCACGACATGTACGCGAGCGTGCTCGAGTGGTGCTATGGCGCCGTGCTGGGCGTGAGAGAGGTGACGGATGGGTACCGCGCGTGGACGGTGCGGCCGCCGCTGGGTCGCGGAGGAGAGAATTTTGGGAGGGGGGTGGAGGGCACGGTCGAGTGTCCGTATGGAAGGATTGAGGTGAGGTTTGAGAGGGAAGAAACACGAGGAAAGGCGAGGTTGAGGGTCAAGGTGCCGGTTGGGACGACCGCGACGGTGCTGCTTCCTGGGCCCGAGACGGCGGTGGAGCTGATGCGGGAGGGGTGGGACGAGGGGCGGAGGTTAAGGAGGCAGGGGCCGAGCGTTGAGCTGAATCATGGGACGTACGAGGTCGAGATCTTGTTGTAGAGTAAAGAGGAACCGTGTTGGTTGATCACCGTCTTTTGAGACTATTCAGTGGCTCGGTTGTTGGCCGTCGCTCAGCTTCCCCAGCCTCGTCCTCTCTGCCGCCGGATTCTCTCCAGATCTGTGACCCCAAGCCTCTAAGTCGTCCGGGGTAGTTCATTGAGAGCTCCATGAGAGAACTGACTGGAGATCTCATCCTTGATCATTTATTCAATCTCGCTGTGCTGTAGACGCAGGGATTTTTGTGGCAGCAGGGTTGTTGGTAACCGCTGGGGCAGCCCAGGCGGCAACAGGTGCGTCTGGCTCCGGCACGGGCCCCAGACGCGTCCAGGCTGATGATGAACTCCTGCGCCTCGGTCCCACTAACCGCACTCATCTGGCCGTACTTCTCTGTTCTTCAGGCTCAGCCCGCGCCTCGTTGCAACCTGTTAGCTACAGCAACATGTCAGTTGTCACCAGCTTACTTAGAAAGTTCGAGTCTGCCGGGCTTATTGTGAGCCAGCCGAATCAGCGCGAGCACGCTGGTCGGCATGGTTGATGAACGAGTATGGAAGGCTCGGTAGTGAAAGTCGAAAAGGGTGTGTTTTGAATATTTGCGTAGTATTGAAGTGCAATACTTTGGTCGATTACCCAGAGATGGAGCTGGAGCTTGAGGTACGGCAACAAGGCAGAAATACAGGTGCCAGCAGTTCCACCTACCTGATCGAAGAGGGCTAATGGTCAAATTGTCGGGAGAACTATGAGAAGCATGAGCTGGCCCCCCCCTCTGAATCAGGTACATTAAAAGAGCATCAGGAGCCACAGCTTGATTTGTGAGGAGTTAACAGGAAGGAAATGAAAGCTGAGGTCAGGGCACGAGGAGCGGAAGTGCACCCTAACCCGAAAATTACCTGTCATTGTCGCGGCTGTTGTGTGTGTGTGTATTGCAATGTTACCCTACACCACTTGGATATTAGTACTCACCAGTAATACACTCGAGCGCGTTAGAACTTAGCTCTCAACCTGGCACAAATTCATTCACTGACAGGATCGTTGGAATTCAACCTTTCTCTCAATTCATTTTACTTTTTTTCTTGCCGCGAGATCACTCGACGGAATATCGGGTTTGTTTTCATCAATTCTCATCAACAACTGCGAAAATCTAGTACACCCGACACCAATCTTCAAATCGGTTGCGCGCACAGGATGCCTTACGATCCGAACTGGGAATTGGAAGGCTTGGGCGGCACTGAAGCCGACTTCAGGAGCTTTTCATTTGAAGATGATGCGGACGGCATGCGGGCCGAGGAGGCGGGAGAAGAGGAGCTGAGCGATGAGGAGGAAGCAGAGGACATGGAGGTCGACTTGCCTCGGCCACCTCAGAGTCATCCTCCAGAGAAGGATCCCGATGTGACACCCAGACCTCGTTTGCCGTTCCCCGGAGCTGTTCCCACCGGGGGACTACCCCATATGGAAGTGGTCCTTCATTCGAGCCGTAGGAGAGTCGACTTCTCCGCACCGCCCGATGACCTTGCAGGCCATCTCGACGAAACAGACCTGGTCACCTCAAACATTATACCCCGACCAAGGAGTAAACGGCCGGAAGAGAAGACGGAAAAGGCCCCAGCCGCCCCTCCCCCGAAGACACACCCGCCCGTCGCGGCCCCTCCGATACCAACCGTCACACCTCAACCGAAAAAGCGCGGCCGCCCGTTTGGATGGGGACTCGACTACGGCTCATACTCAACACTGAGCGCAGGCTTTCCGCCCAGGTCATCAACGCCGCGGCCGAAACCCAAGAAGCCGGCCAGCGAGCAGAAACAGAGGCGTCGCCCTAGGCGCAAACCCGCTCCCACCGCCCGCCAGATTTACCTCAAGCTCAACCCACAGTTTTTTGCCTTCCGATGCGAGTGGGAGAACTGTCCGGCGGAGCTCCAAAATCATGAGACACTCCGCAAACACCTCCTCATCGTCCACGGCCGGCCCTCAACAAGATCCTCAACAGCAACAGTCACACCGTCACCACCCGCCGCTGCATTCTCATCACAACCAGCCCCCGCACCAATACAACCAGCCTTTTCCTGCAAATGGTCCACCTGCACCGCCGTCCTCCGCACCCACGACTCGTTCAAAGCCCACATCGAGAAATTCCACCTCCTCCCCTACCACTGGCACGCAGGCGACGGCCCTCGAAACACCACCCCTTCTTCTTCTTCCCCCTCTACCACCACCACCACCGCCACCACCTCACCCCCGCATAAACTCCCCTCATACCTCTTCAACGCCCTCGGCGAGCAGGTGACGCCCTCGGTGCACGACCAGCAGCTCGAGACGGAGGACGACCGCAAGAAGCGGCAGGCGCGCATCAACCGCGTGCTGCTGCTGCGGGACCGCAACGCGCCCGAGGAGCCGGGCTACACGGCCCGGGAGCTGGACATCATCGCGCAGGCGGTGGCCGAGAAGCGGGCGAGGCAGCGCATGCTTAGGGAGTATGCGGAGCGGGTGTGCGGTGGGGTTGAGGGGATGGAGGGGTGGAGGCCTTAGGGGGAGTGGAGTTGGGCTATGGGAACTGGGTTGCGGGTATTGGGGGATGTTGCACAGGGGGTTTGGATGTTTGTTGAGTACAGTCACTGGCTGGGGATTTCAGGCTGGTTTGATGAGAGGTCGTTGGGTTCTGGGTAATTGAGCCTTCTGAATCTACCTTAATCAGCTGGACATGGACGTGCAGCAGTCAAGGGCATACGGCAATGGAACATGGGCGTTGTTGATTGGAGTAAGCTGCCAGCTGGACTGTTGGTAGCCATATTGAGAGGTGATATAGCACATTAGGTGTTCTGCTACGGAGTCACATCTAGATGCTAGACTCAAGTTGACGCTGGAAAGTCAAAAGCACCCATATGAACATTCATGCCAACATCGTCCCTTAGACGGGTAGCCCAGCATGAGACAGGTCATGACTGACTGACGGAGACAGGTATAAAAATCCGATCTGCTTGTATAGTATCTGGAGGGGCCTCCTCGTGGTGTACTGTGTACGTATTGGTGGAGGCCATCGGCAACTCTGGCATTCCATTCCAGTTCCATGCGGTTCCTAGTTATTCCCGGCCTAGGTTGCTCAAGAACAGGAGGTGGTCAACTAGAAAGGTGTTCTACCCGCCTTCTATATCTTACAATGGCAGCGACGGAAAATTTCCGGTGTGCCCTGCTGATATGACGTCAAAATTTTGCCTTTATTGAGAAACAAAAATTTCCGTTGTTTTACGCGAAGCTAGCTTCTCAAAGGCAATCGACATCAGAGGGCCGAGTCCGGAGAGGCGAGGTGCGTTGGTTTGTCATCAAAACTCGGTCTCCATGCTGAATCCAGCCAACACGAGAAAACGTGCTACCGCGGATGAGGCGAGACAGTGTGCAATTCATGCAGATCGGGAGAATGGCCAGCTTAATGGCATGCCAATCTGGTGAACTCGTTGCGATAGGGACGGATCCAGTTCATCTTGGTTGAGCCCTGTCGCCGTAGGACATCAACCCGCGTGCATGCTTTGCGAGAAGTAGTTGTGATGCAAATAACTTTTCGTCCCTCCAGGCTGTCCGGGCTGAGATGAATTTGTATGGGCTGATGACTGCTCCGTATGGTAAACGGTGGCAGAGCAGGGCGCAAACACGGCAGTTGAAGAGGGCATTGGATATACGAATAGGCAGGATACCAAAGTAAGGTAGTACGGATTTGGGTGCTACGATCGGATGGCCGTCTGGCCATGAAGCATTCAATCCACGTATTGATGAGGAATCTCCATGGACGTGGGAAATGGAAGGTGCATGTGGAAGGTACTGTAACTCCGATGTGTCATGCTCAAACGCCAGGCCAATCCCACTCTAATTTGGCTGCTACACACACCTTTGCTTTAGGAGAGACCAGATGGCTTAGGATAGCTGTTGAACTATTGAAACCGTAGATATCTTCGAAATAGTCGTCAAAAGGCAATTTCTGGAGATTCTGAATATTAGTTTAAGATCTAGGAGCTTCTCTATTAGCTACCTTACTAAGCTTTTAAATATGTACCTCTTTTTGCTCTGAACTACTCTTTTGCTTCTATAATACGATCTGTACCCTATGATATATTATCATTATTATCATTCCTATACCGCTTGATGCAGGAGGCACCAGAGGGATGGCATGGTATGGGTGTAACTATGGCGGCATGTCCCGTGACACCCCATTGCCCCTGTAGAGGCTGCCTGTTAGCGTCTCGATCCCTGCGGCGATGCGGCCAGGCGCTCGTCGGTGCACTGTGGGCAGCTGCCATCTCCACTGGAAGACCGGCCACCAGCTCACCAATGACCAATCCTGGCACCCTGCCTCCCTGGATCAGTGCAGCCGTCCGACTCCCACCTTCATCCACAACGACAACCCATCGCCTTTTCCGAACCACCATGGTCTTCTCCCCATGATCATCTCAAAAACAACTACTCCCAGGATGCCGTCCACAAAGAATGGGAATGGAGACACCCATTTCCACCAAAAGGTGAAGGGCTGGTTCACGCGCAACTCGGCCAATCGCGACCGCGACACTACCACGCCCGGCACCCAGCAGCACCCTGGCCAAAGCGCTCCGCGCTCCGACACCAAGAGCACCTTCCGGCAGACCAAGTTTTGGACCGTCGGCCGACTGCGCAGCGCCACAACCGCCAGCGAGGGAAACCCGCTCGACAACGAGACCCTGAGCCCGACCGCCCTCGCAAACCCCTATTTCGCCCATCAGGGCCAGCCCGGCCTCCGCCACCATAACGATGGCTCTGTGCCTCCGAGCCCGCCAGACACCCCGTCCGTCCACGTGAACGCCCCCGACGGCGAAGCGCCCGAAACAGCCGCCACGGCCGCTCGCAAGGAAGAGCTCGCGAGGAAATTGAGGAGAGTGGCCAGCGCGCCAAACGCTCAAGGCCTGTTCTCCAAGGGGCGCAAGGGCGGCAGCGACAGTGATGGTGACGGGGAGCGGCCTGCCACGGCCGAGATGGGCAAGGAACCGCTGGAGGAGAGCAAGGACTCCAACACGGTGGGCTTCGCTGACAGCGGCAGCGGGGGGCCCACGGCCGGTTCCGAGGGCGGCTTGGCGCCGCCCGACTCGGACAGCCTGGGCGCCCTGCCGCCGCCCAACCAGTCGGCACTTGCCTTCCGTAGGACGTACAGCTCCAACTCGATCAAGGTCAGGAATGTCGAGGTGGGGCCGCAGAGCTTCGACAAGATCAAGTTGATTGGCAAGGGGGACGTGGGCAAGGTGTACCTGGTGAGGGAAAAGAAGAGCAGCAGGTTATATGCCATGAAGGGTCAGTTTGTGTTAGAGTTGGTCTAATGCCTTGGATGCTTGTTGACAGATTGCAGTCCTGAGCAAGAAGGAGATGATCAAGCGGAACAAGATCAAAAGGGCGCTGGCCGAGCAAGAGATTCTGGCGACGAGCAACCACCCGTTCATCGTGACGCTCTACCACTCGTTCCAGTCTGAGGACTACCTCTACCTCTGCATGGAATACTGCAGCGGCGGCGAGTTCTTCAGGGCCCTGCAGACGCGCCCAGGGAAGTGCATATCCGAGGACGACGCCCGCTTCTACGCGGCCGAGGTGACGGCGGCGCTGGAGTATTTACATCTGATGGGTTTCATTTACCGGGATTTGAAGCCAGAAAGTAAGTTACAAGGCTAACTCCCTCTACTTCGACGTTAGCTGACCCTCCAGACATCCTCCTCCACCAGTCAGGGCACATCATGCTGTCGGACTTTGACCTCTCAAAGCAGTCGGACCCTGGCGGCAAGCCGACCATGATCATTGGCAAGAACGGCACCAGCTCAAACTCGCTTCCGACCATTGACACCAAGTCGTGTATAGCCAACTTCCGGACCAATTCGTTTGTGGGCACGGAGGAGTACATCGCGCCCGAGGTGATCAAGGGCAGCGGGCACACGAGCGCCGTTGACTGGTGGACGCTGGGCATCCTCATCTACGAGATGCTGTACGGCACCACGCCGTTCAAGGGCAAGAACCGCAACGCGACGTTTGCCAACATCCTTCGCGAGGACATTCCGTTTCCCGACCACGCCGGCGCGCCCCAAATATCAAAGTCAGTCCTCACCCACTGCTTACCTATCCCCCTACCTCCCTTTCCCATACTAACATGTTGGGAAAAACATAAAGCCTCTGCAAATCCCTCATCCGCAAACTCCTCATCAAAGATGAAAACCGACGCCTCGGCGCCCGCGCGGGCGCGTCCGACATCAAATCGCACCCCTTCTTCCGCACCACGCAGTGGGCGCTAATCCGGCACATGAAGCCGCCCATCATCCCGCACCAGGGGCGAGGCATCGACACGGTCAACTTCCGCAACGTCAAGGAGAGCGAGAGCGTCGATATCAGCGGGAGCCGGCCATGGAACACCGCCGCCGCCGCCGCCGCCGGCGCAAAGGGCGTGCCGCTCGACAGCGGACTCGCGACGCCGGGGGCCGAGACGCCGGATCCGTTTGAGGAGTTCAACAGTGTTACGTTGCATCATGACGGGGAGGACTGGGGGGCGAGCAGTGATCGGGGGTAGCGGATGAGTGGGGGGCGGGGGTATATACTGGTTTTTTGACTTTGGTTTGTTTGGCTGGCATGAATCATGTGTGATGGTTGATGTTCGCTGCTCTTTTTCCTCTTTTTCTTTCATTCCGCTTGTGACCAATCATCACGCAATCCGCTCCTTTGATTAAACTTGTCCCTTCCTTGGTGCGGCTTGCACTAACGGGCATCACAGCAAGGGCAGACAGAGTACAGCGCGCGATGAGGGATGGAGGAGGCAAAAACACTGCGCGGGAATGCCGGCAGGAGATGATGGTGGTTGGCTGCCCATGTTCATATCTTCACGCTTCACTTGGACGGAGTTACAGGGGCCTTGGCGTTCTATCATCCCCCTTCTTCTTATCTCTCTTGAAGGAGGAAACGGGGAAGGGTCTCTGTTGACAGAAAAGAAGGACGACAGATGAAGAGGGGTGAGGAAGGAGGTTAAGGCGGCAAACTGAGACGTGAGCATGAGAAATATAGCCTTGGTGGATTTGATCAGGCTTTGGGGAGTGGTATCTACCTGCTCCCCTGACTCCGCATGATGGGGCGTCTTGCGGCTCTGAGTTACTGTACTTATAGTTCAGTTCAGCCTTGGTTGGTTTGTTAGCGCGGGATTTCGGCATTTAGACTTGTTCCTATCCTTTCACTATCCCCTTTCTTAGATCTTTCTTCCCTCTTCCTTTTTTCCTGATATCTCTCTTTGTCTTCGTCATTACTCTTCTCTTACTTTCTGCCTTCCTGCTGATTTTTTCTTCTTACCTACTCTCCCCGCTGTTGTGTTTTCATTTTTCTTATATTCCATTCTTCCGTTCATGTCTGAGGCATGGTAGTACCCGCCGTGGATGTGCCAGGCTCCCGAACAAACCAGACCTGGATTTGAAGGTAACGGGATAGGTCTGGATCACCAAAACTAGAAGGCCTTAGTGGGCAATTGGTGCATGTGCGCAGGTTGGGGAGGCTCAATCCGTAGGAAGCTGTTGCCGAATTGAGAGGTAGGTAAAGGTACGATCGGTGAGCGGCTATTGCCTTTTCCATAGTCTCGCTTCTTCATGTCCTCCTCCGCTGCGGGCATCGTATCAGTTCGAACTCTTGTCTCCCGCTTGTTCGTTTGTATCACCAGAGAATATTCTACGTTGCCCACGGCCCATCACGACGACGGTATTCATTCGTGTTTACATTAGCTTCACAAACATTCTTCACAACTGCTGTACAACACGACCGACCGATGGATCCGTCCGCGCAATCGCCTCCCGCTCAAGATCCAGCCGGACCACAGGCTCCCGACTGGATGTCCAACTCCGCACAGGATGCTAATGACCAAGCCCAGGCTTCCGGCTCGGCTCCTGGCCTCGCACAGCGGCTCACTGATTCGACTTACGCCCTTATCCAATCCGACATTGACCAATTCTTTTCTGACCTTGACCAACCCGCCCTTGACCAACTTTCCCCTGACGACAACCCCATTGTCCAATCGCTCATTGACAAAATCCTCGCTAAACAAGCCGCGAATCAACCAGCCCCGAACCAACTGGCCTTCAACCAGCCAGCCTTCAACCAGCCAGCCTTCAACCAGCCGGTCGCGTTTCAACCCTATGTCCTCACCTGGGCAGACTACGACCCTGTGACGGCCAAACCTCGAAGCTTTTAGCGGAAACCGATACCCACGGCCGAAGCCCTGCGGGAAGAGCTCAACCGCCCTCAGAGCCCCCCATTCAACCACGAGGGCGGCGAAGATGTCGGCGGCCCATTCCCCCGCGTTGTGGTCATGCACAGCATACCGAGGGAGGACTACGCCAAGGTACTCATGGGGGTGGGCGGAACACACCCGCAGGGTGCCGCGCAGCTGGCAGTGGAAAGGGCGTTTATCGAGGCGATGAAGTTCAAGGGCAGACGATATCGCCCGCCGGAGGGGCTCGAGTGGTTGGCGGGGAAGAGGAAGATGGTGGAATGGAATGACGTCAAAACCGCGACGGAAGGGAGTTATATTTGGGAGTATCCCGAGTTTGTCGACGCTGCTGCTGAGACACGTATTGGAGCAAAGTGGGCGCAGCAGATAGAGAGGAATAGTCTTCTCTCCAAAAATACACGACTTGCCAGGGAAGCTAAAAGACGGGAAAGCTGCTCGGGTGGTCTTTTGTCGAGTAGGGCTCTGGTTGCAGGGAGAAAGGATTGTGTTGTTTTTGCGCACGCCTGCGCCGGGCAGGGATGGAATGGGAAGGAAACTGGTATGGGAGGTGCGGAATGGGCCGATGAACCTGGAGGATGTTTTGCTCGCTGCGCTCAAAACCGGCTGGTCAGCTCTGGACGCCCGCAGCCGGGTGTCCGGAATCGTGGCCGAAGCGGTGCACCACCGGTGGCTGGAGATGTTCGATTTTTTGGACCCGTGGGTTTTACCGAAGAGCTTGAGCGAGCAAATGGCGACTTGCTACTCGCAGATGATGCGGTCGCTGGAAGCCAACTCGGAGGTGGACGATGACATACCATGGCGAGATCTTCTCGAGCGGGTTCAACGCCGTGTCGCCTTGCTCCACACGCGCCAAGCTGCGCCAGTTCATCCTGAGCTCTTCATGGGGCTTCATTCCTCGCCGCTATAAGGGTTAAGGAGTCCAAGAAAGCCACATCGCCAGAGGTCCGTCTGCGCAGACTAGCGAGCTCTCGTTCGGCTCAGCAAAAGTCCCTCGGCATTGCTAGCCAGGCTTGAAAAAGGGTCACGGCGACTAAACCAGGACTGGAAAAGAGGGATGTGTTTTTCCTGATAGCAAGTGTATCGGTTGCGTGTATTGGAAGTGATTAAGACAATGTCAGCAGCCTTCTGCAAGGCTCAACCTCGTACTGGCCGTTCTGTTTCACTATGAGTGGTATAAGGTGGCTCATCATGTACGTTTCCTGCCATTCGAAATTTCGTGTGGTGAGGCTTTTGAACGAGGTTGTGGATTGAGTTCGAAGAACGAAGTCGACATCCCAACTCCAGAGGCCAGATTCTCAATTACCATAAACTGTATGTAAGGCACAGGTACAGTACACAAATACGCGTAGCCGTTTTTGCAGGCCTGGTGTTAGTACAGTATTCACTGCGGGGCATCAGTGGCCAGGGCGGCGTCTTGACCAACCGGCGAGGCTGGCTCGGCTGGCTCACCAGGGGCCTGATGCGGCGCTAACGCTTGGCCGGATGGCCGACGTCAGCGCATCTCTCAAACGCACCTAAAACACACACACCGCTACACTTCCATTCAACAACTCAGGCTACCAACAGTAACCACATCCTTCTAAGGTATTGAGGGCACCCGCAATCTGCTCATCCCGCCCACAGCGGCTGCCGCAGCCATGGAGACGCTCAAGAGCATATTTGTGAAGCCAGACCCTCAGGCCCAAGTGCGTTCCCCTACCCACCCGCCATCCACTCGCTAACCACTCACGCTTCTGCCCGACAACAACAGTACCGCAAATGCAACGCCCTCCTCCGCAGCAACATGCGCAAGCTCGACCGCGACATTGCGCAGATCAAGGCGACCGAGATCAAGACCAAGAACCTCATCATCGCCGCCAACAAGCGGGCGCAGCGCGGCGACCCCTCGCGGCAGCGGCAGGCGCAGCGCGAGGTGCGCGAGTTTGCGCGCGAGCTGATCCGCACGCGCAAGGCCGGCCAGCGCCTCGTCACGGGTCGTGCCCAGCTTGCGAGCGTGCAGATGCAGGTTAGCGAGGCGTTTGCGCTGCGCCGCATCGAGGGCAACATCCGGGCGAGCGTGGGCGTCATGAAGGACGTCAACGCGCTGGTGCGGCTGCCCGAGTTTGCGCGCACGATGCAGGAGCTGAGCGTCGAGTTGATGAAGGCGGGTATTATCGAGGAGATGGTTGGGGATGTGCTGCCCGTGGATGGGGATCTGGTGGGCGAGGAGGAGGAGGAGGCGGAGAGTGAAGTGGATAAGGTGCTGGGCGAGATTCTGAAAGATCGGATGGAGACGGCTGGGAAGATGCCAAGTGCGCCGCTGCCGCAGCAACAACAGCAGCAGGTGCCGGCGCAACAACAGCTCGAGGAGGATGATGAAGAGGATACCGAGGCCATGATGGATCAGATGAGGAATCGGTTGGAGGCCCTGCGGAGTTAGTTGGGGTGGGTGGGGGTACCGACGTGTAATGTTGCTATGCTCAAGCGTGACGGACATCGGGAATGGCGGCGTTGGAGGCGTTTCGGGTTATTGGTTCGTCTGAGCAAACATCTTGACATACACACTTCCTTTAAAGCTTGCTGGTATACTGGGATATATTGGTCACGGCGTATCCGGGGCAGAACTGGTGCTTCTACTTTGAAGTCATCTCTGTACGGCCCGGGTCTCTTCAGTTTTTGCCCTGCATTAGTATCTACCTTCAATCTTTCTTTTCCTTGTTGTGTTTATCTCTCCTGTTCTGCTCTTTGGCTTTCTTTCCCCTGTATCTCTCATTTCCCTCTATGAGAGGAAATTGCGACCTCCATGGAGCTAGGAATTGCGCCGGAAGGAAGAGGAGGGAGGGGGGGGGTTTCATAGGCTATAAAGAAAGGAGCCGGTCTGCCGTAGCCAACGTCTACTTCTCGACGAGTACTTCTCATTTGTGGCCGATAAAGGACATGCAGGGCTCGAGGCGTATGCTTCTCACCCAATCTCAACTCTTATATTAGACTTGTGAGAGAAGAGTATTCTTCGGTTAGAGGCTTATGCCGTATGAATAGTCTCAAAAGGCTCACAAACAACGTAACCAACTGGCCCTTACTCACTCCCTATTGTTTTCAGAGGTCTACTAGCGAGCCCCAAAGCCCGAAGTCAACAAATTCCGGTCCCCCGTGTGGATCTCCCGGTATTCCCACATGCCCGGGTACAGTTGCCGCAAACAAAACCTCAGGGCCTACTCAGATATCACAACCCATCAGGCGGTAAAGCCCCAATGTGTCGTCAACCTCCTCTGCATGTACTGACTGTACATAAAAGGAAATGACCAGCATCGAGGTATCCCTAGCCCCAACAACCTGTAACATTAACCATTCAGCTGTGCTCTCACCTCTCTCATCTCACTCCTCTCTCCCCGAAAAGGAACAGAATGAGACAACGCCGGCGCGACAGAAGAAAACAAACTGTTGGTGTGCGACGGAGGACGCAGAAGCGAGGCCAAGACCCTCGAGCCTCTCACAATGGGGAGCTATCACCTCGCCCGTCATTGGTTGGGATCGGTCGGCTGTCACATCTCGTAAACGGCGTGATATTGGGTTTACCTACACCACTCTGGAATTCAGCAGAGAAAGATTACCAAACACTGCGTCCGGCGTCTATGGAAAATTGCGGATACCGGTGAATGATTTGTGCTGCAGGCGAGTGCGACGGGAGACTGGTGCCCATAGCGGGTCAAGACAAGGGGTAGAGAACGTGATTGATCTGCTTTGCGCTCCCTCCCAACGCATGCCACCCCACCTCCGGACTTATTTGGTGGTGTCGTTCGACCGTAATCAAAGTGTGTTGTGGCCTATCACTTGGCTTGTCCCATTCATGTCGGCGCGAGAATGGGAATGATGCTGAGATGGTGTTGTCCTTGAAGCTTGAAGCGTGCACTTATACGGAGGTATTGTACTACCTAACCTCCTCATATCCATCTGTCATGCAGGACTGTAATGTGATGGGATTGAGATCGTGAACGATCGATAATTGGTTCTTGGAATGTTCGTTCCCCATTTGCCTTGGGTGATAAACCTCCTATATTGGCGCACGAAAGTGTTGCAATATGGTTTGTTTGAGTATCCTCTGAGCCGGAGAAGGACAAATAGTCCGTACATGCCAACTGCACAGTTTGTTTCCTAGTTATCGCGAGGCACTGCGTGAAATACCCCAAGGTGCTCGACCCTGTATGGCCGAATGAGGGTGATGCAGTGGCCTGAACCATTCTCGCTTTCATTACTGGAGAGAGATCATGGTGTTCGTGGGCAGCGTTCCAGTGAGTCATTCGAAGTGCGCTTCAGTCCTCTCAACCATTGGTGTGCTGTTGACTGATGACGACCACTCGCGCTCGAGAACCGAGAGAGGCGATGCTGATGGGTGACAGCCGTTTCTGTGCTGCTTCCCACGTCGGAAACAGCATGGTAGCAAGAAATTTGAAACGAGTAGGCTTGATGGTATGACTATCCAGTCTTGAAGTGAAATACATGCGATTCGACAGCAGAAAGGAAGCCAGAGGAGCGTGTATAAGCGAGGCGTACTCCACTCATCTCCGCTTCCGGGGATCCGCATCTCCGAACTGGCCTCGGACGAAACGAGGCGCATTCGGGGGTGGCTGATCTTGCTGATCCAGCCTTTGGCCCTGCGAGCTGAAAAAGAGCTTGGCGAAGCGCGTCACCTCGCATGTCCGCTTGAGCACAAGACCATACCGCGACTCCAATCATGCTGCCAAAATGCCAGACGATAAGGTCATTGGCGGTTCAACGGGCTCTCGGCTGCGAGGAGGCCCGTCATGGAGAAGAAACCACGTCCATCACGGCAGCCGTTAGTGGCTTGGGATTTGGGTTTCCCAAAACGCTTACGATCCTGTTGTTCCGGATATGCAGCTCGACGATGAGTCGGCGGTTTCCGTCGTACCACCAGACCTTGAATCAGCTCTCCTTTCACAAACCAACTCCGTCTGGTGATGCCGTCAAATGAGTCCGTACGAACGCGACATGTCATGCCTAGCCTCCCACAACTAGAAGAGCAAACGGGATGCAGTGCCTTGTGACGCAAGCCAGACAGCCAATATCGCGCAATCCATCCATCACCCCCAACTCAGCGCTTCCCGAAGAAGAAAATGCTGGTGAAGAAACAGGAAAAGCATCCATGTCGCACCCCAAGCACTATCATCGCCCACCAGCGACACCGAGGAGCTGGGAGCTGGAACGGTCGCTTCTCGGCGATCTGTGAGTGGGGGCGGCGCTCTGCTGCCTCCGCTGCAGCCCAACGTCCAGCCCACGTGTTGTTCTGACCACTCAACTGTGGCTTGCACCACCTCACCCCCACGCCGACAAGTTTCAACCCAATCCGGAGTCCCCTCGGTGGACCATTTGTCGCGGGCCATATCCGTAACTCAAACCTTACTGGGATGAGGTGAGGACCTCTCTTTCCTCTGAATTTTAGGTTTTCATTCTTCTCAGGGGTTCTTTTAACGGCGGCGGTTTCGGAAACGCCCACTTCTTCATTCGCGAGCGAGACAGAGAGCAATGGGTTGACAGGGGATTTCGTTTACCGAAAACAGCAGCTTGAAGAAGAAAGGGGGGAATCTGCTCGGGGAACTCGATATGCCATCCATCTCTTCCACCCTCTCGGGTCTTCATTCACCGAGCCCATCGGAAAGGAATTTCGCCCTTTTTGCCTTTTGCAGATTGTGCACCCAGTCCCCACGTCCCGGACATTTGCGCTGCCAAGGGGTCGGGAAGCGATGACACAGCCGGGGCACCGTTCCGGTCCCACTCAAGATCCAGGAGCCCGGGCATGTTGCATGATAGGTGTGACGGGGTGTTAGATGGATAGGATGGGGCATTCCTGGGTCTCGTCTCGTCTCGTCTCATCTGATCTTCAGGGCGCCCTGCCCTGTTGTTTTCGCGGTTGCTCGGGCAGCATGCGATAGTTACCGTTCGTTGGCTTCAATGCGTGCAGCCCACGACCGGATGTACCAGTTTTCCCCTTGAGAGTAATTCAGCTGATGCGAGGTCCAACCAAATGGATCCGAGTTTGAGGTCTGATGAAGCTGGGTACTTGATTGAGAAAGAGGAAACAGGACGGCCGAAGGGGTTGAGTACGTCCGGGAAGAGCGTCAATTCACCTTCCCGCAAAACAGAGAGGTCCGTTGCAGGAACGGGTACCGGTCAAGTCCCGCGACCCTGAAGAACCCTTTCTTGCCTGCCCGGATTTCTGTGGAAGTGTGCTGTTCATCAGTATTGTTCATTCCGACGTCCTGGAGTGATGCATCGCGTGGAAACTGACAGGTCAGTGTTTGTTTGCTGTGACTTCTGGAGTAGTCGGCTGCAGACTCGATTTCGGCTGTCGAGCATCACATTCCGCGGCACCAGCTCCGCCGTGTCAGTGGAGAATCCCACCAGCTTGGAAATAAGAGCCTGGGCCCTGATGAAAGCTCAGGGGGAAAAAGAAATGGGACAAAAAGAATGCCTTGTCGTCATCTTCGCTTCATTTTGGCTGATTCCAACAGCTTGGGTTGATGTGGAGCCGGGTTACGGTCATCCTTGCTCACCGTTCCACATCGATCCAGGCGCCCAAGCTTCAGCCCGGACGAGGTGGGTCCGAGGTCCAGTCGCGTCAATTATTCCTCCCATCACGCATTGAGGCCCGTGAAAGGGCAAAAACGGGGCCCTCGTGTTTCGCTTGGGGAGAACAGCGATACTCGTATCGCACTACTCTACGATGATCAGGAATGGTAGTTATTGCGCAATTCGGCAGTCTGATAACACCCGACTCGCCAACGAGTCACCTTCTCTTCACGTCCAAGTGCTATCGCGATCTTCATCGCCGAGCCCACTGATAAGTAGCGCCTGTTGCGGCCCAGACCGCTGTGTGGACACACACCTTGACGGACAGGCCCTGGGGTAAGGAACGGAAGAGCGGAGCCCGCATTGCGCGCTAGCGGGCGGGACCCGCCTTCCGGTCCATCTGGCGCCGTCCGCCTGGGGATGCCAAGTCGGCAGGTCCGTCTCACAAAGTTACGGGTAGGCAGGGTAGTTAGCTGACTGTGATGGGGCCGGTGCACTTTTTGACTACCTTTGGAAAGCTGTCACCGACTTCTTAGAGTAGGAGATTGCGACAAGACCCAAGCTGTGAGGCTCCCCTATTTCAAGCCAGTTTCATCTGTCTGCATCCTAAGGTATGTACTAACGGCGTTTGTATCGATAGCGAATGCACCTGAGCTGTCCGCATCTCGGCCGGGAGGGAGTTTTACCCTTACCCGTCCGTAACCTCGCAGGCGGTCAAATAACCGGCAGCGAACAGATCGGGACCCGACGCCACATCGGCAAACTGCCGAGAGGCCCCCCTTTCGGCGACGGCAACGACCATGCTCACAGCCGACATGTACGGCCGACATCATGTGCATCCCACCATGGCCCTAGATATTTTTGGTTAATATGAAGCATGCGTCCTGCCTGTTCGTCCTTCATATCGTCTCCAGCAGATACAGTCAGACGCAAACGACGCTGGAGTAAGCAATCAATTACCTACTCCCCATCGACGCCCGTTGTTTGTGTTCCCCAGTCTGACTCAAGGCCGCAAATATGGGATTGCTGTAGCCAGCGATCTATTTCTGGATACCAGCGGGTAGCTAGGCAGCCCTATAATGAGACGGCAGCTGTTGTGTCGGTCGCGTAGGGCTTGCGCCCTCTGCATGCAACCACTCAACTCATACAACGTATAAGGTAGCCTCGCTTGCCCGATACGGCATCTCCCGATGGCATCGATGGCCGCCGTTTTTGAGCATCGGAACGGGAAAGCAGGCAAGAAGCCAGATGTGAGTGAGAGCTGACTAGTGGGCAGTTAGCCTTGCCGTCACGCTGCGTGCGCGCGGTTATTCAGGTATCTATCTATGGCTCGCGCGATAACGGCAAGAAGCCAGGCAGAAACAACACGAGGATAATCTGGTAAGTGCCCAACGTGAGGGGTGATGATGACGTTACATGCCACCGTCACCAGTTTCTGCAGCTTCCGCAAATTGCGGTGAGTGACTACAGATTTAAGAGATAGAGTTGGTACAGCGGGAAGACGCGGAATTAAGGACGCCTGGCATGGCAGCCCAGGTATTCTATTCCGAACCGCCCGCGGTCAAGGTCAGCACCATCAATTCATCATCAATGCGCGTTGGCAGCCAGCTATTTTGCGGTTGTCTCAATTGCTTGCTGCAAGGAGCGGGCGGTCCCGAACCTGATTGCAGCGTTGTCGGCGACTTTGTCGGGCACGTATCGCCGGTGTCGGTGCCGTCAGGTGCGAAAAAAAAACCTGAAAAGGGGGAGCAAGCAGGTTTTTCCCTGGTTTGTTGGCGCCTGCAACCAGTCATGCGTCAAGGTTGCGCTGCGACAGGTTTGCGCGTTGGTGATAAGTCAATTGTGAGCAAAGCCAATCCATCAAAGGGAGAGATACGCCGGCAAGCAGCCGACGGGAGTCAGGGGAGAGACAAGCAACAACGGCGTCTGCGAGAGCGCCTGTTCGTTTTCCGTCTCCCCCACAACCAACTGCCACCCTCAATGTCCATGTTGAGAAGGGTCGCTGAGTGGTGTCTTTTGCAGTTTGCAGGTTGCCATTTCAAGCGGTGAGGCGTAGATGCGGCAGCTTTGTATGTTGATTGCGTATCGAAATCGGTAGCAGGGAGGGGCTGTCTGTGATTTTCCGGGGAAAGCAGACCGGGAAGTTTGGGACCAGGTTGGGATCCTTGACTTCGCCAAGGCGGCGGATTGGGAGCCGGATCGAGGTTCAAACGGTCCCATCTTTTCGTTTTCCCCAGGAAACGGTTGCCTGGGCCGTTATTCCAAAACGCTGGCTCTCTCCCATGTAAACCCGGGGCGCTGGCCCAGAACGCTCAGGGTCCGATGAGGCCTTCCCCAGCTCAGCCAGCCCCGGTGAGGGATCGAATGAGTCGCCCACGTATTGGTGTCCTCGTGTCCCAGAAGTCTGGGGGCGGCGGCTCGATGGGTCGTCGCTCGTCTTGTCCTACCCAATCCCGAATTACAATCCAACTGAAGACTGACAACGTCTGGGCTGTGTCAGCCAGCGGCGAGGACAGCAAGTGTTTTCTGACTTGAGTCCTGCGATAGAAATGCAAGGAGCGGAAGGCGGTCAGACACCGCAACAATTTCCCCTACAGCAGGGTGTGCCGTGTGCACGGTGAGAGGGCGTTTGTCCAAGCGTACAGTATGCGTGGGGGCTAGCCGGTACCAATCCGCGCAAATCAACGACCGCGGACGGCACTCGCCGTTGGGCGTGCAGCTTCCAGACAGCCCTGTTGGTTGGGTGTGGGCGAATTGAGTGGGAGGTCACGATTCCATCCCGCGGGCACAACCCGACGGCCAGCAGCGTCCGGGGCCGTCAATGTACCTCCCTACCCTGGCCGAGGCAGCACCCTGATAATGAGCGCCGCATCCCGCCTCCCCCGTGTTGTCACGGTCCCCTTCCAACAACCCCTGCCTTGGTTTGCTTTTCTAGACCAACGCTACGCTTCGCCCGAGTTGCCATTTTTCGCTTTTAATCTGCCCCACGGCATCCTGCTTTCTGGGAAGCCCTACCTTGCTTTCTCACCCCCCCGTCCACCCGCGAGCCCGGAGGTATAAGACCGCTTCATCCCATCTCATCCAGCTTGGTGCGCCACATAACCGCTCGAACAACTACATCATCAGCAACATCATCAGTCCAGCACGGACATTCTCCTGCACGGATCCACAGGACCTCTACCTCCGTACCAGGCACTCTGCGTCATCTAACCCACCAACAATCGCGTCCTACATATAGCAATGTTCGGTTCATGCGGCTCGACACGCTCGTCGAGCAGCTCTCTCGACTCCTTCACATCCCGCAGCTCCTACAGCAGCATGTCCTCGCCCATGGACATCACACCGCGCGCATCGTCGCGCAGAGGGCCCGATCCCGAGTGCGCCTTTCCCTCGTGGCCGAGGCGGTCATCTCTAGGTGAGGGCGACTCGGAATATCGGGCGACATCATACATCACCGACGACGAGCTGTTCATGGATGTGTTTGAAGACGATGCGTGCAGCGTCTCGAGCCAGGGCAGCGCTTCCCCCGTGCACTCACCAGCGGCACCGGTTCTCACCGAGGCCGATTTCCTCCAGTTGCAGCGGGAGCAGCTGGCTTACCAGCGCGAGATGAGGAGGATCCTCTTGGCCGAGAAGGAGCTGCGGCGACGACAGGCCGAGCAAGAGCATCAACGGCGGCGGCCGGGTCCCAAACGGCGAACCGGTTCCGCATCCTCCAAAAAGGCCAAGAGCAAGCTCTCGGCCATGACCACCATCGCCGAAACCGACTGAGCGCCCATCGCCCTCCATCACAGTTGCGAATCGCAGTTTCATCCCGATCGGTAAGTGGCTTCTGTTCGCCGTGTACCGCTTACATGCCCGATATGGTGGCACATCTAAGCGGTGCATTATCCGAAACTACTCAAATGCGGCCAATAACAAGTTGGCTAACACACGGCAACAGACAGTCACAGCCACTATCACACTTGTTGACTCATACTTTCGAGCACTCGTCATCAACATCAATCAATGCTCGATGGTTACCCTCGTACCGAGGATAGAACTCGGAAATCCTGGCAGTGGCCACGGTTTTCTGGATCGGACATGAGCACCAGCGATGTGTTCAGTTCGGTGTCCCATCAATGTCTCGGCCCCTTCTAACCGAGGCGTTTTCTTGCAAGACATGAAAAAAACCTGGAAGCAAAATCCCGACAAGTTTTCGCTTGCCAACAAGCGCATAACATGGAATCCTCGGCGTCGGACCGCCCCGACCGAGCGCACCCGAATTTCCCCAGCTTGCCGGAAAGGATTCTAGCAACAGGCAAAAATGGTGCAGCCGAAAGACGTCCATGGCCTGTGGGGTGTCTGGTGCCTCGGGCCACTCACCCGATTCATCCGACAAACCATTTACACCCTTCACCGCCTCAGCATCGGGTTCCACTTTCGCACACCGGCCGGTATTTTGCCGAGGAGCATCCGTACTCTGAACGCTTCCACCAATGGGAGAAGAGGCGGTTCATCCTCCGTGACAAGACTTTGATCTTCTCTCTTCCTCTTTTCCCGTTCGGGCTTTTGTTTCCTCACCGACGATTCTTGTTTTCGGCCGGACCGACAATTTCTTTAACTTCTGCATCGCATTTCTAATCCTCCCTTCTCAAATCAGCGGTGAGCACACTGGTCAGCAAGGCGGACCGGCCCGCCTTTAATAATTTTCTCCGGGGTCTTTTTTTTTTTTGGTTTGGTTTTTTGTTATGGCTTTATGAGCCAACAGCCGGCGTTGGATGCATTTGAATGCAACGTGTCTTGCAATTTGTGGGACTGAGGACTTATCATTGATCGGGGGATACCAAAAAGTTTTCATTGTTCATGGGTACACTACACATGGGGTTTTCAGTACGCACTGACACACACATGGAGGGCATTGGGGGATCATGATCTGGAGTTTTATGTTTTGGTCATTGGTTTGGATACCCCTACTTTCTGTTGTACCCTGAGCGATACCCCCTTTTTGTCGTTGTTGCTTGTTGCCTTGCCGGCAGAGCTGTGTGTTTGTGTTGGGAGATGGGTTTGGCTGAGGGCTTGGTCTCCGTAATCATATTCGGTACTGCAGTAGATAGCTTCGAAGTTTGATGGTCATCATCATCATCTTGTCTGTCCACATGACTGTCGTCATTGATTTGTATGTTTGGTGACTCGCAAGAGATTTGCGGATATGTGGGCGACGAAATTGCAGTGGCTTGCCCCTGAGTCAGGTTCGGTAAGGGTTAAGATGAGATTGACGGCAGGCCATCATGATGTACATGTCCAGACGTCCTTTTGTTGTTAGTTGCTTATCTCTTCGAGGTGAACTTGGTTTGAGAAACCCCTGGCATTCGGGTAGCCCTGACAACCGCAGGACTGAGATCGTCTTACCACCGTGGTTGGGGCGTTTAGACTTAAACGCTGTAAGAACATCAAGCTTGTTGTTGACATATCGAGTCCCCTATTCTGAGACAGTGTGGTTTTAATATAGACAGCGGGCAATCCACCATTCAATAGAATGGCACATATCACCACATCGTGTCTTTCACACATTGTCCTCTTTGAACTCATCTCTTCCAGCTCGGACGACAATTCCGTTCAAGTGTAACTCTTGTATGTCCCGAGCAACAACAGCAAAAGCACAGTGAGAAGCTGCTTCAAAGGAAGATAGACGTCAGTCCAGGTTCCATTCCTGCAGCAGTCGAATGTAAGGAGCTAGGCGATCGGTTCCAACCTGATCTCCCCAGAGCCTCACAGATAATGTCAGGGCATGCCTTAGCCAGTGATCTCGTCTAATAATACAATATCACGGTTACATCCCTGAATTTTCATACATCTCTCGGTCTCATAAGAACGCCATGGCCAGCGGGATTTCAAGTTCCGCCCGTAGGCTGCATGCATTGCTTACTCACTTGAGTATCCTATATTGCTTGCGTCTCAAGTATAGCAAGGAGGTGCAGGGCATGCCTTCTTCCGCATGAGTCCGAGGCTACCACTCAGCTAAAGTCCTCATATCAGGCAACTTAGTATAGATATTCTAGGTGGTGATAAAACAGAGGCCTACGATGGCTGATTGCCCTTACCAGGCACGTAACCCTGAAGCAGTTCTCGCACAGTTTTAGCTTCTTTGTCTATAGACCTCGGCCTCCTGGAATGTCTCGTTGATATAGCCGGGCATCAATCAGGACACTTACTTTGTCTCCAAACTGAACTGTGTCAAGCAAAGACTGATGTTGTCCGAGTCTTTTGGGACAACCTTCCACCTCTGGGACCAAGATTGACAGTGTGGCACTCGAAGAAATGTCACAAGCAACAACCGCGCAACGTAAGGTAGTTTAATGTCTGAGCTACGTGGCAAACCTAGCGTCTGATGTCAGCGAAAGAGAGGCATGATATTGTGCCTTGTCGGCTCCTAAAAGGCAGTGGGGATTATTGATATCGCGTCAGGTCTGGATTGTCACGGGTAAGAATTCAGGCAGGCAGCAGCACGGGCTACTTGGCTCCTACCTTGGGGTAGGCAGGGAGTGGCAGACTCCAGAGTAGAAAGGAGGAGCTAACGTGGCCATGGCCATACGGCATGTTCACTGAAGTGTTCAGCAATCACAATACCTTCCGGCCTTGGGCTTGGGTTCTAAGGGCCGTGATGGGAGAAACCGAGCATCACTCAGGCCATTTGAGTTACAGAGTACCAGGTTGCCCCTAGTAAATCTTTGTGCTCAAGCACATGCAAGACATATCAGGAGAGTTGTGAACCTCAGCAAGTGACCCATGTTGTTGCTCGCCAGTATCCTGTGTCAAGTCTCTTTGGCGCCGGCTGGAAGTCGAAAGGCGTCAGGGCACCTCTTATTGATATCATCATTGAGCCAACAGCACTTCTTCCAGGGAGTATCTAAGATGAGGTAGGTGCTTATATCTAGGCGGGTCTTGCTTTCGAATGCCTTGAACAGCGATGAAGTTCCACGGACGAACAGAGGTTGTCCAGGGACTGCAGGCTGGGGCTGAACCATGACTGCCCGTCCAGCCGTCCAGAGACACTGGAGGGAGCAAGTGAAATCTGGCAGGTTCTCACAGAGATTGAAATGTGAGTGTCTATTTGTTGCTGAATGAAGAGTCTCTTCGTACTCCTCTGTCTCTATATAAACCTCCGACGTCTTCCGCCCTCAGGGCGAGTGTTCCATCTGATCAGGTACTGGATCGTTGACAATTCGACGTCTAAGCCAAACCGGATCTGGGATATCCAGTCGTTCCACATCAGATATACATGGCGGATCCCTCTCAGAACATTGCGATTCAACGTCGAACCCACCTCCCCCCCCCGCAAAAGTGTGATCCGAAGTTCGGCTTATGCTTAGTGCGTGACGAGAAATGTGGATTGAACTAGGCGGCGGCGCGATCACCCTGAAAACACACTTGCTTAAGTGTAAGGGATATTTTTGGGTTACAATGTTAATACACCGTAGTCTAAGATGGTTAAAGCGGAAGCCGGCCATGCTGTTTCTGGCGAGGCTTGGCCGCTGGCATGGTGTAAGGCATTGTGTAGAGGCTGAAGGATGCTCAGATGTTTGTGGCGGCATGGACGGATAACTCAGCCGCACCGATCAGCCATGCAAAGGTGAGGTAACTTGACTGAACCCACCCCAGGTGTGGGAAAGGGTTGGGCGAAAGGGGGTGATGATCTGGTTCATGCTTTCGTCTCCCCATAACTATCAACGGTATAACGATAGCGGAAGAAACCCATCACCGTCTGCGGTGTGGCGGGCTTATATTTGATGCGCGGGATTCCCTCGTTGCAATCGGAGGGGATGCTGTCAGATTTGAGCTGGCCCATGAGCGGACGAAACTGTCGTGGTTCCTGATGGTCTATCGAGAGAAATATGGCAATCAAGTGGTTAGCAATGAGATCCTGCCAGGTTAGACCGAAAGTGCCCGCCAACGCCGTGATCAATGGCATCGGCGTGATAAAATTCATTGGCGGCATGTCACCTCGCTTGGCGTTCATGTTGAGACCCTTTTTGAGTGTGTGATCCGTCGGGGCCCGGCATGCGATTGACTTCCGCGAAGAGGCACGGAGCCAATGAGCGCCATATGTCGCTTTGGTGCGAATCACACTGCCCTTTCTTCGCCCGCGTTTCGCTCGTTCCACAAAGCCGTTGTCTACTCCAGGGGTTCATACACAGTACACCGTTGACTCGAATCGGCGCCCGTTAGTCGGGTTTCAACAAGGAGTTTGTTGGCTCGGTGGATAGGAAACAGGTGTCGACGTCTCTCGGAAGGCGGCGGCGAGCTGCACATGCGAGCTTCGTCATCACGTTGCTGGGAAGCTGTTGTAGAGACCCAGAGGTGGAGACAGAGCCTGCGGTGAAGGTGTCGGCGGACAGAAATGGACGATACGGAATCGAGTGCCTAGGTAGGCGAGGATAATTAGGATCTCGATCGAGGCGTTGAGGCGTGGCGTTTCGAAGCTTGACTCGACCTGACTTGTTGCACGGCGAGTAGCCGGGGAAAATGACGGAAGCGCGGACCTATTGCCGAACTGAATGGATGATGCGTACGGAGTATCCGTAGATAGGTTCAGCTCGTTTGCAAGTGCTGCGAGGAGATGCTTCAAATGGGCAAGTTGTCTATGTGGACCTTGTCTTATGCTGCAGGTTTGCCGGCACGGCGTTGACTTGTGAGATATACACCGACAACTCCAACAGGCTGTAAGCTACCCGGGAGCTGTAGGCACAGCCAGGTGCAGCCAGGTGCTGGTGTGATGGCCATATTACATGACGTTTCGAGATCTGCGAAAGGGAGAAGCAGCTGTCATAGAGTGGGCGGGCAGGAAGCCAATGGCAGCATGTCCTCGCTGATGCTGAGGAATAGGAGTCACGGGCCAAGGTAGATGGTTGTCAGAAAGCAAATGCTGCGATATCATGCCGTGCAGGCGGTGCACCGAGATTGCGAATGTGCACCACTAACGTTACGCCCAAGGACGACGATAATTGAGATGTCCCTCCCAGTCTATTCGTACGTTTACAAATACCTCCTGGTAGCGACTCAGGCAATGGCAGCAGAGGCGGGGGAAGGGAGGTTTTTTGATGCCGCCGGCTGTGGATCCGCGAAAGGTTTGCAAGGAAACCCTGGGAGCGCGATATGCGATGGAAAGGGAGTTGCCGTCGGTCCCGCCCTTCCTTGCTTGCATGCGGAGGAGAGATGGAGCGAGAGGCCAAAGCGCCGTTCGGTCCCGCTTTACCCTCTTGCTGTTCGGGATCAGCAGATTTGAAAATTTCCCTCTCACTCCCCAAATCAATGGAACTGGATCGGTGGCGCGATTGATACAGCCTTCTCCTGTCCAAGCGTTCTTCGGCTCAAACCTTGACCACAGGCGATGAATTTGTCAGTCTCTGAAATCATTCTGCAACCGGTCCGAGTGACAACAGCCCCGGCGGTGACATCCGGGGTCCCGGAAGCGCCGCCGGAGAGGAAAACCGCACCTTGTCCGACCGTGCACGACTAAGACGCCGCTACCCAAACCTCTGTCTACAAGTTCTGATGCCCCCGGGTGATTGACGATGCCGCGGGCCTTCCAGAACGACTGAAGCAGATGGATGAGGTGACATTTGGCTTCGTTTGCCGTGGCAGGGCATATGCAATCACTCAAGTCTGACGTCGGACAGCATATACGACCATGCCAGGCACGGAGCGCGTGGGACTGGGCGCTGCCTGGTCGATTCTTCAGAGCGCTGCACAAGAGCACGGGGCACAGGGGCCACCGCAGGGCCACCGGTCCCAGCAGTCGGGTATGGGCCGCTTAAACGTGGCCGCCCGCCCTTCGTGGCAAAGCGACCTTGCAGACGAGGCCACAGCTTGAGGCCGCGCGGGGCGCCCTATTTCGCCCCAGCTGCAATCTGTGGGGAGAACGGATCGCATACATACGAAGAAGCAGGCTGTTGTGATGCATGGCCGGCTGGATGGCATGGGGACTTCTTTGACGACCCTGGAGCTTAAAGTAACCCAACCGGAAGTGTTGCTTTGGGTTTCATTGTCCGCGAGTGCAACGTGCTTGCAGCTGGCCAAAGGGATGGCACGGGGGTCTGATCTGTCAGCTCAACTCTCAAGAACGACAGTTTTTGCTTGTTGCATGCTGGTATGCACAAACCACAGGCAGCCCATCCGAAACAGCGTCAAGGGCGAATCAAGTTTTGCAGCTGCAGAACCGTTGACCATTGCCCAGGGACTGGAGACTACCAGGGAGAAGATATGGAGGCACGTGTTTCTGATATGATTGGGAAGCCGTGATGCGCATGAACAAAATCCCAAACCCATCTGATTTGAACCGTGGATGACGGCATCCCAGTGGGCAGGGCGTGACTTGAGGGTGTCTCGACGTATGGGCTCTGCATGCATGTTAATGAATCTGCAATTCTCAGATAGAGTGTGGACCTGCAGGATGGGTTGTAGTACGTACACTGCACCGTGATGAATTCGACCAAAAAGTTGGGGGTTTCAGAAGCGCAAGAAAAGCTGGTCGTACCTATGCAAGCAGCATCATCCTACCTTTATCATTCAGGCTTCACCGCTTAACTGTAATGATACGAATCCGAAGAGACAGTCTGCTTTGTATCTCCGGGAACTTTAAGTTTGACTTGAAAGCGTGAAGGCGGAACGAGCCGGAGATGATCAGCAGGGTTACAAGCGCTCAACATCCTGCTACCTTTATCACACCTACACATGTTGTAATTATTGTACAAGCGAGTCTGTGTGCAATAGATTTGGCTCTGTTATCTCCGACTTCGACGGCGAACCTCAAACTCACTTCTCTACACAATGTCCTTGAAGGCCAGTTTCTGCATTTCGAATGGATTCAGGGGCAAAAACTGCCACGTTCTCTGGCTTTCTTATTTGTTTTAAAGATTGACGAAGACTCGAGGCGAAAACAATGGGACAATACCGCAGGTGGTATCGAGAGATCGAAGGCGGGATAACGATAGGATCCCTGCGCCCATCGTGATGGCAGCCGTGATTGGCTGCAGGCCAGGGATCTACGAGCCAATCGCCAGACAAGGCGCTTAAGAACCCTGCCGAGGGGTGTAGGCTCTCCACTTCTAGCTGCCGCCAAAGCTCATCCATTCCCCACCCCACAGCCAACCAGATCGTGAATCTTGCAAGTCGCAAAATCCTAACACAACCATGAGCCATGATTCCAGATGGCGAGACGAACCCGATGTCACTCGCCGTGCTTTCATTCAATCCGAGATCGGCCGAGAGAATTCTTGTGATAGAGCGGCAATGGCAAGCGAGAACGAAATCAAGTGAGAGGAAAAGAAAAAGAAAAAGGCTGTTGGTCTCCGATGATTAACGGCACAGCTGCTGCGGGGCAAAGCTCCGCCTGTAGATCGTTGCAACGTCACCGGCAAGGTACGGGAGTACCGCTGGATATCAATCAGGCACGGCGAGGTACAGACGGTGCAAAAAGGCACAATTGGATGGCCATGCCCACTGCCCAATTCGCAGTGCCTGTCGCGCATTAACACAGCGCCCAGTCTGGCACATTGCCAAATGAAGCCCACGCGGTCCGTGGATCACGGCACACCCGGCCTCTCAACCCCGAGGCGGCCCAACCCAAGAAGACCTTTTCTCCTCATCTTGTCAGTTGATTGACGAGAAACGGACAAAAGAGTCTTCATCTGGAGAAGTGATCATGGGGGCCCCTCAGGAGCAGCATCTAAGATCTCCTCAGACGCTTCTCACACGCCAGGTCACGACCAAACCAGCGCGGCGACCTAATTATGGCAAATATTGATGAATGTAATCCGTACCATGTACGTTCGGCTGCTGCAGACCAACCACGGTTGATGCGGCCCGCTGCAAAAGCAGAGCTCAAGTCCAGGCTACTGCGCTTCCCACCAGTGACAGACCCAAACCGAAGTCACCCTCTGCTGTTGCAGACCAGGGTACGCTCCAGCCCAGGCGCAAGCCGCATTCCTACTCGACAAAGCACCCTGGTTCCTCACCCGCAGTTAGTTCCCCCCTAGTCAATGCGCATTCTGCCATCTCACCACAGAAACCCCCCTTGGCCCTGGCCGGCCCGCATCTGCTCCCAGATTCGCGCAATGGGGTTGCAAGCGAAAGAGGAGGCACGAAGAATTCGAACAGAGCAAAGGAGGGACCGGCCTTCCCCTTATACGTGCTCCGGGGTCTGCCCAGTGGCAGGTCAAGTCCATGCCCTTAAGCGCCTACCATGGCTGGGCTGGTCTTATTTTCCGGCACACCCTTGTGGCAGCAGAGTGTGTCTCCTTTGGATTCCCATTTTTCTCCTCTTTTTTTTGCGGTTCTGCTCTTTTGTTGATGCACGACGTGGATGCGCCAAAGCGGTAAAGAGAACGAGCCATCAGCGCCGGTAACAGAAAGTCGGGAGTTGCAAGTCTCGGACTTACACCACGCCCTGGCCCGGGACGGCACCTACGTCCCCGCCCGTTTGCCGCTGAGGTTGAAGCCTCTCCTACACTCCTTACAATACACGCCTCGAAGATACCGTCATTTGCCGCACGACAAGCGCCGGACGACTTACAACACCCTTGGAGGCCTTTGCATTAATGAGGCGAGGCCAGTAGACTTATCCTTGCCGCCCCCATACAGGCCTACCTGCCCACCCCTCCTTTCCTGCGTCTATCTGAGCGGACATTTTTGGTTCTCTCCACGCTCCCGCGAGTCCCGCCCAAAAGAAACATTCCCGGTGCAAGCTGTGGTTGACCCAATACCCTCCCAACCCTCGTCTGAGCTCGTCTCTTCATCCCGTCCTTCCCCCCACCGCACCACTGCCAGCAGACTACACCCTCCCGTTGGGGTCTTCGTCGGCGAAGTCACTCTCCGCCGTCTACCGCATCGACGTTTCCGAGACACGACGGCACGATTATTGCTCACACTTGCAACGGCTTGCCGACACATGCTGTGGGATACTCTGGAAGCCCGGCATTGGTAGGTGCACCGAACGTGGAGGAACCTGCCGGCCACGGGAGCTGACAGCGGGAGACACTGTTGTTCCATGTCATGGTTGGGGGTTGGACTGTGTAGCCTCGCCGCTTGTCCTGGTTCGCCGCTGCACGTTCCGGTTGGGTGTAATTCACCTCCCCATCGGTACGTTTTTGCGTTTTTCAACCCCTTGTGCTCGTCGACCTCTGAATGCTCTCGGCTGCCTGGCTGCCGAACGATGGCCGGGGACTCTGGGCTCGAATGCTGCCGGCTACCATCGCTTGCCAAAACCCGCACTGATGCCCTGCAAATGCAAGCAGCCGGCTGATCTACAAGCAGGTGGCTTCCACAAGCCCGTGAATCTTGAACAAGTCGGAACATATCTAGCGCCCCGTTGCCCGCCATGTCCGCCGCCGGTCCTCATAACTCGCGGAGCCGTGCTGGGTCGAGCACTGCCGCCCATGAAAAGCAGCGCCTCGCCCACATGCACGGCTACGCCATGGCGACGCCCAGCACAAGCAACGTCACCCGCTATTTCGAGCCATGTGCGGCAACGGCGTCCATGTTTCTGTACGCCCAAGGGACCTCAGTCGTCTGCTGCAACTACGACACTCTGGCGATAGAAAGACGGTTCGCACGGCATTCGGAGGAGGTACAGCTACTGGCCGTCGACAACCACAGCGACATTGGGGCGGGGAGATTGGTGGTTAGCTACGATGCAGGGCAGACGGCCATTGTGTGGGATCTCTTGACGGGAGACGAGGTTGCCCGGTTCGCCTCGTATGAGAATCTCACATGCGCTGCCTGGATGCGCAATGGCAATGTCGCCTTTGGTGAGTTGTGACAACGGTCACGGCTTTGCTGCCGTGGAGCTTAGCTGACGAGAGCGCAGGCAACATCCAAGGCAATGTGATCCTCTTCGAGCCCACAACATCAGAGCACCTCTCCGCGAGGACGATCGACCAGATTGCCATCACGGCCATTTCACCTGCAGCCGACTGCAGGACATTTGCAATTGGGTATGCCTAGCTCACTTCCCCGACTTGGCCTCCACGTTAACGTACTCCCATTTTAGCTACCAGAATGGCTCGCTCCTGATAGCGACACTTCAGCCAAGGTTTACAATCCTGCATAATCTCACCACTTCGAGAGGACCGTCTCCGATTGTGACGCTGTCGTGGCATGCATCGTCTCATCGGTCAAAGTCCGACATGTTGGCAGTACAGACGAACGACGGTGACCTTCGAGTTTGGAGCGTAGCCAAGGCGTACAGCACTGATGACCCGGCCAAGATTGTGCGCATCTTGAAGAGAACGGAGAACTATCTGACTGGGCCTAATTGGATGGGTTGGTCCAAGAACGGCCGGATCATCCAATATTCAGAATCGTGAGTCTCTGTGGGTTTCGCAAATGAATGCTTGCAGCAGCACTAAGCATCATAACAGTGAGACGATATCGTGGGATGTGCGGACAAAACATGTCACCTATGACACGATCCCGACTCTGGAGACCATCCGCGGGCTCGCGGTCTATGGCCCAGCGGCCACACTCTTCACGCTCGGAGCTAACAACACCGTTCAGCAATTCGACCTCAACGCACCAGCCATGATGGTTGCTAACGTACAGCACCCTGCAAACCTGCTCCCCCCATCGCCCCCTATTTCGCTAGAGGCAGAAGATAGTAAGAACCAACCTGCCAATGTCCCCGAGTCAGAATCCCAGGTCCAGATCACGTTCCGGCCAAGCGAACTGTCCGAGCCGGAAGAAGACAGGAGGTCACCATTGGCCCGATATCTCCAGACGCAGTCGGACACCTCAGACACCGAACCGTATCGGCCCGGCACCCCTGGTTCGCAGATCAGCCGGTCGAGCGTGTCAATATCGTCGTCCACGTCGCAAACAGCAGCTCGCCGGTATCCGGAATCCATTGTCTCGCGGGGCATGACCGAAAACACGTACATTTCAGCCGGCTCCTCGCTTAGGTCTAGCCATGCTCACCTCCGGGAAAGGCGGGGGGAGAGGGAATCGCTGTCGACCACAAGCTCGATCTCGATGGGAAGCTCTCACTATCGCTCGGCTCACAAGCCATCGAGGTTACGCCACGAGGTGCCTCGCAGCCCGGAAGACTCGAGAGTCGTTGATCTCTTCAAGTTCACCAAGAGCCGTCTCGCGGACGTGCCATACAAAGCTCCGTATTCCACTGACCATAGCCGCCTGACCAACGACGATCTGCGGCGACAGATGTTGAGCACTATTTTTGGGTGGCACAAGGATATTGAAGATCTGGTCCGGGACGAGATGTCTCGCCATCCCTTGGGCTCGACCAACCGCATCTTGTTGGCGAAGTGGCTCGGCGATATCAGCACCGACATCATGGCCATGGGATCCGAGAACATGACCTCCTCAGATTGGATGCTTTTGGCACTGAGCGGTATTGGCGGGCAGGCATCTCAGAACAAGCTGGGCCGTGCTTATGTGCAGCGTCTCTTGGAGGGCGGAGATGTTCACGCTGCCGCGACGATCATGGTTGGCATGGGCGACCACAATGATGCGGTCGAGATTTACATTTCGCACAAGAGGTACATGGAGGCGCTGATCCTCACCTGTCTCTTCTTCCCCTCGGCCTGGGAGCGGCAGGAGCAGATTGTCAGGAAATGGGGTGAGTGGGCGGTGCAACATGGTCAACAGCAGCTCGCCATCCGTTGCTTTGCGTGTACAGGCCGGGAGTCGACGGAACCGTGGACCTCGCCGTCCGCGGCGCAGCTCAATTTCCCGAGCATCACGCAGACTGTTCCCGAGTTGGCCAGCCCCCCGCTTTCGCCTCCGGTGATGAACCACGGCCCGCAGCGGAGTGTCGCCAAGAATTCGGCGCTGAAGCTTATCACTTCTTTTGGCGACGGGCAAGCCAAGAACAGGCTGTTGGCGAATGTGGACGACGGCAAGACGCCAATCGCCGCTGCGGGAACTCCCATTCTGCGGTCGGCGCTCTCGCCCGGCGGCGATGATCCGGCTACAGCGGTCCTAGTAGGGAATCGCAGTCAATTCAACACGCCAGCATCTGCTCGCCCGGTGCAGGGCTTCGGCCGTCAGCGGCTCCCCTCAATTGGCGAAGCCCCTGATTCCGGCTCCCGGGAACTCCTCACGGCGGTAACGAGACCGGGCGGAGACCCTTACGCCAACGCATTCCAGTCGATGGATGTTAGGGACACCGCCGTCAGGAACCTTGAGCTGACGAGACCGAACACGGCGAGCCCGAGGTTGGTGAAGGAAACCGTCAAAGGGCATCCTCCCCCCTCTCCGTCCCCGGCGGCGGTCGCTGCCTTCATGGAGGGCAGAAATTCCAGGAGGAACGGCTCTCGTAGCCGGATTCCCGAAGGCCTCGATCTGTCACTGCCCACATTCAAGGACTCACTGCCAGACGATCTCACGTCGCCAGAGCCATCGGCACACTCGTCGGTCCGGTACCACTGGCCGTCTAGGCGAAGAGGCCCTGGCTCGGTCGCCAGCTCCGTGACATCGGCGGCATCGAGCGTTGCCAGAAGTCAGCGCGGTCATCACCATAGTCAAGGTAAGAGCTTGGATGACTACATTCACAGCTTGGATACAGCGCAGAGCAGGCAACAAACTCGCGGGAGCAGCCGTGACGGCCGCCACGGGCGCGATCGCAGTCAATCACGCCAGGACAACCGCGAGAAGTCGCGGGATCGCGGGCGGGCTGCCTCGCGCAGTTTCACCCCCAAAGGCGGGAAACGGTCTCCCAAGTCGCCGGTGCCGATGTCGCCAGAGGATCTGATCAACTTGTCGACGCCGAATCCGGACGTCGACCAGCTACACTCTCGGTCGGGTATCAGGGGGCGGCTAATTGATCCGTCCCATGAGCTGGAGCCGTCAAGCCAGCCGAGCACGGCGAGAAAGGTAGGCTACGCGAACCGAGACAGTTCCCGCGTGAGAGGGTCGAGCCGTACCGGCAGTCAAAATGGCCGAGGCTCGCGTCGCGCGCGGAGTCCCGACAAACGCCATGTCCCGCCGGCACTGGACCTCCGCGGGCGCTCGACATCGCGTGGGCCGCCGTCGAACCGATCACCGTCGTCGCCGCAACCCATGTCGGCAAATCTCCAGCAGCATCACTACTTGTCCGATGACGAGGAAGACTACAGGCAAGCTGTCGAAGCCCAGGAGAGGTTTCGGAAGAGGAACAATCGGAGCGCAAGCAGGGCTAGTCGCGGAGACGGCCCTACTTCTCCGGTGTCCGTTCGATCAACCGCCTGGTCAACTCGCGAGACAACCAGGGAGAAGTCGGATATCCGGCGAACTACATCGCACGCCGGGTCAGAGGGCTCATCTCGCCGCCGTAAGATCGGCGCCCCGCTGCAGACTCCGGCGCCGATGCAGCTTATTACAGATGTGTCTGGGGACTTGAAGGTCATCAAGGATGAGAGACAGCTGAAGAAGGAGGCAGCCGCGCGGGAGCTGGAGGAGCGGCGGAAATCGCTTGCCAGGAGGCCCTCGGCACCTCCCATCATGCATCCGGATCAGATCACGCCTGCGCCGCACAGCGGGACGCCGCCCTCGCTCATGGCGCTTCCGAGCACGACCTATGTGCCGCCCAAGAAGGAAGATCTGCCGTCTCGCAGCGCGAGCGTGGACCCGTCCGCGGGGAGGAGCATGTATGCGAACCGCAATGGCCCTGTGATTGGGCTGCCGGCGACGCCCCGGGCGATGCGGCTGGTTATGGAGTCCGGGTCCGGTGGGCATAACGTGCCCATGCCGCCGATCCCAGCCACGTTTGTGCAGGCATCGCCTGCCATGCCGGCACAGTCGCAACGCCAGTCACCGAGTAGGCAGTCGCCGAAGCGGGTCGACAGTGAAACAAAGGAGCGGCATATCGACGATATTCCCATGCTTCTTCCATCGACCGTCTACACGCCCCCACCCCCCGCCAATTCAAGGCTGGCCGCTCAGATTGGGAGATCCATGTCGGCTCCTCCCGTGGATTTGGTGCAGCCACACAACCACTCCAGGAGACCCTCTGCTGTCAACTCGATATCCTTCCAGGGCCGAAGGCCGTCTCACGATGCGAACGCTTTCCCCAGCCGGAGACCATCCCATGACACAGGCATCCCGCCGCCACCTCCGCCGCCAGTACCCCCGATGCTCAAGGAGCTGCAACACCTCGCGCAACCCCCGCCTCCGCCGCCCGCGCCACTGCCACACCTCGGAAACGGCCCCAAGCCGGTCGTCTACGGCGGCAGCTCGGGCATGATCGAGATTGTCATGGACGATGACCAGCAGCAGCAGCAACAGCAATCACAGCCGTACCAACAATCGCAACAGCCCCCTCCCCCGCCGCCTCCCATCCCCGCCGCCATCCCCGTTAGCGAGGCCACCGTGCCCATCATCTCGGCGCCCAACCCACCGCCGCGCCACGGCAGCGTCAACCACAACCGCGGGCGAAGCAGCGTCGACAACAGCATCGGGGCGCGCATCTCGCGTGCGACGGAGCGCATGCGCTCGGCCAGCCGCAACCGGTCGCAGCAGCAGCAGCAGCAGCAGCAACAGCAACAGCATCAGAACAATAGCAGCAGCAACAGCAACGAGATGCAGTACGTGCCGGCGCCGTACGAGAGCGTGCCCCCGCCGATGCCGATGCCGCCGCAGCACCACATGAGCTCAATGAGCTACCGGCTGCAGAACCAGATGGTGCTGCAGCAGGTGCAGGCTCAGGTTGCGCAGCAGGAGGGGAGGAATGAGTTCCGCACGGGGTTGCATCGGAGTGAGATGATTTAGATCTAGATGGGAGGTGATGGGAGGTGTACTGCGCTATGAAAGTAGGAAGGGAAAGGGGGGTGTTCGAATTCGATTCGCCATGCTGAAGGCACTCAGCATTCATAACCATTTGGACTTTGGGGACCTGTCAGAGGAAGCGCGGGGTTTTGAGGTTGGGGGAGGAAAGTTGAGATATATGAGATACCTACTCACTGGTTCGAAAAACATGGTGTGGTGGCGGAGGGAGCCTAATCGGTTGAGATGAGAAATTGGAGTGATGAAGGTGGAAGGGGGAAGGGGGAAGGGGAGCAAGGCATTGATTGGTAGTTCCCTTGCTGCCTCTCTTCCTGCAAGTTGCAGTTTGCGGGTTTGCATTTGAATGTTTGGGTTTCTTGGTACTGCTTTACAAGTCTTGCTTTTCCGATGCTTTGGGATACCTCGTTTTCCTCTGAATTTCTTCATGACCTGACGACATGGCTGCTGAAGTGGTGGATGGATGGATTAGGGAGGGTAGGTGTGCAAGGATGAGGCAGATTGGATCTCGTACTTAAGCCTGTACATGCGGATGGTGGATGAGAGAACAGGCAAGAAACGCTGGCTGATGGACGGGTGAGAAGGTACATTGTTGCCTCGCGGCATCGTGGTGGAATGGTGTTCCGTTTCGGGGGAGCGAGATTTGTGAGACGATGGGACTTGTAATGTATGGCATATAACAGACTTGATTGATGTGCATTTATTCTGACTTTTTCTGTTTCAAAGCTAATTGATGGATTATGTCTCTTCCCATGGCTCTCGGGGGGGTGTGGTCCTGCTGGGTCAACTCCACGGGTGTTCAAGCGACCAACGAGCAAGTTGTGTTTCCGGGACCATTCCACAATCGCAAACATAAAGGAAACACATTTTGAGACTGAACAGAACCGACCTGGTGGATCTTGAGTAGTACGAGACAAATAAAAAAAATGACAAAAGTTGGAGTCGACATCTCCATCCCGCCGCTCTGCCCCAAGCTCCCAGCGATCGTTATCCAGCGCGCCATCTGACGGTGAAGATGTCTCTGCAGAGTGAAACCTCCCTCAAGTGTCATCTTCATTGCTTAGGGCCACGCGCAGCATCGCAGGTTACCCATGCGAGTGGGTGGCCACCGCGAGATTCGCGCTGGGCGCCGCTGGGGGGTTCTTATGGGAATGGAGTCGAGACTGCGAGAAAATCGAGTGCCTCCTAAACCAAACTAACCATTACAGTTAAAATTTGAGAAATTAGACCTAATACATATAGTGCGGTGGGTTTGCACTCACTTCTTCGTGGAGAGTATACAGGGTTAGGGTTTGTTTCGCATGGTTGGGCGAATCGATAACGAAACCTTATCTCATCTCACTTCACTCTATGATCTCCGTTCCTTTTCAACCATCAGCTCTGCCGGCGCAGCGCTTGCATGGAGTCGAGGACGGCAGGCTTTTCATGAGGAGAAAATGCATTAGGACAACCCACCGCGGGGACGCAACGCCCAAACTGCGACTAACAGTCTGACGCTCACTAGCACATTCCAACAAACCTAAATCGCGACTGACGACGGATCCTTCACTAAAACCGGGAGACCTCCACCATGCTCACCACCGCCCCCCGCCTCTACATCCGCCGCCCGTCCCCAACAACAGCAGAGTTCACAGTCACCACCTGCCCGCCACTGACCCTCCCGCTCCGCCTGATTCTCCTGACGCTGCACCTCCTCCGCCTCGTCCTCGTCGCAGCAGCGATCCTCACCCTCTACTCCCGCTTCCTCCTCTTGCCCACCACCACCACCACGACGACCAAGCAACTTCTCCCGCTGCTCCTCGCAGGCGACATCCTCACATTCCTGACAACCCTCCTGCAGACAGCCCACTTCTCCCCACCGGGCCTCTTCCTCACCCGTCTCGTTGCGCCCATCCCGGACTGGGCCCTCGCCCTGCTCTCGCTCGGCGCGATTTATGCGGCCGTCTGCTTCCAGCTGCACAAGACCGAGTCGGTTCTGGTATTGCGCGGCTTGGGAATTCAGACGTGTTCGTCTACTTCTTGTTGTGCTGCAGCCGTCCTGGGATCGGGCTGGGGTGGTGTGGGGCCAGCGAGAGGCGGAGGGCCTTCAAAATGGGGGTGGGGCACTCGGACGCGGTTTATTCCCACTGAGAAGATACGCGATGTGTTGATTAATGAGGCCTTTCGTGGGTTTGAGGTGCGGTATTATCTCATTGTTGTCGTGGAGGGGGAAGAGGAACTCGTCGTGTTGTTTCCTGGGTTGCTGCCGAGGAGGAAGATTGTGGAGGCGGTTTGGAGAGGGATTAGGGGGTGTTTGTTTGAGGGGGAGGGGGGTGAGAAGGGTGATGAGTAGCTAGTATATTTGTATGGCAGGATGGAATGGATTGGAACGGGGCTGGTTTATTTATCTGTCTGCGCTGCTGTCTAGTGCGCCGGCGCTCTTGTTTGCCTTGATGACGCTCCGCCAGTTTTTCGTTTTGGCCAGCTCCTCGGCGCTGGCAAATCCCTTGCTCTTCGCCCACTTGTCGTTGGCCTCTTCCGGCGTCGCCAGTAGCTGTTTTTTGAGCACAGGGAGATAGGTGCCCGACGCCTTGGCCGTGTTGCCACCCTCAAACACCCGCTGGCTGCTGCTCGGCTTCTCGGGCGAACCCGACTCGGCTAGCCTCCGACTGAGGTCTGCCTTGCGCGCCACCGAATCCAGCAGCTGGTTCGCCAGAAGTTCGTCCATCTTGCGCTCGCGCCAGCACTCCCACAGCTGGTCCACCATCCCGCTGGGCCCGTGCAGGTGCGATGGCTTGTCCTCGCCCAGCCAGACCCAGTCGATGCCGTCCTGCATGTTGGCATTGCCCTCGACGTCCGGGTTGTGCACCTCGACCGCCGCCTTCTTGGACATGGCCTCGTCAACCTTGGGGAAAATGCAGTCCCACAGCACGAGCGGTACCTCGTCGGCCATGGTGTAGTTTGGCTTCCGCGGGTGCCTGTCCACGTCGAGCAGCTCTGTGACGATCGACGGCTTCTCCAGCCCCTGGCCGATCATGAACAGGATGGCGACCATGTGTCGGATCTGATGCCACAGAAACGCCGAGCCGCGGACGTGGAAGTAGTATACCTTGGGGTACGTGCCCTCACCTCTCAATCCTTCGGGTCTGAAGTCGGACTGGCTCAGGTAGGGCAGCGCCGAGCCGGTATCCTCAACCTCGACAATATCCGCCTCAAACACCCTTCGCTGAAAGTTAGTGATCTGCTTCGCCCCGTCAACCTTGCAATAGTTCCGAAAGTCGTGCACCCCCTCGAACAATTTGGCCGCCTCCCGCATGGCGTCAATGTCCAGCCACCCTTCCTTGGCCTCTCTTTTCTCGTCCGGATCCATCGTGGCAGGCAGCGGCGTAAAGGCGGGCTGCGTGAAGAAATACCGGTACTGCCTCTCCCAGCACGAGAAGCGCGCCGAGAAGTTCTCGGGCAGCGTCGGCGCCCACGCCAGCACCCTGATATCCGGCGGCAGCAGCCGGTTCAGCACGCGCGGGTAATTGATCTCGTCGGCAACCGGATCCCACACTGGTTTCCGATCTCCATCCCTCTCCCCCTCGCCCTCGCCCTCACCCTCCCTCATCTCGACATCTGCCGCCTCCTCCCCCGTTTTACCAACATCCTCTCTCCTTTCCCCAACAGGCCGATTACTCCGCACCTGGATCCCAATGACCTGGCCGAACGCGCTGACGCCGCGGTCCGTGCGGCCGCACTTGGAGTAGTCCCAGGGCGCAAAGTCGACCTTGTCGGGGTCGTCGGGCCAGATCAGGCAGCTCTTGACGAGCGCCCGCCACAGCGCCTCCTCGACCGTCGGCACAGCCACGCCGGCCTGGTACTCGAAGCCGCCGTAACGCTTGCCAAGGTAGGCTAGCTTGAGCGCCACGAGCCGGGTCGAGTACTTGGACGGGTCGAGCTTCGACGACGACTTCTTTTTTTTCTTTTCCTTCTTTTCTGTCCCGGCTGGCGCTGTTCTTGTTGTTGCTGTACCTGGTTGTGATGGCGCAGGGGTTGTGGTCGGGGATGACGGTTTGGTCTTGGCTTGTTTGTGTTGCGGTTTTGACCCGTCTGTGGGGGGGTGTTGTCTCTGCAGTTGCTGTTCTAGTTCCCTGACGCGCTCGACTAGCTGGTCCTTGGTCCAGTTTTGGTAGTTGGAGTCGGCCATGTTGAGTGAGAATGAGGATGAACTGAAGGGGCGACCGTGCTGGTGAGAAAAAAAAGGGCCGAGTGATGAACACAACAGCAGCACGCTAGCTTTGGCTCTATGCCCTTGCGCCTGGGCGAGTGTCCTCTGAGCGACACGGCTGGTAGCGTTCATGTGGCCATTAAATGTCAGTTCTGGCCCTTCACTCAAGTCACCTCATCAAGTCGTCTCAGATTGGTTTGTTCAGAACAAATGTCGATTTCAGTGCTAAAGGACCCGCTTGGCATTGCCGATAAGACATGTGGGATACCGATAAGCACCGGGAACTTCATATGTAAGTGAAAGGAGCCCGCCTCGCGGTTCTGTTTGCCCTTTCGTACGCCTGTTGGTTCATCGTCAGATATGGAAGAACATACAATTACAATTCTGCTGGTAGGGGATGAGAAATGCGGGAAGTCTACTTTTCTATCGTCAGTATCCTGCAGGGAGTCCAAGATACAACCCTCAGAAGGCCTAGTAATAGCTAACTCCCCACAGAAGAATAAGCCAGGGCCGCCAGAACCTCCACGGCAAGACTCCCATTGCCCTCCTCAGAGACCTGGACCAGCCCTTTGTTTTTGAGATTCGCTCGCGAATAGGCCAGTACCGCTTCGAGTTTTACGACACCTCCAGCCCTGAAAACTGGCGACTACTCCGGCCAGACCTGGTCATCATCTGCTACGACATCAGCCAGCGGTTGGGCCTGATCAACCTCCAGCGTGTGGTAGGTCCCCGAAATCAATTCCCCCTTTCGAAGCGACCATGTTTCTGATGCCGCTCCCAGTGGATCAAAGAAGTCCGGAGGGCGTTCCCAGCAAGCGACGTCCTTCCGGTCCTGGTGTTGGGTCTCAAGCGGGACTTGCGGTCAGAGAGTGACCCCAACGGCATCATCTATCCGCAAGAGGCATACCAAGTGGCGCAGGAAATGCGTGTCGACAGATACATGGAGTGCTCAGCCATGACGGGCGAGCTGATGGCCCAGGTATTTGACGACATCTGCAACACCGCGCTCAAGACTACCACGCCTGATGGGGGCCAGAGCGTGGGAGGGTGCGTGGTTATGTAAACGGGATTCGCGTCGAAATACCGGTAGAAGGGTCGCTCAATACCCGTTCTCAACTGACGGCACCGCGTCGGTATCCATTTCTTCTCCCTCGGCATCCATCTCGTCCCCATCGGCCGGCTCCGGGCGGCCCAGCACCTCGCCGATGATGTCGACAATCTTGTTCTGCTCCTCGTCGCCGAACCGTTCCTCCATGTCCTCAATGGCTGTGCTCAACAGTGCACTAGACAACGGGCGCAGGTTGAGAATCGAAAGAATTTCGCCCTTGGTCAGCTCGCTCGAGAGATTGGCCTCGCGCAGCTTCTCGAGCAACTGAGAGATGGCGGTCGGGCTGTAGGCTTGGGTTTCATCTTGCTTCTCCAACGGACTGGGTTTTTCCTTCAAGTAGGTGACCACCTGATCTTGCCAGTTAGCCAGCGCCGGGGAATTTCAATACAATGGCAGGGCGTGAAGACCAACCTCGGTCATGATCTGGTGCGCATTTCCAGGCACGCGTCGATTTTGTTCTTTGTTTCGCTTCCTCTGGTCGATGATGTGCTGGTAGACCTCGTAATTGGAGAGAAGCGCATTTTGCGCCTCGAGGATTTTCATCTTGTCTTTGCCGGTGCCTTATCTGCGACACTTGCGACGGGTCCCCCGCTGAGAGTTGGGTCGCAGGGGTATTGTCTCGAGTCGGCAAACGTTTGCCAGCAACTTGAAAAGCAGATCGATTGCGAAATGCACAGCTGATGTACGTGCCTGGCGCGCTTCAATCTGTCATCAACGAGTCCCTCATCAAGGGCGCGACACGGGCTGCACTGGCGCTGTGAAAGGAGATATTGTGGACAAAGTCTAGAAACCAGAAGACTGAGTACACTGTATCACGGGTCGCGGTTCCGGAAGCTTGAGAAGCTGCCCCTCCAACGTCTCCACCCCACATGATGCACGTCCCCGATTCGATTCTCTCGGCCAATTGCAACTCCACTGTCGTGCCCCGCCCAAAAATTCTCTCATCGTCATTGCCGGCCAGGCAGGTACATACAGTACCATACAGTACCGGCGACTGTCCAGACCACCGTCAAAACCATGGAGGCGAGAAATCTGATTCACACACGGCGACCCTGTAAAGAAATTTCGGTTTTAACTAATTCCAAAAGCTGCCCTGCGGTGAGCCGCTTCCACCGCCCGGGCCAGAGTCACCCACATGTTTAAACATTGCCCGCCCCGACGTATTTTCAAGCCGGTCATCTTTTGACTTTCGACTTTTTCAAGATGACTCCCCTGTGATTGTCTCATCGTTCCTGTTCCTCCCATTTGGCTTCTTACTTTTCATTATTCCCTCACCCGTGCCCGTTACCACTCGATCGATCCGAGCCGTCCCCGGCCCCTCTTTCACACCTTGAAAAGTTGCCCAGCTTCCCTCGGCAATCTTGTTAGCGACCGGTCTCCGGCTTGATAGTCGATACATCTCCGGCCGTCGTCCCTCTCGTCCAACCTCGACAGAGCATAGAGTGCCTCACAACCGTGGTCTCATCCGTAGCAACATTGGTCGCGCCGTGTGGTTGAGGTCCTCCTCTGGCTTGAGCATCTGTCCCTGCAGAGCACTTGGGGGAGCTTGTCCCGCTCCTGCACCCCAATCTGCTCCCCAGGTTGCCTGCCGCCGCCACCCTTCTTTCTCCGATTCTGCTCCGCACCATCGTTCCTCGTCATCGCGTCATTCAACTCAGGTTCAGCTTGGACAAGCTAATTGAACTGCCATTATGGTTCGAAACATCGTGGTTCTCGGCGGCAACTCGCATCCCGCCCTGGTCGACAGCGTGTGCAACATGCTCGGCCTTCCCGCGTGCAACCGCATCCTAACCAAGTTCTCGTCCGGGGAGAGCCGCTGTGAGATCCAGGACTCGGTACGCGGCAAGGATGTCTACATCATCCAGACTGGTTTTGGCGGCAATGGCAGCAAGCTCAACGACCACTTCATGGATCTGTGCATCATGATTTCGGCGTGTAAGACAGGCTCGGCACGGAGGGTTACGGCGGTCCTGCCCCTCTTCCCCTACTCGAGGCAACCCGACCTGCCGTACAAGAAGTCTGGCGCGCCTCTGTTCAAGGCCGGTTCCGAGAGCGGCAGAAAGGACTACACATTTGATAGCGTTCCAGCCACACCAGCTCCCGGCGTCCCTCGGACCGCTGGGCTCATCAACGGCACCGACATCACAAACCGGCTGGCCAAGACAGTATTGACCAATGGCGTCAATGGCGCCAACGGCGTCGGCTCCATGTCGCCTGTCAAGCAGACCAACGGCGAGAGCTACTTCGGAGGAAATGGCGTCGCCAGCCCTGTGCAGAGCACCACTATTGGCAGTTACACGACGCACGACTACCAGAACGTGTCTCACATCGGAGCATTCCAAGCAAAGCCAGGGTACAAGCAATGGGTTGCACAGGCGGGGACATTGGTGGCCAATCTCCTGACCTGTGCCGGGGCTGATCATGGTATGATGTTCCTGAAATTCTATGCAGCTTTAGTATCCGGGCCTGGGAGCCGGCAGTGGATTCCACGGTTTTGAAGTGCTTTGCACTGTTCATTGTCCCGGAGTGAGACCTGGTGCTAACACACACCTTGCAGTGATTACCATGGATTTGCACGACCCTCAAGGTATGTGTAACGCTTGAGTGGCTTCTCGTCTACCGCTGCCAAGGCGGCGGCTCTGCTGTGTCAAACAGCCGCCATGACCACTTTTATGCTCCCATGACTCCTGCGGGCGAACACTAAGATATGCTGACGGCATTGTAGTCCAAGGATTCTTCGATGTACCCGTCGACAACCTATACGGCAGGCCCCTCCTCAAGCGATACATCCAGACGCACATTCCAAATTACAAGGATGCCGTGATCATTAGTCCTGATGCCGGTGGTGCAAAACGTGCGACAGCCATTGCAGACAGCATGGGTGTCGACTTTGCCCTCATCCACAAGGTACTGGTTTCTTTTCTCCCATCTCAGTCACTTACCAACCATTATGGCAGGAACGACGCCCAACCAAGATTACAGACAGGCAGAACGCAAGCATGATGCTTGTAGGCAACGTGGCCGATCGCGTATGCATTCTCATCGACGATCTTGTAGACACGGGAAACACCATTACCCGGGCCGCCAAGCTCCTTAAGAAAGAGGGCGCCACCACCATCTACGCACTGCTCACCCACGGCGTGTTCAGCGGAGACGCCATCAACCGCATCAAGGCATCAGCCATCGACAAGATTGTTGTGACCAACTCGGTGCCGCAAGACGAGCACAAGGCGCTTCTGGGCTCCAAGCTCGACGTGTTGGATATCTCGCCCATATTCGCCGAAGCCATCCGACGCGTCCATCACGGTGAATCTATCAGCGTTCTCTTCAACCAAGATTAACTGCACGGAGTCTGGGATTATCAAAAAGGTGTGCATTGAACATAACATGGCATTTGGCGTTCTCTTCTTCTGTCCATCTCTCTCTCCGGTCATGATCCCCCTTGGACAGTATACAAAGCCACAGCGCATTGGTGGTAGCAGTGCAAACATCTGTCATCACAGCATTCGTCCACATCAGCGTTCTTTCTTCTGGAGTTCCGGGGCCTTTGTCATCTTCTGTTTCTGTTTTTTTCGTGTGTGTCGAGATATCAAATTTGGGGTAGAAGACAGACTCGGGGTGGACACCGTTGCCTAGGACTAGACAAGCCATGCAGACAATGCATGCGCATACCATCATCCACAAGTTGAGGGCCTGGGGGCTGGGCAGTAGTCGTGTTTTTATCATTGCTGCTGTCTCTCTCGCTACGCGCCAGGACTAATGCTCTGTCATTCCCAAAGACTCCACCATTTGATCTCTGAACAACGCGCTGTGGTGCAGAGGACTGCTCATCGAAGGCTATGTCGTCTCTTGCTCGGGTGCTCGGCATGTTCCATACTTCTCTCCAACCGAGGATGAAGAAATAAGTGAGTTCAGGGGTTGAGAGCAGTGTTCTGGCGGCTTTTATGTGGAAAGAACCAGCTTGTGGTATCAAAGAAGGGATATCAAGACTTTTATAAATGTAACCAAGCGATTGGCTGTGTGGCTCTGTTGTACATATCTCGGCATGAAGATCTGCGATCCGAGATCCGGCCCCGATGCGGGTGGTCAGCTGGGCCAGATCGGCCGTCTTGGCATGCGTTGAAAAAGCCCGGAATGACGTCCTGCCTTGTTCAGTGTTGTTTCCCTTCTGGGTATCGCCTGGCTTTTGCCTGGATTCTATGCGAGGATCACAGGCATTCGGATTATACTTTCTGTATGTACGTCAACAGATTGACGAACCAGCGGCGAGCTGAGGGTTCTGTCGACCTACCTACTCAGTGGAAGAGAACAGGAGCAAGAACCAAACCAAACTCTGGAACGCATCTCAGATTGTTCCCTCCACACTCGACTTTTAGTACCACCTTGAGGTCCATAAGCCCCCTTGTCCAGTCAAGTGACTAGTCAAAACAAGCGTTTCCCACTGCCAGCACATTGAAAGATCAGCGCCCGAGAACGGCTGTCCGGCACTTACACAAGCCGCTGATGTCTTCCCTGTCAAGATACTTTACCCCCACGCACCGCATACTACACACAATCCACGTCATGGTACTGGCTCAAGATCACGGGCAACTAGCCTTGCGAGAGATAGGGTAAGTTCCCCTTCTCAGCATACGGTTCTCCCCACCATTCCAGACTCAACGCTCCAACCAGAACATTACCGTTTCCCCTACCTGTACTTCCTCGTATCAATTTACCTCATTTCCACACACCAAAAGTAGGTAGCAACCCCCTTCCAATCTCCGTCCTGTCCTAAAAACCAGTCACCTCCTCTGTTTGTCCTCCTAAGATATCCTTCCGCCCAACTCAACAGGCATATTGGCCGGTACCACCACTACTACTACTACACCGTACAGGGAAAAACGAAAACAATGCCCACAAGCATCATCACCAGCCCCGCCGGCGGCTGTGGTGTTGGTGGTAATGGCGGCGGTGGTCCGATCCGGCACCTAACATCCCACTCCGACTCCCGCCTCATCGTCGCCGTCGAGTCCCCCGAGTCCGTGTGCGGGTCCGGATACGAGACTCCCATGAACAATGGCAGTGCCGGCTTGTCGTTCCCGTTTCCGTCCTCCTTGCCCGCCGTGTCTGGGCCAGCTGTATCTGCTGCTGCTGCTGCTGGTGATGGTGATGGTGCTGGTGGTGGCGGTGGCTTGAGACGGTCGAGAACTCATGATGGCGGTTTCGAGGTGGTAGTGGATGGTGGCGCTGGATCGGGGGCCGTGGTGCCCGCGGGGAGGGTAAGGAGTGGTGGTGGTGGTGGTGGTGGTGGAAATGTGCATGTTATGCATGTGCAGAGGAGGGGGAATGGAGGTGATGATGAGCACGGAGGCGCGCAGGGGAGTGTTGATGAGGCGGGCTTGAGGGATGGTGGGGGGACGAGGAAGGTCGGACTGAGGGATCGGATTGGGTGTTTCCAGTGGACTTGGTTTACTATGACGATGGTATGTGCTGACCACAATCCCCGGAGAGGTGAGGGGAGAGTGGTGTGTGTTATGGGGAGGGTGGTGCTGAAGGGCGAGATATCTAGGCTACCGGGGGTATTGCGAATGTGTTGCACTCAAGTATGTGACTTTTCCTTTACTTCTGCTGAGTCTCGACCTGGAATGGGGAGAGTTGGCCGCTGATGGTGTGGACAGTGCCGTACAAGTCGCAATGGCTGAGTAGCATTGGGTTGGCTTTCCTCTTTTTGAACCTCTGTCTCTTCGTCATGAACTGCGTCTTGATTTCGCTGCGGTTCTACTGGCGGCCCGGGAGCCTGGTTGCCTCGTTCACAGACCAGTTTGAGAGTCTGTTCATCTCGGCCATTGTAAGTTGTGCTCACGCACGCCACCCCCTGAGTACGAACAACTAACATTGCCAAGATTGTCTCGTAAGTCCTGCCACCCTCTCCCATCCCAGTCCAGGCTCTCATATTTCCCGACAGAACAGCCACAATACTGATAACCATAACCCAATACGGCATTCCCCATACCGGGCCGTGGCTCCTCACCGTTATGGAGGCCCTCTTCTGGATCTACCTTGCCGCCAGCATCCTCATCAGCGCCGGCCTCTACCTGACTCTTTGGTCAACCCAGTATGCCTCACCCTGATTTTCCCAGCCCAGTCTCCCAAAACAAAATACTTCCAACACAGCACTCTAACAACCAAGCCAGAGCCTTCCCAATCCACACAATGACCCCCGTTTGGGTCTTTCCAGCATACCCCCTCCTCCTGAGCGCCCCTTTCGGAGGCAACCTGATCGCTGCCGCCGTCCGCACGGGCCGACTGCCGTCCCTCCACGCCGTGCCCGTCGCGCTGGCGGCCGTCACGGTGCAGGGCACCGGGTTCCTTATCAGCTTCATGGTGTGCGCGGCGTTTCTGTACCGGTTGATGACGCAGAAGCTGCCGAGGGATCATCAGCGGCCGGGCGTGTTTATCTCGATTGGACCTGGGGGGTTCACGGCTGCTGGGCTAGGTACGGACTTTTCTCTCCTTTCCCCTTTCCCTTGCTTTCTTGGGTTTCTACCCACTCCTCCATTGCTAAGGTGCGGAGAAAGCCGAGGGATGGGGTATGATTTCTACATGCATGACCGCAATAAGCAAGAGCAAAAGGGGAGGCTAACGGGGTGTGTAGTGCAGATAGGGAGTCAGACGACGGCCATCTTCCCCCGTGAGTTCCTAGGCTCAGAGCACACGGCCCACGTGCTGCGGATTCTGGCCTACATGACCGGGCTGTGGCTGTGGGGACTGAGCATCTGGTTCTTCTTGGTCTCGGTGGGCTCGCTGTGGAAGTACCTGCGGCCCGAGAGCAAGGGGAAGCTGCGGTTCCAAATGACGTGGTTTTCGTTTGTGTTTCCGAACACCGCGCTGGTGAGTGGAAAGACCACCTATGAGGGATAGGGTGAAATAAGGGGTGCTAATAGCTGGATAGGTGACGGCCACGGAAGCACTCGGCGCCGCGTTTGACAGCCCCGGACTTCAGATCTTTGGTTGCGTGCTGACTGCGTGCTTGATGCTGGTGTGGGTTTTGGTGTTTACCAAGATGCTGCGTTGTCTGTGGAGGCGGGAACTGTACGTTTCTCTCGGTCCTCTTCCCCGGACTCCTCCTCCTTTTTCTCACCCTTTTGAGCCCGAACATGACGAGAGATGGATAGATGGGCAACAGGCGTCTTCTTGACACAGCTCGAATGACAGCGTTCTGACAGTCAAACAGGCTCTGGCCAAAGGAAGCAGACTAGAAGTCAGTTCTCAGTCAACACCTGGGGATAGATGGTGAGCGCCTCGAGAACACCATCCCCCGGTTTAAATAGCGATTTCGTTTCATATATGTCGGCACTGGAGGATTTCCTCAGGTCCTTGGGAGTCTAGTATGCATGGTTCTGGCGTTCCGTTTGGTGTCCTGGTGTCATGATTACATAGCGAATGGATATCCCCTAGTACAAGAAACAGAAATGGACTCAAGACATGCTCTCATTTCACCCCTGGCAAAACATGAATATCCTGCAATCCCACCCGTTGCCGTAAGAGTCTAAAGAACTAAAAGCTTGCCTTGTTCTTATCCCCAGACCGGGAGAAAAGGAATACCCGTCCATTCCAAACCCTTTCTCTGCCTTTATATCCCATCGCTTGTCCCAATAAAACCGACCAAGTACGATTAAATGTAACGCACCAGCAAACGCCTCTCCCGCCCCGCCGCGGTTCTAAACACTTTGTATCTCTTCCCAGTCTACCATTACCTCATCTTGACCGCCGTTAGCACCCACACCGCAGAGCGCCGTAAAAGTCGGCCATCGTCATCCCTGCTTGGCCGTCCTACTTGGGCAACCAGGGAAACTTCCTCCTATTCGGCTCTGCCGCAATGCCCACAGGCTCGACCTGCACACTGCGCTGGTAAATGTCCTAAACAACAGCCCAAGTCAGTAAACATCGCATTCCGAAACGGCTCCCAAGGGAAGGGGCCAGAAAGCAATGAAGCAGAAAATATACACACCTCCTCATCCGTCGGCATCCGACAATCCATAATCAGCTCCCTGCACGACTCATTCCGATGCAGATTTTGGTACGGCTGGCCCTGGCTCTTCATGATGGGCAGCAGCACCTCGCCGAGGACCTCAAATTTCTTCCAGTTGATGCGGTCCCCGTTGGGCCCCACAAACGTCCGGCTGCCCTCCTCGGCCGAGACGAGATCGCGCCGGTGCAGCGGAATGAAGGGGATGCGCGGCAGCGGCGAGTTCTCCCACGCGAGGCGGTACGCAAAGTGGCTCTTGGCCGTGCCCATCAGCAGGTTCAGGCCCTTGTACCGCTTCTCCACCTCGGGCGTGAGCAGCGAGCGCGTCTGGCCGAGGCGGTGGATGGCCGTGCCGTCGAGGCCGGCCAGCACGGCGGCCAGGCCGTTGTAATTGTTCAGCTGGCGGAGCTTGAGGGCGATGGTCATGAACTTTTCGAGGCAGGGGGCGCGGTGCTTGGCCTTGTCGCGGATGAGGATCATGTTGGCGACCCACTGGGCGATGTGGTTGAAGTGCGAGACCATGCGGTTGACGTTTCTCAGGTTGCGGCACTTCTCCTTCTGGTCGGCCGACAGGCTGACGTGGCGCACCAGGTCGCGGATCCGGATCGAGCTGAACATGACCCAGTCTATGCGCGTCATCTCCTCGGCTATGTCGTCCGCGTCGAGCCCCATAAACATGTGGTACCGGAACTTGTTGAGGGGGACCGTGGGTGTTGGTACAAGGGTAGCCGCCTCGCGCTCGTAGTCCTCGACCGAATAAAACTGAAACCGCGCCAGAACCCGACCGCCGTGCGAATCCAAGCCGGATAAGTCCGAACTCTGGGACGGACGCCGCTGGCTGGGCACGCTAGCGTCCTCCAGCTGCAAGGAGCTCATCGACTCTGCCACACCGCTCCGTCTCTGTCCCGCCACGTCCTTGCCCTCGTCATCCTCCACGGGATCCGAACATGCCCAATCCGTGTCGTCGTCTTCGGTGACCTTGTGGTCGAGGTGCAGTCGCATTTGCTGCGCAGCCGCGACAAAGACTGGCTCCAACGACAGTTGCCTGATCAGTTCCTCCAGACTGTTCCTCGTCGCCGACCTCGCAAAGTCCCCGGGGTACAGCGACAGCCATTTCGCCACGACCTCGACGATCCGCATCTGAGCGTCTGTTTTGATCAGGTATTGTGCACCTCGGTCATTCCGCAACTGGTCCAGCCGTGTGCGGATCGATGCTAGCAACTTAGAAGGGGCGGCAAATTTTCGGTACAGACAGAGGAACACGTCGACAAAGTTGTGGTCTGCCTTGGACATCTTGGGTGCCAGAAGCCTGTCGACGAGCTCGCCGAGAGTCACACCCATCTCCTTGGCCGGTTGGCCAGCAGGGCTCTCGTCATTACGCTGCAGGATGGGAATGTCGTCCGAGTTCTGGAATGACTCTCCGTCGGATTCGTCGACGTTGAGGAACGATTCGGCTCCGCCATCTAAGCGAATGCCCGGAGTCCGCAGCATGCTTGACACTGTCTGTTGCTTGCCGTCCTCGGGAATGGCCGCGCTATAGTTTAGGCTGCTGCCTGAAGCGCCGCTCTGATAATCCAGCCTCGGAGACCTAGAAGGTGGCGGCGGTTGCGGGAAGCCGCGCAGAAGCGAAAAGTCAGAACTGGCCCTGCTGTGCTTACTGTGCTGACTGATGGGGCGCCCATTATGCATCTCCACGGGCGCATCGAGATTCGCTGTCGAAGCAGCACGCCGCCGGGTGCTGGAACTTTCTGCGTTGCCTGATCACTGCTCGTTAGTCGCGTCTTACATGGCAATACCTGCATAGAACTCGTGCAGCAGACCAGCGGGGCCGTGAACGTCATGGTGCCGCAGCACACGCCTCGAAGACGCAGATCTCACCTCTCCGATTGGCCAGAGCAGCCCTCAACATTGCTTGCAGGCATTCTCGAGCGCTCCCCGGCGCGTTAGACGCGGTTCTGAAATGGCCGGCACAGGTAGCAAAGACGGAAGCGAGCCCCGCCAGATCGGGGTGTCGTAGGTCGTCGGGCGTGTCACATTTTGTAGCGACCAGGACGGTCGGCAGGGAGGAATTTGCGAGCGCGGCTGTGCCCAGTTAGCATGCGGCCGGCCCGGTCCATCTCAGACAAGGTACTCACTCACCTATGATTGGGGGCACCTCCCGCATTGTCTCTTCGTCCATGGCATCGTACAGGATCAGTGCGCCGTCCATGCAGGGCAGGCGGTGTCCTCCGATCTGTTTCGGCCAGTGGATGGGCTGGTTCGGGTCCAGCTCGATGCCCTCGAGATCGAGCTCAACTAGAGTGACGAAATAGGGGGCGCCGTCGAGCTCGTGGTGCATTTTTGTGATATTCGGGGCCGACGGTACGGGTGTCCGGCAGAGGTGGCGGATGAAGGTGGACTTGCCCACACCTTCGGCGCCAATGACGGCGATATTTATGGATTCCATTGCGTGTTGGGCATGCTCAAACTGGGCCAGCGGGTCAGTCGGTGTGTCTTTTGCTTGGTCGGGATGGCAGTGGCGCCTCCACGGCTGACCGTCCCTCGACGAGGCGGAACAGAGAAGTGACAAACGGCTTACCCAGGGAGTCGGATTGGTATCGCTCAAAGATTCTTTCCGGGGCGGGATCCACGGCTGACGTTGCTCATTGCCAATACCAGCACTCGTCGCCGGGACGCGTTGCGGGTCGGGACCTGGGGCCGTCGCAGGCTCGGTCTCGCGGCCGGGTTGGGGGTCGTGGAAGCGGAGGAAGAAGGGGTCGTCGACTATCGAAGCGAACGAATCTCGAATGCCGGCGGGGGGGGGGACGTCGTCGACGAGCAGAAAGGTGCCCTCGGCGGCAGAGGCGGAGGGAGGTTGTCCGGATGGCGGAGCGAAGCTTGGCTCGGTTGTGGCAGCACTTGTAGCACCGGCGGCGCCAGCACGAGCAACCGCTGCCAGCGGCGGGGTAGGCCTTGACAGCAGCTGCGGCATCGCTACCCCCGGATGTGACGCTTGTCGGTGCGTCTGCACCCGCATTTTGCTGTTGGATAATCTCCTAATAAGAAGAGAACATGAGGAGCATCCCGCATCTGGGACCGAACTGGGATCTGGAGGAGTCTCAATTGACGGGTTCAATTGGGCCGCTCGGATTGGGACGCCCCCGTCAGTCAGGGTCAGGGACTCGTTTTCAGGGTCTTTAAATGGACCCATCAACTTTCAGGTGGCTTCCCAACCATTCCCGTCCTGAAAGCCGGGCCAAACAAAGGTCCCAATTCCTTGACAGCTTTTGCTGATATCCCCTTCAACAGTTTGGAACAAACGCCGGTGGGTGACGGAGAGTCGAGATGCGTCGGTCCTCGACGCTCGGGCTGCAGCCGGCCTCTGGCATGGTAATGCTCCGAGCAAGGTCCCCACACCCATAGACATGTTTCCGTCGGCTTGCCGCTGCTTGGACACCTGTGACAGACGGCGTGTTTGCGTTGCATACCCCGGCTTGGCCTGTGGTGTTGTGCAGCTTTTTGGATGGAGGTCTGGGCCGCAAAATGACGGCGGCACGGGTCCCGTCGTCGCTTGCACCCTGGCCCTGTCTTCGTGGAAATCAGGAGGGCATCCGGAGCCAAGTCAATGAACCCAGAGCCTGAACAACTGAGGAAAGGACGCAAATGGACACCAAGTCTGGGATATGAGTCTTGTGCTGGTTTTCCTCCAGGCTTCTTGTGCATGATACTAGTGACAACCTCTAAGGTATCCAACATTGAGCTGCGATTCTGATCCCGCGTGAGAGCCAAGAAAAAGCGGTAGAGAGCGTTAAGGTTCTGACAAGTTGGGGTGGGGAACCAGGGTAGGGCCCTGTTGTTGAAACCCAAGTTCGAAACATCGATGATTTCAAAACTGTCTCGCTTCAAGCCCAACCACCACCGCCGCAGGAGCCACTGGTCATGTCTTTTCGATGCTTCTAGCACTCACGCTACCTAGGTGGTAACTTATTTAAATTGTGTCTCGCGACTTGCAGTCGCACTCAACGTGCAAGACATGACCTGGCCTACTACCTGATATCTGTCGTAACGGTACGGGGCCGTAGGTGCTCCCGCGGTACCGTTCCGTACCCATGCATGTTGGCATCAGAGGCGTTTGCTCTTTCGGCACAAGCATCAGACAGAAGCCTCGCCTCACTTCCATTCCAACCAGAGCCTGGGAAACGGGGTCGGGACACGAACCAGAAGAATGCCAACAAACCTAGCTCCGCAGACTCACCTGCTATCCCCCGTCTTCCGGATCTACCTCCAATGGGAATTGGTTTGTCTGCAACCGTTTTGTTCTTCGCGACTTAACACACCCATCAACTCGGTTGGAAACTCTCGGGGATCTCCACAGGAAATAGCGGGATCGTGGACGTAATTGGGCCCGGTGATTGAAGGCACAATTCGCAATGTGTACGCCTGTTGGTTTGAGCCAGTCGCCAGGGACATTCCAGTTTGGGGCCTGGGCAAGCAGAGTTGGAGCAGTGGCGCTTGGGGATATTGTTGCACTCTGGAAGATCACCTTCGTTGCCAGTGACCTTCTCTAGTTATACTAGGATGCCATTGTTGTCGCTGGGCTCGATGCTACTCCCTACCCTACCTTCACCTCGGACACGCGGCGGAGTGTTCAAGGTCGCTAGGAATGAGCCCGACCTGCTTGGATCGGCTCCAGCCTCCGATGATGCACCGAGGCCACGTCTAGCGGGGAAAAAAGAGATCCTTCCGAAAGCCGACAGGGATCGCCAGTTCGAGCAAGCTAAATGAGAACTCTTCTAACGCTTCCTCGATTCGGCGGGCGACGACGCTAGCACAGAGCAACACAATCGAAAACCATGTGTGCCTCCGCAGCTGGACAAGGCAGCATCACACTGAGTGCAGGGTGAGGTTGATGAGCGCTGAAAACATGCAACTTCTCGAGCATGGCCTCCAATCCTGCACCCCCAGACTTGTTGCTGCCATCATGTTTTTTCAGTCAAGTGACCACTCTGCTTGGCCCGCATCCAGACCCCTGGAAGATCTGGCGCTAACTCGTGTAAGCAGGTCCATGGACACATCTCCCCTTGGGTGCTCCCTATTATCGAAATCGGGCAGATGATCAGCTCTGCATTTCCCCGCGCCGAGCAAGCATCTGCCGTCGTGCCTTGCTTCCTGTTGGCTGTTCTTTCAAAACGTTGATAACCGGCAGTGACCATGGGATTGTGCGAATCCCACCGAGCTCCATTCCAACGGTCGTGTGCTCTGCATCCCTAGCTGCATCGACTACCGGGGGGGTCGTCCGGGGTTCGGCTAATGCCCCTTACCCATACATACATACATACGAGGCATTAACCCTCGTCGTGTGGCTTCGACTTCTCGACGAGTTCTGAACAGTCAGCTCAGAAAGCCGTTGTGTATGTCACAGATCTTGAGAAGACTTCGTCTTGCCAATGACTTCTTCGCCGACCTAGGACACCGGCAGCCACCCGCTTCTGTCCAACTTCGAGTCGCATCAACCGCGCTAAATCGCATCATTCAGACGCTGCAAAGAGAATCCTGGGGCAGACACTTTGGAGCCAAGTCGTTACTGGTTCCTCCCAGGCGCATCCTGCTCTGTTCCAGAAGTCTCTCCCTTTTCTTGCCAGGGACATTCCCGAACTTGTGTTGGCTCGACACACACCTCCAGTTGTTTGCGCGTCTAATGTTTGCTCAGCTGCCTTGAACAATGCAGTACAGGGCCAACTACACAAGGGAGCAAGTCTCTGGCCCTCGGGCAAGCGGCAAACCGCACAAGGCGCCAGCCAGGTTGGCTGAGGGGCAATTCGATCCAGACGAGCTCACGCGACGTCTGTATCTCGTGTTGGCCGAACAAAAAGCACAGGCACAACGGAGGCAGAGGGCACGTGGAGAACCATCAAGCCGGAAATATGGGCTCGGCCGGCCCTCTGGCACTCGCAATCGCGATAGTGCCAGGCCAGGCGAAGAAGCAAGGCCAAAACCCAACGAACCATCCGCGGACGTCAACACGGAACTGAGGAGATCCGAGTCGGCCAAGCGCGAGACCTCTCACCCGGCGCCCGCCCCAGACGCCCCAGCGACCCAACCAGAAGCATACCATCACGTGCCCAAAGAAGCCGCCAAACAGTTCACGCGGACAACCACAGTCGAAAACATGCGCAGCAACATCGACCTCGTACACAAGCTCTCCAAACGGGCCCTCATGTTCCACCTCGAAGGGCCTTCCAAGACACTCCGCGCCGGCCCAGCCGGGGGTCCCAAGCCGAATCTCTCACCCGCCGAGCTCTCGCGCGTCCTCCAACAAAGCCAAACCCAGCGCGCTGCGCACCTCGACCGTAACCAGTTCCAGCGCACCCGCATCCTCAAAGAAGCCGCACGCCTAGACCACTCCCAACAGCACCCCCACCAGTCCCACTACAAACACACCTTCCAAGACGAACTCTCCCGCATCCTACCACACAGCAGCGGCAGCACCAACACCGACACCAAACCCGCCCGTCGCAACAGCACCGGCACCGACCCCTTCTCCCCAACTCACGACGCCTCCACCAGCCAACACAACCGCCGCTCGTTGTTGCTGCTCCCAACGGACCACCGGAACAGCCTGACGCTGGACCCCCTCTTCGAAGACAGGACGCCGCCTCCCGAGGACCTAAGCCGCTTCCCACCGCCCGACCGTGCCCGCGTCGACTGGACGCAAAGCGACGAGCCGCACGCTAGCAGCAGCCGCGGCGGCGGGGGCCCGAAGCTGCTGCTCCTTTCGCCTCTGCTGCGCAAGGCCGATTCGCTTTGGGCGTTGAGAGGGCGAAGGGGAAGTCGGGATTCGTCAGGTTCGGGGTCGGGATCTGGTGGGGGGGAAGGGGCTGAGAAGGGGGAGGGTGCCAAAGGGGGTGGAACCGAGGATGGAGGCGAGTCGCCTATTGCGAAGGCCGGCAAGGGGTTCTTTGGGAGGTTTAAACGTTAACTTTTTTTCTGAGGGTAGATAAAGAGGTTGGAGGGGAAGGGGGCGGGAGCGTACCTTGCTTGGCGTCATGACATGGGGATGTGTATGGTAAATGATAATGATACGATGACCATGCGTGCGGGCATCTCATATCGCTCGCGCGGTGTGTTGCCCAGGAGCCCTCAATGGCGCTCCCGGGTGGTGATTCCACCAAACTCGTACAGAACTTAACAATCCAAACACCTCCCTAGCTTGCAGGGCTTCAACAACCCCCTTCCTCCCTCAGCAACCGCTCAATAACCCTCGTCTCGGCAGCAACCACCTCTTCCCTGACCCTCTCCACGCCCTCCCTCTTCTTTGACAACAGGAACCGCACCAATTCGCAAAACTCACGCACCCCGTCGCCGGTGTCGCTGGGGTCCATCCTCGCTTTGCGCAGCGCCTCGGCGCCCCTGCGCAGACCAACATCCTTCGTCCAGGGCTCCTGTCGGTTTCGACCTGTGTTGGCTGTGAAGGGGCCTAGGCCGGGTATGTTGAAGGCAGAGCCGGGGGTCTCGGCTGGCGGGAGGGTGGTGGCCTGGATGCGGGTCAGCTCGGCGGCGAGGGACGGGTATCTCGCGAAAAGGCGCTGGAAGGCGTTGCGGTGGTCGAGGAGAATGCTGTAGGGGTCGTCGTCGGCCGGGGTGTTTTGGGCGGTGTTCAAGGCTGCGAAGGTTTGGTCTGACTTTGGAGGGTCGGGCGGATGGTTCTCTTTGTGTTGCTTGCTACAGGCCACCGAGCAGCTGGAAAAGAAGCCGGTTAGTGACACGGTCTGTTTTTGAATGGCGGAGGTAGGGTGGATGACGTACTATGGCACGGAGCATCGCGGGCACTTGTACTTCCCCGGTTGTATGCCGCATACGCCGCAAAGCTTGGGTTCAAGTTTCTTTGGTGGTGATGATGGATCGGCATCTGGAATCGCGGTCGCATCCGAGGCGGGATCTGCTGCGTGCGGCGCGGTCGTTTCGGTGGAAGCAGCGCCGAGCATACTCGACTGCTGAGCAGAGGTCTCGCCCTCGGCAACCGGCAGAGCGTCGTTGTTTCTGCTGTCGCTGTGTCGAAGACTCATCGTCCTCTAGAGGTCGATGCGCAACATGCAGCGCAATTCAGACAGTAAAATATGTGCGAGTGACAATGTGAAGTTGAATAGGTCTGGTGTTATACAAAACCGGCCCCAATCAGATCTGATATCAGGCGATTTGGCTGGTTTCGGCTGAAGACTGCAAGCTTACTCGAGGAGCCCGGTCGCGTGCTGCATGTGATCGGTCAACGTGGTTCGTCGGAAGCCGCGAATGATGCCGGCCGTGATAGGCTTGTCCAGTCGATCTTGAATCCAACGCTGGATTGAGCGGCCCAAGCCGGGGCCGCCAGAAAAGTTTTAGGGCGAGAGCAGCTACCGTTATGACGCATCTCAGAAAACAGGGGTCTTGTGGGGTCTCGTCAATCGGAACTGCTTGGTTTGTCAGCCGCCCAACGCTGATTGATGCACGGCGGCGGTGTTCGCATTAGCTGCGGAAGTATATTCGCTGCTTTTTCCTTTTCAACCTCAAGCCTTTGCAACGGGAGTTTTAAACGACACCCACGATGCCGTCAAACAAGTTATCACGAGGCTTCGCGCCTCTAGTATCCAACGCTACACGATTGATCAAACCTGCGACATGTCTGCGCGTCCAACAAACTGCAGCGGCAATTAGACAAGCGCACACTACCACCTCCCCCAACACTACGAGCATCCGAACTACACGCCTCCGCCCCCGTCTCCAGCCAGCCCAGGCCCGGCAATCACCCTTCCTCCCGCGCACCGCCCGCCGCACGATCTTCATCCAGACCGAAAATACCCCCAACCCAGACGCGCTCAAGTTCCTGCCCAACCACCGGGTGCTGCCCGAGGGCATCTCAACGCCCTTCATCGAGTACCTCTCGCCGCGCTCGACCATCGCGCCGCCATACCCCTCGCCGCTCGCAGCGCAGCTCATGAACATCGACGGCGTGACGTCCGTCTTCTACGGCACCGACTTCATCACGGTGACCAAAGCCGCCGACGCCAACTGGGCGCACATCCGGCCCGAGGTGTTCGCGCTCATCACCGAGGCCATCACGTCCGGGCAGACCATCGTCAACGTGAGCGAGCGGACCAAGGATCAGGGGGCAGCGGCGGGTGCCCAGCAAAGTAACGAGGGGGCGGAGTCGGACGACCAGGACAGCCTCGCGTACGACGAGAACGACAGCGAGGTTGTGGGCATGATCAAGGAGCTGCTCGAGACGCGGGTGCGGCCGGCGATTCAGGAGGACGGGGGAGACATTGAGTTTCGCGGGTTTGAGGAAGGCTATGTCCTGCTGAAGCTGCGCGGGGCGTGCCGGACGTGCGATTCGAGCACGGTGACGTTGAAGAATGGGATTGAGGGCATGCTGATGCATTATGTGAGTTTTTTTCCGCTTGGGCTGTATCGTGGGCTTCGTGGAGAGCGCACCGTGCTGACTGTCTCAACAGATCGAAGAGGTGAAGGGTGTGCATCAGGTGTTGGACCAGGAGGAGGAAATTGCCATGAAAGAGTTTGCCAAGTTTGAGGAGAAGCTCAAGGCGCAGAAGGGTGAGGTACCGCCTTCAGCACCGCTAGATACGATCTCTGGTTGAGCTTGCCGGCTGTGCCAGGGGCTTGTATCAATTCGACACCAAGTAGGATTCTCTCGAGAGATGGCATGCCACGGCGTGCTCTTAGTACTAGATACGCAAAGCAGCCTAAATATCCCTGGGCGGTTCTTTAACCTTGAGCGTATATGGCTTGTATCTCGCCGAGACACCTGTCTCATACTACTACCTGCTAATATACAATACAAAGCGCCGTTGAGCATCATGTCCGCAACACAACCCCTCGGAATTGGGGCCATTCGAAATTTGTCCCTTGAAACTGCATGTGGCTCGGCTGGGTATACCACAGTGCTGCCGAAGATGGGCTCCCAGGATCTTTAACCGCGGCCTGTCACAGCGTCGCAACAGATTAGGATCGTCCACCTGAGGAGTTTAGGCCAAGGAAAGGGGTCCTGCAACGGGCTTTCGAATTCTTCAAGAATGCATCCAACCCGGAAAGAAGTCATCGTCAACGAACACTGTCCAGATATCGTATGCATGAAGCCCCAGCTGGTGCGTGACCGGTCAACTTCCCCTCTGGACTGAGCACCGGCACTGTAGGCCCACCACTCGTTTCCAGCAGTTTCTCTTGCTTATATTCAATGCTATGTTCGGAAGCGAATGTCACGGCCACGCGCATGAGCGTGAGCTTGTTCCGCGGACCATCATCTTTGTTCCGTGCTGTAGTGTACGTACTCCGTACCAGATGTGGGTCGCTTCCCCTCGTCGGAGGATTACTCCCGTACGACAGTGACTATGAATAAAGCAAAAATCTGGGGTAAACCCCTGGCAAGCCACTCAAAGCCCGGTCTGTATTCGTAGCGTAGGAACGGAAACATGGGGTCTAATCAGACTGCGTGGAGTCGGACACAGCGGGGTACCGGTGCCGACGGTAGGACTGGACGGCCCAGGTTTTTCGGGCAGGAAGCATGTCCAATTGAGGGGTACTGCTCTTACATGGAGGTACCTTAGCGACATGAGTGCAGAAGGGGACGGAATCGATATCCGTATTTTGTCGCTTATTATTACCAGGATAACTCGCCGACTTCCAGAGGGGAACTTTGGTGCTTTGGGCTGATGAGCGACGGCCGTTTTGTGTTTCTCGAGTTCGTGGATCTCAACCGACATTTCAGCTGATGCATTACGCACTGTCGAAGACGCCCCTGATATTCAGATGTCCGGTGTCCGTTTGCGCTTGGCCATACGGAGTAGACGTGGATCTGCCTCGGCACTACGAATAACAGCTCCAGAGCATGCCGGATCAAGGGTCGGTAGATGACGCACTAGCCCGGCTATGTGCGGGACAGGGGAGACGGCTTCCGGGCGAAGTCATGAGATGGGCTCGATGGGACAAAATCGAGGAACTGACGTCGAAGTGGCCTAGCCCACCGTCGGATTAAGGTTGGCCAGAGGAAGTCAGTAACGACGAGCGGCAAAATAAGCTGCCTGCCGACAATGACGGACCGCGTGATGCTTTTGATCCATTGGCCTCCACAGTACCTCCACCCATCGCTCGCCTGGGCCTCTCGAGTTGTGTACACACTTGGATCGCAGCCCGTCACCCCGAGAATCACCGGCAGCTGTTGGACTGGACTCGATGTCGCGTACGGTACCGACGTCAGCCTCCCCGGCGACTGATAGATTGCCGCGGCATCGGATTTTGCGGGGTACGGGGTAAATACTGCGGTTGCACTGCCGACCCGCCGTTGCTGGGGGATGGGGCAGACATCCAGATCACGAACGACGGGATGAATATATGGGAGCTTGGAGGTCGGTGAGGGATGCGCAAGGTCGGGTGAGTAGCATCAGCCACTGAGCGCCATGAGCCAGACTCCCTTCGAGCTGCATCTTGCAACCGTTTTGGGCCGCCTGCAGCGCAGGAAACGTGCAGCATTGCCGAAGCTTTGTGGGGTTGTGCCTTTGAATGTACGATGGTAGCGGCTTACAGCAGTAAACCAAGAGTACTAGACAGCGATCTGCAGGAGCAGATACAAGCCTGGCTTACACCATGTCACGTAGAAGCCATCGTCGACAGGGAGAGAGCCTTGGTATGCGGAACTGCATGAGCGATTTCGGTGCCTCCGAGTCATGCTTTGTCGTAGGCTGGACGTCGTAAGGTAGTCGGTCGGTCAGGTAACCATTGTTCGTGCACAACGCATATACAATCGAGCTCGCGTCCTTGAGCTCGGGCAGAGGTGGCGCCGGCCAGGGCAAGGCTCAGTCGCCCTCCTTCCCCGTGAACCTCAGGAACCCCGGGGTGTCGATTGGTGGGGAAAGCAAGGATCCGGCTTTGACGCATGGTGCGAAGTGCCAGCGGAAGCGGATCGTGCCAAGCCGGCGTCCCCAATACTGGTCTCCTGTTCCCTGGAGGTCAACATGCAGCTCGAAGCCGAGAACTGAACACCGGGCGTTTCACGGTCTCATTGTCAGCCTTGTTGACTTCAGCGTCATCATTTATCAGTGAAGCGGCCAAGTAGACAATCCCAAATGATGGCAGCCGCCCTTTTGCGAGACGTGGCAAATGTTGTCGTAAAGGGAACCAGAAATGCGTTTACTGCTTGATTCTTCTACTCGAAATCGTGGTGTGCCAGCGACGTGGTAGACTCGATCCAGAGCATTTGTTACATGTAACGAGAAACCCAAGAGAAGCGTGTAAGTCGGCCACCGAGGTGACGTTTCCGGGGTCTCTCCTGTATGACTGGACAACACCAAAGGGTACGGTCGTACTGCAAGCACAGTAAGGTACCTTACCGCGCTAACACTCACCTGGCCGGCTTGTGAGTGGTCGAACAGCTGCAATGCTGCAACGCCCACCTAGAGACCAACCCAAGAGGGACCCGGAAGGTGCAGTGCACAAGGCGTCCTGTTGAACAGACAAACGACAACACCATCTCTCATGATTTGCGCAGTTTAGATGATCCTTTTGAACTGCGCTTGAATTTTCGCCTTCCCGCCCCTGCATTCCATTCCCGATACTCCACTCTTTCTGGGAGAGGCCCGAGCTTCGTGGCTTTTGCGCGTTCGAGTTCTCTTTGTCTCTCCAATCTCCATGGTCTCGTTGAATTCCATCTGTAGCGGGACCGTTGACGAAAAGCGCCGAAAGCGCCAGGCCTTCCGAGCCTCGCGTCCCTCTTACTGTGTACGCATCAAATTTCAACTCCGACGTCTCTCGAATGCTAAGCCTCTGGCGATTCCCTTTTGGATGAGCCAGCTCCTAATTTCTCTTCAGAGCATCCGGCTGTTTCCCATCACTGGACGCCCTGGGCAACAAACATCCAGAGCGACTTGGGTGCCTCTGGCCTGACCTGATCGACCAGGATCCAACCATTGAGAAGAGGTGCCTCCGAGCTTCCCCGCCCACACCTCACCCAGGAGAGACCCTGTCCATTCAGTGCACGAGCCCGCTGACCTGGACCTCGCCCTCATCGATCTTTGAGAACTCGACACCACAGATCTACTAATAACCTTCCATCCTCCCCACCTCGCCCGCTCGCCCCCCTCTCCCCTGTTCGTGTGGTTCGGGCGACGTCGAAGGACGTGCTTCTTACTAGGCCATCAAAACTTAAACCACAACATAAACCGTCCTGTTGGCACGCGATCTACCATCCGATTTCGATTTGTTTCTCCACGGTCGGCTGAGCCGTCCCGCCTGCAATGGGAAATCGCGATTAGCGCTGTCGCATTCTTCCACCGAGCGGCGCCACTCAATAACCGGCCGCACTCTCCTGCGAATCAATCGCCTTGGTTGTTTTGACGAGGTCGGGTCTTTGCGTGACCACCGAACATTGCCCGGTCAAATCCACCGAGGACCGAACTGTCTCAACATCCTCGCCGATCTAATCAGTTACCATCTCATCAAACATCGCTTTCCGATTTGTCTAGCCAGCCGCGACGACACCGACCGACCACGTTCAGGCTCCAAGGTCTCAGTTGTATCCTTTCACGCTCTCTTGTTACGCCCGTTCCAGGTGCATGGGAGAGAAGGATAGAGGAATACCCAATTCAAATATAGACATAAATCCGTCTGCAGTTTTGTAAGTATTCTCCCCTTCTGTGTCCGCACACGTGCACCAAGCACAGCGTCAACAACTCTTTGCATTAGCGACCTGAAAGAAGACCTTTGTGGTTTCTAAGCCTGTTGCCGGGTACACCGACTCTTGTTGACCAGCGCTGACACGAAATCATTAGTTGGCTGCAGTCAGGGGTCGCTGCTGCCGTTCAATAGTCACGCTTGTTCTCTCAGCATTTCCGTTTCCCCGGATATATCGCGCCGTTGCGAGACTCCGTTTTGGCCCGCGGTTTGTTCTCACTTTCACCATGAGTTCCGGTACGATCAAGCCTGGCTCTGCATCCAAGCCTGGCCAAGGGAGCGTCCCAGCTGGTCCCCCATCCAGCCAGGCAATACTGCTGGACAAGCTGAACAGAAGGTCAACGCCCGACTCCGAGGCACTCGCAAGCTCGGATGACGAAGCTGAGCATCACCGCCAGGATAATTTCCCTCCCCCCGTTCAGCCCCCGCAGCCGGTGCGCCGGTCATCCTGGCTCAACGACACATCCCAGCAACCTTTGTCCCGCCAGGCCCAGAGGAAAGGATCCTTTGCGAGCACTTCAATGTCGCCAACAAGCTCCCACCCGGCTACTCCTTCCGGCGACGTAGGTGTCACGGGCTGGGGTTCTCACCCGGCCACGGCTGGCGTCCTTGGGCGGACTCACTCAGGGGGAGCCGGCTCATTTCCTTGGGGAACGGGCATATGGGGCAGTGAAAGAAAGGAACCCCCCTCTCGCTTGACTGAGGTTCTACCTTCACCCACCTCCACGATGGCACCGGGGGCTTCAAGCAGCTCGTTCTTCGCTGGTGATATTGGTATGACGCAGAGTTCGCCTGCTCCAAGAGATACCCCCGGCTCACAGATCCCCTTCCCCATTCCCTTGCACCCGACTCCCAAGACCTACCGTTCTCAGTCCTACTCGGTCGGCCAACTTGAGCCCGAGACCATGGCCGCGTCGATGGGTACGACCTCCATTATGGGGACCCGTCGCCCGATGGGCCATCCCGGCCTCCAGCACCGACCGTCTCGGCCAAGTATGCTGAGTGAGATGTCGAATGACAGCATGCTAGGAAAGGTGAACGAGGACGACGATGACGACAGCAGCGGTTCTATGCAAGGAAGCCAGCATCAGGATGCCGCCAAAACAATCGAAATGCTTACGAGAGAAAACATGATGCTACGCCAACAGCAGTATCAGAATGCACGACTCCGGCCCCGCGCCTCAACAGCAAGTGCTTATGGCCTGAGCTCTAGCTACCTGCAAGAGCCAGTGCCGGAAGAATCGGACTACGCAGTCGATGAGCTTGAAGAGCTCCATGAAGGGTCTGATGCGGCAACCCGAAGAGGGCTTGCCCGGAGAATGAGTGAGTTTGGTGCCGGTACGCTCAGGACTCCGTATATGGTGGAGAACAGGAAGTTGGAGAACGTCAAGAAGGCGTACTGGCAGAGCTCGCTCGGTTTTGGCGGACTGGGCGACCTGCCTCAAAGCCGTCGACACTCGTTTGCGGATGTGCCAACCCGGCAGGGCTCAATCAGCTCCATCGGGGACGCTGTCCCGCCTCATGATTCGGGGGGTCAGGATCTTGCTCACTCGCAGGATTTCTCGGCTGCCTATTCCGACAATCACGGCTATCCCATCAACAACCCGGGTAAGGATGCCTCGACGAGTACTGATCCAGTTGGCCTTCTAACCATGACTCCAGTTTCGGCCTACTTCAATGGCGGCGCTGGCCTCAGCGCCGGTTCCCAGCAAGTACTGGCCCAATCCGCATATGGCAGTCACTTCGCCTCTCCCTACGCCGGCCTGCCTGCATCATACTCCAACCGACCTACGTCGCCCCAGCGCAGCATGTATGGCATAGCGCAGCCGCGACACAACCAGTCGCTGCACATCGTGCTCTTCAAATGCGCCAGGGCCGATGTCTTCTACATTCAGGAAGGTACTGGACTTACGGTCAAACCTGGCGACCTGGTGATTGTGGAGGCGGATCGCGGAACGGACCTGGGCACCGTCGCACGGGACAATGTCGACTGGCAGACTGCAAAAGAGCTCAAAGAGCACTATGCCGAGGAGCATTACAGATGGCTCATGATGTACTCGCAGAATGCTGCTGCGGCACACGAGGGCGCTGCCGCCGGCCTCATGGCGGCCAATGGTCTACAAGGGAGTGCCGTCGGCGGCATGGGCCCTCCGAGCCAGCATCACCATATTCAGGAGCCCGGTGCGGTTGAGCTGAAGCCCAAGCTGATCAAGCGCCTTGCGCAAAGTCACGAGATCCACGCCCTGCGAGAGAAAGAGGGCAACGAGGCCAAGGCAAAACGGGTCTGCCAGCAAAAGGTCAGGGAGCATGGCCTCAACATGGAAATCCTGGACGCCGAGTTCCAAATGTGAGTCCGCTTCATTACGCAGTACTCAGGATTGGCCCTCAAAACATACTGACGTCCAGCAGGGATTGGAAGAAGCTGACCTTTTACTACTTCGCCGATACATACATCAACTTCAACTCCCTCGTCACCGACCTTTTCAAAATTTACAAGACACGCATCTGGATGTCAGCAATCAATCCTGCATCGTTTGCCAGCCCCACCCTTGGGCTGCAGGCGCCAAGCGGTGTCGGGCCGGGAGCCGTGGTGAACCGCTCCAGCGCATCGGCTCGCCATCAAGAGTCGCAGCAGGAGCATCAGCATGCAGGCCGCGGCGTTCAGCCATCGTTCGGGTCATCTTCCAATGCCGAACGTGCAGTGGCCACGGGATCTAACTACGCGGGTACCAACTACCCTTACAATCCGTATGGCGCCTTTGGCAATGCTGCTCGGGCAGGAGGTGTTGCATACACTCCCGGCGCGATGCAGGGCCTCGACGCCTTTCCCGGCACATTTCCACAGGCTGGGGATCTCGCCGGGCGAGGGCGTCATCTTAGCCCCCAGTCCGCCACGGGCTCCCAGCCTGACCAAGCTTTTCCCGGTCTTGGAACGCAGGCAGACTTGCTCGGATCATTCCAGGGCTTGTCGCTGAACTCTCGTTAGACACGGGAAGGTCGGGAATAGACCGGCTACGCGTTATTGCTTGATCTGATGTGAAATTTACATGCGCACCAGACTCCTTCATCCGGGATGATGTTGCACAAGTACGAGGAAAGAAGAATGTTGACAACGCAAAGGAATTCATGTCACCCGCAATCATTTCGCTCATGAGACTACGGGACACGTCGGAAATGCAACGGCAGTTCTGGCTGTCGCAATGGCGGGCCATTTTTCGATGGGCACATTGGTTGGCATCTGTTGGGGAGTGTCGGTTCGGAGTCTTCGGCTACGGCTCCTGTCGCTTCTTTCTCTTCTCCAGCGATTCAACGATACGTTCTTTCATCTCTGGCTAAGACGGCTCGGCTATATATACAGCTCTATTTCGTTCTTTTGCTTTACTTTTCCCTCGGAACTTTTAATACTCGAAAGATTGGGTTGGGACGGAGACTGGGACACATTCCTTTTTCCTCCTTCTCCTTTTTTTCTTACTGTTTCCTTCCTTTGATAGCGACTCGGCGAAAGTCGCTGGCTGCTGACTTTGATGGACGAAAAGAACTTCAGGGTCTGCTTATAGACAGGGGAAATACACACACAGAGACAGATACAGAGAGAGAGAGGGGGGGAAACGGAGCCAAGGGGGCTGACCGAGGCTTAGGGCCTTTCTATTGACATTGGGCATCGTGTAAATTTTCAGAAAGAGTACCACAAAATGGGCTACTACAGGTTGAGTTTGGTTTGGTTACGGGGGTGGGAATACCTGTACAGCGCATAAAATTAAGACTTGGCGTGCTCGACTCTGCTTGTCTATTTGTTTTTTTGGCTTGTCACACAAGCTGTCGTCAGATGGATTTTCGAGTTCGTGTTGGAATCTGCAGGAGTGTTGGGGTCAATGTTCGTTGCCTAGGTGGAAGATAGAGGATGAATACTACACATGTCTGAGAATGGCCGAGCTACTGCGCCAGTGTCGCCAGCTGAGAGAAGGATGTTGTTATCTTTCTCGAGTGGGGGCGCTTTTGATCTCTGTCTCCCGAGTCCGAGTCTGTGAATGATGTGCAACTCGCCTAGTGGCCCGCTCCGTGGCCGCGCCTTCCTCGTAAGTAGTCGAGTGTATAGACGGAAGGGCACCATGGACAGAGGCTTCCAATCCTGCCCGAATATCCCATCTTTTGCACCTTACATCGGTAATCATCAAACCTAGAATCGCCGTTTTAGGTTCGAGGCCTGTTCTCGAAATTCAACCTGAACCTGCCACAAGCGTTGTATTGCGATAGTTGCATCGTCCGCGTGATCCCGTGAACCATCTTCTCCTTCGCCTGTGGGTGGAACCATCACATTCTTATCTTTCTCCCGTTTCTTTCTGATCTTGTCTTTCAATCCAGCATGCCGCCGAAGCGAAAGGCCAAAGGCTCAGCGTCCCCGGCACGTCGGACAGGTCGCACATCCAAGACCTCGCCTGCCACTGACGAACATGAAAGCGATACCATCACGGCAGGACCAACAAAGAGGGCGCGTGAGGCTTCCTCGCGAGCTGCCAAGCAGAATGCTGACTCGGACGATGATGACTTTGGGACATATGGACGGTAGGCTGATTGCCCGGCTGGAATCGGGTCAAAAACCATCCCACTAACAGGGAGTGCATGAACAGGGCCTCCTTAAAGCCAGCGACCATCGAGCAGCATTTGATGGACCAAAATAAGAAGTCCAAGGCCTTCATTCAGGGCTTTAAGGAGCAAGTCGCACAGGCACGAGACCAACTTCACGAGATCCTGGCAAGACTGAAGCAGGACCTGTGCGTACCTAGAGCACCCCTATCCTACCAAACTTCCCTATCACCTGACATCTTTGATGTGCTCATAACTGACCGACGTACTTGAAGGGCCAGACCATCCCACGATGCCGCTGCCGGCGATGACAGTTACCACCCGTCAGCGTCAGATATATTTCCCACCCTGCAAGCCGCCGCCGCCCAGTCGTCCTCCACGAAGGACGATAACCCCCTCTTCGAGCAAACGCAAGCGCTCCTGCGCCTGAGCCGCGCCATCCTCGCATGCCATCGCACAGTGGAACAGCACGCCCGCTACGCGGAGAAAGTGACATCCCCGCGCGTGACTTGGGCACAGGACGAGGAGGGCATGAGGAAACTGCTGGAGTATGGGAGGCTGTATGGCGAGAGGGTCGTCGAGGGGTGGATTACGCCTCGAGATCAGGACGAGGGTGACGAGGATGGTGATAGTAATGGTGAGGAGGAGAAGAAGAAGATGAGCGAGGCCGAGAACTTGGCCAGGGGGCTGTTTGAGTGGCGAAGAAAGGGTAGGGGCCTGCCAGGGAAGGCGGAGGAGAGCTGGGGCGTCGCGGCCAGGAGGCAGATGGTTGTGCTTGCTGGGGTTGTTAGGACGCTGCCTTCTAAAACCTAAAAAGCAGTGAGAGATATGTGGGTTGGCTGAGGATGGATGGGATTAACTGGGCGGAGACAAGCGGATGTTGCTATTCGGGTGGGATTGCCTTTCGCTGGCTGGTGCTGAGATTTGGGGGTCGGTCATGATGAAGGTCATCTGTGATGACTACAGTAGCTAGAGCTGAGTTTCATTCGGGGGTACGAAGATCGAAACCATCCCAGCATGTCCAAGCAATCATATCAACGGTGTCTTGCTTGAAGCACAGCAATGCAAGCAACGGATTTTGATGTGGGCCGATGCCAAGACCTCCTGTCGAAGTCGAGTGTGTGGAGCTCAAATAGCTGCACTAGCCCGTAACGGGACTAGCGGCTCAACCCTTCGGTTAGGGCTTTCGCTTTCCACAATCGCAGAGTTCCCGAATTTTTGTTCTCACCGACCTCACGAACTCGGCGGATTCTTCGACCCGACTAACAACAGGAATTCGAGGCTGGTGCGTATGTCCCTTTCCTCACGACGGCGCCTTCTTTTTCTGTTTTTCTTGGTTCAATCAACCTCAATTTTTCATTGCCCGACTTCGTTGGCAACTTCGAGCTTACCTGCGAGAATACATAGGCAAAATGGGTGCCCTTAAGTACCTCGAGGAGCTTTCGAAGAAGAAGCAGAGCGATGTCGTTCGCTTCCTTCTCCGGGTTCGCTGCTGGGAGGTTAGTTAACGCACCCTCGGATACTGTGGACGGAGGCCTTCGCGGTTCGGTCGGCGACGGATTCGACTTTCTGTGCTGTCTGGATCCTCGCCAACCAAACCACGGACCTGGCATCGTTCTTGCTATACACTCGTTGAACATTGCTGAGAGTGCATCAATATAGCTCCGCCAGTTGAACGTCATCCACCGTGCCTCGAGGCCCAGTCGCCCCGACAAGGCTCGCCGCCTCGGCTACAAAGCCAAGCAGGGCTATGTCATCTACCGCGTGCGTGTCCGCCGTGGTGGCCGCAAGCGCCCTGTCCCTAAGGGTGCGACCTATGGTACGAACTCCGCAAATGCGCTTCTCTCGGGTTTTGTTTTGTGCAATTGGCACATGGGATTTCATGAGACTGACTGATTTTCTCTGCGTGCAGGCAAGCCCACCAACCAGGGTGTGAACCAGCTTAAGTACCAGCGCTCGCTCAAGGCCACGGCCGAGGAGCGTGTCGGCCGCCGCTGCGCCAACCTCCGCGTCCTGAATTCGTACTGGATTAACCAGGACTCGACCTACAAATACTATGAGGTCATCCTCGTCGACCCCCAGCACAAGGCCATCCGCCGCGACCCCCGCATCAACTGGATCGTCAACCCCGTCCACAAGCACCGCGAGGCCCGCGGCCTCACCGCCACCGGCAAGAAGTCGCGCGGCCTCAACAAAGGCCACCGCTACAACAAGACCCGTGCCGGCCGGAGAAAGACGTGGAAGCGCCACAACACCCTCTCTCTCTGGCGCTACCGGTAAGCGTCTCGAGGGAGACGATCGTGATGAACTTCGCGGCTTGGACGGTGTCTCGGCTCTGTTTCTCGTGGCTCGCTCAGTGGAGTGGCATATCGGACAGGCTGGCTCATTGGGAAACCACGGCGAAGCCAAGCATCGCCGTGATGACATTCGGGAGTATTGGGATGGGGAATTCGATTTAGTCGAGCAAAAAAGGAATGGACTGGCGCCCCACGGGGTGTCAATGATGTTTGTCCACAAACCTTGCATTTATGAATGGCATTGTGATTCCCGGGCATCGAGTTTGGTTTTGAAAGCAGCTCGTTTCCCACCTTCGCTTTCCGCTGCGTCCCCTGTTGCTGTGACTGTTTATGCTTGTTCAAGTCTCCCACTAAAGGCAAGCTATAGTTAACTTTCCAATTGACTCGGGATGTCAAGTGTCCTTGAAGGCGCCCATCGCACTCCTCCTGCCGCCGTTGCCAGTTATATTCTCCACATAAGGTAGCCTGCTGCCACTTTGGTAGGTAGGAAGTACGTAGTCGATTCCATTCAACTGTTGGTGTTGGATAGCTTGGAAAAGTAAGGGTGTCGACTACCGCATCTCACGTCGTGTTCTGCTCCTTTCCACCCTCACCGAAATACACATGAATCTAGAGCTTCACAAAAAGAAGTACTGGCAAAAACATACAACACCAGGGTCGCCGGTCGTCAGCGACCCAACTATCAGCTTGACGGTCAGTAGCTTGTCGGGGGGAAGATCGGACGGTATCCCGAATTCTCTTACGACTCTTTGTGGTTGGTGCAAAGTATGCCGAATGTGGAAGCTTAGGGCACCAGAAAATGGGATACAACAACCCGAAGGATGGGATGTAAACTGAAGCAAAATACTACACCTCCACCGGGGTTTTAAACGTTGGCGCGATACAAGCTCCACTCACTAACTGAAATAAACAGCAAGTGTAGATACTTTAAGTTTCATAGAGAAAGCATCTTAAACTCAGTACTCGATACTTCCACCCTCAGTTGCAATCACTCTCCGTAACCTGTCTGGCATCGAGTGTGCCAGCCGTAGTAAAAGGTCCTCCGGAATTGCATCCCATGCCTCTTGAATAGCCGTACGGAGAGCCGAAAGACTAAGTCGTTGAAGATCTGGATAGTAGTCTTCAACGTAGCTCTTCAGCCATTGTCAGAGATTCTCTATCGGGTTGAGGTCCGGGCTTCGTGCAGGCCAGTCTAATAGGTCAAGTCCAAGTGCCGTGATGAGACGCCTCGTTGACTGAGCTATATGGGTAGCAGCATTGTCTTATTGGAATGCGAATCCGCAGCTGTAAGACTTCCAGAACTGCCATATAAGTGGAAGTATATAACGCTGATATTTCTCAGCGTTTATACCCCCATATCCCTTCTCCTAGAAGAACCCGGGTCCCTTGTGCTGTCTAGCGAAGTGTCATGGGTGGGACAGGCTGATAGTCCAATGGCAGTTGTATTCGGGCTAAGCTACAGTCTGGGCTCTATTCCGTCAGGTACGGGCAGGCTTGATTGTCAAGACGTAGCTCCAGGAGCTACGAACAGAACTCGCGGCAGCGAGGTGCAGGATCTTCAACCCGCAGGGGCCCCCACACGCTGGGCCCCACTCGTGGGTCCTGAGGCACGGCGCAATCGCCGTGACACGAAGCAGCCCTAGAACATCCAGCCATGTAAATTTGTCCGAAGAAGTGCCCAAGTTCGAGGGTCATCGTTGTCGTATATAGTAATCCACCTCTTCCATAAAGGGTTATTGGTAGCCCAAGTCTCATCGCTAAAGATAACCTTTTCACAGTCCTCGGGAGTAGGTCGTAGAGCCAACTGCTTATATGTGAAGGCGAGTCGTGCGGCCTGGTGCTGAGTAGTCAGTTCAATCCTGTAGGGGCGTTTCCTCCTTAAGTAACCCATCGATCGTAGGGCTTTAAGAATCGTAGTCTCTTGGAAGAACTCAAGCCCCGAGGTATAGTACTTCAAATCGCCCTATGGGAGCTCGCGGAAGAGGTTGTCAGCTTCGAGGTAATGACGGAGAATCTCTTTCTGCGGAGTACGGATCAATGGGAGTCTGCCTATATGGCCAGCTTTCTGCGGAGTGACTGAGCCGTTATAGGCCTACTGCACCTGCCGTTGAGTCGCTCCCAAGGCCCGGGCATCGCTTGATAGGACCACTTAGCATGATTGCATAGGGCTCGCACCTCTGTTTCTTGTCTTGCAAGAGTTCTTGGGTACGGCACCTCGTGGATGTCGTGGCTTGGCCCGTAGGCTCTGTGCGTTGCGGCTGCCGGATTCGCTGACATTGTAAGCGGTAAAATCGCTCCCATCAGGCGAGTTATGGATGCTTGTATGATTGATCAGAGCGCGGATATTCATCCTTGAGTTGCGAAGGTCGATCTGTGAACGACAGTGGAGCGAATAGCGTACGTATCCGTAAAGAAAATAACTGGCTTGACTTCGAGGTACTTTACGATAAGAATTGCTAGGAGAGTGACCCTGTAGATGATTAAAGATTTCGGTAGAGCTGGATAGCGTAAATACTGTACATAGTAGACCAACTTGGTTAGTGGTGGTACTTGTATCGCGCTAACGTTTTAAATCCCCGGTGGAGGTGTACTGCCCATGGTCGTATATGTTCGTGAGAGTGAAGAGGGCCTGGTCAAGAAGGGAGGGAAGCGGTGGAGTCGGGTGAGATGGCAGGTGGGATGGGAGGCAGGGGGATTGAAGGTCTTGAGGCTCACTTCCATTTGAAGCAGCGCTCGCCTGCGTTCACGGCAAAGTCTTTTTCGGCTGTTCGTTCCTGAAGCTTTATCCCATCGAAAACCTCGAGAATCAGGGACCACTCAGATGGGTGTGCGGGTTGTTGGAGCTTCGTGGTGGATATGGTACTTGATGGAGCGCAAACGAAGAAAGTCATAATGCATGATTATACGGATACATGGCCAACAAATCCAGCTACGGGTCTATCTTGCGGGGTTGTGTAGCGCTGGCCATGTTATGGCTCGTGGAACCACGAGAGGACGTCGATGTAGGATGATCATCTTTTAGGACCGTACCACAAGGCACGAACTGGTCTCGTCTCATAGCACATCATCCAGAGTTTCCTACACTAGGCGTTTTGGATCTATGCAAGCATTCCCTAACAAGAGAAGCAAGCAGAGGAACGATCATTTCCTTTGCAGCAAAGGCATCAGCGCCTTGTCCCAATCTCATAGCACGTTTTCAGTCACAAAGGGAACAAGATAAGAATGCACTATGTGTTCGTGTCATCTGCTCTAAATACAGGCAAATCAAGGCAGGCCAGGCCAGCGCGTGCGAGCCAGCCCGGGCCAAACTGCTGCTGCCGGATCAGCCACCCATGACGTACGCCCTCTGCGCCATCGCTCCGATTTGCCCCTGAAAGCAAACTTGATGAGGCAGAGGTTTGCGCATCGATTCGGAGGGGCGACTCGAGGGCGACACCGGGCGGGCCGCAGAAGAAATCAAAGGAAGACATCCACCGAATTCCAGTGCCGCCGCAGACTGATGTCGAGTTGACAGCATGTGGCGGGGAAAGAATATAACGCCGGTACCAACTGGAAGAGCGCCAAATCAAAACCGTGGACGCCCGTCAATGTTGAGGGGGGTTGCAATGAAGGCCAGCCAGTTACCTGGAATGTTGTCCAGATCCACCCCAGCACCTGAGACCCAAGCCGGAGATAGCCGTCCAATCTATAGGGTGCCTGTGCGAATCGATTTGAGTCCGTCTGCAAGGTCCCAGACTGTGATTCTTGCTCGCATGAAGACTGGGAGGTGACCGGAGAGGTCAAGCCAGCCCAAGGTAACTAGCCGCCGAGGAGCGAATATCTGCGGTGCGAAACCGCCGCAACAGTGGCCATGTAGAGTGCAAAGTACAACCTGAATTTGCAAAGGAGCCTCGCATCCCGGTGCCCTGAATCATTCTGCCATATCTCTCGGAGATGATCCACCGATATGACTGGCGCAGTGGATGTCTTAAGATGGCGAGCAGATCTGGGTGAAACCGAGAGAGGTTCCCGAGAGAATTCCGGGGGGCAGAAGTTGCGAGAGAACTGAGAACCAGATGGGGAAAACCGAGAGCCGAGACGAAACAAAGGAAAATACTCGAAGGAGATAATTACGCTCCCAGAACGCTCTATGTCGCCGCGACTGCCTCGTACCGATCGAGCGGATAGTGTACAACAAAGCGGGCCATCTCGAGACGGGTCCATCATGAGTCTCGAGGGAGGTGCTTATGCTCGATGGTTGTTATTTTTTCGTCGCCCAGTGAATACCGTGTCGCATCATGATGAAAATCGAAATGCCGTGCCAGTCGTCGCTAGTGGAAACAGTGAGAAGAGGAAATGGTCGTGACGGTCGTAGCATGCCGATAATGCCTTCGTGGCTAGTGTAGCAGGCGGAAAGAAGACGGGAAGAACGCGCGTCATCAAGCCCAAGACTCATATCTCCGCCGAGCTGCATTGGCAGCGCTGCGAACAATTGCTTAGACCCACTGCGTCTCGCCGTTTTCAGTAGAGCCCATTGGATTGAACTGAGGCGAGAATTGCTGCTGGCCGCGGGGCGGCGACATGGGAGTCTGGTTCTGCGGGCCGGGAACGGCGATGACCGAACTGCTTGGGTACATAGCACCGTTCATACCTGCGCCGTTGGCACCATTGACACCATTTGCGTAAGCTCCGGTCGCAAGAATCGAGGCACCATTGGGCATGGCACGGCTGTGGACAGGACGGATGGGAATCTGGCCGCCAGCTGGGTCCGTTGGCAGGACCTGCCCGGTATTGTTGGGGCCGGTCCGGCTATCGTATGCCTGGATCTTGGCCTGGATGCGACGGCCATAGGGCGTCGCGCGGATGCTCGGGAGGATGGGTCGAATCGCCTCGATAAGCCGGTGCTTTGACATGGGAGTTGCGTAGTCGAGGGCGGTCTGGATCACATAGTTTCCAAACGAGTCGCGGAGCAGGCGGTCGATTTCGCCAGGAGCCAAGAGCTCCGAAACGATCATGTCCCGAGACTGTTCAGAAGAGCAGCGCAGACATTTCTCGACGACGTTGGAGCTAAACTTGTGCTTGGAGAGGGCGCCGATGCGGCCCTGGAACTGCGCAACAAGGGGCTCTGTGAAAGTCTCCTCGTTGAGGTCGATGATGTACTGAACGACGTAGTTCCCAAATGGATCCTGCACCAGCGTGACGGCATGCTCGGTGATGCGCTCAATAAGCCACACCTTCTGGGCACCATCCGCATGGTCAATGCAGCGCTGGAGAACGCAACAGCCATGACGGTGTGTGCCCACTTCGACGCAGTGCTTGCCGACAGCATCGAAGATGAAAGAGGCATCGGCAGCGCTGAGCTTGTTCAGGCACTTTTGGATGACGTGGTTGCCGTTGAGATCCTGGATGAGCTCGACGACCTGGTTGCGCAGAGCCTCGACGATCAGGTTGATCTGGACCTGCGTGGTCACATGCTCGATCATCTTCTGGAGGGCTCGAGTACCATGCTGGTTCAAGGCGATCGTCACCATGTTCGACGCGGCATTCTGAATCAGGACAGTGCGCTCGTCGTCGTTGCAGTACTCCAGCAACTTCTGGCAGAGGTAATTGCCGAAGGGATCGGTCATCAGCTCCACTACGTGCTGGTTGGTCTCGAGCCAAATCATGTGGATCTGCTCGGGAATGCGGTTCTCAAGCTGCTTTTGCAAGTAGCGGCAGCCGTGTTGGTCCTTGCACAGAGAGTAGATGGTACCGCCGACTTGCTCAAGCGGCAAGTTGTTGAACCGAGCCATGGCTGTCAAGATCGTTAGCACTGCGTGATACGCCAGGAAGAAATGAGAAAGTGGGAAGGCGGAGCACGAGCTTACCTTCACTGTCCATCTGGCGGCGACTCTGGATGACGCGCGCCTGGCTGTCCTGATGCGAGCGAGGAGCAGGAGGCTGGTTGTAGAGGGGATTGTACCCTGTGAAGTTCTGCTGCGAATACATGGCAGGCTGATTGCCGTTTGCAATCGACATGTTCTGCATGAGCATGGGGAGAGTATTGTAGCCGCCAGGAGGAGGAGCGCCCATAGCATTGTAACCAGGGCCGGGGGGGTAGAACGGGTACGGCATCGCAGGAGCATGTGCGGCCACAGCTGGCGTCGCAGCAGATGGAGACTGCGCCGGCTGAGTCGAAGCCGGACCAAAGGGCGGTGCGTTGGCATGCAATGTCGAGGTGATGGACGGATAAGCGGAAGTGTCGCGGCCATTAGCCGAAGAGGCATCCGCCGATAGCTCGCGGTTGTGGCGGCTGGGCATGGCGCCGGCCGGGATGCGGCCAATGCTGGCGTTGTGGTTGTGGAAGTGCTGCTGGGCGTGGTTGTTGGCGTTGCCACCCAGGGTGGAGGTGCCGTTGGTCTTGACAGTCGGCACGTCGTTCGCAGAGTAGGACTGGTGCAGCTTGGGAGGTGAAGCCAAGGCGTGGGCCGTGGGCGGGGAGACGACCGAGGTTGCCGGCGTATCGGATGCAGCGGTAGCGGTTTCCGGGAAAAGCTTCATGCCGTCCACCGAGTGGCGGACGTTGGCCGGACGGTTGCTGCCGATGGTGCTGGCCTCGGACGGCGAACCGATCGAAGCACCGCCGTTGTGCTGGGTGGAGCCCATGGTAGACATACTCTGCTTGTGGCGATGCTTGTTAATACTGTTCCAGCCCTTGGAGGGATGATTCTCAGACCCAGAAGTCTGGAAAGGGAAAAGGTCGGGAGCAGCCGAGGATGCAGACGTCTTGAGGCAAATGTTAACCGGTTGGGTACAGAAACTATGTGAAGTGATGAAGTGGCAAGGTCAAAAGTTTGCAATGAGAACGTCAGGATACAGAGGTAATTTCTGGGATAAGCAACAAGCAAATCGGTAGACAAGCAGGTACAGGAAGATGAAGTCGTAAAAGTTGATGATGGGGTGGTTTGATGAAAAGGATGAATAATAGGTGGGAAATGTGGTTTGAGTGCTTGAGTGGGAGTGCGTGGGGCAAAGACCCCAGCTTCCCCGAACTTGGGACCAAACGGCCTGCAGCTGATTTTGCCAAAACAATAAGAGTTTCTGAAATTCTGCAGGAAAATGACAGGGACAAAGCTTCGAGGAATAGAAAGGTGAACGAGGGGTGCGAAAGATGCAATAGCCACCTCAAAGAGAGCCCGGCCTTGCTCGAACGGAACGAGACAAACTCACCATGCTTGGATATGCCTGCTGCCGAAATAAGGATGCGAAGGAGTCGGTATTACCAACCTGGGCTGTGTGCGCCGTTCCGGTCCCCGCCGAGGTAGAATCCTCGTCGCCAAACAAGAAGCCGGTCGTGTTGTTGCTGTCCTCGAGGCCGATGTCGGTCAAGTATGTCCGGGAGCGGGTCACGGGCATAGAATAGCGGTTGAGTCTGGAAAGAGGTGCTCCGTCAGTAGCTGAGCTCGTCTTAAATTCCCGTCTCTTTGCGAGATTGCATTACATCTGGGTGGAAAACCGAAGTTGGGGGAGCCGTCAGCGGTCCTCGGTGAGGTTGGAGCCCTCAGTATTATCCACGCTGGGAAGTGCGCAAGATGCTGGGCTCGCAATGTTGCCGAGGCAAAAGAAGAACGGCGTGGAGAAAGTTGATGTTTGAAGATGAGTGAGGATGAAGATGAAAAATGCGAAGCAGGTCTAAATAACAGTTTGAAGCTCTTAAAGAGAAAGCAAGAAGATATTGGACGAGTGGTATCACCACTATTGAGCAGAGGCGAAGCGCCGGTACACTACCCGCGGAACTATTGTCTCGCTATCCGCTGAATTGTGGATGAAGGGACAACATGAATAGGGTAGAGGAAGGATGAATAAAGGGTGAACCCAAAACTCCATATTGTGCAGTGTGGCCCAATTCAGGAGCACTTCGGACGGAACCAAAGCAAGGAGCCGGCGAGAATTCAGTAGAAAAGGCAAAGATATGAAGGCCATGTGATGGGGGAAAACAGAAGGGAAGCTCAACGGGGCACTGCTACACTGCTCACGACCATCTAACCGCCATACCCGCGAGGTCGTGGATGAATTTCAGAAGGTGGCCACTTACGCGTTTGTTGAACGATGGCTTGTGGGGTCCTGCCGGACTGCCTCTTCCTTCTCGTCTTCGTCACTGTTCCGCCGAGAGCCTGGCACCGAGCGTGATGGGATGTCGTCGAAGGGGAAGCGGGACGGCAGAGTGCCGGAAAGAGGCGAGGTAAGAAGCGAGCCGGACCGTCCTGGGCGGTTGAAGAGGCCGGGCGGAGAAGCGAGGCTCGAGGTCGAATAACGGTTCGGTCTCGAGAAGATCGAAGGGAAGCCCGAAGTTTCGCGATACTCAGGCGGTGTTGTCGGCTCGGACTGATGGCCGCCATACCGAGCATTCAAATCCTCCGCCATCTTCTGAAGCTCCATCTCCTCCAGCCGCTGCTGGGCGTCCAGCTTGTAGATCTCGGCTTCAAAGCGCCGTCTGTGCTCTCGAAGCCTTTCGTAGTCCATCCGTTTTTTTTCTAGCTGTGAAGAAGTCAGTTAACCGTTCCGTCAAAAACGCAGGTACAGGGCGAGCAGCTGCGACAGGCCCCCGATATCTCAAGGCAAGCCCCCTCCGAATACCAGCGATGGTATTCACTGCCCCAACAAAAATTCAGGCAACCAAGGCGTCGTCATGGCAGCGCAGGCAACCCACCAATTGAACTTTATGCAGAGCCTGTTGCAACCAGTGTCAGCCCAGCGCTGCCAAATCCGCCGGGAGAACAGGTGGGTTCCTCCTCGAACACCCGGACACGTACCGTGGTTGAAGCAAAGTCTTGCGGCTCGCCGGCGCGCGGAATCGGGGTAATCGACGACAGTGTTGGTACACGACCGGAGTCGGTGGTGAAGCGGCGCGGCAGCAGAGGCCCGTTGCGAGGAGGCGACACGAAGGCCCCGCTCACCTGGGGCTCACCACGGGGGCTCTGCTGGGTGCGGAAGAAGTCGTCCATCTCGCTCGCCCTTCCTTAATACAAACACAGCTACTTTCGTACACGCGACCGGCGAATTGGACGGCGGTATCTCTTCTCTATAGATCTGGAAGAGATTTGCGGTCAGCTGTCTGGCTCGGCTGTGGAGGAGTCCGAGGGCTCGAGCTCGAGGTCCGTTTCTTCCTCCGTTCGAGCAGCTTCCCGTCCCGATTGATCAGGTATCAGCAGCCGGAGTTGGGCGTAAAGAAGCTAATAAGCATCTGTATTGGCACGCGCTCCCCCGTTCGTCGTTGCCGAAGGGTTGCTGTTGCTGCACCGGCGTCATCGGGTCCCAACCCCCCCCCCTCCCAACTGCCGTGCCCCCTCTCTTGCGGCGCCTGCTTCACGCTGCACAGCTCAGCGGGCGCATGGACGGACTCGAGCTCAAAAACCTCTTTGCATGCGCTGCAGCAAACAGATGGCAAGAACAGACTCCCACTGACCTAGAGAAACAAAGTCTGTTGGCACACGCTGCGCCCTGGAGACCAGGCGCAACAGCAAAGGGGCTGAAGCAGTAGTACAAAAAGAGCGTTGAATGGGTTGAGGGGGCAAATTCAGAAGCGCTGCCCGCTTTGGGAGAGGTCGGTTTATGGACAACGGGTGTGGTTGCGAGACCCCTGGCGGGGCTGGGTCGCTTTTGCTGTGCTGCCCTGGTGGTCAGTGCAGCACTTGTGTGCGCTAAAACGGCACCCCAGGACCCCCACCCTCTCGATTGGGCTGCTCTGGACTTGTCTCTCCTCGTCTTTTCGGCTCAACGCAACTACAATGGAGGATGGACGATAACACACGATCACTCACAATCAACCGGAGCGGAGCTCAAGAGGCAAGAAACTATGAGCAGTTGTAGGACTTGGAATTCTTACACATCCAGCTGCTCGGTGGAGGGAAGACGCCACAGATCGAAACATGGAATCGACTGCGGAGAGGGTTCGAGCTTGCTTCTAGGCTTGCTGCCCAACAAAGCCGCCACCAACCCCAGATTCTCGAGCTTACCCCAATATCAGACCCTTTGCCCTGCATTCGCCTCTCTGTGTGGCATATAGAGGCAATGGGCATGTCACCGTGCGGATCAGGGTCATACGTGCAGACTCGATACGCCAAAGAGCTTCTTCTCGCTTCATACCTGCGCACAAGGTGCATTTATGGCGTAACATGGCGCCCATCGCTCGTCGTCTTTCTCACCGTGATTATCAATCTCGAGGCAGCGATCCAGGGCCTTCCAGGATGTTGCGCCCTGACAGGATCCTGAGCCATGATGGAAGCAGGTAAGTCGGAGAAGCAGCGGTGCACGAAGATGGAAGGACGGGAAGACGGCAGAACTGCAGGGAGAGTGTGTCTGGCTGTAACTGTGCTGCCGCCGTGCGGGCTGCAGGCCGTCCCCGGTTTCTTGTCAACCCACCGCCTCACCACTTCGGCCAACTGGCGAGTATAAGGCTAGGCGGGTCTCTTAGGCCCGGCCTTTGCGAATGCATGCCAATTTCTGTCAGGTGTTAAATTGTGTCTGGCCACTTTCCTTCCATGACTCTTATGGCAGCGAGAGCCACAGTACCGTTCGGGTTGTCGCCCTGGAGTGGGCTGGCTCAGGTTATTTACACTCGGGTATATTTCTTTCCTCCTACTCTCTCACTCACTCCTATTTTGATTATGTGGGGATCATCCAGAAACACAGCAGCAAAACAGCATAGTTCATCCGAACAGACGCCTCCGAGTTCTTGAGAGGGGATGGTACCATCCGGAGACTATTCGAGACCAGTTGCGAAAAATGAGCCAGTCTCCACCAGCCTCGCCTTGGACAATCTCCATTCACTGGGTTTGGCGAAGTTGGCTCACCAATACGCTATCAAGCCGTCTCACTTGGTGTTCTGCATCCTTCATACACGCAGATGCCTTGCCACTCGACGATCAGCTCATTCTACATACGATGGGACGGCAAAGTGGCGACACTGCAGGAATGCTTCTCTGCATTCTCAAAACAATGGGAGAGCGAACCATCACCCAAAGCTCCAGGAACAGCTCTCGCTGGGCGAAGGAGCTCGGCATTGCATTTACCCGGGTTGACCTTCCGGACATCGAAACTCAATTGAAGGAAATCTGACTATCAGACATACACCGCTCACACTTCCGGATTGGCGTGACACGGCCCTACTAGCTGAACACTATCTGATGATCACTTTGTTGGTATCTCGCGGAGCGTGGTCGTCGACTGTAACGCCCGCTCGAGACACATGTCTGACAGTCCTAGCACCCTGACGCTGCCAGGCGAGCCCGGGTACTTTGTGAAGAGACTCGAGAGGGAGTCTCTGCTCGTCATCCTGGTTCCCGTCCCCGCCACCACGGGCCGCAACCCCTCCTGGATGTTGCAGCCAGGGGTTTCTGGTGTGGAGCTTCTCACTCGACCCTCCTTGTCAGACTTGTCTGCACATCTTATGTAACTACCCCCCTTTTTCTCAACATTCTCTCTCTTCTCGCGGCAGATGTTTGTCTCGTGACACCAGCACCGAACTCGGCGGCCAATTGAAGTTATGGTCATAACCGCGCTAAACATTCCCATACCGCAGCCAATGCGAGACATCAGTCTGTGACAAACTGTTCGGCCCCGGCCCCGCCCCTGCCTGAGGAGGATGCGCGGAGGGTATCACAAAGGACCCGTCGATCTCGGTGCGACCGGGAAGACGGCTAGCTCAACAGGTCTCAACAATACTGGGGTAGTCGAATTACACTTATCGGAATGGTTGAGGGATCGCTATATATTTGGCCCGGATGCCAGGAACCGTTTGAGCGTGGCAAGTCCAATCCGTGTCCTGGATTTGCCGTTTAAGTATGCGGTTGCGTGGGCTGACATGGAGGGGTTACTCGGCCCAGACTGCAGAGTCAGCCTCAAATCCCAACCCCACACTCGAACCTGACTTGCAGCATGCAGCTGTCCAAATTGCGGTGAGTTCATAGTGTATGCCGGCACCGTTGTCAAGGTCTCTCCCTAAGAACAAAGGGGAGCGTATTGGAGAAAGACCGCGACGGACTCGACATGGTAGCTTGGGAAAACCTAATAATAACTCCAGACCCTTGTCGCTGTGCACGACAGTTAACCGCTTGCACAGCCTACCTACCTAAGTGTGGCGGCTCATGAAACTGAAAGGTGAATGGACTCCCTTCATCTGCAAGATGGATTCACACTTGTTGAGAATCCTGCATCTGACGAGGGAGGTTTGACTTACAAGGCAGGGGAGGCGGGATAATTGATGAGTTTCCTTCCCTTTCTGGAAACTCATCGCGTACAAATACATGAAGACTGTGACGACTACTACATCCGTACATCACTTCGGTTGCCCCGTCGACAATGAAACTGCTGATGGCCAATGTCTTGATGATTCTGTTTGCTGGGGAAAATTTCTATAAATCTGAGGCTTGACGGCGGGCTAGTCCAAGTCTATATTCAAGTTTACTGATTTTAAGATGGAATACAGATGGTACAGCAATATTACGCATACACTTGCCGTAATTAAATTTATTTCCTTCGGGTCCCACCAAGCTTCAAGTTAAACGTTATCCACACAACTTCAGGAGTCTTTCGTCGTGTCCCGAGAACCTCTACCAACCGGTCTAGCCTATCTTAGTTGTGCTTTTGGGGGGCACAACTCAATCCTACCTAGGTACGCTATCTCCCAAGTCGTGATCGATTTTTCAGCTGTGCCTATCCATCTTCAAGTCAAACAACGCGTCAAGTCAAGTGACCGGACCCCTGATGTGATGCAACCACCTCGATTAACCGCTGTGTTTTCGCGGTCTTGAATCACTGGCGTATATTATCAACGGGTGATGCATATCAGCGAGTGATGCATATCAGCGAGTGATGCATATCAGCCAGTGATGCATATCAGCCAGTGATGCATATCAGCCAGTGAGGCACACGTGGCACAGTAACAGTTTTTGATGGGGGCAGCAGTGCAAAAAGCCCGCAAATATTGTTAGTACATAGTCAGATGGTCGACCTTAGCAATTTCTATCGTCAGCTTGCGTTTAGTTCCAACAAAATCTGTCACTGTGCCTCACTCGCTGACATACCTCACTCGCTTATATGCATCACTCGCAGATATTACGTTACACGCTACTTTGGCTCATGTCTCAAAGTTGGACTTGAGGTTCCATATCATTCTGGCTTTCTGTTTTCTATTCACGACAACTCTACGTCCGACCATCATCCCTCCATTGACCCTCTTTTCAACTCAATAAGATTGAATGTCGTCTGACACTGAGCGAGGGTTGGGCATGTTCTTTCCGTTCGAGCGTTCCGACAGCAGTCGCTTACCAGAAAGCCACAGTTTAGGCAGCCATTCCAGATCACTCCACCTTCCCGGATAAGCCTCTAAGTATCTCGAGTGGAACATGCTCATGTCAGTTTGAAGTCGCCTGTTCCAAGCTCCCCAAAGACCCCTTGGGGTGAAGAGCAATAGAAACATGGGGTTGCCTAACTGGCTCAGGATGGAAGTGCTAATTGCCTGGCTTTGTGATGGCTCGCATTGACAGAGTAAGCACAACGCCCTCCTGGTGTTGAGCTTTGTCTCATTTCTGCCCCAGCTTTAGCGGCTCTGGGTGCGGAAAGAGAGCTCCGGACTGTCTCTGTTCTACATCCTCTTCAACCTCCAGGTTGCGACCGAGCTTCTCACCATCTCCTTGTTTTCATCGTCAATTGCCGGGCCCAGTCGCGTCATGTCTTCGTTCACGACCCCCCAGATGCCGGCGATATCATCAACCTGGCACAGTTCACTTTGGTCTGGGTGCCAGGGCTCGAGTTTCCGTGGGGAGAGGTCGGTTAATCGCCGGTGCCAAGCTGATTTACACTGGTTGGTTTCGTGCCCTTTGACCATGCCTTATTTGCTGTCGCACAATTCGTGTTGCTGTTTATGGCCCTGCGTCAGCGGAGGGTGAATCACAGGGACCTGTTAGGGGCGTCTGCGGGTGAGACAAAGCCGTTGCTGTCGAATTGAACGGAATCTAGCTCCCAATCGAGCATACATACAAGCGCAGCTGGAGGATACGAATACCTCATTCCACCACTCTAAACTCCATACCCTCAGGATGAGACACCACTAGCTTCGGCCGGCCCCTGTTACCGCGCGGGTGAGTCACCTTGCCTGCAATCCAGCAAGGCAGCATGACTACACTGTCCGCATGTTCCTCGGCATCACCCCAGTCCCACCAATCCACCATTGCGCCATTAAATCTACAGAGATACAAATCACCCACCTTAGTGTCGCTTGGGGGACGAATTCATCGCTCCCCCTGGAGGCGCCGGGTCGTGGTCCACGACTCCCCGGGTCTTAGTGTTGTAAAATGATCATGTTGAATCACACGGACAGCCTCGTCGGGGAGGTCGTAGATCTGAAAACCCGCGGTGCCATCGTCCAGGTCGCAACCTTCCCAAGGCATTTCGCTGCTACCGCCGGGCCGGCGATAGATGCTGACTGCGTCACCTAAGGAGCTGTCGAGGCCAGCCAAGATCGCCCAGTTGCGGAACGTGATCGGCCGTGTCATTGTCTCCGGGGCTGGGTAACAATCTGGTCCACAAATCTCTCCGGTGTAGATGACCTTGAGTTTGATGTCGAATACGCTCTTGAGCGTATTCGACTTGTGGGCATTCTAATGTGACGCTCAGAATAGACGCTCCTGGGCTGCGAAGCATGTCAGCTTTGTAGCACAAAGGACAAGAAACAGGGCAAGGTAAACTTTACACTCGATGTTCTAGGCCCAGGGGAAGAGCCCATCCATTTATGATCGTCGTGCTCATGCGCGACTGTTCCTCTCGCCACTGCTTCTCGGCATATTCGCGTTATCAAACCCGTTCGTGAATTCATGGGCGGCACGCCCCGGCCACACCGTCTCCTCCGCCCGCACCGTGAATGTGATTCGGGCGCCACCGGGAATCTTCAGGGCAGGCAGTTTTCTGACCTCCGACGGCGGCAAGACATGCCGCGCCTTCATCTCGTGACAAATATACTAGTGTTTAGTGCCCCAGTCCCACATAGCCACCTCAGCGCCAGGGTACAGCAGCGTGTACGTCTGGCCGGCGTGGAGCGCCCGGTAGTAGCGATCCGGGAGAGCCCCGTCGTAGTGCACTTCGTTACCAGGCGCCAACTGGTGGAGCCCGGCGTGAGTCCACTTCGAGGGAGAGGCGTGGTGTCCCGGGCCTGGTATTGGAGGATGAGCGATTTAGAGTACCTATCATTCAAGATCGCACGTGGCGAATAAGACAGGTTGTAGTTACATCAAGTCTTCTTCCCTCACCCTTATGTAGGGTGACAGGTTGTCAGTTTCAGTTTCGTCCATTGCGTCCATGAAGGTAAGCCTGGTATGGTATTTTTGAATAGGGAACCATCTGATTCAATCCGCAACCCTATTCGACACTGCCTCATGAAGGGTGCTTTAGTATCGGCAGGGCTAGGGCGACCAACGCCTTGACACCTGGTGGTTTCCTCCAATCACCTCCTTAGTAGAAGCACTGAACATCCGCGTCCGCGCCTAGCCCCATGTGACAGGGGTTACAATCAACACACTGCTGAAAACAGAGAAAGACTGACAATTATCCGTCGTCACGCAAGTCTCTGCGGTGTTGTGACCTTCCCGGATGTCGCCTACACCTTTCTTCCTTTCCCGTTCGCCTTGGGCGACCAACAACGTCAAGCAGGAACATCACCCTCACCACGCGCATCCGCCAATTTGATCAGGGAAAAATTGAAGCCTCCGGAGCCACCACCCTCGTCCTCACGCTTGCAACAGCAACACGACGCCTCCAGGCGCACGGCGTGTCGCAATGCTACTTCCCGAGCGGCACCAAGAGCGAGGACGTGCCATGCGACCCGGACGCCGACGTGAGCATGTGCCGCGGCAGCGCCGATGCCTGCGTCCCGTCGGGGCTCTGCCTATTCCCGGTACGGGGCCCGGCAAGGGCGTCAGGTAAAACGTCAACAAGTGACCCAATCACAACGCCCACGTCAACTGCAGAGTCAGAGGCTGTTTCAGGCGCAAAGGGGCTTAGTGCCGGGGCTAAGATGGGTCTAGGGATTGACCTCGGTATTGCCTCGCGATTCTGGCTGCGGCGGCCCTCTTGACATGGTCGTGGATGACGCCTCGAGCGCCGGCATCGGGAGCCACTTGGAGCGGTAACTCGTACCGTGACCCTGGGGGATTGCCAAATGACTCCAGTGGGCAAGGTATCGTGAAAATTGACGCCACAAGAAATCAACCGACCGAGTTGTACGCTGCTGGGGACATGTGGAAGGCTGGGGACCATCACTCTGAGCTTCCCAGGCCCGAGGGACGCGAGTCAGCAGAGATGTATGCAGGGTCACATCAACCATACTACAGCAGATCGTAGCGAAAAGATTAAGAAATGAACAAGGCATTGTTTGTTTGGTAAGGTATGACCTCAGGGGCCAGTGTGAAACAACACTGCCATCGAATTTGCACCATATCTATCAACGTCTCCCTCCACACCAGCTCATCAGTGAGGCAGTGAACCCAGATTTCGGACAGACGCAGCCCAGAACCCTCTTTTTTCAGTCCTTTCCAAACCCAGTGCCTAAGCACCCGCGCCTCGTCTCGCATGATATCAGTGCTTCAACTCCGTGCTTCCCTCCATCTCAATGCCAGGAACAGACCCAGAATCCACAGCCTACACACGATAGATTTCAAACCCAACAAACCCCGCCTTAGAGACCATCCCAGCGGCAATACAAATCACCGTCCCCTCGGCCCCAACCCTGCTCTCCGCCTCTCCCGCCTCAGAAGAAGTGGTAGCATACCGCTCCACAGCAATCTCAATAATGCCCCCCAACTGCGCGGGCCCCAGAACAACCTGGCGCGCGTCCAACGTGCCGTTGGCAGAGAGGTACTGTGCGCGGAATCCGCAGGTGCCCTGGGTCGCGTCGAGGGTGTGGTTGTTTTCCTCGGTCGGCGTCCAGGGGAAAGGGAGGGAAGATGGTAGGGTGGTGGAGGCCAGTGCGAGGCAGTCGGCTGCGAGGGCTGAGGACGGTGTGGTTGTGTCTTGGATTGAGTTTGCTGTGCAGTAGGCAGCGCGCTTGGTGAGCATGTTTCTGGTTTCAGCTTCCGGGCGGGTGGAGGTCGGGAGGGCGAGGGCCCGGACGGCACCGGCCAAGAGGAAGGTCGTGAGGGTTGTGGATTTCATTTTCAGGTAGTTCTTAGGTTGTCTCGGGAAATGAGATTTGGTTGTGTGGTTTAAAGTTCCGAGTTGCCGGGTGTTCTGTTGTATGGGAAGGAAAAGGCAGGCCGCAGCGATGGTTCGGGAGGAAGGTGCGAGATGGGTTTGCGTAAATGATAGGTTCCTGCTGGGAACAAGCAAACAGAGGTCGACGAGGAATTGGATAGCGGATCGTATTAGTGCACGACAAACCTCGTGCTACTGATCCGTGGATTACTGGGCCGCTTTCATCCTTCGATACCACCTGTGCCGCACTGTCGCAGAGAGGTAATCAAACGATTTTCTCGTATTTCATATCTACCTAGATACCTTAGCCAACAATTCTGCATCGGCTTTGTGCGCTCCCGCGCAGTTAGGCAGACGGTCCTGGTTCAGTGGTTTCCCAACAGTCACGCCTCAAACGGCGTCTCGAAGGGCCTCTCGGCCTGTGGGGTGATGCGAGCCAAATGGCGACGCTGCCCGTCCTTCCAGTCTACCAGCGCCGAGTGCTGGGTCACGCGGTTGTCCCAGACCACGACGGTGCGCTCCTCCCACTTGACACGCGCATGGAAGTCGGCGCCATACGCGAGGTGGTCGTACAAGAACTTGAGGATTGCGTCCGACTCTTCCTTTTTCAGGCCGACGATGTCGCGGGTGACTGTTCAGTAGACCAAGCATGGTCAGCTACTCTGATGTGAAGAAAAAGAGTGAGGGTTGGGCGAAGGAATGAAAACCCACACTGAGGATTTACATAGATTGCCTTCTCGCCGGTCACAGGATGCGTTCTGACAATAGGATGTTCATTGATAACTGGCTCGCGCCGCTTGATCCCACCGCGCAGGACGCTGTCGTTGGCCTGCTCGACGGCCGAGTGCCTCGCTTTTAGGCCGTGCAGCCGCCGCTGGAACAGCGGACTGAGCCGGTTGTAGGCCTCGACGGCGTTGGCAAAGAGCGTGTCGCCTCCCGTTGACGGCTTGTCCAGCACATACAGGAAGGTCGTGCCGGGCGGCTGCTGCTCGTACGACACGTCCGAGTGCCAGGCAACGGTGGACGTGCGGTTTGTGAAGTATTTATCGATGGATTCGTCACCAGCACCGCGGTGTACGAGGTGGATTTCGGGATAGCCTGTGGGCGCGCCTGATGTTGGGTGGATGTGATGGCTGTGATTCAGGCGTCAGCATGCGATATTTGGTGATGTGGAAGACCAGTGTTTCATCATACCGGCCGAAATACGACCCAAACTCAAGGGCTTTTTCAATAGGAAGGTCGGCAAAGTCTTGGTCACGGAAGGCAACAACCTTACGCTCGGCGACGAACCGTGCCAACTCGTCCTTGCCCGCCGAGCTGAGCGTGCTGAGCTGGATGCCGCGGACCTCGGTGCCGATGGTTGGGGTCAGTATGTCACCTGGACGACTCCATCGGGCAGCAGGTTTGGGTACGATGAGTCGGCGTCCTTGCCGTGCTCGTAGTGCTCGAAGGGCTCGAGCGGCGGGTATTTTTCATTGCGGTCCCAGGTTGGGAGGTAATGGGGGTGCTGCCGGGAGGTTAGGCCGAGTCTCTGTACAGAATTATTATGATTTATGAAAGAGTGTGGTATTTTCACCTTGGCCGCTTTGTAGTCTTTGAGTCCCGCTTCAGCCTCTGCGTCATACTTGGTTGCCAGCTCCTTGTATGGGCTGATGAGTGAAGCTTGGAGCTTCAGGGCTGCCACGTCGGGACCGTAGGGGCCACGACTTCTACTGCGGAAGGGGCCATTGTTGGGATGTTATTGGTGTTGGGCACTAGAGAGATTGATGAAGAGGAGTTTTCCTGTTCGATGAAGCTCTGGGCATCAGACAAGAAAGGTCACCGCTTTTATGTCCCCGAATTTCCATTCAGGACCCAAGTTCTGAACTGACCTGCGGGGTCGGCACACTTGACGATGACACCCAAACATGGAGTAGATTGCGCGACCCTCATCGATTTTAGTCCCAGAAGCTATTCATTGTAAATTTGCGCTGTTCGCGTGGCGATTGTGTGCCAACTTAATTTTGCTGATGGCGCCGTCCAGGCAGGAAGGTCCGATCTGATAACGACCAATTCAGCACCGCTCTATGGCAATTCAAAACAGGTTCTCGTGCTTACGACGGTCATAGAATTGCGTGGTGATTTGTTTGAGCATCTGTGACCTCCGGTGCAGAGTTGATCGCGTCATCACGTGTCATGTATGACTAGTCTTGTCCGCCCGATTGGTTCGGCCACTGTGCCACTGGTCCTACCGGTATTCACGTCTGGCTTGTTGAACTTATAAAGCACGCCATCTTGTCTCATATTGAGACAAGTTGCTAGGTCTCGCGTTTCGTGGCTTAGACGGAGATAAGGCAGTGCCGAGTTTGGAGCCCGGAGGGCTGATTTGAAGCAGCCGAACATTGGCTACCTTGAAACGTAGTCCGAAAGCCATGTGCCTCCTGTCACGTCATTCAAATCATTACTACCCCTATCTTGGTTGCTTTGAACAACGGTTCTTAGTTCGCTTCCAGACCTGGACAGGCTCTTCAAGAGAGAAGGGTCATGCTTATCATGAACCACCCGGCATCCTTCATAGCTCGGGCCCACGGTTAGGCGAGGGACGCCCAAGGAGCTTCCATTCTTCTCTCCATATCCTCACTCTGGCGAGTTAGTCTGTTGCGGCCCTCATCTTCATTGTCCCAGTTGCTCCCAGGCGGGTTAAGCTCAATGGCTTGACTTATCGCCTTCAGCCGTGGTGCCTGGGTGGCTAGACTATATGGAGAACCTCGTCATGAAGGACATGGTGGCTATGAGCTAGAAAGTTCTCGATATGCGTAATTCTCACCATGTTTGATTTCCAGGCACTTGTTGCCCTTGAGCGAAGATCTGACACAGATAATATTACTGTAACGTTACGTTACAACAAGTTGATGTTCTATTGGGTCTATCCGTCAGTAATTCGGAAAGTTGTGCATTCTCGTGCAGCTGAGATGACTCCGTATTTCAATTTTTCACATTTTTAGAATCTGACAACGCAAAACCTGCAAGGTCCCTGTCGTCCCCCAACTTTGTGGCAGCTCGACGTTATCGATAAAAGCGTAGTTCATCGCGGGGCAAAAATAAATGTTTGGCTCACATCCCGCCGCTTGCACCCCGGTCGCCTCTCACAGCACGACGAGCCAAGATGGGCGCCATCGACGATGGCTTCGAGGCCCTGCTGGAGCCCTTCTACAACGGCAAAAAGCTAACCGACCCGATATCCACCAAGGAAGACAAGTATCAGCTATTGCCAGCTTTTCTCAAAGTCAAAGGTCAGTTGGCGTGCCACTGCGAGGCTCTACGAGGCTCTGCAAGAAATGCAAGTCACTGTGCGACAAGCACACCACTAACTTCATGGATCGCAGGTCTCGTCAAGCAGCACATAGATTCCTACAACTTCTTCGTCGAGCATGAGATCAAGGACATTGTCAGGGCAAATCGCTCTATCCGTAGCGACCAAGAAAAAGACTTCTGGCTCGAGTTCACCGACATCCGCGTCGGAACCCCTACCCGCAATGACTACAGCGATTTCAAGGCCCGCGACGAGGTCACCCCCATGGAGTGCCGACTCCGCGACATGACATACGCGGCACCGGTCGTCGTCGACATTGTATACTCGCGCGAGCGGAAAAAGATTGTCCGTAAAGACATCCCGTTATGTCGCATCCCCGTCATGCTCAAAAGCGCCAAGTGCTGTCTCAGCGGCGCCAACAATGCCCAGATGGAGATCATGAACGAGTGCCCCCTGGACCCCGGCGGCTACTTCATCATCAATGGAACGGAAAAGGTTATCCTCATCCAGGAGCAGCTCAGCAAGAACCGTGTCATCGTCGAGGCCGACGAGAAGACCGGCGGCGTCTCGGCGTCCGTCACCAGTTCTACCCACGAGCGCAAGTCCAAAACCTATGTCATTCTCAAGAAAGATCGCATTGTTCTTAACCATAACGTTCTCGTCGAGCCGATTCCCATCGTTATCGTTCTCAAGGCCCTCGGCGGCCTCTCCGACTACGAAATCATGGAGCTTGTCGCCGGTGGAGACGCGCGGTACCAGGACGACTTCCTCACCAATTTCGACGAGGCGACCAAGGCTGGTGTTTATACGCAACAGCAAGCGCTTGAATATGTGGGCACCAGGGTGAAAATGGGAGGGCCCAAGAAGGGAAGATCGATCGCTGCGCCCCGTCGAAGTCCCGTCGAAGAGGGGTTGGATGCCCTGGCAAACATCATTATTGCCCACGTCACCATTGAAGACCTCGACTTCTACCCGAAAGCCATCTACATCGCCATGATGGTTCGGCGTGTCCTAATGGCCGCGCATAATCCCAAACTCGTGGATGACCGCGATTTCGTGGGCAATAAGAGATTGGAGTTGGCCGGGCAGCTGCTCTCTCTACTGTTCGAGGACATGTTCAAGATGTTCGTTGGGAGTCTCAAGAGCAATATGGAATACTTCTTCAAGAAGCCCAACCGGACCTCGGCCTACGACCCTGTGGGCCCCATCAGCAGTCAGGGGCAGTACATCACACAGGGCCTGAATAGGGCCATCCAGAGCGGGAATTGGCATGTCAAGCGCTTCAACATGAACAGGGCGGGCGTCACACACGTTTTGAGCAGACTGAGTTACATTGCGGCTCTGGGCATGATGACTAGGATCAGCAGCCAGTTCGAGAAGACGAGGAAAGTGAGCGGTCCCAGAGCCCTCCAGCCATCGCAGTGGGGTATGCTCTGCCCCTCTGATACTCCTGAAGGGGAAGCTTGTGGTCTGGTCAAGAACTTGGCGCTCATGACCCATATTACCACCAACGCCGAAGAGGAGCCCGTCAAAAACTCTATTTTCAGCCTCATCCCCGGCGTCGCACCCATCAGAATGTCCACCGGCACCGAGATGCACAAGCCCGGCAATTACATTATCCACCTGAACGGTACTCCTTTTGCCTTAACGTCCCACCCCAAGCAGTTTGCGGCTCGGTTCAAGACGATGCGTCGTCGCGGGCACATCTCGCCTTTCATTGGCATTCACATCAACGAGCATTTTTCGGCCATCCACATCGCCACGGACGAAGGACGTATCTGCCGGCCCTACATCATCGTCAAGGACGGCAAGTCGAGGCTCAAAGCGGAGCATCTCAAGCTTCTGCAGCTCGGAGAGGCGACATTTGACGATTTTTTGAGGCGCGGCGTGATTGAATATCTCGACGTCAACGAGGAGAATGATGCGCTGATCGCCATCAGGGAGGAAGACATTAACCAGTCGACAACCCACATGGAGATCGAGCCCTTTACCATTCTGGGAGCAGTCGCCGGTCTCATTCCTTTCCCCCACCACAACCAGTCTCCCCGTAACACGTATCAGTGTGCCATGGGTAAGCAAGCAATTGGCGCCATCGCTTACAACCAGTTCAATCGCATCGACACTCTTCTTTACACGCTTGTGTACCCCCAACGGCCCATGGTCATTACCAAGACGATCCAGCTCATCCATTATGATAAGCTGCCCGCCGGGCAGAATGCGACAGTCGTCGTCATGTCGTACTCGGGCTACGATATCGAAGACGCACTTGTGCTAAACAAGGCGTCTTGCGACAGGGGCTTCGGGCGGTGTCAAGTATTCCGCAAGTACACTGCTGAGCTGCAACAATACCCCAACGGACGGAAGGACAGGCTAGGAGGCATCCAGAAGGGGGAGGATGGCCGCACCATTCCCAAGCACGCTTGTTTGGACAAGGACGGGCTGGCCGTTGTGGGCTACCGCGTGCATTCCGGAGAGACCATGATCATGAAGGAGACGCCGATCGACCAGACTTCGACCGGCATCGGCAGCGACCGCGGATCGGACGACTTCCGCCCGGCCGCCATTAACTACCGCATTCCCGACCCAGCCTACATCGACAAAGTCATGGTTTCCAACACGGAGAAGAACACGGCCATCGTTAAGGTCCAGACCCGCCAGACCCGCCGCCCAGAACTCGGCGACAAGTTTTCATCCCGCCACGGCCAAAAGGGCGTCGTGGGCATCATCGTCGACCAAGAAGACATGCCCTTCTCTGACTCGGGCCTCGTGCCGGACATCATCATGAATCCGCACGGTTTCCCGTCACGCATGACGGTCGGGAAACTCTTCGAGTGCCTGACAGGGAAAGCCTCGGTCGTGGCTGGCCGCCGTGATTACGGCTTCGGTGACGCTTTCCGCTCCCACCCCGTCGAGGAAATGGGCAAGGTCCTCATCGACCACGGCTTCTCGTGGGAGGGAAAAGACTATTTCACGTCCGGCATCACCGGCGAGCCCCACGAGGCGTACCTCTTCAACGGCCCCATCTACTACCAACGCCTCAAGCACATGGTCCAGGACAAGATGCACTCGCGCTCGCGCGGGCCCCGCGCCATCCTCACGCGCCAGCCGACCGAAGGTCGCTCGCGCGACGGTGGGCTGCGGCTCGGAGAGATGGAGAGAGATTGTCTGATAGCCTACGGCGCGTCGCAGCTGCTGTTGGAGAGGTTGATGTACTCGTCGGACGCGACGCAGGTGGATATCTGTGAGCGGTGCGGGCTGCTGGGCTATAAGGGCTTCTGCCAGACGTGTGGCAGCACCAGTCAGGTCACGCAGATGACCATGCCGTATGCGGCTAAACTGCTGGTGCAGGAGTTGATTAGCATGAATGTGGGCGTGAGGATGCAGTTGGAGGATAAGTTTCCCCATCCAAGGTAGGGTGTGATGGCGTTTTAGTTGGTGCTTTTGTCTGTATGATACTGGTGGTTTCTGGCATACTTGAGTCTAGCACGGCGCTGAAGAATAAGTTAGACGGAATAGCTGTTTCTCACATGAATGCGAAGATCCTGGTACATAATATGCTGGCGCTTGTTGGTGTCCAGATCCTTCCAGTGATGGTATGTATACCTTCGCGCAGGCTCGCGTACTCAGCTCATCCATTTGCCCGAGACACTTTCATGCTCATGTCTCCAATCCTACTTCGTCTAGGTATCCATGCCCTCCGACGTGTTCCTCATGATCTAATTCAATACCATCATCACCCAAACATATTGTTCCCTTCCACCCGCCTCAGCCAGCCGTTTTGCAATGTCCTCCTTTTTAATCCTCCCTCCTCAACCCCTTTACCTCAACCCACCGCCCTTTCCCCCCCTCTCCTCCTCACCACCGGCCCCCTCCACCGTCCGCTGCCCAACGGCTCTCAACCCGCCCATCCAAACCTCGAACCCGACCGCCCCGTCCAGCCCAGGGCCCGTCGTCGCGACGTGCGGCGCAAAAACAACTTTCATCCATCGCTTCCAGCTGCTGCTACTGCCTCTCCTCCCAAGCTGGTAACGGTTGTTGTTCGCAGGCTGCCGGAACAGAGCGATGCGCGCGGCGATCTGTGTCGTCCAGACTAGGCCCAAGGAAGGGGTTTTAAGGGGGAACGGGTTCGTGGGGGAGGGGTCGTCGCCCCAGCCTGTGAACCAGTTTTGTTGGTGGTCTAGGAGCAGGGCTGGGTGGGACGGGGCGGTGCTGGTGTCTTCTCGGGGGTTGGAGGTCGATTGTGGGTGTGGGTGTGACTGCGGTGATGGCGGTGGGGGCTGGGGTTCGGGAGCGCTGGAGGGGAGGGGCACGGAGGACGGGGGTTTGGGATCGTTGAGAGGAGGGAGGGGCGGCCGGCTCCGGGTTGCGAGGGGTGATTCTTGGGTCTGACGTGGTTCGGTGGATTGGTACGGGTGGCGGAGGGAGGAGGCAGGAGTCTTGGAATTAGCGAGACCGCTGCTGCTGCTGCTGAACCGGTCTGCCACCTGATTGGAAACGACCACGGCCATGTTGTGGCGCTGGGCGAGGTCGCGCAGGTGCATGCCCAGTTTGACCAGGTCGGCGGTGCGGGCGCCCATGTTGGAGCTGTGCCGACCCGAGGAGCGCTCGAACTCGGCGCGGTAGTTGGCGGCGACTGAGTCGAGGACGAGCAGGCCGATGCCACGGCGCTCAACTTCGACGGGCACTTGGAAGGTCAGGATGTGGTCTTGACTTTCGAGGTCCGGAGTCGAGGTGCTGATGATGTTGTCGAGGGAGGGCCGCTCGGTGGGTGTCAGGCGCTGGAACAGGGGGTTGGCGGATAGCATCTGGGCAAGGCGGAGGGTTGAGAGCGGGGCCTCGGTGCTGATGTAGACCGCCGGGCGGCCCAAGCCGTGCGGCGCCGGCAGTTGGACCGAGAGCAGGAGGGCGAGGAGGAATTGGGTCTTGCCGGCGCCGGACTCGCCCGTGATCTCGGTAACGTATCCAGCTGGGATGCCGCCACCCAGAGCGCGGTCCAGCTCCGGGTCGAGGGTACTAATGGTCTGCCACTGTGACGAGAGAGAAGCGGCGGTGTTCCTCAGGCTGCTGCTGGGTGACTGCTGTGGATCTGGCTCAGGAGCTGCCCGGGTCGGGTCGTCCGACTCGGGACCCGCACCGGCTCCGGACTTGCACTGCTGTTGCGGCCGAGCATTCGGTTTCGGAGCCGGGTCGGAGACGCCAAGATCGACGTGGAGGGCATTCAGCACGGCATTGCAGAGCCGCTTGACGTCGAGCAGCGGCAGACGGGTGCGCTTTCCAATGTCGGCGGCCTCAAGTGTCAAGAGGTCGCTGGTTGAGAGTCCGTGGTTCTCAATGACCGAAATCAGCCTGGCAAACTGCCCGACAGGGAAGTGCGGGAGCACTCGCAAGAGATCGGTCATGGGTCACGGGTTATTGGTTTATTACCTCGTTGGTAACCTGCGGTATGCGCCGCATATCGGGGAATTGCAGATGTCAGGTTATGGCCGCTTGCTTTGGGTTCCTCGACCACTTGACGTCGGCAAACCGCGGCACGCGGTATCAGATTGCCGTTTTGCCGCTTTTCTGAGCTGCGGCGCGGGTTCCTGCACATTCGGGCGGGTCCATTTTTAGCCTTGTGGGTGTCCGGGGTAATTAAACTCAGAAGCTCGACGCAGGGGTGCGCCAGCCGAATTCAGATGAGGCGAGTGCAGGCAGCAGCTTCAACAATGGCGCTACTTTGCAAAACGACAAGCGCAGTCGAAGGCAGTCGGGTAAGGCGCAGTTCTCTGCAGACAAGGAGCCCATCACTTGCCAGAAATTCTCGCTGTCACGTCCCAACCTTCGAATGGCAAGATTCTCGGGTCAGCCCAGGATCGCATCTCCCGTTGAACCCTTGCTCCGCCCTTATCCCTCATCTGCACCATTGAGAGATGTGAGCGCGCCAACCTCGAATGGGCTTAGGCGCTGGCCTGCCACGGCTGCAGCCAGCGTATCAACCCCCGGTCCGCCCAGCAACTTGACCAGGATTCCGGCAGAGGCAACTGGCGCCGAGAGACGTTTGTACATGGCGAAACATTTTTATGCGCCTAAGACCCCATCCAATGGGTCCCGGGTCTTGTTGGGGTTTCTTTTGTTTCTCTTTGCGGCTCTGTCCAGAATGTGAGTCGCCGGTACGACGTCCATGTTTCAATTTCAACTCTCATTTCATCAAGTTCTATTCACTCCTACCTACTCCAGTACACTCATTTACTGTAGACATGGGTTTTCACTTGCTCCTTGGAGCTGCCTTCTTTGGCGCCTCTGTCCAAGCCTATGCCTTTCCCAGTCCGCGGCCGACCGACCCCTATGAGGCTCTCCCATTCAATGGCTGGTCTCCGAGGCCAACACCAGCGCCCGATGCCCATCTGCTGCTTGGACGCCGGATCAACCTTCCCGAGACCTATCTGGTAGCGCCGGATAACACCTGCGGCTTCATCAACGGCAATCCAAGTATGTTGAGCCAGGCTTTCCTGCGTTACCATCTGAGTCTCTGACTGGCATCGACTGAAGAATCGGCCTATGAATGCCCTGACGATGACATGCAATGTGTCTTCATCCCGACCTCGGGCAAGGTGCCCGGCGCCGCTGGCTGCTGCAAGGACGACGCTTGCGATTTTCGCATCTCCTGCGTCGAAAAGGCCGACATCAAGGACTGTGACAAGGCCTGTCAAGCAGACGCGTTGACTTTGAAATGGTAATTTGCCAGTCATGTTTCAGTGAGAAGCGATACCATGTCTGACACGGAGCAGTACCGGCGCTGCCCGATTTTGCGGCACTGTCGCCTTTCCCGGGGGGGTCACCGACTACTACTGCAGCACGAAGGAGGCAAAGAGTGCCCTGACAGCCCAGACAACTGCCAGCGGTGGCAAGAGCAGGAGTATGTCGACGGTCAAACCAACTAGCAGCTCGACATCTAAGAAGTCTAGCACTTCGAGCACGTCGAGCTCCTCCTCCTCGTCGTTGTCTGCTTCGTCCTCATCATCCACATCGTCCGGGACATCGTCGTCCAGCACCCAGTCGACCTCTACGCCCGCAACTGACACTGCCGCCGCCAGCGCAGCAACATCTTCAGCGGCACCAGCGACCTCGGATGCGCCATCCACCCCTACCGGCGCTATCATCGGAGGCGCTGTCGGAGGTGTCGCTGTCATCGCTCTGATCATCTTCGGCGCAGTCTTCCTTCGCCAAAACAGAAAGAAGTACGCCGGCATGGACGACCTGCCGCCTCCCCAGCCCTTCATGGCCGAGCCATCACTAGCAACTGCTCAACCGCCCACGGCCTCCTCGGGCATGTCGTATGCGCCGTCGTCCCACAGCCTGTCCTCCGCATCCGCCACCCCAGCACAAATGTACGCCGCCCCCGCAACAGCTGCCGCCGGCGCGGGCGCCGGGGCCGCAGCCTCTTTTGCCTCCTACCACAACCACCATAACAACCTGCAACCCAACGCCTACCCTGAACCCAGCCCCATGACCACCCCCTCAGGCAGCCCAGGACCGCATTACCCCCACCAACCGCACGCCCCGCAACCGCTCCCGCCGCCGTCCTACTACCACGCCCACAATTACAACTCTCCGGGACAATCACCAGACGGCGACGACGGAATTGCAAGCGCAACGGGCCAGCCACCGAACCGCAGCGACAGCTCAACGCCCGTGTCGACATACAACGGCACCATCCCCGTGAGCCCGGCATCTGCCCTGGGGCCGATGCCTGGGGAACACCAGCAGCAGCAACAGTCTGCCGGAGGAGGCGGGGTGATGGGCGGCGTACCGCTTGCGTTGCAGCCAGGGATGGGGTACAGACCGTATAGTCCTGGCGGCTCGTCGGCTGTGACTGCAGCGAGTTCGGCGTCGTCGGAAGTTGGGAGTAGCGGCGGGAAGGTGGTGAGGTCTGTTTCTGGGTCGCAGCCGCCTGCGGAGCAGGGGTTGGGGATCAGGGGGATGGATGGGCTTGGCCCAGCCGGTGGGAAGGGCGGCGCTGTTGAGTTGCCTTGAAAGGCTGGGGCAAGCAGGTTTGATGGGGTTGGGTGAGACTTACGATTTGCTTGGATATGTTATACCCATTTCTGCCGAGTCGTTTTGGGCGTTCAACCCTTTCTAGACGCCGTTTCTCCCTCCCGAAGCAGGGAACGGAGTTGTGATGGATTTTGAGCCCTATATCAGATACGAAGGTCAGCCCGGATGCGCAAGTAACGTGGTCCGTACAAGACACTGGCTAGTTTTCTTCTATTCCTGTACATATCTTACTTCACCACCGGTTGGACTTATCAACCTTGCTTTCGACCTGCATGAACGATTGATGTGAGGAAGGCATCCAGTCCGATGAACTTCCTTCCCATATCCACAAATCAACAACTGATGAACAACTCAAACGCTATGTAGGCAGCAATCCAAGTCACTCAACAATTCGCCCAAGATATCATCTGATGTCGTGTTTAACACGCAAAACTCGCCTGACGTCAACCACAAACCTCGCCCGTCACACTTCAGGTAAGTTTCCAAAACCAGTTTCATCCAAAAGAAACTGAAATGCCCACGGCCTAGTACTCGACCAATCTCAACTTCTTCCCAACCTCCCTCCTCCTCGCCTGCACCGCCGCCCGTTCCGACGGCTTTGTCTCACCGTTTGAGGCCTCGCCGCGCGCTTTCAGAGCCTGCAGAAGCATGCCGGCGTCGAAAAATCCATCTGTTGGTTTTTCGTCCCAGGTCAGCTGGTCATCCTGATCCACGCACCAATGGTTCGTTCTTCATTTGAAGGAAGAGATAGGAGTTGTGGGAGAGCCGCCAGGGGAAGCGAAACAAAAAGGAAAAGGATAGAAGCCAAAACACAAAAGACAGGGTTGACTTACACCCGCCCAACTCATCATCCTCACTCAAACCCAAACTCTCCTCGGTCGGCGACGACACGCTGCCGTTGGCGCCCACCTCCGACCCCTTCCTCGACAATCCCTCACCCGTAATCAACCTCCCCCTCAGCTTCGCCCTGTTATTATTACTACTACCAAACCCTCCACCACCAACCGCGCCCTTCCCAGCCCCAACACCACCACCACCACCACCACCACCACCCGCCCTCATCGAATCAATCTCCCGCGCCCTCGTGCCCCGGTTCACGGGACCCTTGGCAGCGGCCGTGATCCTCAGAATCCGCCTAATCTCAAGCAGGTAGGACTCGAGCGTGTCCACGAAGCGGCGCGTCTGCCTGTGCCGGGACGAGACGCAGATGGAGATGCCTTCGTCCTTGATGATGTAGCCGATCCCAAATCCGTCTCCGGACACGGGTCCGAAGCCGAACTGGCGCAGCGAGGGGTTGCCGCAGTTGGAGGTGGACAGGATGGTCGTGTTGAGCTTGTCCCAGCCGGCGTCGGCAAAGATGAGCGGGAGGGGTTGGTGGTGCGGGCTGGCGCTGCCGCGCGAAGTGGTGCTGTCGTTGCGGGAGCGGGCGGCTGTTGTGGAGGGGATGGCGGTCGTCATGGTAGGGGAGGTGGTGGCGGTGCTGCCGTCGAGGAGGTAGGCTGGTGGTTCACGCGGGGGGCTGCCGACGGCGGAGCCCCTGTCGGAGAAGGCGTCAGATGGGGAGGAGTAACCGTTGGTGGAGGAGAGGGTGCTGTTGAGGTCCTCGTTGTTGTCGACGGTGCGCTGCCAAAGGCAGAAGAGGGCGTACAGGTGGCGGTCGCATCCCTGGGCCTTTGCGCAGTCGCGCGTGGTGGCGACGTGGCGCTGGCAGGCCTTGCGGAGGGCCTCGATCTTCTGCTCGGCCGGGTTGTCGGCCCAGAAGGTCTGGACAAAGTGGACCGACTCCTCCGACACGGTGCGGATAGCCTCGGTGCGCCCATGCAGGTACGTCTTGGTCATTGCCGGCTCGTAGGTGCACTCGACGCGCCCGTACAGGCCGTAGTAGGCCGCCTGGAAGGCCATCTGCACAAAGGCGTCCGGGGAGAAGCCCATCGAGGTGATGAAGTTCTTGCCGTACGCGCTGAAGTCGAGGCACTGAAACTCGTTCTGCTCGATCAGGTCAGCCAGCCGGATCTCGGCGAAGCGCACGGCAATGCGAAGCTCTGGGATCATATCCCATTCCAGCTTGTGTGGTGTTGTGTTGACATCGCCGAAGCTTTCCGGGTCGCGCTTGGACGGATCCGGGCTGGTGGATGCCCACATAGTCGGGGCTTTGCCGTTGATGGTCCTCGCGAACCGGAGAATGGTATCGGTGTACAGATCACTTGCGAAGCGAAGCACCGTGTGCCCGTCAACGCCGGTGTGCTCAAAGTTGATGCCGGCACTTCCGTTCTTGCAGACGATGATCTGCAGCTTGTCGTACCACCGGTTCGTGCAGGTGCCGATCTGGACACCCTTTTCGATCTCGCTCGTGCCACAGAGCATGTTCTGGCAGAGGGCGGCAGCGGTCGTCGGCTCGGTGTAGTCCAGACAGACCACGAAGAGGGCCGTGTCGACGATGCTAAGGCAGTCGGCGTTGTTGGAGCCGGGTTCCCTCGTCAAGACATCTCGCAGGCCGGACCAGACCTTCCTGTTCTCGGTGCTGAGCACGCCCAGGGCTCCCTTGGCAGCTTCCTGAATCGGAGTTTGAGCGGCGTCATCAATGATAGTCTGCAGGTTGACGGCGATGTCCCGCTCCGTCATGATCAGGTCCGAGTTGTCGTCCAGGACATCAAACCAGTAGAACTGGCCGTGGCACATGACGATGATGTGCTTGGAGTCAGGATCCTGCTCTATCTGGCACCCTGCGTCGGTTGGCACGCGGGCGGTGCCAAAGAGTCGCGAGTACTGGTACATGCACAACGGCGTGCCCTTGACCGTGTCTGGCGGAAGTTCCTCCTTGCGAACGGCCCTCACAAACTCCAAGGCCGAGACCACCAGCGACGCGGCCCGCGTCACCTGGTTGTTCCGGGCGGGTGTCGGGTCATCCTCAAGCAGAAAGAAGGGGTTCAAGTTGAGGACGACAGGATTGTCAAAATTGAGGTACGAATCATACCCTTTGGGCGTTCAGTATCAGTAACGACGAAGCCGATGCTTGCCCAAGAAGGAGGGGGGGAGACGTACAGAACTGCTCAATGTAGCTCGTCCTCGCTTCAGCGTACTTCTTGAGCTTCTCGTTCAGCTCGGGTCCTTCATTCCTGAGAAACTCGTGCACGGCATGCCTCGTCTCAGCGTGCTCCCTGGGCGACTGAAGGGGCTTTAGTGCTGTGAGATATCTCTGGCAGGTGAGCTCGAGGTCCGGGATGGGGAGCTTGGGGAGCTTTTCCTGGTGAGCATATGTGACACCGCCCTTGGGCTGGTCGTCGTCGTAGGCCGTCGACATGGCGTGCTGGCGGGCCTTGAGGGTCGGGCTGATGGTGGATTTTGGCACTTCGGGAAATTCGGGCACGGAGCGAGGAGTGGCGGCGGGGGACAGCTGAATAGGAGTTGAGAGCGTCTCACCAAGAGACCTTGGCGAAGTGAAGATGCGGACTTGTGTAGGCATTCTCGTCAGCCAGGCTCGAAGATGGTCAAGCGTACAGAGGCGAGACACGGGTGCTGATATTCAGGCCGCGCAGCGCAGTGCGGTAAAAGTAGTGGCAGTCTTGGAGGCAGTATGGTGGCATTCCACTTGAGATGCTATGACAGGAACATGCAGAAAAAAGAGACGGAGTCTTTGTTGAAAGTAGGAGATGGGGACAGCTACCGGTCCTCGGCCGGGGCAGGCTCGGCAATATAAGCGGGCGGCGGCTGGACGGGAAGGCCGGAGACGTGGAGGCGAGGATAAGCAGCAGCAACAAACCAGGTCAGGTGGAGCTGTCATCCAACGGCCAGGCCCCGCGCTGACGGAGGAGGAATGTATTCTGACAAGCCATGGATGCCGTGGATGCCTTGAGGGACGTCAAGGCCGGCCATGCGCATGTGGGACTCCCAAGACATGCACAAGCAGGCGCGGACAAGGGGAGGAAGGCTAAGGACACCTCTTGGATTGACGGATCCAACAAGACCACATAGACCCATCATGCCTAGTGCAAGTAGCATGTGGCCGCGGGGGAGTCATGAGTAGGTTCCCATGGGTGATTGGACACGACATGCCGCAGTGGGTTGTGTGAAGCTTCCTCCGCAAGCCCGATGGTTCATTATGGATGCACGTTGTGCTAAACTGCCGAGCCATTTCGCACACAGCGGGGATAAAAGCGAAAGAAGAGATACGACGTACTGGTGAGGCCAACGGACCAAGGGGCTCCAACTGATCCAACTGCCACTTGCGGCAGTTCGTCCAAACCACAGGAGAGTTGATTTGCGAACGGGCGTTGGCTAATACGCAGTGGGTGGTACCTATCAGTTGAAGGAATAAAACGAGAAAAAGCTTGTCCTAGATGTTGGGGTCGCTAGCGTCGTTCCCATGGCCTTCACTTATTCTACTCGTTCCAATGCTTGGTTGGCAGTTGGCCGACCCAAGTCAAGTCACAAAGTCAGCAAATGCAGGTCATCTGCCCCGTCCGCGGTGGCGGCTAAGCTCGTACAGGAACCACCAATGCCGACCCCCGCCAGGCCTTCATCCCAGTCCACCTAGGTACCTACCATCGGATGTTATCACAGCTCTGTATTGCTGTCACGGGTCGAAGAGCGGGTGACTGTGAAGTGCCCGTCTGTTGCAGTAGACTTAGGTTGTCAGGGGTATTTGGGGAATGAATGACGTTGCGACTGTCCCAGCCAAACCACAAGAACTGATGAGAACCAAAGGGAAAGAAGCAGAAAGTGGACAACCGACCGGACTCGGCACAAGGGTCTGGAAATTACATACTGTGGTAGGCCAGCCTTTGCCGCCCAAGACGTTCCTGATGAGAGGATCAAAAGAAGCATCGAGACGCGCAAAGGCCTGCTCTCGGACAAGAGGATGTGGTCCTCGACTGTAACCTGCCAAAACTGCGGCAGGGAGAGCCCTCGGTTTTTCGAGCCGGTAATTACTGTACCCCGCACTAAGGTCAAAGCTCTGGTGCGGGTGGGGCGTTGTACCACCTGTATTGTACCTGCTCCCTGCCTTGAAGACAGTTCAAGTGTAATATCGCATTCTGCTAACGAGATGGGGCCTGATTTGTCTCATGTTTTAGGGAAGTCTGCGTTGAATGGCGAACGAATTATAAAGCCTAGAATGGTGCAGACCTTGCTCGGCAAGTATTTCCCAGTACCTGACTACTGCGGTTACGAATCCAGGCCTGGACTGACGCAGCATGTGAAGACAACTTAATAGCCAAGGACACACGCCCAGGCGGCACGATGGGCGCGATAAGCAGGGCGGACACTCGCGTTAGCGTGGTCTCTCCCGGCCGAACGGATATGGTGGGGCAGTGTCCATCGCAAGTCGACTCGGAAGCTTTCAGTTTTGAAGAGGAGCTCGAGAGGGTTCGACGAGAGGAGGAGCACACAACGCATTCGTAACCCGCATTGTTTTCTGAGCACGATGGCCAGATTGAATTGGAATTAGAAACAGTCAGAAACAGTCTATCCGCCAAATTGGCGCAACGGGACGACGCTCGACAAGCATCCAGTGCGGCAGCTTCGACTCGGAGACAACGAGCGGCTCGGGTTAATGGACCGCGATGCGGGGTGTGGATCTCTGTGGAAAACGCATTCAGCGGATACTCGAGTCGTGTAGCCTTGGGGGGAAGCCTCCACCGTGAAGGGGCCTTTGCGAGTGAATCTTCTCATGTGCATCTATACATGTAGAAGTCGGGTGTCTTAAGGGTTTTCAGACTGCCAAGCCCCTCGCAAGCCACTGACGACAGCGGGCAGATGGCCCATGCAATTCCATTGCCCGAAGTGGGGAGCCTGGGGACGATCGCCGCCTTCTCCGGTTTCTCCATTTTTCTCCATCTCCTCAGGGCCAAGATCCCCCGCAGGCGGGCTCGGCGGGCAAACGGCGGTCTCTATCAGTCACAGGGTCCTCATCTTCACTACGGATTATCCAGTTCTCTCCGACTCAGGGAGCGTCCAAGAGATTGAGGGTCTGTCCAGGAACTTTTATGAGAGTCTCCCTGATCCCATCAGGTACCTAGTGAATTGTGAATCCTCAGCTCCAGCCAATCCTCGTCTCCGTCCTGGTGCTTCTAACTCCTTGGAATCATCGACCGCGCCGAAATGTTATGGCGAATCTCAACGATTCCAAGGGGAATCGACTCGTTAGTGGAACCTCAGTTGTGCAGACGTACTAGGTACGTAGTTCACGCCTCGTCTAAAACATGAGCTACATAGGTACCTTACTTGTACCTACCTTCCCAAAGGCACCCTACATTATGGTGCAGCCGAGAAACGGCTGGTCTACAGCACGCATCTCTGGTCCCATCGCACTTATGAGGTGCCTGACATTGAGCGGGTGTTGAGTCGCCATCCTAGGCCCACCTCTCTCTCTCTCTTATTACTACGTGACACAAATCAAAGTTGATGCGGAACAAACATGAATGAGCATCTCCATGTGTAAACCCCTGGCCATCAGAGATAAGATAAGGTATAGCAAGGGGCAGCCAACCTCTCCCGATCTGGACAGCTACACCTACAACTCAGCTACTCCATGGCAGAGAACACCTCAATTCGTTCCATCTGTAGAAGAGGAGCCGGCAACTATCAGATTCGTATCTATGTTTCAGGCCTTCTCGTGAGCGACTGCCCTTGTGAGCGTGTTAGGCGCCAGCAGTGGTCACCTCAGCTGATAGTTGTGAGGGGTCGTTGGAGCGTTCATTCCGTCTCGCGGCAGCTCCGGCGCATTGCTCTTCAACCATCTCGGCGAATTCTGACGGTATATTCAGCGAGTCAACACCCGTCAACCCGCCACAACTTCAGCAACTATGTTCCGATCATGGTACGATCGGCTGGACGAGAAGACAGAGTTCTGGCTCGAATTCCAGACCGTCCACGATGGCATGGATGTTCCTGGCAACCACGGAGCCAACACCGCCTTCACCTGCTTTTCTGCCCTTCCCACCGAGCTGCGACTCAAGATATGGGAACAACTCATCCAGCCTCGCATCATCCTGGCAGCCTGCTTCGACTCGCGCTTCCGGGACGAGAAGCGCGAGCAGCTGATGCAGCGGCCCAAGAAACGGCCCATCCCTGTGCTGCTGCATATCAACCACGAGTCCCGCACCCTCGCTCTGCGACACTACGAGCTTGCTTTCGCCTGGAAGATCCCGCACCGGCTTGCCGGCCCGGAAACGAGCGTGCTGCCCGCCAGCAAGGAGGCGCACGTGTGGTTCAACTTTGGCCTGGATGCGCTGCTGCTGCTGGGCGAGCTCGAACCCTACGACGAATACGGCTTCAATTCGCCCATGGTCTACTTCCTCCGCCGCGAGGACACGAGGCGGGTTCGGCACGTGGCCTGCGCGTTTGAGGAGCTGCATTTGTCTCTGTACGAGTCGGACCAGGTGTTTGGCTCGCTATTCCACATCATCGACATGTTTCCTGCCGCCCAGCGCCTTTTGATCACCAGCACCCCACAGGACGCCGAGGTGCGCCACCTGGTGCTGCCCACGACGGACAACGTCGTGCAGAAGCTCTGGTCCGCTTTTATGAACGGAACAACATGTATGACGTCGTCGCTGGTCAAGCGGCAGATACTTATGATCCGGGAGGCTGACTTGCCCGAGTTTATCGTTCGACACAGCTAACATTCTATGGAATCCTTTTGGGTTGATACCAAAAGGAGAGGTTACGAGCCGTCCTGCTTGAGAGAGCGGCCAAGTACATGAAAAATCATCCAGTACACCGCGCATAACCTGAACTGACCCCCCCCCCCAAACCCACATCCCCGAATCGAAGAATACAGAGCCATGTTACTCATACAGGCCCTGATTACACACGCCTTGCCAGCACGATGCAATCTCCCTTGCCGCATATAATCGTGCCTTGCCGCAACGCGAAATATCACACACAACCCGCCCAAACACCTCAGGGACAGCACCCCAGCCGGAACAAATCCGAAATCCCGCTCAAAAGATTGGCCCTTCCTCTCTGAAAAACAGCCGAATCTCACCCCCCACCCTGTCATGTACCGCAATCCCCCCAGCTACATTGAAGGTGCGCCGTTTGAACCCCTCTCGTGGGCCGGCCCGTCTGTTGACCAGGGTGGGCGGCTCTAGAAAGGCGGCTCGGGAGGGTTTGGCGTCGGCGGGCTGGGCTCGGGCCTGGGGTTCGGCTTTGCCTCGCTTCTTATTGCAGGCCGGGCTGAGGGGCGGTGATGGGCCATGTTTGCGGGGCGGGGAGCAGAAACCTATCTGTTTGGGATTGGTATCAGACAAAGGGACCTATCACGTCGCGACAAGTCTGGGTAGAGGGCTCACGCTTTGGTTGGTTCGTATGGGAGAGCTTGTGTGTGTCTGGGTAAGGTAGTCCTGTCTTTGGTGGACGAAAGACTGTGGAGGACGGAGTTGGCGGGCTGGGGGAGCAAGGGCTGCTGAGGACGACGGGTTGGTAAATTTAGGGCGGTATTCTGTTCAAAGACGGATTTCCTGTCTCCGTTTTCAAGAGGAGATATATCGACTGTCGCTGTAGCTGTGCGTCGGGCAAGAAGGGCGGTGGGAGATGGGCTGGGTTGGTTGTTCTGGTCATCGACAACACTTTAAAGCAACCAGCTACCCATCATCGGCACCCGCTCCTCCCTCTTTCTTCATTCTCTCACATACACACACTCAGGTAATAGCGTTGCCCATCCGGTCCTGGCAAACGCCGTTGCATCCCAGGCGGGCAGGGGGGGGCGTGTGAAATGGCAGGTTTCTCTATTTCATAATGGGAGATGGCACAGTGGCCCTGTGGGAGAGCGCGCCGAGAGCCGCACGTGGCATTCCACTTCTCTCGGACCGTTTGATCTGCCTCGGGAAAGGTGGGGTGTGTGTGTATGTCTCAGTACGTTATGTGTGGTGCGGTAGAGAGAGAGGTGGTGGGTTACTTTTGCCTGCCGGCACGGACGTGCAGGTTGTTGTTCCCCTTAGCTTTCTGATGAGACATCCCGGTTCAGAGGTGTATATTTTTCTCTCTCGTCGTTCCATTTGACGAGCGAGGGAATCGGCTCATGGGTGGTGAGCACGAGCGTGAATAAAGCCCAACAAAGCTCGTAACCCAATATTCCGGAACGTTAGCGTTCTTGGACAAGACTGGAGCTGTTGGTTCATCCTGGGCATAGATTGCAAAGCACGTTTCTGCTGCTCAGGTGGCAACCCGCGGGAACGAAGGTACCATTTTGGTGGTGTACGGGTATGGGGCTCCCCTTGATAATAACGGAGCGTCTTAAGATTCGGCTGTCAAACTGAGTGGCCCGATCCTGTATGTCATCGAGTTGCATGCCTGCTGCACGTCCCCCTGCTGCAGAAGAGGTGTGGTACCTCATGGACCCGTCCGCCGAGCCCTTTGAGAAGATATATCCGGGTCCGTGCCAGCAGGTAGCGGCCGCTCCAGGCACTAAGCTGCAACCCTTCCATGGGCCTCAGCTTGGGCCGGGCGGAAAAGACTAAGCCGTAACGTCGTATCTTTGAGGGGAGAGATTCCTGCGAGACAACATGTTGTCTGGCTGAAAGAGCGCCTTCGGCTGTCCAAACCGGGTCTTCCTGTCTACGTTTTTGGTAAACCGTGATCCCATCTTCCGTGCTGCTCCTTAGAACAAGGGAAGGCCGATTCTCAGCCGGCACGGCATCGGTTAATTTTGAGCCAAAGAACAAGTGGAATGGCCTAGCAGTGCCATCAAGATCTACCACTGGCCAAGCCACTGCCCGGGCTAGTACGCAGAGCTATACGTGTGTACAGCGGCGGAGTCAGTTCCCTCATCCGATGACCGCATCACCGATGCGGGATTTGAATTGGGATGCTTCGGCTGGAGAGATTCTCGATGTGGCGCAGAGCACGTCCACTCGTGTTCAAGTGTTCCATGTGTTCCGAAGGCCTCGGTACCATCAGAGACGCAGAGATGGAGTCTACCCCTGACCCCCACAGCAACCCATCCCGGAGTGAGAATGTTTCAAATTCGGTCCGTGGGGAGCCACGCGTGACCACCCGCATGCCGTGGTTGGGTATGGAGTGATAAGAAAGAAATACATCATGCAATGGCTTGGCTCGACCATGGATGTAAGTACCGTGAAGGACGTTGGCACTTGGAGTCAGTACCTTAATCAAGATAACTCGTAGACACCCGTCCATCTTGCGCCCTCTGCCGATGGCTGACCCCCACCTGGGTTAGCTCTTATCAGTGGTGCGAGGAGGTGACTGGTCAGATTTTGTTTGCTTCAGTGCTGCATCTTACATGGGGTTCCAACTGATGCTCTCGTTTGTCTACTTTTCGGGCTGCAGGGATTCCCGTGCTCTCTGGTCAACCAGTCTGGTTGATGTTAGAAGGAGGGTCACCCAACCCTGTCCATCAACATCTGTCTTGGCGCCCCGCTTGAACCTGTCTGAGGGCTCGAGCGCCGTTTCTAGAAGGCTTCTCCGCCGATCGATTCGTCCATCCCAACTCCAACCCTGAAGGACCCCGAGCGCCCACTCGTTTCCAATCCGAGAAGCTCTGCATTGCGGAATCCAATGGTCACTTGAGAGCTGTTTCTTTCCCAGTTGGAGCTTTAAGGGCTGACTTCAGCCAGCTTATTACTCACTGTTACTCTGTTTCAATTATATTTCCTACGGCTAACGTTACTTCGGCAAACTGGAAAGGTTGCATTAGCGGCTCTCATTCCGACCACAGCCAGCCTCAGCTTTGGAATGGACAACCGCCACCGGCCAACAAGTTTGCTGCTAGGCGGCAGAGCAGATTTACTCCTCATCCTGAAAGCTTCTCCCATTGGAACCGGACGCTCGAGGTTAGATGAACGGTAAAGCCGCGGCGCGACAGGCCCTGCCCCTGTTCATTACCCTTGGGCCTCGCGCCTCCCCGTCCATCTACGCGCTCTTCGCCCGCTGCAATCTCGCTACCTGTTCATCCGAGCGAAGGATGTCGGACGGCCGGCCGTTCTCGGCAGTGTCTTCAGCAGTCGTGCTCGACGGGCTCTGGCCTTGGTTATCGCCGGGCAGGATGACGGCCCGGTCGACGGCATACGGCAGACCTCGGTGGCGACCCCGGATCATCATGGCGCAGATGACGACCTTGCTGAACGTCGTAAATTTCCCACAGAGCGAGGTCATGACGCTGGGATGGCCGAGCGAGAGCCCGACGTTGGCGCTGTGGACTGGTTAGTTTGCCCTGAAAGGGTACGTATCGGGTCTTTGGGTGCATACTACGCCGAGACGACCTCGAATATGATTGAGAAGACGGTGAATGCCTGGAACATGCGTGTGTCAATTGCACGATTTCGCCCCTCTAGAGCAGGGTTTAGCGTGGGAGTCGACTCACAGGGTCTTTAACGTCGGCGATCCTCTCCGCCTCGGCGATGCAGATGCAGAAAGTCCCGAGAAAGATGTACCATAAGTCGAAACTGAGTTGGTTCCGAACGTGCTGGAGCACGTACGACTTGCCGTTCGACTCGTCCAGCGTCTGATCGTCGTCGTACACGCCCAGCGCCCTCTCCTCGTAGGTATTTGACGAGCGGATGCTGACAGCGATCGGAAACACGGAGATGTACATCATGACCAGCAGACTGAACTGCACGGCCGGGTTGACCAATGAGAGATTGAACGTCGCCGTGCCCGTGTGCCGCGACGAGGCCGCCTGGAACAGCGCTGCGAGAATGCGGGGGCCCATCGGCAGGTCGTTGACCGACGGGTTGTCCAAGTCGAGGACGATGATCAGCAGGACGTCGACCAAGTTCATGACCACCAGAATACCGAACAGAATCCAGGTGGGGTGGCTCGGGAAGAGCAGCATGTAGCAGCGCCGCGGGTGGTCGAGCAAGAAGCGCAGCGTTTCCTTCACCGAGGATTGCTTGGGCGCGAGCTTGAACATGGTCCAGATGATGAGGCGCAACACGACCGGGTAGAAGGTCTCGCCCGCGTAGGCCAGGAAGGTCATGACCAGCATGGGCCAGGTGGCGTCCCGGAAGGTGATCATCGAGTCGGCGGTGAGCGTGAAGCCCAGGTTGTTGACCATCGTCTGAGCTGAGTAGAACGCCCTTTTCCCATGAGTAAGGACGAGCCTTTCTGTTGTGAACCGGAGAGACAACTTACCACCAGGTCTTATCCTGCCGTTGCTCTGCAAGCCAGTCGGTGTACTTCGCCGGCGCGCGGTGAATCCACGGCAGCAGGCATATCAGGCCAAACAGGTGCAGCCCGAAGAAGTAACCTGGGACGGTGCATCAGCTTGCTTGAAATGGCAGAGGGGGCCGTGTCGACGTGGTACCAGAAGCAATCTTGAGCAGCAGCTTCAGGGCGCGGTACTCGATGCCGCCGAGCCGCTCGCGGTCCCTGGCAGTAAGCCCTTTGAAGTTGGAATTGCGCCCGATGGTGACCTGCTGCGACAGGTAGGGCAGGTCGGCCCCAACACGCGACGTGGAGTGCGAGCGCCGTGGGGACGGTGGCCTGGTCTTGCCGAGGACGAAGAGAGAAGCGGCTACGTGCTCGATGGATTTGCTATGCGAGATGCTGGGGCCGGCCTCATGGTTGTGATGGTATCCCCTTCTCCTGGTCAGGCCGCTGGGGCCTGCCGGCACCGGCTTGATGGCGTCGTCGTCTGACGCGGGTGTTTGTCAGTTCAGCGCCGCGGAGGCTAGGGCGGGATGGGGAAAATCACCGTCCTCATCGTCGTGTTCATCATCTTTGGCGTTGCCCTTCTTTTCGACGAAGGATTGCCCTGGAGATGGCAGGGTTAGTCCGGGTTTGGATGGCCCACCGCAGCGAGCCGGTTTACCTTGGTCACGCTCCCTCGGCGGCGGGATGTATAGCGTCGATCCGCTCCGCGGCTCTTTCACGTCTTCACCGAAAGTGACGTGAACCGAAGGCACGGGATCGGGTTTCTCGGCCACATCGGAGGCTGGGTTTGGCTCACACCTGAAGACACGGTTAGTACGAGGACCTCGAGTGGACCGGCGTTTCCTGGCTAACATTTTCTGTCTAGTGTCTGGCTCCCGGTCTGCTGATATACTCTGCGCCTCGATATCCTGTGCCGACTCTGGCCCCGGCAATGATGCTGCTATAAGAGCCTTTAGCTTCTCACACAAACAGTCCATTGGACGAGGGGACATACCAGCCGTCTTGAACCGCTTCTCAAAGTACATCAGGCGGACAACAACCACGATGATGTTGATGACTGTGCCAACAATGTCAGTCATTTCACGCCTAATAAATGTACTCGGGAGTTCTTCGGGAGCAGAAGGGCTGCGTTGGGGACAAGGCGCTCCCATGACTCCCGAGACACCTGGAAAGGGGCAAAAAAAGAGCTCAAATCTGACATACAGCCGAGGTTGGTGATGATGGGAATGATGTAAATGTACACCTGTTGGTAAGTCTTGAGGTCTTTCACGTCGACGCTGAACGAACATCAGTCATAGAACCGGATATGATGGTCACTACCGCGAAAAGCAACACGCACGTGTTAAGACCGGACTCGGTCGAGGCACTGGCACCGAAGAACCAGGCATCGATGGCCGAGACATTGCCGTAGGGGTAGATGACTATCAAGGCCAGCAGGCCGACAAAGATGATCCATGCGTCTAGGTTGTGTTATGTGAGACTGAAGCCGACTAGAAACGCTTGCCTGGGCGAGCTTACAATGTAGGGTGATGAAGTTTATGTCCGGTTTCCACATGTCGGCGATGCAGGTAAGAGATATTTCTGTCTGTTGCTTGGGCTACCGTCCTTGAAGGTCGACTGAGAGAAGATGGGACACCTTGGGAATTGGGCGAGTCACTCGGGTGCTCTTGAGCGAAATCCCAGATGCTCGGGCTCCTGAATGGAGGTGGTGGGTGCCATCAAATGGCATATCCGACAGAACACTTTATCCCTCCGGTACCCACAGCTCTGGCCAGCACCACCAACCTGGGACAGCTATCGCCGGATTGTGGGTGCAATTCCCATTGGTGCCTGTCGGGAGGCTGAGCAGAATGCTTTCGCTCATCATAATGCGGCCTGATGGCATGCTGTGGCATTCACCATTGCCATTGGGCCTTGCGACTGCGTAGGACTCAGGAAACAAGTTGGGCAGGAGGGTTGCACAACAGAGCCAGAGCTGCGGGCGGACAAGTGCCGCGCGGGAGCACTAAGATAAACACAGAGTCTCTTTGTATGTATCAATCACCGAATCTCCTTTTAGCTACCTTCCATGTGAAATGCAGCCTTGGAAGCGCCTCTGTGATCATCACCTCACCACCAACAGGGCAATCACATACCCCGTTTCCCCCTGTCTCGACTTCCTATTCATCGCTCGTGTAAGTGTTACATAGGGTATCCAGCAAGCCGCACACGACATTAACGTTGAGACTTCCTGTTCCTGACTTTGGTGTCGTGCGCTTTGCTTCAAGCTCGTGGAATAAGGTGCAAAGTCGAGGGGTGCGGCGAGCTGCGAGGTTCAAGCTGTTGGTCGAGCGCATGCTTGTTTTTCAGGTCTTAGCTCCAGCATCCCACAGAGGAGGCCTCCGCCGTCTAATAAAGTTTCAGGGAACCACTCCTATTGGTTAGGACTAAGCTTACTGGCAAAATCCCGCACCGAAACTGGAACGACACTGGCCGGCTTTCAGGAACTGTGTAAGGTACCAATTCGGTACAATGGCCTTCAGCATCAGGTACCGTCATCCGACGTTAGCCCATGTGCCGCTTTCCTTTCCTTTGCCTCCTTTGGCAAACCGAGGTCATCTCATTGGCCAGCCCTGGTTCAGCCCGCCCGCTTTTGCCGGCCCGGCTTCGGGAGCCCCACGTACCCCGCCAATTCACTGCAGGCCCAGCGAGCTCCCCGCTACATCACATGGAGCTTTCACATCTCAATGTTTTTACCTAGGCATATGTCGATTATCGTGGATCCGCGCGCAGTTGACCCACGGAAACTCATTAATTTACGGTGTCGGATATCCTATGATGGATCCTCGATTACACATTGAAGCTCAAACATTGATGGAACGCAAATGGGAGCGGACAGACCAGAACCGCGTCTTGGGAGCTCCGCGGCATTTACACCCTGAAATGGCGCGTTTGTCAGAGATCCCGAGTCCCACCCGATTCCTGATAGCCGAGCAAGGGCCGAACGAACAAAGCGACAGGCATTGGAACCGTGTCGTATGCACGGGGTCGAACTCCATAGGAGGCGGAGTTGACCGCGGCTTCTGACATCCATGCCTGCCCCTCTTCTCTCGCGCTCATCAAAGACGACACAAATACGCCAACCCTTCCTGTTTGGAAGCCGATTGAGGAGAAACTTTCACGCTGCCACCACAGGCATTGTATTGTCCTCATTCTTCTTTAAAACACAAGAAGCGATTCCGTCACAATGGCTCCAATTAAGCCGCATTGGGTGCAGCCATCCCACCCCGATATCCAGGAGGTCATCATCAACGAGGCCGAGTTCACCACCAAGAGCATCTCCAAGATCGCTCTCCCTCCGTTTGGCTTGTTCGCCAAGCTCGAATTTCCGCCCTGCACCGTGGCCGCCGAGCCCACGTATGCGACGGTTCAGATGGGCCGTGACAAACATCTGGATCTCAACAGCGACTTACTGTACATTAACCACTCGTGCGAGCCGTCCCTGGTTAGTACATTGGCACTTAGTGTGGAGGATTCTGTTGGATACACCACCTGAGGTCGGTTATGGTTGACCCTCCCCTCCAAACCTCGTCTAGATCTTCGACACCGCCAGCATGAACGTCATTGCAGGCCCGAAAGGGCTACAGCCCGGCGACGAGCTGACGGTACCCCTCTCCCGGCCCCCCTCTCATCAAACCCAACCCCTAAACAACCGCAGTTCTTCTACCCCTCCACCGAGTGGCACATGGCGCAGCCCTTTGACTGCTTGTGCGGCACCCCCTCCTGCCGCGGCCGCATCGCCGGCGCCCGGGACATGACGGTCGAGCAGCTCCGAGGCCTGTGGCTGAACGGGCACATTCGCGAACTGCTCGAGGAGCGCGAGAGCGCAAAGAAGCACACTACTGCCAATGGCAGTACCACCCCCACCATCACCACCACCGCCACCGTCGTCAATGGCAACGGCAACGGCAACGGCACCGGCTTCAAGGCGTCTGAGAATGGCACCGACAGCCACCCAGCCACCACAGCCGACCAGACAGTTCTCGCCCTGCGCGAGGCTCTGGCCCATGCGGAAAAGGTGGTCGACGCCGCCCGCCTGGCCCTCGTGTCCTACGTCCAAGCTCTCCAGCTGGCCGGTCTCGGAGGAGCCCACAACAAGCAGGCCAACGGTTCTTTCTCGTCCTTCCAGACCGGCAACGGCTTTGACGCGGCCAAGCCTGCCAGCATCCAGGAGCCGGCCGGGGCTCAGCGCCGCGGCCCGACGTCACGGGAACTGAGCGGCGAGATGGGCGGGGATACGTCAGTGCTTGGCTAGGCGGGGGTTGGTGTATGCCGGGACGGCTGTGGATTTTCAACAATGATGCGGCTGTCTGGCGTGCACTGACGGAGGTTCTTTTGGGTATTTGTCTGTGGGCTTGTTTTCTGTTCTGATCATGGTTTGATATTAGCACTAAAGAGGGCGACTTGGAAAAAGCGGCCGTCGTGGCGCTACAATACAACGTGATGCCCTCTATACTCCTGGCTTTCCCGCTTTATGGCTCAAAACTAACCTCACCTATAACACGATTTCATGGTTCATTCAAATTTCTGCCCTATCAACTTTCGACGGCTGGGTCTTGGCCAGCCGTGGTGACAACGGGTGGAAGGCGGCACAGGAAAGGGGCACCATCGCTTGCACCTGTTGTGTGACGCATGTGCTTTCCAGCTGTGCCACACCCCCCTGCCGCGCTCAGTTCTGTACGCGGCCCTGATTGGAGACGATATCTGACGGTTTGGGTTGCAATCCATGGATGCGAACCCCGGCTCGGATCTTGTTTCTCACATGCTGTGCCGCCAGGAGAGCAGGACAAATAGATCCGGTTCTGATCTGACGCCGTCGAGAAGCTGATTCGTCCTTCTTGCACCAGATCGCGCGCTCCAGATTGTCGTCCCATGATGAGCGCAATCTCCAAGCTTCGGGACTTTTTCAAAGTATACTTTGCTCTGTCTCGTCCTAACGTTAGTAACTTCACCAGCTGACCATTAGCAGTTCCTCGGCTCCGTCAAGGGCGACCTTTCTAATATCACCGCGCCTCCTTATTTCCTCGCGCCGCACTCTGTGACCGAGATCGGGACCTGCTGGGTGGAGCGGCCGTCCCTGTTTGCGGCGCCCGCCTTGGAGCCCGATGCGGAGCTGCGCGCCCTCCTCGTCCTCAAATGGATCCTCGCCAGCCTCAAGCGCCAGCTCTACATCGACGGCGGGCTAGGCCAGGGCATCAAGAAGCCCCTCAACGCCTTCCTCGGCGAGATCTTCAGGGCGGAATGGTCCGACGGCAAGGCCACGGCCAATCTCGTCGCAGAGCAGGTGTCCCACCACCCGCCCATCACGGCCGTCTACATGTGGGACGACGAGCACGGCATCCGCGGCGAGGGCTACGCTCGCGTCGAGATGACCTTTTCCGGCAGCGTCGACATCCGGCAGACGGGCCACGCCATGCTCCACATCGACCGCTACGACGAGGACCATCTCATCTTCCTGCCCAGTTGCAAAGTCAGCGGTTTCATGTCGGGGGCGCTATTCCCCGAGCTGAGCGGGACCTACCACATCGTTTCGTCGTCGGGTTTCGTGTCTGAGATTGTCTTCTCGGGCACGTCGCTGCTGGGGACGGGCCAGCGGAACGCCGTCAAGGCCACCTTGTACCGGCGCAACGACCCGTCCAAGGCTCCGCTGTACGTCATCGCGGGCTGCTGGAGCGACCGTCTGACAATCTTTAAGGGCAGCACTACCAAGGGAGAGGTTGTGGAGGTCTGGGACCCGGCGCGGCCCGAAAACGGAGCGTCGGAAGCGCGCGTTGAGCCCCTCGAGAGCCAGGACTGCTGGGAATCGAGAAAGGCCTGGCAGGGTGTCATTGCGGCGCTCCGGCGCGGTGACTTTGGCGACACGGTGACGGAGAAATCCAAGGTGGAGAAGGCGCAGCGGCTGATGCGGGCGGCCGAGAAAGAGGAGGGGACGACATGGCAACCACTACTGTTTGCTCCCTTGTCAGGGCCCTATGAAGTCTTTGAGCGGCTCGGTTCTGCCGTGGGATGGCGTCTGCAGGCCGACAAGACCAAGGGGGTTTGGAAGGTGGACCGTGGAGAGGTGAAGACGCTCCGCCGCCCGTTCCGTCCTGGCTTGACTCCCCTAGGTCGAGAAACCACGGAGACGGCAAAGGGTTGATGGCTGTTTTAGAATCACCAGGCCCAAGCTCGGCGTGCATCTTGCTAAGGGCACTCCCTGTTCCCATTAAGTTCACTTGGATGACAGCATCCTCTTGGTCTTTTGGTACCGTGTTACGCGTCATTGCTTCGGCCTGCTGGATATTTCTGAACAGCGCCAGATGATAGGGGAATACTGCGGTAGGGTATTTGTGCGGTGTGTCCGTATTGTACAACTTGCGAAGAAACATGACCGAGGAGAGTATGTGATGCTGAAGCCAAGTGTTCCTTCAAAATAATCCGTGAGATCCAGTGCTTATCGCCCTTGACTGACCTGCATAGAATGGCCAGGCCGTGAGCAGCCTTCATCCCAACTCCCGCCGCCGTTCCCTCCCCAGCCCCACAACCGCCCTATATGTATTGGGTCTGCATTCCACCAGTTACCCGCTCCTCCCACTTGGCCATGGTGAAGTGGAAGGATATGCGGGTGTGGGCTAGAGCCCCTCCCCCCTGGTCTGGCGAGACTCCCCGGAGCTCACCAATTCGATCCCCCGCCGAACCGCCGCCCCAGCGAAGTAAAAACCCCACGGGGGTTTTCGTAGCTACCGACCTCCACAAGGGGCTCGGTGGTGGGTTCGTTGTCTTTCTTCTTCTTCCCTTGAAGTATTATTGCGCAGCCTCAACCCGTCCTAGTCTCATGTATGATGCAACCACAAACCCCTTCCCGTCTCCGACGCCGCTGTCGATTTGGGAGCGCCAGCCATGCCATCAAACAGCAACAGTGTTGTACAGAGCTCGAGAGCAAAACCCCACTCCTCCTGATCATGACCTCCCCTTCCTAAACCTCGCCCTCGCAAAAACAGGACACGGCGCATCGCCCCCTTTGATACCGCCCAGCAACCAATCCGTCAGACCAACCACCTTGGCACCAACTCCCTTCTCCCACTGACCCCCTTCCTGCACATGCTCAATCGTATGGCTCAATATCCTTCCCTCGCTGTCAAAATCGAAGATGAACAACCCAGTGAACTCCTTGCTCCCTCCCCCGGAAGCGGGCTGCGCCATCCCCACCGGCGCCTTCACCTCGGTCTTCCTCTCCTCCCCCTTCAGCAGCCTCTCCACTGCCCCATCCTCCTTCTCATCACAAGTCTCTTTCTTACCACTAATTCCCGGCATCTTCCCGGCAGTATTACCGTTGTTATTCTTCCCCTCCCCATTCCCGAAACCTAGCCAACCCCTCACCTTCCCCCCGCCCCCGCCGACCGTCCTCCACCGCACAATCAGCTGCTCGCCACACGCACCCTCGGGCCTCCTCCCGCCGGGTAGGCTGGCGTACACCGGCGAGTCGACCATGCGCTCCGACAGGATCTCTAGCCGCACGTTGCCGACAAGCGGAACACGGTTCCACGCGATTGGGCTCGACCACAGCGCGGCGATGTAGGCCACGCGGCCCGTCACCGTCGGCAGGTGCGGGTGCGTCGAGGGGAAGAGGTGCAGGGTGATCGATGGGGACAGGACTTGTTGAGGGAGCGGGGACTGGAGGAGGGTGGGTAGGTGCGATTGGAGGATACGGAGGGCTGTTGAGAAACCAACAATGGTCAGCGTTCAGAGATGGTTTGGGCGGGTGGGTGGGGGGAGCGGACGTACTCTTGCCGAGCTTGACTTTCCTCTCGTCGAGCGGTTTGTGGTGGTTTGGGTCTGGCGAGAGGAGAGGCGGGTAGGATTTGAAGAGGGCTATCTCGGGAAGCGGGTTTGGCGGCACCCGAGTGTCTTGTTGGAGTGTTGTTAGGTTCTTTCTCGAGGGGTATGTCTGCTGGGGGTGTTGTGGCGGACGGGTGGTTGTCGAGAGATGGAGAGATGGTTGTTGGCGCGATTCAATTGCTGCAGGAGATGGCCATGGTGGTGGTGCAGCGGTGCAAGCTGCTTTCGACGTCGACGATGGCCGCGCTGTCTTGCCGTGCAGAGGCCAGCGCAGGATCCTCGCTGGTGCCGACATCTGGCTATGTGGTTCGGTATGTTGTCCGCTCAGTTCTGGGTCCCCGTGGGCGACTGACGGACTGGCTACGGTTTTGCACCTGATTCGGTTGCTCAACGGTAGCGGAGGTACGGAGATGTATTAAACGTGCAGTTGGTCGATATACTCCGTAAGTCAACCTCTTAGTTCTTAAGCAGGATGATGTCAGCGATTGTTTCTTCAGCTTTGGTACCCTGAAGACGAACACCCGATAACGATATAACGCTATCGATAGGTATTTAACGTGTATATATCTGTGATGTTATCACCCCTGATTTATTCAAACCTGACGATTGCCATAGTTGAGACTGCACATGCACTCATCTGTGAGATACCTATGGATATATAATTAAAGTCACCAAGATGGGCAGGTTCAAGAAGGGATACTGCATTGCTTAAAGTGAGGTAGTAGGTATGCTGGGCAAGATGTTCTTGGTATGGAAACTTTCCATGATTTCCTAAGTTACGCTCGGAGTACCCATGTGGCCCGCTGAGATGCCGCTGGCTGACCGCTGCCACATGACACTCGGTGCACAGGATCTCACGAGCTTTGACAAACCTCGGACTTGCATCTCAGCGCCAGAGACACAGTACGACAGCACAACTAGAACCAAAAGTGCTCAAGCAGTATCTTAAGCTTCTTTCTGCTTCAACATCCACAGTTTTCTTGCGGTTTTGATTTTTGCACGCTCTCAGAACAACGTACTAGCCGCATCCTGCCTTAGTCCGAATAACCGTCACGTGACTCAAGCCCCTTGAACAGGCCCTTTGCGCTCTCACCTGGACAGCGCTGGACCATCAACCAATCGCTCTTGACGCCCTGACGCAGCCTTGATTCCAAACGGCCATCCAGTTTGCCGACCGACCTGCTGCCTTCCACATCTCAACCTTCCAACTGCCTTCAACGGACCCGATTTTCTCCACGAGCATCAACCACAACCACTTACCCTTGACTCGACCGCATCTGCAAGCCCTCGCGCATCAGCCACGATGAATCCCGAGTAGTACGTAGCATTCGGGGATGCCCCTCTGGCGCCTGCTGCCTCTCCGTGATCTTTTGTTTGCTGACCACGAATGCTCCGTTCCAGCGTCTTCTCTGCCCCGATTATTCCATTCGATACCTCGCGTTGCCTGTCAGACCACATGGCCGCTGTGCAGCTGCTGACCACATGGCAGATACGACTACCTCTTCAAGCTGCTGCTCATCGGCGACTCCGGTGTCGGCAAGTCTTGCCTGCTCCTGCGGTTCGCCGACGACACTTACACCGAGTCCTACATCTCCACTATCGGTGTCGATTTCGTACGTTGCTGCCCGAAACAGCCCTGCCGTAAGACTGCGAGAAACTGACCCTCGCAGAAAATCCGGACTATCGAGCTCGACGGCAAGACGGTGAAGCTTCAGATCGTACGCCACTCAGGCCCGGCTGTGCATGGGAACTCGGGCTAGTATCAGCTGACTTTGGACAGTGGGATACGGCCGGCCAAGAACGGTTCCGCACCATCACCTCTTCCTACTACCGCGGCGCCCACGGTATCTGTGTCGTCTACGACGTCACCGACATGGACAGCTTCAACAACGTCAAACAGTGGCTGCAAGAGATCGACAGGTACGCCACAGAGGGCGTCAATAAGCTGCTCGTAGGAAACAAAAGCGATATGGCGGACAAGAAGGTGGTCGAGTACACAGTTGCCAAGGTATGCCTTTCTCGCCTTTCCCTGCAGTTTCCCACCCAGACAAGTACAAGATTCTAACACTCCTCAGGAATTCGCCGACAGCCTCGGCATCCCCTTCCTCGAGACGTCGGCCAAGAACGCCAGCAACGTCGAACAGGCCTTCCTGACCATGGCCCGCCAGATCAAGGAGCGCATGGGCAGCAGCATCGCTACCAACAACACGAAAGCCAACGTCAACGTCGCGCCCGGCCAAGGCGTTGGCAACAGCCAGTCCGGCGGCTGCTGCTAAGCCAAGCGCACCCGGCCAGTCACCAGCCTTGTGCATCTCGCATTTGGCGCCATTTGATGTTGCCACTGCTCTCGGGTGTTTACGGTTTCTTGCATCGGATGGGTACTTCTTTCGGACACTACTACAGAGCGTGGTTAGATCTGCGGGCGGGGGGGTCCGGTTTTGATGGGAGTGGCGGAAGGGGGTTGGGTCTCCTCTAGGATGCGCGAGGGAGTTTGGAAGTATTGCTCGCTTGGGTTTTTGCACCCCGCTCCAGCGCAGGCAGCCGCTGTTGAGGGGGACCAGCCTTATTACCCCGGGACTCGAGCAGTCTGGAGCCCTCGAGCAGAAGGCTGGGGCTTGCCGGCTCAAGAGGTCTGAGAGGGTGGGAGCAAGGCCCAGGCGCAACAACAAGACAGAACTGGGCCGGGGAGCTGGATTTGTCCCATTTTTCCCTTACCGCTACTGCCGCTGCCTTACACTATGCTACTTACAGCTCTGTGTCTGTATTTTCCCGTCTTGGTCATACCTGGGGCTCTTGTTTTTGTTTATTGACTTCGACAACGGTCTGTTGCCCCTTATTCGTGCTGTGTTGCCCCTTATTCGTGCTGTGTTGTGGCTTGGTGAAGGTGAACGGGGCAACTATGCGTAATCATGATTCTACTCGAAATATGACGGGGGGAAAGTCAGCTGGCGACCTGTCTCGTCATGACCGTTTTTTGCATGCAGGCGTTTTGCTATGACCGTAGCGTGGGAAACAGCATCAAGCAGAAGTTTCTCGCTGTAGCTGTTTGGTGTCTACCTATTTCAAGCAGGCCTCCACCATCTTGTTCTCACATTGTCTGGCTCCCCTGGTCAGAGATCTCGAGACGACCTTTCCCTCAAGCAGGCTCTTTTGCCCTGGGTCCTCGACCACGTCGCGGTTCACATGCATGTTCAATGAAAGGAGAGGGACATAGTGAAGTCTCCCTCTCTGACATTGCCGCGCCATTGCCCTTGTCATGAATTTGCACTTGAGGCTCGCCATAAGGAGGCAAGAGGCGCCGGTGTTTGAGTGGATGAGATGCCCGGCCCGATGATATAGCATCCAAATGCCACTCATGCTCCTCTATTTATTTTTCTCTCCTACCAAACCAGGACTGAGAAGAAGCATTAAAGCTCCATATTGACCCCTCCATCCAGACTATGCTCACTGAAAACCGCCTTTTGGTATCTGATTCTGTCCTGATTTGGAAACTACAATCTGGTAGCACAAATGGGATGACAGACAAAACACAAGAGAGTAGAAGATAGGAAAAGGAATGGAGATAAAGAAAAAGACAAAGAACGTGAATTACAAATGCAATGCCGACCTAGTCAAGTGACCTATCCGCCCATGGCCCATTCTCCTCTCCGCTCCTCGGGCGCCCGGTAAGTGACTCTACAAAACAAGTCATAGCCCCCAACTCCAAGCGCAGTCGTAAGATCAACTCGTTCGCATCTCCGCAAATCCCCATTCCAAACCCACTTCTACCAGTCCCTCCCCGTGTACCACAACCAGAGTAGACCATCAGCCCCCGGTAAGGCTACCGGTTTTTCATGATGCTGTTATGATACTCTTTAAAGCATCTCAAGCCAGGCCGAGCCACTTGAACGCCTTGGTACTCCGCATCCTCTCAACATCCTCCCTCCGCCGCAAGTAAAGCGGCATCAGCCGCCTCATTTCCTCGTCAGGCATATCGTCATCATCCTCATCGTCCTCGTATTCCAACCCCTCCCCGGCTGTCGGGGAAAGGGGCTTTGGGTCTCTTTCCTGATGGCGCCGGCTGTGGGTATGGGTATGGCTACTGCTGCTCCCGCTGGCGGTGGCGGTTCTCGACGGTACGGAGTGAGGTGAAGAAGAAGAAGAAGAAGAAGAAGAAGGGGCGGCTGCGTAGTTGACTTCGCCCCAGCGGATGCGCGAGTCCATGGGCGCGTCGTCGCTTTTGGCATGGGTGGTATGAGGATGCCTGCTGGGTGTTGTTGTTGAAGGTGCTGTGATCGAGGCGGAACGAGGCGGAATGCTCCGGTGGTTGGATCGTGGTTGCGGCTCTGGCCGCGTGGGTAGTGTCGACTCGGTTGGGGAGGATGGCGGGGTGATCATCAACGACGTCGAGTCGGATGCTCTCTTCCGTGAAGAGTGGGAGTTGCTGCCGATGGGGAGACTACTGTAAGCCTTCTGTAGAGGGGACTGGGAGGATGGGTGTCTATAAAACGGGCGCTCGGGCCTGTAATAGTCCGACACGGAAATCAAACTCTCGCGGATCGCCGCGAGGAAAGCAGTTGTCTCGATGCCGGTGGCCGAGGATGCCAGGAGAAAATTGGCCTTCGAAAAGGAGCAGGGCTCCACCAAAGTGCCGGATATGCTTGATTCCCGGCTATTGAGACAGCGGAAGCCCTCGCTGGGGAGTCGGTTCTCGTCAAGCAAATTTAGAGGCTGACCCGGGGTCGACGCATCGCTGTTGACGATGCCCGCTACTTTCATCATCTCGCCGCCGATGAGAGTCTGCAGGGCCAGCACGGTCGGGAGGTGCTCTGATGGGTACTCGATGAGCAGGAAGCGGACGTTTGAATGGGTTTCCAGGTACGTCTCGAGATGCGGGATGATCAAGGCGGCGAGCAGGGCGCGGTCGGCAAAGGGGTTGCTCTGGATCTGCTTCGTCAACGGCTGCGCAGTGAATGCCTGCATAGCATTGGCAATGAGAAACCTGTCTCCCGGTTAGCTCCTCGTTGCTCTCTGGCCGAGATCAGGGTGGCATACCGAATATGTAACCGGGCGCTCCGTGAGTCCCCGCTTGTCTTGAACCCAAGTTTCTCGATCTGCCCGACAACTTCCGATACACGTTCCTTCTTCACCCCCGTCTCGGCGCCGACAGCCAGAATCAAGTCTAGCTTTGGCTTCCCGTCAGGCTCAACCACCTGGCCATCGCATTTCAGGGGCCTCCATAAGCCCCCTTCAGACAGAAACTCGGCACTGTTAGTGGGTGAAGTATGCTGGTTTTGCAGGCCGAATTGGGAGCCCATGTACGATCGCAGGAAGTTCTGGATGGAGACGGCGGTCTCTTCATCCATGCTGATGCTGAACACTTTCGTACTAAAAGGCGTGGCTTTGGATGTAAGGTCCGAGGACGTCGGCGAGTGGTTTGGTGTGGGCAGGCCATGGACCAGGTCCTTCCCTAGCCACGGCGAGACACCGCTGGTATGTTCATCTTCAAACCTGGTGTCGTTGACTTCCTGGTCTTCCCCCAGTATCAAGTGACTTCTGCCTTGGAAAGCGTCATGGACCGGTGACGCAGGGACAGATATTGGTAATCGTGGAGTCTTGCAAACTTCGCTCAGACGTCGCACTACAAAGTCGTGCAGGTCGTCTGTTGTCGCATGGGTGTAAAACACGACCAGATCCTCCAGCATTGGCAACACAGACTCAAAAGGTTCACTCTCTGTCTCAGTTGCTTGCACAATCCCCGGTTCGCTTGGATCGACGGCCGCCTCTTGCTGAGGTAAGGACTCGCCTTGTGAGTCTGGGCCGGCCCCGGATGTCTCGTCATGGGCGCGATCGCTCTCTGACTCCCGCGTGGGCGACAAATTTGGCTTGAACGTCCGCGTTGTCACGTGGAAAGCAGGTTCGTATGATCGGCCCTGCAGCTGATGGACGTTGCCGGCCGCAACTTCACCAACCCAGGGGATCGGCGGCGACGGGATGCGGATCTTCAGCGGCGGTTTTCGCTGCGCGGTTAAGTCGGCTTCTTCCGCCGGTTTTGTTTCAGGTGAAACGTGGAGAGCGGGTTCCGCTAAAATAGACGCCTTAGCGTCGGCGGATCTGGAACGCCGAAGAGTTTCGGAAGCTCCGTCGGCACTTGGAACTGGCCGGTTCTTGGACCGCGAGGGGATGTCGACCAGCTTGACTGTGAGGTCCACGTTGGGAGTCGTGGGTTGGAGGAACTCGGTCTCCTTGTCAAGCGCATCTGCTGCTCTCATGGCCCGGATGATGCGGTCCTCGATGATGTCGTCGTCGGCGACATGCATGCACCCTGCCCATGCATCTGGCGGTCCTTGCCCCTCGCTCGACCCTTCCGGCTCTGGAGGCTCATCCTGTTCCATGTTCTCTGATAACTCGCAAGTCGATGGATATGAGAGTGTCGTTGGCGATAGCTTAGCAACCCCATTTCTCGCCAGCCGGATGAAGGTGGCATAGGCCTCTTCGATATCCCCGTCCGTCTGGTGCTCCATGATGGCTGAGAGACATGACACCTGGGCCGACATGGTTCCGCCGTGCAGGAAGACGATCCGATTATCGGTTGCTGGCTCGGAAGGGTGCAAGAACTCGAGAGCCTTTGCATGCCGAGTCTGGGCAGCTGTGTGGTATCGGTGGATGAGCTCACTGGGATTGAAGGGTGTGTCTGAGCTGGCTCCCCTCAAGTAATGTTGAAGGCCGGGGAGGATGAGGAGATGTTGAGAAGGTGGCAGAAGACGCAGCTGAGTCGAGACGAGTTCGGAGGGGCCCTCCAGGGCAACGATATGTCCGGCCCGCTGTGGAGAGATTGGCACTGCCATGTTGAAATCGGACTCGACAACGGTCGTTTCAACAAGCGCGAGGCCGCGAGAATGAGATCGTCGCCGCCACGGCTCCCTTGCGAGGACCCAACGGGGCAAGCAGAGGATCCGACTTCTAGAATATTAAGAAAAAAGAAAGGCAATCCTGACGAATCTGGCAGAGGTCGAGCCAGTCCCGAGCTGGCGGGAACGATTCGTTGCGTACTGTGTACTGTGTAAGCCCCGAGGCGCCAACGGACCAACGGCCTTGCAGGGCAACGACGAGTGGCTTTGAAAAAGAAATCGAGATCGGCCAAACATAGACTAGGAAGAACCCTCGATGACGGGAGGGATAACGTTATGAGGGAGACAAATACGATTAGGTGACGAGCGATGAGAGTTCGAATGATGGGACTGCAGCCAGCCCGAATGCATGCTATCAGGTTTGGGACTGTGAGTTGTGTGTTATTGAAGCTGAAGCTCTCGAACCCAACCTCAACTCGTCGAGCATGTCTGCGCCACCATGCTGCGTGCAGAGCAAACAAAACAGAAACAGGACTAGATAAAACCGGGAAATGAAAGCTGGAAACCCAAGACATACGGGCATGCAAATTATTGAGGCAAAGAGGGGATGGGATGGTGACATGCATCGCTGCTTTCCATTCTTGTTTCTCCCGTGCCGCCCTGTATCTGTACTCCGGAGCTTGCCTTGTCCGTCGTTCCGCCTGAAAATGTGCAAGAAGCCACACCTTGGCGAACACGCGGGAACTCTCCCCGCCGCCTGCATGGAGGCGTCCATACAGACGCGTGATTGGGCTTTGAAACAAAGTTGTGCCATGTGAGGGACCCAGAAGTTTGGGCATGCTCCCGAAGTTTCTCTCGTTCCTTCCATGTAAGCGCCCGAGTGTGCACATCCACCGGATAAACCTGCAAGGCCCTAGTTAGAACCCCGACAATAACGGGCGTGTTAGGTAAATGGAGAAAGACGGGACGGCCAACATTGGCCTCGCTTCCCGCTGCACACGTTGTCCAATGCGCAGCAACGGAGAAAGGGCTTGCTTTGGACGGGCGTTTTCAGCTGCAAGTTTGTCCTGAATTCCTCCAGGAGGGGCTTGCATTCAGAAATTAATCCTTTTGAGCGGGCAGCCTTCCATCTGTTTGGATGCCATCATGGGTGCCTGTTCTGGCCATGTGATAGCTTCGTTGAAATGGGCGGGAGATTGAAGACTGATTCTCGGTCTCGGTCTATTCAAGAGGGCTACGTGGATTGGAAGTTGCCAGCTCAGCAACGCGACAGACAGTTGACAATTGCAGACGGAAGCCGCGAACCTGAAATTGGACGGGCCGTCTGATGCAATTGGCGCTAGTCCGCCAGAGGCAATGGGGATGCGTCGGGCCGGGGCTGCAAGTGCCGGAGATTTCCATGCGGTTGCTGACTGGCTCCACTTGCTCAGGGGGAGGCCAACTTCGTCAAGCTTAGCGCGCCTGGGCATCCCGATCTGGCATGGCATTATGCAAAAATATCTCGACTCCACATCTGCTTGTCCCATTACCTCAGAGTCTCAGCCTCGCTGAAGGCCGTGAGAAGGGCTACCTACGCTGAGGTCAAGAAAGACAGAGGGGACTGAGACAACTGCGAGGACGGTGCATCAGGACGTCAACCAGATGGCGGCACTGCATCCTGGATTAACATGCAGTTGCGGTGCACCATCCAAAGTCACACATCGGCCAAGAGACTTGGAAGGACCTTAAGGTGTGACAAAGCGGCCTCGACTGTGTTACGGAGGCACTCTCGCCTCGTGATTGCAAAGTTTCATTTGCCAAAAAGAAAAAGGGGTGTTTGGAAACAGGCATCTTTTAACGGCTTCACCATACCACAGTCGCCACCAGGACAAAACACCATGGAGCGCAAGCGGCTGTGGCGGGAGAATGGGTATGGTAAGCCTTCCTTTCTTTATCTGCCAACGCTTGGTACAGGCAATCCAGACTTTGACCTCGGCTGCAGTTTCCCGTTCACCCCTACGTGGTGTTACTGGCGACTTCTTTGAGGTCTGCCCTGGTGCTGTCATCTCGAACCCTGGGAATGCAGCCTCAAGCTCTCCGAACAGAGGCCGCCACCATGCCTCTCAGCATTTCCGACTCTCATTGCTTGCCGGAGATGCGTTATGATGTTGGCAATGATCGCCTGTCATAGCAGCCACCATCCCCGGATTCTGGTTCTGCATCTCCACCGAGGCTGCGGAGTCTTGTGGAACAGTGCGGGCACTTGCAGCCGGTTGTCCGTCCTGACAATCAAACTGAATCAAAGTTTGGTGGCGTCGGGGTCACCACGCGTGTAGCCTCAAAAACAGCGCAGTGATCCTGGTCTTTGGGAGGAGCATGCGAAGCGGCTGGGAGAGTTGAGTATCACGGGTTTCTCCGAAGTCCATTGTCCTATTCATCGTCTTCCATGAGAGCAGCGAGCTCGGCCTCCTCTTCAGCACTTAACAGGCCCTCTCCAGGCACCTCCTGCTTCTCCTCGTCCACGGCTTTTTCCTGCTCCTTGACGGCAGCATCCAACCCGGCCTTCTCCAGTGGCCACGTCCGGATAGTGCCGTCAATGCTCACACTGCAAACCCGTTCGCCCGAGCCGCCTGGGCCCCTGAGGATGACCAGTTCCGTGACCTCGTCGTAGTGTCCCGCAAGCGAGCAGTAGAGCTTGCCCGAGGTCCTGTCCCAGAACTTGATATCCTCGTCCCTACCAGCCGTGATGACCCACTGGTCCGTGACAGCCACAGCGCGGACATGATCTCCGTGGTGGAAGGTGTCTTCGCAGGTGAAATTCCTCAGCCTTGACAGACACTTGGCTGTACCATCGCCGCTCGAAGTCCACAGGTCGACTTCGTCGCCGTCATGGTCAAGAACCAATTTGTACACGGTGGTCTCGTGCTCCAAAATGGTCCGGCGGTCCGTGCCCGGCGCCTCGGGAGACGTGTCGACGACCTGCTCCCACCCGTCCAGCCGGATCTTCCACCGGCGGATGTGCGGGTCGCTGCTGGCGCTGATGAGACTCACCTCCCCCTCAGTCGACGACGCGTGGTCCACCACCAGGTCCTGTATGCTGAGCATGTTGACCTCGCTGTCCTGCAGCGTGTGCAGCCGTGCGCCCGTGGCAATGTCCCAGACCATGATCTTCTTGTCGGCACCACCGCTGATCAGGAGGTCCTTGCCCCCAACCTTTGCGCACACAACGGCCTTGACAAAATCTGTGTGGCCGACGTATTTCCGTCCGGGCGTTCTCGTGGCTAGGTCCCAAGACCAGACAGTGTTGTCCCAGGACCCGGCAAAGACAATGCTTGACTCGGGCCCGCCTTCAGCGACGCAGCAGACAGGGGCAGTTGGGCCGCGATAGGCCGTCTTGGTGTCTTCGGGATCCTAACGTATGGTTAGCGTTTCCATTGCTTCGCCCCTTCGGTTGGGGCCCAGATATGTACGTTGAGTTTCACCAGACGCACAGCCCCGGCTGACTCTGCAACCAAGAGGGCCGAGGACGGCCATCTGGGATCGGGCACAGCAGCCAGGATCTTGGACTTCAGAATGATGGGGTTGCCATACTTGTTGCCAGCTTTGGCTGCCCGGCGCTGCCTCTTTTCCTGCTCCGCGCTGCAGTATATCTCTGTTAGTTATCACATGATCTGTCGGGGTCTCTCTCAGGGTTCACCTGGGGTTCCCTTTTTCTGCACTCACTCGGTCTCAAAAAAGTGTCGAGGGTCGGCGGACTGCATCTTGACTTTTTTCTCTTTCTTCCGCAGCAGTAGAACGGAGAATGGCTAATCAAGGTTGTTTTTATAGCCCTTTAAAGTCCTGCTGCCTGGCAAAGCCGGGTTGCTTTTGTTGCTGCCTCTGTGTTGATGAGTGATGAGTGATGGAGTCTTAGTGGTGCTCAAGGGCCAGGCGGCGGCAGCTGGCAATCTCTGTTCACCGCAGTTTGAGATCACCGGAGTGGAGCCCCGGACGCGAAAAGTAAATGGAAACGCGGTTTCAACGCGTCTCCTTCCAAAGCCAACAACACCGGTCCCGACTCAGAATACCAGAAATCAAAAGCATGATGGAGTTCCGAATCTAACAGCGCCGGCACTGAATGTCTGAACTCGTAATCAGAATCTCAAATTGACAGCATGGCGGCGACGTCCATCGTCTCGCGGCCGCGGCCACGGCCAGCGCACACCCAGGGCACCACGCGCTGCGCATACACGCCCGACGGCACAAAGCTGGTCACGGTCGGCTCCAACAACACCATCCGTCTCTACAAGACGGGGTTCGACGGCGAACCCACAAACATCGACGACTGCCAGGAACAGAACCTGGCCCTTGCCACGAGCAACGACTTCTTCATCGCCGGCGCCGAAGATGGCACCGTCAGCTACTACTCGCTCGAGCAAAACATGTTCGACAAGTTCCTGCTCCGCACCGCCCTGCCCGTCCGCGACGTCGCCGTCTCCCCCGACAACAAGTGGTGCGCCGTGGCCAGCGACGAGCTGACCGTCAAGCTAGTTAGCATCGCCGACAACACGAAGCTGCTCACCCTGAAGGAGCATGGCAAGCCGACCAAGCACCTCTCGTTCGATCCCAAGGGTAGCATGCTGGCTCTTTCATGCACCGACGGAGTCATCTACGTCTATTCTTTGACGGCCGAGCATCCGGAGCTTATCCGCAAGGTCGATGGTGTCATTGGACGGATCGAAACGGAATCCGAGGCCTCGTGTAGGGCGGCGTGGCACCCCGACGGCCGCGCATTCGCTGTACCAACGCCAACAAGGGATATCCAGGTCGTGTCCAAGAATGATTGGGAGAAGCAGCGCGTTTTCTCCCATGGTCACGATGGCGACATCACCTCGGTTGCCTGGTCTCCGAACGGGGCCCTCCTCGCATCGGCGGGCAAGGATAAGAAGCTGCTGATATGGCAGACCAAGGACCAGGCGGTCATCGCGAGATATGAGTACCCAAATGTCATTGACATTGCTTGGCACCCGACCAAAAATCTGGCATCTTTCACCACTTCCGATGGCGAGGTCTTCATATGCGACGAGTTTGTCCCAGAACAATTTGTCTCCCTGTTGAGCCTACCCAAACAGTCTGCCCCGTTCATCCATGACCCTCTAGCAGAGATTGGCCCCAATGGGCGCAGGCCAGAGACAAACGGCACCAGCTTGCCATCACGCCCAAGGAGGGGGTCCTTGGACAGTCTTGACGATCTCCTGGACGGTAATTTGGAAGACGACGATGACGGCTTTGTGGTGGATGATGATGGGGCCGGTTACACACTCAATGCCGCCAGGAAACGTGCCGCTGACGACGATGACGTCTTCGACCAGCGTCCCAGCAAGCGTGGGAACTTTGTCCAGCCGCAGCTTCACCCATCCTTCCAGCCGGGATCAACTCCTTGGCGTGGCAACCGCAAGTATTTGTGTCTGAACCTGATCGGCTTCGTGTGGACAGTGGATCAAGACTCCCATAACACCGTGACGGTGGAGTTCTACGATCACGAATACCACCGAGACTTTCACTTCACCGACACGTTCCTCTACGACAAGGCGTGTCTGACCGAGAGGGGCACACTCTTTTCCTGCCCGCCTAAAGACGACGCTCCAGCAGTCGTCTTCTACCGCCCGCATGAGACATGGACGCAGCGGACCGACTGGCGCATCGAGCTGCCCAAGGGCGAAGCAGTCTTGGCCATGTCGCTCAGCGACACGTTCATCACCGTGACAACTACTGGGAACTATGTCCGGATATACACATTGTTTGGCATTCCGTACCGGGTATATAGACCCAAGAGCACGCCCATTGTCACCTGCGCCAGCTGGAGGGACTACTTCCTGACCATGGGCAACGGGCCCGTCGGCGCCGACGGCATGTGCCGGCTGCTGTACACCATTGAAAACATTAAGCGGGACGAGGTCTGCCAGAACGAGGATACGGTAGCGCTGCCAGAAGGCGCCACGGTCAAAAGCGTGTTCTTCTCCGACAACGGGGTACGTTACGTCCCTCCCCTTCATGTGTCCTGACTGACCCTTTCCAGGACCCCTGCATCTACGACTCAACCGGCACGCTCCTGACCCTCCTCCACTGGCGCCAGCCTTCTCGCGCCACCTGGATTCCGCTCCTGGACACCAAGCTGCTTCCACGTCTCGCCTCGGGCCGCAAGCGCGAAACCTACTTCCCCATCGCCGTCGCCGACAACAAATTCCACTGCATCATCCTCAAGGGAGGCGACCAATACCCTTACTTCCCGCGCCCCCTCCTCTCCGAGTTCGACTTCTCCATCCCCTTGACCTCGGCCCCTGCCAAAAAGCCCCGCAAAAACAAACCCACAAACCCCCACGGCGGCAACGGCTCGGACGAAGAGATGCTCTCCTCCCCCGACTCCGACACTGAAGAGCCCACCCCGCAATCCGAATCCCTCGCGCTCACTCAGACCTACCTCCAGAAATCACTCCTCGCCTCTCAGCTCGCCGACCTGCTCTCCGCCACCCGCCCCACCGCCTCCCAGCGGGCCTTGCTCGCGCGTCTCGAAGTGGACATCGACAAAACGCTCCTGCAGATGCTGGCCATCGAGTGCCGCGAAGGCGGGGAAGAGAGGGGCATGCGCGCGTTGGAGATTGTTCAGCTGATGCGGGATCGCAGTGGGCGGATGGTGGAGGCGGCCGGGAAGATCGCGGGGAGGTATGGGCGGGCTTTGCTGGGGGAGAAGATTAGGGAGTGGGGGGAAGAGGTCGCTGGTGGCGCGGGGGATGGGTGTGAGGAGGGGGATGAGTTTGATTAGAACTTTTTTTTAAGGGCCTGGGAGGATTGGTGGGATGGTGGTGATGGTTCACAGTCTACGGCGGTGACAGCTCGGTTTGGAATGCTCTCAGCGTGGATAGGGTTTGTTTGGTCATGCCATGATGGTTCACTCGCCAGACATGCCGTGTTTCGTTTAGTTTGGGCATGGCATTGCCATTGGTGATGGATGGGCTGCTTGATATTTCGAGGAGTATGAAGAATAGGTCGCTCTCCGTTTCGAAACCATACCCGGTTCTACACTCCGACCAAGGGTGAACCCACAAACTCATAGGCTCGCTACTCACTTCAGTCTGATAACGGGAGGGCAGATCGTTGAAACGGACGGGCTGGCTTTGGTAACCTTTCGAGCTATTCCGTAGCCTGTTTATTGCCTTGGACTCCATGGAACCTTTTTATAGCCGCGGAAAGCAGCGTGGATGACGCGGCAAGATGTCGTGTCAGACGACCCAAGAAGCGGAGGTATATAACAGCTCGACGTTTCTGGAATGCTTGCTTCCATTACACCAGAGCGGCCGAGTGAGGAGAGAGCGGTCTGCCAGGTGGAAGTGGAAAGAAGAGGATCATGCGTTCAGGGCCTCGGATGGGATGATGGACAGAGGATCAAAGGGTGAAACAGTCTGTGTGCTGGTTCAACAAACCCCTTCTACATGCGCCTGGATACCAAACGCATGAGAGCAGCTAAGCACATGTATGCATCCATGCAGACAATAAGACTTGTGGATGACACTTTGGTACCAGGGGCGAGAAGGTGAAGCTCAGCCGCGGGCCCAGCTAATAGAGAGAAGCACTGAGATGCAGCTGACGGGAGTAGAGCCGTCTTTGGTCGTTCTGATGAATGACAGGATTGCCTAGGAACAGTCCAGCGCGAGAGCTGAGCATGGAAACGTTGCGTTCAAGCGGCAACTCGACAACCAGGTTACCGAGAAAAAAAAAGCCGTTGACATGAACCACGATACAAGTGAGTAATTCACTAGGGGTTGGATGTCGTGTAGCCATTGTGTCTGACAGCTGTGGTTGATGATCGCACAGACGATGCAGAGAGCTGAAAACGGAAGTGCATTCGGCCATGGTCACGCACCGGCAGGGGTCGGTTCGGCCCTCATCAAGCATCTCGGGACCTGCACGGCAGAAACCACCAAGAAACCAGGTCTACCTGGTACCGTATGCAGCTACCAGACACATCGGAGCTCGAATTTCACTACCGAGCTTCATCTGTGGCCAGGCATTCAGCGCCGTAGGTTTCATGCATCGTGACACGCCGGAGAGGAATATCCTGAATCGCAAGATACGGAGGTCGCGGACAGAAAGGACCTACTGAAGGATTGTGACAGCAGTGCCAGGAAGCTTGTTGTCAAAGCGACTCAGATGAGTAGCAGACGGAGCTGAATAGACAGGAGGACAAGATGGGTATTCGAATAACATACCAAGCGGCTGCTGCCTCGGGGAACGGCCTCCGCAGGAAGCTTTCCAAATCCCGGTCTTCTCCGCATGAAACGGGGCGTCAGTCCTCGACGCCCTGTTTGCCCAGAACTTGGCTTAGCGGCATCCAAAAGTCTTCATCAGCCTGAGCCATCGTCGCACCTTTTCGCCGCATGCCACACGGAGGCAGGTGTGAAACGACAACTCGAAGCCAAAGAAGTTCTAGAACCTTGTCTGGAAGCCGGGCCCTCTGACATGGGGAGACATGCGCGGAAGAAGCCAGCCAAGTCCCCCCAGATTGCATCGTATATCCCAGATTCCAATTCAGAACCCCATGCCCGTGCGGATTTTGGCCATCTCCCGACAGACTGTAAAATTATGTCGGGTGCGAGCACTCACAAATCGACGGCGATCCTAGACTATGGTTCCAGGCTGGAGGCTGCTGATGTGAGTACTTCCTTCGTTTGGGTATCGTCCCATCTCCCAATCCGGTCTGGACATTCCACGAGGGTCGATTGGCCATTTGAAACCTCTATCCGTAGTTAGGCCACCGTCTTTGCGTGTCCTTGATGTGGCGCGGCGGATATGGAGGGACACGGAACTTGGGGAGCGATCTATCGACTGAACATTCCCCGATTTGGCATGTCCCGGTCCGCTGCTTGCCCCCCTCCCTTTCCCCTCTTCTTGTACTTGTACCCATGGAACGTGATCGTTGCACTTGTCTGTCGCTGTCGCTCTCGTACCTAGATGCTTTTGAAAGAATCCGGGTTGCAACAAGGGAGTCACCTACCTTAGCTGGGGACAATGACGGGATGAGATATCTGGAAAGTGAGATCAATGGACTCGAGAGCTAAATCAGGTGCAGTATCCGTAATTATTCGTAACTTATCAGTTTCTGGAATAAAAGCTGAGACCTGATCCCGCTTGTTGGGCCAGAACGCCTGGGCCACACCGCAGAATTTCAATCTAACCGATGCCCAGATGCTACACCGCACCCCGGAGCCTTGCGCGGGGATTGAAACAAGTTTTCCGCCTTCGTTGCGTACCGGCAGGAGCTGCTGGGGGAGCGCACGGACGTTTGTCCCACCTGCAGCACTAAACGGCTCGAGAACGGCAATCTTCTCAGAGGCCCATGCCTGCCCGATAGTTAAGGTACTTGAACTCGGAGTAAAACTTCTGCACTCCCGGAAGGGACCCCTCATCGACCACCGATGCTCTCTGCCCTGCTTCCTCGGAGCTCTTTGTGGGCTCAAGCGGTCGTCTGGTACCTTTGATAACCTCTGCATACAGTATATAGCTCACATGTTTTGTGTACATCTCCGAACTCAAGCACGACTTTTTGCTGTTGTGCTGTACCATACCTTACGGGCTGCCTCTTGCGGTAGCTTTTGTACTGAGTGTCAGCCTCTTCGACACACTCGCCTTTGACCGACCCGGCCCTCCTTCTGACTTGCAGCGCGTCGGATTTATTTGCAAACGGCAACCTTACCTTGCTTGCCCTGTGCATCCACCGAACCCTCCAGGTCCACCTGCAGACTGCATCCCCTGGGCAAAGCAACTCCCCAGGATCGGTGTCTAGTGTCTCCAATCGGTCGATTTCAAACAAGCTCCATCCGTCTCCATCTGCCTTAGCCCCAATCCCTTGCTCCACCAAAGAGTGATCGAAAATCCTAAGGAACGTCCCTCTCTCCGCTCCTAGAAGCACTCGAACATTCTCCTCCCCCTACTCCGCTGTCTCGGTCCCTCCCGGATCTGCGATAAACGTCGCGACACACATATTCTGCCCTGCCGACTGTTGAGAACCGACAAGCCCACCGCCGACCGCCGCTGCCACAGCCCGGGTTCGCTCCCTGCGACGGCCATTGTCCAACATTCTTGTCCGAAGCTGCAACGACACAAGGACAACCCGAGATTCGAAAAGCCGGTGGAGATCGGGTTTATGCAACGAGGTACGGGAAGCAGCAGGGGATGAATGCAGCGTCTTGATGAAAGCCGCACAGCGCAAAGCTTGAGCTCAACTCGCTGGCGCGCGCACGATCGAGCCGTTGGCGACGTGGCGATGAGGTACGCCCGGCCGGGATTTCTATCACCAGGGTGATTGGTAGTTGCTCGCGGATGGTTCGCCGCGCTGCTTCCGGCTTTGGGTTGGGAGAGAACCGCGCAGCGCATTCGGACCGCCCTGGTCCCGGGGCCATCTCCGCAGATCTTGGCTTTTTTTTTTTGCTTTCGCACGCAGCTTGCATCGCTGACCGAGTCTGCGTCTCTACAGGGCAAATGGCCGCTGTCACTGAGAGCGCGCCGAGGAACCAAAAGGGCGAGGTGTCGGATTCTTCAATGGGTGTGAGAACGATCCCCATCATTGCGCCCACAATCCAAATGTCGACGCCGTCTCCGGGTGAGCCAATGGACATGACCACACCGACGGGCTCGTCTGCCCCGGCCTCAGCCACCAAGAGCCCGGAGCGCGGGGCCAGGGCCAACGGAGGGCCAAACGACCGCCTGCAGCCACCGGCTCCGCAACACGAACAAACACCTCACGAAAACACCATGCCGGCGCCGGCAACAACTGCACAGCCCGTTCATCAGCCCAAGGTCCAGACGGCATTCATCCACAAGCTATGGAGGTACGCTTCCGTCCCCGCCATGCATTTAGAGCATATTCGCTAAGCCTCGTCATAGCATGCTGGAAGATCCCAAAATACAGCATCTTATCTCTTGGACGGCGAATGCGGATAGCTTCGTCATTCAGCCCTCGCACGAATTCTCCAAGGTGCTAGCGTACGATCCCTCCTCCGCGTGTACCTGTGTTGGCCGTGGCTGACCTAGGACAGGCAATACTTCAAACACACCAACATCTCCTCTTTCGTGCGGCAACTGAATATGTATGGGTTTCACAAAGGTATGGGCTGGCAAAATATGCGGGTGGGAAGCTCTGTAAACGGGCGCTGACACCAACACAGTGAGCGATGTCTTCGCGCATGGGACGCCTGACTCGACCATGTGGGAATTCAAACATGGCAATGGAAACTTCAAGCGCGGAGACATGATTGGGCTGCGCGAGATTCGGCGCCGCGCGTCTCGCCATGCGCTCGTTCACCGAGAGTACAACAACCAGAAGGGACCGCCGTCGCAACCTGGCACGCCCGCCGAGCCCATGGCGCCCATGCCGGACGCGGCCAATCCGAGACTGAGCAACATCGAGCACACACTCTACGATCTGAGCGCCCGGTTGCAGCGCCATGAGGAGAATGCCCAATTCATGCAGGTCAAGCACCAGGCCATTTTGGACACGGTGACCCGTTTGCTGCAGTTCAATCAGGAACTGTCCCGCGCCGTCCTGGCCCTTGCTCCAAGCCCCGACAACCCGATACATCGGGACGGTAAGTATTCGGCCGTCCCCCCTGTTTGGCGGTACCAGTATAGCCTGATATTTCTCCGATGCTAGTCTCGATCCTGCAGTCTGAGGTACAACGGCAGATGGACATGTTCCGCACCCTGGAGGAGCCCCATGAAGCTGTGTTTGCCAACACCCGGTCGTACTTCTCTAACGTGGAGAACGCTCCCGTATCGCCGCGGCAATTGCCCCAAGACGACCCCCGCAGAACTAATCTCGCAGTTCCCCAACCTCGGCAGCCAAATTACTACCGGCCCTCGGTACCCTCGAGCCTCTCCATCAGCACCCGACGCCCATATGGATCAATAGGCGGCAATAGCACGCAGTCCTCGCCATCTTCCGTCCGCGTCCAGGCGCCCCCACCGCCACCGCCTGGGCCACATCCTCTGGCCAACGTGGAACTGCCCCCTGGCAGCCTCGCTCGGCGGCATACCTCAGCCGACATCCGCGCGCACGGCTGGCAGCCGAATCCGCCACCCTTCGCATCCGGTCCTTCGTCTTCGCAGTGGCCGTCGTCGCCGAACCGCCTCGCGCCCGGCGACGACCAGCGGATCCGGGACTCCTTCTCGCACTACTCGCTCCAGAGCGGGTCGCAGCCCCACTCGCGGCCCGCGACGCCTCCGCTGCCGCACCTTTCCAACGGCGGACCGCCGCCGGCCGTGGATGCCTTTGGCAGCTGGTCGTGGAACTCAGCAAACCGCGGCGGCGACAACAGGAATCTGATGGTCAAAGACCATTCGGCGCCGCCAACGCGGAGGGGCAGCATGGCGCATATCCTGAATCCGACCGACACGGCCGAGAGGCCGGACGAGGACGCGCTGGACCCGAGGGGAGACGATGATCGGAAGCGCAAGAGGTTGCAATGATGTCACATTGCGCTGACTTGGGCGTATCTCTCATGTGTTGTTTCAAGTCTGCAGCCGACGTCCATTCGTCCTGACGCCGCTGGTTTATACGCTGTCGTACACCATCCGCCTCTCTGGCTGAGTTGAAGGGCTACTTAATATTGGAAAACTTCGTTTGAATGTCTTGTTATTTATTGTACTACTAACGCCAGAGCATGTTTGTTCGATGACAGCCACAATGCCCTTGCACCGGGGAGCCATAATACTAGTAAATATCAGCCGTCGGCTTCTCACTCTATTTCGCTCTGTTCTTCCTCTGTCATCATATCTCGGATTTGTCGTCGTGGAGATAGTTTCAAGCATAAAAAGTGGGATTTGGGAACTGGGGGCACATTCGAATGTCAGGAGTGCCAAGGCCAGAGTATGGTCCGTTTGGCTCTACCTCTTCCCCTTTCCCTTGTTCCTCTCTGTCTTTCTTCTGCCGATGCTTTCCAAAGGCTACTCACATGCTTTCCACCCGACCTGGCGGCTGAGAACTTCATTCCTACTCGCTTTTTCCGAGTATGTGGCATCGACGAGGAGGCTGAACGAAACGGCGGCCAAGGCGAAGGAGGTTGGACGTGGGACAAACAGCGTGTACGATGGTATGAGTCCAAGAGTTGAGAGCGGTTGTGATTGTTTTGCATAGTCGGTTGACCGGGTGGGGGTGGATAAGGAGGTTTTACTACCCTTGGCTACGGCGGGTTGTTCATGAGTCTCCAGAGGTTCGTGGAAGTGTGTATGTATGACCCTTTTTTCAGTTGTAATCCTTATCTCTGGTTTTACCCGTGGGCAGGAGAGTGGGAAAGCCAAAAAACACATTGGCCCACGGGTATTGTTTGGGAAGTATACCGTAGCACTCTTATCCAGTGGTATTTGGTGAAGCTGAATGCAACCATGATCATTGTATCATCAACTTTGACTGGCCTACGGCGCGTTGGTTTGTGGTGAAGCTCACCCAGAATCGTGTTGAACTCATGTTGTTCGGTTATCGGGCGAAGGGAGGAAGAGTCGGGATGGCTCGTTTCTCAGGGATCACATATTAGACAGCCCAACGAACCCTTGGGCGTGGTGGAGATTGAGGGCAGTCCTGCTGGAGTAGAGGAAGTTGAATCAATGTTTCCCCATATCCACTGTGGGCCGATTATGTGGCAGGCCATCAATCTTCGGCATCGGTGCCAGTTTCGCCGGCCTCGGCCCTGGCCTTCGCATCGGCCGCCTTCCTATCGGCCGCCTTCCTTTGCTTCTTCTTGTTCTTCCTTTTCCTCTTTTTCTCCCCGCCCGTCTGCCCCTCTACCGCAGAGCCTGTCTCACCCATCACAACATCACCTCCCACATCCGTCTTCTCAGTCTCCGCCAACCCTGCAATGGAATCCCCTTTGTCGTCCTTCTCCCCTTCCTCAACCCTAGCCTTCTTCCTCCTCGGCATCCCCTTGTCGTTCCCCTTCTCGCCGGCCTTACTCTCGCTCCCGCTCTCGGACAGTCCATTTTCACCACCACCACCACCACCACCACCACCAGCAACAGCAGTACTGCTCGAAGAAGTAGCACCGCCCTCCTTCTTTCCCTTCCCCTTCCCGTCCTCTTCTCCCGCCTTAGCCCTGTTTCCCCTATTCCCCCTACTCCTAACAAGCGCCGTCTTCCCCACCTCCTCCTCACTCTCACTCTCCCCGCCGCCTCCGCTTCCTACACCTGCCAACCCCCTCTTTTTCCCATTCCTCTGCCGCTCCCGCTCAGCAAGCTGTCGCGCAGCGTTCCGCCCGAGAACCTTCCTCCGCAGCATCATTGTCACCTTATCCTGCGCCCCCGCTCCCGACGATGATGACTGCGCTGAGGGAGACGGGGACGGGGAGTAACCCACCCCAGCATTGGGGGGTTGCGAGTAGAGGAGGTCGGCATCGTCGGCTTGGGCCTTACGGGATGGTCTGTCCTGTGCTTGATGTGGAGGCTGAGTTCCATCAGAAGGGGTTGGGGTGGTGCGGATGGTGAGGGAGGAGAAACCGCCGCCGGTTGATGTTAGCGTAGTTGGGGAAAATGTGGAAGCGGTGCGGTGCTTGGATAGGGTGGAGAGGATGCGCTCATGCTTGGCTGTGGCTAGGGCGATGCGGTTGAAGATTTGGCTGGCATCGGGGGCGACGGGAGGCTGAGAGTTCTGGTTGTGCTGGGCGGTCATTCTTGGAATGCTATTGTGCGCGATGGATTGTGGTAACGTGGTTATGGTCCTGATGATATTGCCATGTGCCCGGTTCAATTGGTGAAGGTCGGTCGGGAGGTCTCAGGTTGGGTCTTGGATGGTTGTTGGAAATCCAACGCTAATGGTTTGAGTTACGAGTGAACATACACTTGAGTTCCACAATTGTGGTAGCTTGCTGATGAGTGTGATGCCCAGACCCGAAAACGAACGTTCAAAATGTGAGGGTGCAGAATAAGTCGAGCAAGGTTGTTGAGAGCTAGCTCTGTTGCATATAAAATTTGATTATCCGAACATTGCTCCTTGTTGGTAACAAACCAAGATTATGCAATTAGAACAAAATTAAACTGCAATTATCAAACCGAAGCTTGAACGACGACGATGACAGAGTCTCCCTTCAGCATCCCCAAAACCTCGATCTCAGCCAACCCTCTTCCACAGCCAAGCCAGCCCCTTCGTCCGCGTCCGAAAGCCCTTTCCGTCCCTGCGGGCTTCTCAGGCCCCTGCCCCTCATCTCGTCTTCATTTTCGTCCACATCATCATCAGCCGCCAGTGCCTTGCCATCACCTTGGCTCGGACCCTCGGAGCATCCGCCTCAGGACGCGAGGATCGCGCCCACTCTACCGACACGGCGCAAACTTTGCGTGATTCCCCGTACAGACCGCCTACTTCGTCATCCCAGTTGTGACCCCGCGGCTCCGGGCTGCCGTCTTCGACCGTGGCCATGGTCCCCGTCCGCCTCAACAGCCTCGATTCCGGGGGCTCTTCCTCGTCCCATGTGGCTGCATGCTGGCCAGGCTGCGACGTCTCACCCTTTTGGGCTTCCGCAGTGCTGGTTTCCGGACGAATCTGCTGCTGCCTTGCGGTGGGTTGCCCCGAGGACTTCTCCGCACCATCACGATCCAGCTGTGTCTTGGGGTGGAGGGGACCTTTCACGGTTCGGTTCGTTCCAATCTTGCGGTGATAAGAGTGATCCCGGCGTTCCCTCCTGTGATGATCTGTAGGCGATCTTCCCCTCTCACGTGTCGTCTCCTCCAACCTTTTCCGGAGTCTCTCAATCTCCGGTCCTCCTCGGTCACATTCCGGTTCATGTTGCCGGAATCTCAGTATGGATTCTCGTCTGTCTTCCCTCAGCAGTTCCATTTTCTTCCTCGCTTTTCGTAACCGTAAATGTTCCAGATTTTTCTACATCCCCTTCCGCTTGCCGCAGTTCGCCTTGAAACTCCAGTTGATCCAACACGCCTGTTAACCTTTCTTCTTCTCTTCCCGCTTCCCAGCGTTCCCTGTGAAAGCATTCAATTTCCCGTAACCGCTCTAGTTTTCCCGAAAGGACTTTTAGCCGTTCTTCAACCCGTTCCGCTTCTCCTTGACAGTCCGGTTCTTCCAATATGCCTTTTAGTATCTCTTCTTCCCTTTTGTGCTTCCTGCCGTGCCATTTGAGACCGTTGAGATTCCCATTCCAGCGGCCTCCGCAACTCGTCCTTGGTCCCGTGTTCTGCCATCGGATAGGCTTTCGGCTGGGTTCCCGTTCCACGATCCTGATACGGTCGTTTTCCTCGGCGCTGCTGCCCGATGAGTCGCTATCGCTGCCGTCGTGCCACGTATCGATGACACCTCGATGCGGCAGGGGCGATTGGGGCGGGATGCGATTACAGCTCCGCCGATGACCATGATTAATAACCATTGGTGTGTTGTCAAACCTCACATCCCTTGTGGGATATCTAGAATATCGAAACCGCGGCTCGATCCATCCTCGTGAAGCCCAACGTCCTCCCATCTCCAAGACGGCGGCGAGGGTGATCGCAGTCGTTCTCAACCAGCAGAAATCCCGAGCTCCTCGCGCGAGAACAACATGATCGCGGAAGGCAGCGTGCACCACTTCGCTGCGTTTTCGTCCGTAAACATCTTAGCAGCGATGTCATCGACATCCCCGGATCTAGCGCTGTTGGCGCGGGATGTAGCAACGAGCAGGACTCGGATGACGGTCCACGCCCACCTCGGGCATTCATTCCAGCAGTCCCAAAGTACAGCTCGTCGGCCACCCCATCCACCCTCTCGAGGTTTCTGAGGGGTTTCATTTCATCCTCGCCTTCTTTCGAGACAATGTACCGAGACAAACAAGTCGCCAGGTAGCCGTCCATGTCGCCCCGGGTATCCAGTTGCAGGCGGGCCAAGGCATTCATAGCCATACTGGGGTTCCTGATTGGAGAGCGAGCAGCTTCAACGCATCGGCGTGTAACCTGTAATCGCCAGCGTGGTGTGCCGCGCCCGCGGCGACTTCAACTGCACGTTTGTTGTTCGGGGTTGGCCGGGCTGAAGAACATACCGCTCCAGCTTGGCTTCCTGAAGTGCCGTCCCGGACGCAGATGGGAAGATGCATTCTTGGGCCTTGGTCAATGGCGAACCCTTTGAAGTAGCCGCCTTTCGTTTGGGCACTGTGCCAGAACTTTCATCTCGCACACCGCTTTGGCGAGCAGGAATTGGGTTGAAGGGCCTGCTCCTCATGAGCTCGTGGTCGTTGCGCTGAATGGATTCGATGAGAGCTTGAGCTCTCTGCAAAAGGAGCAGGTTTCGCGACTTCATTTGACCGTCTGGATTCTGAAGCATCAACGACGTGAAGAGGTCAAGAAGGCTCATGGTTGAGCCTTTGTCAAAGACCGGACAACTCTAGTCTTCGGCAATCGTGTCCAAACCTGAACATCGGACGAAGATCCGAAAACCGGACGGATGCCCCCTCCCATCCAAGAGGGAAGCCGCCGCCACGAAGAGATCTCTGAAATTCCAGATCAAGCCGTCACCCACAAACCTGCAATGAATTTGCTCAAAATCAACGTGGCGCATCTCTCCACTAACAAGGTGGTGGTTGCCGACATGGAATATGAACAGTTGTTCCCCGCTAACTTCGTGATCGTGCAGCACCCGCAGGCATAAACAAAGTAGATGGATCTGAAGAATTGAGGTCGTCACTTGCATTCAAGCAAGATTTTTGTTCCGCCAGGCGTACCTCCGTAGAGCCCCTAGGATGGGCACGATTCACATCTTCAGCGCGACATGAATGCCTTCCGGGGTTACATCACGAGATCGCGAAAGAAGAAGGTTGAAGAGCTTGTAGGAACGAGTATTTTGTCTTCCTCTGGCGAGAGAAGCGCGCCGGTTGATGGTTTCACGAGCTCTGAAGGAAGGGTCGAGGCTTCCATGGCCTTGTAATCGCCGCACGCAAGAAGCATCTCGGCGTACTGCAGCCATAGGATGGGCACGGTGCTCAGGTGTTCGAGTCGCAACGAAATGCTTCCTTGCATCCTTGTTTTGGCCAAGCCGGCGAAGACGACAGAAGGCCTCGAAATCAGCCTCCCAGTCCTCCTCAACATCCATCACAAGCTGAACCGTCATGTTTTTGTCTCCATTCGATGGGTCGTAGACAAGGTCGATCCGCTTCTCTGCTGCTCGGGGTCAATGGACAGGGATTTGTGCTCACGAGAGCAGGTTTGCTCCGATGGATGGCCGATGATATTCGATTCTCTTGGCCTCCGGTATGGAGATTGCCGAGTGAGAGCGAGCGTCATCTCGGGCTTTTCTGGTTGATCCCAAAAACTCCGTGCCTCTTCCGAGACGGCTATGGATTGATAAGGTCGTTGGCCAACATGATTGGGACGGGAGGGCGCAGGCCGGTTATCCACTGGCGTTCCTGGCTGCCGTAGAGGCTGGGCCTCATGGAGGGTGATGACGTCTTCGCCGGGCATGGTGACCTCGACATCGGTGATTCAGCGTGAACTTGGATGTTTGAGCGGCTACGCTGGCTTGTAACTGTGTCAGGTCGGGAGATGGTAACCGCAGGAAGCTTGATGATTCTGACCCCGACCGTCCTTTTCACCTCGTCGAGAACCATTCTCGCGGCGGGGAAGGGCAGGTCTCAGCGAGCCCCAGCCGCCCCAAACGCACCACATGCATGTGACAAGGGTCGGTGGGGCGGTGCTGGCCACAAGCTGCCTCAAGAAGACCATTGTGCTACGTCGTATGCATGATGTGGTTTGCGACTTGGCTGGCATATCCAGTCCTCCCAGCTGCTCAAATAGTTGACGTGGCCCGGTCCTGGGAGCTGAGAATGCGTTGGGCGCCATCTATTCCGAAGTCAACCAACCATGGATTTCCTTCAAGTCGAAGCGGGCGACGGACCTCAACAATAGAAACAATGGGGGAACAATGTACTCGGCCCGTGTTGATGATCAACGGACTCGATATGGGAGAAACGATTACATGAGATTCGACCACCTCGCCTCGACTCACATGACGGTTGGGTGCGGAAGAATCGGCAAGGTCGAAGTTGATTGTCGCTTCGTCTTTACCAAGTCTCGCTGGGGCATCATCGGCGAGTCTGAGCAACCGGGCGGCATCATTTACCTCGACCTGAACTTCCGTCAACCCCCTGACTGCAAGCTTGAGTCAGCAACTGTTACAGTCATACTTACCGAGGACGATGAACGGGGTCAGCATGCTTGCCCGGTCAAATTTACACACCACTATGGCCCCAAAGAGCTCCGTGGCCGGGAAACGCCCGTCCATATGAGGAGAGTGAAGAAGCTCGCGCCCGAGGTGCAGGTCCTGGACTACGGCGGCGGAAGGAAAAAGTCGTGCGGACCCACAATCGCTGGTCTTTTGCTGGCAGCATTTCGCCAGGCAAATGGAGCCACTGGGATAGAACTCTGCAGTGGTATGTGAATTTGTGGTGCCTTTCCCCATATTGCTGCCGCCCCGGGGGTGAAAGGACTCTGGAATGAGTTGCTTTGCTACCGAGATGCTCCCGGGTCGCACACAAAAGCAAACAACGGCTGACATTGGAAGTTACGGATCGCCGCGAGAATACGCTGGAATTGCAGCCAACGCACAGTAATCTGTTCCATACAGCCTTTGCGCTCGAGCACAACGCGAAGAAATTCTATATGATGGTCCGCGTTAGCGGCTAGCTCGCCTGGCGCTCCGACGAGGTCAGAGACCGGCTCAAGTTTGGGTGCAAAAGCCAGGAAATAGTTACCAAGATCGAATGGACAAACAGGTATCGCTGTCCACTTCGGCTGGACAGGATGGCCCAGGGCCTGAACCTCGCCATGCAGCTAGAAAACCAGGCTCAGGTCCCGATCGGGATTCCCAATGCGTTACGTGCGACATTCCATCCCACGATCCCGAACCCGCTCCCTGAGACACGGAAGGGCCAGCAGGCAATAGCTGGCTCCCGGCCGGTGCAGGATGCGAGCAGCAGACCAATGCTGGAACCGGGACAATCGACAGAGTCCACATTGGCACCATTGCGGACAACGCATGCCTTGGAACATCCCGTCATGCGGGGACTGGAGGACCTGAGTATGGTCTCAAGCCTGGCGCCGTCGACAACGCCCCACCATTTCCCCCCTGTCCCGATCAGGCCTCAAAAGCACGAGTCCGATCAAGAGTCGGAATCTTTGATGATCAGCGCCACTCTGCTGAACTCAACAAAGCCTGGTGATGGGACAGTCAGAAGCGAGTCTGCTCAGAGCGCTCTCCAAGAGAGTCACCAGCAGGACCAGCAAGGATACCATCCAGTTGGCGCGTCGGCTGGCAAGCCGGAAGTCGACGAGGCAGTGCTGAAAGCCCAGGACAGCATGACACGCGCCGACGAGAACACGCTGCTCTTGCTGCAGTGGGTGGGGAGCATCGGCATCCAGCTTCTGATACTGATTGCGGGTGTCCTGCAGATCCCGGCCGGGATCAAAGCGAAGGATTCGGGATTGGCAGCCGATGGCAACGGAGAAATGGTCAAAACAAAGCAACCTGCGCGGCTGCGCCTGGCAGTGCCTTGGCAGGAATCGCGGAGAGACTACGACGGCGAGACATGCGTTGGCTCGTCAGGTCTGGCCCCAGGAACTGCGTTTTCGGTACCAGGTAAAGCCAAGGCGGTGGGCGAGAGCGCGGCAGGACGACAGCGACAGTCAGAGAAGGAGGATGAGGCAGAATTTGAGGGTGTGAGATGAACCGCGCTTGGGAGGAAGAAAGAGGTAAGGTGGCTGAAAACACAATATCCTTTTCACCATGGTGGCTCCCCTTCACCGTTACTAGTATGGCTCACATGCACTTTATGACACGGTAATGAACAGTCGCCATCTCAAGTGAAGGGGTCACCTGGCAGTGTAACAGGGGGTGGCAGGGAAATTTTTGATACAAATACGTTCATAAAGCCTGCAGGTTCAAGCCCACATTCCGCTGCTCTCACTTCTGTGGCCTTAGAACCACTGGCAAAAGGTTATCATTTCGGCTCTTCTAGCTTCCACCACGGCAACTACCTCACGGCCCAAATCACTTCTATATTCCAAGCGTCTTCTCAACCCGACTTGAGCATGTGCTGGGAACGCATATTCGTATCTGCAGCATCCAGCTGCACTCAGAATTCAAGCAATTGCATTCTCAAGTACGACTTGGAGGACGGAAAATGCAGCGACTTGCGCTCGAGAGACCGCCGGGGGTTCCATCCCATCCATCCAATAAGAGTGGAAGTACCTGTGCCCTGCGAGTATCACCTCAGCATCCACTCAGAGTTGCACACCGCTGTGCGCGAGTACAAGATCGCCATCACGGACAAGTCAAGAGTTAGCCCAAGATGGAGTTGCTGGATCCAGAGGTTTGGGAACGCATCGAAGAGTTCGAGACAGACTGCCTCCAGGACCTGTGGGACGGGCGGGAAGGCATCATTCGCTCATACCTCGAGAGCTACGTAAGGCTGCCAGACCCAGACCATCCGGCCTTCGAGTCGGAGTGGAACGCCCATTTTCGGACCTGTCTCGACAGGCTTCGCAAGGCGACCGAGGTATTCAAGAACGACAAGCTTCTCCTTTGCAATGTCGACTGGCCGCATCAGCCCCTGGAAGGCTTAGGACACCTTCTGGTGCTGGAGAATCGGGGATAATCCTCAGCCTGACCCACTTGAACCGGTGGTAGGGTATAGGTCCAGACTACGACGCCTTTAAATTCCCCCTCCTCCAGAAGCTTCAAGGAAGTGGTTCAGATAATGGCCAATGGCTATGAATAGGGGGTCGGAACGGGCCGAATACCACCGTCACCTTACCCAAGGGCCGGTGTTTGTAGACGGAGGCAGGCACTCCAAACAATCAAAGTATTAGCAGAGTGAATTTCGACCTCGCTTCCCTACCTTGCCGAAAGAATGACATAGTTTGAGGTGTTGGGTTCATGAAACACATGTTCGCCTGAACACCGCTCCAGCACCTTGACGGTCAGACACGTCCAGCCAAGCATCGTCAAGCCCCTAAGGAGAGCATTCCGTCCGGATAAGGCAGTTCGTTAGGCCACGCCTTGCTGTCGATCTCCGCACGAGGAGATGTCGTGGCTTTGAGAGACAGCCGAAGACCGCCGTTTGGCCATGATCGACGGGTATGACGGACAGTACAACAACGGCCCACCCGACGATGACCGATCAAGGTTGGTTAGCGTGTTGGCGATCAGGCAGGCGGAAAGCCGTCTTGGGAAGCTCGGGAAGCTGGCCGTCTCGAAACTGATCGGGTGAAAGGGGAGGAGGAGAGTGTTGACATTCATCGGTCTCTTATTAGAATGCACTTGTCACGGTGCTCCTGTTTTTAGCAGACACCTATGCAATGCCGATGTCACGAGGGACGCCATGTCTGCCCGGTTCCTGCCTAGCAAAAGCTGGCCTCGCTGTCCCGGCTGCTGTGCGACGTGCAAGGCCGCGGAAACAATGCATGCATGACGCAGGAGCCTTTTCCAGCGCAATTTGCCTGCACTTCCATTGTTGGTTGGAATATCAGGACGTCACTGGAACATCCGACGCGAGACGCCACACCCGCAGTCGCGCCTGGGGCATGGGATGGATCATGCACCTGCGTGGGGGTTGGCCAGTGCATGGATGGTTCTGTTGCCGAGAGATTTCGTTCCTGAAATGATGCTGTCTCCACTTTGGGTTTCCAACGCCGTGGAACCGACAGATTGTGAAGAGATGAACGGATCACGGTGCATCTGGCGAGCATGCCCCATGTAGCCTCAAGAACGATAACGTCACGTGTACAGAATAGCCCTGCGCAGTCGAGTTACTGCTGCACTGTAAAGTGTTCAGATAATTGTGCCTCTGCGCCACTACATAGCCCCGAACTGCCAAAAGCCACAAAAGTGAGAAGCTCTCATGCTTGCTTTGCTTCAACCAGGCCTAGCCCAAGTAACCCGGTTGTCTGGAAATGAAGCCAAGGCCAAGCGGAACCGGAAGCTCCCCGCGAAGCCACGACCGGGGTGAGCTCCAATCATCGATGGAACCGCGCCAACCTCGACCTCGACCTCGACCCCGACCTCAACCTCTCCACTCCGCGAGGCAGACCCACGTTGTCTGTCTTCCCGGGCAACGGCCAGAAGCTGCCTTGCTGCAAATCGTGCGGCTGACCTGTCTTGAACCAACCGTGCGCGCGGCACTACGGAGTATAGCTGCAAATATGTGCCGTCCATTGCTCCAATATCTGCCTCTGCGAGTGCAGGGGCCGTACAACAGTGTGTTTGCTTGTGGCATCTCATGCCAATACATCAATAGTGCTGAATGCGTCGCGACAAACCGCGAGTCCGTTTTCAACGTGCAGGATTCTACGGATCCGTATTGTACCCGTACTGTACCCGTACTGTACCCGCATTGTCTGCAAACTGCGAATGCCGCCCAGACGGTAAATTTCCAGGGTTGAGCACCCGGCCCGCCCATCATCAAAGGGCTCGTCCCATCTCACAGGAAAGATCCACTTCCAAATCTGCCAGGGTCAATCAATCACACGCCGACCTGAGATTGGTCCTGCTTTCTGCGGTGGCCGGGGAAGTTAGCAGTTTGCTCATGCGTCCCTTTTCTACGACTGGGCTTGACATGCTCTCTCTCATCAGACCATACATCCTCACTTCCTAGCGAGAGCACTTGTCTCGGTGGCTTCTGATTGACCACACTAGCCAGCGAATCCCTCGCTAACGCCTTTCTTTTTTTTTTTTCTTCTTTCGCTTTTGCAAGCACTCCCGTTGTATGGCGACATCCTGTATGTGACTGCTTGGTTCCATTGCAGCCTCACCAATCCCACTCGCTCGCTTCCTCGGCCGCTTCCCTTCCCCTCCCTTCTTGCATGTCTTAGGAAAACGCGGCCAACTTGGAGTCCAGCCACACGCGTTTCGAATCCGTCCCTTCTCCCACAGCATCCTCCCACTTCGACTCTGACGGGAACAGATCTAAATGCGCCCCTGTTGACCCTCCATGTCTTCAATACCAGAGGCGTCGGCGAACGGTAGCAGGAGCAGTAGAACCGGGACATAACAAACAGCTCTTCGCGACGCAAAGTAGCTCTTGTCCCGCGCAATGGACCCCGATTCGTCGCCCTCGTCTGTCGCGACTGGGTGGACGACAACACGGGCCTTTCAGCAGTCACCACCACTGACAGACCCTGCGCATCGAGTTCCAGCATCCCCAGAGAGGGCCGTGATACAGCAGCCTCCCAGGCCTGAGAAGGACGGCAAAAGGGCAAAGACGGGACGCGGACCTGCAGGTCTCGGGCTGGGGAAAACAAAACCATTGATCTCCGCAAATTCGCAAACGAAACCTCTACTCCCAGTAACCGAACGTAGGTCGCACGAGGATAACCTTGCGGCTCGACGTGCAAAGAAGCGCAGCCAGGATGAGGACAAATGGGATATCACTCCGGATGGGGGCTCAGCCGGACGCGAAGGGAGGCAGTTTGCCGTCGCGAACGTGGGAAACAATGGCCGCATATATTTGAGGTATGGCGAACTTGCGTTTGCAGCTGCCACATGAGACTCTTTCCCCTGACGCGCACTTTGATGTCGGCCGAAGCAACTCTGACGCTTTGCTGCAGACCTACCGTTCGCCCCGCACACCAGCGCTATCCGCAGCCCAACTTTGTGTTCCCCATGACGCCGCCCAGCACCGCCGGACTCGAGGCTATAGCCTCGGATCAACGCATGGGCGCACATGCGCAAGTGCCGCTCCGCGAATGGACTCCCTCGCATCCTCCTTCCTCCTCCCACAGCGCGGGACGGGAAGCCTCGGCAGAGAAGCAGATCAAGATCCGGCAGCGACAACGCCGTGCCATGTCCGATTCGACAATACCCGACACCAGTGTTGCCCGAGAGTCGGAGCCAGGGGGATTCAAGGTGGTAATCACTAAGCCGGGCGAGGAGCAGAGGCCCAGGACCGTCGACGAAATGGACTCTGATCGCCCGCCATTATTAGAAGTGGCTATTCCTTCATGGAGAATCGGCACGCCCAGGTTCAGCATCCGCGGCACGCCATTCTTTCGAGGCTCCTCGTACGCCCCGACCGAGGACGTCCGCTTGAGCAATACTTCCTTCCTCCGTCTCGCACGCCAGGATGGCACCCCGAGCGATTCGAAGAGGCTGAGCTACTTCCGCATCTCGGGGTTTCTATCCCCTTCGGCCGACTCCTCCAACCTCGGCTCGATTCGCAACCCGCCTCGATTACGAACCACATACATGTCCACCCACCTCGTTATCGAACCTTCCATGTTCGACGTCTTGACGTTCAAACCCGCCTGCGATGATCGCGCCATTGTCCGGTACTCAGCGTCCGGCACCGTGACCGCAGCCACGCCGCCGCGCCTGGTGGCCGAGATTACGTCCCCTAGCTTCGTAGACTACGAGCTGCTATCCGACTTCTTCCTCACTTACCGCTCCTTCCTCGAACCATCTGACCTTCTGCGCATGCTCTTTGCACGACTTCAGTGGGCGTTGTACAGGACCGATGAAGCGGGCCAGGTGGTCAGGGTCCGCACCTTTGTTGCCATCCGCCATTGGATCCTCAACTACTTCATCGACGACTTTCTATGGGACCACAACCTCCGCGTTATACTAAGCAACCTGCTCAACGGACTGGTTGACGAATTTTCGCAGGATCAGCAGGCGCGCAAAGTCCCACTTAAAATCTTAGCAGAACTCAAGAAGTGTTGGCGGAGAGTCTGCGCCCAATTTTGGGATGGGCCCGAGTTCGATGCGTCGCTTGGGCCCGAGGCGCCGGTTTCTCCTGGGGGAATCGCTGGCCATCGCGATTCAAAGTTGGATTTGACGGTATCGGCACAAACTAGCAGTGAGCCGCCGCAGTTGGCCGACTTGGGGGTCAACTCCAGTCCTCTCGGACGCACTAGCTTCTTTGCTGGTCTAGCGAGGGCCGGTCATATTGACGCGGTTGTGGCCGGTGAACGCCCGGCTACCCCCGAGAACGCCGCAGATGACGATGGGTTGGACAGGAACGGCGCGATCTCGCCCACCAGCATCACTAGCGTGGATGTGATCTCTTGCTCGTTCCCGACGAAGACTGCGCGGTCGCTCACGAGACCCGGAGCCCGCTATGCCGCCGCACATCCGGTCGATCCCGGGGTCATGCATAGCGCTGAGCCGGTCGCCACCACCCCACGCGCTGTCGTCGGCAAGCGTGTCCGCCGCCAGCCCTCCCACAAGCGAAATGCCAGCCTGAGCGACTCCTTGCGCGATCATCCGTCCGCGACCGACGGTCTCTACAAAAACGCCGAGTTCCTTTTGGCGCTCCCCTATGCCGGAAGCCTGGTTCGCGGAAACCTGCTACCGCCTTCCCAGGCGCTCGTTGAGGTTCATCCACCGAACACCAACGCGAGGCAGACGACAATCTTCCAACCTGTCCCAGCTGCACCGAGCAAGGAGGCAAACACCGTGGCATCAGCCATGTCAGGGCAAGGCATGAAGCGGTTGTTGGGCAGCGTACGACGTGCTCTGAGCACTAAGGGCCAGCACCTGTCCCCAACTCAGGGCACCTTTCTCACACTATCTCCGATTGGGCCCAGAGGCGCGACGATCAACAGGCTCCCCGGCACTCCAATAGTACCGCAGACACGAGGTCATCAGAAGGGTGGTCGACCACCGGTCCGAATCGATCTGCTTGGCGCCCAGGTTGCCGAAGACTTCAAGAAAGCTGTCCGGGAAGATTTCCAAGCCCAGTCCGAGAAATCCGACCAGAACTCGCCTCCCGCCAACGCGCAAACCGCCGATGTGGTGGCGGGATCCTCGACCTCCCACCTCGGCCCTTCACTCTTAAGCCTCTCGAATGACCACGTGCTGAACCGACCTACGAGCGACATGGGCATCACGACTGGCAGCAAGTCGATTGTTATTGTCGATGACACGTCGCTTCCTGAGGGTTATCCTGTTATGACGGGTGCCTTGCCGGCGGTCAACTCATCGGTAGAAGCATTCGCGGAGGCCTTCGTGCCCAGCGGGGCAGACCCGACACCACCGAACACACCGCCAGGGCGCCCAATGGGGACGCCCAGGAGGTCTTCATACATACTTGGCCAGCACATGCTGCGTCACTCGCATTCGGCTGACCCTCTGCCACCGTTTATTCCTGATCTCGATACCATTGGGGTGAACGCACGGCTATCTGAGGATCAAGCCCGTCCTTCCCTCGAATTTCTGAATCAGGCACCAACCCCAGCGTCCACCAACGGCGCAAGAGGGCATACAAGGCAACCTTCGAGTCAATCATACCATTCGAATCGCACCCGGGGCTTGGCTCGCCAAGCTTCCTTCGCTCGCGGTAGCTTCCATCAGGCAACCGTCCGCAGCTTCGATGCCACAACGGTTTCCGGCGAATCGGTCGACGAGGTTTCCCCGGCCTCCCCGGCCTCCCCAACCATGATCCCACAACCACTTCGAGTCCTAAGGAGAAGGCCAGGCGGAGATCTTCGTGCTGTTACCAATGTTGGCGATCTAGATCCGGCGATGGTCCGTCAGTCCAACTCCGCCGGGTCTCTGACGACGTACAGCGACTCCATCCGCAGCTCGTATCTCCGTAGCGCTGTTGCGGACTCGAGCGGCGATGTCGATGGCGTCGCCAGTAACTGTTCCCCCGGCCACGCCGAGACCTTCTCCCTCGGCGCCATTGCCGAGCAGCACCCCAAGCGGAATCTGTCTTTGTTCAGCACCCACTCGTCCAAGCCTGTCATGCGGCCCTCGTTTGAAGCTGAAGCGCAGAAGCTTGCGTTGATCCCTGATGACATGGATGATGATGGAGGCGTCGAGTCTGCGCTCCTCAAGTTGGAGGGCAAGTACCCGATTAAAAAGATGGCTCCCAAGCTGTCGATGGACCTGAGTGCGCCACCAAAAATCGATGTGGCTCCGGATTTGGGGGTCAGTGAGGATCCCGCAATACTAGAGGAGAAAGAGGAGCGTCGCATTGCCCAGGTCGGAGATGAGTTACCTCCACCTTCCTCGTCGACCGCGCCGTCTACCATCACACACCAGGGCGGCTTGTTGGACGTTACAGGCCGCCATGAGCGCCATCATGCTGTGCAGTCTTTTTTGTCGGATGATTCTCGGGCATCCTACTCGTCGATCCCGCTGCTCCAACGTGGTCTGACGGACGACGGGCACAGCAGGCGGACGGACACACGGGAATGGACTGATCGGTCCATCCTGCAGGGACCTGATGAGGACCCCGCGACGCCAGACGACCGCAGCGTCCACGACTCCCAGCATCCTTCGTATGACTTTGTCAAGAAGACGGATAGCATGGATCGCATCCTCCAGGGGGCCACTGTGCCGACACCTGGATCGTTAAAGGGCAGTCTCGAACACTCGTTCCTGGATGTTGACAGCGATAATGAGAGCGATCTCTCTTCGGAGCTGTCTGCGGAAGCGCTGAATGAGGAGCATGAAGTTGGGATTTTTTCGCCGTCGGACATTGGAGTTGCCATCTCCACACTGCCCGCCCATCCCCTTGGCGAGAGCCAGCCTAGTGTGAGGCCCGAATCCCAGAGCATGACGCTTATTCAAGCACTCCAAATGTCTCCCGAGGCCATTTACATCCCGACACTACAGGACCATCAAGTCTGGGAGAAACCGCTGCCGCCTACCCCTGACACCACGCCAACCTCGACTGGTGCGCCGTTCCAGTCCCCTATTTCCTCGTCCACCGACCCGACCGGCACAAAGGAGGCGCTGCGCAACGCGCCTACATTCCAGATCCCCGACCCCGTTGCCGAGGCCCCCAGCGCACCTCGCAACAAGTGCTCAGTGCACCTGCCCTTCATCCTCGCCTTCGACAGCGACATCCTGGCGCAGCAGTTTACCCTCGTCGAGAAGGACGCGCTCAATGAAATCGACTGGAAGGAGCTGATCGAGATGCGGTGGAAGAACGCCGAGCAGAACGGCGTCAACGTGCGCAGCTGGGTGTCGTTCCTGCGCGACACGGACGCACGCGGCGTCGAGGTGGTCATCGCGCGGTTCAACGTCATGGTCAAGTGGGCCATCTCGGAGGTCGTGCTGACGGAGGACATTGAGGAGCGCGCGCGCTGCGTCATCAAGCTCATCCACATCGCCGCCCACTGCCGCCGCTACCGCAATTTTGCTACCATGGCCCAGCTCACCATAGCTCTGACCAGCAACGAGGTTAGCAGGCTGGCCAAGACGTGGGCCATGGTCCCCGCGAGCGACCGCCGCACGATGAGGGAGCTGGAGGCGCTTATGTCGCCGACGAGGAACTTTTATAATATGCGCGCCGAGATGGAAGGAGGAGGCGCGGCCGTCGCCGAGATGGGGTGTATCCCCTTTGTGGGCATCTACACGCATGATTTGCTCTTCAATGCGCAGAAGCCGAGCGAGATTGCGAGCTCGCCTACGACGGCGCCGCTGGTCAACTTTGAGCGGTGCCGGACGGCGGCTAGCGTGGTAAAGACGCTGCTGAGACTGCTCGAGGCGAGTCTGCTGTATAACTTTCAGCCGATCGAGGGGATTACCGAGAGGTGCTTGTGGATGGGTGCGCTGGCGGATGACGAAATTCGACGGTTGAGTGAGGCGCTGGAGTGACCATCGTCCGGACAAGTGTGAGGAGAGGCACGACAAATACGAAACAAGACATGGCGAGCAAAGAAGTATTGATACGCCTTACAATCATCCAAACAGGCAAGACCCCTATACAACACGATGCGGATACAACACACATCATCATCACCATCATAAATAAGATAGACAACCCTGCGCCGATCTGCTCACGCACTTCGTACCAAACAGCAACAACGCTACATGCGCGTCGATCATCAGCATTTGATTGCATTTACAATACCAAAACCCGTCTCGATACATCTATACCGATACACACCAGGCTCATGCCTAATCTACCACTGTATTTTCTAATCGCTAAATTTTATATCCCTTCGTCCTTTTGTCCTTCTTTGCGTTTGTCATCCTCTTTTCTTTTGCTCTGTACCTATTTGATTTGGTCACTTTGTTCTGCCACATATTTATGGAGTTTTGATAGGGGAGTTTTTCCGATGTGCTCTTTCTTTCCTTTCAAGGTTCTCCCTGAGAGGCTATTGAATACCCAGGTTGCTTGTTTCTGGGCCAGCGGGCGCTTGGAGTCATGCCTGACGGCGTGGTTTGGTTTTTTTTTGGTTGTGTTTATTTTACTGGCTGCTAGGTTGACTTTGAGTTGGTGTTGATCGGGCTCGTAGTTGGATGGGTGGGTAGATGGGTAGATGGGATCGTGCGGATATCAGGGTCCCTCTTTTTCACTCCTCTCCTTTTCTCTGGCATATGCCTGATTCTTGGAGCGGGCTCGGCTGGAGTGCGGTTGTGTTAGAGGAAGCTGTTTTCCCTCAAGTGTCTGAGTCCATCTCGCTGAGGACGAGTGAGCATGGTGTAGTGTATGTCTGCGGTGAGAGAGAGTTCATTTGCTGTAGAGGCACTTGTTTGGACCTTGGTTGGGGAGGGTTGGACACAGCGTCAAGTACCAACCAAGAAGTCGACTTTGCTGCTTCATTGTTTGTGCATGTGTATTGTGTGAGGAACTGCTTCTGTTTGGTCGCGGGCTGTCTGGAATTGCTTTCTTTCATGGTTTTTAGGGCAGCAGCTTGCCTGGGTACTGCTTGAGGGAATGCGTGCTCCGTCATTTTCCGTTCTCTCTTAAGCTTGGTTGGTAGGTATATCTGCTCTCTGCAGAGCTTGGTTTTGTCATGCTTCGAGGGTCCCGACTTGACGCTCGTTCACATTGGGATCGTGGGGAGTCCTCTCCCTCACGTTGTCACCCTTTCCCTTTGCTTGGCTTTAAGCTCTCCGGTCATGGAGAGTTGAGTCAATCGACATTCTTCGGTCTCTCGAGACGTCAATGTACACGCTTCCTCTTTCATTTGTGGACAGCGTTGCTGTTCCCCATGGATATACACTCCGATTTCTGTGTCATTTCTTCCGGCACATATGTTGCCGCCAAGGATGCCTCTGCTCAGGTCGTGTGGCTCTACCTATCGAACTTATATTTCGTCCGAATGTTAGCGCGTTTGGCGCGTTGTATCCGGTCACGGCCTTCAGTGTCTGCTGTTTCTCAACTCGCCGTGGCTATTGCAAACTTCTTCTCCACCAACATCACACAAACGGCAATGAAATCGCTGCCAGTCCAGGAACAACAGCAATTTCCTTCAGTTTCGGCTCGTCGTGCGCATTATGGGGAGATTACCTAACGAGTTGTACGGGATGGTAAATAGGATTTAAACCTGATTTGGTTCGCAGCCGCTGACTCGAAGAACAAAATCGTCGCCGAACTTCATGAAGACTTATGCCGGTGTGGCTCTGCGCACGTTCGGCCATCGGCGTGGGATACTCGGGACTATTTGTCTGTCGCCTGGAACACATACTACCACGCGCCCAAAGAGTTTTGAGTCTAACTTGTGCACGCTGCGCCTCGTTCACAAAGGCTTCCGTGTGCCAGCGACAAAGTATCTCCTCAGCCATGGCTTCTTCTCATTCGACTCGATCTACCTGGGCAGCACGGGCATGAAGAAGCGAATCCGAGCTTTGAGTCGTCACGATATACATGGCGCAGCGGCTGCGTTGGCCGGAAGAATCGAATACTGCATGAGCAATGCAGATCAAGAAGTTATGGCTCGCACCTCCGACCTCCGGATGGATCTCGACCTACTCAACCGCCATCTTCAGCTGCTAGACCAGCGGCGATCCGATGGCAGCAGTGCCACGCTCGGACAGATCACGGACGGAGAACAAGTTGCCACAGATCAACTCGCAACTCCTCTCACCGCGCGGTTCAAGTCGGTCACGGCCTTGGAAGTGCGCAACGACCGTCCTCAAGTCTCTCGTATCTATGGCAACGACCGGCCAGCCCTGGCCCTGCGAGGGTTGCGTTGCCGACTTTACGAGACAGGTCCTTACTGGACTAGAGGACCTCTACATCCGGGGCGAGGCAGCTGGTAAGACCTTACTTCCTACCAAATCATACTTGCATCGAGCACCAAATTTACAATGAGACCCATCCATCTAGACGTCTTCCGTATCCTAATCTGGATAACAGCCAAGCAGTGCTCTCAGATTCGACGCCTGGTTCTTTCTTGCGGGGCTGACTATTCACAAATGATCTGAGTGTCCTCGCCGAGCTGGAGAACATTACCAAACTCGGTATCAGCAGCTGTTTTCCTGGGCCGTTGAGGTTGCACCCTCAGCACCAGGGGCTGACGCGGCTGCGCCTGGACGATCTCTGGGTATCGTCAGCAGATCTCATCAACATGTTGTTAAGAGGCCCTAGCCGTGCCCAAGGCAACGACACCAACATTGGCAGCCCACTAGTCGAACTTGTGCTTTCGAGGATAGCTCTGGGCCGGCCCCTTTCGGTGACGACAAATATCACAGACGGTAACTTAAGCATATTTGCATATTGTGAATAATCATTCGCCGTCAAGTTCCCTGCACTATGCACCAAAGATGCTGACCGAGTGTTTAACATCAGAACAGGGAAGTTGGCGTCGTGTTTTCAAAGCGGCGAGAAAGCATTGTCCCAATCTGACAATCCTCCGTCTCGAGGGGCTCCGATATAACCCTTACCGGGCCACGACGTCGCTGGACCAGATGGAGCACCTGACTTGCCCGAGGCAAAGAGGCTGGTTGATCTCGTCCGCTCCAGCCGGGGTGGGAATGCGTACGCCTATCTGGGCGATGGAACGTGGCTGGCGGAATGTCTGTAGAGCTAGCGAGTGCTCACTGACGGTATTTTGTCCATTCTGCTCGAGATGGCTTGGACCGGCACTCATTCATAATACTTAATTGTCACAACTAGTCCTAGCTGTTTCAATGCTGACTTTATGATTCTACTTTGGCTTGTTTGTTAGCGCGGACTTAGGTATTACACTCCTCTCACTTTCAGTTTCTGACATTCTTCCTTTCCTTTCCTTTCCTCTCCTTTCCTCTCCCTCTTCCTCGTCCTCGTCCTAACACTTCGAGAAACCAACAGATCACAAAGAAGACCAGCCCTCCGGGGCCAGCGCCATGTGCTTTCCGCCAAAAAACTCAGGTGCCAGCGACAGCGCGACCCTGTCCCGTTCGGCTTTGCGCACCCTCTCCTCCCAATCCGGCGTTAACTTCGGCTCATAATAAGCCCACATCGACGGCAGAAACTGCACATCTTGGACACAATACCGCATAATCTCCTCCTTCAGCGGCCGCTCACTAAACACCTCATACCTCCCACCGAAAGCCGGCACGAACAGCATTCTCCCCTCGACCTTGGCCGCATCCCACGCCTCCCGCTCCTCTAGGCTCAGCCGAGCGTCACATTTGATGCACGCTGCCAGGTCGCGGACACGTTCCCGCGAAAGGGACACCACATCGCCGTCACCGTTCAGGCCGACCTGGCTCCGCGTTGCGAGCTCCATCAGCTGCAGATCGCGGACGCCGGCGAGGCGGATGCCGTAAAGGCCGTGCAAGGCGTCCGAGTCGTGACGGACGTCAAAGAAGACCTTTGGGATGGCCTCGTCCTCGAGGACGGCCTGGAGGGTGCGGCCCGTGGTTGGGCTCGGGGCGGTGAAAGCCTCTCCACCGAGAGCATGGACGTCTATTAGGTAAGTCCGGCGGAGGGGGGAGACGTGGACCTCGACGAGGGCGATGGTGCCGTGGCGGCCGAGGTTGACGCCCTCGAGGTCGATGTAGAGGGAAGGGGGCGTGGTGGGCTGCGAGTCGAGGGTGTCGATGAGGGAGGAGATGGCCGAAGGGTGTCGACGAGACAGCTAAGCTGCGGACCAGCCGAGGGGAGAACCGCAGCAGATGCCATCTCGTGGCCCAGAGACCAGTCAGAAAGACGGAAACATGAGACGGCGTCTACGCATCTGGCGATGGTGTGTCAGACCGCGATAGAAGACAACCGAGATCAGCGACTCGATGGGCATGACGTCGGCGAGGCCAGACTGGAGCGATATAGAAAGACGGGTAAATCGGCTGACAGTGCCTTAGGAAAGTGTGCAACAGCTGAGCTGACCGTGTCAGTCTGGTAACAGCTAGCATAGTATACAGAATAGATGGGCACGTCCCTTCTTTTCTGAACGTGGAAGTCCATCCAGGCCAGCGCCATCTGTGCGTGATCTATTCTTAACTCCAGCCTCTAGCCAGGATGATAGTAGCACGACCATCATCAATACGGCAGTCCCATACTCTCTGTTGTCGCAGGGGACGGTTGGCTGACACCGCACTTGAGCCAGGCAGGGAACAAATCTTAACCATCCGCCCGCCAGTATGCTCTCAACCCTGACGAAACACGTCCATCATCCTCCCTATCAGGTCAGACTGAGGTCAGTCCTACACAATGCAGTAGCTGTGAATCCCGAGCACGACGATGCCCATCAAACAGATTCACCAGGCCAGATGCGTGGCTCAGGACCGCAGGCACATCACGAGCGCCCTCAGACAGTGATCCGTCTAGTTAATAACTTATAAGCAATGACGTCGGGCACAGACACGTCGTGACTGTTCACGGTGTCGAACAAGGGGCCCTCAACCGATGGCACTGGAAACTGCTCCCTCTCGTTTCCCTACCCCGTGAGCGTCAGGTGACTCTGGTCTCACTCGTGTAGTCATGAAGATACTAATGTCGATAATTAATGTCTTAATGACCATCACCCACTTGAATGACTGCACAATAGCCACCTGGAGCCGGTTATGACCGCTGCTTTTCTCACTGGTATTTGAAGTTGAAACCTTCGGTGACAAGGGCTGCAGGTGACGGACGAACTGTCATGAATCTCAGTAAAACTCATTATATGTGGTCGAACCGCAACACCAGGACTGCGAGGTTGAAAAAGCCATCTGTTCCATTACAAGACGTTCACGCTTAGGGGGTCTAGTCAGGGTCAAGTCCGTCGCTTCCCAGTTGCTGCAAAGATCGACCGCTTCTCATGAAGCCGAAAGCAGAGCAAAGTGAATTCCTACGGCAAGGCGGGATAACGATTAAGTCCACCCCTCATGACCCCACAGGGCATTCCCCCTCTCCAGAGACTCCAGAGAGGGTATCTTTCCCTCATTAGTGCGGTCATGTGTTACCTTGGGCCAGAGGAACGAGCCCATTGCAACCAGCATCCAAGCCAAGACAAGACGGAAAGCCATTTCGTGTGGGAATGAGCGACAAGAAAGACGACGCCCATTGTGTCCGTCCGGGACGCCTTGACCCCAAAATTGCCATTTTATTTTCCGCCATCTCTCGTCTACCAGCCAGACTCCTTGGGAGCCGCATCAGCCCACTCAGTCGTGGTGGTGGCAGCGGCGGCACCAGTCTCCCAGCTGACGGGCTGGGTCTCGGCCCAGTCACCACCAGTGGCGGCAGGGAAGGCAGCAGGGGCAGCCTCCCAGTCACCAGCACCAGCGGCGAAGCCCGACTCGATGGCGGTCTCGCCCACCTCCTCAACACCGGGGAGCTTCTCCTCCTCGACCTTCTCCTCAGCCTCAGCCTCGGGGTCGCGGTCTGCCAAGATCGTCAGCGTTGATTTCATCCGGCGGTTGATGCGGAAGACATACAGAAGTAGAGATCAGGCATCACGTCCCACGGGGTCTCGCGGTTGTAGATGGTGCCGCGCAGGCGGAGGACCTCACGCGCGAGCATCCACCAGACCAGGCCGATCGAGTGGCGACCCTTGTTGTTGGTCGGGATGGCCACGTCGACGTACTCGGTGGGCGAGTCGGTGTCGCAGAGGGCAATGACGGGAATGTTGACGTAGCTAGCCTCCTTGATGGCCTGGGCGTCGGTGCGCGGGTCCGTAACGATGATCAGGCGGGGCTCCTTGAACGACCGGGTGATGTAGTTGGTGAAGGAACCGGGGGTGAAGCGGCCGGCAATGGCCTGGGCGCCAGTGTGGGCGGCGAACTTGAGGACGGCACGCTGACCGTAGGGACGAGCCGAGATCACACAGACATCCGACGGGTTGTCAATGGCGGCGATGATGCGGGCAGCGAGGGTGATCTTCTCCCTGTACCATGTATGGTCAGCCGTCTGCCTGTTGCTTTCTCGTCTCGTCAGGTCTTCCGGTCGCAAAGCCCACGTACCAGGTCTTGCCGATGTTGATGATGTTCACACCGTCGGCACGGGTCTTCCAGAGATAGGCTACACGAAAAAACCTGTCAGATACTTATGGATATGGCGAATCGATCGGTCGGGAATATTTACGTTGCATGTGGACGCCCAGGCTGTCGCAATGGGTCAGTATGCGCTGCCAAGTGCTTTAACGACTAGGAAGAACTCACTTCTTGGAGCCAATGTGGCATTGAGCAGCGAGCAGCTGCTCAATGTCGGTGCTCGTGGCATTGAAGATGGAGGGGAGGTTTGCCGGTGCCATCTTGACGGTGCTTTCTCTCGTGGACGTGACGACGGAGAAAGATGTCGAGGCTCTGGCGTTCGGGGATGGGATATTTTTCTCTGGGCCGAGCAAGCTGCAGCGGAGCTCTGCGATTTTGGCACACAAATTCAGACTTTTGTGGGGAGCCCCGCCAGGGTTCTGCATTTGGGCGGAGAGAAGTTGGCTGCCGCAGGCGGGCCGTTGCCAGCTGCTAATGCCAAGACAAGACGAGCCTGGTCGATGAGCGGAATTTTGAGCCACCGTTTTCCCGGCAGGCTATGAGCTGAGGTGAATCGAGAAGCTAATCCTGAATCAACCTAGCGCTATTGGCTCCAAAATCTGGGTCGCATGCTGCAGCGAAGAAAGTTGAGAGGCGCGAGACGAACTGACGAGCACCCGGGGAGACAGTGACCCAGACCAAATATTCGTCATGCCTCCTCGGATACCCGCCCCGCAGGGGCTGCGAAGCCTAACGCGTGAGACATCTCATCAAGTGACGGCCTTTGATTTTGTGAGAGCTAACACTTCATGGCAGTATGCATTCGTCCGACTCCGACTCCTTCCCCGACCGCCAGCCTGCTCCCGATGGTCCAATCGGCCAATATCTCGATGAGGGAGAAGAAGAAGCGCATGAAGCAGGACCCCTACGGCTGGGCCCAGGCACAGCAGCGCAAGAACGCCAACCTCAAGCGGCGCGAGGAGCTGGCGAAAGAGCGCCAGGGCAGCTGGGGTGATCCGGTGCACGGCGTCACCACGCCCTTCGTTGAGTCCTTCGACACAGCCGGTCAAGAACCCTTCAAAGCCGACGCCACAGAAAACGGGGAATCTTGCCCGTTGCCCACTTCGCCACACCTCGTCAACTACCTGCTCACCAAGGAGGAGCTGGAGAAAGCGATCGAGGACTCGCGGCGGCTGACCCAGCCGCTGACGGGCCCGGACAGCCCGGTGTCGGACCCGGCGCGGGAAGAGCAGGAGCTGGAGGAGCACGCGCAGAAGCACGCCAAGGCGCAGGAGGCGCTGCAGCGCATCACCAGCCTGCAGAACGGCAGCGCCAAGGACCGCAAGCACGCTAACATCCGGCGCTGCATCGAGACGTTCGGCCGGCACGTCACGGACCATTCGCTCGAGAACCCGATCAAGCCGCCGGCACGCGGGTACGTGCCGCGCGAGATGCCCGTCCGCGCCGGCCCGGACACGGGCAGTAGCGAGGTGCAGATCGCTATCCTGACGTCCAAGATCCGGGCGCTGGCGCTGGCGCTGGAGGGCCCCAAGGGTCACAAGGACAAGAACAACAAGAGGAGTCTGCGGCTGCTTTGCCACAAGCGGCAGAAGCTGCTGCGGTACCTGGAGAGGAAGGAGAGGGGAAGCGGGAGGTGGCAGCACTTGGTTGAGACGCTGGGTCTGACACCAGCGACGTACAAGGGTCAAATTTCGATCTGATGCTACAGAGCCAGCTGGTGGGAAGAGAAGCGTGTTAAAAATCCAACAAGTTGTGTAAACTTATCTATGTACAATACCGACAGATAGACAGGAGGACACGCAACGATTACACCATCTTGCAATTCCCCGTCACCGCTTGATCTTCGCCAGACGCCATAAAATCATGCTCAAGGTTCCCGAAAATCCTACAACTGTAACCAACAAGCAGGCCCCATCATTAGAAGACACTGATGTAATTGCCGATGCGCTCTTTCTGGTTTTGAGCTATGCATTCGGCAATCCAGGTGATGTTGCGGATTTCCTGGATGGCCGTCAGCACAATAACGTTACCCGGAGGAAGGAAGGTTGAGAACGTACCTGCTCTCTCAACTTAACCCACGCATATACAATCGCGTATGTGAACTGCCGCGTAAACGCGCCCTTGGCAATCTCCATCTCCTTCTGGTAGAACATATCCTCCAGGCTCCGGCCGTCCGACCCCGTGCCGCCAGCCATGTTCCCCGGCCCGCCGGGCCCGCCGCCCAGCCCCGCGGCGTCGAAGAAGGCCTTGTAGTCAGCCACCCCCTCCACCGCCAGCCGCACCCCTTCAAAGTCGTCCGCCCGCGACAGCATCAGCGTGCCCTCGGGATACAGCCGGCCGAAGCTCGGATACAGCTTCTTGCGGTCGGCCTTGGACAGTTCCGTTCCGAACGAGTTGAGCGTGATATTGATGGCCCTGCGGTCGGCTTCAAACTCGAGCAGCTCCGACATGACCTCGGCCGTCGGGGTACCGGCCATGTCCGGATGGGAATTGACGAAGCGGTAAAAGTCCTCAAGGTAGTTCTTGTAGAGCGTGTTGCGCACAATTTCAATGTTGAGCTCGTCCAGGTCCTGGTGCGAGAGGCTGCCCTTAAAGTAAGGGGCCAGGGGCGTCTCGATCAGCACGCTGTTGTACAGCTCCTCGATGTTGGTCGCCACGCACAGTACCGGCATCGTCTCGAACCACCCCAGCGGGTGGCACCGCTCCAACAGCTCCCGCGTGTCGCGCTCGTGTAGCGTGCCCGTGATGAGCAGCGCCACGTTGTCGATCATGTAGCCGTAAGTCACGTAGTCCATGAACTGCGCGAGTAAGCCGACCGCATTGGCGCGGACGTAGCGGAACTCTGAGACAAGCTTGTCGGTAGTCTTAGCTGCAAGGCTGGATGTGGACGGGTTGGGTGGCAGTGTCGCAAGGAAGTCGCCGTAAGCAGGGCCTAGTTGGAGCTTGAGATCTAGGGAGAAAGAAGGTCAGTCAAGCAGTAATTTATCGGATCTTAAGGAGGGCCCAGTACCGTCGATAGTCTCGCATTGTGTCATGTTGGTGTAGTTGTTGCTAGTGAGCAGGCCGTTCCGATAGCCACGGACGATGCCCTCGATGTAGCTGGAGCGGAGAAGGGATTATTAGTATGCCCCCCCCCAATCATTGCGCACAGCTCACGCCACAACATACCCATTGTTAACATTGAAGAAGAGGCCCTCCATTTTGAGCCGATGCGTGCGAAGTTGTGAAGGACAGATCCCAACACGTTGGAGCTCGAGGTGATGCGGCTCGGGACGGCGTTGGATGGTTGGCCCGAAGTTGTACCGTGCATACTCAGAACCAGATTCAACTCATGCCGACGACTGCATTGCCTGACGGGAACGCCCAGATGTTTGAAATTGGTACGTACCTCTCTGCCTGCCCCGATGCATCGCTTGAGCTTGGACCTCCGGCCCCACCTTCAACTCCAATCTGGTGGTAAAAAATTGTTCGTTGCTCTCAACTTTTTCTGCGAGGTCTCGAAAAGTGCAAGTACCGCCGCTGTTCAGGCCGCTTTCCTACTCTTCCACCGACAACAGCAAGCGCGGCTGCGGGCACCATCAACGAGCCGCCATCATGCCTCTTTTTATTCTCACCGAGACCAGCGCCGGGTAAGTGCACCGCCCTCGATGGCAGCAGCAAGGCTTGCAAGTGCACAATTGCACCTGCTCGTGCTTTTGTTGCTCTGGATGGCGCGGACTAATTCAGCTAACCTGCGACTGCAGGTACGGCCTGTTCAAGGCTGCCGACAAGAAGCTGCTGGATTCCGATAATCTTTCTGAACGTCTCTCAACCGTTGACAAGATTGTTAAGGAGTAAGTGCCACCAGCGTGCCATTTTCGCGAGGTCGTGTCAAATACCAACGTCCTACAGAATCAAGTACAAGGAATTTGCCAAGTTCGACAGTGCTGCGAGTGCTCTCGAGGAAATTGCTGGAGTGATTGAGGGCAAAGTCACACCAAAACTCGCCAGCCTGCTCAATGAGTTCAAGGACGAGAAGAAGGTCACCCTGGCGGTGGCCGAGAGCAAGCTGGGCAGCGCGATCCTCAAGCTTCCCGAGCTGAACATCAAGCCCATCTCTGATTCTTCCACTACCGATCTGTTCCGAGCGATTCGCCAGCACCTGCCAGAGCTGATCCCCGGTATGCTGCCAGAGAACTTTAAGGAGATGTCTCTCGGCTTGTCGCACTCGCTCTCCCGCCACAAGCTCAAGTTCTCGCCCGACAAGGTCGATGTCATGATCGTTCACGCCGTGTCTCTTCTTGACGACCTGGACAAAGAGTTGAACACATATGCCATGCGGGTGAAGGAATGGTATGGCTGGCATTTCCCAGAGCTGGCTAAGATTCTGCCAGACAACCTATCGTACGCCAAGGTTATTGTCACTCTAGGCATGCGCTCCAACGCTTCTCAAGCCGACCTCTCCGAGATCCTCCCCCACGAGATCGAGACTGCCGTCAAGGCCGCTGCCGACATCAGCATGGGCACCGAGATCACGGAGGAGGACCTTGAGAACATCAAGCTGCTTGCGGAGCAGGTCATCAGCTATTCCGAGTACAGGAGACAGCTTGCCGAGTACCTCGAGAACCGCATGAAGGCAATCTCCCCCAACATGACGGAGCTTGTTGGTGCCCTCGTTGGAGCCCGGCTCATAGCTCATGCTGGCTCTCTGATCAGCCTCGCCAAGAACCCCGGTTCCACCATCCAGATTCTCGGTGCTGAGAAGGCGCTCTTTCGCGCGCTCAAGACCAAGCACGCGACTCCGAAGTACGGTCTTATCTACCATGCTTCGCTGGTCGGTCAGGCCTCTGGCGCCAACAAGGGCAAGATTGCTCGCCAGCTCGCTGCCAAGCTTGCTCTTGGTGTCCGCACTGACGCTCTTGCCGAATTCGACGATGATGCCGACGACGAGACGCGTGCTGCTCTGGGTATTCGTTCCAAGGCCAAGCTCGAGCACAATTTGAGGTTACTGGAGGGCAAGCCGCTGTCAAAGGGCGTTTCGGTCGGCCCCAACGGCATCCCGCTTGGCGCTCCCTCGAAGTGGGACATCAAGGAGGCTCGCAAGTACAACATCGATGCTGATGGCCTCAATGGTGCGGAGGCACTGGCGACGAAGCGGCCTCTCATTGAGGAGGTTGATGAGGAGATGGCTGAGCTTGATGTCAATGGAAAATCCGATGAGGAGATGGCGGAAGCTCCGAGCAAAAAGGAGAAGAAGGACAAGAAGGAAAAGAAGGAGAAAAAGGACAAGTCCAAGAAGTCCAAAGAGGCCGAGGCTCCTACACCAGCGAAGATCACCGAGAAGGATTACGAGCGTCTTGCCGATAAGGCAGGCATGTCGGTATCCAAGTTCACCCGCAAACTCGAGAAGGGCCAGATCAAGATAAACGCCGACGGGACGGTCGAGGTCCTCGGCAAGATCCTCTCCAAGGCCCAGGAAGCCGAGGAGCAGGCGGGTGCGACGCCGGTAAAGCCCAAGAGCTCCAAGCGCAAGCACGAGCCCGAGGAGGAAGCCGAGACGCCGGCCAAGGAGGATAAGCCCAAGAAGAAGAAGAAGAAGCACAGCAAAGAGTAGGCGGTTGCCGCTTGTGCTGAGTTCATTCTCTTTCACTTGCTTGTCTGTAATGATATACACCTTCTGGCGTACCGGCTGGTGGTTTTTGGCGTTTGGATGGGCAAGAGGACGGCGTTCTTTGGAGGGGATTGGTTGGTGTTGTGTATTCGTGCCGCGCTCCAGCTTCGCGGCGATGAAAAGAAAGGAATGGGAGGGGAAGGGGCTAGTTGCCGGTTGCCTGCTCTCGCCGGCACGCATTCTTAGCGTGAGGTTAGCCTTTAACTACTGTATCTTCATTACGTCTGACCTCGGACAATCATTCATGCTGATGCAGTGAGCGAGTTGCAACTTCCAAGTGCTTCGCTTAGTTATCGGTTATCGCCAGTTTGCCCCACTAAGTTGATGCCCATTTCTACAGTACCATCCATTCGTTGCGGCACCTCTTGCCTGCCTCACCCATTCAACCCAAAACCATAAAACACATCACAACATGCCAAACTCCCCGCGTAGACGGTCGCGGTCGCGGTCACCGCCACGTCGACAAAAGGCTACTGGAGGCTTCAAGTGGAAAGAGAAGCGCTCGACCGACGCGGACGAGCGCCGCGACGACCGGGGCCTGCAACGCGGCTATCGCGATCGCTCGCCGAAACGCGACAGAGACAGAGAGCGCGACGGCGACTACGGAAGGGACAGAGATAGATCGCTGAGGCGGGATCGCGATGGTGCTCGGGACCGAAACAAGGGAGACTCGGGGAGAGAGAGGGATCGGGAAGGGGACCGGTACAGGCCCAGCGATCGCGACCGCTCCCCGACCAACAAGCAGCGGCGGGACAGAGACAGAGATACGAAAGATCGGTCTCCGCGTAGCAATCGTGATCACGACGGGGACCGCGATCACGAATCCAAACCCAAGCGGGACAAGCCCCCTACCTCTACCACCACCAGCACTGCCGCAGCAAAACCTTCACGGGGGGGAGGAGGAGCAAGCGAAGAGATGATTATCGTGACCGTCAACGACCGGCTCGGCACAAAGGCGCAGATCCCGGCCTTTCCCAGCGACACGGTCGGGCAGTTCAAGATCATGGTCGCCATGAAGATCGGGCGGGAGCCGCATGAAATTATGCTGAAGAGGCAAGGGGAGAGGCCGTTCAAAGATGCAATTACGCTGGGCGACTATGGGGTTTCGAATGGCGTGCAATTAGATCTGGAGGTTGATACGGGGGACTGATGTGTGTGTCAACCCCACCCGTTCTCTGGATCGTTTCTGTCTGGGTTTAGGAGCCGGGTGCTGGAGGGGTGGTGTTACTGTTGAGGAGAAGGGGTTTGGCTGTTTTTCGGAGATGGGGTGGGACAAGGAAATTTTATCTACAGTGACTGTTGCGGCCGGTTGAGGATGATACTTGATGTGAAGTCGGTCACTCGGTGGACGGTACCATGAGAAGGTGGTGAGCAATGGGGCAAGATGCCGTTGTTGAAGGCTATGCTACCGAGCTGTGGTCATCCGGTCATCAAGAATATCCCCCTACCTGGATAGAAGGCTACCAAACTAAGTAAGTTAATCCAAAGCACGAAAGATACTCATCCTCAAGATGGCTTGTCTCAAATTCCTTTATTTAACTCTCACCGTCCTCATGCCCCTCCTCCACCTGCGCCCTTCGCCCGCGGAACGTTCCTGCAGCAGATTCATTGCTGGTACCGTCCTCTTGGGGAATATTGACCAGCATATTTGGTCTGCCATTGACACTGCCATCGCCGGGAGGACGGGCCACATATTCGACCTGCGGATTTGGCGCTGCGTAAGGGGGCGGCGGGTTCTGCATTGGATGCTGGACAGGACCGGCAAGTCTCCCTTGGGATTGGGTGTGTGAGAGTTGCTCTTCGTCGACGCCGGATTCGCTTACAGCATCTTCGTGGCTGGCAGCTCCGTGACCTGGGTCTGCATAGGGCCTCGGTGGTGGTGGGAAAGGGGGCTCACTGCGTATGGCGAGGAAGGCCTGCTGTTTGCCCTGGGTTATGTAATGCTCTTTGAAGTCTGCCGTCCCCGTTAGCCAAGGAGTTGAGTGAGTTGGAAATACCTACGGTCTATGCAGAGCTGCTCGGCAATCGCTCTTTGGTGACATCTGAGTTTTGAGCAGCCGTCTATGTCCGAGTCAGTCTCGCTGAGGAACCGATCGGCAAGGACGGGAGAGGTTCCTCACGGCCAAGGCAGAAAATAGAGAGCCTGTCGACGTATTTCCGGCATTGATCAACACGACATGTGTCTGTGTTGTATGGTCAATGATATGAACCACAAAGACGTGCGCAGCATTGCATTGAAACCCACGCATAGGGCAAAACCTGCGGCGGCCCTCGGATTCATGGATCCAGTCTCGCGGATTTTGGCAACGTGACTCGGCACAGCGATCTGGTAAAGGTCAGGATGACTGCAGAGCTTAGCACACGCTTGAGGACTGACGGTTTTCGCAGTATAGCCCGGAGTTGGTTGCCTTGTCACATGTCCGCACATGACAGGTGTGCTCGTTGCAGAAAGCCAACAGTTCGGTCTTGAGGGCAGTGCATTGCTCCACCGTACATGTCGCGTCTAAACATGTTAGACTGCGAATGTGGGACGGGGACTGGACGGGGCGCACTGACGGGTGGTACAGTAGGCGAGATACTCGTCCGCCTTTGCGAGGTAGTGTTTGGCCTCCCCACAGCCAGTTGCCTGGCACTTGATGTCTGCAATGTTTGGTTATCACCCCTGATCGAGCTTTCTTTGCTGGAGGCTGCCCTACGGCTCGCACAGTAGGGGAAATCGCCCTCGACGATGGTCCTGCAACCCCCGGATTTGCATTGGTCTTCAAGAACGTTAGATCATATGGCTGAGCCTCAGGAGGGCAGGCGTAAGACATACGCTCTTCACAGCAGTTCCGGTCCTCTTGGCGCAGGTTCGTACAATCTTCAGCATGGCAGGCGTCTGGCAGTGGTGAGACTGAGACACATGTACCAACGATGAGAGAAACAACTCACGGGCTTGACAAAAGGTGGTTCTTGGGGATGCTCGTCTCCCAGGGCATCTCGGCAAAGCGCACTTGTCTTCTCTCGGTCAGACTCTTGAATTCAGAAGTATCGAAAGTAAACGCACGCTCTGAGCAGACGTCGAAGCGAGCATATCTCGGGAGAGCATTGGACAACGGGTCAAAGTTTGGCTCGAGATACTGGGCGCGGGCTTGTGTGCAGTTTGGCACAGGACATCTTGCATCTGGACGAGTATTCTGAGCTGGCAGTTCGGGTCAGGGGCATCTGAGTGGCTTACGAATGGGGCAGACCGTGTCATGGCGAGGTTTCTTGTAGATGCAGCGCTCGTCGCCGTGGAAGTGAATGCACGTGTCTATAGGGGCTTGAGCTGGGAATGCTATGGACCTTGAGTAGGCGGGTCATACGCTGCTTGCAGTATGGAGACACCTGTATCGAGCCGTTCGAGTGTCGGTGGTGCAGACCCGAGGGCGAGCTTCGGTCGGTAAGGGACAGAGGTGGTCTCACACCGCTGCCTCTCCGGTCGTCAAATGCGCCATCGAGCGACTTGAACAGGACCTCGTTGGTACAGCCCTCGCTCCTGCATTCAATCCTGCGGCTCATTGTCATGGGGCGTTGACGAGATAACAGACAGCTGGCTAAGAAGGACGACGAGTTGAGTGAGGAAACTGGCCTTCTTGGAAAGGCGGCAATGGAGAATTTATTCGACAGTGAAGACTGGCGAGGCTGGACATGACCACAGCAGCTGGGCGACTGGGTGCAAGCCAAGTTTCGGATTCCACCACCTGTTGATTGGCGCTGCCACCGAAAGTTAGCTTGATAGCGGCGTATGGCTGCAGACGGAGGAGGGGCCGCACTGCAAGAAGCCGCAGCGGAACCGTCTCGTCATCCAGACTCGACGCCCGGTTTCTGGCAGGTGCCAGTGGCTGGACTCATGCGGACTATCGCACCTTCCCAGGCACCCAACGTTTTAGGCCGCCCGACACTATAGTAGACTCAATCTCCAATTTGAGGGGTGTTTTGCATCGGAAAAAGCTATAACATTGACAGGCCGCAAAGAAGGATCCTTGATGGCGTTGATCGAAGCATTCGAAGGTGCGTTGTTAAGACTGGATAATTGATACAATCCAACCCTGGCTCGTTTGTTAGCGTGGAACTTTCGTGATAAGCAATACATGTCATCTCCCTTCCCTTACACTTTGGCCTTCTTATAACGTTGTATTTTCGTGATATCTTTCTTTTTTTCCCCTTCGTCTTTATCTTTCATCTTTTTTTTTCTTCTTATATCTTGTCGTTGCATCCCCGCCTCCTAATTCTTTTTCTTCCTTTCTTACATTCGTTTTATCCCATTCATGCCTAGTGCCCCGCCATGTGCCACGCTAACTGACACGCCAGGGTTGGACTGTAGTAGAGTCACATGATAGCGCTCCGCGCAACGCGCCTCGACAAGGGCGTTGGCATTTGGATGCGCGCCCTTGTCCTGACATCGGCCAATTTGCTCTAACTGTCCGGTCTGCCTGCAAATCTGAGGAACAAAATTACTATCTCAGCATTTCAGATCCATCCTGTGGGGAAGCACCTGAGATTAAGCCAGTTCAACTGGGCTCAACAGCCAAAATTCCATCATTCCCACAGAGCTGTGCTGCCTGCCGGCCATTCTACAAACTTTAATACAACAGAAGTCGAAGGGAAAATGGCTACTACCCCGGACACACAAACCATCACAACAACAGCAACAACAACAACCAAATACACCAAGGCTTCCTCCGCCTCTTCCACGATGATATCCCTCTCCAAGACGCCCCTCCCACCGCCCCTCCTCGCTTCCCCGCGCGGCACCCCCTTCGAGCGCGCCGTGTGGTCACTCACTCACCAAATCCCCGCCGGTTCGTTTAGCACCTATGCCCTGCTCGCCACATATCTCAAGTCTTCCCCGCGAGCTGTAGGAAACGCCCTGCGACGAAACCCTTTTGCGCCCGAAGTACCCTGGTATGTATTGTACAAATACATACGCCCCCTCCCTACCTTAACTGTCCCCTCCTCTTTCTGTCCAGGTTGCGGTACTGACATGATCCCAAAAGCCACCGCGTAGTCGCAACAGGCGGCACACTAGGCGGCTTCAAGGGCAAAATTGCCCGGCGCGACGGCGAGGGCATCACGCTGGCCGAGAAGCGGGCGCTGCTGCGCAAGGAAGGGGTCCGGTTCGACCCTGTGAGCGGCCGGGTGCTCGGGACGCCGTTTGCCGGGTTCATTTGAGTTCTCGGCATCTCACCCGTAAGGCTTACTATTACCAACAAGCTCCCTTGGCTCAGGGATGCGCAGGTACTGCGCTTGAATTGTGTTGAGGTGGTTCACAAACTGGTTGTGAAGGGGCATTTACATAACTATGTATGGACGGGGAGGAGGGATAAGTTTGATTTGGTTGGCCTTGGGGGGTATCAAGGAGTCAGGCGTATGAGAATGAGTTCAATCATTGAACGTATTATTATTTGGCTTACACTTGGCCATGCAGCGCTATTGATGTTAGCATCTGTGCTTCGCAAATCTCAGATTTGATCTCGGAACAGGAACAGCAATACACCAGCAGCACTTCGCGACAACACTTGGCCATCACACATCTGCCGAAGTAGCCACGACGTAATTTACCTATGATACATACCATATACCCGGTCTGAATGAAGCCGGCTGACCCGCGCATCAAACCTCTCGGTGAACCGTCCCTGCATCCCAAACGCCGCAAATATTTCGTCGCATTTCGTCTCTCAGATGCCACCCTTTTCCCAGATGCTCCCGGACAGACCGCCTGATGAAAAAGCCAACGTCGCCCCCGATGTTCCCCTAATGTACTGGTACATGCAATGCAGTGTGGCTTTTTAACCCGTCCCTCGAATGGCCAAAGCAGGTGATGTGTAAATAAGCATTACGCGCTTCATTGGTGTAAAACGCCCCGGTGATGAGAGTGCAAATGACGAAACCCCGACTTGGCCGACAACCAGACAGCTGGATGACAAAATCAAGCGAGAAGTGCGTTCCTTCTGCGAGGTGCGCGCGTTTTTCCGAATGCAGCGGTGGATGAGCCGATTACTAGTGCTGCTCATCGCCGCCACGACGAGGGCCCATGCCGCCGTTGCCGCGCGGACCACCACGACCACGGCCGCGACCGCGACCTTCGCCCCGGAATCCGCCACGACCACGGTAACCGCCGCGGCCGCGCCAGCCACCTTCGCGATTGCCGCGATGGCGGCCCGGCACTGACTGGAAGCCATCATCGGCAGGACCGGACGGGATAGCCTCAGCCTCTGGGTGATCATCTGCCCAAGACTGCGTGTTGGACGGCGCAGCGGGCGTGGCCGTCAGGCCTGTCTCCGTCTCGCTGGGCTCGCGAGGGATCTTTACATCGACCCACTCTTGCGTTGAGGTTGGCGATGTCTCGTTGCCCGTGTCCCACTGACTCTCGCCCGCGGCGTTGGCGGCGTCGTCGGCAACGTCCGTGTTGCTGTGCGCAGTGCTGCTCGAAGAGACTAAAGCCTCCTGGACATGCCCGTTAGTGAGGACGGTAGCGCTGCCATCGTCGACCTCGGTCAGGGAGGCGTTGGCGACCGTGGGATCGGTCTCGGGCTCCTGCTTGGATTCGACCGCGTCAGACTCAATCGGCGGGGACTCAGTCGGCTCGGCCGGCTGGGAAGTCGGATCGGTCTGGGTGAAGGAGGCAGCGTGGGCGATGGCAGCCTGTTTGACTTGGGCGACTGGAGGAGGTCAGCACTACTGAAGGATCTTTCCAGGATACGTTGGACTTACAGGTCGTCTGCAGCGTCTCGCCGGTAGTGCTGCGCGTCTGCTCATCCGCACCCTGCACCAGCTTCAGCATGGTGGCAACGGCGTTCTCGTCACCCGAGTAGATGTGGAGCAGGACGCCTTCGAGAGCCTGGCTCTCGTCAGACGTGCTGTCGGCATCCTCGACGCGGCGCGCGGCAGCCAGGCGGAGGAACTGCGAGAGAATGAGAAAGTTGTCGTGCAGAGCTGTCTGGGCATCTGCATCGGCCTTCTCTGTGAGCTCGGCGACCGCATCCGCCTTCTCCTTTTCGAACTTCTCCGTCAGAGCCTTCTCCTGCTCGGCAAGGCGAGCCAAGTATTCCCGGGCGACCTTCTTGTGCTGCGCAAGCTGCTCCTCGAGCTGGAACAGCTGGGCCTGCAGGCCAGGCTTCCTGAGGTGGGCGGCCTTTTGATCGGCATTGATGACCTTGGTGGCTACAAGGTCGTCGAGGGACTTGCCGGGGTGCTCGGCGATAATCGCATCAATCTTGGCAGTGCTGGTCTTTTCACAATGTTAGTGTTCCATGGCGTGGGACACACAATGAGGCGGGTAGGCGCTCACAATTTTCTTGGTGATGTTGCGGATGCTCCTGCAGCGGGTCAGTGATGTATCATAGCAATATTTACAGATTTCTTACTTTTGCAAATCACGGATGTGGGCGTTGTCGCCGTCGTCCTGGGCATCACCGGCGGCAACGGAGCCGGCCTTCTCGGGGGTGGGGGCACTGGGCGCCGGGGACTCGGTGCGCTCCGCCTGACCCTTCGCCTTCTTCTTCTTGGCCGACTTGGACTCAATTGGAGCTGGGAGGTTCTGGATGTCTGAAGCCGCCATGTCGAATATGCTGGGATCGCTTAGATGAGAATTGTAATGGTTGGAATCGGAATCGTTCGCTGTTTGTTCGCCGGGAATCACTGACTAGGTCTCCCACGTTGGACGGTTTGTCAGAGGCGTGGTGCGACGAATCAAAATTAGCGTTGGTGAAGAAACCGATTGCCAGGTTTGTGGAAAGAATTGGATGAATCAATGGTGAAGAGCTGCAAGCTGTGCGATGCGAGAGGCAGGTTGGTTCTGGAAATTTTTCTGTAAAGTGCGTGCCTGAAGTGACGCTGCTCAGACCTCACGCACTGCAAACACGGGCCACCTGAGCTGCCCCTCGGCGATTGGCCAGAGAATTGAAGCTCAAGAAGGATACAGAAGCTGTCAGAAGACAACTTCTCAATGCATTCGATGTATCTTTGAAAACTATTCGCTTACACGGCGCAAGTCGTCTTTCACAGGCCGTATACCGTCACTGTCCGTAAACAGTACAACTCAAGGCCTTCTTAACTATCCGCATCTAGACTTTCCCATTAGTTGTTGCCTCCCCACACCGAGAGCTTGGTGTCGTGTGCCCCCGTCGGCCGACTTGGCATGCCAGTCTCCACATTTCCATGAGGAACCGTCCGTGCGATAGCGTCAGTTCCGTGCAGTTCTGAGCCCGACCTGATCGGTCCTCTCGGTTGATGTCACTGGGACTATGGTATTTGCTGTTCCACATAGACCGACAGATCCCTCATCCCCTGAATTTGGCAAGCGAGTCCTGGACAACGCTTATGTAAGTACCTTAGGTGATTACTGGGCCACTCTGCCTCAACGGGTTCTTACCGCAGTCACTCTCCTGACGCTCCGTGCGGTGATGCCTCGTTCACCTCCTTGCTTCGCCTCAATCGCAGTCTCTTTCATGAGGCTAGTCAGTCGTCAGTCAGCTAATCTGCAGAGAGAGACAGCATCTTCACTTACGTCTGCATGAACAGCATGTAGTCCAAAAAAATCTTCCCACTTCGTCAGAAGTTGCTCCACTAACACGACCGCAATGTGAGGATGGATACCATGACATCAGCGTTCTTGCTCACGTTGCAGTTCGAGTGAGCCTTGACAATCTTCTTGACGGTCGCACGCGGGTACAGCTTCTGCCCAACCATGTTGATATTGAGACAATAATTGAAGAGTGCTTGCAAAGGGACAATACAGTGCCTTTGTTGAAGGTGAGCGTTCTGCGTGATGTGATGTTGTTTTGGCTGTTACAGCAACCGAGCTCTGGAGCTTGGTTGTTGACTTTGAGGAAGCTGCAAAGCCAATGGAAGAAGACTAAGCGCCAGCCCCACCATTCATTTCATGGTGATAGGCACTGGGCAGACGGGTTAGGGTTACACTCCAGCGTCATGTACCTTACACAATACTGGCCCCGCCGAGCGAGGACCATTTGGGTGCCCAAACTGCGCTGCGATTGAAGTCAAGCATCGACGAGGGAGCAGTGCTTTCGTCTTTACCTTACCCCAGTCTTGCAAAACTACAAGGCAAGATGATGAGCCGGCGGATGGTAAGGAGAATTTTTCCGCGCTAAGTATCTAGGCTGACCCTTTTTGGTGACAGTTAACAAAAGAGGACGAGGATGCCATGGGAGATGAGGTCGAGGTCCGCCGCGAGGACCAGGACAAGATCAACAAGTTCAGCCGTCTACACCAGCACGAATTGTTGATAGAAGAGGAGCTGAAGACTAAAAATGTGGGCAACTCTGCCGACATACCATGGCATTTGTACAGAACACAGCTGATTCTATGTTGCAGAAAGAGAAGGAAGAGCTCGACGACATCACAACCGAGTTAGAGCTGGTCGACGAGGACGACACCGTTCCGTGAGTCGCCACCCCTGTCGAGCGCAGCATCGCCACGCATTGGCTGAACAAACGAACAGTTACAAGGTCGGGGACGCCTTCTTCCACATCCCGCTCCCGCAGGCCCAAGAATTGCTCGGCATCTCGACGGCAAAGCTAGAAGAAGAGATCGAGGCGCTCGAGGACAAGTTGAGCAGCATCCGCGGAGAAATGACGCAGATAAAGGTGGAACTATACGCAAGATTTGGGAAAGCTATCAACCTCGAAACATAATGTCACCAATCGACCGCCATTTTCAAACCTGAGCGGCCCGCCTGGAATGTGGAAGAGGTGATATTGGGGAAAGGAGCCTCAAGCTTTTGTGGCCAATGTGTTCTCGACACTAGTTGCGACCTCGTGCACTTGCCTTGAGCCCACCGACGCAGAGACAAGACGGCCGGCCGATGACCACCACAAGTCATGGCCCCGAAAATGACGACGAGTCCTTCTCGGAGACCAGTCGGATGCTGGTTTCAGCAGGTTTAGTATGACTCTGAGGCATACCTGACACCCGTGAGAGAGCGCCGGCCAAACCCCCTTACGGAATCTGACGAAACCGCGACAAGTCTTTCATTCATGGCTTGGCGGCTAGTCGGATGGGCGATATGGAACCCCGACAAGTATGTGGATATGCGCCGTTGTCTCCAAGTCCTTCTGTTCTTTAAGGACAATGATGTCCGTCGATGCCTGTCTGCTCGGGCTATCATTGCGTTGTGCGATTTCATTGTCCAAGTTGAAGCTCTAAATACATGACCCAAGGAACAAGGCTGCCAGCGGAGTCTAGAGTCTAGAATCGAAACTGTCTACCACCATCACAAGAATCTCTGTCTTCAGTCCACTGCTACCCGCAAGTGGTGTCTGTTGATCTACGCAATTCCTCATTCTCCAACTCCGCAGCGGACTTTTGTCATGTAAATTATCCTGGATCTGCCAACCATTTAACAAACTGGCCACCGTGGCCTCCGTCCCCTGGTAACACCCAAAGATTGATTATTGATCCTCTACGCAGCCACAACATTAATCAACTTCAAACGCTCTATGCGGAACCATCCAATTCGGTTCTTAGGCCCCGACGACTGGCAAAGGACACAGCCCTGAACGTTACCACAGCAACAGCAATCCAACTCACACAGGGTTAGGGTTTAGACCTCTCATTGCCCCGCCAAAACCGACATCGGTTGTGTGACGGGAAGCATCGTGTCGCGTCTCAATTAAACAACCATGGGCCATGGTCCCAGATATATCACCCCTTCCACTCAAGCCTTCGCACGGAACCCAAACCCGAAACAGCAATCATGGCGTCTCAACAGCTGTCTGCCTCGGCAGCCGCCGGCACAGCAAGGGAAAAGACGTATTTTGAGCAACAGCGGGAGGAATTGATAGGCGAGATTGCTATGGTGAGGATGACGCCCCAATTGAATAAGCACTAAAAAAAGGTCCCCCGTCATCATCATACGGTAAATGGTTCATCCATGCTGACTGACGAAACTCGGTGTCGAACTGCAGAGCTTTGAACACGTGCTGGCCAACATCAACAAGCTGAACCGGTCACTCGAGGCCGTCATTGCGGTAAGCACTCTCTGAGAATACGGGACCCAGCTGTTGTTTGGGTTTGGTTAAACTAAAGGTCATCAAAACAGGTGGGTAATGAGTTCTCATCCGTCGAAGCGCTGTGGTCGCAATTCGAAAATGTCATAGCCAAAGACGAGCCCGAGGAGGGTCACGGCAAGGCGGAGGAGGAGCGGGGTGAGAGTGGGAATGACGGTGATCATGTCAAGACTGAGAGCGAGGCTTGACAAAAGTCGAGGTTTTGTGGTCGGAGACTGGGAATGGATTTGTTCTTATTATGATTATGATACCCAATATACATAATCAAAAGAGCACACAAGGAACTGATGTTGAATTTCCCATTCTTAATCCCTACCCCCTATCCTTAATCAACAATCAACAAGAGGGATTACCTTCCGTTACACCACGCGCAAGGCCTTGCTGGGAACAGTAGCCAGGCACGAAGGGCCCAACGAGAGCCTAGCAAGCTCTTCATTCCCGTTCCGCCCATCCATCCGTCAGGGGTATCGCCATCCCTTCTAAAACCCTATAGTGTTCGAAGAGAAGGTATACTCCAGTAATACATCAGTGTCCCAGTTGCCCATAGCCCATCGTCTGCATCATCCCATCATCCATCCTCCCTGCACAGTCAAGAAAAATATGCCAGAGTAAACAGAATCCCGAAGTCAAGTCGCCCGCTTTGTATGACTCGCCGTCGCCATCGGTATGGTCATGACAGAAAAGGAAACAGTGATGTGCGGGGTGCCAGAAGAACAACGTAACAGAGGGAAAGAGCAGAGAAAAATAAAAGGAGAACAACAGCAACAGCGCATGTCGTGTCGGCATGTCGGCATCATGCATGCATGCAGAGAGTAAAAAGTCATGATCAGCCCTCCTCTGCTAGGGAGGGGCCGTCCTATCCCCAACCCCAAGTCCCCCTCCTCGCCAAACCCCGCCTCTCTTCCCCCACCAACTTCTTCCTCAGACAAGCCTGCACATTCTCTTCTTCTTCTTAACAACCGGAATCTGCAGGCCGTCGCTCCCAAACGTTATCTCCCCACCACCACCACCAAGGACGGCCGTACTCCCTCTCCTCGCCTTCCCACTCTTGGCACCATCACCACCCCGGGAAACAAGGCCGGAGGACGAGGCAGCGGCCTCTGCCTCTGCCTCGAGCGCCTTGCGGTCGTTGGCCACGACCGTCAGAATGGCGCGCTCAAAGATCTCCTCGACGCCCTTCATCTCCTTGCTGCTGCACTCCATGTACTGCGCGCCCATCTTCTTGGCGACGGCCAACCCTTGCTCAGTGGTGACGGGCGTGAGTCCCTGCGTCTTGAGCATCTCGATGCAGGTCTTCTTGTAGCGCAGGTCGGATTTGAGGCCGACTAGGATCAGTGGGGTGTAAGGGCAGAAGTGCAGGACTTCGGGGTACCACTGTGGATATTTTGCAGTGTTTAGTTAGGGAGAGCGGGTGGAAAACAGGGAAGGATGGAAAGACGAACCTTGTCCATTACATTCTCGAGCGAATTGGGGCAGTCGATGGCGAAGCAGACAAAGATGAGGTCGGTTTCCGGGTAGGAGAGCGGGCGCAACCGGTCGTACTCCTCTTGCCCGGCGGTATCCCACAGCGCAAGCTCCACCGTCTTACCGGTGGGCGGGTGTACTGGGTAGGTTATGTAGTTCTCGAAGACGGTCGGGACGTATTTCTGCGGGGCGGGGGGGTCAGTATCGGATGATGCAGGAATGCAGTTCCGTAAGAGAGCCGCGACGAGACAGCGTTTCAAAACACCGGCACGTACCTCTGGAAAATATCCTTGGCTGTAGCTAATCAGCAGGCAGGTCTTGCCGCAGCCGCCGTCGCCGACCACGACAATCTTCTTGGAATATGCCGGCCCCTCGGTCATGGTAGTGCCCGATGATTCCCTGCCGGTCGACGAGGTGCTCATCACTGTGCTGACGGTTCCGTCGCTTGACCTTGTGCCGCGCGTGTCCCGCCGCTGCGAGTCGGGCCTCCGAGAGGCATTGCTATCGTGCCGCTCGTGCATGTAGGTCGAGTTGCGATACTGGTAGGACGCCATTGTGTGTGTCTTGGGAGGTGGCGTGGCTGCGTCAGGTTGCTTGACGGTGGAATGTAAATGACAAGCCACCGAGGTATCAGACAGCGCCCAGCCTGCTTCGAGTTTGCACTTTGCAGAGCAAAAGTGTGCAGTCCTGAAAAGGATATCTTCTTCCCCACCCCGCCCGAATGATGTGTCGGAAATCTCGAGTCAATTGTGGTGTGCAATAATGCAAGAGATAATGCAAGGTGTTGACTCGAGATTTTTTGGCTGCGAGTGATAGATGCGTTGGTCAGAACCTGGAAGGGATCGTGCAAATCATGAGGCGAACAGGTACGACTGGCGGGAAGTAAACGGTCGGCTGGGCAACCGATCCTGCGGATCGGCGGATGACACAACTGCGGGGCTACAAACGGTGAAGCGACCCACTGCAATCCAGGGCAATTTGGAACAAGGCACAACTGAAAGTCAGGGACAGGGCACTCTCCAGAGCTGGGTAGTCTCCAGGTCCAAATGCTTAGGGTATCTTCTTCTGGTGTTGCTATCGAGCTGTCAACAATGAGGTCTTCGTTCCTGAACATCGCCTTTATCCCTTGTTTTCTCCGAGTTTCTTCAAGGAAAGAAGAGTACCTACCTAGGTACCTTGACCCATCAACCCAACAAAGGCAAGCGCCAGGCCAGCCCTACCATGGCCGGCAAGCAGACTGTGGAGCTTTCAGCTGCCTTGGTCGCCCGCGGCTAGTGCGCTTTCAAGGGTTGATCGGCTAGGTGGACAAGAACTTTTTTCCCCTTCCAATTCCAACCTGAAGTTTCTTTCAACCTGTTTGGCGCGTTTGCGAGGTCCAAGAAGTTCGGCCTCCCAGCCACACCAATTTTCAGGCATCACGGCTGGGTTTGTCGGAAGATGACGACGGCCCGTCGGACAGTCCCCTAGCCTTGATCAAGCTGGAATTTCTTATCCCCTCATCGTCGCTTGGAAGTGGACCTTGTACAAAATTTTCAAGTGAAGCCCCTTCACCCTCATGGGAGACAGCCATGTCAGATTCCAAGTACATCACGCTCGTCTCGAGCGAGGGCTTCGAGTTTGTCGTGCTCCGCGAGGCGGCCCTCGTTAGCCCGACCATTAAGGGCATGTTGCGGAGTCAGTTTAGTGAGGCACAGACCGGCCGCTGCACCTTTCCCGAAATCAGGTATGGCATTCCTCTATCCCTCACCTCATCTCATCATCCGCATCTCCGATGATGACAAGCACATCCGCTGCGTTCTTTCTGACAGACCGCTCTCCCCTGATGTGCACCACGTGTTACTATCGACGGGATCGACCGGACTGCATGAGCGTCATCTACACTTGATCTGACCTATTCCATCACCACTTTCATTTAATGCAGGCGCTGGCAACCAGTAGCAGAAACACGAAGTCCCAACGCAAATCTTAGCTAACAATACCTTGTCATACAGCGCCGTTGTCCTCGAAAAGGTGGTCGAGTACTTCCACTACTGGTACCGCAACCGGGACAAGGAAGACGTGCCCGACATGGACATTCCCGTCGAGCTGTGCCTGGAGCTGCTGATGGCGGCCGACTACTTCAACCTGGACGCCAAACCCGCTATGAGGGACGCGGTGTGAGTAGCGGTGTCTGTCTAAGCTCAGCTTCGTCGTTTTCTTTCGCGTCCGGGGTGTCAGTGCACGATTTGCGGCAACGGCGTTTGTCGGTGGTATGGGCTGGCTACGGTATGCGCGGTATGGCGTTATGGAAGATCATTCCAATGCTACGGTTGTGGCATGAACGGGAGTCAATCGAAAGTTGACGACGCAAAGCCTGTGAGGGCTTTCAGACGACGTGCTTGCTCTAAACCTTCTGCCACTATCTCTGCACTCCAGCTTGTCTCAACACACCATCTTAGCATATGCGTCTGGCCCTTTCTCCCCCGTGGGCACGACGTCTAAACCGGATGGAAGATCGACACCGTCCTCCGCGATCTGCTTGGCTTACGACTCTCACCGAGTTTTCGCTTTATTGGAGAGGAGACATGTCTCGCAGAGCGATTTATGGCATTATCGTCGTATGAGAGATATGACGAACCATTCTAACATGGAACGATTCCCCAATTTGCAAACCAAAAAACCCAAATAGAAACTTGGTAACCATGGCTCAAAACGTGATACGGAACCACAACAGCTTTCCTCAAATCCACGTCCTTCTCCCACTCACATATTGGACTTAAACAAGCCATATAAGCCATACCCTTGACCTTCGAACGAGCACACAATACTCGATACGACAACCCGCCTTGCCACCTCGCCGACGGACCCTGCGAGTTGACAATTATCCCCTCCCACGCCCTCGTCCGACCCATCCGCCTCTGCCACCTCTCCCACCACCACCTCTCCCTCCCCTCCCCCTTCCTCTCCCACCACCGCCTCCTCCTCTCCCGCCCTTGCCACGCCCATACCCACCACCACCACCGCCACCAAACTCAGCCGGCGCAGGGCCCATCTCCCTCCGCACCTTCCTCTCTCCCTCGCTCGCATCCCAGAGGTTCGTCACGCCCAGCATCTCGCAGAACGTTGCCGTCTGCGGGTTCGTCCACTCGCGCGGCATCTCGTCTGTCACCTCCGGGTCGATGCCCGGCCGGTGCACGGGCGCCGTGATAGTAAAGTTTTCCGGGACGGTCAGCTTCTCGTCGTCGATCTGTTGGTCTACCCAGCGGCGCTGCTCCTCGATTAAGGAGAGGTAGTGGGCTTCGCCTTCGTCGGGAGGGGTGGTGGCGGTGCGGTCGCCTATTTTCAGGAGGGGGTGGAAGGTGCGGAGGATGGAGAGCCATTCCGGGTCGTACTTGAGTTGGAGTGGGTGGGTTAGAGGGGAGGTGGTCGCGGTGGTGGATTTTTCGGGCGAGGTGCTGTCTGGGAGTGGGATTTCCATTAGTTGGAGGAACTTGCGGCCGGGGAGGCACTTGTCGAGAGCGAGGAAGCGTGTGGTGGTGTTGTTTATACCCGGGGGCACGGGCTGGCCGGGTATCTGGCGGGTGACCTGGGCGGGTTTGGCGAAGGAGGCGGGGAGTTGAGCGCGGAGGGACTCGGTTGTGGGGGTTTCTTCAGCGGGTTCTTCTTCTGGGGCCGGTTCTACTGCAACTTCACCATTGCCGTCTTCGTCAAGGCCAAGGTCAATTTCGTCTGGATTCACAGCGGGGGATTGCTCTGGGGCTGCCTCGGGGACTGGTTGGGCGGTTTCCTGGCTTCCTTGGGCCAGCTTGCTCGGCTCAAACTCCTTGATGGCGGCGAACTTGCAGTGCAGATGCGCCGAGAACCAGAACCGCGGCCGCAGCCTGTTGAGAACGTACTCAGCAGCCGGGTTGCCCAAGGACCCGTCTCGCGACTCTCGCTCAAAGTCGGGCTTCATCTGAAATAGCCGCCGTTGATTTCCGTGCTTCTCAATAGCGCGCGGCCAGTCATGGCTGATGCCGATGTCGACCTGGGTGCGCAGCTGCAGCAGCTTGCGGACGTCAATCTCGCGCACATGGTAGAAGCTCTTGATGTCGTCGGTGTTGAAGGGCAGGCGCTCGTAGTGCGGCTTGCGGTAGTCGAAGCCCTTCCAGATGCCGCTCATGCCGGCGATGCGCAGGGGGCCCAGGCGGAGCACGTTGGCGGCGCCCATGTAGTAGATGTTGGGTGCGACCCAGCCGCCATAGTACAGCTCCCAGAGATGAGAGGACGCCTCGTGGTTGCCGGCGACGAAGATGGTCAGATAGGGGGCCTTCCGGGCGCCGCTGTAGTACTCGTGGAAGTCGCCCAGCTCGCGGTACTTGGCGGGCACTGACATGACGTTGAGGTCGGCGGCATTGCGGACGGCCTGGAAGTCGCCGCCGATGATGAGCAGGTCGACGCCATCCCACTGGCGCTCGTAGCACGCCCTATCCACAGCGGCGTAGATTGCATTGAGAGTGCCGTGTCCCTTTGGGGTGCGGTCAGCAGGTGGTCACAAGCGCGTGCAGGGATAATTGGTTTGCATACACAACCCTCGACTGCGATGCGGACGCCGTTGGTCACGAAAGTATCGCCCGACATGATTATTGGATCGGAATTTCCGAAACAAGCAAGTGGCATATTTCCGAATACTTTAAACCATCGTTGCACCCAAAATAGCCGAAGGTGATGGATAATTGATGTCTCGAGAGCGTCTGGAGCCCGTTGTTGTTGTTGGCAAGTGTTTCGGTGATGACTGATCCCCAATATTATGTTACTGCGGTTGGAGAGTTACAGCTGCATCGTCTACACACTGCTATCCAGTTAGCAGCTGCAACTTGGTTAATTGGCCGTCTCTTTGTGCTCAACTTCACACAGGACCTGCTCCGTTGATGAGTGCATTCCCTGTCAAGTTTGCTCAGGTTAGGTACCTCAACATGATCTTTTCGGCTGTTCCTTTTTCGCACTCAATGCCCCGATGAGCAAAGCCAAGGCGCCATACGAGGGCGCTTTTGCCGCTTTCGGTGAGAATTGTTCTATTTACGAGCCAATTCCACCCTAATTCTCCCGCTCGTGCACGGCGCGAATCGGAATTCTGCAACCAGCCCAAACGCGATGACGATTGTCCTTGAGTATAAAGAAAACCAGGGGCGCCGTCCGGAAATAGATTACTTCATTGCTATGCCTTTGCCTGAGAGTCGTTGTTTGTTCCAACCTCAAGTTTCCGTTCACCGTAATTGACCACACAATTCGCGTCTCAGCAACGACAAGAAAAAGAAAGAAGGAAAAAGAGAAGAAAGCCATGTTCAAAAACTTCACCTTCAGATGGATCCGCTTCCGCCGGCCAACGGGGCCTCCGAGCCCGCTGCCCTCGGGAATCGAACGGACCTTCATCGACACGCCCGGCGGCAAGATTGAGGTGCTTCACGCCAAGCCGCCGCAGCAAGCGCGCCCCAACGCCTCGCCCCTCTTCTTCGTTCACGGCGGCATGGGCGGCGCCTGGGTCTGGACCGAGTACCTGCAGTTCTTCGCCGCGCGGGGCATCCCCTGCTACGCCGTGTCGATGCGCGGCCACGGCGACAGCTACTACCCCTCGTTCTGGCGCATGGTGTACCGCACGACTTTGCGCAATCTCGCCGACGATGTGCTGGCCGCCCACCGCTGGGTAGTTGAGCGTGAGGGCGGCAAGGAGGTCGTCCTGGTCGGCCATTCCAGCGGCGGCGGTTTGTCGCAGTTCTTGTTGGATAAGAAGGACCTAAAGGTCAAGGGACTGGTATTAACGGGAGCTATACCTGGGTTTGGATCGTGAGTTTGCTCTGTGTCTGATGGTGTGGAATATTCTGCTGATATGGGTGTGTTCTATATTGCAGGGATCGTGTCTACGATAACTGGAGGAAGATGGATCCGTGGTTTACAATCCGGATGATCTTCCACCTGTGGCACCCGAACTCGCCTCTGTCTCACCCGGCCTTCACGCGTAGGGCCTTCTTCAGCCAGGAGCAGACTGACGCCTATGTCGAGGCGTTTCACGAAAAGATCAGCCGCTACGAGAGCTTCCTCTGGCCCTTGGCCATGACCAAGCCCTTCGTCAACCCGCAGAACATCATCTCGCAGATCGCAGGCTGGGGCAGCGGCCAGCGTATCATGGTGCTGGCCGGCGAGAGGGATAAGCTTGTATCACTGGACATCAAGGAAGACCTCGCACAGATGTACCGCACCAAGTACAGTGCGATGGTGCAGGAGAAGCAGCTTCAGGCCGAGGACGCCGCCGTTGTGCCCCTCTCGGGGGAGTCTGGCCCGGATAACGCGGGCCATGGAGTCAGGTTTTGCGTCGTCCCCAACGCTGGGCATCATCTGCAAAACGATGTTACTTGGGAGACGGGCGCAGAGAAACTGCTGGCCTTCTACGAGCAGCTGTGATACTCCGCGGCGAGACCTGAACGCATAGGAGACAGGCCTCCCCGTGTATTTTGGTGAACTCCTCTCCACTACCGATACCGGCGTTTGGGTCTGATACCAGGTGTGATTATAAGAGTAATACAAATGTTGACACGTCTCTCTTCTGCCATACCTGCACAACGGGACTCAAGCATGGTGCCTGCTAACTTTGGATGCCCAGTATGCCTTGTGCCATGGGACAAACCGATGTGTTCAGGGGCAACCTCGGCACTCGCTGCCGCGTTAACTTCAACGGATGCGCGCTGCCAACTAGGCTGTCACTCTACTGTCGCAACGCCTGCAAAGTTGCTCAAGGCTTGGATATCAATCTGACGGCCGCTTTACCTGCGGCGGAGGCAAGGCAGTCGAACAAGATGACCAGCTGGCATCACTATCGGACCTTAGATCAAATGCTCGGTAGTGGAGCACATATGGCATCCCCTGCTGCTCGCCCTCCCTGGCATCTTCCCCCTTGAAGGCTGGAGAGGCCCTGAGGGTGACTCCGGGGGCAGAGGAAGGAGGTCTGGCCAGAAAGTAGGCTCGTCGGGGTAGAGTTTCGGCATCTCGTCTCCTTTTTGGAAAACCTTCGTGCCTGGTTGACAATGTTCTTTTGGTTCCGCGGCCATGTATTGGGAAGATAAACACGTGAAGGGAGCGGAAGAGTGACATGATGACCAAGGCTTGTTCCTTCCCTTATCAGGCAGCGGCCGCTTCTGGGTCGGGTTTTTGTCACAGGAACAACTGCCTGCCTCTTGATGGCAAGAGTATATGGACTCTTAGAATGCAGTAGCAGGCGCGCATGTCGTGTGGGAGATGCGTGACGTTTCCATTCAATTTAGCCCTCGCGCTGCGCCAGGCACGCCTTCAGCGTGAGCAGAGAAATCCCAGGTGTTGAGCATATATTATCCATAGAGTTAGAATTACGTATTCACGGCTTAGGCGGTGATGCTCGCCAGTCTGCGAGGGCTTGCTGTCTGATCTGCCCGGGAGGAGCCCCTGAGGATTATACAATTACGAGGCAAGCATGTTCATATTATGGTAAGGTGAACCATCTATACCTAGGGGAGAAGCAGGTTCCTGGGAGCTTCAAAAGAGAAATAGATCTTATGTTCTTCAAGTGCTAGTGGGTTCGTACATGGACATGATGCACCTGCTCTTGAGCAGCAGCCTGGGATTAGAAATGAGGACAGATGTCAACCGGGAAGTATGAAAGAGGTTAACCTGTCGAGGTGGTATCTTATGATACCGTCAGTCTAGGTATCATGGCTAGCATTTGCCACACCTCACTCGTTGACTCCTGCTCTCAGAACGCAATGGACACGGAGCAGACACCATCTATTGCTCCGGTTATCCTATATGCACAGCTCTCCCTTCGACTAGTATCTACTCTGAGAGGAGCAATACTGTCCTGTACCTCTACCAAGCAGATCGAGTCCCTTCACTGCGAGCCGGCTGGTCCAAAAGACCGAGGTCTTCAGCGCCGATTGTGACACAACAGTGACAATACAGGCGCTCTACCGTGATGCACAGTCCAGGACAAGTTTGTTTTATTTTCCTTTTCCTGTCATCGAGCACTCTGGCTCATGATACCCGTCAAACTCGGAACTCAGAGCAAAGGTTCACTTTAGCTTTGCCCCTGAAGTGCTCACACGAGTCTTATAGCCTAGGGGGGTATAAGCTCATCAACCACGTCTACCTCGCTTCGATGCAGAGAAGTTACGTTCGGCAGCCACGCGATACGGACCATGTTGCCGTCCCTTCGGCCTACAGATAAGTGACAGTAGTCCGTGGACGACACTTGCTATTCATGTCGACGCAATGAGCATGGCAGATGCCGAGGCGGGAGTAGAGACTGCCGAACCAGGCTCATGATCAGGCTGCATGTTCCGCAATGGAACCGACTCTCGGAGCTCAGAGGACTGATATTAGGTGCATATATTTTGAAAATAAGAAGCTCGTCAGCCCCCAGACTCGACCATACTGACGACGCAGCACAGTTGCTGACGGTACGGGCACCACATATGATTGCTTTCAACGGCAGCATGCCTCTAGTATGGATAATGAATCCAGCTCTATGTTTGGTCAAATCAGATGTTCTCTTATTCCTTCAAGTCGGGCGTTGTAAGTTCCAAGTCCAACTTGACAGCATCCCAGCCTCGATCAGAAATATCAAGCTCTCTTCTCAACGGACAGTCTCCAATCTACGCAGAATGTCAGATTTCTCAAAGGCATACAGGAGCACCCAAAGAGACATAGCCTCGCGTCTACGCTGCCTTCAACAGGCGTTCAACACCGATTGAACATTGCAGCCCTCGGGCATGGACTCTTCCGGAACCAAGGGAGACAGGCACCTCGAGTCACCAGCCAGATCCTTTACCGGCCCATACATAACAGTACCTCGTCTCAAGACTCTACTTCGCCACGGAAGATGACCCCCTGAAACCCAATCAGGACTGCCTGACTACAAGCACCCCTCAAGCTTACTGCAAAGATAGCCCGCGCCGGTGACGGTGATCGGCAGCTTCTCGAAGTTACCAGCCCTGGTCATCGAACAACCTGATACAGGTCAACGTCGAGGGGGTGGCTGTGCTACAGCATACAAGGACGCACCGGACGGTAGTCTAGTGTGTAGCGTCTTCTTCCGCCACGCTAATCAACGTCAACTTCGCGTTTACATCCTTGTCTCGGCTTCCCGTCGTCCAGACTTCGCAACGCAACCCCAGATGTGGCATGCCCACCAGCGATCTCAGCTTCTTTCTAACGAACAAAACCTCGTCATGAGGTCTGGAGCCAAGCCTGAGGGGCATCACGATCTGTCTGGCGACTACACATTACACTAATCATGCAGGCATGGCCAAGCCCTCCTCTACGCCTAGCCCCTGGTCCCTGATCAGGGCCAGGATAACGGAGTGTGGACTACTGCGAGACCGGGAGATATGCTGCCCGGTGCCGCAACAGATCAGGCACAGCACCAAGCCAGGTTGACGCCTCTTCGCAGCCCTCTCCCCCTTCCGGATACACCAACCCGAACCCAACCTAGCGCGATGCATCCACGGCAGAGAAGAGGCCATGCGCTGCAGTCTGTAGTCTGACATGCTACATCTGCTGCCAACAAGCGGACCCTCCCATCCACTCCTGAAACTATCTTCGACCAAGTACCCACCATGGTGGCATTTGTCAGGGGTCAACACACACCCAACCCAACCCAGCCCCACCTACCAAGGACGACCAACCTCAACATATCGGGGCCAGAATGTCAAACCAGTTTCAACCCCCTCTCCTCCTCCTCCCCTTTTCGTCTCGAATCTGCAATCTTGCAGCTGTCAAGGCCAAATGTGAGCAATACTGCGGTACACCATCCGCATGCCTGAGGATGCCACACCACAGTGACCAACACACCGTCACGCAGTTCCAGAACAGGTGAGAGCCAAGCACTACCTAGATCTCAATCCGGCAAGGACGTACTGTGTCAAGCCCCCAATCGGGGCAGCACATACCGAAATCGCAAGCTCGCTACTGATTCAGCACAAGACTGAGACACACATACACATATGTGGGCAATACAATGATGAGAGGCAAAAAAAGAGAGAAAAGAACGAGAGATAGTCGCCATCGGGGCTCGTTCGCCCCAACCGCCGAAGTCAGGTCAGACGACCAGAGAAGCTGCTCGCTGCAGTGTCACCATATCTGGCGCGCATCTTATGGTACGAGCAAAATCACGGTGTGACAGGACGGGAGAAGACGACAGGAATCACAGCACGGGCACACCGTCCGACCGACACCAGCCGGTTTTTGCCCCGCCGGCCCCTGCCGCGCGCGCCCCATCCCTCTCCCCCCCGCCTCCCCACAGGCTCCGCCTCCGGCCCGGTCCGGCTTCTGGGTCTCCATCTCCCCGGCCGAGTGCCTCACGATCCGAGGACAGATAGTATGGGTGGGTAAGTTGGTCAATGCGAGTCTGGACATTGCCAACAACTCGCATAGCAAGTGGCGTGAAGCTTCTCCTTCTGACTCGCGCGCCTATCTCCAAAGCGCCATCTGCTTTGGTTGTGGTGTCAATGATTCATTCTTTCATGCTCGCCCGCAGACAGAAGAGGCATTGAAGATGGTGTGGGGTTCCAGACCGCCAGCCCTGCCTCGCCCCTGGAACGACGCTAGCGAACAGTGGAATCGTCGCACCATGACTACCGGGCCAAGGATGTCATGGATGGAGACCCCCGGCCCCCCTCCTCTAAAAGAACAAGTCCCAGCTTGTCTTGCATATCCTCTTAACAGGCTTCAGTGATGTAACTCGGTACTGTGTAACGTTAAAGCTTCAGCCTTCTCTCCTCGGCCAGCACACCACCAACCAACTGTCCCCTTCGAGAGGAAAAGGCGGGGTTCTTTCTTCATGGCCTGACTCTGATCCATGGCCAGCATGACCACCCCTGCAACCGTCAACAAGGTGGTAGTCAGCGGGTAAGCTCCAAGAAGGGTTAGGGCTCAGCATGCGACTCGACCTCCCATTCAGGGGGCCATGACCAATGGTGATGCATCCCCGGTTTAGCCTGATCAATGAATCTGCGCCAATGTTGGAAAACCATGGAGCGCTTGCGTCGGGGTCCCCTTATGGCTCTGCTTCAATGCCTTGGCGCTGTCAAGCCTAGCGGCGAAGAACGTGTGTGTCTGCTGCCACTGCCCTCGGTAGTGAACAGGGGGGCCTCCAGAAAGGGGGTTGGGGACCCTCCTTCCCACCCTTCTTTCGACGATGTTCTGCGGAGAAAAAGACTTCGTTGGAGATCACACGTTGTGCACGACGGCAGGGCATGGGCTGGCTGACTGACGATTGACGTTAGTTGGGAGCTCTAGCTCCGGAAGAGCGCACTCCATACGAAGTGAACATTTCTGTGACCGCATTAGTCTAGGACGCCGGTAACATCGCGCCGGTGGGGGCCGAAACCACCCAAAAGCTCCGAACCCCTCCCGCCGTTGGAGAACTCGCCAGA